GAAGAGAAGTCGCTTTCGATCATGTTCGATAAAGTTCGATTCACGCTTTGGCCTTCTTTTCCAAGAGTAAGGTTGCATGGAGACGCGTTCGTCGTGTCGTGGAGCGTCTTTTATTTTTTTTTTTTTTTTTTTTTTTTTTTTTGTTTTGGACTTGAAAGGCCACCGACAGAGATTCCAAGAACTCCTACTTCTGTTTGATTTGTCTTTGCCTTTCTCCTTATGATTTTATCAACTGTAGGCAAGTAGGTGTAACTTTGGCTTATTGCGCGTACCTGCATATATTTTAACAAAGCCACGTAGACATGAATGAAGACGCGTAGAACGCGCTTCCGAGTAGAAGCTTATAATGGGGTTATTCGTAAAACAATAATGATCGCTTCACGTCAAATCATGCATGCGACCGGAAGCGCTCAATCAAGATTGAAATTCATACTTGGTGAACTGCTGTAAAGATACGTGAATGGTATGGTGGCCGTTTTTAGCTACGCGGTTTGTTTACAACAAATAAACTGCAGTGTGTATGACATAGTGTCAACGCTGATTGGCCCTTCATCTAACGAATAAAAGTTCCTTGTAATCGATCTTCCGCCTCTATTCTAATCTCCATCGAAACCCTAACCCTGATTAGGTCCGGGACTTATACCTACATGTTCCCTCCTTCCCTCAACAAACAACAATTATTTTACTTATTTATCGATTCTTCCAATACTGAAACCTTATTTCTCACTATTGCAAATAGTGAATTGAAGGTTGTCGGATAGTATCTGAGGAATTTAATCGAAGTTAGAAGGCCTGCTGTATTAATGCGGGTACTGCAGATCGTGAATATTTAATATTTCTGTGAACTATATTATTTTTTAAAGTGGCTGTGAGAACAGTGAACTATACATGACCAGTGAGAATATTATATCGTAAGTAGGTTTTGTTGTTGCGCAAGGGATTTCCATATGGGAGAGATTAGCGAGAAGTTTCTTTTCTTACGCTTTTAAACGTTACACTCGATAAGTGAATATAATTTTAGGAGGAATAAAAGGTTATATGCTTCCGAGTACAAAGTAGACAACAAAAATAACATTTGGATGGTGAAAGATTTTGGTTCCCTTTGGTTTACAACTTTGCGAAGATATTGACCACGAATACTTTAAAATTTCTGTTCTCTTTGTCTCAGTTTATTTCGATGTCTAGTTTGTTCACTATCTCGACTCTTCTCTCGCAGTCTTCATTCCAGCGCAGTTTATTGTTCTCAATTACTAACATTCAGCAGTGTGAAATCCTCGCAGGGTAAAGTTAATATTTCAAACGACTCTGGTAAATATACTTTGGGTTCAATGAACGTCTCTAATATCGATATTACTGTGACGCACCCTTATTCTGCCGAAACCGCCTCTATAAGCAAAAGTGGATTGGGTAAAAGAAACGACTCGACATTTACACCTAGATCACCAGAGCCTTCCATGAATGGGGAAGGTAAGAAAACTTCGTATTTCCCCTTAAATGAGAATGAAGATGGAACGCTAGATTTGTTTGGTGATAATGAACTCGAGGAAGAAAATTTACAATATCAGGAGAACGACTATTCTTCTCAATACTTGCATCCTACACCGCCGTATACGAACTATGACGATGAGTCTCCGTCTTCACCGTCTCAAGCGTCCGAAGGAGCTAGTAAAAAGCACATACTAGAAAGCAATACTTCTACCAAATTGGACTCTAATGAAGCTCCTAACAAGCGCCAACGCTATGACGGAACGGACGTTGAGCATGAACAACCTCATTCTGTAAATGCTATCAACTCCGTTCAACCTGAACGAAAACCTTCACCTATAGAAATGCAATTAAAATCAGAGCTTTCTGTAGTCCCTCCTTCCTCTAAAGTTTCAAATGTCGCTGGCGGCGCCGCTCAAGTTATCTCAGATCTACCGGATAGCGCAGTTGAGGAAAAAGAATTTCTGTCTTCGAAAGAGTATCCCCCAATGACAAAAGAGCAACACAAGTACATTCATGCCATGCTTCGTCAACTTCGTCGTGGTCGCGATTCAATTCCTTTCCGTGCTCCGGTCGATTCAGTAAAGCAAAACATTCCTGATTATCCTTCAATAGTTAAGCACCCAATGGATTTAGGCACCATTCAAAAAAAATTTTCAAGTGGTCGTTATGCCAGTGCTGAGAACTTTATTGACGATATGAGCTTGATGTTTGACAATTGCTTTCTATATAATGGTACAGAATCTCCAGTAGGTGTGATGGGAAAAAATTTACAGGCTACATTTGAACGACAATTAAAGCAATTGCCTTCCCCGTATGTTACTAGCTCCTCTAGACCTGGACGACGTCCTCGTAATACGACTACAGCTAGTAGGCCCACGAGTCGGACGCGACGACAGTCTGCTTTATCATCAGGTCGAGAGACGATGTATGATCTAAAACCTCATCGCAGAAAAGATGCAGCTGAGATGAAATTCTGTCAGTCTGTTTTGAAGGAGTTGCTGAAAAAGCAGCATGAATCCTATGCTTATCCTTTTTACAAGCCAGTTAATCCTATAGCCTGTGGCTGTCCCGATTATTATAAAGTCATCAAGCATCCCATGGATCTTTGTACGATGCAGAATAAATTGAACCACAATGAGTATGCATCTCTTAAAGCTTTCGAAGCTGATATGTTGCTTATGTTCAAGAACTGCTATAAATTTAATCCTCCTGGCACGCCAGTACATATTATGGGAAAAAAGCTTGAGTCCGTGTTTCAGAAATTGTGGGCCGAGCAGCCTGATTTTGATTCTGAAGCCTATCCTTCACTTTCATCTGTGAATGCTGACTACTATTATGGGGACAACGATGTGTTCGATAGCGCGGATGAGTTCTTAGATGATGGAGAAGAATTTGAGGCTGTCAATCGACAGATATATAGACTTCAGAGCACTTTACGTGCGATGAAAACGAGAGCTCGTTCCTCTTCAGTTTCTCGTTCTCGAAGTTTGAGTATTGATAACTTTCCACCAATTACCTATGAAATGCAGAATGAATTAGCTGAACAATGCAATTACCTAACAGCTGACCAACTGACGCATGTTGCGGAAATTCTACGTTCAGCCCTTCCTCATCTTCGAAAAACAGACGAAATAGAAATTGATGTTTCGTCGATGCCTCCTGATGTATTCTTTAAAGTTTACTACTATGTATGCAAAGGGGATGAAACAGCTGCCGATCATATTCTAATGTCTCCTCAACCTCAGAAGGAGAGAAAGGGTCGTGCTTTGTCTGAACATGAACAGGCAGAGAAGATTCGCCAGCTTCGTGCTCAACTTGATCGCTTTGCTGGAATAGCTAGTCAAAACAAAGGATTGAGTGATTCTACAGCTGCTTATCAGTCAAAGGCGTTTGCTACGGATGAATCGTCGTCTGAAGATGATGGCGAAAGCAGCGAAAGCAGTGATTCAGCGTGAGCTAATGCGGTAGGAGCTTTTTTCTTTAATTTTCAAGGTTTCGGTTTATTATCTCATTATTATAATTCGTGTTATTCTTAATTTTTCAGGTTTCTTGCGCTGTACATATGTGTTTTGCTTATGTTGAATTTCTTCCTTTTAATACTTTCACATTCTTTATTGTTGAACATTTTTCACTCGCATGATCTTCTACGTAACGGTTACTTCGTGATTTCTAAATTGAAATCTAGTTCCAATTTGTTATGATTCTTTTGATATAATGTTGTTTTTGGTGAACTGTCTTAATCAGTCTGTCGGTTTTCTCTGTATTTCATTTTAATTTACTTTTTTTCTGCGATTTTAAAGCACAGTTTTGTTCTATCTATACTGAAAACCGCAGTTTTGATTTACAATGTCTCATCTCTTGTACACTAGTTAGCGTTTATATTTGATACGTTTAATAAAACTATTTTTAAAAAGATAAATTACGAGTAAACAACGTGCGAATTTAGAGCTTCTACGTAAGAAAGATTTTATAGAAGAATGTAAGTACTAGCCGCTGCTGCTATACAATGAATAATTGAAAAAACATGCCGAGTACCTTTTTTCTTTTGATTTAAGCTTTTTATTTGTGTGTCACTGCACATGATAAAATTTTAACGATGCGTTATTTCGTGCGCTATCCTAAGTGGGTTAGCTTAACATTTGTCAAACAGCAAACCGCTTCACCAGGATCCTGACAGCAATCAATCCCAAATGGCAGCTAGGAGTCGGCCCAAATCGACATTCCGGACGGTACGGGATAACGGAATAAACCTTGGGGCTTTTCAAGAGTCTTCTAAGCTTTATGCTAGTATAACAGATGCTTTAGATTCTCAGCGTCTGCGTATTTTCGATTCGCAAGAGGGATCGCTCAAGACCGAATATGCTTTAGAAGGGAATCAGCGGGTCAGTAGTATCTGCTGGGATCAAGCTGTTGAATATGATGTTGAACCTATAGATGGTTCTATAGGTGGCTCTGGTCATGTCGTACTCCTTGGTACAGAACAAGGAGAGATTATAGTATACTCAGAGGCTTTGGGCACAGTTACAAAAACATATGGTTTTGGCCAATTGGGTAAAATCACCAAAGTTGCTCTTCTGAGCTCATTTGCATTTGCCATTGACAGTTTTGGAAAGTTGGTTCAATTTAATGTTAATAATGGTTCTGCTATTCAAATTATGAAGATTACTACTCCTTCTCGTGAATTTTCCGGTGTATATCCTTCCCCTTGCATTCCAAATTTTGCTATCGTCACCTCGCACAGCGCGCATTTGTTGGCACTTCCGGATTCGAATCCTGTCGATACTTTAACAACTCATACAACGCTTGTTCAGTCTGTTGTTTACTCTTCAGCCTCAACGCCGTCGCAAAATTTCGTCCTTTTTGCGACAGCTGCTGAACAAGACCGATTTGTCAATCTTTTCAGCAAGCAAGTTTCCGATAAGAAGCTCACTGATGCACCTTCCAAAAATATTGGAGCACTTGTTTGTGAAAATGATGTACAAGGACTAGCAAGTTGCGAGAAAATCGAAGAAGCCACTGGGAAAAAGGGTAGTATTTTAGCAGCGCTGTCAGTAGACGGTACTATTGAAATATTTGATAATCCATGGGAGTCGAAACTTTCATCTGGATCAGGAGGACTAGCCTCTCTATCCCGTAAGCGTAAACAATTAACAAGTCATTCTAATCTCAGAATCCGCTTCTCTCGTTCTCGTGGCGGAGTTCCTATTACACTCGAGTCCATTAGTTTCGTCAATGCAGATACTATTGTGGTAGCATGGAAAGAGGCTACTCGCACCATTTTTGAGAGCGTCCCTTGGAAAATTCTGTCTTCTCAGGCTACGGATGGACTATTAGAAGTAGTTCGTCCCAAATCCCGGGATGTCAATAAAGTAGGAAAACCCGTCGTCACTTATGATGAAGCAAATGCCACCGTTACATCAGGTGTAATGCAAAAACATGCTGCTGGTATTCCTGATATTCCCACTGAGGAAGAAGCGCAGGCAGAAGAGCAGGAACCTAGTCTTGCTGAACGATTGCAGACACTTGCCAAGTTAGACCAACAAGCTCAGGCTACTCCTACACAGGTATCTGCTTCTTCTTCTTTAGCAACTGTGTTAGCTCAGGCTTTGCGAACAAACGATCAAGCTCTTCTTGAGTCATGCTTTAATAATCAAAGTTTGGAAGTAATTGAAAACACTGTTCGCCGTTTAGACTCTACATTGGCTCCTGCCTTGTTGGATAAAGTAGCTGATCGGTTAGCTCGTCGCCCGTTAAGAGCAGATACATTTTTGACTTGGATTCGTTGTACTTTAATTTTCCACGGTGGTCATCTTAGCTTAATCCGTGATCTGAAAGATCAGCTTGCTACTCTTCGTTCAGTGTTGGAAACAAGAGCTTCCAAATACACAAGCATGCTTGCGTTGCAAGGAAGATTGGATATGGTGTTTTCTCAGATTGCTTTACGAAAAGCTGGTGGCTCAAAGGATAATGCTGAGAACGAAGAGCCCATTACTGTATATTATGACGGTTTTGAGGAATACGAGGACATGGAAGAAGATGAAGATGAAGACGAGGAGGACATGGATTCTGAAGAGGATGATATTTCAGAAGATTTATCTGAAGATGAAGACCATGTAACAAATGATCAGGCGCCTTCGGACGAAGATTACGATCAAGAATTACACGAGGAGGACGTTCAGCATGATAGTTCAGATGAAGAAAACTAACTCGGTGGTTTTCTTTGATTTTAAAATGTGATTTTCTTATTAAATCATGGGTGAGTTTTTTATATTGGTTTTGGATTGCGTTACTTAATCTATATATATATGTGTGTGTGTGTCGATAGGTGAACATAAAAACTTTTTCAGGTAGAAAAAAATAAAGGTTTGGTTTTAGTGCGTTAAACTTTGGCAGAAGTAATATAACTAAAAGAATTGTATTCACGGTTTGTATTTGACTATAACTGTTTAAATCGATCTGAAAACTATAAAGAAAATTATATTTTCACAAAAGGATACATTGCTTATCTTGGTGTTGAGCAAAGTATGCTTCGATCACCACTACGACTTACTACTACAGTAAAATCAATTCTCTATATACCTGCACAGTAGAATATTAATGAAAACTGCCAATGACTTCAAATGTAGATGGAAAACTGGAAATCATAGTTCGGTTTGCTTCTGCTATGCCTGATCTCTCATTAGAAGTTCAAAATGCAGGAGAAACAACAATCCGGGAACTTTTCAAGATTATTCGAAGTCGAACACCGGAATGTAAGGACAAACACCTAAAACTGATATTTCAAGGTCGTCTTTTATCTCCTTCGTTCACAATAGAAAGAGCAGTAAGGGGGAACTGGCATTATGAACCCCATAGACAAGGTAACGAATCGCGAAAAGCATTTATTCATTGTATTGTCGGACCTCAGCTATCACCAAACGAATTGGCCCCAGAAGACCAAGAATTAAGTCAACTTCAGCGCTCCAGCGCTTCACAAGCGGAAGCGTCGGCATCACATCCTACAGAGATGCTGAGAGGTTTTGACCGACTTCGTGAAGCTGGATTTACAGAACCTGAAATTTCCAGTTTAAGGTCCCAATTTCACCAAGCCCGTGGTACGAATTTAGAGGCTCTTACAGAAGATGCAATACGCGAAGCTGAGGACGATTGGATAGATAACGGGGCACAAACTTCATCAGCAGATGAATTTGACATGTCTTACGAAACTCTTTTGGCTGGCGTGCTGGTCGGTTTTTTTGGTGGTGCTCTTGCATGCTATTTTCTTTGGCAGAGGACTATGTTTTCCCTGCGAATGCAGCTTTCAATCTTGGTAGGAATTATTTGCAATTTTGTTTACGGAGTTTTGCATTCTTATCGATGGTAAAAAATTAGAAGTATTGCTTACTGTAGCATCAAATTGATCGGTACTTTCTAATCTGAACTGAAGTACCTTTCTTATGTTTTCGCATTTAAGAAATTCCCGCCAATACTTGGACGTTTTATCTTATTTAAAAAATATCTGTCGGGTACTACGAATGATTCATTTGTCTACCACTTTTATGACTATGGATCGCTTTTTTTTTCTCTCTCTCCTTTTGTTGCTTAATTTAAACATGCAATTTAACAACACTGGATAAATATCATTAATGATCTTTCTATCCTCTGATTGCCAGGTTAACTTTATTACTGTTGTTTATGCACGTTGCACTCTATGGTTTATAATGACTATGATATGACTCTATTTGTTGAAATAAATCGGTTTTGTAATTCACATTTCACACTGTATAATACACCGAGTAGTTGTTTACCAAGCGTATATTACTGGGTTTTCTCAGGTGTTTTGTTTACAAAATAGTGATTGACAACATTCGTTCGTTAAAGCATAGTAGTGAACAACAGTGGCAAGTGACCTTAACAGCAATTTACGATACTTTTAGACACAAAAAATTTAAATACCATTTTATGCTTGTGAAATTTCATCCTTCAACAGCAACCTAGTCAACCATCAGATCTTGCGGAATTGCCATTTCGCAACGTTCAAATCTTTGGGAGACATGACATCCTCTGTGCTAATTCAAGGTCGTGAAGAAGACAATGTCCTCAAACTGCTTGAGGACTTGTTAAATGCCGAAACTTCTAAGGACTGTGCCAATATTGGCGAAAAAATAGGAGAAATTTTTAAAAAGGATGAACCACTAGTTGCTTTGAAAACAACTGGATTTTTGGATGGATTAGAGAAGGCTGGTCGTAATAAAAAATCAGGCTTCCACAGGGAGTCTGCAATGATCGGTTTTGCTTCTGTTATTCGGAAGATCGGTCGTCCTTGCGAGGTCGATTTCCTTCCTTATCTTCCAGTTATGCTAGATTTGTTCTCTGATAGAGGTGAAGTCGTTAGAGCTGCTGCTAAGATGGCTACTGATGCTTTGCTGAATGTTCTCCCCCCTGTTGCAGTTGAAACTCGTTTAATTCCCTCTTTAATTGACTATTTGGATAGCTCAGCCGTAAAGTGGCCAAGTAAGGTAGCTGCTCTTGAATTGCTGGGCTCGTTGGCAAAATCTTTCCGTGACGCTGTTGCAACAGCAATGGGCTCTTTGATTCCTTGCATTCGAGAACGCATGCATGATACCAAAGGCGAGGTTTCTCGAGCTGCTATCAAGTGCATGTTAGATCTTTGCACTGTTGTCGAAAATAATGACATTATTCCTCATATTCCCAAGTTGGTCGATTGCATGGCTCGTCCAGAGACCCTGGAAGATTGTATCAAAGAATTGAGTGCTACAACCTTTGTTGCTACTGTTGAATCCGTTGCTTTAGCAGTTTTGGTTCCCATCTTGAAACGTGCACTTGCTGAACGTTCTCAAATTATGTTGCGTATGACTGTTATTATCACTGACAACTTATGTAAGCTTGTTCCCGATCCTGCTGAGGCTTCGGACTTTCTCCCAGAGTTGATTCCAGAAGTCGAAAGGATCGCTCAAGGTGCTGCTATGCCTGAAGTCCGTGCTCTTGCGTCTCATGCCCTTACCACTTTAAACAAGGCTGCTGCTGCCCAAGCTGCAAAGGCCGCCAATGATGCTGAGAGACAAGCGCTTTCTGGCGTTCGTAACAGACTTCAACAATTCGTCACTGAACATGCGACATGTCCTCAGAACTTTAATATGGAGGAAATTTTGAGTTATGTTTGTGATGCCTATGTAGCCTTCTATAATCACAAGAATTTTAATAAGGAGACTTGGGTTAATGAGATGGGTGTCCCGTATCTGACTCCCTTCGTTGGTGAAACTGCTGCTTCCGATTGTGTTTCCAAAGCTTATGATGATCTTCACTCGTTTTACAAATTTATTAATGGTCCTGATATTTCAAACTTACATATTGAGGACGAAGAGTTAGTTAACACAGACTTCTCGCTAGCTTATGGTGGCCGTTTGCTTTTGAACCACACTAATTTACGCCTTTACAGAGGCCATCGTTATGGTGTTGTTGGTCATAACGGTTGTGGTAAATCTACATTACTGAAAGCAATCGCTGATTATAAGGTCGAAAATTTCCCTCCTCCTGAGCAAGTGAAGACTTGCTTTGTGGCTCATAGCTTACAGGGTGAAGATACCAGTATTGCTATTCTTGACTTTGTTGCTAACGACCCTTCCCTAGCTGCTATGAAAGTCACTCGAGAGGAAGCCGCAGCTGCGTTAAAGTCTGTTGGCTTCACAGAAGAAATGCAAAAGGATCCAGTTGCCTCTTTGTCCGGTGGATGGAAGATGAAATTAGAACTGGCTCGTGCCATGTTGCAGAAAGCTGATATTCTTTTGTTGGACGAACCTACTAACCATTTGGACGCTGCAAACATTGCTTGGGTGGAAGCTTATTTGAACGCTCAGACTCAAATTACTTGCCTTATGGTGTCTCACGACTCTTCCTTTTTGGATCACGTTTGTACAGACATTATTCATTATGAAGGTGTCAAGAATAATGCAAAGAAATTGGGTTATTATCCTGGCAATCTTTCTGCTTTCGTTGAGAAGAAGCCTGAGGCCAAATCTTATTATACTCTTTCAGCTACGAATGAAAAGTTCGTTTTCCCTCCCCCTGGTATTCTTGCTGGAGTACGTTCCAACACTAGAGTCATCCTAAAAATGACTAATGCAAGCTATACTTATCCTGGTTCTTCCAAGAAATCATTAGATGATGTTACTGTTGGTCTCTCTTTATCTTCCCGTGTTGCGATTCTCGGTCCAAATGGTGCTGGTAAATCTACTCTTATTAAAGTATTGATCGGTGAGGTTATTCCTCAAGAAGGCCGTGTTTTCAAGCATCCTAACCTTCGGGTTGGTTATGTAGCACAACATGCTTTCCATCATTTAGATCAACATTTAGAGAAAACACCCAGCCAGTATATTCAATGGAGATATGCTGGTGGTCAAGACCGTGAGGTCTTAGAAAAGGAGACTCGCAAACTAACAGATGAGGACCGTGCTCAACTTCAACGTGAAATTACTGTGGATGGTGAACGTCGTAGGGTAGAAGCTCTGATTGGTCGTCAAAAGTTCAAGAAATCTTTCCAATATGAAATTAAGTGGCTTGGGAAGCCTCATAAGTACAACAATTGGATTCCTCGTGAATTATTGCTTGAAAACGGGTTCCAAAAGTTTGTTCAAGCCTTCGATGATATGGAGTCATCTCGTGAAGGTCTTGGTTTTAGAGATCTTATCCCTGAAGAAATCCGTAAGCACTTTGAAGATGTTGGACTTCCTGGTGATATTGCTGATTACAGTCCTTTGAGCAGCTTATCTGGTGGGCAGAAAGTGAAGGTTGTTATAGCTGCTTGCTTGTGGAACAACCCCCAACTTTTAGTCTTGGATGAACCCACAAACTTCTTGGATAGAGATGCTCTTGGCGGTCTAGCAACTGCTATTCGTGATTGGGGTGGTGGTGTTGTTATGATTTCTCACAACGCTGAATTTGTCTCTGCACTTTGTCCTGAGCAATGGCATGTCGTCGCCGGAAAGGTCACAAACAAAGACAAGGCAGCTGTTGACAACGAGAAGTTTGAAGATTTATCCGAAAAGGATTTGAAGAAGATTGAATCCAAGACTACTAAGAAGAAGAAGCTCACTCGAAATGAAATGAAAGCCAAAGAACGTCGTGCTCGTGATAGAGAGCTCGCATGGTTGTCCTCACCTAAGGGTACTCCCAAGCCAAAGACTTTCTTCTCTGACGACGAAGAATAAATGATTTAGTGTACAGTAAATGTCTGTATGATCCGGTGCGTTTATGTACTTATTTTACTTCCTTCTTTTTTGGGTCCAGTAAAAGTTTGGTGGAACAGGTTAATAATTTATGCATCATTTAAAAATTGATGATTCCAAAAGAAATAATTGTTATATATGTGGGTTTGGTTTGGTGTTTAATAGATATTTTACTAGACAGTTATATCCGTTTTTAGGTTTCAATAATTTAGCTTTTTGATTTTTTGATTTTGAAAATTTATAAAGTATATATTAAGTCGATGAAATATGAAAATAAAAAACACGAAGTATGTAGTACACACTAAAAACTCGTATATCAACTCTAATAAGCGCATCACAACTCAAGAGTTAAGCAGTAGTAAATTCATACATACGTATTATAAGTTCACATTACCAAATGTCTTCAAAAAGGTAAATTTTATGTAATAAGACGAAATATAGAAAGCTAAAGAGATTCAGATAAAATTAGGTCAATGATGAATTTGAATAAGTTCATGTTTACTGGATATAATGTCAGCAGAGATTGCGGATATTGTCGAAGTGGAGAGCCTACTGAACACTTCGGACTTTTATCGAAGGAACTAAAATGCGAGGTATGTCTAGTTAAATTAATCTTAATGAAGCTTTTAGCTAACGTTTGCATACGGTCAGGCGTATCAAGACCTTGTTGACAGAGGCTGGAGGTAATACAAAAGAGTTTCATTTTCACTGTTACTGATAGTTATAGACGTTCAGGACATTATTTGTATAAGCCAAACTTGAGGACCTCTTGCTGTCCATTGTACACGATTCGGTATGTAAATGCAAGTACTACAGGGCAATGGCTTATGTAGGATATATGTATAAACATACTAACGGTGAAGATTGAATGCTGATGAGTTTCAAATTACTAAGGTGCAAAAAAAAACTATAAAAAAATGGGCCAAATTGGTAACTGGCAAACCACTGAATCAGAAGGCTACGAAGAATAGTATCGAATACCTTAAGAACGCATTTGAGCAAATTGAGGGATATGAAGATCAAACGCACTCATACACGGTCAAATTAGAATCGGCTGAGTACACCGATGAAAAATTTGAACTGTTCAAGAAATATCAAATAAGCGTCCATCATGAGTCCGAAGAGGAAGTAACGAAAAAAGGATTTGAAAGATTTCTATGCTCCTCTCCTCTTGTTACTAACAATAAATACGGATCTTTTCATCAACTGTATCGTATAAATGGTATTTTAGTTGCTGTTGGTGTACTCGATTTGTTACCTCATGCTGTATCAAGTGTTTACTTGTTTTATGATCCGGAGTACTCATCTTTCTCGCTTGGTCGACTAAGCGCTTGTCGTGAAATTCTTTTAGCAGCTGAAGAAAAATATCAATTCTATTATATGGGTATACTTGATATCGTATAAAGTGAGTTAGTTGAATTAACCGTTAATTAGGATATTACATTCACAAGTGTACGAAGATGCGATACAAAGGTGATTACAGTCCCAGTTATCTGCTTAATCCGGTAAGTAAAGGGTTGGAGTGTTACTTTTTACTTACAAAGCATTAAGGAAACAAACGATTGGCTATCAATAAAACATTTCACGCAGTTGTGGGAAAAGGGAGCATCAGATTATGTAACTTTTGAAAATGTTGATGAGAATAATGACGAGTTAAAATCCAAAAGAGTCGAGCCTTTACCAAAATTATCAGACATTGACGAAGAAGAGCCCCCCTCTGTTTATGAACGGAGCCTACCGGGAATTTTGGATGAAGACGCTGCCAAATCTCTCTTGCGCAAAAATTATATTACCATTGGAGACTCAACTTTACCACTGAATGTTAGTAATGAGATTAGTGTGATCTGTGCTAACGATTAAAAGGCTGTTTTAGGATTATTCCCAAGATTGGAGAACCTCTATATTGAAGCGAACGCGGCACTTGGAAGTAATGTCGGTAAGGATTATACTCTCGTCTTTTCACAATAATTTCTTTTCTATTGTGTATGTGTTTAGCATTTATCAGTCGCTACGTAAGAAACGCTGAATACTGGAAAGCTTTGAAATCGCCTAAATTGAGACGAGACAAACAACCTTTATACTGGTCTAGCTGTGGATGACTTTAAGAATACCGGATATTATGGGTTGCAAAACTACGAATGCAAGGACAATTCACAAAATAGTATAGAAAAAATAAAACAAAATATCTTTATTGTTAAGGTAATTACTTATTTCATGAGATGGTATCCTTTTATATGATATTAGTCTGAAGTATTGTCACTTTCACCGTCCTCTTGGTAGCTTCGCCTAACGACTATCCACCATTTTTCTTTCGTCTGGAACAACCGGACTTGTGGAAATAACAAGAGGTTTGAATTTTTGTTTTATTAATATACATATATATATATATATATATTTGGACTCTAAAATAGGGACTGATCTTGTCAAACGTTATAGATTACTTTGCAAGTCATAAACCAAAAGTTCGTCAGGAAAGCGTACATTTTCAAAATAGAGGCTTCTTCTGCTTAAAGTTGGATTACTTGTTTTTATATGAGAATACTATCTTTATAACTTCTGGTGAAGCATGGATTAAAAAGATCTAAACTTTGCATTGCACGTTTCCGCCTGTTGAAACGTCGTTGATAATTTATTGAGTTTTTGGTTTTTTGCTTGTTAATTTTATAATTGTTTGTATACCCTCTTTTGATTGAAAAGCTTGCGTTTTTGTTTACAAGTTTTTGATATCCTAAGCATCTTTTGGCCCTTATTTAGCATCTTTCTATCGCGCTGATTATATTTATATCTTTATTTTTTAAGTATTTATTAGCAAGTGTTTCGTCGGTAACTGCTGTTCCATCCGTTTTTTTATTTTTGATTTCCCTTTATTACTTTAATCTTTATATTCACATTTCGTCAGTTAAAAGATCACTTTCTTTTTTGTTAGAAGTTTGCTTCGGTTTCCTTTTATACAGATAATATGAAAAAATACTTGTGGAGAACACCGTCTATGGCAAATCATCATGGGCGGACGTCTAAGGAAGTTATGAAATGTAATACTGTCGATGATTTTTTTTCTATAATGCGCAAAGTGGGTGATGGAACTTTTGGTTCTGTACATTTGGCTACCCGTAAAGGTTCGACAAAGGTAGTAGCCATTAAATCCATGAAGAGAAAGCTATTGAAAATATCAGACGCTGCTCGGCTACGTGAAGTGCATTCTTTGCTTCATCTGTCAGAACATGAAAATATTGTTAATATTTTCGACCTTTATATTGATCGATCTTTTTGTTTACATATCGTAATGGAATACCTTGAATGCAATCTGTTTCAGTTGATTAATTCCCGACGAGACAAACCTTTTTCTTACAACACTGTTAGAGATATCATGAGCCAGATATTTAGAGGTTTAGGTCATATACACACGAACGGCTTCTTTCATCGAGACATGAAACCCGAGAATATTTTGGTATCACCAATAGAAAATTCTAGTTTCTACAAGGTGAAAATTGCAGACTTTGGTCTTGCTCGGGAAATTAATTCCAATCCACCCTACACGGAATATGTCTCTACTCGCTGGTATCGGGCCCCTGAGTTATTACTTCGGGATTCATATTATTCATATCCTGTTGACATATACGCTGCAGGTTGTATGGCTTTTGAAATTGCAACATTGCAGCCAATATTTCCTGGAATGGATGACATTGATCAGGTGTATAAAATATGTGAAATTTTAGGAAGCCCAGACGAGGAATCTCAAAATATGGGATTTGGAGGTGGCGGTGCTTGGAAGCAGGCAGAGAAGTTAACTAGAGAGCTGGGAATAAGTTTGCCCAAGTTAGTACCTTTGAATCTAAAAGAGTTATTTTCGCCGCCATGGAATGGGCCTTTTGCTTCCATGCTCACCCAACTTTTACAATGGAATCCAGAGTCGAGACCCACCGCTCAAAAATGTCTAGAGCTTGAATTTTTTAACTCAGAAGAAGAAAAGTTTGAAGAACCCAAAACGAATCAAGTTGGGAAAGCTGGTGATACTCAAGTTTCTGTATCGATGTATCCATTTCCGAATGCATTTACAAAAGTTACGTTACCTTATGTTGCGGATAAGGCTGATACTACGTCTTCTAAGCTATTGCAAAAGTTCCACAAAGGGTTTACCGGCTTTAAGCGTACGTTTCAAAAGTCAAGTAAGCAGAAGAAGCCCTCCAAGAAGACAGCTCAGACGATTTCCACACCAATGGATCGTCCGCCTTCTCCTTTTTTTCCTATACTTCCTCAAATTCGGCCATCAACGCCTTTGAACTTGAAATTGAGAAACTACTTGCTTTCAACTGCGGAATATAATGTAGCAAGTAAGAGTATGCCTATGTTTATGGAAACCTCGCAATCTGAAGTTTCGAGCCAGTCAAACGACAAAGAGAACAAACAAATCGGAAACTCAACAAATCCTAGTCCTCGAAGTAATTTCGAGCCAGTTATCCCGAGAAAGTCGTTACCATCGTATTCTGAGCCAGAAACTACTTCTCCTACAACCTTGAACGACAAGAGTACCACCTTTCATTCAAACAAATTCAGTGGATATTCTACATGCAGCTCAAGATCTACAGAACAAACGTATTCAATTTTGTTGGATTCTGCTGATTGGGAACAAACTGCACTTTGGAAGAAAAGTAGCTTAAAGGGTGATTCCGATGCCCAAGTAACGAAGCGACCTTTAAAGAACTTGAATAGCGATATTGACGATGATGATCGTGACGACAGTGGTAAAGCCCCGAATATGGATTTAAGAAAGTCGTCGATTTTGTCTTCAAATATCCTTGAACAGGATTTCCCGGATTTTGGTGTTACATCGCTTGCAGATACATTGGGTGTTCCTGGGTTGAATTCAAGAACCGACTCTCATGTGACATCTCAAACAATATCCTAATTGCATGATGGATAGATAATTTTTGGACCTTTCTTTGCTTATTTTTTTTGTCATTCTTTTATTGTGTAGACTACGTTGTTTACACGCATTCTATTTTTCTATCTTCTTGACTTTCTTTTGTTTCCTTCTTCTATTCAAAAGTCTAACAGTGCTTGCTGTTGACTCACCATAGGCAACCCTCTCACATGAAATCGGTTTTCTTTTTAACATAGGCTGCCTTAATTATTTATATCTAAATACCCTTATTACTTCACATTCTTCTTTCATTGACTGGGGGAAATTTAAGATGTCGCTTATATTCCTAACCCCGGAAATGAACAATAATCTCTTTATCATTATCCCTCCTCGATAACGAATCAATTCCTTCTTTCTATAATAAAATTGACCTTTGCTTTTGAACCGACTTAGAAAAACGGAAAAATAATACTCGTACCGTAACGAAAAATCTACCATATGACCTTGAAAGTTGCCAGAATGAATGTTTACATGATTTACAAAATTGTGTCCCTCATTGGAATTTTCGCCGAACCTTAAATGGATAAACTACTAATAGTGATTTCATCTGAGTCAATTATGCTCTCATTGATATCGTTTATTTCTGCCACGACGTCATTGAGTTTGAAATTTCGTCAGTCATTTCTTGCACTTTATATAGACGGGGAATCACCATCTTGTCCACAACTTAATTATAATCATAGTCATTAAGGTTTATTATAGTGAGTATCAGATTTGTTGGCTGTTTCTATCAATTCAGTTGTTTTAAAGTTCCATTGTTTCTCGTTTGCGATTTCCTAAAGGCAAATCTACGATCGGTAAAAATCATTTCGTGATTGTCGACTCCTTGTGCTTTACTTTGGTTTTACTTAATTTCGTTTCTCCTGTTGCTTTCTCTTTTCATACCGCTTGGTGAAGACTGTAAAACAGATCCTCCAATTATCTTTTGTCTATTTACTTACTTACGTATACACTCGCTTAATTTTTGCTTTGCTTCAGAATGACTGGCGATAACAAATACTTGGACGGTGGGTTGTCCACCCTTCAGAAATGCTTCAAAGCCTTCTTTGACAAGCATTCGGACAAAATGGGTAGCTCTGATAATGTCTCCGGAACTTATAATGACAGTGGTAGCTACATTTACCTTGTTTGGTCGGTTGCTGTTTATGCCGAGGCTATGGCAGATACCTTAAAGTTTACAAACAAGTTTGAAAAAAAGTTTGAAAACGTATTTCAATGTTTAAAGAGGTACTGGTCTCCAGAGTACAATGCTTGTTGTGCTAGTTACTATTTTCAAGGAAACAATGATGTTTATTTTGACGATAACGCTCAAGTAGCCATTGCTCTGGCTACCGCTGGATACTATACTTCTAATAGCTCTCGGAAAAAGCAGTACTTAGACAGAGCCGAAGCAATTATTTCTTTTCTTATCAATCGTGGATGGAATCAACAGAAAGGCGGTGTAGCTTGGCATGTGAACTCTGGAAGTCCTCCTGGAGGTAACTTGAATGCTTGTTCCACTGCCATGTCAGCCCTGGCTGCTTTGCGACTTGCTTTCGCTGTGGATGACAATAAGAAGAAACAACAGCTCGTATCGTTTGCTTGGAATTGTGTTGAGTGGATTCATAATAATTTGGTTGACAACTCTCATCTCGTTTGCGATGGTCTAAGTATGAAGGACGGCAAATGGACCCTTGACTCTGTAAAGTTTACTTACAATACCGGCGCTACTTTGGCTAGTATGTCTTTGCTTCTCGGATTTGAGGATATTATTAAGGGGCTTCCCAATATTGGCAAAATACATTCTTACATGGAAAACATGGCCGAAGCTGCTCTTAACACGAAAAGTGCTATGTACGATCAATCCTGCAAGACCGATTTCAAAACTTGGAAAGATAATACCTTTTTCGCTCAGCATCTGGCTGAGGGATTAATGACTTTTTCTTTTGCTATGCCCACTTCTTCTTACGCAAAGCCTGCTCAGCAAATGGTCTTTGATCAAGCAGAGTTTATAATGAAGTACATCCGCGATCCCAAGGACGGTCTCTATTTCCGTGATTTGAATCTCTATAAAATCAGTCAAGATTTAACGAATACCTTTAACAAAATTTTTCATGCTAACCAGAATTTTCAGCCAGATAAAGATGAACGCATCCAAGGTGATGGTCCAGTTGAAAAACAACCACTCTGCAAATCATTGATTGGAAGCTCAGGTGCCGCTCGGATGCTATTTCCCGCTGCTGAAATAAAAATTCGTAGCGAAAATCCTCAAAAGGGTCCTATTTTAGGAAGACGACCCTCGGGCGGCAAAGATGACAAAAGTTGTTTTATATGCTAAGTTCCTTACTTTCCCTTCGCATTCTCCACTTTTTAAATACCTCTCTACCCACTACCTAATTATGGAGATTTTATGAACGGCATTTTATCACCCAAGACGGTTCCTTGTTCAATGAAGAAAAATATACTATAAACTTCTTTACAGAGTTATTTAAGCAATAAAATATTATTTTCCTCTATCATATATAAAGATAACCTTCTGCAAGCTTTATTTGGTTTTATAAGTAAGTTGCATGGCGACTTCGATTGGGTTTGAAATATGAACGTCTATTGTCTGTTCCCCTTTGAAAGTGATGATTTCTTGACTCTGCGTTTGGGTTGTTCATTTTCATGCCATGACCGTGCGAATTATTGTTCACCGAACTTAAACCTGGACGACCTAAAAATATTTCTTTTAAAACTTCGGAATCATTGAAACCCTTTGACATAATGGATGCTTCGTCCATATCCTATAATGTTAGCATGCAGTCTACTGCTCTCTCATACCCGGTAACATTGAGCTGCCTGAGTTGCTGCTATTTGCATAGCCGAACCCTTTTTAATGTGATGTCCAACGCCGCGGACAACACCATCACAATGAACTTCAGAAATCCAGATAACCTTGTTCGTTTCCCTAATCGTAATATGTATATATAGAAGTGATATAGAGCGTGGCGTGCTTTCCTTACAACTGACCGTAGAAGCTGGTAAGCCAGACAAAGGCCCTCTTGAGTCCAGCGGTTCAATTCTCCTGTTTGTAAGCTTTCGATAACGGGTTTCAACTATTTGCCAAGTTCTTTCATCTTCTCTGAATGATGAAACAGTAGTTAAATAACGCAGTATATATGGCTCAACTTTGCTAGTGCTTCGAAAACTAGTGGGTGTATCAGAACCGGAACTATAAGAACTTGCAGGACTTAGAGAATTTTCCCCAATGTCGTTCTGTAATTTATAAAATCTTCTCCTTTTTTCCGCTAATATTTTATTTTTGTTTGCGATGCGCTCTTCGTTTTCAGTTCTTTCGCGTCCAAGTTTCGCTAATTGATGACAATGATCAATTAAACTGTTGCAAATACTGCTTAGTTTATGCGCACTCGAAGATGATTTTTCCGTGATTTCATCAAGCATAACATCTGTTGAATCCAACAACTGGTTAATTTGATGGTGCTTTGCACATATTGAATCTCCTTGAGACTTCAATTGATATAAAACTAGATTGATTTCATTAGGTCGTAACTTCGCTGGGAGAAGATTTTCATTAGAATTTTCATCATTGCTTTGAGTCGAAATCGACGCATGTTTGTCAGTTAAATTTAAGTTCGTTAAGCGTTCTTTGATTTTTATGTAGGACATGTAGATTTTACTGTCATAGTCATTATATTTCAGGTTTTGTTTCAAAAGATTGAGCCTTTCCCTTTTCAATTGGTTTTGAAGTTTAAGCAAAAGCCTTGTACCGATATCATCACCTAAACAGAGCGAACATATGTCTCTTAGATGAAGGCATGTTTCCTCCTAAATGAGTATGTTAATCGAATACTCAAAAATAATGGACTTACATGTTGAGACACTAAACCCAGTTTTTCCTTTTCTAGGATAGCCGCGTTTCTTTTTTTCTTTGCCTGTGAGCTATTAGTATTATCCTGTTAATTCAAAAATACAAACCAAAGTTAACTCTAGTTCTTTGAGATGGGTTTCCTCGTTCTCTTTCTCGGAAATTAGGTCTTGATGCTGAAGCCTAAGGGTTTGCTAAGATGAGTTGGTCAAAATGAAAAATCCTTTAAACTTTACTTACTAACTCCCTTTGAAACTTCCGTATTCGTTCCTCTGACACTTCATTAAGACTTAACCTTTCTTTTTCCAGCGAATGCTGTACATTGTAAGCAAGATAGTCTCTCATTCTATTCCTTACAAAATTATCTTTCAATTGCCTGTAAAGTCCATTTTTCTGATAAGCGTGATTTCCTGTGATTTTAGCAGGCGCATTACTAAATGAAGAGTCGAGTTGATCCTAAAGTGGATTAGCTTGATATTGATGCTTCCCACTTACGACTGGAGTGTTTTTTGGATCTAACTGGAATTTCGACATCTCTTTTGCTGTTAATGAAGGTACGCCCATGGAAGTCATGTTATTTCCCAATAAAGCATTAATAGCAGTGTTATTTATAGTTGTATCGTTTCCTCTGGAAGTTTGATTCCTCCATTGCTCAAAGCAATCCCAAAGTCGCTTCTGTTGCTCTAATAAAGCATTAAGCATAAGCTTGCTTTCCTTGGATGTGCCAGAGTCATCCGGTTTATTCGCAGCTAGCTGTTCTTTGGAGTCTGAACTTCCTCTTTTGAATCGTTTACTCGAGTTTTCGTCTCCACTTATCCTATCTGAAGCATTGATGTGCTTTCGATTTGGCGTCAAATGCTCATTGTCGAGTACAGTACCAAGTCCTGGGATATTCTGAAAATCCTCAGACCAAGGCCATTTCTTAAAAGACATCTCATAAAATTCTAATCCTTGAATAAGACAAATGAATTGATTAGCTTATTTGCATTCAAATGGGAGTTGTGCTAAAGGCTTGTTAGTTTGTTTACATACTGCCCAACATAAACAATACCTTTAACAAATTTTAACGAGAGCGCTTAAAAGTTACTTAATATTATAGGCGTTAGTATTATCTGTCATAGTAGAAATCTTACACCGTATAATAATGTATTTTTAATGGAATAAACAATTCTAGCTGCCTCTAGGTTGAAATTGGCTGTACTATGTGTATAGATGCTAGTAATGTCCAGGAATTTATCTGGTGAACTAAATAGAATGCAAGAGAAACGATCTCATTTAGCCATACCAGTTGTATCTCCAGCCTATAAAGGCTTTGACTGTAGATTAACGAATGTATATATCCTTGTTTTTCAAATCAATTAATCGACTTGTCAATTGATAATTCATTGCATACGTGCTTTCGTTTTTTATTGTTTATATACATCATGTTAGGCCACAATTCCTTATGCTGTAGCAATCATACTAATGCAATTGACATACGGAATATTTTTGAGGTGACAGTTCTGTGCAGTAATAAATATACAAGGCTCCATTCCTATCGTTACAGTTATAAGCGGTTTAATTAAATCAATCCATCCAAGTATTTTAATCCTTATTTTTTTTAAGCATCTATGGCTTATATATATATTACCGAAAATGAATGAGAATAGATATTACAATATAAAAAAACATTAATCAAAACACATCACAACCAAAATAAAAAGAACGAGAATTAAGGACAGACATAATCCAACCAAGAAGGATGCATATTTCCCAGCCAGCTACCCTCAATATCCATTCCTTGATCGGCATTGGCCCAGCTTAACAATGAAGAGTCATTGGCGAGATCAGGCGTAGTTTTGTTCGCATCCCATGCAGCCCCAACTTTTTGAATATATTCATCCAAGTCATTAGCATCCAATGAAAAAGAATTATCATCGGGAAGAGAAAACCAACTCATGTCTGAGGGCATGGGAGTCGGCCCAGGGGTCAAAGACGCACTGGAACGACCTGTTGATACACTGGGTGTATAATTACCAACAAAATTCGCTTGGTTGGCTTTATTGTTTTTAGAAGCAACTTCGGCTATCCAGCGTTGCCAAGCCATAAATCCTGATTGACTAGAATTATTATTTCCTGCTGAGCGTATGCCTTTCAAGTGCGTGTCGAATAAACGTATAATTCTAGCACAATTCTTTGCTGGATCATTGCCCTCTGCCATGTAATCGAGAGCTGCGTATGCGTATTCCATAGCAATGTCGTCTTCTTGGCAAGGCTCAGTTACACAATGTAATAAAACAACGAGAGCACTCGAAAACGTATAATTATAATCAAAAAAGGAATAGCAAGATAGCTGAGAATGCTGTTGAAGTAAATGTACAAGAGAAATTAAATGTCGAGCTGCAAGAATGCAATCCTCGTTGATACGATTCACTCTGGGTGAGTTCTTTGCATTTTTCATTTTATGCAACAATACAGGACGAGACATAATAATTATTGCTTGATCATACGTCATGTGAAGATGAACGTTAGCACGGAATAAAGGGTCTTTTGGATCCAAATTTTCAAGGATCTGGAAAGAAGGTAAAGATTGCTTCCAATCGTTTAGATCGGCTCGTAAAGATTCAATAATAGTTATCGGATTCTTTTTGTAATTTACAGTTCCATATAGCTGTTCCATAGTCTTTCCCATGATTTGAGCAATTTTTGACATGGATATAATATTATGAACGTTTGAAGCCGAACCTTCAATTTCGAGCTCTGGGACAACAGTAGGTAAAGCAGCATCACATTCGCTATCCGCAATTGAAAGAGGCCTCCCAGTGGCAATGCTTATTAAACGGTCCATTGTATATACAGACCACCATAAACGATTGCGGAGTTCTTTTGTTTTAGGGTCGATATCGGGATTTTCACAACTACGATGTAAACCGTTGGCGACGGCAGCGGTAAGAGCAAGACCAAAATAAGTATAGGAGCTCTTTTGAGAAAGTGTTGACTGAAGGTATAAGCCCATTAATAAAGAAACCTGCACAAGGCTAGGTTTACATTGCAGGATAACTTGAGGAAGCAAAAGGCGAGCAGTATCAAAAAACTGTTTTCCAGGATTGTCGAGTAAGGTGCTTGCAGATTGGACCTCAAGGTGAGCGAATTGACTTCCCAAAGCAAAGATCATCATGACTAAACAAAGAAAACCAGGATCAACTGAAGGATTTTGATAATTCATAATGATATTCAGTCGGTAGCGTAAAAGTGTTTCATGATAGAAGAAGAAGTTTGCTTGAACATGGCGATAAAATGTTTTTATTAGGAAATCAGCAACTTCAGAGGGAGGTAAAAGATTTAGGCCTTGATTAACTGCACTTACATCATGCTCATTAGGAGAATAAACAGGGTGCGAATGTGAATAAGTGCTCAAGTCAGAAAAGGAGGGATCAGCGAGTATTTCGCTTTGAACAGAATCAACAAAAGCTTCACCAGCCGAAGCACCAATGTAACGAGACTCTCCGTTTTCTACTTTTATTTTTCCAATGAGTCTCATAATCTCGTCGACATTCTGATCGTTAGAATCACCGTTTGATGCAGTGTTGTCATATTCTTCTTGATAATGATTGGTGTTGTTATCATTCCGTTGTCGACTTTCTGGATACAAGATAGGTTCCGTATTGTATTGTAGGTTATTGATATCAGGCGTGGCGGCAGGGGGATGCAAAAAATCATAATGGATGGAGAAAGGAGATGTCGCAGTAACGTTTGAGAAAATTTCATTTGGAAGGACCGGATCTGGTCGTTTACTAAGAGAAGTGGACAAATCCACTAATGAGTCCGTTGAATACTGGGAGATCTTTGTGCCACAAAGCCGCTCTATTATGTATTCAAGACACTGATACCTCTTCGAAAGGTTCATAAAATATTCTCGTTTCATTTCGGCGCCTCTTTCCTCCCGCATTGGATATACACATTGCAAGTCGTTTAAAGCGCATGCTTTGCAAGGGTTGCCGCCTTCACAACGAATTTTTTTCGTTTTACAGTTTAAACAGGCTACTCCAATACGACGTCTTCGTTCATTCGGCACGCGCCGACGGCGATTATGTTCTTCATTTTTTATTGCCTCAAAGAATGCAGTTGTAGTTTTAGGTGAAAAGGCATTGTTCATTTTTCCTTTTAGAAATAGTATTCGTAATAACCTTTAGTTTACAAAAATCATACCAAACGTTATTAAATATGGTATTTTATACTGGGTTGAGGGAGAATGGATTGGTCTTGGTAGTGATTCACTACACCGGGCGTAGGTGTAGTACAGAATGTAGATAACAATAACAAAAATATCTAAAATATAAAATTCATTTGTTTGAAAAATTGAAAATTGAAAAATGTTGAATTCAAGCCATAGTCGTAGGGTGGAAAAAATGTATATGCGTCTTTGCATAGAAACTCAAGTAGGAAAAGTCTCACAAAGCAGGAATAAAAGACGAAGGATGTTGTTACACTTTTTCAAACATTCTTGCGATGGAAAAACAAAGCAAGTCGGGTTAAATTAGTGTTGAATGGATACGAGCTCATCTCACCTAAACAGCACGTCGCGTAACGATTTCTTCAGCAAAAATACAGCTTTGAAAGAACTGTTTTATTGGTTTAAATTAAAAGGTTCACGAATTTTGTACAATCAACTCTTCACGTAGTGATCTTGTCGCGTAGTCTCTTTTCTACCAAGTATCCTTTTTCATCGATTGCTTTGTTTTCCTATGAATGATATCTAGTCAACGTACGTGAACTGTGGAAAAAAGTTTGTGAACGCTTTTCTATTCATTTACGTTCTCTTCTTTAAAATAAAATGCTAATGTAAGATCAGACCGTCTAAGTACGCAACCAGCGATTCGCGCGTACGAAGCATTTTCCGCGCCCGGTTTTAGCTTTAATTCGAAGTTTCTAAATGAAGCATTTGGTGGCACCGGATTGAAGCGAGGATTTGTTTCTGAAATTTGCGGTGCTCCCGGAATGGGTAAGACGAGCCTTTCTTTAGCTCTCACAGCAAATGCACTGCTTTCAGGAACCAGAGTCCTTTGGATAGAAACGTGTCATCCGATCCCTCTATCTAGGTTAAGGGCTTTGTTACAAAGTCAAGTCCCATCATCTCAGGAGGAAGATAATTTAAGTAGCACGTTGGACGAATACTTGCAGCTCTTAGATGTTTATTATGCGCCTTATTTGGCAAATTTACTGGTATATTTGAAAAGTTTTGACGATGATTCGAATCTGGATGATGTCGGTTTAATCATTATTGATAACTTGTCTATGCCAATTCAATTGGCCTTTCCTACGTGTCCAGATGACTATGCATATTTGAGGCAACGCCGAAACACCAGCTCACGTAAAACCTCGATGGATTCCTTAGGAAAAGAAAATATGAATTCCGGCATCGAAAAAGAAGTTGCTTCCAAAGAGCTGGATGAGCCTTTTCCCAATTCTCAAACGAATCTAAACAAACGAAAACGTGTTGTTGGAGAAATCAGTTCTATTTTGAGTAGAATTGCAGCTACATATCAAATAGCTATACTTGTTACTACTCAAATGACCTCGAAAGTGGTGACTGGAATGGGTGCAAAGCTTATCCCGTTTCTTAGCAACAATTGGCTTGACAAGGTCTCTTCGCGCTTAGTTTTGTATTGCCGGCATCCTACGGAAAATGATAAGTTCGTTGACAATTCTGAATCGAATCTCAGTTATCAATCACTACGTTACGCTTACATGGCAAAACAACTGCCAGGCATCTCCATCGACTCTGAACTTGTATTTCAAGTTACAGAAAATGGGTTAATGGATTGTCGGAGCTTACCAATAAACAGCTCACAGCGCAGAAAACGTAGCTTGATGGAGACAGACTTATGATGATTAAATGTCTTCACAATGCGCAGTAATGTTAATCCAGCCTTTACGCTGTTATAATATTTTAAAATGTTATATTATATTAAATTCTGACTCATGATATGTTTTGATCTTGACAAAACCTGTCGAAATGTTCTAATCATTGTTTACACAGCTCTGATTTCATCATCTTGTAATATCTTTATACAGGAAAAATCACGGATTGTCATGTTTATGAAATAATGAATAAAGGATTTGTAACTAGAAGCTGGAAGATAATGAATTAAGGCGAATTATTAGTTCTCATTGCCAGTGATTAAAGCACGAACTGACTCACCGAAAGATGACAGCACATTTTCGAAATTAATTAAGTGTTGAAATTATGACGTCTGGGAAGCCTTTAAGTAATTAAAAGATCCCAAGGATCACCCAAAAGCCAACCGGCCATCGTCTATTTTCATCTTCTTTTCAAAAGAACGCGGTTGTTGACTATAAAAGAAGTCAGTGTTTCACTAGAACGAAGTGAACTTTATTTAACTTTCAACATTGCAAGTGAGCATTTCATTTGAATCGGTTAGCGCTTAAGTGATCAATCATTTTTAAGATGAACTCCTCTCGCTCTTACTCGATTCATACTCTTCGAGCTCCACCTACGTCTCATCGCCGTCAGGAAGTTCCCCGCTCCACGACGAAGAGAAATTTCAAAATCCCACGCATGGGTACACAAGTACGCACCAATCATGTAGGAATGTTTACTCCTGAAATGGCTAAGCGTCTTGCTGCTCTCGTTAAGATGGAGAAAGGCATGCTTAGGACTTACGAGGTCCTTGCTGATGAGCGCAAAGCTTGTGCCAACCAATTGTCCTATTGGGGTGAGGACTGTGATGATGATATTAGCGATATAAGTGATAAGATCGGTGTTCTCCTTTACCAAATTGGCGAACAAGAAGATCATATGATTGACAAGCACGATCAATATCGTGTTTCTTTGAAGACTATTCGTAATATTGAAGCGAATGTTCAACCTGCGCGTCAGAGGAAAGAAAAGCTTCTGAATGCTATCTATGAGATGAGACAACGCGAACCCGACTCTCCCAAACTCATTTCAATGGAACAAGAATTGGTTCGTGAAGAGGCTGCTTGCTTGGTTGCCGATGCTCAGCTTACAAACATCACTCGCGAAAACTTTAAGCTTGCTATGAACATCAACATTAGTACTCTTCTTGAACATTCCGAAAAGATTGCTGTTCTATGTGGCTATGCTAAGAAGATACTTGACCTCCTTGATGACACCCCAATTACGCCTGGTGAACCTCGTCCTATATATGATGGATACGACATCACCAAAGATTATGTTTTAGAAGCTGAGAAAGAGGTTTCTAACTGGCAGTCTCCTTTTGTTCCTTCTGAACCTTTGACCGACATTGATGGACTTCCAATCCAGAGCCATTACCAGCCAGAATACCAAAGAAACTACACTCGATACAACGAAGGTGCAGATCGTGGAAATCGTCAGCAGAACAATGAACCTGGTTATGTGACTGGTACAACTCATACTTACACTGGAAGAAGCTATGAGCGTCCACAGGGTGAAGAATTTCAGCCTAATGTTCTTCAAGACACCCAATATGTTGATAACTTCGAAGTAGGCGAAGAGGACGATCTTGATGTTGAATCCCAACCTGGACATGAGCAAGGTTCTTATCCTCCTCAGTCTCATGCCGTCGCAGCGTAAACTGAAGCTAGACGTCATGATGGCATTGAAACAGCTTTTAGCGTTTTACGATTCTAACGCTCTGTATTGGTTAAGTTATATATCTTTGGTTAAGTCATTGCATCCTTTTTTATCGTCTATCTATTTCATTGGATTTTACAGTTTTAATAACGTGTTCACATTAATTCTCCAATTTAACTTGCGTTTCTTTCTTTAGTTATTCATTGGTATCGATGATCCAGGAATTTTTTTTTGTTTTTTCTTCTTAATAATGATAAATAGTAATAATAACTCAAATGTTGGAAGTGTATATATACATTATGAACGGTTTATTGAATTTTTTAGTTACCAACCTTAGTGAATTAGATGCTGTTTTTGTGAATAATATAGCTAATAAAAATAAGGTATGATTCGTGTATTCATAATGAAACCAATTGACCTTAGTAACATACTGAAGTTGTTTTTTTTTTATTTCTTTTTTCATTACCCTCTATTCTTTTAACTTTCAAATTATTAGTAAACAAACTGCTGGCTGTCCAAATAAGAATGGTAACTTCAGAAACACTAGATATTCAAACAAGAAGAAATACTAAAGATTATTCTTATAGGTCATGAATAGTTATGCTTTGTTTACATCGATGTTTATACAAAAGCGCGATATTATTTACTTGATACTTATTAAAGTTACATTGTCACTTACTTCATGATTTAGTCTCTTCATCTCTTCAAAAAAATCGTTTGATGAGTTGTTCCTATATAAGTATTGGTTATTCATTTCATTTTTTAAGGAAACGAAAATAGTAAGTATAATTATAGGAGCTTCTCATTTGAGCACAGAGTTTTCTGCTAGCTGAGCTAGAGAAAATCATGAATCAGGATGTACGAATTCTCCCAGAAGCGATATATATTAGTTCTTTGAAAAAAGCCCAATGCCTTCGCATTGACAGATCAAGTGGCGCTCTCGATTTAAGTCAATTAGAGGAATTGCTTGAAATACCCCCTCAGCTTAGCAATATTCAACTGTACGGAATCATTCGCCTCAAGTTGTTTAAATACATTATCTTAATTACTAAATGTGAACATAATAACACTTTCTTGGGGAACAATGTATTCCGTGCAAAAAGTTTTGCTATTCTTCCGATTACTAAAACTATCTCAGCTCCTTTAGAACCTCAAACAGTGCAGGACGAAGAAGAACGGTATTATTTGTATCTCTTGAAGCGACATCTTTACCATGGGCAAATTCTGTTTAGTCCTTCAATGGATCTCACAAATTCTTTACAGCGTTCTCGTAACGTTTCTTCAGGTTGTAACAGAAAGCTGAAACCGAACTTTCGCTTTTTCTGGAATAAGTACACCAATGAAGAGCTACTATCTTTGGCAATGAATAATACCCAGTTTTTAGAGTATATCCAGCCTGTGATCCAAGGAAATATATCTTCTACCAATTTGTTTGTTAAGACGCATCATGTTCAACTCCATATCATAACTCGACATGCAACAGATCATTCAGGAACTAGATACTTTTCTAGAGGAGTTGATCAGAATGGAAAAGTTGCAAACTTTAATGAGACAGAGCAGGTTTTATTGATCGATTCTACCCTAGTGCCGGACGAACGGATTCTTCTTTCGTATACTCAGATCAGAGGCAGTATACCGATGTTTTGGGCTGAAATTAATGATTTAAGATACTTACCTCGGCTGGTGGTTCAACCTACTACATATAGTGAAGCAGCCTTTGAACGGCATTTCCAAGATTTAGCCTCCGATTATCAAAGTGAGATTCTTGTTGTCAGTTTATTAGATCATAAAGGTCGTGAAGCGATGCTACAAAAGAACTTTAAAAAGATTTGTACGGAATCTCCAAAGCCAGTAAAATACTATGAGTTTGATTATCATTCTCAAGGAAGCAAAGACATTCCTTTATTACTTGCTAGTTTGAAAAGTGCCTTATCACAAGGGAGCTTTTATTCTGAGTACGGTTCTCGAGTTGTTTCTCAGCAGCAAAAAATAATACGCGCAAATTGTATGGATTGCTTGGATCGTACAAATGTCGTGCAAACAGAAGTATCCCTCTTAATTTTAAATTTGCAATTGCAGACAGTAGGAATCCTTTCGTATTCTGAGACGATTGAAGATTTTCAGGAATTTGTTCAAGGGTTTCGAAATGTTTGGGCTAGCACAGGTGACTACATCAGCCATTTGTACACGGGTACACCTGCATTGAAAGGAGATGTAACTCGTAATGGGAAAAGAACGACTAAGGGAATGTATAAGGATTTTACCAACTGTTTAAAGCGATATGTATATAATAATTTCTGCGATGGTGTTCTTCAAGACAGCTTTGACTTGGGTCTTGGTGCTTTTCGCCCAATTACTTCTTTTTCTTCCTCTATAATGTTTCATCGAACTTCGTGGGCCCATTACATTCCACCCACTTATTCAGTCGTATCCATCATATGGTTGATAATGCAAGGACTCATGGGTACAGGTTCTTTGCTATTTCAATTGTCATTGGGCATACCAGCTCTTTTTTCTTTTCTTTATGTAATACTACATAGAAAAAGCTATATAAATTGGCCTCGGTTGTTGCCTCCAAAATACGCTAGTACAGGATGGTTCTCAATTCGTCACTTGTTGAGATCCTGGTCTACAAAAGTTTTTCGTTTTCTTCGTTTTGGTTCTTTCAAGAAAAAGGTATAGGCTAATGGTATAGTTATTCTCAACTAGTCTAGATAACCCGAAAAAACTTGCGCGTATTTCCAAGATCACGTGGACCTAAGGTACCCTCCCATTAACATATATCTTCGCTTTTTGATCTTAGATTGCATTGATTAACATTCTCATGAACATGACTAATGAATGAAACTACAAATTCACATCCGTTTCTTCTATGATATGAACTTTCTGGTACTCCCCGTTAAGTATAACCAAATAAGCTTTTGGTTTTTTGACACCGCATAAAAATAATAAAATACAGTAAATAGAATTTTATGATGAAGTGTTACATAAATCATACATATTTTTAGTAACCATTGGCAGAGCATGCCAATTTAGCTGTTGTATCCATTATGATTCTATTATACATCTTCAGTACTGTTAAACTATGATATAACGGAATCCTGAATTATCTCAAACAGAAATATGAAAGAAATAACTTTGCTAATGACTGTTTATTAGAGAGGACTTGACAACCTCATTTCTTATTTGTAGGTAACACGATACCTGTTTATAACCGTCATTGGGTTGTGCAATTTAGGTTTGTGTCATTAGAAGCAAACACAGTATTTGAGGAATTTGTTTACGTGTTCCTACCATCGTACCTTGTCTTTTGCATATATCAAGCAATTTGGGAAAATTGAAAACATTGGGTCAATTTCGGTGTTTTCTTTCTTATTTTCGCCTTAGGAAAATATAGGGACAGGATTGCTTGTATTTTGGACCAGAAAGTATAAGCACCCGAGAGGCTCAGTCGACATTTGATAAAGATAGAATTCAGGACATCTATGGTGTCGACACTGTAGGCTCTATACTAGAGAGTTCATGAAGGGAGTATCCTCCTCATTTCTGTTATTGAGAGTTGGAAACCTAAAGAACCGTTAACTGCGTGAATTAAGTTGTTTAATTGAGTTTGGGGTAATTATAATTAAATCATGGAAAATATTGAAGGATATATAGGACTGTGTGTTTGCTTCCTGGGCTTACCGGCTTCAGGTAAAACATTTTCTGCTGGCAAGCTTTCACGCTATTTGAGTTGGATGTCTGTGAAGACGGAGGTTTACAGTTCAGAAAAGTATCTAGAAACTGAGTACGGGAGCTCGGAAATAATCCCTCCTAGGTATTCGATGACAAAGGTGAACTTGATTTTCAATGACTTGGAAGCATTTTACAAGGAGGGCGGACATGTAACAATTCTGGATTTTAATGAATGCAATCTGGAGCTTCGCCAGAACATTGTCAAAGCTGCCGAAAAGCGAAGTATATTGATTATGTTTGTTGAGATAGTATGCACAGACCAGAAATTTATAGAGGAGAATATTACCGATATTTGCAAGAACTCTCCTTCCTATAAACATTTGCCTCTCGAAAATGCCAAGGACAAACTCCGGGAAGTAATCAAATGCTATCAAAAAGATTATACTCCTCTGTCCGAAGCAGAAGACTGTACATTTGTCAGAATCATCGACTTTTGCAATGAAGTTAACATTCATAATATAAAGAATTACTGGCAGTCAAGGATTGTCTATTATTTATCTAACCTTCGTACCCAACGACGAAGCATCTGGTTGAGTAGACACGGCGAAAGCGAATTCAATGTTCAAGGTCGGATTGGAGGCAACTCAGGACTAAGCTCCCAGGGCGAAAAGTACGCTTCTTTACTTCCTGAGTACGTTTCAAAGTTTGTGGTCGGGTCGAAGGGTTTAACCGTATGGACATCCTCAATGAAGCGTACAATTCAAACTGCCAGTCATCTGGACTATCAAAAGCTGGAGTGGAAGGCTTTGGATGAGCTAGATGCAGGTATTTTTGATGGCTTCACCTATGACTATATTGAAGAAAAGTATCCCGATGAAGCTCGAAAGCGAAGCTATGATAAATTTCACTATCGCTATCGTGGTGGAGAGTCTTATATGGATGTTGTACGAAGGTTAGAACCGATAATTATGGAATTAGAGCGACAAGGAGACGTCTTCATCATCTGTCATCAAGCTATCCTTCGTTGCATTTATGGTTACTATCACAATTTTTCTCTAGAAGAATTACCTTTTTTGAACGTTCCTTTACACACGATCTTGAAACTTACACCTACTACGTTTGAGACCTTAGAAGAGAGATTAACAATACCAGTCTCCGCTGTTTCCACGCAACGTGGAAAGCATTAGACTCATCATTCTATTTTTATACTTTTTGCAATCCATCATTGCTAAAATTCGTTTACTTTTCTATTGTACAAGACCGGTATGCTAAGTAACAAATACTCCATTCAAGTAAATCAGCGTTATGAAGTCTTGTATGTTAATGATACGGTCAGCCCCAATAATGAGAGGTGAATTTGTAATTCAAATATCCTTTGGAAATCAATGAATTTTGAAATCATAACTTGAAGAAGAGCAGCTAGATTTTTTAATCAACATTATACATTAATAATCTATACATTATTTAAGTGAGTCAAGAATGTTGGGAAAAATAAAATTAAACGGGTGACTTGAATAAACCAAATGAACATGAATTTTTGATAGAATCATTTAAGGGAAAGGTCAGAACCTTTAATAGCAGACGTTGGAGACCTTCGTTTGCAGAATTAAGCCGACAATAAGGCCATAAAGCCCTAAAACCTCTGCGAAAATTAAAATTAAAACCATGCTAACAAAGATTCGGTCTTGTCTCATAAAACTTTGCACACCCTTGTCGCCGACAATACCGATGGCATAGCCCGCAGCGACTCCAGTGAGACCGACGGCCAATCCGGCAGAAAGGTGAACAAATCCACTTAAAAATGTTAGAAATCGGTTATGAAGCAACATGCATAGTCAACAATACTTGGATTACAGATATATAAGTGCATGAATTTTTCAAATGTGCACATTCTCTTCCATTGTACTTACCTAAACAGAGAGTATTCACTGTCGGGAGACATATCACCAGCAATTAAGACAGACATCACTAAACCATAAACCTACCAAGAGGATCATTAGAATATATCAATCGTGATTGAAACAGTTTCACATACACCGATAATACCGCTCATTACGACTGGAATCAAAGACTACAAACATCCAAACAGTTAGCATACTAATCATCGTTCGACTATGAAAGTCCTCACCTTCATAACAATTTCAGGTCGAAAAGCTCCTACAGCTGCAATTCCTCTACCGGCTAAAGCCGTGCCGTAGCCTGCCCCCAGGCAAGAAAAAACCATTGACGCACAAACACCTAGCAATGAGTGCAATTCCAAAAATCCGTACCTGCAAAGCCAAAAAAAGAAGAGTATATAGGGCTAATGTTAGAGACAGTATCAAACATTTTCTTACCATAATTCGCTAGCCATTTTTATCTAATGTAACTTTTGTTATGAATGTAGTTACCAGGACTTACAGAAGATGCCAAAGCACTAGTTCAGTTTAGCGGACTCTGGCACTACTCGTTATTTCAAATAAGGGTTACATAATTATTACCTTAGTAAACAGTAGCACAAACAAATTGATTTTACAATATAAATGGATGGAAAGCTGTTAGCTGTATTACACTACGATAACGGTCTCTTTACAAAGTATTGCTGGGCTCTTTACAGCATCACGAATGTAATCATTATGGAGGAGAATAATCTCCTACGATTCTAATCTAGTTAGGACATCATTAGGCAAAAAACAATAAATAAAGAAAAAATCAAAACGAATGATAAAAGAGTAAAAGGAAACAAACCGCAATCCATAGAAACAAAAAGTTTTAGCTTGCTTTAATCTGAAGAAGAAAGGCCGTCATAGTACGAAAAACAAGAGCTGGCTGATAGAATATTAGCGGGAAAAAAGAACAGTAAATACCTTTTTACACTATTTTAGGAGGCACATTAACGACATGTTTCATAAAAAAGTTGTAAATATAATGTCCATGGTAGAGCAATCGCTCATAGTCTGCACGCAAAAATCTGTAGCAAGAAAGACACTCATATCTTTGAAGCAAAGTTGTAAAGTCATCCATCCTCATTATACACAACATGTCGGTAACAATATAGTATTTCTTGATTTTACGTAGCAATTGGTACAAAGCTTGGATTTCAGATTTATCCAAAAATGGAATCCGCTCCACGTCTCTGTGTCGCATATTCCGAAGAACGCGTAACTCAGCCGCTACCATAAAAGAAGTCTCTGGCAAGGGTTCGTATATGTCAAAGTTGATGTTATCAGGTTTTTGACTGTTCATGGCCGCATGTTCGTTAGCAAAGAATAGTTCGCTGCATGATAACTTAAGCCAGTAAGGAAATAAAACACTGTTCTCGTCTACCATTGGTAAGCATGAAAGATATAAGTCTCTTCTCCACTGTTCCTGCTTATGGTATTGCATCGGTGTCAAAGTTTTCCCCGATTTGCTATAGTTCAGAAACAGCCGGTCGGGGTAAAACGTTCTTAATAATTCGTATTCAAATTTTGTTACACTTGTCGTCGGTTCTAAGATTCGAAGAGAGATGATTCGCTTTAGCAAATTTTGTTCTTTCCATTCATCCGCAGAATAGAAGAACGACTTTTTTAATACCTCCGTCTGGTGCTCAGCAGCTCGCGAATGCGTACCACACATTTCATATATATATTCCGCGGAATGACTCGGTGCGAGTTCATTGTGAAACTGCTCTAAGGACTTTTCGTGCTCTTCGATTTCTTCCTCGGACGGTGATGGAACAGGTTCAAGTCCTAAATGAAGAAGTATGTTGTTGCGTGTATTAGCATAATCAAGAACAGCACCATAAAATACTCGTCCTAATCCATCGGAAACGACTTCATATATAGATCCATTCCTCTTCAAGGACTTCGTCATAAAAATTCTATGGTTTGCGTACTTACTATAGTAGACGGAACGCTTTTCTAGGCGTTCACCACGCCTTGGTAAAGCAGCATAGTGATCTCCCACCATATGTTTATTGCGAAATGCTTGTTCAAACACGCTGTCGGGAGAAAATCGAAAGTCTTCTCTCTTTTTGGCGCATAAATCATGAAATTGGCTTAAGTAAAACTGCACCTCGTCTTCTCCATTAAGGAAGCTAGGCTCATCGAGGGAAATTAGTTCCGCAATAGTAATTAGCTCATGAGCTTCAAACAAATCTCTTGTTGGTTTGTTTGCTAAAATATTATAAAAAACCGGCTGATGAACCACTTTTGGTGACTTCTTCTCAACATGTGTAACTTTGTATCGGGCTGATTTAGCTACTTCGTCCAAGTACTTAAAACAAATTTTCGGCGTGACAAGCGATGTTATTTTTAAGTTAACGTACCACCAATCGTCCAGTTCATCTTGAGGCAAAATATCCAGAATGGATACAGCTTTCAGACCTGACTCTTGCTTATAAGCAGCGTGATACAGAGCTGCATACAAGAAGTCATAATCTCCCTTCGGAATATACTTCCTAATTAAAATTTGATTCCTTATGTCTCGATCGGACTTTGCTTCGGCGGTTGAAATAGAAGCCGCAACCGCCATGCTTTGGAAAGACTCTTTAAACAGCTGAGGAATGTTAACTTGTTTCGTATAATCAGATTTTGTGCGGCGATCAGCTCCTTGAATCATGCTAAACATAAAAGAATTAGAAATACATCTTCGATCATATTGGTTTAGCTTCCGCTCGATCTCAGGATCTCCAAATTTTCCTAACCATAAGAAGTTATGAGGCATGCTCCTCAAAGACTCTAGTTTCTCTAAAGATTTTTCACCCTTCACTATCATCGTTTCATAATATCTAAGACGCCATTCTATATAGAGAGCAATTACGGTCCTCGCATTATGAAACTGCAACGCAGTAAAAAAATCAATAGGCTCGACTTCTGTGCAATTTTTTTTGATATTCTGAAGGCGCGCTTTGTTGACTCGATATTCATTCGGCTTACATCTGCGAGATTGGTGATGTCCCAGAAAAGGAGGGAAACAAGAGGAAGTTTTTATTTTAGAGTAATTAGCGCGTGAATTTGCATCCTCCAATTGGGTTTTTAAGGGAATTCCGAATTCGTCAAAACAATCTGAATAGTCACTGAGATTGTCGACAACACTTGAAGGATCGGTATCATCTAATAGACTGTATATCTTTGTTTTATCAGAGAGCGCCTTCCTATGTTCGGTATCCACTTCTTTATTAAAAGGTCCCGCAGAACTTGCAGATAACAGAGAGTCACTTGTTGACAACGGACTCATATCATCTGTGAAAGGGCTAGGGGAATTCTCATCTGGGAGTTTTCCTGCCGTTTGGAGGTTAGTAATAAGAAAAGCATCTTCATTGTCATCTGCATAAGAATAACTTGAGTTGAAACCAGCTGATATAGGGAACGGTTTATCAATGTCCTCCATTTCAACTTGAAACTTTGAGGGGTCTTTCATAGAAGGATGGTAACATTTCCATTCCATGTTCAGATTGTTCAGATTTTGATGCGTAAGCTTATTGGGTGCGGATTTACATGAAGCCTTCTTTTCGTCGATATCATTTCTGTGCTGCTCGTCTGAGCAATAAGCACGGCTTGGCTTTGCTAACAAAGGGATTGCAGGACGAGGAAGTTTTTGATTTGGCTTAATTCTAAACCTTGAAAGGTCATTCTCTGATGGACAAGAAGAAGAGCCTGAATCCAAAACGGTTGAAAGTTTTGAGTCAACAGTAGGGTAACGTGTATTAAAGGGAGTGGACGGTCTTTTCCATTTTTCAATATCGTTATATTTTAGATTTTCAGATGAAATTTTTGGTAGAGCTTCGATTGCTTTATTTTTACTCAATTCTCCTCTTTCCATGCGATTAGCAGTACGGTCTTTTTCGGTTGGGAAGCAGCAAAACACTTTCATGAAAAAACAAAAAATCTTTTGAAAGATGTTGAAGAATCCCATGATGGATGCAATTGAGGGAAGACTAATGCAATATAACCAGGGTAAACAAACAACAACAAAGGTAAAGATGGAGCAAATAAATAAAACAGGCAAAATATAGATATATCTTCCAAATGGTTTTTAAGGATACAAAATGGAATTTCCCAGTGCAGGAAATAAGGATTTGAAGAAAAAGGGCACAGGGCGGCGTAAACAATAATAATACAAATTGAGTATGAAACTCAAGGTTATCGAATTAACAAGAAATCGAATCAATGAATTTCTACAGCCGTTGATAAATATATAAGTGAATAGTAATGCTTTTGATGAAGTAAAAGCCGCGAGCGATCAATCAATTATAAAAATGCTTTAGGTATAAAATGCTTGAGCGAAAAAAATAATGGAATAATATAGGAAAAAGGTTTGTATCGTTGAGGATAACAAGCCATTTATAATCTAAGCAAACAAGCTTTTTTGTCAACAAACAAACATCTGCCAAGTGTAAACAACCAAGTAGCTCTGGTTTATAGGACTAGGACGGCTTGTAGTCTATAACCGACTTTTTTAACTTTATTAATTGTTCATTAATTCAATAGTATAGATTTCTCTTTTCGACAGCTTAATAGAAGTGAATTAGTTTATTTACAATAAAGCAAATATTTCGCAGATATGACATATTCATGCAAATTCCGTTACTTGAGTACCTTATAAAATCAATCCTAATTCATTCCCATGTAATGTTCTATAAGATAGTTCATTTTAATATTTATGAGTATTGTCCTTGGATGAAAAGTTTTACCAGCGACGTCCACATCAGATAGGAAGATCTTGGAGAATGTTTATACTAAGTTTGTGATTGGGGATGTACATCGGTAAGATTTAAGCTTATAATTTCGCTAGCGCTATATACGTAACTGATCCAGCCAAATACATACAACCAAAACAAACGTCTAATGAAAAATAAACACTAATAACCCAAACACTTCCTTTTTAAATATTACTACATTCTGTAAATCATTAGATACTAGATTGAATGATCTTAAACGTATTATATGTCTAAACATATACAACCAATGTCGTCTACCTACTTTCCGAAAGGAAGCAAAGTTGGGTTTTCATTTTTGATATTTGGCCTCTTAAACAATCTTCTATATGTGGTTATTTTGTCTGCTGCACTTGATTTAGTAGGTGCTAACATATCCAAAGGTGTTGTTTTGCTTTCTAATATCGTACCTTCACTTTCTTGCAAGCTTTTCGCTCCAATATTGCAAGTTCACAAATACTCAGCTTCCAAGAGACTACTGTTTTGTGCTTTCCTATCTTTTTTTGGAATGCAATGGATTACCTGGTCATCCTCCGTCTCATCTAGGATGCTCGGCGTAGCGTTAGCAGCCGTTTCTTCAAGTTTTGGAGAGATTACTTTTCTTCAGCTTTCTAGCAGATATCAATCGACCGCCTTAACCTGCTGGAGCTCAGGTACTGGCTTGGCTGGCTTGTTTGGTGCATCCTTCTACCTTGTGTTCACAACATGGTTTAACTTTACTGTGCGTACGACACTCTTAATTTCCAGTTTTCTTCCTTTATTTTTAATTTTTAATTACTTCTTTATCTTACCAACGGCTGAATATCAGCATATCTCTGTTTCTCACCAAGTTCCGTTTGATGCTATTCACCGGGGAGAAACTAGTTCTCCCACAAACGTTCTTTCTTCTATGAGAGTATTTTTTTACCTTGCCAAACCCTTTTTCTTATCTCATATGCTACCACTGTTTTTGGTCTACCTTTCTGAATATACAATCAACGTGGGAGTAGCACCTACTCTACTGTTTTCCCAAGAAGATTCGGGCTTGAGCTCATTTCGAGATTTCTATCCTACCTATCAAACTATGTATCAGCTCGGGGTTTTCATATCACGCTCTTCCATAGGTTGGGTCAAGGTTCCTTACGTTTTAGAGCTTGCTATAATCCAATTTGGCATTTTGGGTTTTACAATCCTCCAGTCTCTCTTTTATTTCATTCATAGCTACCATTTTTTGTTGTTAATCATCTTTATGGAAGGACTTATTGGTGGAACTGTTTATGTCAATGTCTATCACACTTTGCAAAACCTTGGTCATGTCGACAGTGAAATGGCCATAAGCATTGTCAGTCCATCTGATAGCACTGGTATATTTGTCGCTTCTCTTCTTTCTTTAATCCTTGAACCCACTCTGTGCGGCTACCAAGTACGGCATGGCCGAGATTGGTGTAACCGTATTTAGACCTATTTCATTGAGCATCATACAACGTCAAGTATTTCGCTAATACGTATATAGCTAGTTTTTCGTTCAAGTTTTTCGGATTGTGACCACATATTAATATTTTTATTACCTTTTTTTTTGTGTAAAAAAAAAAAAAAACAATTTAAATAAGTTTATTCGTCAAAAGAAAGTAATCAGCGTCGTGAATCAGATATTCGTCTATCCTAGTAAGTGACGTTTGTTTGAAAATTCAACAAATCTATGGTAACTAAATGAGCTTTACGGACTCTCAATCTTAACATTGAATGTCAAACGTTGACATAATCTTACCAGTTCTTGGAAATCCCATATCCTCTCAGAGAAACTCAATAACAGCAATTTAATGGCAGAGAAGCAACTAATATCTCTGTTCGACGATGAATATTGTACTAAATATACTATTCTCATCGCGAGTACATTGGGCCGTATGAAAGAGTCCAGAGACTCTGCTTTTTACGAAAATGAACATCAATTGTCGGGTGAAGAAATAAAAGATTTAGAATTGTTCCATGAAAGGTTTGATGAGTGGGCTATAACGGTTGTAAAAAGAACAGGAAGTGCTTTAGACCCATCCACGCCTAAGGATGCGACGGAAGTCCGGAAATTCGACTATTTTAGCGAAGCAGAAAAGGGTGAATGTTTTGTAAAATGTTTGCTTCTTCTTTTAATCTCTTTAGGAGATTATTCATCCAATTCGCGCCAACTACTTTATCTTATTTCAAGAGACTTAAGTCAGCCTGAAGAAGTCCCCCACAAGGCAGAGTTTATCACGTCGTCTATGCTACTAGAAACTTTTGAAAAACTCGAATCAAACGAAAAAATGTATGAACTATCTCAAACCCAGCAACTCCGGAAGCGCATTACTATGGGATTAGCTGGCGTTGCCGGAGGGGCATTGATCGGTATTACAGGCGGACTGGCTGCACCTTTTGTAATCAGCGGATTAGGAGTACTATTCGCAGGACTAGGACTTGGTACAGTGATTGGGGCTTCTTATTTGGGGGCTGTGATTACATCTGCTCCTATGATTACCACACTTTTTGGAAGCTTTGGGGCAAAAATGAGTATTGATCAAGTTCATGCGGTTTCACGAGGGATTCAGGATTTTGAATTTCTTCCATTAAATGTTTCTTCTAACCTTTCCATGACAATTGGTGTGGCCGGATGGCTTGAAAGCGGTCAAGATGCTGCAGATGCATGGTATCCTTTAACCATTGGTGATAAATCATATTATTGGGGGGATTTGTATGCTTTAAAATTTGAAGTTCAAGCCTTGATTGATTTAGGGAAAGTTATATCTCGCATTTTATTTGCAACCGGGTTGGGTTGGGTCCAAGATGAAGTTATTAAACGAACCGTTTTGGCTCCTTTAGCTGCTGCTCTTTGGCCTTTAAGCCTTTTAAGAATCGGGAATATATTGGGTAATTCTTGGAGAGTGGCATTTAACCTTTCCATTAAAGCTGGTGAAGCTCTTGCCAACGCTCTGTGTATGAGAGCGCAAGGACAACGTCCAGTTACGTTGATCGGATTCTCTTTGGGATCAAGAACTATAATTGAATGTTTGCTTAAATTAGCTGATCGAGGCGAAATTGGCATCGTAGAGAATGTCATATTGATGGGAACCCCATCATCTACAGACCCAAAGCTTTGGAGGAGAATGCGATGTGTTGTTTCAGGAAGATTTGTAAATGTTTATTCTAAGTATGACTACGTCCTGCAACTGGCTTATAAACTGAACAGCATTCAAGCCCATGCTGCAGGCTTGGAGCCCATTGCTGTAAACGCATCATGCGTAGAAAACGTTGACGTTGGCGACTTGATTGAAGGACATCTTCAGTATCGTTGGCTTCTCCCAAAAATATTAAAGGAGCGACTTGGATATTCTCACATATCAGATAAAATGATTGTACAGCTTCAAATGAAAGAAAAAGACTTTGAACAGTCTCAGCGTGAACATTTCGATAAAACTACGGAAGAACAAGAAATTATATTTGATGCTTCAGATCATTCCAAATAAATCAATGAAGCTTGGTAACTCACAAAAGTATCAAAATATATTTATTGTTAAGCTTTTTGGTTATTTATTTTTGCAACTTGCTAGGATTCTATTTTCGAAATGTTCTTTTCTGCAATCTGGTTCATTCCAAACGTTATCAATGATTTTACATGTCTAATTTCTTTCCTATACTAATTACTTAATTCTACAAATCAAACCATTCTCCTTTTCAGTTAGTTTATGTTGATTCTCTTTAAAATAATATCGTAAATTGTTTCACCTGCTAGGAAGGAGTATCTGTCCTTTACAAAAATTTTCTCAACAGTTTCTATATTTGCTTTGGCGTATTCATCAGTTCCTATTCAATTTTTCAAATATCTTTTTTTTTGTAAATAATCTAAAGTGGTAATTGGAAGCGGTCAAGAAATATGAGTATCTTTGGAATAGTCGCCGTGTCAATAATATGTGCAATCGCCTTTTTATTCGTCTCATATGGAGCTCTTCGTCTAATAAATACGGCTAGAAGAAGAAGCATTATGAATAACGCTGATTCATCCTCTATGCGATCTTGGAAATTTTTGAAGAACCCCTTTGCTCGTTCTGGAAAGTTTGATGCTTTGGATGCCGATGATATGTGGGACAGTCGAGTTGAAGAAACAGAATTAAGTACCATTCCGTCAGCTGCTAACTATTTCGAGAATGCTACTGAAAGGTCTCCATTTGTTACTACAGAACTGAGCTCTCAGCGAGATTCTTCACCCGTTTCCCATGAAAAGAATTCAGAGAGCGAAGCTTTCACGTCTCCATTTCATCCACAGAATGCACCGTTCTCGCAGAACAAAGCCATTTAAAGTCTTACGTTTTCATTCTTGCGTCAAGTTACTTCAAGTCGCTGCATTGTTATTTATGTTTAATTAAGTTTTCCATACATATAGAAAAAAAAAACATTGCTGAAAAGCTCACCTTACGCATCTAGCTTTGGATGGAGATTGTTTATTAAAGCTGGCTTCCTATCATATTTCAATCATTTATCCCTACAATATACTTAAGCATTCCCTGGACATTCTTTTTGAAATTGTTTCAACATTTTTTATTTGTCTTAATTCTCTCCTTTTTCCTGCCCTTCATTGTTTTCGAATTTCGTTTGTTTTGCATATTATTGTTCGCAGATTTACCTACATTTACTACCCTCGAAAATCGAACTGGAATCTGAACAAAGCAGTTTTTCGTGTTTGACTGAATTTATGTTCCAAAATATCAGTTCTGACTACCTGTTTAATGATTTTTATTATACCAGCGTTCATTAATATACTGTTATTAATCATGAGAGCATTTTGTTTCACTTAGACAGTTACTTGTTCAAAATGTATACTTTTCATATTTTATAGTTTCATTAAAGTAGGATCCTTGTCGCTAATGTGCGATAGAGATCATTCCTATGTTGCTTAACTTCGGTATAAAATTCATTTCTCATTTCCTTTTCACCATCTTTCTTTTACTAGGAACAAATGAGTCAAATCATTTTAGATAATATTCGTAACGATGAGACTGTATACCATGTAAGGAAAATAATTTTTTGTTATACTATATAGAATCTTGCTTATCGTTTAAGGTCGTTCGCAATGCTAATCAACATTTTTATAACAGAGATTTGTCATTGTTCATGGTAGGGTTACCAAAATAAATTCTCACACTTCCCGAATCGTAACCGTGAAGCAGCACAATGATACATTCCCCGAACAAGCCTGGGTCGTCACTGGCTCTTACTTCAAAGCTCTTGTTCACGTCGTGCCAGGCGTAAATGACATCCGATTTCGAACAGACACTGGGTTTGAGCTCCCTTTACGCTTGAATTACCAAGTATTAAATGATAACCCTTTCTATCGGATTGGCCTTGTTGTAGGAAGAGATTCTGATTTAAGATTTGACGCTCCTTATGGTATGAAGAATGACCTTGACGAAGCGATCCGTAAATTGCGCTGCGCAGCTTATCTTTGGCAAGCCTTTACCGCAGAATGTATGTACAGAAATGGATTCGGTAGGCGTACATTTCGTCTGGAAGAAGAAATCCAACCTGACACAATGTCTTGTCAATCAAAATGGGGTACTGAAAGGTTAACTGCTTCAATCCATGTTTTGAGATCAGAGAAAACAGCTGAGGAAATTCGTTCTACTCCTCCTGATCAGCTTTTCCATGTCGCTGGGAACGCCGTTGATAACCTGAATCTCCCAGAGCCATGGCACTACGTCTGCATGCTGTTAGATACCCGCTATAATCCTTCTTCGAAAGAAGTCCGAGGTCATGTCGCGTTAGGAGGTGGTACTGATATGCACAAATTAGGAGTTTTTGGTTCACATTCTTTGCATTCTTTTCCTAGCGCAGTTGAATATGTGGTACCTGTTTTCAGTGATGCCCGAAGGGTTCCCGATTATTTAGCAAATGATGCCAATGAAAGCTCTACTGTTTGGGAGTGTGCTAATATTGGAATTGGAGCTATACTTCATGAACTTGGCCATACTTTAGGGTGCCCCCACCAACCTGACGGCATTATGCTACGTTCTTATCCAATCTTTAACCGTAGTTTTACAACGAGGGAGTTTGAATGTGTCCGAACAGGAAGTAAAGGCCTTGCTCCCGTACTTGCGAAGGATGAATGCTCCTGGCATTACTTGGATCTACTGAGATTCTATTATCATCCTTGTTTCCGACTTCCTTCTGACCACGTTTATCCTACAGATGTTGAAACAAGCTACTATGTACGTGACGAACAGATAGTTTTCACGAATAAGACTGGGATATTCCTTGCGGAAATCGAATATAATGGTCAGACTAAGGGGTGGAAGATTTTCAATCCTCCTACGGAAGAGGCTGGTTTTACTGACGCAGAAATACGATCCCTTTCAAATGCCAACCCTGGACAAGATTATCGTATTCGCATCCTATCTAGGAATAATAAAGCCATAGATTTAAGTGATATCCCTGGTATCATCAGGAATGCAAAAATGTCTACCAACTTTGGAAACGTATATCGCTCCGAAAGATTTGGTCTTCGTGGTTGCAATGGGAACGAATTGTCTGATCTGTTGTTTCAACCTGATAAGAAGATTACTAAAATACGCGTGCATTGTGGTCTTGCTTTAGACGGTATTGAAGCCTTTTTTGGCTCAGATTCTGCCCTTCTTGGAAACCGTGGGGGAAGTCCTCACGATTTCGATACAGAAGGTAGTCGCATTTCCGGGTTTCTTATTCGCAGTGGAGCCTGGGTAGATGGAATTAGTATTATTTTGGAAAACGGTAACACCAGCCCCTTTTTTGGTAATGCGAATGGCGGTGGTCAAAAACTATATAAAATTCCTGAAGGCTCCAGATTGGTTGGCTTTTACGGAACACTAGCGGTAAGATTGGATTTTACTTCATTTAATCAACAATGTACTAATACTTTATAGGGCTTTATGGATTCTGTTGGATTTTTCATTCAATAGATTTGACAGCTTTGGAGATCATTTATTTTCATATAGCTTATTTAGAATTTTTTGTAACTCTTTTCAGTCCTTTAAGAATTTTAGAGCTAAGAAAACCATCAGATTCATGTTAACTAGTTAACTTTCTATCAATGTCATGATTAGATCTTTTATTGTTCTTCCATTTTCATATGCATAAACGCAAAACATTAAACAAAAACTCCTTTGCCAGAAGCTTCAACGATATTACTCAATGAATGAATGTTTTGATTCCATTCGCGTAAGCGTGTTTCCATACTGGCAACCTGAGCGTGATTGAGGATTCTTGATTGAACAGAAGAGATATTTACGATTTGTGCAACTTGGTCAATCACGCCGGTGATTAGGCCAACGCTAAGAGCACGCATAATTAATAACTCAACTTCATGGGAAGGAATGCGAGTTGCTTTAGCAATTGTATGGAAAGTTAGCGTACGCTGATTAGGAGGTAACTGGAAAACAAGCTCAATCAAAGCCATAAGACGAACTTTTTGGCCAAGTAATCCCACAGAACTTTGTAAGAGAGGAATCTTGTTAATGTGTGCCATGAGACGCTCAAATTTAGCCAAGTCACCAACGTTCATAGCCACGACCAAATCATGTAGCCATTCATTGTGAGTACCCACCAAAACCTGGAAGACGGGGTGTAACAAAAGTTCACCAAAGTTATAAATGTCACCCAGGATAGCAGCGACACTAAGGTCAATAGCGCGCTCCTCTATTTCCATCCGAGACAGTTGTTCCAAATCAACACAGGATAGATAGAGAAGGCAATGACGATAGTATTGAGCATAATCCGCTTTAGCCTTGTAATAATCTGCACTGACGCTATAGTAAGAAGCATGAATGATATTTTCCACGTAATCAATTCGTTCAATGAGTTTATCAGACTTAATCAAAATATCTCTGGCTGCATCCAGATCGTTAAAGACAAGCTTGATTCTACCGATAGCTACCAAAGCATAAACGTAGGCATCTTTGAATTTTTCTTCATCAATACCTTCAATCAGCTGGGTTAAATTGCGAAATGCCTCCTCATTTGAACAAGATTCAAAGGCCTTTAAAGCAATGTAAACAGCTTTGAGCTGATTTATATTTGATCGAAACGCGCTAACAAAGTTTGTGTAAAGATCAAGTCGTAATGGAATAGTTTCGGGGGTCTCAAAAAACTGAATAAGTTTATCTGTTAATTGTTTCCATAATCTAAAAAAGTTAATTTTAGCCCGAGATATCAAGATTTGTGTTTTTCTATACACTTTTCATAAACAACATACTTTCGTTCATATAGATCTTCCATAGCAAAATAATATTCTTGAAATTGCTCAGGAGCCCTAGCTGCCTGATCCTGCAAGAAATTTGACATACTAACTGCCATTTCGGTATCCATTTTGTGAAAGGATGTTGTTGAGGTGGTAGTGGTTAAGGTAACTCTGAGGATTTAAAGGTCACCGTTTTGACACACCTGAACAACATTGAGTAGCTTGTTTTAGAATAACCCTTCAAAAGATAAGTATGATCTGAGTTGTTTTTATTTGCTTTCTAAAAACAGGGAAAACAACAATAATGTAGTAATAATTGGAATTTCAAATTGTCTATTTTCATATGTTATGATGTACAAGAAATGTAAAACTATAGCTTGTAACAGCTTTTAAACATTACTCATAAGACTATACTATAAAGATATTTATCTGAAAGCGCTGATCAAAAATTTACTCTGTAAACAAAAGAAAAAACAACCCATAGTCACCGTCTCAGTATGGATCTATACAAGAAGACAGGGGGGGTTTTGCAAAACGAAGCATAATTATAGCTATCATTGAGCCTTTAGCTTTTGTTTACTTTAAGAAAGCTTTTGAAAACATTTTCTCAAGCTCCGAACTCCAAATAGTGTATTTTCGTCTGCACCGCCAAGCGTCCAAGTGGAATGTGCCAAGTCGATCAGTTTCATGTTATACAATGAGCTCCCATTTTTTCCTGGTTCGTGCATACGATCCTCCATACCCTCTAGATCGTATGCCAACAAGAGACTAGATGACCGAAACTCCATAGGAAGGGATGAAATGTCTTTCTCGAAATCCGCAAGTAAAGTGGAAAACCTTTCCACCAAAAAATTCTTAAGATGGTTTGAACAAGGGGAAAAAAAAACTGCGAGCCCTTGTAAGATCGTATCCTTCCCAAGAGTTTTCCCCCATGCTGTAGAATACGTTGCATAAGACTGGGACTTTTTATCCCACACTAAGATTCCGGTAATCCGGAATCCAAGGCTTCCACTTGTGGTCAATTGTGACACAACATCTAATCTAGCACGTTTCTCAGGAGAAGCATCCAATGCCCAGAGCTGTCTACCTAGCTTAATATCCATAACGCAAGGATATTTCATAGAATGTGTAATATTTTCTAGCACCAAAGCGCGACAGCGCAACGCATGATTTGGTAAACCATCCATATCCAATTGCAGCTCTCTTGCATGTTCCGTATCCCATTTCCCGTAAAACTGCGGAAGCCACTTCCGAAGTGCATTACATTCATCACAAGATTCATAAAAGTAAATCTCACTGTCTAGACAAGGCTTTACCAGGTATCGTTCATCCTCACTAGCAAGGACTTCTCCATGGCCAGCAGCTTGTAAATTGAACGGTTTGAGTTTCATTCAGTCACTCAGCGTCCGTTCTTTTTTTCATTCAAAAAAAAAAGAAAATCAATACATACATTCTATATTGAAACCAAATGCCAATAAGTATGGTGGTTTTCTGTAGAACACAAAGTAACAGTGTAACTTCGAAATCGTATTATTTTTTCAAAGGCTACTACTTCTGTTCATCTATGTTTATCAAAGTTCTTCTCTTTTGCTTTTAATTTATTTTTTTACTGAATCTTCATGAGATGGCTTTCCATGAAAACTCTGCAAAATCCACCAAGGTAACAATGTTACCCTCCTAGCAAATAAAAGTCACCGAGCAAATTTTTCTTACCTTGGGCGAGCATATTTCATTATAGGTGTAATAACTCACTTATTTAAGCAAGGAACCCGTAAATCATGTCTGTCAATCCTAAGGTAAGTTACTATAATCACGAATACTGAAGAAATTATTGGAAAGCGATGCGTTTGGAACGGAATTTCTCAAATCAAAGTTAATGTACAAATTCATGATAAAGTGGATGGCTGATTGAGTTTTCTGCTACATGAAAGGCTTATGGGTTTTCTTCAGTATTCTTTTATATTTTGTTTTCTATGAGACTTTATGCTAACTAATGTTTTCAAGGCTTTTCCTTTAGCCGACACTGGCTTAACTCAACAAATTCTCGACTTGGTGCAACAAGGCTCTCATTACAAGCAACTTCGTAAGGGTGCTAACGAGGCTACTAAGACTTTGAACCGTGGTATAAGCGAATTCATTGTCATGGCTGCCGACACTGAGCCCATCGAGATTTTGTTGCATCTTCCTCTTCTTTGCGAAGACAAGAACGTTCCCTACGTCTTTGTTCCCAGTAAGGCTGCTCTTGGACGTGCTTGCGGTGTCAGCCGTCCTGTGATTTCAGCTAGTATTACTACCAACGAGGCTAGTGATTTGGCTCCTCAAATCCAAGCCATCAGATTGGCTATTGAAAAGCTTCTTATTTAGAGGTCCTGAAATAAAATGGCGGCATGTGAATGTCATCTTTTTTGATTCATAGTATATGTTGGCTGTAAGTTTTCGTACAATTTCTTGGGAACCAATTTCTGAAACACTAAAACGTAATAGGAACTGTAACACTATTGTAGAATAAATTTAAGTGTAAATGGTGTCTTTGAAGGTTCAGGCAGAATTCTGGTTAAATATATTCCCCAAAGTCTCAAACAGCAGCAAATTTCAGTTCTTTCATTAATGCTGCAAATTTTCATAACTTTTTGTTACAAATTCAATTCTCTCTTACATTTTCCATGGATTCTTCTGAGCATCTTTAGTAAATTGCTATTGGTAAAAAATACCAATTCTGTAAGTTCCTGAACATAATTGTTGTTCTTAATTAATTACTTTTTCTAGAACATATACGGACATTCTAAAATCAATTAAGAAGGTGATTGCAGGTTCACAGACTTGTTAGCGTAATATTCTTTCTATTCTATTCCTTCTAGAAACCATTAAATTCTCTAAGCCTGAGTCCGACTTGACTACCACCACCACGCTGCATGTACAAGATGAAGTACCAAAAGGTATCTTTCTTTGCACTATTGTGCTCTTTATATGTCCAAAATTGTGTGGCCGATAATGAAATTGAAAATGAACCTTTAGTTTTTAAGGTAAGTTGTTACTGTTCTAGTTTGTCCATATTTTAGAAGTTTATCGTCAATTGGAACAAAAAATCTATTAAGGACTTATAAAAAACAAATGATATGGTCATTTTGCTAGGAGTGTTGTAAAAAAACTTGATGCGCTAACTAGTTTCGATAGCCTACTGAGGTGAAAGGTCCTGTGGTCGAACAATTCTTAGGAGACTGGACTGAACGTTGGATTCCTTCTCATGCTAAACGCTTTGTAAATGGTGTAGAAGAAATGAGTTATGTTGGTGAATGGGCAGTTGAGGAAGGAACATCACCCGGTGCTGTTACTGGTGAGCAGGGATTGGTTATGAAGGATGAGGCAGCTCACCACGCCATCTCTTATGAATTTGACGAGCCTGTAAACGATTATGAAAAAGATTTAGTTGTCCAATACGAAGTTAACGCTCAAGATGGATTAAACTGTGGTGGTGCCTATCTGAAGCTTTTGGCTGAACGCCCTAATGGTGAAATGTCTAATGCCGTTCCTTACAGAGTTATGTTTGGTCCTGATAAATGTGGTATCAACGATCGTGTCCACTTCATTTTCAAACATGAAAACCCCATCTCTCATGTGGTTTCTGAAAAGCACTTGGATAGTAAGCCTGCTTCTCATCTCAAACCTGGGATCACTAATCTATACACTCTTGTTGTCCATCCTGATCAAACTTACGAAGTCCGTATCAATGGTAATATACTTCGTTCTGGCTCGTTGTTCACCGACTTTCTTCCCCCTGTACTGCCTCCTTTAGAGATCTATGATCCTGAAGACCTTAAGCCTCAGGACTGGGTAGATGAAGCTGAAATTCCTGACCCCAATGCTGTTAAGCCTGATGACTGGGATGAAGATGCTCCTCGTATGATTCACGACCCTGATGCATTGCAACCCGAGGATTGGCTTGCGGATGAGCCTCTTTACATTCCAGATCCTAAAGCCGAGAAGCCTGAAGATTGGAATGACGAAGAAGATGGTGATTGGGTTCCTCCTGAGGTTCCTAACCCTAAGTGTCTTGAAGTCTCTGGTTGTGGAGAATGGAAGGCTCCCATGATCCGTAATCCTAACTTCCGCGGTCCTTGGACTCCTCCTATGATTCCTAACCCTGATTATATTGGTGAATGGATCCCACGCAAGATTCCAAATCCCGAGTACTTTGACGACGAACATCCATCTCATTTCGGCCCCATTTATGGCATTGGCTTTGAACTCTGGACTATGCAACCTAATATTCGTTTTTCTAATATTTACCTTGGTCATTCCATCGAAGATGCTGAACGCTTGGGTAATGAAACCTTTATTCCCAAATCGAAGGTTGAGCAATCTTTGTTGGTCAAGCAAAAATCAGAAAATAAGCCATCTATGCATGCCGATGAAGAAGAAAATAAGTACTTGACCCTTTTCCTTGATGCCTATGACACTATTAAAGCCAAGCTTCCCCCATCGATTACGGATCAACTCGACCCTTATGTTGCTACTATTGCTCAATCTCCTGAAATTGCAATAGCTATTTTCGCTGTCGCTTCCTCAGTTATTGCTGTTGTTATCACTTGCTTTTACTACTTTTCATCCTCATCCTCTTCTTCTCCTGCTCCTCTCTCTGCAGGCGTCACCGAAGCTGAAAAGGAACAGCAAGCAAAATTTAGACAAGAAGATGAGAATGATAATATTGACGTTTCTTATGCTCCTGAATTAGAGTCCACTCCCAAGAGTGAGGACGTCAATGCTGAATAAGATGTTTATCGACGAATCTTTTTGAATGTTCAGTTTACGCTTGAATAACGTTACAAATATATAGTATCTTAAGATTTAATAATTGAAAAAATCGTTTGCCTAAATTTTGTCTATACTAATTACATATTTAGTTTGATAATGATGGAATAGGTTGTAATTAATTTAAGCCCTAATAATGTTCAAGTCTATAATGTGATCAATATCGTAATGTAAATTCTAGTCGTACCTATAACCTGATTATCCCTATTTAATTTCAGTACTGACTCTGTCTAGTTGCTCCTTCATGGGAATGACGGTGCAATAGTTTGAAGGAAACCACCCTCTTTCACTATTGCGTTTTCTTCCATACCACCATCCAGTTTCTGTTCCATTTGAGTCAGTCTTACTCAAAACAGCAATGATGTCTCCTTTCTTCAATCCGAGTTCCACAGTTGGTTCTCTTGGTACAAAGTCAAATTCCGCTTTACAAAATTCAAGATCTTGTAATAACTTTGAATTTTTCTCTTTTGCAATAATTTTTTCCTTTTCGTAAATCTTTTTGAACATTTTTATTAGCACATATGGAAAAACAAATAGAGAAGCGAATAAAACACCAGAGAGAAGTTTGGATTTTTTAGAGGAAGGCTTGGATTCTTCAACATCAAAGGAATTATAGTCACTCATATTTGGTGGTTTCGCCAATTTGATTCCCAGTATGTTATAAATGAATCGCTTTAGTCGTCTTATTAATGAAATGATGCCGAACAAAGACCCAATAGACACCTTTAGTTTAGATAAATTTTCCATCACTGAAACAAAAGTGTTATAACTCATATGAGCTGCCATTAAAGTTGATTCCATAACTTGAGCAATACTACCAACAGAGCTGACGATTCCTTCTATAACTCTTAAAGAAGAGACGGGTTCAGTTGTAGGTCCGTTGGATTCTACAGAAGGGATCCCATTAAAGGAGGGTAAAAAAGAATTGAAATTGGGATAGTTCCCATAGTTTAACCCCATATACCCTGGAGCGTTATAGAACCTATTTCCTAAGGCATATGAAGGGTGGTTCAAATACGAACCTGACTGGACTGACTGTACATTCCCATCAAGTCCACCTTGAGGATAAGCTGGTAATTCTGGCGCTTGGGTTGGAGCAATTTTGTCTTGGTCCATACTGTAATAAAGAAAATGAGGTTCTTCCCTTAGAAATCTGGAAGTCAAATTATAAATTAACCGTGTAAGCTACTTCAAATGGAAGGCCATAAAAATTACAACAGTAATTTGCTTTTCCATCGAATTTGAAATTTCCAGCAATATGATATAGTCACCAGTATTTTTCTAGTAAAATTCGTAAGATAGCCCGAAATATCTTTCAAATCTTAAGAAAAAAAAACATTTCAAAAAATAGAGATAGTAGTGAAAGTAAGGCGCAAATAGAACTGTGTTGAAAAGAAAGGCATACGATTTATATAAAAAAAATAATTTGATTCACTGTTATTCTCTATTCATATTTTCCGACTGTAAAGAAAAGAAAATTAATTAAGAACATAAATAATTTTGTAAAAAGATTCTATTAAAGTACTCATTGCTCTGCATCCTGGGTAGCTAAATAATTACTAACGACTTCTGACTTGGCATAATCTTCTATAAAACCTTTGAGATATGGTAATATTTTCGTAAATAAATTTCGTTCCCTTAATAAAAGATTCGTAGCAACACCTTTGCGCGATGATATGTATTGGTCACTTTCTAAATTATGTTTGAGGGCTGCTTCGGCTAACTGCTCAACAAGGCAAAATACTCTCAAGAAATACAAGTCTTTTAAAGAAGACTTTAATATTAATTTTGGGAGTTCCTCAATAGTGGTTCTTTGCCCTTCGAACTCCCATTGGGGTTCTATATCCCCGTATTCGTTTTGCTCCAAATGAAAAAAAGTGAAGTCTTGAATATTCAAAATCGAAAAATATAAAAATGGAGCATGCCACCATAAACCAGTAGGATCCGAAGCAAACTCGATCATTGGTGGTCTTTTACAACAACTTCGTTTTACAACATCCAAGGGATCGTTGGGATCTTTGGGAATTAAGATCTTTACAACGTCAATTGTACCATCTCCTATGCTTTGTGGAATGAAACCGTATGAAAATAGAAATTCCCCAGCACCTTTGGAACTACCATAATTAAAAGTGATTTCATCTCCAACAGAAATAGTCTTCTGAGCATACACTTGTATAGCGTCTGAAGTAAAATCCCATCTGGAATTGGCACTATTTGAGTGATTACACAAATCAATCACAGGAGACAAAACTGTATTACCCGATGGTCTTTCGAGGCATCGACTATTGTATAAGGCATCAGCATGTATCCAATCAGACAAAGTGATTTTTCCTGGCCAAAGGTTTCCATATCGGGTTCTTAATTCTTCCCATTCTTCTCTCAAAAAATTTTGTTTGGCCAAGACAGGCATGAACAATGAAGTTCCTTGAAGACCCTGTATATCACTTTCAGGCCACTGAACTGGGGTATCAATATAAGATGGCAAAGTAGATAAGTAGAGATTCCATTCACTCTCCTTTTCGTTTGACCCATTTAAGTGACAGAGGATGAACAGAACCTGCTTTCTGGATGGCATAACATCCCACTCTTCGGACTCGGCGATCGAAGCAAAGGATTTATTCTTCTTTCGATATTCTGTAATTGATTCTTCACAAATAACTTTTACTAATGGTATCTCCAACAGTAGTTGCCCAGAGTCGCATTTCTCTAAACATCGCAGCCCTCTTCCTTTTCCTTCAATTTCAGCGATTTCAAGTTTAATACATTTCTTCACAAAAGCGTTTATCAATTCGTTTGAGCTTGGATGCATGGGAGGCTGTCCACCTTTGAGAATTCTTAATAAACCAGGTTTCAAGAATTTTGGCAACAGTAGGCAGCTATAATAAGCTTTTCAGTGGTAGACGAAAATCGGTGATATTGTAATTAAACGTGATACAACTTGGTTAATAGATTACATTAATAGTAGATTATAATGGAATAAGTGTGAAAAATGGTTGTTTCGTAGGATCTTTCCAAATTCGCTAAAGACAGCATAAGACTGATGCCTTTACTGTCCATTCTGTCTCTATTGAATGGTTATGTCTGTAGAGTTCTCAGTTAGAAATAAAATTGATACATCAGTGAAAAGAAAGAAAAAAGCTTTTCAATAGTTTTAAGAAAATGGTCAGATGTAATTAAGAGATACCTAATAGCAAGCTTGAATGACCGCTAATAATTCAGCATATCTCTCAAGAAAAGCACATTAACAAGGGCAGCATTGCGCAAAGAAACTCAAAGGTAAAATTCAAGGTGACTACATCGTGAAAATAATGACAAGAGATAAGAAACAAGCCTGCATAAAGAACCTATGGCTAAGTAGAATTATTCTAATTAACGCAGGTGAAATTTACTATTTTTATTTAGGAATTTAGTTATCGTACCAAGAAAATTATGAGAACTTCCACCGATTACCACAAACGACACATTCACAAAACGTCGTCATAGGTTCATCTGCAGATCTGGTTTGCATTTGATAATAGGAAACCTTCTTTTGCCTACATTTTCCGCACGTAAACAGATCGGTGATAGCCTTTTGAGGTTTAGCACCTTGAGCATGAAACAGGTTTTCTTGTTCAAGCTTAGCATCCTCTTTACGGCGGTCTTCGGAAGCAAGTTCTGCAGAGTTCATGTTGCTTAGGCGTTGTGCACTTATATCTTCAGATATAACAGAAGCACGAAGCTTTGGGTTACTTTTATCTTTTAAATTCATATATAGCGACCGCATTCGATTACGATACTCAGACCCTGTATTTCCGGAAGCACGAGCTAAAACTTGTGCATCAATAGCAACGGCACGTTTCAAAATCACGGAAGAATCGGCGTCCGTGTCCATTGCCAAGGCATTGTATATAAGACCAACACAATTGTTGCGGATTTTATCATCTGTCAAATTAACGTCAACATTGTCACTTTTAAAAGTACGTTGTCCATTAGAGGACTGGCTTTGAGCTTGTCTTTGAGTTGGGGTTCCAATGCCTGCTCCTTTAGAAGCTGGAGAAGCACCATTGGTACCACCAGTGGTTGTAGCTTTTAGTGGTCTGCCTCTGCTCACATCGGTTTTCCATTTTTTAACAATATCGCGTGCAAGTTCATTAACTTTTTCATTTGGGTAAGATCGTAGCTTTCCTACTACTAGACCGAGCCTGGTTTCCTAATTATCAAGTTAGTTATCCTCTTGTCTGAGAGCAATTTCTGCGAAAAAAATCAAATTTCCTTCTCCTCCCCCTTTAAAAGTTACTGGCTTCCTAAAATAGTTCAAGTCTCAAATTACCTTTAATAATTCCTCAGTAGCAACGACGCCTGTTCTCAAACGGCTCATGATGTCGAGCATTGTCTATCAAAAATTAATACAACATTTCAATCGACCTATATATAGATATAGATATATGAATTTACCTCCGTATTCTTAGATTGAATGGCTTTTTCCAAGGAAGCCTTGGCAGATCGAATTTCTTCTGAATCCATCGTGCTATTTACTGATTTTAGACGGACCAGCAATATATATGCATTTAATTATGCCTTTACCAAACCAAACTCACTTTGGCTAACAACTATTCTGTATTTTCCAACCTCTTGGACTAGAGTAGTGGTAGGTAGAAACTTATGCATTCAGAAATATCGCTTAGTACTTAGTTAATTTTTACCACTTACCTCAAAGTTGACTTATGGTCAATCAATAAGAAAAACAAGTCGTGCATTGAAAATAATAAAAGGAATCATTCATCGGAAGGAATATTAACTGGAAAGCTCTGGTATATCATCCTGCATTGGTTTCTGGTATACACAAGAGTTTCTTTGAGATTTCACGCGTACTAGTAGATACACAAAGACTATTGTGAAATACAACGAAGAAGAAACTGACGAAAAGAAAAGAATACGCGAATCCGGATCCTCTGAAGCAATACATTGTTGACGGGAGATTTATACTCAGTATTTTGAAGTTTAACCATGGCAAGATAATTCACTCGGATATCTTTTGATATCAAGACTTTTCATACGAAACGTTTCAGCGCTCTTTTGCACCTGGTCAATCTTTTTGCTAGCATACATCAAGACATATTTCTAGCCATACATTATCGTTCCTTCTCGCGTTTTTTTTAATAATTTAGATTTAAGTATAAATGCCTACCGAAAGCAGCTCTAAGGATCAATTGAACTCAACTGAAGTATTATCAGATGTGGATGCAGACATAAGTTGGGAGGAAGCAGCGACTTCCTTACTCACAGAACTTGAAGAATCCTCTTTTTCTTCTCCAAGTCCTTCTAAATTATCTAATACTAAACCGTCCGTGTTGCAAGAGCATTCAAACATTAATTCTAACCAATGTATCCAACCGACATTGGAAGGCAAGATTGTGCGGGATTTGAGCTTTAAACCAAGGTTGGTGACAGAATATGAGCAAGAAAATTATTGGGAGAAAGATATAGAAGCTTTAAATTATTGGGTTTATCCTGAAATGGATGAATTTCGTGAATACCAAAGGTGCTTTTGTGAATTAGCTTTTTACCATAACCTTTTATTAGCATTGCCTACAGGCTTAGGGAAAACCTTTATCTCTGCTGTCGTAATGCTAAATTTTTATCGTTGGTTTCCTACCGGAAAAGTGATATTTATTGCTCCCACAAAACCTCTTTTACAACAGCAACGAACAGCCGTTATCGAAATTACGGGAATACATGCATATAATACAACTGAATTAAACGGAAATGTCTCAATAGAAGCTCGCTGTAAAGAATACCGTTCGAAGAGAATCTTTTTTATGACTCCACAGACTCTGAATAATGATTTGCGTTCGGGGTTCGTCGATGCAAGAAGCATAGTATGTTTAGTTATTGATGAGGCACATAAGGCTACAGGAAGTCATGCTTATGCGCAAGTAATTCGAACTATTCTTAAACATAACAGTCACTTTCGAGTTTTAGCTTTAACTGCAACTCCTGGTTCTACTACTTCAGCTGTTCAAAAAGTCATTGATTGCTTACATATATCTAAAGTTATTGTACGTAACGAGGAAAGTGTGGACATTCGACCGTATGTTTTCCATAAGAACATTCAGGTTCTTAAAGTTGAGCTTACTCGTGACATGCAATACTTAAAGGCTGACTTTGCAGACATGTACTTTCCATTTTTTGATTTTCTTCGAAAAAAGAAAGTTATTCCTGGTACATGTGATCTTAAAAATCTGAAATCTTACGTTCTTTTATTGGCCTTAAGGAAATATTCTTTTAGACAAAAGGAAAACCAAGATAAAGAAAAGCTAAAAATTTTCGGCTATTTTAAGTTACTTATTACTTGTGCTCATGCTATGTATCTTTTAGATTGTCATGGGATTATTCAGTTTTATCAGAAGCTTCACGAGATACAGACAGAAACAGAAGAAAGAAAGAGTGGAGAACTATATCGATTATTTTCAAGTAATCCATTTCATTTTTATATGAATCATTTGCAACATCTAATTGCAAATGATCATTTTATGAACCATCCAAAAATTACGCACCTTACCGGTATTTTAAAAGAACACTTTCAACAGGCAACTCAACTAAATAGTAATTCCAGAGTTATGATATTTACAGAGTATCGTATTACGGCTGAACAAATACTGAAAGCTTTTTCGAACGAAAAGCCTCTCATTAGAACTTCTCTATTCGTTGGCCAAGCAAACTCTGTGGACTCTGTGGGGATGAGCCAAAACCTTCAGAAAGAGATTATATCCCAATTTAAAGCTGGCATCATTAACGTTTTGGTTGCTACTTGCATTGGTGAAGAGGGTTTAGATATTGGGGATACAGATATGATTGTTTGCTACGATACTTCTAGCTCACCTATCCGTATGATTCAAAGAATGGGAAGAACAGGCCGTAAAAAGGATGGAAAGGTTTTCATCCTTGTTACCAAAAACTCTGAAGATGTAAAATGGGAGAGAGCGAAGGCTTCATATAGAAGAGTTCAAAAAGTGATTGAAAATGGGCAAAAATTGATACTTAAAACGGATGTTCCTCGTTTACTTCCACCGACATGTAGTCCAACAATCAGGTTTCAGAAATTAAACTCAATTCATCAGCAGTCATTTGCGGGTTTAACTGATAATGATAAACGAGATGAATCACAAGTTGAAACTCTTGGGTCACAACCAAGACGCCAGTTACCGTCGATTGTCGATGATGAATTTGAAGATATGAAAAGCAATCTTAGAATACCTACGCCTGAAATCAAACTGCGAAGATATTTAGCGGACTATAGAAGTACAGTCTATCATACCCATGGTACTTCCATAAACCTAACAAAGTCAGCCATAGTCTCGAAAGTGAGAACCCCCTACAAAATTGGTACCAAGTCTTTACTTGACTTTCAAATTTCAGCTCTTCAAACGAAATTCAAGAGTTGTACCCATGAAGAGATACAACGGTATAAAAAGTATGAGGGGAAATGGAAGCGGAAGAAAAGAAAGCTCATCTGATAATACTTTAATGTTTAATTGCATAATTTAGAAATATCAAACCCAAAAATGAAACAGTCGTACTTTAATGACTAAGTAGATTTATTTATAATACCAAGAATTAGATAATGAAAAGAAAAGTCCGAACTTAGCTGGCTATTTAATTGGATTTAATTTTTCGGCTTCTTAAGTATGCTTGAAATAAGTATTCCACAGCTTCTGTGTTCATTTTTGTATCTTGCCAACTGTCACCCCAGCAATAAATGCCATGATCTCTTACAATGACGGCGCATGCTTCTGGATAAGCTAGGATAGCTGCTTTTAAACTATCATGAAGGTCTCTTTCATGCGCCGTGTTGTCTATAACTATTTAAACAGTTAGCAATTCGGTCATAGTTATATTGATCCATACAGGGAATTTTTACGGTGTCCGTTATGGAATAAAAACCATTTTTCTTCGTTCCACGGGGAATATGTCTAAGCACTTCAAAACCAGACGCTGAGAAATAATCTGAATTAGGAAATAGTTCTGAAAGTAAGATGGCTTCCTGAGAATGAGTATGGATGCATGCATAAGCATCGCGACAGCTTCATAGGTTAATCATTTACCAGAAAAAAAAAAGAATAAAAAATTTCACATACGTATAAGCTGCTAAAAATAAAGGAGTACACTGAGAAGGCTTGAGGGGTTGTAAAGGCTTGTGAATGTATTCACGAGTCCTACATTCTGTTAACACTCATCGGTCGATAATCGGAGACGTATTCATACTTCAAAGACATAACGAAGAGATGCTCTAATCGCATCCTTTCTTTTTGAACACCAGATGGAGCAATGACGATTGCATCTCTGTAACAGTTAAAAAACATTTTTTTCAATTAATTAATACCCTGAACGGATAGTAATTCCTCCACTATTTACTGTTAGATTTCAAACTATATGGAACCATTTACCCAGTGCCAGTTACCCAGCCAGAATTATACAAATCCTGGCATATTGTACAAATAAGCTCACCGCAAATCCGAAGATCGCCGCCTTCTAAACAACCTAATTCTCCACTATTCATATGTGCTAGATATTCGGTGAAAAAACGAAACGTCCACCAAAGTAAATCGTCTTACAAATATATGGCAGTTGCTTAATGGAGTAATATAGAGGATTCGCAGATTAGTACACTTAGACAAACGTGATTTTGTTAACGAATATATTTTTATTAAGTGTATTATTATTATAAACTGGAAAAGAAAAAAATAGTAACTGAATTGCGTGGCTATATACATTAAAAAACTAAGAGATATGTGTGCTTAAACGGGGTACACTATAGAACAATTAATCATCACCAAAAATAGCATTGAAAAGGCTCTCAGGAGAAACTTTGGGTTGAGGAGGACGATTGGAGAGACTTTCATCGACTGTCTTTGGTAAGGCTTCATATGAAATAGAGGGTCGCTCACTGGAAAGTATAGGAGAAATTTCATGCTTTATCTCAGGGGCACGAACATGGAAGCGTTTACAAAGCAAGCGATTTGGGTAAAAATCTGATATTTGTCGAGGCATGCTCAATATAGAAGTATCATTAGCTTGATCTGTGGTTTCTGATATTGCTATAGCATTACGGGGGTTATCACCGGAAGAAGAAGTAAAGCGCATGGACAAATTCCGAGACATTGGACGATATAAAGATGCGGTTTGGGCAAACTCGGAAAGATGTGTAGTTCGCATTTCTGTTAACAGCTTAGGCATATCTTGAATATGAGCTTTCAGAAAAATTTCGTACATCCCAGCTCGCTCATCGTTGTACGGATTGTCCTTCCTGGAAAGAGCATGTTTGGCTGTGTCCAAATCAATTATCCTCCATTCTTGCTCGTCAGAAGGACTAGTATGCGATAGCGTTCCTTGATTGTCCTGGTTGTTTTTCTCAGAGTCGAAAAGCGCTTCTGAACGTTCACTTGTGTTTGTGCTTTTATGAAATGAGGATGCATGTGAAACAGGGTTAGTGGAAGATGAGAATCGTGATTTCCAACCTTCAGGAACCTCCGGTGCAGGAAACCATTGATTTGTAATAGTCTCTGGTGAATAAATAACGACGAAACCAGCAAGAGCTGGTAAACCATCCATACAATTGGTCGAGGGTGCAAAAGAGGATTTTAGTCGACTTTTTTTAGAAACAAAGGTATGCTTTCCGATAGTAGGTATAGAAGGTGTATTTTTCTTCCTTGAATTAATGCTTCTGTCAAATCGAGATTTGGGTGGCCCAAGGTTATACGGGTCTTCGTCCTCTTCATTATCGTCAACCGCAACACCTAAACCAAAAGCATGGTTCCCTGGTTTCTTTTTTAAATCTTTATTTAAAATTTTCTGTTGATTGATAGTTTGATCCTGTTGATATCCAAGCCCATGAATGTTGTACTTGGCTGAGTCTTCTGCCTCGTAAAAATCCTTAGCTGTAGAGACCACGAAATCCTTCCCGTTCCATCCAAAATTTCTTAATATCTTTTCACCAATTGTTGTTTGTTTTGGTCCAAGCTCTCTTAATATTGGGTCATCAAGGGGAATAGATTTTTCTAATGTGTCTTCCTGAAAACTGTAAACTCTGGACATCTCTTGATCATTTCTATCTTCTTCATCCATAATGTCTTCCAAGGAAAGACCAATTTTTTGACCCCGATCTGTCTTGGAACTTGACCAAGCTTTTGGCTGCCATCCTTCCTTCGATCCCACCGAATTATAATATCCTGCTGAGAATCCACCTGTGAATGCACCATGAAACCGCTTTCTATTTCTTTCATCCGTTGCTGCTTGTTTCCACACTGGCAAATTATGGCTGTTTTGATATGCCTCTAAGTGGACTGGTGTACCATAAATACAGTGTGGATGTCTGTCAAGTTCTTTATTTGCTCTCTTTCTGTTGCTTTGATACATTGAAGAAATTAGGAGACACTTCCCGTTCTTATTGAGACTTCATCAAACGCTTCTACATATATAAGCGAGGATACTTTCAAATTGTATGTTGAATTTTGCTTCTAGGAGTTTTATGCAGACAACGAAGGGATGGACTTACAAACTGTGCAACAAGCAATTTAAAAAAAATAAATAAAAGAAAGGATAGAAAAAGCTGAGCTTCAAACTCCTATACTGAAATTAAGTTGTCGATTGCTACTTTACCATCAGAAGGAACGTTACTTGAGAATACGAAGATTGCTACTTCTTAAGGCATGGTAAATAAAGGATGTTTATAAGAAGGGAAGGCGGTTATAGATAGCATCGTTTTATAAAATATAACTTGTTTTAGAATAAATATTGATCGCATAATCACAGGACTTTGGTTTTCGAGCATGGAGCACAGAAAGTTTGGTCTTTCTTTTGTAGCGATAATCCAGTAATTTCATATGCAGGTGAAATTAAATAACCATGTTTCTTTGAGACTAATAAATTAAAGAAAAAAAAATCCTACAGTCTTCGTTGATGAGCTAAGATTGTTATGAGTTCATCCTTCTTACGAACATGATCAATGGTTGCAGTATAATGCAATAGAAGTGTTAGGATTAGTTTCCTGTTATAAGTCTGCATTCATTCTCTTGATAATTTGCTGCAAAAGCCATAAATTTTTAATTTGATTTCTTATTTTTATGCAGCCTATATTTTTCGTTTTCTTTTGTTTACTACTCCATCGTTTCACCACCAAATTTGAAAAGCTAGTGTTGCACCTGCAAACACTTGTAAAAATTCAATTATTTAGTATCGTAAAGCCAAGCTCTATATCCTTTATTAAAATAAAAAAAAGAGATATAATAATATTGGCCTTGGCTAGTTTTTGTTCCATTTTCATAACTTTGAAAAGTTAATGAACCTTTAGTTTGTAAAGATAAATGGATGGATATTTCAAATTATGTTGCAAATTTTCATTTTGACGAAAAATATGCTGCAGCTTTTGAAAATGGTATGTTTTAAAGTAAGTTTTCTTGTCATGAAACAGGAAAGAATAGCTAACGTATGTTTCTCTGTCTAGCAGATATAAGTACAATTGATCTCTTAACTCTTGATATCTCTGATTTGGAGAAGCGGACAAATCGTAATAAAGATGAGCTTATTCAAATTGTACAACAGGTTTTTCTTTTACTTCGTCCTAAGAGAAAAGTTGCGTCACGAATAAGCCAGAGTTTTTTAACAACTGGAGATCGAATACTGGATCAGAAGCTTCACGGAGGCATTCCCGTTGGTCAATTGACTGAAATTTGCGGTGAGAGTGGTTCTGGAAAATCTCAACTATGTATGCAGCTTTGTTTAATGGTCCAACTTCCTCGTGCTTTTGGTGGCTTAAATAAAGCGGCCGTGTTTATATCCACCGAATCGGGGCTTGAAACAAAGCGTTTATTTGAACTGGCAAAATATTTACCAGATCGATTTCCTGAAGCTGAAGAAAGCGACGTATTTATTCGGAATCCTGGTGACAGGGTATATACCATCCTTTGTCCAGATTTGGAATCTCAAGAACATATTATTCAATACCAGCTTCCTATACTATTTGAACGCGATAGTATAGGACTAGTTGTACTAGACAGCGTTGCTGCTAATTATCGTGCTGAATTGAGGTATAATCGGTCAAAAAGCCATTACACGGATTTGAATAATATTGCCACCAGAGGAAATCAATTGGGAAAACTTGCATCTATACTTCGTGATCTTAGTCGACGGCATGAAGCAGCTGTCGTTATTGCAAACCAAGTGAGTGATCGACTCACTCGGGATTACGGCGCAATCGGGCTGTTTAGCTTAGACTATCAGTCTCAGTGGTTCAATGGATGGGATGATTTGGATCCTAATCCTAAGATACCTTCCTTGGGTCTTGTTTGGACAAATAATGTTAACACGAGATTGGCTCTTATTAAGCGTACTGATAATGCAGCTGTGAAAGCAAGAAGGACACTACGAGTTGTTTACTCTCCAAATGCTGCACGAATCGATGTTCCAGTATTTATAGGTTCTATGGGTATTTTTGTTCCCAAGGAAGAAAAAGACGCTTTGAACCCCTTATTATAAAGTGCATTAATTCTGTGCACAGAAAGAACATAATCAACTGTATTGCAGTATCTGTTTTTCCAACGGAGATATAACTAGGTTAAGCCTTTCTTTCTATTTTACCCCCCTTCAAATAGAGGCCTTTTTTGGTGAATAGTGCGTCTTGAGTTATTACAGAAGAGAAATTGATTTTATTCAAAAACCCTATTGCTTTTTGTTTGATTTAGGAAGGAACCTTAATTGCATCTGCATGCTTGACGATCCCTCCCTTCAGTTCACTTTCACTTACGACCCTTTATAAGATTTTTTAAAAAATTACCGAATGCTGCAGATATTTACTTAAGGGATTTTTATTTTATCATAATAATGAAGTTTTAATTAAGTGAATCTACAGAGGACCTTGCGATAGAGCATAATTGAAACAAACTTTGTGGAACAAAATGTCACTACCCATTGATCGAATTAATACCAAAGATATCCTTTCTAATGAACTTTCAAATCAAGTAAACTCATTTCCTCTACATATCTACTTCAATATACGAGGAAAGTTACTTATGATTGAAAGATCGGAATTATTGTACTTACCACATTGTCTTATTGGAATGTTATTTACGAAAGGATTCTCTCCCTTATTACAAAATGAAGGTGGTAGTCGCGAGACTTGTTTAAAGTGCCATCTAATCGATCCTGCTGTTTGCAGTTGGTTGTTGGACTCATATTTACGATTATTTCTTAAGAATCCGAATTATTCTGCTTTAAGAGTTAGAGAAGATCCTTTGAAAGAAACGACGTTCGTCTTTTTGCTGGTAGAATTCTGTGACATATATGTGATACCCGAAAATTCAGGGCAAGGAGTGAGCCTAAGTGTAAAAGAGAAACTTTTGGAACATTACTACAGAAGCTGGAACATTTTTGAAACCTGTCCGAATTCCTTTTTTATTGGCGATAATAAGGAACGGAAAGCTTTCGTTCATTTGATGAATGAATGGTAAGAATAAACAAGAGGTTCAATCTTATACTTAACAGTTGCTAATGTTTTCTATTACCCAGTGGTTTCAGTATAAGGGATAAATGGAGTCGAAGAGTCAAAGAGCCAAAACGAATGTCATTATCTTCATATCATATTTCTACATTACGGTGTACGCCTGAAAATGCGAATACATGTGAAAAACTATTAAGATTTTGGAAAAGCCCAGGGGTATGACACGTCGGATCAGCAATTTTATTTTTTTATGTTTATACTAACTAAGATTTTTGACAGCATAAATGTTGGTGGTTTGAAAACCCGCATACGTTCAATAACACTGTTCTAAATGTTTGGCGCCGCAAATTTTGGACTTTGGAACTTAGCGTTACAGGATAAACCAAAAACATGTCAAACTTTCGGAACTCAGCTATTACCATAATGTGCTAGAATTTTTACTCTTTTCCTTTTACGATTATTCTTATGTTGATTATTATATAATTTATTCATAGCATTCTCTTTCTTCATATAGTTAAATATACTTTCCTAATTCAGTAAACTAATTGCAGTCATATACGTCCTTTGTAAGCATCTTGTTGCGAACATCTGTGAAAAAGTATGGAGGATGAATTTGCTATTCAGTCATTCAAACCGGCTCTCAGTACCAATCTAACACTTCAAAAAAAGTTATTACCAATATTTAAATATCGTAAGAAGCCTTTACTTTAAAGAATGGACATCAAGCTAATGGTGCTTCAGGAGAGCAACTTTTGTATGCCATTGAGACGTTTCAGGTTACGCTCATACATGGACACACAGGATGCGGAAAGACGACTCGTAAGGGAGAAATCTTAGAAATCAACTGATGAGTATCTAACTGAAAACTAGAACTGCCTCAATATTTGTATGAAACAGGATGGACTAAAGACGGAAAGATAATTGGGTGTACGCAGGTATTGTACTCTTTTTTCTTATTTATTCAATATTAATTTTATTGATTCACTAGCCTAGAAGATTGGTTGCTAGAAGCGTCGCAGCTCGTGTCTCAGAAGAACTGACTACAGAAGTTGGGAAAACATGCGGGTACAAAATTCAATTTGAGCATAATATATCCGACGAAACGAGAATTGAGTACATGACTGATGGTACCCTTCTAAAAGAAATCCTTACAGATCCTCTGTTAGAGCGCTATTCTGTTATTATCATTGATGAAGTACACGAACGAACTATAAATATAGATCTTCTTTTAGGAATTTTGAAAAGGTATGACTTAAGGGAATTCTAGGTAACTAACTGGCAGGATTCTTATTAAACGCCGTGATTTGAGAGTAATTCTTGCTAGTGCCTCTGCCAATATTCAAAAGTTAAATGACTTTTTTTACGAAAAGGATAAGATTGAAACCAAAAGTATTTCAATTGAAGGAAAGCTATTCCCTGTGGATGTTATGTACCTTGAAAACCCTACTGAAAATTATGTGAATACAGCAATTGAGACGGTCTTGAATATAAATTCATCTTATCCGTCGGGTGATATTTTGGTATTTCTCACAGATAGGAGAGAAATTGAGGAATGCGTGAAGCGTATCGAATCATCGGCTGTAACAACTCCTGATGACTTACCAATGCTTGTACCATTACCTTTGCATTCGGGTCTAACATTAGACGAACAGCTACGGGTTTTTGAGATTTATGAGAACAGATTTAGAAAAGTGATTTTCTCGACGAATATTGCCGAAGCAAGTGTAACCATTGATGGAATCGTTTACGTTGTAGACTGTGGTTTCTGCAAGCAACGTATTTTCAATCCTTATAGTAGAGTTTCAAAATTAATTCGTATTCCAATATCAAAATCTAATGCAGTTCAAAGAATGGGAAGGGCAGGAAGAACTAATTCTGGAAAGTGTTTTCGACTGTTCCCTAAAACTATCTATGATTCTTTGAAGGATGAAAGCGATGCCGAAATAAGTCACAGTGATTTATTACCCGCTGTGTTTTTTCTGAAAGCGATTGGTTTAAGGAACATATACCAGTTTCCCTTTTATATTCCTCCTCCTACAGTACATATTATCGCAGCTTTAGAGGTATGCTTGAATTTTTTTATTACGATGTTAATAAATTCAAAGGATTTGTATTTTTTAGGTGCTATTGATGATTACTCAAATTTGACGGACCCTACTGGATTGCAAATGGTGGAGTTACCTCTAGATGCAAGATTATCGAAAGCCGTAAGTTTTGCTCTGTTTAATATGCTTCTTGAATCGTCTCTCTGACTTTGAATAGCTGCTCTCCTCTGCTAGCTATGATTGTACTTACGCAATGTTAAATATTGTTTCTGTTATGATGGCAGGGGATGTCTTCTACCGCCCTTCTAGTAATCAATACGAAGCTACTGCTTGCCATGCTACATTTACCACTGAAGAAGGCGATATCCTAACTGGTTTAAATGGTAATGCGTGTTTTTATAGTTGGATGTTACTGACAATTTAGTTTTCGAATCATTTCTGAATCGAAGAACAGATATGAAATGGTGCAAGGCGAACTTTTTGAACTATAATACATTGAGTCATGCTAGTGAAATTCGAAAGCACATTCTTCCCTACTTGCAACGTTTTCATATATCACCAGAGAAGCGGATAAGAGATATAGATCCTTCGAAGATGATAGAATGTCTTTTACAAGGATTTTTTCGAAATGTAGCGCATCTACAGGATGACGGTTCTTACAGAACGATTTTAGGATCTCCAGTTTTGGTTGATCATAAAAGTACATTAATTAACAAAGGCATACCTTGGATTATGTTTACTTCGAGTAAGTGACAGATCATGAATTTTTACTAAATAGCTTCTAGTGGTTGAATATGAAGGTCGAGCATTTATTAACGGGGTATCAAAAATTGAAAGTAAATGGTTAGAGAAGTTTTATCATAGAAAAAATAAAAAATAAATAGTGATTTTTGGGTAATAATTGAGTTTTCAGTGTGTTGTCACAGTCATCGTACTTATTGCCAAGTAGTTCGTACCTTCCTCCACTGACTTTGATAAAGCAATTATGAGTGATTTGGAAAATGTATGGATAAATGTCGATTATGTATACTAATTAAGTTATAGATACGCCTTAAAAGACTTGCAAAGTTACAACGCTCTAGTTCTGGTGAAAATGTTTCAAATAGAAGCAGAGAGACGAGCGAGGAACATGAATCGAAAAAACCAAATTTAAAACAGGACGAAGACAAGACTACTGTTAGTAGCCCTCCTACAGAGAAAAAGAAGGAAACAGTAGTACCTTCTCGTCCAAGTAATCAACAACTAAAGGCATTTTCCCGTGAAGAGTGGGTACACGTTGTAACATGTCAAACGCTCAATATAACTTTAGACTCGGAAGATAAAGGGAAATTTTATTTAGAATCTTTTAAAAAGGACTTGGAAAGCGAAGGGCGACCTTGCGCACTTAACGAAGATAATGTTGATTCAGCATTGCTAACCAGATTGTCGACGACTGGTGATAATACATTCAAATATTTATTAAATTCCTGGAGTTCTGTTTATAATGTCCTAAAAAAGTTGCCGAAGGATGAACACCTTCCGTTTAAAACGAATTATCTTACGAGCTTGAAATACCTATTAGTAAGTTATGCTGGCATAACTATATTGTTGCCCGATACTTTCAATTGCTCTTCCATTGACTTTGCAGATTTACTTACAAAGTCTCCTGGGATACCACCGGAATTTATCGTTGATTTTGTTGCTCGTTATGAAAATGAGGGATTAGATGAATTTTTTGTTCCTGTGTTGGAAAGTTTGTCGGTAAAGATTAGTCTTATGAATGTGGAAACGTTTCAAATGAATGTTATTCAAGTGTTGTTTCAATTGATTTCTTTGAAACCCATCGCTGTGCTAGTTCCTCAACTACCATCTTGGTGTCCTTCAACAAGCCCTGGTGAGCTTGAATATAAAACCTTCTTAGGAAGAATTTCTAGTCTTTCTGTTTTTACTCAGGAAGTTGCGAATCGCTACTTTTCAAACTCCAGGGAACGCTCTATGCGGGACATTGCTTCTTCTATAAGTTCCTTGGGATTAATTGTTTCTAGTTACCAAGAACAACTTTACCAAATCATTAGTGTTCTTATTCGAACCTCTTCAGAAATTCGTGAAAAAGTCTTAGATTTTTTGGCAATGGTTGTAAATGTTAATCATAAGCGGCAGTCACTTCATGTTGATCAGTTCAACATAACTTCAGATGCTTGTATGCTTAATCTGGCTTATGTTATGAATAGATTATCAGAACCGTTTTTGGATATCAAATATTCAAAAATTGACAGGGTTCAACCGGAGTATTTACGCAGGCATCCTCGTATAGACTTCAAAGAGGAAACAAAGCTTAATGCTGATCAAAAATCTTCGGAAGAATTTTTTTCTCATGGTTTTGAAGGACCCAATAATTTTATATCTGATATTTTTTTCATTAACCTTTCTTATCATCATTTCGGTATCAATGCTGCTGTTAAAGCTCTTGAGCAAACTATTGTGAGTATCCGAGATTCAGAGAAATTGAGAGAGCGACTTGAAGCTGAACAAACCATAAATTCCAATACGTTTTTGGCTAGACGACTTTCCGCGCAAATTGATCGTCTTCATCAACGAATCGATTTAGATCGATCCTTTGTTCACTGTTATGAGATTATGCTTGCTCAACCATCTGAAACCTCGAGATCCTATAGTTTTCTAAATTTCGTCATGGCATGGTTGTTGCGAGTAGCTAACAATAATGCATCTGACTATCCAAAGGCACCCATTGTACTACCTTTCTCAGATTCCGCTCCTGAACTTTTCAAAAACCTTCCAGAATACTTTATTGAAGCGATTACTGATTATGTCCTTTCTCTCTTCAAAACTTCTTCATCTACTTTAAATACTCACCCATTAGAAACATTATGTGAATTTTGTGTTACTTTGTTGACTAAATCATCGTATATAAAAAATCCATATTTGCGTGCGAAGCTTGTGGAAATTCTTTTTTATGGAGTACAGACTCATCCTGGTCAACCTGATGTGATGACCGACGTCTTGTCAACCTCGAAAGTTGCTACGAAATGGCTAATTCCTGCTTTAATGGGCTTTTATATTGAGATTGAGTCTACTGGTCAGTCTACTCAGTTTTATGATAAATTTAATATTCGATTTTACATCTGTGAGGTTTTCCGTACTATATGGAAATTGCCAGCTTATTTCGGAAAATTGGAACAGGAACAGAAAACCAATTTGCCTTTTTTTGTGAAATTCGTGGCTTTGATGCTAAATGATGCTACATATCTTTTAGACGAGGCTCTCCTGAAGTTGAAGGATATACATAACTTACAAGAAAGGGTTAATGAAGCTATCAACACAGGTGAATCCAATCAAAACGTTCAAGAGTCTCAACAGAATTTAGTAGCAACAGAGCGCCAGGCTTCAGTCTATTGTCAGCTGGGTAACGAAACTATTATGATGCTACGATTGTTTACATCATCTATTCCCAAAGCATTTTGTGCTCTAGAAATAGTTGAGAGACTGGCTGCTATGTTAAATTATAACCTTCAAGCACTCTGTGGTCCAAGATGTAGAAATCTTAAAGTGCGAGATCCCACAAAGTATAATTTTGACCCTAAATCTTTATTATCCACGATTCTGGATGTGTATTTGAATCTGTGCAATGAAGGAAACTTTGTTGAAGCAGTTGCCCATGATGGACGCTCTTACAACAAGGAAATTTTTGAAAGAGCAATTGGAATTGTCAAAAAACACAACTTGAAATCTTCGCTTGACATTGAAACCATCCTAAACTTTGTCAACGAAGTGGAGAAATTTAGGTTGAAAGAGGAAAATGAAGAAGAAGACATGGGCGAAGCCCCTGATCATTTCCTTGATCCTCTGATGTTCACGATTATGAAAGATCCTGTTATTTTGCCTAGATCGGGTGTCTCAATTGACAAAAGTACTATTAAAGCACACCTTTTGAGTGACAACACGGATCCATTCAACCGCACCCCTTTGACTTTGGATGATGTTACACCTAGTAAGTTTTTACATGATTGTCTTAGCTTGCACATTTACTAACACAAACTTAGATGATGCGTTACGAGAAGAAATTGAAGCATATATGAAAGCTTTGAAGGAAAAAAGAGCTAAAAGAAACGAGTAATTTTGACGAATGCAAGTGATAGATGACTGTTGAGTTAAAATAAAGACGACAACACATTGTTTAATCAGAAAATTTGAAGTAAATATTTTTAGTACATAAAAGAGAAATCTTAGATTAAATGATGTCGTTAAACATTTTTATAAGAATAAATTATTATGCTAATGAAAGCAGATAAAAATGTAATGGTAAACTATTATCGTCGATGGACCCATTAAAATACATGTTTGAGTTCATTAACATTAGATAAAGCAGACATAATAGTAGCCGAATTATACGGCAGTTGATGGAAAAACATTGAAGGTTTAAAGAAGAACGCAACGCTTCTTCTTTTTGGTCTTTGTTCCGCTGTTAGCTTTATATTTCAGCATAGAGGCACGGGCAGCGGTTTCAAATACTTCTTGCACACCCTCATTAAGTTTAGCAGAGCACTCAAGGTATTTATAGGCGCCAATCTTTTTAGCGACAGTTTCGCCGTCCTCATAAGGAATTGGCTTTTGAGAGGTTTTGGAAAGTTCCTCAATTACTTTGGGATCATTGCGCAAATCATTTTTGCAACCGACAAGTATGATAGGAAGATTGGAGCAGAAGTGCAAAACTTCAGAAATCCATTTTTCTTGCACATTGTCTAAACTTTCAGGAGCATCAATGGAAAAGCAGATTAAGACGACATGAGAATCTGGATAGGAAAGAGGACGAAGACGGTCATAGTCTTCTTGACCAGCAGTATCCCAAAGAGCTAACTCAATGTGACGACCGTCGACATCCACGTCTGCAACGTAATTTTCAAAGACTGTAGGCACATACACCTCAGGAAATGTACCCTTGGAGAAAACGCTAAGGAGAAGGGTTAGCATGTTTTCATTATAAAGGTACGAATACGTACATAAGCAAACAAGTTTTACCGCAAGCACCATCTCCAACGATGACCAGTTTACGACGAAGTTCTGTGGACATGATAACAAGGGATATTAATAAGCTTCAAGGGAAGAATAATATGTCCTTTTCAGAATTTAAATTTAAGTGAGTTTGAAGAAAAAAAATTAGGAATGATTAGGCAAAAATATTGAAGAAACCCCTTTCAAAAAATAGAAAGAATAAAGAATGCTATAAGAAAGAGTAGCAAATTTTGAAAAAGAGAGAAAAGAAATGCGAATTAGATGAAAACTTAGAAGTAAAACAGCCAAAGAAAGTAGTAAGAAGACTTTGAGGAAGCCTTTAGAATATGAAATTCTTATCAATTCTAATGCTTTCTTTTGATGAATTAATGAGTAAAGTAAACAAATGAAGACGAGTAGTGGTAAAGAGTAATTGCATTGGCAACGCTTCTTGCCCTCACTTAAAGGGGAAAATAACATCCTACGACTTGCGTCATAAAAATCATTTAAGGTAGATTAAAGTAATTTAAAAAAGTGTTACAAATTTGGCTATCTTGCTTTTGGTAATGCGTAAAGCTGCGTATAGCTATCAAGGTAACGGCTGCTTTATGTTTACGAACAGTTGTTTACATGAAATTTCAGCTTTTTCGGTGGTACGTGTCTGTGTGTTTGCTCGCATTTCTATTATTTTAAATTAATTTTCTTAAAGGGAATTACAAAGGATCTATAGGGAGAAATTTGCTATTTATGATATTTTGTATTAAATGAGCATGATGCAGTACTTGTCCAGTCAACGAAAATCCATTCATTCTATAAACAAGACGAATTTCTGGAAAACATCAAAAAGAATACTTTGTCCCGTGCTTTCAAGTACTAAGTATACACCACATAGTTAGGTATGAGTTTGAAAATGCAAACTGTGTCATGCAAGCTTTTCAAGAAGCATAATCAGTACCTATTCATTGGAAAGAACACTTTTTTCTGGATCTCAATTTTCATAGTTACATTCAATAAAATTGATCGTAAACCAAAGTGAAATAGAACGATCGATGGAGATCCTTTTTCTTATTCTTAAACGTAGGCGAAAAATAAACACGAAATAAACAAGAGCTATAAATTCAAATAGTGCAAACTAAAATCAATACATTACATACATATCTACATATATACTTTTTCTTTATTTATTTTACTTTCAAACAGGAATTGTTTACATTCCTCAATCTCCGTTTGTTTACAAAATACTGATATACGCTCTATTGCGCTAATGAGCTTAATGGATATTGACAAGGCGATGCTAAACGCAGAGCAGAGACATGCACTTGCAGCCAAATCGTTACCGTACGAATGCCATAAAAACGTTTTGAACCGGGTGGAATTGGTGAAAATAGTCGCTTCTTTGTATTTGTCGCGTTGATATTGATTAAAAGAGACTTTAGTTTGTTCCACCTTGTCCAAGTATTCATTCTGTGACGCTCTCCTCTGAGCCATTTCTAGAAACATAACTAGAAAAGCGAATTTTGCGATAAGTAATCCCTGCTAGTATAAGTTTTCGTGAGCATAAAGCATGAAATCAAAAGAAGAAGAGGAAGAGTATGATCTCTCTATGTCTATGGTAGACGAACCAAGCTATACAGACCTTGCAGACGATTCTACTTTAGAACCCCTAACCAAGCAAGTAAGCCCTGGAACGAAGTTGCGGATGAATGTCGGCAACTGGTTTAAGAATGGCATGGCGATGCTGGGGAATTTTTTATCTCTCAGCTTTTTCCTTGTTATTATAGTCTTGGTCGGAATTGCATTTGATGTTGGTGGAAAGTTTTGTGGACTGGTATGCATTTCAATAATTTAGAAATATTTATTTTACGATACCATCATTTTCATTTTCATATTTTCAGCAGTTTACGGATTGTGCTAACTTAGATGTTCACTTTAGGTTTTGACACTCGCTCTGGAAGCGTATTTTTGTTCTGTTGCTTTGTTAAAGCTTTTTGGACTTCGAAAAATTGCCGTCATTCTTCATTTTCTTGAACCCTTACTCGTACTTCAGCTATTAATTATTGTCCTTAATATTTCACCCAGTCTTGAACAAAACAAAATTGCAAACTATGTCATTCATGCTTGGAATATGATACTTTTACACTGCACTCCTCTTTTCAATTTGTTAGAAGGCTTTGCATCTTTGCTTGCCATACAAGCTCTTGGTCATTTAGGTCGCTGGCTTGTACATTACAAGTCCGAAAACTGGATGGTATGTTGATTTACTATTTAAGCTATGTTATCTTTTATCTAACTATCAGTTTTTCATTCTCCTTAACGCTAGTAGCGTTATCTCGATGAGTTTATATTTACTGTACCGCGTTTCCTCATTCACGATATCAAATCCTAATGCAGTCATGATTGGTTTTTCTTTGGCTGCTGTTACGGTAGTTTCCATTTATGGTGTCTCTTCGGGAAGAGCTAGTCTTTCTGAGGCTTCTCTAATGGTACGTCTTATTTTTCATTCGTTCATTATTTTTAACAATTTCTAGTTTTCGTACATTGCTTACACTGTATATATGGTTTGCACTGATTTTGGAAATCCAACTACAATTTCAACGCAAAAACCAAACTTTGACTACCTACCACCGGACGTGTTACAGAGGTAAGTTTTTTAATGGTTTCACACCTCCTATTTTCAAGAAAATGCCATTGCTAACATCAAATAGTGTTCATCATCTACTTTCTTCTATCTCTGCTATTTTTCCAAAGACCCTTTCAAACATTGCTTCCTTTATGGTTGCAGCCATTAGGACAGTTGCACCTAGCGTGTTTGCTACGTTCGCCTATCGCATAACAGTTATGTATGCAGTGACTCGAATCCTTCCAGCTATACAGCAGAATATAGTCTATCTTGAATATAGTCGAACAACAAAGCAGAGCTTATGGACGGTTATCTCACCTTGTATATTGATCGCTGTCTATACAAATTTACTCCTTCAGCATCTGTATCCTACGCCTTCTTTTGGTTCCCTTACCAACCAGATTCTTTGTTCAGCAGAGATATGGCGATGGGTCAGTGCGATATTGACCATTATTTTATACGCTGTTGAATTAGCATACAGCAAAGAGAGTAATACGGGACAAGCTCTTGCAAGTCATTTTAAGCTGGACTAATTATGCTGCAAAAGCCATTCAATACCAATATTTATCTTCTCACGCTCGTTTCTCTGTTCTTTTCCCCTAATATAGATACTTTAGTTTTTACCTTAGTTCTACTTTTATTAATTTAATTTTAGCAGTCGAATTTTTATCATTGATATAAGTTTGTTTAAATTTTAAACTTGTAATCAAAGTAGGGCTACTTCAAACTACATCTTACACTTTAGCACCGTTCAAAATACATTTCCATAGTTTTATCCTTTTTCAACACATCATACACCTCAAAATAAGCAAATCACCTTTATATATTAATGATTTTAAGCTCTAGGCTTCTCCTTCTTTTCGTGGAAGAGGGCAGCAAGACCGACACCAGCGACCTTGACGACCTTGAAACGGACACCGGGAATATCACCCTTAGCCTTACCCTTACGACCGAAACCAGAAAGCAAGACTTCGTCGTTCTCGTCAACAAAGTTAAGACAACCGTCGTTGGGAACGAAAGCGGTAACCTTCTTACCGTTCTTAATCAATTGGACACGAACGCACTTACGAATGGCAGAGTTGGGTTGCTTGGCTTCAACACCAATCTTTTCGACGACGATACCCTTGGCGTGAGAAGAACCACCGAAAGGAGAAGACTTGAAGGCAGTACCTAACAAGCGCTTCTTGTAGTGAGCATCAGCCCAACGCTCTTCACGACGGTGAGTACGGAGCTTACGAGCGGCGTTCAATCCTGCGGGTTTACCCATTTTGTAGTTTAGAAGGTTGCGGCTAATTTGGAAAGAGAATTGTTTCCCTTTCCTTTATGGTATAGGCAGTCACAAAACCCTACCCTTCATGTTTTAGTGAAAATAGGTGCCACATCGTTATAAAACTTTAAAGACGTATTGGAGCGAAGGAAAAGAGCCATGAAAATTCAAATAAACAGAGGAACGAAACCAGAACACTGAAAGGTGTGAGCTGCTGCTTTTTGATATTTTGAAAGGGTTTCAGGGTTAATTGAGGATATTATATATATAAAGTCGATTATTAATATAAACGAAGGACTTGTGAGACGTCTTCTTAGAAACATTCAATTTTAATTGAGCCAACTGAAAAAGTATATCATCTCATGGCAGAAGAAACCGCGGACATTCTTGAGCCTACTTCATTTTTATTCCCAAATGAGCAAGCTTCAAATCAATTAGTTGAGGAGGCCATCAGATACTTCTCTGCTGTCAAAGTTCCTTCATCTAGTCCTATTCAGAAAGTCGTTACGAAGAATCTTGATGCTTGGCAGGTCTATAACCAACTAGCCATTGCTGCAAAGCATACACTAGATGATCTTCCAGATTTAGATGTTGAGGAGGATAGACCGTCAGATGAAGAGAGTTATGCATCTGAAGACTCGCAGGAAGAAAATCAATTCGAAGCATTACCAGCCGAGAATCCAGCTGAGGATGTGGAGAATGAGGAAGAAGAATTTTTAGGGTTTTCTGATAGGGGAGATGAAGAGAACGATCATTTGAGCGATGAAAATATTGAGAACGAGGATTTGGAAACTGGCAATTCTAATGAGGAGGACGAGAACGAACAAGTGCAAGAAGATCAAGAGCCCAAAAAAGACGTGTTTGGTTTAAACGACAAATTCTTTGATATAGACGAATTCAATAAGCAGACTTTAGCTTTGGAAGAACAGGAGGACGAGCAAAATCACGAGATTGGCGAAGAAGAAGAAGACGACATTGATTTGTTTGTTGATCCTGAAGAAGAAGATGAGGAGGAAGAAGGTGGCCCTCGTGCTGATTCAATCTTGTATGAAGACTTTTTTGGTCCAAAATCTGCGAAAGGCCGTCGTGAAGTTAGTAAAAAGAAGAAGCGTGACGCTGATGCTAGTAAGAAAAAAAAGGCGAAGAGAGTACCAAAACCCGAGGAATCTGACGAAGAAGAAGATCAAGAGGAACCCCAAAACGATGATAATACCTTTGAACGCGTTAGAAAAGACCTTTTTGCCGATGAAGAGGAGGAAGAGAATGAGAATTCTCAACAACTCCTCTCTTCTTATGAACGTGACAAGGCTCGAATTAGTCAACAAATTAAGGAGTTAGAATCTGAAAACGTCGCCAAGAAACCCTGGACATTGATTGGTGAAGCAACATCCAAAAGCCGTCCCAGTAACTCACTTCTTGATGTTGATATTGATTTTGAAACTGGTGCAAAACCCGTACCCGTGCAAACTGAAGAGACAACATCTGCACTTGAAGACGTAATTAAGAATCGCATCCTAGAGAAGAGATTCGACGATGTACCTCGTAAAGCACCTAGCTCACTTCCCGAATTTCGTCCAAGCGAGCTATTTGAGCTTGATGAAAATAAGCCTCAGCAATCTCTGGCTGATATATATGAGGAGCAGTACATGAAGAAAGCGAACCCCGATACTTATCAAAGTGGAGTTGACAAAAAGCGCCAGGACGATTATAATGAGATTAAAACCTTGTTTGAAGATGTCAGTTACACTTTGGATGCTCTCTCTTCTTGGCACTATATTCCAGCTCCTGCTGAGGCCAATGTGCAAGTTGTATCTAACGCCCCTACATTAGCGATGGAAGAAGCTCAACCTACTGCTTCATCTGATGCCATGGCTTTGGCTCCTCAAGAAGTTTATCAACCCTCTATGGATAATCGCCAGAACGAGACTGTCGAACGCTCTGGTATCGCTGTATCAAAGGCTGAAATGGATCACTCAGAGAAGCAAGCTCGTCGTAGAAGAGTTCGTACTAAGCACGCTGAAAAACGCAAACAGTTGGGTGAAAAGAGACGTGGTACTGAAAAAGAGCAAGTCGTGCGTCAACTGTCTCGTGCTGATGTTCAAGTCATTGGTGCTGGCGGAGAACGTAAAAGAATCTCTTCTAAATCTAAAGATAAACCTGCTGCGGCGCTATCCTCTAATCAGCTTTTACTTTAAGATTAATGTTTTAACGGTTCATTTTCTGCATTCATTAAAAAGAATTGTTTGGGATATAAAAATTTTTGTTTTGGACTTTACAATTGGGTCGCGGTGACATAGTAATTAGAATTTTAGGGATAAAAGATAATAAATTATAGTATTGAAGATAAATTATAGTATTGAAGGCTTTCTCATTTGTTAATTCGTTCATTCATACCACTGATTCCACTTTTCTTCTAGTTCCGGAAGGCATCTAAATGGAACGCTTTCTACGCTTTCAAATCCCTCTTTGACGCTTGGCTTTTGAAACTTTGAGCGGAACGAAACATACGCCACTTCTGGTAGGCCTTTAATCTGTAAAGCGTTAGTATTTCACAATAATTGGCACGCCTGATGAATAATAGATACCTCTTGCTGAATATATCTAAAAGTGTTATTGTGTTTAGCCAATTGTTCAGGTACTTCTAAATAAATACAACGCGCGGGAACATTAAATTCTTTAGCTAGCTTAACCCAAACTTCTCTAGCCTCATAAGTAGGACTGGTATTATCTAAACGTTCAGTAAACACCATGCAGTTGCAAACGTACCAATAACGACTGATTTATTATTTTTTAATGCTTCCACTGCTGCTTTTACACAACGTGCTTTAGTTTTAAGAGCATCTTGATTAACTCGTTGATATCCAAAAGGCACTATTTGCGATTCACATAGAGTGCTTTTACCAGAAGCTGGATAACCAACAAGGACAACAATTTCTTGATGTTTTGCTGGTACAAATTTATAAGGCTGGGAGGTTTTATCCTCTTGAAGGAACATTTTTGGATGAAATGAAGAAAAATCTGGGCGATCAAAGGGCTCGCCTGTAAAAAAATGCTCTGGAGTATCAAATTTTATACCAATATTCTCGGCAAACTTGAGGTCGGTAGAGTTATGATTACGAGGACGTCCTGCGGCATCGCCAACAAAAAAAGCAAGAGATTTGTCTGAGTGAATTAATAATCACGATCCTTTTGCTTGAAAACATGATACTTACCTATCGGATGAGCCCACCTTTCTACAAAGTGATCCCACATACCTTGCAAAGGCTTACGATACTTATCTCTTAACAATGCGGCATATAGAATTACAGGAAGATCCAGTGACTCTAATATAGCACGAACTTTTATTTGAAACTGATGTCCCGTTGATGCGCGTCTAGGAATTCCATTCTGATTACTGAAAATGACAATAGAGAAGCCCTCGGAATCCAACTTTTTTAAAGTTGGAACGACATTCGGATGCCACCAGAGCCAATCTCCTGCGTCTTTGGCGAAAACTCGACCCGACTTGGTTTTTATTAAGGTCCCATCCAGATCAAATGTAGCAACTTTTTCGGATTTCTTAGGTTTTCCATACGTTGCTATGTACAAAGACTCTGTAATCTCCCAAGTCAATTTGCCGTCTGTTACTGTAGGGTCTTTATTTTTTTGTTTTTTATACTCAGAGTCATCAAAATAAGAATTTATAGAAGATTGAGGTGCTAATTTACGTTTCCCCATGTCGAAAAGCTGTGGAATAAAACGGTAAAATCAAAATTAAGGGTTAATAGTCCAATTACCAAATTAAACGATTACTAGTTTCGAACCTGCTTCACAGTCTTCTAAGGTTACGTTTATAATAAATAGACATTGATTCGTCAAACCAAACCAAATTAACTGCTTCTTTCCAAAATTTCAGAAAAAAATATTTATAAAAACATGAAACAAAAAAATCAGACAGAAGAGTGCTTTGGTGGACAAATTATGTAAATGGAAAGCAAGTCTACCTAGTATCATATTAAGTGAAATCAACTGCCATTGAACGATATACCAAGGTGTCACTTAATAAGTGACGGTTTTCTGTATATCAAGAAATTCTACTTGGCTTATTTATTTCCATTTTAGAATAATAGTTTATGTAAATAATAAATAAAGTAGCAATCCTCCATACTTCTGGCCTGGACACTATTTTAAAAAGGACAAACTGGATATCTCAAGCACCAAAAAATTCTTCCTGAAGTGTAATCTAAAAGTATTGGCCCTAGGCGTCCTTTTTTTTGTAGTATTCCAAATGTTTATTAACTATCTCCAGTGTTCAGATGCTGTCATTACTCGGACTAAAATACTAAAGAATATTGTTTTTACCCAGCGGTATAACTATATAATGTCAACAAACGGTTAATAAACAACACAATTGACTGAAAATTCAAAAGAGCGGATGTATTTCTTTTATCTATAGCTCTATTAAACTATGAGTTTCCAGGTCTCTCTGAAAGTTTCTCTGGAAACTCTTTTGTAACTGAACTGACAATTATACTTGAACATTCAACTCGTCACAGTTGGGCATGTTGAAATCATCAATATTATGATTTGATAAAGCTATGCTATATTAGTTAACATCTATAAGCTTAAAAGAATCCCCGCGTTACATAAAGTAAACAAATAACAATAATTGTGATACAGAAAATGGAATGGAACTTGTGGAACAAAGAAACAGATTTTGTTAGCGATTTTAGAAAAGCTATATATTCATCAGTCTACTGTCAGAATCTTCAGATTGGATGATTTGACTGGTTCGGCTAACTTGGACCACTTTTCCTGCAAATCATTAAGTTGGTCAGGTATATGGACATGAATGATTAGTGTCTATACACGTAATTCAACCAAGTCCACCAGGAGTGTATGCAACAACACTATTCTAGTTACTTATTCCACTAAAAATACATTCTTTTACCGGGGGGGGGGGAGAATTCTGCCATGATCGAAGACAAACAATTAAAATAATTGTTCAGTCTGGCGGTTTTTCTCAATTTTGACTTAGAAAGATCTTGTTTATCGAGCTATTTTAGTTTGTTTTGCTGCAAGAGACAATGTGGTTAGTCTACAAGGCATCAGGAACATTACCAAGGAACTATTTCAAGCCAATATTAACAATCATTTTTTTAAATATTCTGGACAATGAACAATTGTATTCCACCCAATTAGAATTAATAGTAAATGAGTCTGCATTCCCGTAACAGGGCATATTTTATATAATATCTTATTAACAGAAACCATCACGAGGAAGAATATGTATTTAGTTTAAAGGAAGATTCAAACAAACATTTTATTGCTATATTTATTTTTACACTTGTTGTTTTTACTAGTTTGGTATCCTAAAGGTGTGAAGTACAAAGAATTTAATTGACAATAAATAAGCATGAAAACGATGGTCCGAAGAAAAAAAAATATTTGATTCTTTAAAATAGAATAATTTTTATTTTTCTTCTATATAAAATTATACTGTTCATAATATTCCGAATCACTTTGAAAGCCTTTTATCACGGAAGCGAAAGTTGACTTCCACCATTCCCAAAGACAAAATGAGTGAATTCAGTACTCGTCAAGTCGGTGCTTTGAACACCTTGGATTATCAACTCTTTATTGAAAAGAACGGTTCCCCTGTTTCTGCTTGGCACGATGTCCCTTTGTATGCCAACGCTGAGAAGACCGTTTTGAACATGATCGTCGAAATTCCTCGCTGGAGCCAAGCCAAGCTTGAAATCACCAAGGAAGCTACTTTGAACCCCATCAAGCAAGACACCAAGAAGGGTAAGCTTCGTTACGTCCGTAATTGCTTCCCTCACCACGGTTACATTTGGAACTATGGTGCCTTCCCTCAAACCTTCGAGGATCCCAACGTTGTTCACCCCGAGACTAAGGCCAAGGGTGATAGTGATCCTTTGGATGTTTGTGAAATTGGTGAGGCCCGTGGTTACACCGGTCAAATCAAGCAGGTCAAGGTTTTGGGTGTTATGGCCCTCCTTGATGAAGGTGAAACTGACTGGAAGGTTATCGTCATTGATGTCAATGATCCTTTGGCCCCCAAGTTGAATGACATCGAAGATGTCGAGCGTCACATGCCTGGCTTGATCCGTGCTACCAACGAGTGGTTCCGTATCTACAAGATCCCTGACGGTAAGCCTGAAAACTCCTTTGCCTTCAGCGGTGAATGCAAGAACCGTAAGTATGCTGAGGAAGTTGTCCGTGAATGCAATGAATCTTGGGAACGTTTGATCACTGGTAAAACTGATGCTAAGTCTGAATTCGCCTTGGTCAACACTACTGTCTCTGGCTCTGTCGCCAATGATGTTTCTGTTGCCAACACTATCCCTGCTGCTAATGAACTTGCTCCTGCTGATGTTGACCCCTCTGTTCACAAGTGGTTCTACATCTCTGGCTCCCCTCTTTAAGCATATTCATTAGAAGCGAGTTGTAGACTGTACGTTATAGATACATACCTTCCTTGAGAATAAAGTTGTTTCTTCCGATTATTTTTTAGTGCTTCTTAGTATCCACCAATCCATCGGGTTTCCATCAAAACATTTCTACTAGTATTAAGTTGAACGTCATATTCGTTTGCGACAAGACGATCCGAAAGCTTATAAATTTAACAATAAATTTAACAAACCTTCCTATTTCTTTGTTTTTATAAAACATGCATCAATCTCTAATCAAATCAAAAAAATTTACTAAAAATCAATACTTGTTGAAACGTTATTGACTTCAGCTAAGCTACTTAAATGCAGATATATTATTTCATTAATATTCATTATAAAGACATATTACATTCATCACAAAATCGCATAGAAAACTGACAATCGAATGCTTCATTATCTTCGAGTTATTTATCTTCCATTATAAAGTTCAGCTAAACGCTTGAGTATAAGCCTAGCGCCTTCGTTTGTCTTCCAGACTTCATGTGGAGCATCATTAACTATATCCCAAACTGTATTGTCTGTAAGCTTGCTTAATTCTCTTTGCTCTTCCGACCATTTCTTCACACTTTTCAAAGTATTTCCCGAAGTAATAATACTAACTGGTAACTTCTTGGGAAGCACAGCTTGTGCAGATTGTAATTCGTATTTTGAGAATGTTGGTCCTGTGATTGACTCTTCAAGCTTAGCTTTTATCCATCGATCAGACGTCCAAGAATAAAGTCCATAAACACGATCTTTTCTATTTCGTCCCATAAAAATAGTTCCAAGCAAACGATTTATACCCAAAGGTGAAAGCCATCCTCGAAGAAACAAGAAAAAACGACTGACGAAGCTACCAGATCGCTCCAAAGAATGGACTGATCCGGAGTCTATCAGCAACATGCCTTTCAGTTCTCCGAGATGGCGAGCAGCAAAAATATTAGAATAGGTACCTCCAATACCATGACCAACTAAAATGTAAGGGCCATGCACGTCCGCTTGCGCAAGGGCTTCCGTAAGCAGATCTTCAACCATGCCGATAGAGGAGGGTGATCCAATGTTATCAGACCAACCCATACCAGGACGATCCCAAACGCAGACACGGGTGTCAGGAGGAATAAAATCAAGATCAGCTTGATCCTTGACGTTGTCTTGATTCCAATAGTTTTTGGTTGGAATGTCTCCAGTATGATGGAGATTTAGGATCCATTCCTTAAAAGGGTGCACAGACACTTCACCTCCTTCAATTAGGACAGTGGAGCGGTTGGGAGAACTTGTGCTTCCAAAACATTCCAAGTGGATTCTAGCTTTACTATCGGTTACCGTGTAAAGTTTCCCGGGCGCGGTAAGATTACCGTCGTAAGCACGAAGAGCTAAGGTCAATACGGTATGGATGGTCAGAATAGTAAGGATAATGGAAAAGATCATAGAAATTGTTAATTTGCTAAATCTTCTCCAAGGCCAAGTAGTAGGGGACAAAGTCCAACGTTCACTGGAACCAACGACATATTCTGGATGTTCTTCTTTGTACTGACGAAGAAGCATCCTGTCAGTTACGATAATCCAGATACTCATTAAGAAAGCCCAAAAAACGAAAAAGATTCCTCTCCAACCTTCTCTATGTCGAAGAATAGGGCTGATGACAACAAGTAGTACATCAATGGCTAAGAGGAAAGCGTTAATGCGTTGAGTAATCCTTTCAGGTGCATTAGGAGAATATACAAAGGTAAGTTGCATCGCCAGGAAAAGTGCTGACAAGGCGGTAAATCCAATTGGTGTAAAGCCGGTGGACAAATGACTCAAAATCGGAATGGATATGAAGACATTTATGAGTAGTAGCAAATGAACAATTAACGTAAAAATTAGTAGGCTTAAAGAGGTACTTCGAATCCAGTAAAAGAGTGGTGTTAAAGCATATAGGTTTGTCTCTTCTGGAATGACTCCCTGATGAGAGCCTAAAAATCTAGGGAGTAAGGTAGACCGTTCATTCATATCACCGGCACTGGCCGGTCTGGGTGCGGGAGCATTGGGATTGACATCCATGTTTTCTGATACAGTATTCTTTATATTTTCCGCGAATGTTTAGTGAAATAAGGGGTTCGTTGCTATAATAAGTCCTCTACTGTATCCGGTAAAAGAAATTATTGGCAAACTAAACAATATATTTAAAAATCGTTTTTCTTTTCGTTGATTTTACAGAATAGTGTGGTTCTTCGTGTGCAAGAAGCGAAATGAATGTGAATTCAACGATTATTATCCAAAAAAAATAAAGCTCCGGTCAAGTAGGTTCTTTAATATTTGTAAAACAAATATATACCGTGTTTATACGTAAACGATGTAGGAATACCTACTGCGTCGACTCAACGTAATGGATTGATATGAGCTTGATTTTGGCCATCGGCAGATTCTAAACAAGGCAAATGAAGTATAAGATAATGAGTCAGAAAGAGAGAAAAAAAAGCCTTCTTTTAGCTGGGAAAACGCACAGCTTGTGACGTTCGATATTAGATTCACATGAAGTCTCTTTCTGACAACTTCCGCTTGTCAAGAAAATGTTTGTGTACCAAAATAGAACTTCTAACTGAAAGAGACAGCTTGTATTCCCAAGGATCTTCTAGAACTCCTCACACTTTTTCAAAATGAAAAACCATCAAAAACCATAAGAGCTCAATTTGTTTACCATGGCGTCATCAATAAGTAACGCAGCAAAGTGTTTTCATAGAGGCAAATGGCACTGTCTAAGAAGGCACGCCACCACAGAATGCAAAGTGGGGGAACAAATTCTATAGCTAGCCAGGAAGGGAAAGGTAAAAGAAGAGAAAGGAAGCAAACATTCGCGGTAGCTCATTTTGAGAAGATAAACAAATTGAGAGTAAAGGAAGGATTGTACGGTTGAAAACGTGTCATGGATACCGAAAAAGGAAGCCAAGATGAATACGGGTTATTGTGATTTGGAAAAGTTCGTAACAGTATTCAAATGAGCCGTAATTTCTTCACCTTTTTACTCGAATTTTCTTATTAAACTGCCTTTCATTATTCTTCATTTATTTCCACATTGTAACGAAAAAATGGCTCGTTTTCTATATTTTTAGGTGGATCTACCCTTACTGCTAATTAATCAACGTTTGTTTACTTTTTTGCGTTCCATTACAGTCATATAATAAAATAACGAATGTAAACAATTAGAATTATCAAGTATAACGCACACATTAAATTTCGTTAAAAGCTTCAAGAAAGCATTGCACGGCTTTCTACCCGCATCAACACAAGCGCGTTTCCATCCGAAATACAATCAAAAGTTCAATTTTTCAATCATTTTCCTTTTCGTACCTGGAATTGTTTATTGTATACAATTTTTTGAGCTACTGTTTTGTTTGAGCACGGAAAGTCATTACTTGGCTGTGTTATAATACAGTTTAACCACGTTACCTTACTGGTCTAAGTTCCTGATAAATTCGCTTGAAAAGCTTGTCTTATCTTAAAAATGAGCTCTGATGGATTTGATTATACGAATCTGTTACCAATTGCAAATGTGGCGCGTATAATGAAAAGCGCTCTTCCTGAAAACGCAAAAATATCAAAGGTATCAATTGTTCTGCAAATGTGCTTCCAAATGTCACCACAAAGGAATAGATAACATATGTCCATTTCCAATAATCTTTGATGGCTTTCATAAGCCCAAAATTAGGGTCTTGGGGTGTTACATCCTTATATATTTCTATCTACTTTGCTTTGACTTGGGCCTGAAGTTAACAAATCATAGGAAGCCAAGGATTGCGTTCAAGATTGTGTCAGTGAATTTATCTCGTTTATTACGAGTGAAGGTATGCTGTGCCTTATTACTTTCATCGTTTTGTTAACTCACGTATAGCTTCTGAACAATGCACACAGGAAAAACGTAAAACAATCACCGGAGAAGATGTTTTGCTTGCCATGAATACCCTTGGGTTTGAGAATTACGCTGAAGTATTGAAAATTTCTCTAGCAAAGTACCGTGAGGTATGGATTCTATCAAAAGAGCTTGCATAGTCAAGTGATAACACTCTTTAAACAAATCACTTTAAGCTTAAACTAACCTAATATAGCAACAAGCCAGGTCGGCCAGCATGAAAGAATCCAAACAAACTCGCATTGAAGAAGATTAATAATTGTAAAGGAAGTTCATGATCTTGCTTAAAACTTATGCATATGAAAAGTCCTTAATGCGCTTTTCTTTTCTTTTCTTTTTTGTTTTGTTTTTTCTCTTGTTCCTTTTTAAGTATTACATCCTCCACCAATTGTGTAGGTATCTTTGCTAATTCTGCCTCAATACCCTTGCTGCCCTGAGAGTATTTTTATGTTTACGTAAAAGCGTTTGGAGTCCATTTTTTCTTTCACAAAGTAAGTTACCGGAAAGGCTGAAAGGCTCAAAGGCTCAAAGATAAATTGCAATCGTAGTCTAATTGACTATCATTCCAGTTGCTCCTCTGTATATTAATAGCGACCAGCAATCACAGCTTTTTTTTTTGGTCTATTGTTGTCATCGCTAAGTATCACATACACAGTTAGCTAATTTTTTAAATGAAGTGAATTGATAAGCATCTTATTTTTTCTTGTACGTGTATACTACTCAAATCTTTTCTAACTGCCATCTATGAATAAGTATTTAATAAAATCGTTTATATTAAGTATGTATCTTATTCAATTGATCGAACATTTGATTTTAGTATTTTTATACATTTAATACCATGTCATAAAAGAATTCCCTTTTATTTTCAGAATCCACCTTCCTTCCACCACGGATGTTTGAGTATGCAAACCGCTTTGCAATCTTTCACATAAAAGGATTTAAAGGATTCTACCTACAACCATTATATAAAAGAAAACTTAGCAGTTTTAATCTGGATCCCTCACTATCTCAGCTTCATAAAAATTTTCGAGCCACTAAAACTTACCGTTTACCACTACATCAACGTACCCTTATGACCATCCCAACCGAGTCGATTGAGTGGCCTGCTAATAAGGTTAGGAGCACTTTCTTAAAATTTTTTGAAGAGCGAGGACATACCGTCGTTCCTAGCTCCTCTGTAGTCCCTTACGATGATCCTACGCTTCTCTTTGCCAATGCTGGTATGAACCAGTTTAAGCCTATTTTTTTGGGAACTGTAGACCCTTCTCACGAATATTCCAAGCTTAAACGTGCTGTTGACTCTCAAAAGTGTATTCGTGCTGGTGGTAAGCATAATGATCTTGAAGATGTCGGCAGAGACAATTATCATCACACCATGTTTGAAATGTTGGGCAATTGGTCATTTGGTGATTATTTCAAGAAGGAGGCTATTCAGATGGCCTGGGTATTGCTTACCGAAGTGTATGGTCTAGAAAGGGATCAGCTTTATGTCACCTACTTTGGTGGTCATGAAGAATCTGGCTTAGAACCTGATTTGGAAGCTCGTCAACTTTGGCTTGACATTGGTATCCACGAGTCTCGTGTTATTCCTGGAGACCTTAAAGATAATTTCTGGGAAATGGGTGATCAAGGCCCTTGCGGTCCCTGTTCAGAAATTCACTATGATCGTATTGGCAATCGCTCTGTACCTGAACTCGTCAACATGGATGATCCTAATGTCCTGGAAATTTGGAACATTGTGTTCATACAATACAACCGTGAAAAAGATGGCTCTCTTCGCCCCCTCCCTAATCGCCATGTTGACACCGGTATGGGTTTTGAGCGTCTAGTGTCTGTCATTCAAAATAAGACATCTAATTACGATACTGATGTGTTCACTCCGCTCTTTAAAAAAATACAAGAGCTTACCGGTGCTCGTCCATATACCGGAAAAATGGGTGACGAAGATGTGGATGGTATCGATACTGCTTATCGTGTAGTTGCTGATCATGTTCGTACCTTGACTTTTGCTATTAGTGATGGCGGTGTCCCTAATAACGAAGGACGCGGTTACGTTTTGCGTCGTATCCTGAGACGTGGTGCTCGCTATGTCCGTAAAAAGTTTGGTGTTCCTATCGGAAGCTTTTTCTCCCAGCTCTCTCTTACTGTCGTCGAACAGATGGGTGAATTCTTTCCAGAGCTTTACAGAAAGGTCAACGATGTACGTGAATTATTAGACGACGAAGAAGTGTCCTTTTCTAAAACTTTGGATCGCGGTGAAAAGATGTTTGAACAATATGCAGCTGCTGCCAAAAAGTCTTCCAGCAATATATTGCAAGGAAATGATGTTTGGCGTCTATACGAGACATATGGTTTTCCAGTCGATCTTACTCACTTAATGGCTGAAGAAGCAGGTATTAAGATTGACGAACCTGGTTTTGAAGCTGCTCAAACTCATTCGAAAGAAATGAGTAAGCGTGCTACCAAGAGTGGCTCTTCTGGTGGCGAACTGTTAGTTTTGGACGTTCACGCCTTGGGTGATCTTGCAAAAATGGACGAAGTACCCAAGACTGATGATATTTATAAGCACGATCATGCTACTTTAGAATCTGCCGTTAAAGCTATCTACCATAAGGATGGCTTCCAAACTGTTACTAAAGATTTTGAATCTGGTGAGCAATTTGGAATCTTGCTTGATCGTACCAACTTTTACGCTGAACAAGGTGGTCAAGAATACGACACTGGACATATCGTCATTGATGGCGTTGCTGATTTCCGTGTAACTAACGTTCAAGTTTATGCTGGTTATGTTCTTCATACAGGTTTTTTAGAATACGGCAATCTGAACATCGGTGATAAGGTTACCTGTGAATATGATGAGATTCGTCGTTGGCACTTAATGAACAATCATACTGTCACCCATGTTCTGAACCTTGCTCTTCGTAATGTTCTTGGGGAGGGTATTGAGCAACGTGGTTCTTTGGTTTCTCAAGAAAAGATGAGATTTGATTTTTCTTACAAATCTTCCCTTCCAATTGATAAGCTTTTGGAAGTCGAAAATTTCTGCAACGATCAAATTAGAAAGGATTTACCAGTTTATTCTAAGAATGTCCCCTTGAAGGATACAAAGGAAATTAATGGTCTACGTGCCGTTTTTGGAGAAGTCTATCCCGACCCAGTTAGACTTGTTTGTATCGGTGTCGACATTGATAATCTTTTACAGAATCCTAAGAATCCTGAATGGTATAATTACAGTATTGAATTCTGTGGTGGTACTCATGTTGCTAAATCTGGTGAAATTAAAGACTTTGTCATTTTGGAGGAAAGCGGTATTGCTAAAGGAATTCGTCGTATCGTATCCGTTACATCCACCGAAGCTAATCGTGTTTCTCGTGTTGCTAATGAATTTGACGCCCGCATTAATGAATTAGAAAAGATGCCTTTTGGTGCTGCTAAAGAAGCCGAATTGAAAAAGGTTGGCGTAGATCTTTCTAAGCTTACGATATCTGCCGTCCGTAAACATAACATGAGAGAACGTGTTGCCAAAATCACAAAGCAGTTCCAAGACCAGGTAAAGGCTGCTAATGCTGCTGAGCAAAAAGAAGCTGTAAATATGGTAGTTGAATATTTCAAGGAGAACCCTGAAGCTCATTTCGTTGTCGCTAAGGTCCCTATCTCTGCCAACCCTAAAGCCTTGAGCTTTGCTCTCGCCCATACGAAGAAGAACCTTAAAGGCAAGAGTGTCTACCTTGTAGCTTCTGACAATACAAAGGTTGCTCATGCTTGCCTTGTGTCAAATGAGGCTTTGCAAAAGATCACTCCTCAAGAATGGTCTCAAAAGGTTTGTTTACAAATTGGTGGACGTAGTGGTGGTAAAGGTGATACTTGTCAAGGTGTTGGTGAGAAGGCTGAGAATGTTGATGCTGCCATTGAAGAAGCTATCGAATTCTTCCAGGGTAAATTGACTTTGTAGTTTTATAATAGTATGGATTTGTACATTAATTGTGCATGTTAATAGAGATATTGTTTTGAATGTAAAGGATTTACATTTTAGTTCGCATTTTAATTGATGAGTTTGATTTCAGAAAGTTGTGGGAGTGTATGTTGTTATATAGAACGATTCACACACCAATCTAATATTAATGTTATTTATTCTCAGTGACCTTAGTCTTTTTCAGTTATTCGAAAAGTATATATAAAATAACGAATTCTGAGTTATGTCTTTGGTACTATATGGCAGCTCAGATACAGAAAGTAGTGAGGAATCAGACTTTTACGTGAAACAGGTTCCAAAACTCCCTGACTTTATTAAAGATCTTTATAGAAGTAAGAAAAATCAACTGGAAATTATTTACTAAACAAACGTTGATTAGAAAAGCGTAAAACTTTCGATAGTCCCAATTTCCACGAAGGAAGAAAGAGGACGAAGGCTCATGTCGAAGGTTTATGGGCAGTTCAAATTTACTTAGATGGTATGAATGCTATACATCCCAAGCAAAGCTTTTCGCTAACCGTAAAGTTGATTTTGATAATTCCTCTAAACAAAAGATTCAGGAAATTATAGCTTCGCAATCAGAGTTCAGAAGTTTGTTTACTTCGGAATTTGGTGTTGTGAGGAGTTTGCACTTGAGTTTGTCAGAACTATTTAGAATTGCATCTGATGAAAGAAAAGCTGTTTTAACAATTTGGAGACGGGAGTGTCAGCACTTACAACACAGGTAAGTGATGAAATTGACTTAATATGAATTGTAACTTACTCATTGTTTTAAAGAGCAATCAGATACAAGCTTCAGGACCCATGTCTTCTTTTTAATGATGATAGAACTCGAATGTTTTTTGTACTGAAAGCAACATTTGAAAGTGCTGATCTTTTGAAAAAATTGCTAGAAATTTCAAATAACTTAATGGAAAAATACGAAGGGAAAGAATTACGAAAGGTTCGTTTTATTTTACCATAAAAGTTCGCTCATAGCAACAAGTCTAACCTGAATTCTTACAGGACTTTCTACCCCATGTTTCGTTTGCTTGGGCACATGCCAAACAAGGTGATTTTGAAGCTTGGGAGAGTTGCGACAGGGAAAATCTACGATTTATAGAACTAGAAACACTGTTGAAACAATTCGAATCGGCGATGCTAAAATCCGTCTCATTAGAAAATAACAGCATGAAAATGGTAATGGGACATAAAATTCACTCTGTCACTCTGCAATAGATTTCTACTTGAGACTCGCGAAGAATGACTCCTTGTTCAAATCAATTCAAAAAGCATCCCTGAAAGTTTTGATCTAGGATAAGAAACTTAATAATTACAATACATACTTGGAATGCCTACGTACAGAATTTGTAACCAAACTATGACCTGTGTCCATCCAAGTATGGACTACTATGAATATGTTCTGCTGAACATTACATTACCTACTAGAATGCTTCGGTAAAAATTGCAATAAAAATACAAAAATACCTTACTATTCTCGTAACATATATAAAAATAGTTTCTCAGCTTTTATAAACACAAGTTTTGATTTTGTGTTTTTTTTTTGAGTTCGTTACACTTCGTTACTATAAACAACAAACTATAGCGTACGTTTCTAAAGTTGAACCCTACAATTTGAGAATAAGGTACACAGCTTTTGAACCGTCCTTTCACCAGCCAGGAGTTAGAAAGTTGTTCAATACACCGAGTCCAAGAATTTACGGTTCAGAAAAAGGGGTTCTTCGATAGAAAACAAGAAAAAAAAGACTGCAATCATGAATCAGAGTGAATGGGCTCCTGTAGTCTCAGTTTCGCGGGTTTGTAAGTGGCAGAAGTCAAATGAAAGAAGTATGTTAACAAAAAACAGACGCTCATGTAAATGAGGAGTTTCCCCGTGAGTATTGGGACTATGAAAACATGGAAGAAACTTTTGGGTATCAGGACAATTACGAAATTTTACGGAAAGTGGGACGAGGAAAATACAGTGAGGTTTTCGAAGGAATAAATGTTTTGAACAACTCTAAATGTGTTATAAAGGTGCTGAAGCCTGTTAAATATAAGAAGATCAAGCGTGAAATCAAAATTTTACAAAACTTAACAGGAGGCCCTAATATCATAGCTTTGCTTGATGTTGTTCGTGATCCAGAGGTAAGCTACAATAAACACGGTGACCTAATATTCTGTATCAGACGGGTTGTCTGTCATGGTGCTGTACAGCACCATGTTTCACCGTTCGTTTTTAATACAGGAAAAGCAGACTAACGAATTTTTAGAGTAAAACACCTTCCTTAATTTTTGAATATGTAGATAACATTGATTTTCGGACACTGTACCCTACATTATCTGACTATGATATTCGATACTATTCATATGAATTGCTGAAGGCATTGGATTTCTGCCATTCCCGAGGTATTATGCATCGTGATGTAAAACCTCATAACGTTATGATTGATCACAAAAATGGAACACTCCGCCTAATCGATTGGGGTTTGGCTGAATTTTATCATGCGGGAATGGAGTATAATGTTCGTGTCGCTAGTCGATATTTCAAAGGGCCAGAACTTCTGGTTGATTTTCGTGAATATGGTATGTATAAAAGAATTATGATGAAAGGCCTTGTCATGTATTTTTCCGCGATATACTAACCGTATAGATTACTCGTTGGACATTTGGTCCTTTGGTGTTATGTTTGCTGCATTGATTTTCAAGAAAGATACCTTCTTCCGTGGTCGCGATAATTATGACCAGTTGGTTAAGATTGCGAAAGTCTTGGGAACGGATGACCTTTTTGCTTACATTCAAAAATACCAAATCGTTTTAGACAGACAATATGACAACATCCTTGGGCATTACCCCAAGCGTGACTGGTACTCTTTCGTGAATCGAGAAAACCGACAATTGGCGAATGACGATGCCATTGATTTTCTTTCGAGACTTCTTCGTTACGATCATCAGGAGCGGTTAACCTGTAAAGAAGCAATGGCGCACCCTTATTTTAATATTTTGAAGCAGTTGTAAATTTATTTACTGAATTATAATATCCCTAATTGCATTTATAATGGATATTTTTTACACACCAAAATCATGGAAATATCGACTCATTGCTTGGAAAACGCCAATTTTTCAGCTCAGGGCACGTTCGATAGTCGTTGGTTTATACTCTAGTTGTTTTCAGCATATGTAGCTGAGTTTCTGAGATTCTTTTTGATACAGGTGGCTCAAAAAGTTGTAATTACCACTTAATGGCAGCCCTCATTTCCTCCCTTCACTTTTGTTCCCGAATGGAAAGGTATGATACTTCCTTTTCAAATTATAGGCATTTATCATAATAAAAATTCCTTCCATAAGCTGCTTGATTTCTTTTTTTTTTATTTTTTTATTTGCAATTTCACTTTCTATGGATATCGCGATTCCAATATGTTTAAACATAGACAAATGGGAGAACTAAATTTGTAATAAAATCAACAGAGAAGAGAATTCATTAACAGAATAAGATATTTTATGTATAGAACAGCTGAAATATAGAAGTTGCTTTTGTTAGTACGAATAGACAAATCGACAATGCCTTGATATTTGTCTCTTTTTTTTTTTTTTTTTTTATTTTATTAAACTTTTCTGATTTACAATCTTGTTAATTAGTTGAATTTATTCAATCCTTTGTTTGAAACTATTTGCTGCTCATCCTTGGCAGATTTTATTTGTTTTTCTTTCTACTTGTGTGTTATTCTAAAGAATCCACCACCAAGTTCAATCAGTTTTGTAAGGGAAGACAAGAAACGGGGAATTTAAGAAATCAAAAGAAATTGATTAAAGGAGAAAAGTTTGAAGAGTATAAAGGAACTCAAGCTGTTCAATTGGAGTTAATTTTTAACAAAAGCGTGACAAGTAAGAAAGAATATCTTGGGAAGTTTGATATCTTTGCATATTTTCCTAGCTGGCAGAACATTTATAAGAAAAGAGATGCTACGAAAAGAACCAACGGCCATTCAAATTACTGCAGAAGATGTCTTTGAGTATGATGATGAAAAGCTGAAAGAAAACCACGATTTCAGCTCACCGTCTCATGATGTACCACATCGACCCAAAGATACGTATACGTCCATGCAAGAGAAGAAAAATTTATCAAAAGAGCGAAGAATAGGAATTGCACCTGGACAAGACAATTATGCACTCCCCTAAACAGAAGGTAACGAATCTGTGTACAACTGAATGAATATGTCAGTAGTTGTAAGTTGTATACAGGAGATGAACCATACACATATTTTATTAATGCTATGCTAAGGATTGACTGATAGCGTGTCATCGGGCTAACAATCTAAATTGAAATTAAGATGCTATGAATGAAGCTTTCAAAAAAACGGGTTATCCAAATTATATATGTAGAGAAGTGACAAAATAAAAAAAAAGAAAAAGAAAAGCACTTGGAAAATCAACGAAAAGGCGTAAAAGTAGAATAGCAAATGTTTTATTAGATCAAGTGCGTAATATACCCTATACATCTCAAAATAAGGACGAATCTAAATTATTAAGAGAAAATAATAGGTGCGGGACGAAATTATAGAGAAGAGAATGAGGGGATGAAAGAAGGGTTTAAGCAGACTTGTCAGAAATCTTGGCTTTCTGTTTAGCCACAAGAGCATCATGCTCATCAATGTCAATAGCTTCCCAAGGATACATGATCCAGTAGTCGGGGGTGTTGCAGCCGGCAAAGTAGTAGTTGTCGAGAAGTTCTTTATCGAGCTCTGCATTCTTGGGTTTGACCTTGTTGTGGACGACAAAAATACCAAACCTAGTCTTCTCATGTTCACGGTTCAGTAACTTTGCTTGTTTCGCAACATCGCGCTCAAGCTCACGGACACCGTAGTGGAGAGTAGTACGGGTATCGTCGACCTCGTCAACAATCAAAATATTTTTTCCGACCAAGCTGACCATACCCAAAGTGCTGAAATCCAACCATTGAGTACGCTTGACCTCGACACCAGGGACTTCTTCAGGAGAATCGGTGGTTAGTTCCTCATACAAGCTAAGACCAATGGCCTGAATAGGAATGTTTTTGCTTCCCTTCTTTTTCAAGAAAGTACGGAGAATGCGAGCAGGAATAAAACCACCACCGCCAATGGCAATAATTACATCTGGGCGAAAAACCTGTAGTATGTTATTGGCTTGTTCAGCACACATTTTATGAATATCGTTGTAGCTGTAGTAAAGACGAACTGGCTCCATGTTTGTAGATAGATCAAAAACAAAAAAAATGCAAATTACGAAAGAAAAGGAAAACAAAGGATAAGATGGAAATACAATTCAGGTCCTAATGGAGGATTTAGGAGAACAATGAATTAAATTAGATGAAGTCAAAACAACAAAGGAAAAAATACAAATCAAGGTTCTTCGGGACAGATTGTTTTATAAACGTCGTTTGCGCTCTGTCAAAATCCCTATTTATACTTTTTTTCAAGGAAACCTATCTGATTATCACAATCCGAAAATTGGGAATTTACAGTCGAACATTTAGCTTAGAAGTCACGAACCCTACCCTAATATCAGTTAATGGATGCTTAAGAAATTCCTAGATGTAGGTAGTAGGGTCATGAAGGTGATGGGTAGATCAAGGGGAACCAAAAGACTGAACTGAAACTGGAGTGGTTTCTACAAGAGTCTAACGTTACATCCTCGTGGCCATAACTCAATGATGATCCTGGAGCCACCCATGGTCTTGTCGGTTCTACACCACACAGTCCCTTACATCAGAATCGACAGGTCTTTGGAGTCCATGCTTCAGCCAGTTTTATGGTTAGGAACGCAACAATGTGTTCAACCAGAGTAGTAGATGTGGTGATTGTATCTGAACGCACCCATTGGTTATTTAAAGATAAACAAGGAAGAACTTCATAGGAATGAAATAGTAGACGTAAAAATTAGAAAGGAATCAAGTTGGAGAATGAAATAAAAAAACGGTTGAAGAAACGAATCCTTAGAAAACGAGTACGCTCTCTCAACTATGGAACAATTGTAATAGAACGTTTGGTTTGGCTTAATTTGATTTTCCTTTTTTTTTTTTTTTTTTTTTTTTCAATTCATTGTATAGTACTGTTCCTGTATTGTTTTTTGTTAAACATATCTCAAAAATCTAAGCATACTTTTTATATATGCTTTATAGTATCCTTAAACTTCCGATTAAGCATATGCTTAGAATGATCCTATCATGCTGTTATTAGAGATGATCTGATATCAATCTCTACAAAATCCCAACTAAACACCATTTATTGCAAGACTTTTCTTTTTCTTTCTTTCTCCCTTTATATTTTTTTGTTCTCCTAAAAAAAAACTTAATTTATCTTTTGTCCGTCTCTTTTTGGTGCTCTTCTCAACGTTGGACCACCTCATCTCTTCTTGCTTTTGCCATATCTACTGGAAATAAGTTATATAAAGTTATAAACTCAAACCACCAAATCGCTAACCTTGATCTCTCTGAGATTAAAAGCTAAAACTACCAATTTTTGTGAATACTACAATACAAAAAAAATTAACCCTCAACTTTTGATTGCCATCAAAAAAATAGAATACTGGCTTGTTGAAGTTCTCTAAATTGCAAGCATCGCATTGCTACTTTTCGGCGACTTTTTCCCTTTCATCACTTTACACTAAGCAGTAGAAAGTTTGCGTGAGAGGAATTAATTGCCTTTGACGTGGCTTAACTTGTGTTTTTATAAAATTTTTCGGCTTGTTTTGATTTTGTTCTGTTCTTATCTTTTTCTGGTTTTTATTTTTTCGTATTGGTTTATTTCATTTTGTTGATTTTTTCCCTTCTTTCTTCTCGATTCAGTCTTCCATAGTCTTCATGGATCTTTCACGTCAAACCCGTATTGTCTTACTATTAAGCATTGACATCACCTTTTTCTTTATTGAAATTATTACCGGCTATGCGATTGACTCGCTGGCTCTCATAGCTGATTCCTTCCATATGCTTAATGACATTGTTAGCTTGCTCGTTGCTCTTTGGGCCACCAAGCTTGCCCATTCTACCGACTATGAGTCCAAATACACTTATGGCTGGCAAAGAGCTGAAATTTTGGGTGCTTTGGCCAATGGCGTCTTCTTAATTGCCCTTTGCATGTTCATTTTCATGGAAGCCATCCAACGCTTTATCGAACCGCCTTCCGTTAGCAATCCTAAACTTATGCTTGTCGTCGGCTCCATGGGTCTTCTCAGTAATATCATTGGTATGTTCCTTTTCCATGACCATAGTCATGCTCATGGCCACGATCACTCATCTCATGCTCGTAACTACGAATTCCCAGAAGAAATCGATGACATCGAATCTGTTTTACCTTCCACCATCGTCAATCGCTGTCATTTTCAAGATGTCCCTCATGACCATCCTGCTGCCGACATCGCTGCTACGGAAAACTCCCCCTTGCTAAGCTACATTGGCTTACCCTCTGGCTCCGCCTCTCCCCGAAAATCTTCTAGCAATCATGGTGCTATTCCCACTTCTTCGTCTCAAAAAGGACAAAAATCCAAACGTAATCTTAACATGCATGGCGTTTTCCTTCACGTATTGGGAGATGCCCTTGGCAATGTTGGCGTGATCAGCGCTGCCTTGGTCATTGGATATACGGATTACTCTTGGCGCTATCTTTTTGATCCTTGTGTAAGTGTTTTGCTCACTTTTATTATCCTTCTCAGTGCCATTCCCCTTTGCAAGTCTGCCGCCCTGATTTTATTGCAGGTTGCTCCTCAGAGCATTCGCATTGAAGATGTCTCACACCTAATTGGTCAATTAAACGGCGTTGAATCAGTTCATGAGCTTCACATCTGGCAACTGTCGGATGTAAAGTTGATTGCTACTGTTCACGTTTGTGTTACTCTTCCTGATGATCAGGGCGAGTCTTATATGAAGTTGACCAAGGACATCAATAAGGTTCTTCAATCCTTTGGTATCCATGAATGTACTATTCAACCAGAATTTGCTAATCACCCGTCCCTTTGCCCTACTGCTAACTGAAATATGTGCCATTCCTGAACGCACATTCAATGACCACATAACAACAATAAGGGATACTTTTACATCCTTTCGCTTCCTTTTTACGATCTTATGCCTATTATCAATTTAATAATTATGGCCTAAAGTAATAAAATCACGTTTGATTTGGACCGCTTACTTATGCTTCCGTCAGACTAATTGAAATTTTTCTATCTTGTTTAGATTTTATATTTATCGATTTGTACTATTCATTCACTAAAACTTTTTAAAAATCTAAGATTATTGAAAAATTCATCAAATTGTAACTTTGTATATGTGAAATATTTTGAGTAAAAATTGTCTTTTAATTGGCTTCATCAGTTTTATTGTTATTCTTTTTTGAGTCAATTATATTCTTATTCATTCTCTATTAATTTATTCTTTTGATCTTTATCTATTAAGTCTGTATTTTTTGTACTTTAATTCTAAAGTCAACTTCAAAATTGAATTATTGCTGCTTTTACAAGACTTGGTTTTTTCTTAACTCTTGCTTCCATTAACCACCAGACATACTTTTTTCTAGAGTCAACGTCTTGGATGTTCTAACCTTTCCTCAGCTACCCTTTACATATTTTTCACCTCCAACGTAGACGGGATCAATTACCCAAATATTAATGATTTAATAGTTGGATACATGGAACAAGCAATCTCGGTTTCTAGAAATGGTATGTTATTTTCCTTCTCTGAACCTGTCACTAAATTTTTCTTGCAGACTTTAGATCGTCAATAAACGAGAACTACCACAGTGGGACTGTGCCCATGAATGAAAACTATCAGAATGGAAGTGAGAATGCCCAGATAGAATCCGTTGCTTTTATTCGCTATTTTGGTGAAAAACTCTTTCATTATCCTTCCCTCTACACCGCATTTGTGGAGATTGTAAAAGCTTTGGATGTGCAAATGTATGAAAATCGGTTTTTCTAAGATTTTCAGCTAACTTTCCTTTACAGTATTGACTTTCCTGGGTTTATTGAACGAGTGCACATTCTTTTGAATGACTTCCCAGAGTTGCTGCTTGAGCTTAATACTCTCCTTCCTTCTTCCTACCAGTTTTTACCATCCTCCGCAGAAAATAAGGGGCCGCAGTTTGCTACTCCCACTGGGTCAGTATCGCGGCCTTACTCTTACGCTGCTAGCTATGCTGACGTTCCCAGTTGCTACCACCGAGCTATTGCTTATATTGCAAAGGTAAAAAAGTCATTGAAAAATAGCGGTACATCTTTTCAGCAATTTCAGCTACTTCTTCAACAATTTTCGAGCTCTCAGATAAGTTTGGAAGAGCTTCAAAGTAGATTAACCTCTTTACTCAGCGATTTTCCTGCATTAAGTCAACAGTTTCAACAGTTTCTACCAAATTCGGTTTTTTACAGCTCAACACCTCCTTTAGGATCATATCCTATACGAACGGTTCAGAGCTCCAACTTTCGACTCAGTAACCTTTCGGATTTCTATCCTCCACCGTCCTCCGCTCATGGTACTGTCTCTACAGTTTTTCCGTCCGTTTCTCAGCCTGATGCTATTGATTTTTTCAAACATGTTAAACACCAGTTACCAAGTCTCGATATATATCATGAATTTTTAAAATTAATTAATCTTTATGTGCAAAAGATTATTTCTCGGGATACATTGTTAGCCAGAAGCTTTGCGTTTTTAAGGTCCCTTCCTGACTTATGGAAAAGCTTTCAATTGATGTTGCATTTTAATCCTCAAGAATTCCCTAATATTTATTATACTGCCACATCTGATCACTCTGATTACGGACCAAGTTATCGTCTTCTTCCTTTAGAGGAACGTATGATTCCGTGTAGTGGAAGAGACGAGTTAGCCTGGTCTATTCTAAACGATGAATGGGTCAGTCATCCTACTTGGGCATCAGAGGAAAGCGGTTTTATTGTCCAACGTAAAACACCCTATGAAGATGCCATGACAAAGCTGGAAGAAGAACGTTACGAATTTGATCGACACATCGAAGCAATTAACTGGACTATCAAAGCACTTAAAAATCTGGCAGATCGTCTGGGAGAGATGCCAGATGATGAACGGAATAGCTATCAACTACCGCCTGGTTTAGGTTTGCAGTCGAAAAGTATTTACGAGAAAACAATCAAGTTAGTCTACACTGCTGATCATTATAAGGTTGTATTAAATGCTCTAGAAAGTATGCCTTCAGCTACTCTTCCTATAGTTCTAAAACGATTGATCGAGAAAAAAGAAGAATGGCAATCAGCGAAAGAAAGTTTGCAACCTATCTGGAGAAATACAGAGTTTAAAAATTATGATAAAAGCTTGGATCCACAATGCATATACTTTAAGGCTAAGGATAGAAAAGTTGTTACTCCAAAGCTTTTACTTGCCGAAGCAGAGACCATACGCGCTCAGACGTCTACAAAGTTTCCTTTTCTGAGTGAAACTTCTTTTGATTTTTCAACCATATACGATAATGAACACATTCTTTTTGACGTGTGTTACATAGTGTGTACATACGTGGTATGTAATTCCCCTTCCGGTCTCAAGAAGGTCGAAAACTTTTTTAAAAGTACGCTACCTCTTTTTTTTGGAATTGATAAAGAAAAATTAGCCAAGTTTTTAGATCCTGTTTTTCATGGTCCTAATTATGATTCTTCCGTTGATAATACGTCTGGAAGCAAAATAGTACGCCGAAAACGATCAAATTCCATTACTCAATTGACTGAGCTTTCAAAACATCAAAAAATAAGTGACCAACGACAAAGCCGATCGGCGGCTGCCGCTAAGAAGAAGGGGGATGTCACTAGTAACGCTCTGAATTATGACGACGCTCCTTCTGACAATGGCAGTTCAGCTTCATCTTCAAAACAGCAATTATCTCGTCCTGCTGCAGCTATTGTGGCAAGCTTGAAATATCCTAGTCATCCTGACCATTGCTTGTTGGAAGGAAGAAATAGCGAGAAAGCTGTCCCGGATAACCAAACGGCGCAAGAAGAGAAGTTTCCATTTATGAAATCCGACATTGTTAACGAAATTGAGCAATACGGCTATTCTGCAATATATGTCTTTTTCCGTCTATTCAACATGTTATACGAACGGTTACTATTATTGAAAAATCTGGAAAACTGCGTGGCTGATGCTCAGAAACAAATAAAACCAAATCCAGTGGCCCAAGAGCACAAGTTATGGAGGAATAGAGAAAGTGAGTTACCTGAGCTCCCCGAAGAAAGTACATATTACGATAAAACCTTCGTCATGTCGTTACGACTTATATACGGTGTCCTCGATCAGAATCAATTTGAAGATTACATACGTTTTTATTATGGCAATAAAGCCTACGAGCTGTACACGGTTGATAAGCTGGTGTGGTCAATAGCTAAACAGGTACACCACATCGTTTCAGACGGAAAATTTAAACACGTTTTAAGTGTCATTGAAGAATACAATAGCCAGTCCACACCAAAACGATCCTATGACGAGTTTTTATATCGCATGAATTTGGAACGATATCTAAATCCAGATGAAATGTTATTTCGGTTCTCGTGGAATTTTGACGTAAAGCGATTCACCATTAACTTGTTGCGACGTGCTAATGTAACTATTGATGAGACGTTAGAAAGCCAGCGGCAAGGATGGAAAAAGTATTTGGAAGATTATATTGATCAGAAAGAGACTGATTGTGTCTCTTACAGACATTATCGGTGTCCTTTCTTATGCAGAACAATTCCTTTTGGGGGAACATCCGGAATGGCCCGATTGTCATTACAAAAAAGACTTATGTGTTCGCTTAATTTCCAGTCCGACTTGAAAGCCAGGCTTTGTATTAATTCTTTTAAGCTACTATATGTTCCTTGTACCCAAGACGCTTACTCGAGCCGTGTGTATCTGAAATTGAATAACTCTGAATCTCAGAATATACAATTAACTCGCTGTTCGCGCTGGAAGGCACGGCTAAGCACTCTACAGAACAAGTTGTTTGATGGTCAACCTGATGATGTTTCATTTGAATCACTATTTATATAGAAGTGCTATTAATGTATTTAGAAAATTACTTCCCTAAAGCTGTTTAAATTTTTTTGATAGTTGACATTTAATGTTTTAAAAATTAAATTGTTTTAATATATTTCTTTCTTATATCCTCTTTATTGTTGCGCTTATGGGATTAGTCACATGTTGACTGGAATGTTTGTTTACATTTGCAGTTGCCCTAGTAACAACTTTGTTTACGTTGTAACGGCACCTTCAGGAATTTGTCAAGAGACAAAATCTCAAATGGCTAGCGTCGCAATAAAAGAGCCAAAAGCTGCTATAACTCCAAAAAAGAAGACAAAGCCTTCCCGTTTATGTTACACTCCTCCTACCAACATTGCAAATAGCAAGAAAAAAATCCTGTATACCCGTTATGATTGTATAGGAGAGGGAGGATTTGCTAGATGCTTTCGAGTTAAAGATGAAAGCGGAAATATATATGCAGCTAAAGTTATAGCCAAAGCATCATTACAAAATGAAAAAACTCGACAAAAGCTTTTTGGAGAAATTAAAGTGCATCAGTCTATGAGTCACCCAAACGTTGTAGGACTCATTGACTGTTTTGAAGATAAAACAAATGTCTATCTTGTTTTGGAACTTTGTGAACATAAGTCATTGATGGAGTTGTTACGAAAGAGAAAACTGCTGACGGAACCAGAAGTACGATTTTTGATGCTTCAAATATTAGGAGCTTTAAAATATATGCATAAAAAAAGAGTAATTCATCGGGACTTAAAGCTCGGAAATATCATGTTAGACGAAAGCAATAATGTAAAAATCGGTGATTTCGGTTTAGCTGCCTTGCTTATGGACGACGAAGAACGAAAGATGACAATTTGTGGTACTCCTAACTACATTGCGCCTGAAATTTTATTCAATTCAAAAGAAGGGCATTCATTTGAGGTAGACCTTTGGAGTGCTGGCGTGGTCATGTACGCTCTTCTAGTGGGAAAGCCTCCTTTCCAGGACAAGGAAGTAAAGACTATATATAAAAAGATCAAAGCAAACTCTTACAGCTTCCCTCCTAATATCCCTATTTCATCGGAAGCTAAAAATCTAATCGCTTCCCTGTTGACCCAGGATCCATCTATTCGCCCGAGCGTTGATGACATAGCAAACCATGATTTTTTTCATTCAGGCTACATGGCTTCCTCCTTACCTGATGATATTCTACACATTCAACCAGTATGGCCTTCTACACAATCTAGATCAAGCTTTCAAAGAAATTTGGATTATGTAGCGTCGGCTGCTGGCGTCGGTTTTGGTAAATCAGCTGGAACTGAAAAAAATAAACCCTATGCATTAAAGACAGATGAGGGTGATGATGATCATATGCTCCCCAGCGTTTTGAGCCCTCGAGATCGAGTTAACCCAGTCATGAAAATTGGACCAGAAACAAAACCCAGTTCTACTAAGCTATCTTCTATCTTTGAAGCAGCTCGCAAAACGAGTGAGGAAACACTTCCTTCAAGAGTAAAAGCCCTGAAAGAAGAATCTCGGTCCATCCCGAAATCCAAACTTACACGTTCTGATGCTCCAGATAACGAAACCCGCACAGGTTCAGTTTCAATTGCCAATTTGTCGGATAACATTGTATGGATTAACATAAAAAAAACTGCTCTTAAAATTGGTATGGGGCTTGAATCAAGACCAGTGGCCTCTAGTCAAGGACCAATTGCAGCCAAAAATATCCTGTTCATCACCAAGTGGGTTGACTATTCCAACAAGTATGGTCTGGGATATCAGTTATCAAATGAGTCGGTGGGTGTGCATTTCAACGATCAAACCTCCCTCGTTTTCTCCGCCGATGAAAATATGATCGAATACATTACTCATCAAAAGAACTCAGAGGCGAAGCATTCGATATTTTCTACTTCCAAGGCGCCTGATGCTCTAAAAAACAAAATTTATCTTTTAAAACATTTTAAAAGCTATATGGTGCAAAATTTGTCAAGGGCTGTTCAAGATGAAACACTTGACGATATCGATATCAAGAACGCTGGTTCTATGATTTTTATGCATAATTATCTCAGGACTCGACAAGCAATTATGTTTCGCTTAAGTAATGGAACTTACCAGGTAAGAAATACGATTACAAATGGATGCTTGAATGAAATCTGTTGCTAACATACTTTAGTTCAACTTTGTTGACCACGTCAAAGTTGTTGTTTCGCCTAGTGTACAAGGCATTATGGTTCTAGACAAAGAGAAAGAAAAAATGGTTTTTACATTGGAAGAAGCATGCTGGTTCACTGATGATCTGCGGTCACGCTTGAAATATATTCGTGAAGTACTAGAATCTTGGGCTTCGAAATTAGAATCCACTCATTAATCGCGTATTACTTTACAAACCTATTATTACCTCTTTTATGTGCTAGTTCACAATTTGCTAATTTTGATTCCATTTTATTCAGTCTTTCATATTGTCTCCTTTCCATCTTGTTCTTTCAGTGTTACGTTCTTTTTTAACATTACTTTATGAACCTTTTGCTGTCATTTTTATGTTTTCATTACTTGATGAAGCCTCACCTGGCATCATACTTGTTTGTTTTGAATATGTACATCATTCATTTGCCTGCTCATATAATCTTGGTAACCGGTATTTTCAGACTTTTTTTGATGAGTGACTAATGATACAGTTTAAGAAATAATACTTTTTTTTCGTATTAATTAAAAATTAAAACCGGCTCTTATAGAGAATAAAACGAGCTTTAAAGCTCCTGCATTTCGCTATAATAGCTTAGCTAGATGACTCTAAACAACAATTGGTAGTATGCTTAAAAACGTCACGGCAATCGTGGCGCTACTGTATTGATTTAGCAGCCTAAGAATGGGTAAACAAGTCACCTACAAGCCTCGCCCTAGCCTATCTACTTGAGCAATTAAGTCTACAAACCTGACTGACAATTTAGATGTATCTATCTATCTTGGTGTCTACCTTGAGAACCAACTGATTCAACAAGAAAAATCTTCCCACGAAATTTTCTTGAATACATACCTATCTAGTTGGGATTTATACGAAACATGGGTCTAACCTAACCAATCAATTGTATGAAATTGAACTCCTTTTGGAAAATTTTCATACCGTGGATTCACCGTAGTCGTCGTAGAGGTAGATTCTTAGAGTAATAGTATCATTCAATATTATATCTTAAAATTAATTATTTTGATGACATCTTCCCGCAATGATTGATTCATTCTCTGATACTAAGATGGTTTACGCTTGGAAACATATAATCACAATAAAATTTTAGATCACTATGCGGTGTTTAGCGAAGCGTACTTTTTGCTCTTAGTAACGTTACTGATTCGTTATGCTACGCAATTAAGTCATAATTAAAAGATGCTTTAGGCATCAAAACGATCCGAAAGCACATATCAAACAGTGTAATATGCTCAAAAATCGAGTTTTGACGAGACCTTTGATCAAAGGTACGGCTATAATTCTTTAGCTTACAGACAAGAACAAATGTTAACAGTGATTAGGTTCTCAATTGACAAACGTGCCGAAATGTGCGTCCTTCATACAGCCGATGATACCTATTAGAGCGTATGGACATCTTCCATTTAGGCCCATAAGTAGGTCTGCTGTATCATTTTCGGATTCCAGGCTGAATCGTGCGTATTTTGGTATGAAGTATGGGTTCCCAATGAGATATTCATCAAATGCACCAAAAGAAAGCTCTGAAAAGGATGTCGCAGACCCTAGCACGTTTGAACAACAGAAGCCCACAGCTCCAGTAAAGAAGGCTTCTATGTGGCAGCGGCTGAAGGGGGGTGTTTTGCATTTTTGGGATGGAACTAAGCTTCTTGGAGTGGAATTCAAAATTTCCTCTAAACTTGTATACAAAATGGCAGTAGGTTATGAGTTGACAAGACGGGAGAGTCGCCAATTGACTAGAACACTTAAGGATATTGGTCGTCTTGTTCCCTTTTCAATGTTTGTTCTCGTACCTTTTGCTGAATTGCTTTTGCCTGTCGCTGTGAAGCTGTTCCCAAATTTGCTTCCTAGCACTTTTGAGGATCCCAAAGATAAGCAAGCAAAGAAAGAGAAACTTCGTAAAGTACGCTCGGACGTTTCCGAAGTGCTTCGGGGTACTATCAAATCTGGAAAGTTTACCTTCTCTGATGAAACACGCAAATCAAAAGAATTCCGTAATTTCTTTTTAAAAGTTCGCACTAGTGGACAATCTCCCTCCCGTGAGGAATTAATTAATGTCTGTCAATATTTCAAGGATGACATTACCCTAGATAACTTGTCTCGTGCCCAATTAATTGCCCTTTGCCGATACATGAATTTGAATGCTTTTGGTACCGACCCCTTGCTTCGCTATAACATCCGTTCAAGAATGCGTCAAATTCGCCGGGATGATAGAGCCATCTATATAGAGGGCATTAATTCCTTATCCGTTCCTGAATTGTTCAATGCTTGCAACTCTCGTGGTATTCGTTCTCAAGGTCTTTCTCCCGCTAAGCTTAGGGATGAATTGAGCGTATGGTTAGATATGCGTATTAAGCATGGAATTCCGTCTGTTATTTTGATGCTTTCTAACGCTTTCTCTTATGGTTACCATGAGGGTACTTATGAATCTCGCTGGGATGCTTTACAAGACACGCTTGCATCAATCCCTGACGAACTTTACCATGAGACTGTGGTTGATATGCCTAGTGAAGAAGTCTCTAATAAGCAACGTCTTGAAATTTTGAGAGAGCAAGAAGAACTCATTGAGGAAGAAGCTGAAAACCCTGATATCGCGAACAAGGAAAAAGATAGTGCCAAAGCTGAACCCACTAATTCTGCTCAACCCAAAGACAACAAGAAAGTATAATGTTTTTTGGTAACTTCATAAGCATAAACTTACATTCAACCAATTAGAAAATATCAGGGGCATCAGTTGGAGAGCTCCTGGTCTCCCATCTCTCCTTTTTCTTATATTATTTAAAGTTATGTCTTTCACTGTTCTTTTTGATTACTTACTAGTTGTTAATGCACTTTCATGGTTACCTGCTTTAGCGATTTTTGATTTCTATGTTTTTTAAAAAAAAAAGTTGGATGAATAGGATTTTCGAATGTTCAAAACGTATTGAATTTTGCTATTAATAGCAGATAGGAAGTGTAGGAGTGAGAAAAATGGCTAGAAATTTGGACATTGACGAACATTTAGGGTATAAAGTATTTTTATATTCGTAAGTAAAAGGAAATATATAAACTAAAACGAAAAGAGTAATTTAAGGACTAGTGGTTTGGTGAAGAAGTTCGTTGGCTGCTACCAAAACTTCTTTCGGAAGACCTGTGTTTTGTTAGTTTCATAACCTTCAGTGTCAAAACTTACCGGCTACTTCAGCTACCCTTAGTCCGTGGGATCTCATGTTAACACCCTCTCGAATCTTATAATCGAAAGTGAATGTATCAGTATTCTACCAAGTTAGCTTTCGGGTGAATAATTAAAAGATACAGATAACTTACCTCGTTAACAATTATATCAGTGCAGTAGCACTTAATGTTTTTATATGCTTTAAATTTCTCTGCTAATTCATGAGCATGAGTAGCGAATAGTGTGCGAGCCCTATTAACATCAGACAAATATTTCAAGCACCCATAAGCTATCGCTAAACCATCTCTAGCAGTAGTCCCGCGTCCAACTTCGTCCATAATGATAAAAGATCGGTTTGTTGCATTTTTTAAAATGAAAGCAGTTTCCATCATCTCCACCATAAAGGTGGACTGTTGATGATATAAATTATCGGCGGACCCAATCCTGCTAAATATCTGATCCACAATACCTATTTTTGCATAACTCGCCGGTACGAAGCTACCCATCTGCGCTAAAATAGATATAACTGCATTTTGTCTCAAGAATGTGCTTTTACCGGCCATGTTCGGACCAGTTAAAAGCCAGATATTATCGCCGGAATTTCCAACCAAACAGTCATTCGGTGTAAACTGAAGTAATTTATTCTTAAGACCTTTTTCAACTATAGGATGGCGACCTTGAATTATTGTATTTGATAGAGAATCATCCAATATTGGTCGAGAAAACTCGCATTCTGCAGCTAAATCAGCCAACGACGTAGATATATCAAGCTCATCTAATATATTAGCAGTTTCACGTATTTTTTTATGCTCTTCAAGCACCGTATCAATAATTATTTGAAGTACTCTAGCTTCTTCTTGATGAATAAAAGATTTAACACTCTCAAGCTCCAAACCAAGAGAAGACCATTCAGGAAGTTGAATGCTAGCGGTTGCTTTGGTAGTATGGAATACTGTAGCCTTTGGGAAAACGGACATGAATTCCTTTAGCAAAAGGCTATTGGATGATTTCATGTGAACATAGTATAACTTCGAGGGATTTTTCCGTAAAGTTGCTTTGCTTTCGAATTTTTTATCCAAAGTATTCTGTAGCTTGTCGTATGAAAGTAGTAGGCTTTCTATACGTTTATGCAAATTTTGTAAAGTTTCATTGAAAGTCGGTGTGATAATCCAAATATCAGAAAAATTTTGCTTGAACCCGTTTTCAGGAACGGACGTTCGCTTCTTAGCACCGCTGACGATCGACTCCGATTCAGACAATTCTGTTGACTGAGCAGCAATGTCCTCGGCTTCTTTTTCTTCCTCTGTACGTTTTCTTACCAAAGCACTTTCATTTAAAGCTTCTGAAATGAGAGATGCTAAAGCATCATGCTGATATAAAGCATTTAACAAAGGTTTCAAAGTTTTAGAACTTGTCTTGGTAAGAAGACTTTCTATATTTTTTATAATGGAAAAGTTATTGGAAAGTCCCAATAAATCGTAAGCATTTCCACGACGCATCAAAAGCCGTTGAAGTATTCTGTGGGTATCGTTCGATCGTTTAAGTAAATGCCTTATTTCTGTTCGAAGTTGATCACGATGGATAAACACTTCGACTAAATCAAGCCTTCTATTGATTTCAGAAATGTCAGTAGAAGGAGAGCATAATCGCTGTGTCAACAAACGAGATCCAGATTTAGTTACCGACCTCTTTATTGCATGCAATAGACTACCGGTATAGCGATTTTCCTGTAAGGATGATCTTATTTCAAGTCCTTTCATAGCGGAAGCGTCAATCAGCATGGAGTCACGTAAAGATACGTGAATAGGAGCCCGAAGATTAGTATGTGAATTTAGTAAACGATCGGAAACATACGACAACAAGACAGAACCAGCTCTCTTCTCTATAATAGAGCAATTCTCGATGTATGTAGGCTCAATTTCTTTCTCTAAATAAGCAGACCATTGCTGGAAGCTCCAATCTTGCATGGGAGTGTAAGATACAAAATAAATACTTCGATCAATACTCTCCAAAATAGGGTGAGAGCCAACGCCTTGTAGGCGATTATCCAAAACAATTTCCTTCGGTTGAATACGTGCTAAATCCCCGACCAAACGTTGATGATCACTAGTTTGGGAAAAAAATTCACCGGTTGATAAATCCAACCACGATAATCCGATACGAAGACTAGAAGACTTTTCGTTTAATCCTTCAGAAACGTTATCATTTTGATTAGCATTATTTACAGAATCTTGCGAAATAATAGACATCACATAATTACTCTGGAAATGGTCCATAAAGTTCTCATCAATGAGAGTACCTGGGGTTATTACACGTGTAACAAAGCGAGTGTACATATTTTTTGAAGAGAAATCATCAGCCGGACGAAGAGCTTCTTCACTTAGAGCAACACATCTCTTTAGGTCTTCTACCAGAATTTTCAGATACCTGTCAAGCTTAAAGAAAGGAAATCCAGCCATAGAAACTTCATAATGGGAAGTCTTCTTTTTTGAAACTCGTAAATTCAATAGAGGACCTAATTCCTCTGCTTGGTCAAAGTACAACTCATAAAAGTTACCAACTCTCGTTAGCAGAATGCAATCGGCGAATTTTTTTTGTTGAAGGTTAACTTCCTTTAATAAAGGAGGCAGAAGAGTTTTTTCTTTGGGTTGAATCAATTCCAATGGAGGCCCCAAAGCACCTTGAAGCAAATGCACATCTTTCACTTTTGGTGACTTATTTGCAACATGACAACAAGTAAATCGCCGACAATTTTGAAGAAAATTCAGAGAGCAATACCGAATCCATTTACTTCTCCATATTAGCATGCTTTCAGGGGATTCCAGTACTAACCTGGGTTATAGTAGTTCAGTAAGAGTCTTTTGTTTCATAAGGGAGATAAAAGTAATAAATAACTAAGACAATAGTATTTAATGAAAATTAAATAAATCAATAAAAAGTTTCATAAATAAATGGATGAATGAAAAAGAAAATATGCAAATTTGTATTTGTAGTCGAAATGTTTTTCATATGTAAAATGGTATAACTAAGACCTTGGAAGATGAGGAAAGTGAACTCTGTTTATGAGCGTTTTACAAAACACTTCAAACATACGTAAAGCTAGATGAGAGTGCCTATGGAATTCCTTGATGACCTCTTTTTTTTCTTTTTTTACCATAGGATAAAGTACATACGGATATCATCAAAATAACTTCATTAACATACATGATATGTACAAAACTTTTAGGAGAATAGAAGGAGTATTTGAAACAAAAGCAAGGGTTTTAAAGCAAAACTACTCATTTTGGTCATCGTTGTCAACTAACTGGGTCCGTTTCAATTCTAATTCCGTTATCATACGATTGACATCGGCCAGGAAACGATTGCGTAAAATGGGATTCGTAGCTTCATCTGCGTCTTTTCTACGTTTCTGGATGGAAGATTCCAATTCGGAAATAAATTCGCGCACCAGTCTTGTCTGTCGTTTGCTTTCGCGAGTTTCATCATCGGCTACTAATTAGTTAGTTAAGGCAAGCTCTAGGAAAAAAAATAAACATACCTTCATTATCTTCTTCCTCTTCATCCTCTTCATCCTCCTCATCGCTGACTGATTCTTCACCAGCAACTTGGGGTTCTGCAGTAGACTCTCTCGTGTCTTGACTAAGTTCAAGCATTCCTTGTTCGATTTGGCCAGCCAAATCATCTTCGTCCATTCCATCAAACATGTCACCAGGTATCCGTTGATCTTGGTCACCCACACCAACACCGGTTGTCTGCATACTGTCAAATGAAATATCTTCTGACAACGCAACACTGGAGTCCCTGGCTAACATAGAATGGTCCACAAGTTCGCTTGTGGTGCTAATCGCTCTTTCATCCATGGCAAGCAGTCGATCTACTTCGTTTTCGACAGCTTCTATGGTGCGGTTGGAAACACGTTTACGAAATCTTTTTTGACGAACCCAATGCATAGGAGGCGTAAGACCATGAGGATAAACATAATCAGATTGTTTTAAGGTGGTTTTCAGTACATCGTTTTCATGCTCTATGCGACCAGTAACTAATAGCATTTGACAGATATCAGCAGCTTTAAAAATAACTTTTTTATCAAATGATTTGTTCGATTCAATAACGCACGGTAGATCAACTAATTTAGCTCCATACAAATGTCCATTGACATGAACAACAGCACGTCGTTGGTCTGAACGAATTAGCATACTTTTTATTCAGCTAGTATTACAACTCACGAACCTTTAAATTTAACCCACACATCAGCTCCCCTGCCTATCTCGCGGTTTTCGATTGCCTTACGAACGTACTCGCAGTCTTCACCTGGCATCATCCGAAGAATGATTTGTTCTTCAATGTACGGATCTTCTTCTCGATCAGATGCTTCTGAATCATATCCTAGGCCTGGTTCCCGCACACGTTTAAGACGAATTTTCGTCAACCGCGGACCTTTGGGCTCTCGCGCTTTTATTTTGATTTTAGGAATTGCCGACGGTACTCCACTTGCTGGAATCTGTGGTTTCGGTTCTTCTGGCGGCGGTGGAGGAGGACCCGTTCGAATCTTTAATTTTACCATTTCTATACCCCAATTCCAATATCTCGTGAAATGCAGTTGGTAGCATTTGTTTGCCTACAGAAAAGTTTCGCAAGCTCGCAAGCTTTCGTTATCCTAATCGGTTTTGTCACCTACAGACGATACCTTACGTATTTTATAATTATAATTAAGCTTTAGTAATAAAGTTAAAGAGTTCCATTACTTGACTCTATTATCTAGCGTTACAAGAATCAAGAGCATTTGATATAATAAGAAAATAAAATATTTATTAGTTCTTGTATGTGTATCTAAGTGGGGAAAAACCGCCGATAAAAGGACTATTTCTACTCCAATATCTGCACGAGTATTTACAGAAAAGCGGATACATTCAAGTGGTTTAGACTCCATTCGTATGGGAGAGTCTAGGAAAAATCCAAGGAAAAACAAAATAAATAACAAGTTTTATAGCATCCTTAGAGAAGGTAAGTGATATAAAAAACGATCAGATTCATTAGGTTTAGTATTAAAAAGCAGTCGTGGCTATTAATTAAACTCGAAACGGAATATGAAATTGAGCATTCATTGTAAAGCAAAAAGTAAAACTTCCCGAAACATTGCAAATTATTAGCGTAACAAGTTAGTATTAGCAGAACATTACGGGGAGTGGGAGGGTTCAAAAGGTTAGGGGTTCATTTTTCAATTTTTTATAAAATAAATAAATGAAAGAAAAAAAAAATAATTGAAAAAAGAAAGAATGGAAAGCTAGTCATTTATATTTTCATTATTAGAGGAGGGTTGACAATTAATAAAAAAACATCATTAGCTGAAAGGTAAAGGTAAGCAAATAACCATTTTCCTTAGGAAAAACCATAAAATACTTGAGACTCACTCCATGATGTAGATGCCTCAAGGATGAATATCAGTTACATGAGGATGGTGACGAGTAGCCGGCAATTCAAACTTCTCAGTCCACTTATTATCTTCGCGCCATTTTTTGGAATAAGAGTCAACAGCTTTTATAGCATCTGCGACGTCTTGGGGTGTAAACTTTTTCGACATGTTGTGAATGCTCTCTTCAGGACGTAAGGTAGCACGACCAATCATTAAAAGCTCTTCGTCTGTAACAAATGGAATGCCAAGTTCCTCCAAAGTTACTGGGAGATGGCATTGGGACATGAAAGCAACGAGCTTGTTAAATTCTTCAAGAGGCCAGTTTTCCAAAATTAACTGAGTCAACGTTCCATAGGCTACCTTTTCGCCGTGCATTAAGCGATGAATGTTTCCGTGAGCAGTGGTAAGACCATTATGGATAGCATGAGCTGCGGCCAAATTTCCGTTCTCAAAACCTAAGCCAGAAAGCAAGGTATTAGCCTCAACTGTATGTTCGAAAGCTTCTGTACAAACACCACGTAAATTAGAAAGAATACCAGCAACCGCATATTTTTCAATAGTCTCCTTGCAAGCGCGAGCAATAGCAGCTCCAGCAATGGTAGGGACACCACCAGCAAAGGATAGGGAGTTAGAACGCATGATGCTCTCAGTTTCCACATAAGTTGAAAGGGCATCACCGATACCACTAATGAGAAAACGTACTGGCGCTTTTACAATTACATCAGTATCGACCATAATAAGGTTTGGGTTAGTGGGGTAGAAGCTATACTTTTGAAACTCGCCTTCAGATGTGTAAATGACGGAAAGAGAAGCAGTAGCAGCATCTGAAGAGGCCGTCGTCGGAGCGATAATGCAAGGGATTTTGATTTCGTTAGCCAAGTACTTGGCAGTGTCAATTGTCTTACCGCCGCCAACCCCGATGACGATTTGAGCGTCGGAAGGACATTCAGCTTGTAAACGATGAATTTCTTTAAGACTGGACTCACCACCAAAGATAAGCTTTTTGACTTTCATGCCGTTAGATTCCAAAGAGTTGACGATGGTGGGAGCACATATATTCCAAATATTGGGATCAGCAAGGACAACCGCCGAATCAGTAGCCCAGTTTTTCACAAAAGTAAAGGAACGGCCAAAGATATTGCGTCCCTGGGCATATTTCTGGGGTGAAGTAAAAAGGCGATCTGTTGTTCTTTCCTTTTCCCAACCCATTTCCTTGGGTCGTTCCGATTCAAGTGGAGAATAGAATCGCTTGCCCAAACCAGTGCTGACTCTGCTTTGCTTATAAGCCAAAAGGGAGAGCTGACGAGGAAGATGTGCAGGAATCCCCTTGGTTATAGAATGACGGTGCATCGAAAGCATGCTAAACAAGAAAAAAGCAAACCAGGAGAGAAGCAAATTCAAACAATTCAATAAAGAAAAGTAAATGAAACGGATAATATTTGGGAGTATTTGAATAAACTAAAAACCCAGGGGAGACGTTAGTGATGAAAGGACGAAACACAAATATAAGACACTAAAGTCGTTTGTTTACCATACAAGCCCAAGCAGAGACACAAACAAAACAACGGAAAAATTAGTTGATGAATCAAAAATATAATAGGGAAAAAAGCAAAAGTATTATTTAAAAACTTTTGCTTTATATACTGAATACTGGACTGGATTTGAAGAGCAAGTAGACTTAGGAATCCAAGGAAAACAAGAAAACCCAACAATTCTGCACAGGTAAACAAACCAATGGGTAAATGTTCCAAAAAATGGGATAAGTACTCTTTGTTTAGATATAAACAAAATGGTATTCAAGATTGGGAATGCTAGGATAGAGAAAAAATGGTCCTCAAGCGCAACAAATATAGTGGAAGACTGTGTGATGACACAAGAATCCCTCTTTTGAAAAGGACTAAAGTTCAACAAATTAAACCAGATAGGCCCGAAATAAAATCTTAAACATTCGTGAATCGTAGACTCTTATAACGTCATGTTCAAAAGTCAATAAAAAGAGGCGGCGAGACCAGAAAATAAGCTCTAAGTTTCCTTGCGGAGCTAAACAGTGAAAAGGCTGACATAATTTGCGGGACCCGCACACTTTAATTCTCTGAAACTCGAAAGGATCCCATTCGTTCATAGCAGCGATTGTTTACAAAAAGTGGAGACAATGCTATGGACTTCATAATTATGCGCTCATCTTCATGGAAAGCAAATATAGAATTGAAAAAATCTCGGATGTATCCGAAAAAAAAAAATTAAAGTTTAAACTCAACACTCCCCCATTGGGGAAGGAAATGGGCCAGATATTTGAGTCGCGTGTCTCACACCCGCACTTATTGTTCGAGTAATCCTAGCGCACTTTTTAAGTGGAAAATCGCCGTTGCCGTGTCGTCGTAGTCCAACGCACTGTAAGCATATCGCGCATGACCTCGTGCCGCCTCGACGCGGTCAAGATGATCAAACCCGCTAAAACCGAAACGAGCCGCGGGAGTTCCAGAGGCAGTCCCCGGAAGAGTGGAGGAAGCCATTGAGGATCGAGGAGTCATTTGACTTATGGGGAAAACAGGTGAGCCTGAGACAGCTGTTGTCGCTTCATCGAAAACCTCCGAATGATCTGTATCTGCGGATTCCTTTTGTATATCCGACATTTTCTTTTGGAGTTCGGTATCGACAGGAGGTGATACTTTTGTGCGTTGTTCTTCATGACCATGAAAGCTGCGTCTTGTTGTTGGTTCACTAGGGATTACGTCCTCATCGAATCTTGTCGGTGTTAATTTTGACAACGAATTTTGCAGGCGAGGAAGGTCAAAAGATTCAATAGCGTCCTTCGAGTTGGCAGAGTCGTTCTGTAAAGCTTCTTGTTCCAAAGGAGCAATAGAAGGAGGACGACCCGTCATTGTTGAGGATAAACCTGAAGTCTCATCCAGATGGGAGCTAGAGGGTTTCACCCCTGTTTCTTTTCCTGGTGATACATCCGTTTCATGTTTAGCAAGTCGTCCAGAAGTCTGTCGTGCTGGCGTGGGCTTGGGGAGAAAGGTCGAGGAGGATTCCATTTGTTTTCCTTCATCTCTCTTTAGAATTTCTTCATCCTTCTCCAAATTTGTGGGCTCTTTTTGCGTAGAAGACTTTGTCTTCGAAATCCCTACTGCGCGTAGCTTACAAAACTTGATGTATTTTTGTGCCTATAACGTTAGTATTAGTCTAGCGTATGTTTTTCTTATGCTAAAGCACAAAAGATAATTACCTGTTCGTCCAAAGGTCCCCAAACCTTTAAGATTTCAAAAAAGTCTTTAGCTGCTAAATATGCCAGGACATCCGGCATACTGAGCTTACTCTTTTCTTCCGCTTGTAGCAACACCTCCATGGCAAATGAGTTTACATAAGCCTTTGCGCTTTCTTCATCGTTAACGTTTTCGTTTTCACCCAACTCTTTCCGTAACTAAATATACTGATCAGTTTCCCGCACTTATCAAACCACCCGTCTGACCCTCTTTCGTCTACATACCTCTTCTAAACGTTCAACTAAACGCAATAAAAAGTCCCGACAAGCATTTGTTAATCCAGTAGAGCTCGATAAGCCCACCTGAGTTCCCCAATACAAGCCTGAAAAATTAGCTCTGTGCTCCCTTGTTAAACATAGCTGTAAAATGATGTTCACTCATTTGTTATATGCATCCAGTCGAGAATGACTTTTTTTATGCGTCATTTCTCTTCTGCACAAACAGACTTACACCAGTAAGCAATGACAGGATTATACCTGTTTAGCTCATTGAATCTTTGAATAAAGCTTTGAATCGAAGATAATTCTTTAGGTATTGTTGCTAACTCAATTATACTCATTCTTTTAGTCAATACGTGAACAATGGCAAACTATGCGTTTTTGCGTACTTTTTAAATGGACAATTCGTGAATAATAATATCAACTGTTTTAAAAATTTGAATAAATACTCTTTTACACCTGTAAATCACCGTGACGATCTATTTTTGTTGAATTGCAATTGAATGTAGCGTGTTCTGTAATAGTAGTAATCTACCATCTATAACCACTACACCATACCCCTTCAGTTACAGAAGACTGAGCCTTTCTTGAGGTTGAACGGTTTATATACTTCATTTTATTTATTTACATCACTTTGTAGAAGTTACTTCATACAGAACGTTGGACTTGGCATTCTTCTCTGCTTCCTGAATTTTTACGTGTTTTTGTTTCAATTCTCCTTGATATCGTCAATCACTTTTAATACTTTCTCTTTTCATGCATTTTCTCTAGATTTTTGAAGTAGTTAGTTGTTGCTTTGTTTTACCGAAAATTCATTTGAACTTTCCAATCTGAAATGCATATCAAAACTCCTATTTGGCTTCTCTTGTTTGCTTTTTTCTTCGCTAATTCTTTTGCGGCATCTTCTTTATTCGGCCCAAACACTGTAGAATTGGGTACGAGAACACTTTCAAAATTTGTCAACCAACATGGACCAACGTTTGTTGTTTTTTATGCTCCTTGGTGTGGATACTGTAAAAAACTAGGCCCTGTTTTTTCAAAACTTTCCAATAAACTACACAATCTTATACCTTTTGCCGCCGTAAACTGTGATACTGAAAGCAATAAGCCCGTCTGCGCACGATATGAAGTGAAAGGATTTCCGAGCATCAAATTCCTTTTCCCTTCCCCATTCCAACCATCTGCAATCTTCAGTGCAAATTACGAAGGGGATCGCAGTTATGGGTCAATGTACAAATTCGTTTCTCAAAACTACCCGGTCACGATTACCCCAATCAAAAGTGATGTTCAAATGAGAAAATATTTAAATTCAAGAAAAAACGTTACAAAGGCGATGTTGGTTACTGAGAAGTCAAAACCCACAATTATGTACAAAACCCTGGCAAATCATTTCTCCAAGCTATCGTTCAGTATCTGTTCACCAGAAAAAATCTCATTAGATCTTCTCGGTATAGATGCAAAGGAAATCAATAAGTTTCCTATGCTTTTGTTGCAGCATCCTGGTCAAAAATATCCAACAATATATCGCGGTTCAATGGAGCGTGAAGCTATGGTACGTTTTCTCGAACAGCAGTTACAGGAATTTAGTTTCAGTGAATATCTTGATTCCTTCTGTACTCGCCAAAACTGTCTTTTATATTTTTACGAGAATGAACATGAAAAAGAAACGTTTCCAGCTGAGGAAATTGCCAAAAAATATCCCAAGATACGTTTGCTGTCTCTTCCTGCATCCTCAGAATCTTCCGAATTGATTCGCAACCATCTAGATCTGGGGTATAGTGATGCTCTTTTAATTAATCTTTTAAAATCGCATTTCCTTGCAAAACCTTTTGGTACTCACGTGTTACGCTGGCTTGATGATATAAAAGTCGGACAAGCGGGCAGTTTAACCTCCTTACCGAAAAACTTCATTCAAAACGTCTCCTAGAAGTTAGAAAAAAAAAAGAGTTAAATGTTTACGCATTCAAGAGGATGATGGTATCCCTACATAGAATGAACTTAAAGATATATTTTATTATCATTACGACATATAAAATAAGAAATAAATAGTAAAAGATTAAAAAAGGATTAGTAATTACTCCAATAGTTTATAAAACCGTGAATGGAAACCTTTCAAAGCATACAGACCGCACCAATTTTAAGTACTCTTAGGGGATATTAATATCTCCTCTTTACTTGTCTGTAAACGTAGATTTTCTGGGAGATCACAGCGTAGTCGCAGAACTTCGTGTATATTCATATCGCTGAAGCCAGCCTTTCGCTTGTCATGCATTACCGCTGGTAAAGCATCAGTTCTGTGTTGTTAGAAACATTTGGGAAAGCATAACTTACTTGACCATTAATAAACTTAGCAATTGCTGCAACGTTCTAAATTTATTGTTGACTACATCAATACCCCAGCTTCGTAATGCTGAATAAAAAAAGTTCAAATCACTAAAATACGTTAGTATTATGGAAAGCATGTAGAATCTTGGAAAAACTTCAACATACTCTTGTAGAATCAGGGCACCAGTTGGAGTGACTTTTGAGCGAAATGCGTATCCAATTAATACAGCGGCAATATTAATTGCAGCTTTCTTTTTCAGAGCAAACAACGAGGGATCATTAGGACCAAGTTCTTGGATAGACAACAACAACTGATCAAGGTATGTTTGAACCAACTTCGTCATAGACTGTCGTTGTTTTGGTGATGTATCAATTTGCTCCTCTGACATAGTGTATGATATGTGTTTGTATGGAGATATAAGAAAATCTAAATGGGCACTCAAAACCTTTACAGAAGCATAGAACAAATTGTTGACGCGATATTCAAGATTTGTAATAGCTAAGCTCAAAGTATTAATCGTTTCTTTCCTCGAAGACGCAGTAAAACCAATGGAGGGTATAATAATAGAAGTAATATATGCTGAATAAAAGCCCATTATCTTTTTGCATTCGCGGATATCGATTAAAAAGCTCAAATTAAAGTCAGAACGTTTGTCATATTGCTGGATATAGTTGTTGATGGACGATAAAGCTTCATTTATGTATCGGTTTCTGACTAACTCGTCCAGCAGCTTCACCAGGGAAAAAAGTATCGTAGTTAGATCTTGCTGGGACATCAAAAGGGATGCTCGATTTAAGGCCTCAGCATGCCAACCAATAAAAGAATATATATTTTTTGAATCCAGATGACCTTCGTCTTCAGGTATTGACAGTGTACTTTCGGTCACGGCGGCACCTGAGTTGATTAAATTCTCATTCACACCTGCAATTCTTAGTAGATAACCTTCTGTTTTTGTATTAAAACGAGTCTGTGATTCCGTTGACGAAATTTTTGATGGTTGAATAGGGTTCATAAGTGATCTTAAAAGACCGGGCTTGGCTCGTTGTTTGAAAGGATTCGCAGCTAGAAACTTATAGACATTCAGCCAAAACATTGAAGTTAAAGATTGCCTCTCTCGGTTGAGATACTCATTTGGCTCGACATACGGAACTAGTAAATCCTCCAAATATTGATTTAAAGCAAGGAACAGGGGGGAGTTATCAGAAACATTAAACCCGCGATGAGTCAAAATTTTTTTCAACTCAACTAAAAGCTCTCTTAAAGAAGAAACTATTGTTTGTAAGGATCTTAAATATACCAGGTTTGTCTTAGAACGGGCAACTTCCATAATCTCTTCTATACGATTTTGGATAGACTGTCCAAAAATTCTCTGAAAAAGTGTTTGTAAAACAAGCTCTGGTTTTGGAAAAACACGTTTTATGACAGCACAGTCTCTGTCAACGACAGAGCATAGTTCGTTAAAAAGGGAAGAAAGGCTATTTATGGAAGTTGGCACAGGTTGGAAAGGATTTTGGAGGGCGTTCCAAATACTATCTTCTTCCAATCCTTTTCTCGATTCAAGCTTGTCGGCAGCTATAAAAAATTCGTGTTGATTAACAAACTCCCGAATTACAGACGCCCCGCCGTTAAATTCCTGCAAAATAGTTCCAAAAGAAGCCATTCCTTTCCAGTTAGGCTTTCTATACTCATTATTAAAAAACTTTAGAAAACTGGTTTCTAAAAACTCGGAAAACTTTTCTATGCGATTTAACGTTTCAGAAGCTCCGGGCAATTCAATTTCATTTGCGAAACTTGATAGTTGTCGAGTTCTTTGAGCGCATAAAAGCATTTTATCATGACTGTTTGTTCGAAATAGATCCATGAGAGATTGAGAGCTTCCAGAACGAAATTCCAAATAATACTGAATCAAGTCGGCAGAAGCCAGAATCCTCTTTCGATGATTTTCAGCGAGTTCTAATTCTTTTCCAACATCTACAAGACCGCCTCTCATATCTTCTACATTGTCGTTTAAATGCCTTGATAGGTCCAACACCTGGGAAAACTTGCCTCGTAGGTGATTGGATTTCTTTTGGTAGTCATACTGAATGTGTTTGGATGCAGAGTCATATTTTTTTATCTTCTCTTCCAAATTTGATCGTAATTTCGTCAATTCAGAGTTTCCTTTTTCAAATAAGGAAATTGAGTTTTCTAAGGAGAGCACTGTTCAAGATTGTTAATACCTTCAGCAGCAATAGCATAGATCAATGAGCCATTAATGAATACTCTAAACTGATTATAACAGATGATTCATTCGTTTAGGCACGTAAAGATGGAGTTGACGCGGCCTTTGGCTAGTGATCAACCGGGTTAAAGATGATATATATAAAACATACGTTGGTTAGGAGCGCTTTCTGAAGGATTGTAAAGCGGCTTAGAGAATTGCTCAATAAATTCAATATCAGACAGTTCCGCCTACAACATGATTTGTTAGTCATATTTGTTGAAATGATGCTTCATACATTGTCGCCAAGAGATTCTAGCAATTTATCATCAAAATCATTAATTTCATCTTTTACAGACATGTCTACTCAAAAGACAATATAGTTGGACTAGAGAGAACTACTAGGAAAGAGCTTTGTGCGAGCAAGTGGTGAGAAGTGTAAGCGAAGAATAAGCTGTAGGTCGAAAAGCACCATAACTATGTTGGTATCTATAGTTTAAATTTTTTATTCTTTTTCAATCCTTTGTTTCGTAAATTTATATTTTGAGAACTCTGTGCAGTTGTCTCAGATAGAAAACGTTACGTTCTCTAACTTGAAAGCTTTTAATCAAAGTTGGACTATATCGTATTCGATACATATTCAAATGACGATAGAATTTTCTTATCCTTTCATTCTACATGTTGATTTTTTCTACTGTTCCTAGTTACTTTGGATCTTAAGTAAAAGGGTGTGTAAAGCTTGACAGATTAGCTGAATTATATTCGCATTGTTGATCTTTTTCAACATGTTCTGGATATAAAGCAAAAAAAGAACCAGCAAATGAGTCATGCATATATTTCATGTTCATGAAAAAAATGGCCAAAAGTTAAAATCAAAACTTCAGTTAATCTGAATCATATTCTTCAGAAGAACCCGTAAATTCTGCTTCATCATCGGAATCGCTTAAGACGGACTTGGTTGTGACATGATGGCGTTTTGTTTTGCGTACAACCTTTGGAGGGACCATGGAAGGTTTTTTATCAGAACGAATGCTCGTTGAGGTGCTAGCCTTCATTCCATTAGCTATCTTTTTGCTTTCTCGCTCGTCTTCTGCCGCAACGTGACCTTCTTGTACAGCTCGGATAATTTTGTCAATCCATTCATCCGGGAGAGCCGTGATTCCATCCAAAGTGTTTCTTAAATCATCTTCACCAAGGCGATTTTTAACGTTTTTTAACATACGCGGTGTGACACACCCCCAATGTTTCCAAGCCCAGCTTTGAAATCTCCCAGAGTCAACAAATGTACCGAAGCGTACAGCACCTGCTGGAATTTTTGAACTTTACTAATTCGTTAGCTTTATTTAGAAATAAAGTCAGATTCTAAAAAAGCATATTCTCTCTCTTGTTAACAGTACCAGCCCAGTACCAATTCCAATATAGAACTGGACTGTGAATGAACAGTTCCACAACTGGTTTTTCATACTCTTATATAGAAGCAATAGGTAATTTTTCAACAAGTCTAGAAACTCCCTTTTCATGAACTTTTTCAGAATCTTCCCAAGAAACGTACCGACCACATAAAGAACCTTTACATTTGGAACGACTATTGGAAGCAATCTCAACCCGGTATCCGCTTCCGCCCTGTTCCATGATTGTTGGATAGCAAACAATACTTCGTTTCAAATATTAAATGACTGCAGTTTGATACGGTTCAACAAACCTTTTGTTGTTGTTAACGAATCCAAGGCTTGCAAGTTGAAATACTGTCTTTTTCGATCGAAATCAGGCTAAACGAAATGAACGGTGTCAACTATAAGATACAAGATTGGAGAGCATAATTCTAGCAGGGATAAAGAATACAATTCAGCCAGCCAAAAGTCACAACGTTTCTCATGCTTTTCCATTCATGATGTTTAATATGTTTAATCAGAGATAGGAATCTCTTGCGAGCTGAGGATAATACAACTTCCTTGCCTTGAAGGAAACTGTGAGATACGACAGATGTTTGAGCTAAAAAAGAAAAACAAAAGAAAAACAAAAAAGAAACACCAAAGTAAATCTAAAGCGAAAGTATGTACATTCGAAATCAAAAAAAGGATCTGCCAAAGGTAACATTTTTTCGTTAGTATAATATCATTTTGAATGTTGCTATTCATAAAATGAGAGACATATTAAAAGAAGCTGTTCAGCATTCAAACACTTAAATTATTACTATTTTCCTGCGTAGAAACAACCTTGTCTGATTGCCAAAGGCGCATTTGCTTTTATATGCGATTTCGTAACACTTTATCTGATATCGTACAAGTAACAATGCCTGGAGGTAGAAGAATTTTTTTTCTGTATGAATGAGAAAGTAGAGAAATAAGATTCTAACCATCTAAAAGAAAATTATTAAAGTGTTAGAGCATTATGCGATCTTTTGGTTCTTTTATTTACGTTTTGCATCTTCCTTCTGAGTACCTTTTTCTAATACGCGTTGCATTTTGTTATTTTATATAACGAAACTTGTCGCACAACGTTGATGAATGAGACATCAGATAACGGGCTTATCAGATTTTATACTTGCCTTGAACAAAACACCATAAATTTTCAAAAGGGAATTACAGAATTTTGTCTGTTTACAATTCAATCCTATAAAACTTTAACTATTTCTAGGTGAAAGGTAGTTTCTGTGATCCGTCACAAAAAGCTGTAAGCTTCTTACCTTATTTTCCGTTAACAGATGTATCTCTGTATAATCGTGGTAAACGTCTAAGTTTGATATTATTTTTACTATATTGTTTTACTCGTTTTCCCTTTGTTTATCTTCTAGTTTTTTTGGTTTCCTGATCCGGTTTGTTTTTGGGTTTTTGTTTTCTTCTGGTCTTCGAGAATGTTGCAAAGATCAGTTCGAACTCCTGTCGGTACACGTCCAACATTTTTCAAAAAGCTTTTTGGAAATGAACCATATTCACCTTCTACACGAGGCCAATTTCTGGCTCCGGCAAGTAAAGGATGTTTAAAAAAGATAGTTGTAAGAACCTGCTGTCAATATTCTAGTCGACGGAGGTATTCTACTGGAAAACGGTTTTTGGGTCATGTCTCAAACTACTTATCCCAAGGAAAAAGCCCGTCAGGTTCATCTCATTCTACCTCCTCTGCGTCCGATTTGCTACCGTCTTTTTTCTCTGTAAACGAACAATTGCAGACACTGTTGCGAACCCCTTCATTTCAAAATCTTCAGATCAAGCTTGATGAACTAAAATATGACGAATGTTTTTCTAATCCTACACCCATCCCCCAGAAAAAAGTTTCCTTTACACCCACTACCGTTGATTCTGCTCCTCTTGATCCTCTCCTTTCCGATAGTCCTACATCTCCTCACCCACCTTCTTTTGTTCAGCCTCATCCCCCGTTTCACGTTTTTTCTGCCCCTGTTTTAGACATTCGTACTTTAACCAATCCTGGTGCTATAAAACGTACATACAATGTCACTTTGGATGTCTCAAAATACCCTTTACGGGAAGGCAGCGATTGGAAGATCGGTGGATCTTTTGGTGTTATGCCTCCTAATCCCGATAATGAAATTTTCCGTTTAGCTCATCTACTGAATATTCCTTTAAACGAGCTATATGCAACCAAAATTCTTCATACCTCTGGTGGAAGGTGGCCGACTATTTGGGGAGAGGAAAAACCACGTGCATTGACAACTTCAATTTATCATATACTTAAGTGGTGCACAGATTTTCTTTCTAAGCCGCCGTCTAAAGATTTCTATCGTTTGTTAGCAAAATATTCAACAAATTCCGTTGAGCACCATATCCTTCTTGGACTTTCGAATTGCTCTCAAAATATATGCTCTGAAAATTTCTCCGTTTCCGACATATTGGATGCGTTTCCGAACGTACGCCCACCAGTGGATGAAGTTATTTCACTGCTACCTCAGTTAATGCCTAGGTGGTACTCTATATCCAATGATCCTGATCTCGGGAAAGGAGTCTTGGAAATGGCTTTTACAGTACAAGAATTTACGGCTCCAGATGGACAGACGCGTACTGGTATTTGTTCTGGGTTTTTGGAAAATGTGGCTTTAGAATATTTAAAATGTCAACAAAACGGTACCTTAAAAAACAAAAAATTTACGTTACCAATGTTCCGTGGTGTTCAGCAGAATCCGTTTGCAAAGGAATTCCATAATGATGGACCAATGTGCCTTATTGGTGCCGGAGTTGGTATCGCTCCATTCCGTGGCTTTGTGCAAAGACGCCTTGCAAACGCATCCTGTACAGGAAAAGTTTGGATTATTCAGGGTTGTCGGGATCAGACTTTGGACGAACTTTATCATGGTGAATGGAATACTATACCCGGGCATCACACAAATCCCAAATGTCGAGCAAAGAAATTGGTAGTTGAATCGAGAAATGGAAAGCGAGAGTATGTTCAAGATGCTGTTCGCAGACACGGAAAAATTATATGGGATGTCATCAATCATAAAAATGGACGCATTTATCTTTGTGGTTCTGGAAAAGCCTTTGCTACTGAAATTGAAAAGGCTATCATGGATATTGCCATGAAATATGGTGGGTATAAGAAAGAGGAGGCAGCTCGCCAATTAGAATATTGGCAAAGCCCAATAAATTACAAATTCGTTAAAGAAGTCTGGTAATGTATTGGTATTTGCTACAGGGAAAAGGAAAGGATCATTTGGTAACCATGGCTAACGATTTTGATGATTGACATATTTTCTATGATTCTTATTTATTATATATATCATGAATAATAATCCTTACCAAAATACTCTAGTAAGAGTCAAGTAATTCTTTAAAATAGCTATACCATGGCATGAAACATAGGAAAACAGCCTGTGGTATTCATCAATCGTACTTCGTATATTTGGCCTCCAGAAAAATTTGTTTTTCAACCAAATCAAGTTTTGTAGCCCGTGTACGGCCCAATTTACAAAGTTTCTCTAAGACGCTTTCGGTTACATTGTTACAATTTCTGGGTACTTCAGGTTCCGCTGACATTCGAGCACGAGTTTCAAAAGAAATGGTCAATAAAATGGAACTAATAAATGTTAACATGGATGGAACAGAAAGGGTAATAGCTGCAGGTAAATAACGAAGATATAAGCAGAAAATACGATCAGTACTTCCAGCGGACTCAAGGCATTTGGTTAATTGACATAGTCCCCTGCCATTAGTGGTAGTACCCTAAGCAAATGAAACGGTTAGCTTTATCCCACCAAAAAAAGATAATCACTATTTAAATATCATACCTCTGGAAATACAACGACGACCTTGCCAGTCTTGCTGGCATCTTTACAGATTTCGGAGAGTGGTCGAAGATCTTTTTTAGAGGGAGATAGCATAAAGCTTAATCTAGAAAAGCATGAAAAGAAAGAAGAAGTAGATGAAACAGGAAAAACATTTGATTGACAATTCGTTTTTACGAATATACAATCAAACAAAGACGAAACGATTAAGACATCTACAGGACTCGTATGGTTGACAGCAACAATATCACCAGGCTGTAAACTATCCCCTTGTACAAACGATCTGAAAAATTAGCTTGCTGAAAATGAAATTCCGTTGACTTACCCAACAAGCGTATAGGAAAGTCGGAAGCAACCCAATGAGAATAGTAAAATTCGTGAAAGTGAACGTTCAATAAACCCAGCTATAGACGGCTGAAAGTATAGTAGCTTCTTGAAGCACGCAGACCATAACCCAAAGTACAAGAGACCGGAGATAATGCATAACGGGATGCGAACTAAAGCTACAGGTAAGATAATCAACCATTTAAAGCTTGTAACTGATGGTTTCTCTGCATAAATTGGTTGAAACGGAGCAATGCCTGTGCCAGCGTCTAAGAAAGAAACCAGTTAGTCTTTAAATAATGGAAGATATACAGTTTGCAGTTTCAACAAGTTTTATCAGAGAAAAGAAAACTTAGAGAAGTTTATGTAGTTAATTGAAATCTCCAAAAGGATACTTGTTTGAAAAATAAAGCTGAAAGTTCAGTTCTTACCTCTCCAACGGGTGAATTTCTCCATTATTCAAATATGATGATAAACTTTTATTACTTTCGATACGTTAGTTCTTCAGAACAGTTATAAACAGGAATTGATAGTCTTAAGACAGTAAATTGAAATTCCAATTGATACGTTACAGACTGCTGTACGCTCGGTAGGCTTAGCTTATGTACCTTAAAGAATGAAAACAATTACGAACAATTTCTCCAACCGAAACTTCAAAGTCTATGGATATTGTTTATTGTATAATTACAAAATAAATGTATTTTTTCGGTCAGATATCATAGAGAGACCAGGATGACAAGTCGACGATTCAGCCAGATTTCTCAAGAGGATAATAGTAGTAGTGAAGAAGAAATTCCCATTGAAGAAAATGTTGGTCAAGCTAAACTTCATTCTAGTTCTATAAACAAGAAAATTCGGAACACTGAAAACACGCCGACTGAGGAAAAAAGCGGGTTAAATCCCCTTACTTGGGAAAAGAAGGAGCTGTTAGAGAGGAGGAATCAATTGTACAGTCAAATATATTTGTTAGAGCAAGATATTGTACGATTCCAAAAACAGACTTTGGATCCAAACTTACAGAAGCAAGAACATCAAATGCTTAAGGAGCTCGTTGGGTTATTCTTCGAGACTTCACCGGCTTCGGAAGATAGACAGTCTACTAAAAACGACAGTAATGATGTTTTTATTCCTTCTGCGGCACCTAATATTAATCGCCCAGTTAGGGTCTCTTTTTCAGGACTACGGATTCTTACCCACCAGTCTACAGATGTGAGCGATGTACATTGCATGCACGAATTTAAGGGATTATCTGATTTTTTTCCGTTTTTGGATTTTCATATGTATATCCATATTCGTACAACTGATTATGCTATCCTTGAGATGTTTAGTACGGTAGCTTCATTTGCAAGAAACGAGCTTCAATCTGTGTTAGAGAAATCAGCGAATGCAAGGGATGTAGTGACAGCATTAAGGGCAATCTCAATGTTTGGATATTATCATGCAATTCGCTCCGACGATTGGACATATTTTTTAAGTAAATTCGATGGGTTAGCGAGAGTCGATTTAACTACATCTGAGCTACATGTTCAAAGTAAACTATACAAGGTTTCGTTACAGCATAACATCTGTTTTGACGAGTTTGGATTTGCCAAAGCGGCATATAACATATTATTTAGACCAAAAAAAATACCCCAAAAGAGCGAAGAGTCTATTTCATTACTTACAAAAAAAATTAATCATCGATTCCATGAATTAATCAGTCTTTTCGGATTTCGGAAAGGTTCTGAAATCTTACTAGAGATATTGTTTAAACCAGCCAACGGATAAGAATCAGGGTATATTAATAGGGAAACGAATTGGATCGCATCGGACAAAACGCACTAAAAAATAGAGTTTATAGAAATAGAATGAAAAATTCGATGTGAATATATACAGTTTAAGAATGCTTTGGAAACTCTGAGTACTCCACCTCACGCTTTACACCTGCTTCCGGTAGTTGTACAGACTCCATCACTCGGTTGATCGACTCAAGTGGCGACCGCTCCTTTTTCACCTTTTTAGAAGGAGATTGAGGCTTTGTAACTTTGGTGGAAGCAGTGAGTTTTGCTTGCCCTGAAGTCCGTTTCTTGGCAGCTAAAGAAGTGTTTGAGTGAGCCTTTGGTCTCCACCTGGGAGCTTCTAAATAAGGCTTCATAGTACGAATAGCAGCCTGACAATCTCCTTCAACGATAATATCACACAAGTTCGAAAACTCCTTTGTAGGAGAATCAAAATTCAGCCAAATTACTGACCCTTTCTGACGGTGAACGCAATTACTCATTTCCTTTATGATTCTTTTAACGCCGGGAATTTTACAGGAAGTACCTGCAATGACCAAACAGTCAGGCCTTGATTTCAAATCCTGCGAACACACGGCTCCAATTGCGTCTGAATCTGGATGCCCTTCATTATAAAGCACAATTCGTGGACGTAAACATCCTTCCATGACAAGTCGCTTTCCAGCAATGCGACGGACCTCATTTTCAGTCCTGCATTCGGGGCAAGCCGTCAGACCATCTTTCTCGAAGAGACCAGGATGGAAGGGTCGGACAAAGGGACATCTCGTACATCTAACAACTTCTAATGTCCCATGGAGTGGGATAGTGGTAGGCCAAGGCGCTGTTTGAGGCAAGGGAGTGCACGTTTGGAGACCTTCAAGCCGGGTTTCAAGGAAATCTATATTTTGAGTATACAAACGAAGAAGTTTGGAATCCTGGGCTAGTTTTGACAAAAAATGATGAAAGTCGGTGGGGGCAGCATTGTCTGAAAGTTCATGAAGCTTTTTAATCATTTCATGAAAAACGTTTACACTTTTGAGATCGCGATACACTCCTCCATCAAATAGTTCTTTTCCTGAACAATTTAATTTATACTCTGACCGGAGAGAAGAGAAGAGACCAACGGAGGACCGAAAATCAGGAATACCTGCTCCACACGAAATGCCAGCACCTGTACAAATTGTTAGAATAAATCTGAAAATGCATTAAATTTCATCTCACAGGATCTGTGAGTTCCAGATGACAAATAACATACCGGTAACGATCACTATTCGTTTTGCTTTTCTTAAAGCGGCAATTGCAGGATTCAAATCAACATTGTCTGAAGAAAGCTGAATCTTAATGGGAGAATCTGCAATTTGTTCGTGGCTTTTCAGTCCCGTCTCGGTGGATTGCAATTTTCTTTTCTTTGACTCATCATTGATGGGGAGCAGCTCATCCGGCTTCATATTTTCAAGACAAAATGAAAACGATATTATTCGTTTTTTTGTAAATTTTATGAATTACGTCCAAGAATCGACATTTAGGGTACTTTCCCGTTATTTAGAGAAGTTTGGGGTAAGTGATGGTGATGTGTAATGGACACACATATGGGTCAGGAATTGGAAAGACTCTTCCAAGGGAGTGTTGAGTTGACAGTTTATAAACATATGTTTCATAAACAAAACATAATGGAAGAACCTTACAGAGGATGAAACCAGCAAGTTTGAAGACTTTTCGAAGATATATATGTTTATTCGAATAAAAGAACATAATTTGAATCAATTATTTTTTTGGGGTTTTTATGTGTCTATAAAGCGGCAATCCGAGATTTAGAAACCGGTCTTTGTTGAGCAATGAAAAAGCTAGCCTTTTTCGTCCAAACCTCCTGGGTAAACCTAATCATTCAATTCAATTGTAAAGTTCATTCTACCTCAATTGTTAGGGACAATTTCAACGATGAGTGAACATTTTCACCAAAAGTGCTTCATATTCCAATTGGGATATGCACTGTTGCGAATCTAAAGGAATAGGTGTTTCAAGTGAGTATATAAGTTTTGTTAAAATTGGTTGGCTTTCCTTCTTTTTCACTTTTGATTTTACAAGTGACTTTCATGTTGCTACGTGCTGGAGCCAAAGAACAGAAGAAGAATACTAAGTGCAGCTTTTGTATTTCATTCTTCATTCCTAGTTGAAAAAGCTATATACGCTAGTACTCACATTAGAGTCGGTATCTACTCTATAGATCAAGTTCACTTTGGGCTGACTCGAATAAAAGCAAATGAAAAGAGAATAAAGTGAATTTAGAAGTGAGTAATTGAATAAATAAAACATAGATTATAAATACACATAATTCGTCAGCATCGTCACAGGAAACTCAGAAAACGAAACACTTCTTTCTCGAGGAAAGTGAAACTTTCTCCTGGTGCTTTAAATAAAAGAAATGGTTAAAAAAAGAAATAAAAAACAATGTACGGAGAGTTTTCTTGCTTGACCAGATCATGCACCTACAAAAGTAGGTTTAGATTGAAAGGAAAACCAGAAATAGAAGCCATAAAATAGTCATATATCATCTCTAAAGGTAATTTCAAGCAAGTAGAACCCCTAAACGTACCAAAATAACCTGAAATGTTGTTAAGGTGCTTTTTTCATACAGGCGAGGATTCCGCCAACAACGCAACAATACAAGCAAACAACATACCACTGCTTGAATTAGCCTACACCGAGGTTTCCTCTGGTTTTCTTGGTGTATCTGACTAAAAAAGAAAGGATTAAACCGTTGAGGTTTATTAAAATTTTGAATTCCTAAATTTACAAGAGGAGCAGCCAGTCTTCTAGGCAACCCTTAAATCAATCTTGCCAGAAGCTTGGTGCGAGGGAAATCATGAGCTCCAATCATACTAATGGCGCATTTGAAGATCCTAATGGTATAGCAAGGACGGAAGTTGCAAGTGTAGCACAACCCAATATGCAAACTTCCATAGAATTGCCTGTTCTCTCTACAAATGAAGGGTCCAACTATCTAAGCAACTCCTCTTCGTATCCTTCTCAGACTTCTTTAACTTCCTATGGTGATTCTGAAAATGTTACCAGTGCTGCTAACAGCACGGTGGTATCTTCAGCTTTATCGACTCCTCAAATCGAGTACTCTGCCAGCTTCGATGAACTCAGAGTAGATGGTAATAGACGTTCAGGCCGTGTAAAGCGTGCCGTTTATCCAGACCAGTCATTCTTTGATATGGATGACCAAGAAATTCCCACATCTAAAAAAAGGAAAAGCAAGGTGGCACCAGTCCAAAGAAGGTCTCCTGAAAAAAGTGAAGATGATGCCGATGCTTATGATCGCAATCATAAGACGAGCTATGTACCTACTGAAGTTAGAACTTCCACTCGGTCCTCAAAGGGTGGAGTCAACTATAATGAGCAAGATCTTTATGGAGATTTGGATAACGAAGAAGAGGAAATGGAGGAAGAAGTTGAAGAAGAATACGAACCTGCCATTGACTTTGTTTTGAACCATCGGAAACGCGAAGACGCCGAAGATGATGATCCCAAGAAAAGTTACCAATACCTTATAAAATGGCAAGATATGTCTCATTTGCATAATACGTGGGAAGATTATGCTTCTGCTACTTCTGTTCGTGGTTTTAAGAAAGTTGATAATTACATTAAGCAAAACATTATCTATGATCGAGAAATTCGGGAAGATCCTAGTACTACTTACGAGGATTTGGAGGCTCTAGACATTGACCGCGAGCGGAAAAATATGGTATACGAGGAATACAAGATCGTTGAACGTGTCGTAGCCTCTGAACCTAATGAGGCTGGCAAAACAGAATATTTTGTCAAATGGAAACAGTTGCCTTATGATAACTGCACTTGGGAAGATGGTAACCTTATTTACAGTATGGCTCCTAATGAAGTATTTCAATTTCTTCAGAGAGAAAACAGCCCGTATTTACCTTCCAAAGGTGTGTTTTATAACACAAGGCCTCCTTATCGTAAATTAGAAAAGCAACCGTCCTATATAAAAGGAGGAGAAGTAAGGGATTTCCAATTAACGGGTATTAATTGGATGGCTTATTTGTGGCACAGAAATGAAAACGGCATCTTGGCTGATGAAATGGGTCTGGGTAAAACCGTACAAGCTGTTTGTTTCCTTTCCTATTTAGTCCATTCCTTAAGGCAGCATGGTCCTTTTCTAATTGTTGTTCCGCTTTCAACAGTACCAGCTTGGCAAGAAACATTGGCAAATTGGGCACCAGACTTGAACAGTATTTGCTATACTGGAAATACAGAATCTCGAGCAAATATACGAGAGTACGAGTTCTACATGTCTTCTAATAATCGGAAGCTCAAATTTAATGTTCTTTTGACAACGTATGAGTACATATTGAAAGATAAGCATGAGCTCAATAATGTTCGATGGCAATATCTTGCAATTGATGAAGCTCATCGTTTAAAAAATAGTGGATCTTCACTTTACGAAACCCTTTCCCAATTTAAAACTTCCAATAGACTTTTAATTACCGGTACCCCGTTACAAAATAATTTAAAGGAGCTGGCATCCTTGGTTAATTTCCTAATGCCTGGTAAATTTTATATCAAAGAAGAACTTAATTTTGACGAGCCTAATGAAGAACAGGAACGTGATATCCGCGATCTTCAACAAAGATTACAACCTTTTATTCTCCGCAGATTAAAAAAAGATGTGGAAAAGTCACTACCATCAAAATCGGAGCGTATTCTGCGAGTCGAATTATCAGACATGCAAACTCAGTGGTACAGAAATATTCTTACCAAAAACTACCGCGCTCTTATTGGTAGTACTGATGGGAGAAATCAGCTCTCTCTATTAAATATTGTTGTGGAGCTTAAGAAAGCCTCTAACCATCCGTATCTATTCCCTGGAACGGAAGAGAAATGGATGACTGGTAGAAAAATGACCAGAGAAGACACCCTTCGTGGTATCATTATGAATAGTGGAAAATTGGTTTTGTTGGACAAATTGTTACAAAGACTTAAACGAGACGGTCATCGTGTATTAATTTTTAGCCAAATGGTGAAAATGCTAAACATATTAGGAGAGTACATGTCTCTTCGAGGCTATAATTATCAACGTCTTGATGGAACCATTCCTGCGTCCGTACGAAGGGTATCAATTGATCATTTCAATGCTCCTGAAAGCCCGGATTTTGTTTTTCTATTAAGTACTAGAGCAGGCGGTTTAGGTATTAATTTAAGTACTGCTGATACGGTTATTATTTTTGATTCGGATTGGAACCCTCAAGCGGATCTTCAGGCAATGGCTCGTGCTCATAGAATTGGTCAAAAAAACCACGTGAACGTTTATCGTTTTTTGTCTAGAGATACAATTGAAGAAGATATTTTGGAGCGTGCTAGGAGGAAAATGATTTTGGAATATGCTATTATATCTTTGGGTGTCACTGAGAAGTCGAAGACGTCTAAAAACGATAAGTATAGTGCTGAAGAACTTAGTGCTATATTGAAATTTGGTGCATCAAATATGTTTAAAGCGAATGAAAACCAGAAAAAATTAGAAAACATGAATTTAGATGATATCTTGAGACATGCTGAAGATCATGATTCGTCTAATGATGTTGGCGGAGCTAGTATGGGAGGAGAAGAATTTTTAAAACAATTTGAAGTTACCGATTATAAAGCGGATGATCTTAAATGGGACGACATTATACCTGAAGAAGACTTGGAAAGAATTGAAGAAGAAGAACGAGTATTAGCTGCTCAACGAGCTGAAGAGGAAGAACGTGAACGAAGAGAAGAAGAGCTTCGAGAAGCTGAAGAAGAGCAAAGTTCTCGTGCTTCAAAGCGAACTACTAAGTCCATTACTAAGCGCCAACAACGCCGAGAAGAAGCAATACGTGAGAAAGAAGTTCGTCAGCTTTATCGTGCTATGATTAAATTTGGTTTAGTCGAAGAAAGGTTCAGTGACATCGTGAAAGAAGCGGAATTAGAAGCTACTGATCCCAAACGAATCTTACAAGTATCGTCTGATATAGTGAAAGCATGTGAGAAGGCTGTTGAACAAGTTGAAGCAGAGGATATTAAAAGCAAACAACCTCGTAAAGCGATTTTGATTGAATATCGAGGAGTGAAACACATTAATGCGGAAACAATTACCCAGAGAGTAAAAGATTTAACCTATTTGCATCGAGCGTATAAAGGTTTAGACCCACTAAAGCAACGTATTGGTTATCCCATCCGAAGTGTCCACAGTTGGAACTGTACATGGGGTATTAAGGAAGATTCTATGTTGCTTGCGGGTATTGATCGGCACGGATTCGGATCATGGCAAGCAATTAAAATGGATCCGGATCTAGGCTTGCAAAACAAAATATTCTTAGAGGAAGCTAAGAATGATAAAGATTCAAGAAATGTTCCGAGCGCAGTACATTTAGTACGCCGAGGAGAATATTTATTAACTGTTGTCCGAGAGCATCCTGACCTCTTCACAACAAAGACAGATCAAGCAACGAAGCGTAAATACACTCGTAAAAGCAGCAATACGAAAGGTTCTGGTCGGCAAACCACTTTGGATGATTCAGTTGCATCCAAAAAGAAGAATCGTGGAAAAAAGCAGGCACAAGATGATGATAACACAGAAGAAGAAGAAACTTCACCTGATGGAACGGTTAGGGAAGAGGAGGAAGAGGAGGAAGAGGAGAAATCAAAGCCTGAAGCCCCTAAGCGAGCATTGCGCTCCAATACTGGTAATAAACCACAGAGAACAAGCCGAAGGACTACCAGAAATTCTTCCAAAGCACCGTCGGCGATGGACACACTTACGGCTGCTGCTGCTTTAGATGCTGAGTTGGATACTGATTCTCCTAAGAAACCGGAAAAAACAGAAGCTGAAGATGATTCGATAAAAAAAGAAAACAAGGATTCCTCGGAAGCTATCTCCTCTTAAGTTAACCGGAAGAGATAAAGTAAAATGGATTCAGGATGCTTCTTGGGTACATTGTGATTTGTCTCAATGTAAACATGGAAGAATATAACAACAGATATCTATTTCAGTGTATATTGAACTACTATCAATTATTAAGGTTTCTAATTGCATATAAGTTTTGTTATCTTTTTGTAAGTAATACTAATTTTGTTTAAGATTATCAAATAAAGCGTTTGGACTATGCTAATAATGTTGCTCAAGTTTTCATTTAAAAAAATGAAATGAAGAAAAAAGTAGACATTCTTAAAAAGTAGAGCTACCCAAAAGCGACATTCACACAATAATAAATGAGGAGATATCCATCAATACTAAAGTTGTCATATAAATTACCAATAACTTCGTCAGGAGCAGGAGCAAAACAATAGTTTACATATAATAACTAAAGTCGTAAGTTAGACCCCCTCGCAATCAAAATATAACTCACCAAGGATGAATCGGGTTGTAAACCAAGCTCTTTTTTTAAGAATCGAATTACTTTGTCAAAGCGATGGCTTGCATTAATCGCGAATACGTTTTTACGCAGCAAAGGAGTTCTTCCAATGGCTTTAAACCGTAAATTCACTGAATGATACTAGTTAATTCAACTCTGCTCTTGACGAATTTATCCCTAACCTTTTCTATTTCCCTTTTCATTGTAATCGCTTATGATTTCATTTATTTTTTCCTGTAGATTTCCTATTTCTCTGGTATGAGGGGACTCTAGCCTCTTATTCAATTGATCTTCAACATCCTTCGAGGAAGAAGACATTGTGTTTATTGAAAGCAATGAAAAGTTAAATCATTCTATTTGGTCGTTGTTACGATGATAGCCTTTGTACAACGCTGCAGTAATTGTTGGTTTTGACTATATGAAACATAATGATACGTATATTTCGTGCGCTAATAGAGATCAGCTCAATGTCAGTTACTCACCAGTGTATCGCCTTTGATTCCTTATGTAAATACATTTTTATTAGACAGTGTGAATTACCTGACAATTAAGATTTACAGAAAATATTCTTTATAAACCATTGCTTGAAGATCTTAGAACTTCTGTTATTTCAGAATACATGGCAATTATCATTAGATATATTATATAACTATTTTCAACTGCTCTAGAACCACACTGACACATAATATAAATTAGTTGGAAAAAATAGAATTGTATTTCCAGGGCATTTACATCTTTGAGTTAACAGAAAGGAAATTCTAATAAATTGACACTCACTCACTTCGGATTCGGAATCTCATAAAAAATTATAAAAGGCGAGCGAGAATAGATAAATAACTAAAGCTTCTTTAATGTCTGATCCAATTCTTGCTTATCAACAACAACACCAGACGCTGAGCATTTGGCCTTCTGTTTCAGTTTAGCACATAAATCATCGATGTCCAATTGAGAAAAGTTGGGGTGACTCATAATTTTAGACCAAACTTCGGGACACTTTATATAAGTTTCTTCCTTATTTGGAACAACTTCATCCTCAACATTGAATTGTGGATTCTGCGGTAATGGACTAACACCAGGTTGTTTATCTTGTACCTTATTTCGATCGAAGGATGGACCGTTAGAAATATTGGATAAATCAACACTAGCATAGTCCGGTGGCACGTTAATAATGTCATAAGGGCCGTCCTTCTTTAGACTAGAAGGGTCTGCGAATAGTTTATTTTCGTTGAAAAAGTCCAAAGTAGCAGGAGTATGCTGTCCAATGCCGAACATTGAAAATTCGTCGCCCTGATTCTCATCTTCAGTATCCCTAAAGTATGTTCTAAACATGTCATTGGCATCGCCCTCATCATTGAAATAATCTTTATCCAAATTTTCAGTAGGTTCTCTCCAAGTAGAGAATAAATCTGCTATGGAATTGCTCTCATGATTTACATTATTAAGAACGTTAGTGCTTGGTTCGAATATTGCATCGTAATCAGGTAAATTATTATGAGCTAGTTGATCCACAGATTTAGGTTCTTGAGATTGAATCGTTTCATCAGTATACATAGACTTAGAAAACGGTTTCGAGGATAGAATTTCTAAATTGAGAGGCTCAGGATTCGCATGATTCACGAAGCGATCCAAAGGGTCATTGTTTATATTCTCCTCGGTAAGAATATCAACACTCGCACGATGAGGAGTACTCTTCGTTAACATGGAACAAGCAATGGAACCACATGCCGAAGACAGTTTTTGGCAAAACTGCTTTCCATCCATAGAAGGAATCTGATGGTCGGACGAGTCGTCTTGATGAAGAGAAAGAGAGGTAGAACTTCGTTTATGTCCGTTGAATTGCTGTTGAGGAGAGTTAGAGGAAACCAGACTTTCTGGGGACAAGGTCCCCCTCACTGAACTATTAGAATCTACCAAACCAGGAACTCCATATTGAGTACCGTTCGCTGACATCGAGTCCGGGTTCGATGAAGAATTAGAATTACTTTGCGTTGAAGGAAGAGTATCAAATGTAGAGTTTTTATATGGTTCGACAGATGGTGCATTTATGTTATTGGAAACAGAAAAAAGAGAAGGGTCTCGCTGAGGCAAGCTCATTTCAAAGGTAAACGATCCCTTCCGCAAAGCAGCAAGTTCATCTTCCAGTTGCTTAACTCGCTTTCTCAATTCATCATTCTCCACATTCGTTGTCGAATGAAGCTGCTGAAGACTCACAACTTGAGTTTCCAAAGTCTTAAGGTGGTCTTCTTTTCGTCTACGGAAAGCACGCTGTGCAGCACGATTCTGTGCTTTTCTCTTTGAAAGCGATTCATTCTCCTCAGTCTTTCGACCAAACTTTTTGGGCTTTTCTTCAAAAAATTCGTCATTTAAATCTGGAAAAGACTGATTCTCATCCGACGACGATCGTTCAACATTCATGTGACCTACAATGGGACCTCGTTTTTTGGACGCACTCATCGCTGTGGACGAGTTTTGATCAGGATTGGTGGCAACGGAAGAAGGATTGACCTCCCTTGATTGTAAGGAGGAATATACAACAGGCAAAGTTTCCGCATTAGTAGACATGATAAATGATTATAGAAACGAATTAGATATGCAAATTAAAAAACCCCCCAAACTTTGCACACTGGTGAATATAAGAATTAAAAGAAAAGAACAGAAAAGAAAAGAAAAGAATTTAAGGTGGTATAAGATAAGAAGAAAACAAATGCAACAGAATAACAAAAGTCTAGTGCGATGCAACGAAAATAAAAAAAAACGAAAAATAGAAAAAAAAAACAACAGAAAAAGGAAACCAATGGAACCGTAATTAAGCTTGTAATTCTTTAGGAAAGAAAAATTTCAAAAAACCGAACGAACCAAATAATCACTTGATTTTTCCAGACTTTATTATCTAGAAAAGAAAAATATGTTGAAAGGGTTTAAGACGTAAATTCACAAAATAGAACAGCAACCCAATTTTAAAAAGTACTGTAACTATACACGTAGGGCAGGGGAGCAAGGATCTTTGTAAGAATTCTAGCCGACGATATAAATGCAACCACACTCAGATTTTCTGAAAAGAATAGAATTCAATCACATTTACACCTAAGCAACACCTATTTATTAAAGAAAAGGCTCAACAGCAAGGAAATCGTATAGCAGTTAAGTTAAGGAAAAAAGGGCCCGAAAATCCTCAAAGAAAGGCGAAAACTACCAATTGATCCAGCTTTAGCGAAATTTTTTAGGAAAAAAATAAGAATTAACCTGTTTTTCAAGGAACTGAGCTCTTTTTACTCAATTTTCTTAGCTCAAGTGAAAAACTGGGTAACTGCGAAAGACAAATTTCGAGGTCCGCTCAAGTTCCTTTACGCATCCCTGGAGTGGAGTGACGCAAATCCTCAATTATAGAGGATTCTAGGCTTCCCTTTATTCAGTATATAAGGAGGTCTACAGAAGCTTTTTTACGTCCTTAACAATTTTACTGCGCGTTTACGAAACGTAACAAAGATGAAGGTAGTTTCCAATTCGAAGGGACTTGTTACTTTCCAGGAATTTTGTTTATTTACCTGTAGTTTGCTTGAAAAAGTCACTTTTTAGAACAGTTATGAAAGGGATCCCGGTTCATTTACCAAAAAGAAAAAGGAGGAGAAAGAAAAAAATGATCTTTTGCAAACTATATAGTTTGTATTGCCAGTAAAAATCTCTATGTAATATTTTATATTCTTACTATTGAAACCTGATGAGCATTTGATCTCATATAATGAGGTAGGTAATAAATAAGGGACCGCTTGTTAATCATCTAGTTTTAACAGTAACTTTTTATAAAATTTAAGGGTTGCAAAATCTCTAGATAAAATAAACGAAACATCTCTTGGCTGAAAAGAATTGCAGAACGAAGCATGATTGGAACCTCCTTTTTAGAAGCATTCATTGATCCAGATGTTTTATTTTTTTTTAAAAGGAGCAATATATTTATAATACTATAAATAATCAATCACTTTCAGGATGGAATATGTAAAAATATGCTCAATGAAATGGTAAATAAACAGTGGCCAAATCAATGATCAGAAAGTGACAAGTAACGGAGTCACACCTTCGTACTATAACAACTTTAATATAATTTTCAGAATAACAGCCAAGGAAGAATTCATGGGACTTGAAATTTCATTTAAATATACTAGAAAATAAAAAAATTCTTAGACTTGAGCAGGAATTGCATGACTTAGTTGACGTGTGTTAAGTTATCCGTCCAACTAACTCGGCCCGAAGAAGCTCCTATAAATGTTTCTCTAAAAATCTACCTCTTCAAATTTTGAAAGCAATAAGGTTGCCATTGCCGTTTTAATTGCTTTTCCTGTGAGCCGATTTACCGTCGAGTCTTTATGAGAAGCTTACACAGAGGAGTATGTACTAAGGTTTCAAGTTTAGCACTTCCACAGCAATATAAACCTTTTCAATTTCTGAGAATTAGAAATATAAATAAAAAGAACTCTGCGACTACTTAAAGACGTAACGTTCATTAAAGGTGCTTCCCTCGTATCATAAAGTTGATTGTCATAAGCTATCGGCAGGATACGCAATCCTGAAGTTCAACCTGATTGAAGTCTTCTATTTCCCAATCATTGTTGTGACTGATTTCAAGTAGAATGAAATCCAGGCGAAAACCAAAAAGTTGGTAATTGCAGATTAGCTGGTAGATTTGCTACTTTCTCATTAACTCTTGCACGACTATCGTTAACCCTGTCTTGCACTTCTTTAGTCTTTTATTTCAGTGTATTCCGGTAAAGATTGGCTTTCTTGATCATGAGGGTGAGAATTTAGGGAGCCGTTGGTTTGCGCATTTGATAATTTCTGTTCCCTATCGAGCCTTTCCTTTTCTTTTCTTGGTAACCGTAAACATTCCTTGTTTGGAATTCCCACTAGAATGAATAACACGAAAGATACAATAGGGATAGCAAAGAAAAGCGAAATGACTAAGTGCGCTTTCCCATGGTATTTTAAAGTCGACGCCAAAACAAGATGTATAAAGCATATGAAGAAAAGAAAGCAAAATAGTAAACCCAGTTTTCTATTCGTGTTTAATAAGTCTCTCTTCAGATAGGCGATATCTTTGTACAACTCGTGGTTGAAACATGTTGAATCCGCTGCTTTAAAATTGAGGATGGTTCTTTGCGGAGGAATCGCTGTGAAGTTGTAAGAAAGGAAAGAGGATGGTATTCGACGTCAGACGGAAGGGAGAAGATGGATGATATTGAAACCAGCTATTCCCATTCAAAGTCACCACCATCTTTTTTCAGAATCTTAAGAAGGGGTCAACCCGAAGAGAATTTTGAGGAAACTGCTCCTTTAACGTCTGAAGTTGCTCTTAGTCATGAAGGGGATTATAACAGACGTCTTTGGCAATGTGTACTAAAAAGATTTAAGGATTGAAAAATTTCTTGATTTTGATATCCAATACATATTTAAAACTTTGTTTTTTTCCTTTCATAATATATATTATATGGAGATACTCGGACAACTATTGGGAGAGCGACTATGAGGGTTTTGCATACTTGACTATTATTCCTTGCTCAATTTTTGCTCTTGCCTGCTTAATTGCCATTCGTCATTACTTTAACCCATTGTTATTGAATTTCAAGTAGATTCGATTCCTTTGAATGCTTTTGAATCATAATTATTTCTTTTCATGAACGGAAGATTTGTCAAGAAAAAGGTGACACAACGAAAAAGTAACTTTACCAATGTTTCAAGCATGGTGCCAATCAAAAAATTGGTTCTTCCAAGAATCAGAGTTTTTCTAAGGATGCCTCCTTAGAGTTTCCTTCCAGGAATTAGATGTTTACAAGAAGAGGTTCTACTGAAATTGGCGCAAGCTTTATCTGAAAAGTCAAGCGCCATGCCTACTGAACATGAATGATTATGAAAATACAGGAGCTTCTTGTTTAAACTATAAACAGAAGCATTCACCACCCTTGTAAATGGACGATTTAACAAGACCCATCCTTTTATGAAACCGGCAACTTGGGACGACTTATTACTTTGATATATTTTAATTAACAATTGGTTTGTCTTATAATCTAGTGTTTCTTATTGGAAATTGCCAGAGTAAAGAAAGAAAAATCTGACGGAATTCTGTACCGGATAAAGCTACAAGTCTTGGTTACACATGATAACTTAAACCTGAAATTATTCCTTTTGTTTTTACATGTTTTATAAAATATTGGCAAGTAAACTCGTTCCGCAGGAAGCCGATGAAGCCGATAACTACTGAATGTTCAGCTCTACTTTCAATCAAGAATGTCTGAGTATTTTTTGAACCAAATAACCAAGATGCACTGTCAGCATGTACATTATAATTACCAGATAAAAATTTACAGCGATTTCAACCTTACTGATCCTGTTTTTTGCCCGTTACGGCTAGGTCAAAGCGATAATCCTTAGTGCATCTGTTCCGCTTGGACCAATTCTTCTTTCCAATAATCATATCCGAATTTCCTTTATCTCTTTGGGTTTTTCTTTTTCCAGTATGTCTGTCTTTGTATCTAAACTTATATTTTTTATAGAGCTCTTTACATGTAAACTAAGTTTGATTAAATGATTTTTTATGAAAAGAAAAGCAACGTATCACTAAAAAATGGCGATACATATCAAATACTGCATCTTACTATTAATACTTTAAATTGTTGCATATGAACTACAATTGAACTGGAAGAAGGTAATAGCATCTATGCTTTTCTTCTGTTATTACTAGTAAAGCCTCATGTCCGATTACGTTTTGCAATGAGAAATATGTAGTTTGGAATTTCATTTGGGTCCATACAGCGCTATTAATTCAACTTGGGAATAGTAGACAAATCAAGTGTAAAAGCAATGAAGCAAGGTTTGCAAACAGACATACCGAAGTTATTTGAACTAATACTTAACTCATTTTATTAGTAATCAAGCATTTCTTCTTCGTCTAACTTCATTTGTTGAGCTATCAGAAAGCATAAATGACTTTTGGTGCAACTTAATACTCCAGTACCATTTTTCAAAAATCTATTGTACTGCATTACCAAAAACCCATCCGATAGCTTATAGAGTACTTGGCTTTGCTATATCTTTTACGAAACTCTACGAATTGAACCTTATGCTACGCACCAGACTTATTCTTCTCTACTGTCTCATAAAACTTTTCCAATTGAACCTGAAACTTTGAATTGTACCATTTCTTTGAGCCAGAAGATAAAACGATAAAATAACCCCACCTTAACGGTATCTGCGAAGAGACAAGGTGTTGTGACGGAGCCAAGTGGCATGCTTGGGAGTGTTGTTGAAACGGTGACCCTTGGCAATACCACGAGACTTCTTACCAATAGAGGTAAGACCACGAGCCTCACGGTGCTTGTGAACAGAGTTGCAGATCCAGTTGATACGAGGATCACGGCGGACGGCCTTATGAGAGGGATCGACGCAGATGACTTCGTAGAACTTATAGGTAGCGTCTTGGTTAACCCAGTAGGAGTTAAGAACACGCAAGTTAGCACAACGGCGACCGACACGCTCTTCAGCAGTGGAACGGAGAGAGCGTTGGTACTTGAGGTGGTTAACACCTTCATGGACGGGCTTACCGTAGACTTGACCCTTAGGAACAGGACGCTTACGACCACCACGACGAACACGGATGCGGTAGACGACGTAACCTTGCTTGGCCTTGTAACCCAAACGACGAGCCTTGTCAGGACGAGAAGGGCGACTAGCACGGTGAATAACATTCATCTGACGGTATTCCCAAGCACGAACTCGAGACAAGAACAAGTTCACATCAGATTGCTTCTTCTTAGAAAGCTCTTCCAAATACTTATAAGCACCCATTTTTAATTTTCTGGCTTCCTACGAAAAAGGCAAGATGGAAGTTCGTTGTCACTGAGAAAAAGTTTCGACCTGCACTACCCACTCGTGACTGCTCTTTTATGTTTTTTCTTTCACCCACACAAATCTTTCCTTCGCCAAATCGCATACATGGAGTAATAATTATAATTATGTTTACTTTTCAATAAAGAATATACTTTAAGTTCAAGCTTATATTCCGAGATACTAAGTCGCATTGGGCTAACTACAATCATAAACAACTTTTTGAAAGGTAGTTATTTATTAACATTATAACTTGAATTTATAAACTTTTAAACCAAATTCACTGTCCTTTTCACTACCCAAACCTAGGATTATGTACATATTAAATAGTCAAGGCATACAAAACCATAATGTCAACCAAACAATAATAACAAAAGTCAAAAAACAAATAGACTTACCATATATCAAAATATCGTTAAGTCAAAACTTAAAGAGCGTATAAGTTGTTAGGAATTTTTTTTTTTTTTTTACTCTATCCTTATAATGTATGCAGTTTTCTCAAGAAGGACAACGGATCACCAAAAGTTGAAGCGTCCCTTTATTCAAGGTAGTAATATTAGAGGTAACATAATAGAAAGCAAAACATCTTTCTTAACCAGCAAAAGAGACATTCCAACCAGGGTTTCCGGTAGCATATCCTACCAGACTATCAATAGTTGATTCTTGGTAATTTCGTAAATCATCCGAAGGCCATAGACCATTCCATTGATGCCAATCCGCATTCTTCGACAATCCAAAGTGAGACATCAAATCTGAAGAATAAGTTTCTTGAACGCTATGATTGGCAATAATTGGAGATTCAGCTATATACATAAAATGCTTTTCCAAATCCAACATTTTTTCTTCATCAATAGGCTCATTTGCAATTGTGTCATTAACAGCAGAACCGGAAGATGTACGCTGTACCCAGTCCGCCCAAATTTCAGACATCCTTTCGCACAATGCACCAATAGAGCCCCAGTAATTTTTCATTTCCAACATTAATCTTAAATCTATTTCCAAATTATGCCTAGCAGTGGATGCAGCCAGAACATTTGAGCCAAAAGCTGCTTCAGTTTGAATGCAAAAAGCTGTATAAACACCTGAAGCTATAAACGGGGAAGTTAATATTACATTATGCTTTCTGCAATCATCGACAATCATTGATATTGCATTAGCACACCGTAGGCACATTTCACGTGCAGCTTTATGTAACCGCCGTGCAGCACTATTGACGTGGTTTTCTGGCTTCTGTTCAGCTTGAAACTCATTATGATGAGAGTCATGAGAGTTATGCCACACAGATGAAAAAGAAATTGTATTTCCTGTCAACGATACCGTACTTGACGTTCTTGACAACTGATTATTTTCAGACTCACCAACGGAACGGAAAAGCCACATTAACGTGTAATGATAAGCTAAATGAAGGAACGCATACTGAGCACCTTGCTGTATAGATAGATGATTTTCCAAACCTACCACTGAGTATCTCAATCTTTGAGGAAGCCCATCAGCCCATTGATAAAGAGTCTCACTAATTTGGGTAAAATCAGAATTTCTATGCCAATACGGATGAGAATCCCTTCGTTTGCCATCGTGCTTAAAATACTTCACAGCTCTTCCCCAAATTGCTATTATCTTCACAATGTATGCTGCAACACCCATGTTTTCCGTGGTATCTGAGGGAATTACTATGCTAGGAACACCTTCTAATATTCTTCCGTCCAAAGTCTGGGTAACTCCAGCGATTTGTTTGGTGAACAATAACTCATGTACAGGGAGTTGTATCCCAATATCGTTTTCGTCCAAAAATTGCAAGTGTTCATGAGAAGAAACACATCTATCCATCAGAAAACAGGACCAAAAGGTTCGACGTCTAAGTTCACGTTCAAGGAAAGAAATCCGAGGACCAGAGTCAATATTATCAAGATCCAATGGATTGCTTCCTTGTTCGCAATTTAGCTGTAACGCAGCGGCCATACGAAGAGCCATACCACCATACATCCAACTTTTACCATTTTCCCCAGTTCCCGAGTCATGCAACGACAATAATAGGAGGGCAGCAACTAATGACAGATCCGGCCTATCAAAATTATCTAACGCCAGTCTACGAGCCTCTCTTGCAAATTGTTCACCAGCCATATAAGGAGGAGAATACTGATCATGCATACGAGAAGAAAAGCGTGCGGAAACGGCACAGATAGCATAAACCAGAACCAAAGGAATTGTATTACTATTAAGAGATTCAAAAAACGTGGGACGATGAAATAAGTTATAAGCCTGACCATGGCAACAATGAAAAAATACCTCAGCTAAATGAATTCGTAATTCCAAAGGGGGCAATTCTGTCACTGGAGTAGATGGCATGGTAAGGCTAGTCAATGGTTCAGGAATTTTAGCGTTAATGAGAGCGGCTTCTCGCTCATTCTCATCCTTTTCATTAAGGGAGTTCGTGTTAAGAGAGTAATTGTTAGTTGTAATAACAGGTTGCGTAGCAATGTTAGACATATCTGGATACGTAGAAGAAGCAAATGAATTACCTGCTTTATTTTCAAAGAAGGGAAATTGAGGTTTTGGAGAATAACCTCCATAAGTAGAATAAAGAGGGTACTCACTCGAGGAAAGCGGCGGGATCGTACTGGAAGGAAAAATCGAGTTGTCAGCGGCAGTAGGGTGAGAAGGAACATACGGTAAAGGATCCGGAGGAGGAATTGATGTAGCTGCGGGAGTGACAGGGACTGTCGTTGCTTGCTGTGGTTGGTATTGAACGGCAGGACTTAGCGGAGTAGGAGCGGCAACAGCAGCAGGGGTTGGATTGGAAGTATTAGCGGATACCATAGGCAAAACGGAAGCGACGTCTGCAATAGGCACACCTGCGGAGAAACTTTGGTTTTTCGGGATAGAAGGATTGGCGGTGGAAGGGACATACATGACTTCGGAAGGATAAATATTGTTACTAGAAGTTGGATTAGAAGTTGATTCAGGAGAAGCAGAATTCGAATCATTGCGGTCAAGAACGAGATTTTTAGAAAGCGAAGCAGACATCATTGATACCTGCGGATTACCAACAGGAACGCGAGAATTCATCATGTAAGAATATGAAGAAGGAGCATTCAGAGACGAAGAGCTAGACTGTTTTGATAAGTTCAAATTTACAGAAGAAGATGATGATGGAGGCGCCGAATCACGAGGGCTACCAACTTGAGTTAACGGCGTCTGTTCAGATAAAGGCTCTTGTGGATGAGAGCCAGATGAATTTGCTGCGGCAGCAGCCGCTGCCGCAGCACGATTCTGTTGTTGCTGAAGGTGTATTTGTTGATGATGGTGAATCTCTTCATGCCTTGAATGGGATCGGCGGGGATTAGACTTATAAACGCAAGGTATACTATGCTTCGAGCATTGATCACAGGATGGACGCTCTCCTGAGCATTTTATCTTCTTTTTTCTACATGTCTGGCAAGCAAGAGGTAACCGTTTTCGTTCCTTGCCCGCTTTTGTTTTTTCGTGAACCCAGCTAGGAAGCGAAGGTGAATTCGGTTTCATGTCTTCTATATTCGTTTCTTCGCCCATCTGTCCATCTTGCTGGTTCGTCATATTCACTCTCGTCTGCGTTGCATTTGAAAGTATCGATACAGGACTCGATTGTTGCATCCTTAATCGATCATCCAACAATATCAAGCCTTTCAATTCTATCCAATCTGACCCCCGATCTTATAACTCGACTACTTTTTCAATCCTGTGCTATTTTTTATTTCTTTAGTGGCGTGCAAAAGGCAACTTTCCTATCTCATCAATGTATATTAAGGAAGCACCAAAGAATACGGTGAAGAGTTACATTTCATCGCTAAAACTTATTTACTGTAACAGAGAGAACAACGGAGGAAGCATATGTAAACATTATCATGTTTTTATTTGCATAAGTCTCCAGCGTTTTTACGAGATACATGTGAAAATTGGCAAAGTTTCCAATAAAAAGTCTGCTTTATTGGGGGTTCAAAACAAAATTCGGTTATTTTGAGAACGAACAAACGTGGTAACAAAGATTTTGTCTGAGATAATCAGCATCCTTACTTTCACCTACAAACCTAACTACTATTTTTATCATTTTCTTTAGTTTTCTTATAATATTGTAGTTAGTTCTTGATTTACAACGTTATCGATTACTTGACTTTTTGCTTTGCTCCTTCGCTTCTTACAACTCTAATCATTATCGCATATTACGCAAAAACGGACAATCCATCAGGTCTAGCACTTTTGCTATGTTTATGAAATAGCGGTTCACAGTTTTTTTTTTTCTAATTCTAATCCTCTTCATTTTTCTTTTATTACTATACGAAAAATTAAAGTATAGTACTTGAGAAACCTGTTCATCTTCATAAATAGTCATTCGTCAAATTTTCAAGCTCTCTTATACTTTTAAAGAACCATCCATAATTCGTCGTAAAGTTATACAAACAGATTGACGTGCTTGTTCGCTGTTTACCTTGTTACCTACCAAGTACGACTGAAGAAACAGATTGGAAACCTTGAGCCCTTCATCCTTCATGCTGCCAATCTCATGACCCTCGTGTTCGTACGTCAATTTGTCCTTATCTGTTAGAGTAATCGAGAGGGTAGTAGATCGAAGACAAGTTCCGGTTCCAGGGAATGTATCTCGGAAGCCATGAATCATACGCTCTTCATTCTCGTCGTTGCGATCCTTGCGCAAGAGCATTGCTTTTGTAAAGCCACCTTTTAGATGTTTAAAGTTGGTATTTCGTGCAGGAAGGATACGAACTGCGTATTGAATTTTACGTTTCAAAAGTTCTTCAATAATACGACTTCCAACTTCAGCTTCCTTCAAACTCATTTCTACTCCCACATTCGGGTCCACTTGCTCATTTAAAACTTTCTGAATGGTACGAAGATCTTGTTTACGAATATAGAGCTCTATATCATAAACGTAAATCCCCAAAAACGAAACAAACCTTGGTCCTGATCCTAGTAAAAACATGCTTTTACGGCTGTTATCCTTCTTCAAATTGTATTCATCAGCAAGACCTGTCAGCTTGTCAACGAAGCTTTCGCATTGTAATTTCTGAGTTTTGATTGCTGTTCCAACTGCCGTGACAGAAGTCAAGGCCATAAGTGCAGGCCGCTTCCAAATCCAGTTTTGACAAAATTTAAACGAGAATGTTTGAGGTCCAAACATCTTAAACGAGTAATTACCAAATGTTCCGATGGTTTGATGTTCTAATCAGTCAGGTTACCCTAAGGAACTAATAGTAAGTGAATAGATTGCTTTAAGGTATGACTACTCTTTATAGTTATACCACAAAACTGAAAACATTTAGAATAAAATAGTAATAAAAACAGCATATTTTGAAAATGTAAAAACAAAATAAAAATAGGTTAATTTAATACAATAGAGGAAAGGAATCCATTCATCTAACTGCTAAACAATTAAATTAATTCCACGTCATATAAACTCAGAACACTTATTCTAAAAACCTGAAAAACGTTAGAGGCTAGCAAAGTTCCTAATATCTGCTTTGTTGTTCGGCTATTAAACAATGAAAAGATAGCGTTATCCATCTTCCTCATAAGCTTCTCAGATTCAATATAAAGTCCTTCTTGTTACGACTAATAAGTTTGAAAAAGACTCCTAGTGTAAGATTGTCGATTAAATGAATTCAATATGAGATTTTCATAGGTTTATATCCTTAAATTCATAAAAAGGTATCACTTATGCACCATTGGATTTCTTAGATCATAGTAAACAATCCATATTTCTCTTGTCAGTGGCTTTTCTTAAATACCTTTGAAGAATATTTATATTAGCATCACTTTTACAAAAAGACTTCCTTTTATCTTTGCACTTGATATATGTCCAGGATTTTTTGACGAAGAAAAGCAATCCAGCATTTCAACCACAACTAGTAGGTTCTGAAGAATTTGCTTTAAATTCTTCCTAAACTTCCTTTTCAGTTTCCATATTTCGTATGAAATCGATAGAGGCGACACAGAAAAGTCAACTTAAATAAAGCAGGTCCCTAATTAGAAGCTTTATCCATCAAAAAAAAAGTATTATATGTATACAATCTTTCCAATGAAAATAATATGCATTAATTGCTATACTTCCAGGTCTTTATCAATGGTACTTTATTTGGCAAGTTGCATCTGTCTTGGGCATTTCTTGCCATATGTTATTAATAGTAGTCCACCTACTTCCGAGAACTTTTAATTCATTCTTAGGTTTTCTTGGAGATGCACTTTTATATTTTGACGGTTTCAACGTCGACTTCAACCTTCCTTTAGAGACTTTGCTAGATGAAAACGTTTCTAAAGATTTTTTATCTTGCAAGGGATCTGAAAATGTACTGTAGACATCATCCTTTACTAAAGCAATACGCCAGCTTGGATGACCTTTTCCGTAAGCAATTCGAGCATAATCGGCAGAATCAAATTTGACATAAGCTATATCATTTTTTGAAGAATCCTGATCTTTACAAAACCGCACATCCAACTTAGATGGAATAAAAGCAAAATATGAGAGGATATCTTCCTCAGCCGTAGTCTTAGCGATTTCGCTAATAACAATCGTGTGTGAGCTTACAGAAGGATCCGCTTTATTAATTCTTGAAATTGAGGTTGGCGTTGGTGATTGTTCCAAGTAGGAAGAATAGAAGTGATCAGAGACAGAAGAGTTTGAGCAAGAATGATTCAAGGAAGGTGATCGTTGATCTAAAATAGAAAGACATGTTGAACTTGATGGTGGGGGTGTGGATTCCTTACAAAGGGCTGCTATAGAAGAAGTTGAAGTTGGAGATCCTATTGGATGCCCCTGAGAGTAAGCATTTTTGTCATATATCCCAGAATTTCCCATATGGGATAATGAAGGAGAATCCAAATAGGATTCACTTTGGAAAGCTGACGGTAAATCACTATCGGAGAGTGAAACCTGGTCATCACTTTTCTTTTTTTTTTCATTAGATAACTGACTTAGAGTTTGCTCATTACCCGACTCCTCCGGTTGTTGATGACTCAGTCTGCGTTTCGTTACCCTCTTTTCTGATAAGATTATTCGAGGTGCTTTTGGTTTTAAGTCAGACTTTGTCTTGGATTTCCGCCTGGATTTCGCAGCAGGTTTCGAGAGAGATGAAAGGGGTTCATTAGTGTTCAAATTTAAATCTAAGGGGTATTTTCCTCCTTCCTCTTGTTTTCTTTCTTTAAGTAAAAGATTTTCCTCACGCTGTACTTTTTTTTGTTCATTTTCATCAACATTATAAGGTTGCAAAAGTCCGGCAGCTACGAGTCCCTTTCTTTTCTGCCAATCTTTCAAAGCCATAGAGGCGCCAATGAGATTTTCCTCTGGCTCCCATGTATTATCGTATGAATCATAACCAGTCCACTTTATATAGTATTCATTTTCACCAAAATTATTAATTCGATCTGCAAGAATGCGTTCGACTTCATACACGTCTGGCTCTACATTCCTTTCGCTTCTAGAATGCTTCACGGATTTCCTGGAATTAGCCATGACAATAGAAAAGCGTGTAACAATCTTAAATAGAAATATTAATTGATATTAAAATTAACAAAATAGAAGAATATGCAAATGAATTCAATGATCGTTCGTAAGGCATCCAGAGTAATGAGTGTTGAGTATCTTTAAAAGAAAACTAATTTTCTTACATAAATGCTTCTTCATCGGCCAAGTCCGAAATTCAAAGAAGTTTGTTAAGAATTTATTCCTCAACGCGAGATTGGCTAAATGAGGCACCAAAAGAAAGCAATGAGTGCTAAGAAGCACAAGTTTAAATCTAAATGATACTTATAAATACATAAACTTTACTTGGAACTTGTTTGTGATGGACAGAAACCTGTTTTAGGGCGGTGTTGTTGTAGGAAATGGTGGTGACAGAGGGATCTTATTAAATAATGCAGAGTTTTAGGTCGTTTCTGTTATAGCAGTTACTTGAGATTATCTAAAACCGTTAGGAAATCTCCATACTAAGATAGCAATGAAATTATTTACGCTGAAAGAGAATCAATGTTATCCAATTCCATGGGTACTCCTGACCATATCACTTAGCTTCTTACAAAGCGAAAATCAATCAGTGAGTATTGAAATGTAAGCAAAACCTTTAATGGTCTTCTTTCGAAGTTAATATGCTTGGTTTTGCGACATAAGTATCAAAGCCTATGAGCATCAGAGGAACATCCAGGACGATGCAACACCTTGTATGTGCAAACATGGCTAAAGTGCTCTTCCATTTTGCTACTTTCACTTGTCAAGCTCGTTTGCTTTATGTGATTTGAACCCTTTTAGGAAGGTAAACCCAAAAGCACCGCGTGCGCTACCGCTTTTTTGGCATATGCCTAATTAAAGATAAAACTATTTTGTACATAAAGTTCCATCTTGGATTTCGCTTGCTAATGACTCCCTATATCAGCATTTTTTGTTCAAATTCTTTGTAATACGATACAAGTTTTTTGTATGATTGTTACCTGGTTGGAGAATTTAATGCGCCAAAGGTGAGACAATAAAAAATATCAAAAATAAGACTATTCGAATCATTTTCAAAGCATGCTTGATATATATCCATTGAAGAATAATTCAGTGGAATCTATGTTACGAATTGTTTTGCATTGTGTTTTCTTGAATGCCTCAAATTATGTGGAGTAAAAACCAAGGAAGCGAAAATAGCCTAACAAAATTTCAACACAAACCTGACTTTTATTCTTTATGAACAGCTAAACAAAATGTTTCTTTCGTCTCAATAGTACGTACGCCTTGTCATAATAAGGAATGTTTGTTTACCTCATAATATCCTCACAAATAGCGTAGCGTACCTAAAAAGTGCTAAAAAGAATAACAAACATTTACCGCTACTCTCTATAGTTGATTTTAGGTAATTATAGGATTTTGGCTTCTTTTGCTTTATTTTGTTTATTGATTCGTTCCTATTCGTTATGGACTAACCTGGAGGATGAAGTTGGGTAACTGTCAATAATGGGTCCTTTGGAACTTGACAACAACAAACTACGATTTTTTAGAATCATTCAACGCTCATAGAGCAACGGAAACGAAGAGAAAAAAGGGTAGGTGAAGAAGAGATTTTGAACGGAAATTGGTTTATTGACACAAAGAACCAGATACCAAGTGAAGAAAACGAACGATGTGCCAAGAAGACGAATATGATTACTTGTTCAAAACTGTATTGATCGGTGATAGCGGAGTCGGAAAGTCGAATCTGTTAATGCGTTTCACAAGAAATGAATTTAATATCGAAAGCAAGAGTACCATTGGTGTGGAGTTTGCTACTAGAAACATTGTATTAGACAGCAAGAAAATCAAAGCTCAAATCTGGGATACAGCTGGTCAGGAGCGCTACCGGGCAATTACATCTGCTTACTATCGTGGTGCTGTCGGCGCTCTCATTGTTTATGATATTACCAAGCAGTCGTCCTTTGATAACGTTGGCCGCTGGCTGAAGGAATTGCGCGAGCATGCTGACAGCAACATCGTCATTATGCTTGTCGGCAACAAGACCGATTTGCTGCATTTGCGTGCTGTATCAACTGAAGAAGCTCAGGCATTCGCAGGTATGTATTTTTTCATATCTCCCCATTTGCTCCCTCTGCTCCGAGGAACTCGCTCAAATGGGAGTTATCACTGCTTAATATGTTTATACCTTTTTGTACGTTGACTAATCTTTCTATAGCTGAAAACAACTTGTCGTTTATAGAGACTTCTGCTATGGATGCCAGCAACGTAGAAGAAGCTTTTCAAACTGTCTTAACTGGTATGTAGATGGTCGTCGTCTTCGTATTCAGTACTAACAAATATCTTAGAAATTTTTAGAATTGTCTCTAACAGATCTCTCGAAAGTGGTGATGAAGGTGTTCATCCCATGAGTGGTCAAACTCTCAGCATCACTCCTACTATGAACGACGCGAACAAGAAGAAATCTTCTTCTCAATGTTGCTAACTTTTTACGGGATTTCTCAATGCATATAATCTAATTTGATTCCTTGTCTGCCTTTTTCAAGCTTGCATCAACGTTTGCTCCTTTATATCGTCCAAGAATTATAAGTTGATTAGTCTTTGATAATCTTCGCACACCCTCTTATTTTATTGTCCTGTCGCTTGTTCATAGGATGAAGAGGTTTGTATATCTAGCCTAGTATGTTCTAACACACGGCTATCGAAGAATTCTCAGAAATGTACCTTCTCGCCTTGTATACAGCATTTTCCGCATTCCCGGGTTTCTTCCCTTTATCCAGCATTAGTATGAAATATTTGATTTTGTTTAAAGAAAGAAAAACATTAACTCTGTGGTAGACGATTACTTTAATGGAAACGTATGTCATAAGATAGGAATTCTTCGACGTCTAGCTAAATCTCAATTAAAAAGAATACACACTGTTAGTAAACTGTGACCATGATTATGAATTATTATATCATTATTTATCCCTTTACTTATAATTTACGTGTCCAAATATATTTAAATTCACATAACTCTACAAGCTTAAATGGGAAAGTCGAAATTGCTAGCCCATTGACGAACTTGTTCTTTCAACTTAAAGATTTCCGGAATTTGACTTCCGTCACCAACAAAGTTTTTAAAGTCTTTAAGTTTGGTCTTTCCATTCTCCTTGGCATGCTTGTTCAATTTGATAGTTAGCTGAACAACTTCGTCAATAAGGTCGACGATCCGTACAAAATCTTGTTCGTTGAAGCCTCGAGTGGTGCAAGCCGGGGTACCAATACGCAAACCATGGGGAATAAGTGCAGACTTGTCTTCAGGAACGGTGTTCTTGTTAGCCGAGATATTGATCAACTCCAAAATACGCTCAACCCTAGCTCCGTCAATATCTTTACTAGTCAAGTCGACAAGAACTAAATGGGTGTCAGTACCACCAGAAACCAATTTGTAATCTTTCTTTGCAAATGCATCGGCCATTGCTTTGGCGTTCTTGACAACATTCTTTTGATATTCAATAAATTCAGGAGTTTTTGCTTGGCCTAGAGCTACAGCCAAAGCAGTGATTGTGTGGTTGTGAGGGCCACCTTGATGACCAGGAAAGACAGAAAAGTTAATTTTGTCTTCCAATTCATAGTAAACAGGGTTGCCCTTCTTGTCGTGATTGCGAAGACCACGGCGGTAGAAGATCATAGCGCCTCGAGGTCCACGAAGGGATTTATGGGTTGTAGTGGTGACAATATCGGCATATTCAAAAGGAGAAGGAATGATACCAGCAGCAACAAGACCAGAAATATGGGCCATATCACAAAGCAAGTAAGCATTACACTTGTCAGCGATTTCACGCATGCGTTTATAATCAATTAAGCGGGAATAGGCACTTGCACCTGCAACGATCACCTTGGGACGGAATTGCATAGCAGACTTCTCCAAGGCATCGTAATCAATTATACCGGTTTCGGAATTGATGCCATAAGGCATGGTACAGAAATATGTAGAAACCGCAGAAATTGACTTCTGAGGTGTAGAAAATCCATGAGATAAGTGTCCTCCGTGAGGCAAATCCAAACCCATTAGACGGTCATGGGGTTTCATAACAGCTTGATAAGCTTGAAGGTTGGCAGGCGAACCTGAATGGGGCTGTACGTTGACACCCCAAAGCTCCGAATTCAAGCAAAAAGCTTCAAGGGCACGCTTTTGACACAAAGATTCCGCTTGATCGATGAATTCATTACCACCATAATATCTAGCTCCCGGGTAACCTTCGCTATACTTGTTTTGCATCACACTACCAAGGACATCCATAACAGCCTTGGAAGTAAAGTTTTCACTAGCAATTAATCCTATCGACTCCTTTTGTCGCTTCTCTTCAGATTTTAAGATTTTGCCGACCTCAGGGTCATATTGGAAGACTGAACACTGAAGAAGCTATTTCCGTTAGTAATTCATTCTTCAATATATGCTGTTTATTTCTTGTCAAACTCGGGTTTGGTAAAGTTGATTTTCTCATGATAAACATCCAAGTTTGACAGCAATCAATTATTTATGCAGCTACTATACCTTTTTTTGTGCACTCGGTAAAGTGTAAAACCGCTTGAAAACAAAACTAATACCTGTTTTCTTAGGAATCTGTCGTGCCAATGCCATAGTGGTAAGTGATAATTAAGGTCACGAAACTGAAAGTAAAGTAGGAACAAGAAAAAAGAATTCTTGGCTTTGTCATTTGTTTGAACATGATGATTCTTGATTATCAATGTTTTTCGCGGAAAATCATGTCCGACATGATACACAGGTATACCATAAATATTTTTTGTCAACGGTATTGTACCGGTATAGAAACAACTAGATTCCAAGAGCGTTTCATTCCTTCTTAGTTCCACTTTTATCGATCTTAATCCCCTTTAGATTCATACAGCCCACATTTCCTTCCTTCAAATAGTCTGGTACGTAAAGCTTACTAGTGTATCTATTACTTCTTCCTTTCCTCTCATCAAAGACAGTTCCTATAATTTAAATTACTAAAGAACATTTAGTGATGTTGAAAATCCTAAAACCATATAATTTGAAATTTACATAAGATTCTATATACAAATTTATATAGCTTGTCATAGATCAAAACAAATCAATAATCCATCAATTTTTTGGTCAATATTTTCAATTTTTTTGACATTATATTTTGCTCCTTGTTTTGTTCCAAAAATCAATGACCAAAATAAACGAAATGAATAAGTTAATACTCCGACTTCCATCAATAAAAATAGCTGTAAACTTTAGCTCAATGGGTTAATTCCTGGTTACGATTAAGTAACACCATTTACCATGATTCATTGGAAATAACCTCATTATCTCTACCAACAGCTGTAATTTCAGCCAAATCTTCCTTTTCTTCCAATTGAATTCTACCACTTCCAGAGGCGATACGATCACGTTCACCGGCTGCCAGTTTGAATGCAACACGACGAGTGTAATCAGTAAAGCTTCTAGCACGAGGTCCCTCCAAAGTTTCCATATACTTGTTTATGATCGAATCATCATCAACAAGTTTGAACATTGCTAAGAAGGCGGCCTCTGCAGCAAGTTTGATTGGAATAACAATAGCACGAATACAACTGAAGACAGCAGGTGCAAGAATATTGAGATGAGGTCGGACGATGTCATATTTTTCTTTTGACAAGATTCGAATGATAACCAGAGATAGACGCTTGGAATCTTGGGATCCAGATGGGCTAACCTCCAGGCTAATTCTCAAAGCCTCGAACAAAACCTTTGACTCGTTGAAGTTTTGAGGAACGTCAGCGAGAAGTGCTTTACCGGCAGCCAAGACGGCATTCTCGGTAATATAGGTCTCTTTTTGCTGGCATGCATCCGATATTGCTTGACAGACACTTTCGCTCAAACCCATCTCGATAATCTTCTTTGATCCATATTTAATGACTGCATTCAATATCAAGATTGAGTATTCATCCAAAGTTTCAACGCTGAAAATCTTGGTATCAAGTAGCTGCCTGGCACGAGTGTCGGTAAGTTGATTAAACAAAGCGCCATACATCTTGGCACAGATAATCATATATTCATTTGTTTCAGATGATATTTCTCTTAACAATTGATCAACAGATTCAGCTGAGGCTTCATTCATGTTTTGGCCGGATTTAGAAACGACCGCGAATAATGCATTCAGCATAGCCTTGCGCACACCAGCATCAGGAGTACGAGCACCTGCTACCAATTCTGTTACAATAGGAGCGAGACGAGTTTGTAAGGTAATAAGAGTACCCAAAGCTGTAGCTGCTCTACTGCGAATGACTTCACTCGAAGGATCACCCAAACTTTTAGCAAATGTACGTTGTAACTGAGGCAAAAAGGGACGCAAAAATGTAGGAATTTTAGATAGTATGATGTTAAGGGTATACAAAATCGCACTCTTAACTTCAACTGGGAATCTTTCGCCACTTATACGAATCAACGGACCAGTAATCTGTGTGACATAGGGACGAAGTTTATCGGGCTCAGCACGCATAACTATGTCTGCAACACCTAAAGCAGATTGTTCACGTTGCTCGTTTGTACCGTGCATCAAACCATGCAGGAAGATAGGCAAAATTGAACTAATACCCTGGGGCAGTTCAAATGCAGGCAATGTGGTATCATGTACACCAACATCGTGTAATGACTTGTATGTAATATTAATCACTGATTCAATCCTGTCTTTACGCATTGAAGACGTGAGGGCATGCTGAGCAGCAACAGCTGCAGCGATAACATCAGTGCTCCTATCTTCAAACAATCTAACAAGATGACTGATCCAATCAGGTACAAAGCGGAAATAGTCCAGTTTAGAGTTTTGAAAGAATGTAAGCATGTGCTTAGCAGCAAACAAACGCTTCTTGTAATCTTCATTCTCAGTAAATGAGTAAAGATGAGCCATAAGCACCGTGAGTCCATCTTGGTCTTTTACAGATAGAACGATTGTGTCAACTGCTTCTTCTAAGCTTTGCAAATTGTCATCTTTCGCAACAAGTATGGATTCCATGAGGGCATTAAGGATTGACGGTAATCGTCTGTTTAATGTAGGACCAGCTGCTTGCGCAAGAGAAGCCAAAGCCCGAGCATTGAACGCAGAGATTGGTTGTTTAATAAGAGTAGGGATAAGGACAGGGAAAATTGAGGCAGAGCGACGAGCAATTATTTCTTTAAGTGCGGACAATGCATATTCGGACTTGTCATCAGATTCAAGCAATTTGAGCAATTCGGGGAGAACCTCATCAACCGCACGATCACCTATCACTGTTTGGAGAATATCGAATGCTTCAGCTGCAGTTTCTCTTACTTCCAAATCTGAATCCATGAGTGCTTCACGTACAGAATAAACGAATTGGTCACTATAAATTTCAAGCTGATCATGTGAAGCACTAGAAATCAACTCTTGCAAAGCAATACAAACACCAATCCTATCTTGTCTATCAGAAGACTCTAAACCAGCCTTCAGTGATGGAAGAAGTTGGGACAAAACATCAAAACCAGCTTTCTTCAATAAATCTCCTAAGCTCTTAACACACATGGCACGACGGTCATTTCCAGTGCTGTTCAAGTTGCCCACAATAAGAGCTGTTAACGTAGACATGATATCTCTAACAGTACGAGGAGTATTTACAACAATATTCTTCCAGATCTGTTGAGCATGAGTCCTAACAACAGCAGCAATATCTTGACGAAGGATGTAAAGTGAGGATAACACACGGTCATGACGCTCAGAACCGATAGTCTCCAATAAGGCTTTACGATTAACATCAGTCCTGGTTCCTTCCTCACTTTCATCAGTTTCTTCTTGCAATGTCTTTTTGTTAATACCTGCAAGCTTATAGATGAGATCACCAACAAGTTGTACTGAAGAAAGTCTAATACGCCAATTATCATCAAATAAACCTTTCTCAAGTTCAGGGAGAAGTAAATCGACAGCACGGGTAGCATAATTATTGACAATCATCTTAGCAGCTCTTAATGAAGCAGTTTGTACAAGTTCGGACTCATCAGCTAAGCCAGAAAGAATAGGTGGAATAGCACGAGCAAGGTATGGCTGGAAACGAGCTCCGAATGTAGCCGGCAAATAAATAAGAAGAGAAATAAAGCTTTCCCTGATATAAGGAGTAGGACTCGAAGTATTTTGTAAGATTTCAGGCAGAACATCTTCAAGACGGGTCAAGCCCAAACCAGAGAGAACCTCAGACAAACCTTGAGCAGCACCTTGTCGATCAACTTCACTACACTCACTTCTAAGAATATTGAACAATTCAGGAATAAGAGTTGGGAACTTAGTTTCACCCAATTTCTCCATTAACGATCCTAAAGCTTTAGCAGCAGTTGCACGGGTATCAGGCACAGGGTCGATAAGTACTTCCCGTAATTTGGGCATTAATGCATCTAGATAAATTGCGAGATTTTCAGGTTCAGTCAAACTTGCCATTAATCCAAAAATCTTTGCAGATTGACGCTTTGTAGATGCATTGCGTTCTCTCATACCATACTGAATAATGGGTATGACTAAAGCCAACGAAGGAGAATCCAAATAATGAACGAAAGCAGTCTTAAGAATGGCAGATAATGCATCATCAGTGAAACGTGTACAGTCACTTAAGGCCTTAAGGAGAATAGGTACAAGGTTCTGTATTTCAGGATTGGAAATGACTTCACCGAAACGCAACAAACTTTTATTTGCCGTATTGCGAACCTGAGAATGAGAGTCAGTCAAAACCTCTGTCAGCTTGGGAACAATAGTAGGTAAAGAGACTGATAACTGTTTGGGCGCCATGAAGGACATTAAACCGAGAATTTCTACAGAAGCACGCTTAGACCGCCAGTTGTAATCGTTCAAGCCATCCAACAAGCTAGGAAGCAAAAGTTTAACTCCATAAGCGCTTAACTGGCTCATTATATGTTTCACAGATTCCAAAGTAGCTTCTCTAACTTCAGTTGCACTGTCACCAAAGGAAGAAAGCAATAAAGGAAGTAAATCAGGTAAATAAGGCTCGAAATAAATTCCTAACGTACGCGAAAAGGCTTCCACACAAAACAAAGCACCCTGTCTGATTGATGAACTTTGCCTGTTCGACATTGATTCGCATAATTGTGCCATAATATCAAAATCCTTAAAGGCTTTAATGCCCAAACCCTTAACCAATCCAGCCAAACCATAAGCTGTTCCTTTTCTCTCGGCAAAAGATGAAGCATTTATTAAACCGGTTGTCAAACGGTCATAATATTCTTTTGCTTTAGGAAGTAGCTTTTTGATCAATGGTGAAATACATGAAGCAACAGCTAATTGCACACTTTCACTGGGAGTGGACAAAGCAGAAATTAAGTTTTCGATAACCACAACTAATCGTTGGTCATTCTCTCGCAGATGCTGTGCAACGGTACCAAAGAGTACTACAGTTGCCTCACGTAATCTATCATTGGCCTCAGTTGGCAAAGTATCAACGTTAAGTTTAGTTTCGAACAATTCCATCAATGCCTCCACTTGATAGGAACCAAAAGCAGTAATCGCTTGTTTTCCGGCTACCAACATATTGGAAGCTACAGTTACTGAACTATCAGTAACGGGAATCTGAGCATCTGACTGAACAGAAGACAGCAAAAATTCCAAAAAAGGTACCAGTAAACTTGAAGAAATGTACTGCGAAATATGCACAAAGATTATACTGACACCTTCCCTGGTAACAATACCTAGATCCCGACCGATAGTCTCTTTCTTTATGATACCGTATTCATCATATTCCGGAGGTGAAGGTAAGGCGTTCTTACTATATATTTCCATTAATTTCTTGGGGAGAACAGATGAGAAATCTTCAAATTCATCGATCAAGTCGACAAACGATTTTCCGATAAGAGTGTGAAGATAATTAGATTTAACATCAAGCAAAGGTAATAGTTCGGAATACGAGTCTTCATTCGCGTCTAAACCGTTTTGCGTCGATATCTGATGAGCAACGGCAGCGTTAGATTCATTGTCATCATAAAGCTCCAAGAAAATTTCCTTAATGAAGCTATATTGGGTTAAGTCTAAGACTTGCAAAGACTGTAAAACGGCTGAGCGAACAGAACTTTCGTTGTGACAAGCATGTTGTAAAAGAATATTTAATTCGTTATCAGTGTAAGATGTACGGATACCTTGCACAAGGGAAAGTAATGAGTTCTTGATGTCCTGATAATGAGCAGGAACAGTCTCAAGTAAATGCAAAAGTGCTTTCAAAAACATAGCCCGCATGCCCCTCAAACAGAAAGAATATGGTGCTTGAAATCCTAACATTTCAATCGCTAATAATAAGTGCTCAGTCGATTTTTCGTCATCTTTAGTAGCGTTTTCATAACAAAGCTTATTAACCAATGGAAAAATGCAAGAGAATGCTTCAGGCTCAAAATATGCTTGTTCAATGGCAAAGCGTACCTTATAAAGGAAAGAATCAATAATACTCTCATCAACGCTAGGATTAGCGTTAAGAGCATTGAGAATGGTTATAGCTAAAGAATCCGAATATGCAGATTCACCCAAGCGAGATGGAAGACCAGAGGCAGCTACAACCAACTTGAAGACTACTAAAGCCAGGTCGCCAGTAAATGGTGTACTCAAATGTAGAACTTTACCAAAAACCAGCACATCAATAGCTTCCTCAACCCACAATCCAGGACACAATTGGACAGCATTTCCCATACTTTGAATAATTCCAAGACCACGCTCAAGGGATACAACAAGGCGTCTAACAGACTGTCTAATTTTGGATTCCTTCTCGAGTTGAGCGTCCACCAAAGCCTGCTGATCTTTGTTCAACTTCATAGGCTTCCTCTCAGCTTGCTTAGCTCGAACTTCTGCTTCCCAACGCTTTGTTTCATAATCCTTCGTATTCTTGTCCATTTTTTGAGTCTTCTTTTCTAATACGTTCTCCCAGAGAATTCCATCAGGAGTTTTCCAAATTTCATATTCCAAATCTGAGACATCTGCTAATTTGAGATTAACAAGCTGACCACGGAAAAGGTTTACAAAAAGAGGAGTGGAAGCCTCTGGAGCAACAAAAACAATCATCGAAATAGAAGAAATCATTGCTTTCTCCTTTTCAGATCTAACGTCACTGGACAATGCAACTTCGATGTACTTCACGATATCGTGAATTCGTTCAGTGACAAGTGTTGCAGGATCTCTATGCGAAAGCTGGCATAACTGAATCCAATCAAATTGGTCAACATATGCGAAGGAAAGGAATAAAAGTTCAATCAGATAAAAATCATAGTCTGCAATCTCTTTCGGATTTACGTCGGAAATGTTTGAGGAAATTGTTAAGAGAATTGATTTTAATAGCTGAACCAACTTCTTATAAGAATTCTCATCAAACTTATCATCCTTTTTAGAGGCCTCAGACTGATAATGCAAATTCCAAAACTGAGAGCAGATGATTTTACGCAAACCAGGATTAACTAGTACCGCATTCTTTAAAGCTTCAAAAGCAATTTTGCTGGTCTGGTTGCCAGAGAAGTTAAATAAATTTATTATTGACTGGAACCAGGAAGAAGCCAAGCTATCAGTTAAGTCTTTGGCATAGACACTAGCAAAATTACAAAGACCACGAAGCCACCATAATTTCGCGGAATCAGTAGTTAATTTATTAATAATTTTGTTTGAAAAGAGAATAGTATCTCCATTTACAGAGCTGACAAGCCCATCGAGTAAGCTTTGCAAATCGTCGACAGATTTAAGTTCGGTAAGTTCCCTATCACTTCGTTCTTTGTTCATTAAGCACGAATACACAACAGGGGCCAAAATGCTTCCATTCTGTAAAGCATTGGTAGGATTACTTAAAGCAGCCTTGCTTGATTTATTCAAGTGCTCCAAGTAAAAGTTTAGGAACTCCAAACGAGAAGGCTCATCGGCTCGCAAATCCCAAGCTAAATCGGCCAAAGCTAATATCCAATGCTGACGCTCGTATGCAACTGGCTTATCTAATGATTTTGAAAGGAAGTCGTAAATGCTTCTACTTAAAGAAATATTTGACGATAGAAGCGATTTGACATTCCTTGTAACCACAGCTGCTAGGTGATAAAAACTGCTTTCTTGAACCTTCATGAACAAAGGCAGGACTTCATTAAGTAAAGAAGCAGAATCTACTTCTTTAACAGAGAGATGAGAAAGACACTCAATATAAAGATTGCGATGTTCATTAGAGGTAACTTTGTTCGTTTTCAAAGCAGAAACCAATTTCAAAGCAACATCCATAAGCATTTTGGAGTCCTTGGCATGCTTACAAAGGACCGAAAATGTTTGAAAGCAGTTTTGTCGAACAGTTGCATTCGAACTCTTCAAATTTGAAGCAAAGGCCTCGTAAAGACTAGTCAGCAGTAAAGAAGAGGCATCCTTTCCAGAATCGGCGAAACCAATAGCCAATGATGATAGAATACCTGCAAAGACAAGTTCCGGAGAACGTAATAAAGCCTTCTCGATAGAAGGCAATAGGTCACTGGACAATTTATCTAAAGATAACAACAATCCAATGCTATAACAGAATCCCTCACCAGCAAACCTGTGTAAAGCCGGTTTTGCTGCAAGGATGTGTTGAGGAATCATCTTTACAAAAGGGTCTATATTTTCTGATGCCAAAGCGCGAGGCTCCGAAGACAATTGAAAATAGTAACAAGTGCCCAGTATGACACCGTATAATGGCAAAGCTTTCGGAAGAACGAGAGCTGGTTTGGTTTCGTTCAAAAGAAAAGAAATAAAAGAGGACAAATCATTCAGTTGAGCAAGGAATAAGGAACGGTAACAACGACGTGTTGAGTGCAAGGCACTACGAATAATCGCGGGTTTTCCATCCCGAAGGACGACATTCAAGAATTGGCTTTGAAGAGGAAGAATTTCCAGCATCCAGTATTTGAATTCATTGGAAGGGAGATTAGAAAGGATGCAGTTCACCCAAATCAAAGCATTAAAAGATATTGAAATAGAGCTGCTAGGAATGCGCTCCAAGCGAATAGAAGTGCTTCGAAGACGATTTACAAGCGCACAAAGAGCAATCGAAGGAGATAACTTCGTTATATGTGAAAGTGTAGCACATAGTTGTAAGCGACATTCACGTGAAACATTTCTAGGTAAAACTTCCATAATATTATCTATGATAGCAACGATACTTTTTTCATCAATTTCTATATAGTATCAGTATCAAAATACCTCAAAGACCTTTGTTAACACGTACCATTGGTTTGATTCACATGTCGTAGAATATCCAACATAACCTTTTTCGTACCAAGAAAAGCAAGAATCGTTTCACTGCTTATCAAGGTAGAATAAAGCGTTTTCTTTTCATTTTGAAACGCTTCTATTCCTGGTCCCTCGACCGCCATGGTGAAAACCGGGAATATGAGGTTTGGTGGTTATGGAAAGGTGAAAGGTTCTTTTGTGCAGACGAGAATTGGTCACTTATATGAAGAGAAGCGAAGCGCGAATTAGAATGTCGTAATGCAAAATAAATGTACAAAAGTTTTATTAAAAAAATACTAGCTAAATACATAATAAAAGTTAGCTATAAATAGAAGCGAACTTATTTTTTTCTTCTCAGTGAATCGTATGCCTAATTACAGAATAGACAAAACACCAAAAGTTCGATTTCTAAAAGTCCTCCAAAAAAAATGAACGTTAGATGAATAGATAGAAAAACAGTGTGACTTATTTAATCACTACCATACATTTCACATGTACCTTATGGTTGAACAAATCACACAGCTTTTTATGAAAGTGAAAAGGAGAAAAACGATCATGACACTTTCCGTTTCATCATCTTTCATTTTTAAATCTTAATGACCAAAATTTGATGCCTAGAATTGTGATTCTAAACAATCTTCTTAAACCTGAAAAGTCTTTTTCTTATAATTTATTTACTAGAGTTCGTTCAAAAAAGTCCTTTAAGTCTGTTTAATAAGGCATCGTTATTTTACGTTCCATTATTATAGGAACGTGCACAACAAAGTTCTGCTGTGGGTTGCGACTCACTATATGCAGCATTTGACCTTCCATTGTACAAGATCAGCTAGTAAGAACCATCTCTCACAGATTATTCCTTGAAAGAAAAAGTCCTAAATAAAAAGGGAGACGACTTTCGCAATATGGTAGCAACCTTTAAAAACGCTGGACAGCGACAAAACCATCGCGAACGCTCTCAGCCTAATGAGCGTCGAAAATTGGGATTGTTGGAGAAACGGAAAGACTATGTGGCTCGCGCTCAAGATTATAATAATAAGCAGAAAAAAGTTAAGCGTTTGCGCGAAATAGCGCAAGAAAGAAATCCAGATGAGTTTTACTATGGAATGACTCACAAAAAGACGAAGAACGGCGTTCCTCGTGAAGAACGAGAGGATTCTTCCATTGATATGGATACTATAAAAATCTTAAAGACACAAGATATTGGTTGGATTCGTCATCATCGAGATATTGAGCGCTCGAAAATTCAAGAATTAGAACAGAAAATGCACATGGTCGGAGCTCAACGTTTTAAATCGGAGCCTCGGAAGCACACATTGTTTGTCGATGGAAAAAAAGAAGCAGCCAGGTTTGACCCAGCTGAACACTTTCAGACCAGTGCCGAATTGGTCAATCGAGCTGAAAATCGATTACGCGTTGATCAATTAGGAGAAACGAATATGAAGGTAGACGAGTTTTCAAGTCGCCTTCACAGTAAGTTGAAAGAGAAAACGGCTAGAGAATTGCTTTTGCGGAAAAAGCGGGATGCTAAGCTTGCAGCAGCCGAAGAACGTGTTCAGTTAGAACGGTTATTACAAGGAAAAGGAGGCCGCCAGAAAAAGAAAACTGTAAATGGAAAACCCGTTTATAAATGGAGAAACGAACGTAAAAGGTAAGCTCAAATCGCTACTGGTCGCTACTGGTTTGGTCACTTTAAGAAGACTATAAGATGAAAAGACGGAAACGAAAGAATCCGTCCTCTTAATTTTGTTGGTTTTTCACATCTATTACTTGGGTTTGGTTTTTTGCATAATTGGTATCTGATAATAAAATGAATCTTTTCTACCTAAAACATCGTATACATTTCCCGTTAATTAGTATTGATTGATGAGTATAGCAATGCTTATGTCTAATAAATGACCCAAAAAATTAACCACTCTTTCCTTTCGTTTTTCTCACAGAGCTCCTAGGACACTTTCAGGGAAAATGAGAGATGTTCATTTGACCAAAATCTAAAAAAATATTAAACCGAATTATACTATAAGCACCTAGATAATACTAGACGCACTCCTTCACAATTGTTTACACAATTCCTAAAAAGTCTTCCATAGAATGAACAAACTTTGAACATGCAATACTCGCACTTAAAGGATAGTCGCTGATACTAATCTTCTCGTCCACCCAGCCGTCTGAAAAGTCATCCGGACCATGAGCCATGGCACCAATGGCAATGCAAACAGATTGATTAGGTTCCAAAGTTTCCAGGTACTTAGGAGTAGGAACAGTGGGTGCATCAAAAGATAAAGTAGCCTTTCGACAATTAGGAGGAAGGTAATCGGTAACAGGGTTTTTGATAACCTTTAGCAATTTCTCATTACCATTCACACTTCGAATGGAGAGCTTGTGGAGGAGTTGAACCATCAAACCAGAAAAACGCTTAAATGTACGAGGGATACGAACAGAAGGATTCACTTCCACGAGAACCTTCTTGGCTGTATGAATATAAACCTGCAGACGTCCGGCCTTGTTAAGAGGGGAATCCAATAATGTTAACAGACACTGGTGAGTAATGTCTGGACGAGCTTGAGCAATGTTTCTGTTTAATTTCTTCAAGATACCTTGATGGTCATCACAATTCAAAAGCTGGTATTTTGCATCCTTTGCCTTTCCAACTTTGTAAATCTCCAAACAAGCTTGGTCCAAAACAACGATCAATCGTTGGGTATTGGTATTATGAGAGTTGAGAGGACGAGCGGGCACTGGAGCTAAATGAGTAGTCGTTCTGTGAACAGATCCTGCAGGAAGAGGGCGACTTCCAGTATTTTTTTGCTCCGTTACTTCTTCCTCCTTTTCTTTTTCATCTTCTTGTCCATCTACAATTCCCGCTGGAGATCCTTCATCATTCGACTCGGACTCTTTCGTCGTAAACTGTTCCACAGCACTTTGATTCTCGCGTAATCTTCGGAGTTCTTCATCCTCTATTTTTTCAGTATTATCTGGAACAATTGACTCCTCTACCGCTGTTTCTTGTTCAGGCGAATTGTCAATGCCATTTTTCCCATTCTGAGCGGTTCTCTTAACAATTTTCGGCTGGTTCGACTTCTCTGAAACCTCCAAAGAAGACCTCGACTTTCTTTTAGAGTATGCTGGCATGAATTCTAAATGCAACGACTTTGAATGACAGTTGGCTTTTGTCAAGTTGCGCCCTGGAGAAAATTGAGTCGCTCTTTCTTGATACAGCACACTAAAGTACATTTAGATATCACATAACGATTACGAACGAATATCCTTATTTCACGTTTATACTGCTTACTAGTTCCTTATTCTTAATTCCGGATAGAAGAAACTATACTAGAAAAGTTGGTATTCATAAGATGGTACATACAACACTTGGCTTTTCTACAGAAGTGTTTCATATCTCTTCACTAATGCAACAATTACTAACTTATAACTTTCACGCATATAATGTATATAAAAATGCTTTCTTATTGACTGCTAAATTACTACTTTCTTACACTGAAAGCAGATCGAATCCTTTAAAAGGTGAGCAGCAAGAGAAACACTTAAGCTGGATCTCAAATTGTCTGTATTTATGTCGACACCATTGATGCCTCTACACCAATACATACATTTTAAGAAGAAAAATTAAACTATTCCAATTGCAATTAACAACTAGAATCGCTTAAAAGAAAAATCCAAAGCGGTGTTGGAATGCAAGATGTATGCACAATTCGGATAAATAAGAAAATCTCTGCGATAGTAATCTTTGAAACGTAGATTATATTTCCAAAAAAATTACCGCAGAATGAAACCTCTACTTTCGTTCACCTCCTTTTGCCAACTGTTAAAAACAGTCAGCAATTAGGCTCCAGTCGTCGTAATATTGATTACATGACTGATGATAATCATCATAAAAAAACAGCTATCCTTTGATAAACGTTCAGTTAATCAAAAGGCCGCTGGTATCCACAGGAAAAAAGAAGCAAAAAGGAATTAAACACATAAAAAGAATATTCTTAATCATCAAACTCAAATTAAATATTTAGTTTGACGTGCTTAAAAATGATAAAAGAGAATTGAAAAAAAAGAACGAAGAGATGAGGATAGTAAAATATAGACGAGCTAGCCCTCATCCAAGGCTCTTAAAATGAATTAATTAAAACACATAAAAACCAGTCAGAATAATTAAAACAGCAAAGAATCTCATAAACCAAATTCATTGGAAAAATATTAAGGCAATCCAATCAATCTAGGAAAATACACGCCAAAAACAAAACCCCTCACGGATCAAAATTGACATAAGGAGACAAGGATAAAAAGAGTCGTTGATTTGTTCATAAAGGTGTTTGTAGTCATATATGGCTGACCGAGTAAGAACCCGAATATATAGCACAACACTAACACCGTACATTGAACACAACGAAACCATAAATAAATAATGAGTCCCGTCGCAAAGAACCAAATCTATTAATTCGTTAACAATCGTAAACGACTCCAGCAAAAAATTAGAAAAGACGCGACACAGATATCTCGTATAATATCGCAAACCAAAAGACTTGAAGAAAAACCACTCTTCCGTTCCAAAAAAAAAGAGGAACATAAGTGACGAGAATAAAATAGACATAGGGAGTCATTTCTGAAGTGTCTTTCTTTGGCGGAGGTGAGGTCTTGCTGAATTACCAACAATGGCAACAACTAAAACCAAAGGAGCAGATGTAACAAAAAAAGGATGTAAAGGAAGCAAATAGTAAGTAGAATGGAAACTGTACCAGAAAAGCCGGAGCAAAACAGGAAATGAACTATGAATAAAAGAAACATAACTATACACGCGAGAAGAAGCAACTTCTTATGCACTTCCGTGATGGAGCATACGGAAAAGACGTTGTTCACGGTCACGATGAAATAGCAAATCTAAGGCTGAAGTAGAATGGCAATGAAAACCATCAGCAAGGGAATTAGATTGAAAGTGAGAAGGTGAGACTTGTCTATAAGATGCATGATCGAAGATAGGAACACCTACTCCTTCGCAGGAAGGTGTAGAAGAAGAGTGAGTCATACTGGGTACAGCATGATTATTAATATAATTATCAGACACAGAGCATCCACTTGAGGGAGGAGAGTACCAGCACATGTTGGCTGCGGGCACATGAGCTGGGGCAGGAAGAGCCTGGGAAGGTGTGGGAGGTAAAGAAGCATAAATTTGTTGACTGGGAGAAGGTGAGGCAAATGAAGACTCGGGCTTCTCGACTGCATGGGATGCATTAAGGAAAGTAGGGATAGGGAGATTAGAAGCGGCAGGAGAATGAGTAAAAGTGGGACCAGCATAAAGAGACGAATTAAGTTCGGAAGAAGACATGGTAGAAGAGGTAGTGGACTTTGCACTACCAGGAGGATTAGGCGAGGAAGAATTCGAGTTTTCTTCAACACCATTAGCCACATTCAAAAAGTGAAACTGCTCGTTCTTTCCAGGAGATTGATTCTTCACACGACCAGAAGAGCCGTTGCTGTTCTTACGAGAGCCGCCAGAAACACCTCCATTTGGCTTTAACTTTCGGCTGTGGCCATTACTGCCATTGCGAGGCTTTTCAACATGTAAAGCGTTTTCCGCTTCGTTTAAGCCAAATGGAATACTCTTTGCCTTCATTGCTTTCGGGGACGCTGTTCCCTTGTCGCGGCGTGAAGTTATCGATGGCGAATCCAAACTAAATTCTACATCGTGGAAAGAAACCATTCCTCCACCAGAACTAGCTTTGTTGAACTTTCTGTTGCGCTGAATTCTATGTCCAATTCGTTTTTCCATTTTTTCTCAGTTCAAACTTTACACAATCACTGATACTCATGAAATTCGTTGAAATGATATTGGTAAAGGATAACTCTTAAAGCCGCAAGTTAACGCCTCCATATACGTCGGCAATCTTGAAATTCGTAGTAACCTATTCTGCGTTAAGTCTCTTTAAATACAATAACTTCACCACTACCTAAAATTTTGCCACCTGCTTGTTTGTTTACGAAGTGGACTAAAAGGCACTTGAATTGTTTTTTCTTTCATCTTACATCAGTTTAAATTGGCTGACTGGTCTTTTTTTTTCAAGGAAACCGGTTCCATATGACCTCAGCTTGAGAAGTGTTTTTACGAAAAGTAAACAAACCCCGTAAGCGAATGCGCTAACCTTGAACGCCTTCAAGCCATCAGATTTCGCTTTTTTGCTTGTTTATAGGGAGGGTTTCTTTTTATTTTATTTCTACAAGGTTCCTTGTTACATTTAGGTGAAATATAAGAATCAAAAACAAGGCACCATTCTGTTCGTTGATTGACTATTATCGTTGTGTTGGCTACTTGGAAGCTCCTTTGACCGAATTTTTTTATTATGGACCGATGGTATGAGCCTGACTTTAACCTTCGATCCCTTCGGGTCGCAGATCTAAAAAGGATTTTGCAAAATGCTAATGTTGAATATCCTGTTTATGGAAGAAAAGCGGACTACCTACAACTTGTTGAGCGGCTGCGTAAACGAAGGGCAGGCGGCAACTCGATTTCTGTCAAAACTACTCCAAGTGATTTTTCCAGCACTTCTTCTGCAAATTCCAACCTCAACTCTGATAATAAAAATGCACTTCCTAGTTCCCGTGCCAGTGCATCCTCCCTAAAATCCACGCAAGCAACCGGTACCAGTCGTAGCTCCTCAACCCAATCCAAACCTTCTCTATCGCGGTCTTCCTCGTCCTCCTCATCTTCTCCTCCTACAGAAACAGAGGAAACTGCTCACCTGTCATCATTCCCTACTGGCTTCCAGTTTCCCCATACCTCAAAAAACAATACCTTTCAGTCTTCCGTATTAGAAGGCAGCCCCAATGTCGAGACTTCTATAACCTTGACCAGTCCCCCACCATTATCATCTACACCAAAGTTCCGGCCTCATGCCTCACCCCGCGATTCTTTTCCTATATCGTCTATGGATAGTTCTACCTTGCAAGGTTCACCTAGGGGTATACGGAAACTCAAGCCCATTTCTTCAAGTAGCCCGAGACAAACTCCAGGGAAGCCTATAGTGAGCCCTCGTCGCCCTTTTCCATCATCATCAAATGGTTCCCTCTCTTATCGGAATCAACGTTCCCCCGTTAAGGAAACTCAGCCAATTTCTAGGAAGCTCACAAAAGACAATCCGCTCTCGTTTTTAGATGATGATCTTGATTCTTCTGAAGAAGATGCTCTATTTGAAGATTATGTACATAAGCAAGACCATTCTAACTATACAAAGCGCTCATTATGCTCAAAGTTGGCTCGAAAAGCTTTCCGCCTTTATTCGGTTATGAGAGATGCATCTTCCTTGCCGAACTTTTTTCATTCCCAGCATCGTATTCATCCCCCGCAGGTATTGACAATTGTACTTGGTATCTTCGTAGCGATTTTCTTGACTTTATGGAGAGAAGAGGTCTATCGTGCTGGATTTTGTGATGTACCTTCTTCTGGGAATTCAACAATCCTTCAAAAATTTGGACTTGGGGCTTCATGTACTCCTTGTCCATCCCACTCCAAATGTTTGCCTAATTTCGAACTTCAGTGTGATTCAGGTTACATTTTAAGCGAGCCTTGGTATTCTAGGTTTGGCCTGTGGCCAAAAAAAAAATGTGTTGGTGATACAAATAGGGAAGAAAGTGTAACAATTTTCTATGAAGAATGTTTGGACGTTTTGCGAACATGGAATTCAATTCTCCAATGTGGTCGTTTGTCTGATGATCTTATTGAAAAAAATAAAACGCTTTCCAAAACAAATCCGTACGTTTTCGAGGAATTAAAAGGATCTAAGATGACACATCATCCTCTATTTTCTATAGCCTTATTACGACATACACTGTTGGAAAAGAAATCCCCAAACCTCTCTTTAGGTGATTTTAATGATTTATTTAAAGCAGCTTTGTATCAGCTTGCTAATGCAGAAGAAATTGAAATAAATGAAGAAAATATTGGTTCCCATAGCTGGGCTAATGTACCTTTAAGATGCCGACTTCGACGACAGGTTTATCGAACAATTTGGAAGTATAAATTTACTCTTCTTCTTTTTATCCTAGTCACCATCTGTCTTTATAAGGCTTATACTTATTTTTACTTACGCAAAAAAGTTCAGAAGTATTTACCTTTTGCTTCACGTTTCTGTATCGATTCCTTAAAGCGACAAAAGGCTTTATATCAAAGTTCACGTACTTCCCAGCCTGTTGTTCCGCTAATTGAGATGCATGATTTATTGCTTCATTCACATGGTGTATTAGAGCAGTCAGATCTCACTGAAAAAGAAGGTCAATTGTTATGGGATTCAGTCGTCAAAAAAGTTGAACAAGTGGGAAGTATACGGACCCGCGAAGCTGAAGTAGATGGAGAATGGACCCGTGTTTGGGAGTGGGTGGGTACGAATCCTCTCGATCCTTTACCTTCGCAGTAATCTATTCGCATATTTACTTTAATTGACGAACATGTAAATTATAAACTTTAAAGATAACAATGGAAAGAATGTCTTTTGATATATTGTTGAAATCTTGATGCTACATGAATTCTTAATGCAATGGATGGAAAGGAAATTTAGCAACGTGTACTCCTTTTAAGTTTACGTAACGGGCATTATATGCGAATCGTGTAAGTAATTTCTTTTAGTGCCATAAACAGTAGGCATGATCTATAATACATCTAAACTTTTTGATCGCAGTCTGCCTAAAAAGTATACGCATCTGATTTTTAATTCGCCATTGGTATCCCAAATTTTATTAAACTTATTTAGATTGACATTATTACGTTAAATAGACACTGACCGGTAAATTAAAACTCCACACAACTGTTTCTTGTAAACCAAGATGTCATTTGAAAAGATTCGGTTCCTGAGGTCATTTTAATTATAACGACGATACGAGAGGAAAATCGGTCACTGGTTCATCTTCAGCTTCCTCATCTTCGTCCAATCCAGGAACTGGCTGCCATTCATTATAAAATGGTTGGACAATCGACGAAGATTTTGATAGACGATAAGGATCGAAGGGGAAAAACGAATCGATTGTTTCTAATCCATCCCGAATTGATCCCTTTCTGTTTTGCTCCAAAATTGAATAAATATACATAAAGTTCAAGTGATTTGCTATCCTAGCAAACTGATGAACAACATTAGGTGAGCAGTATCGCAATGGATTTAAGCGGGAAAGAACGGATCTATGAAGAACTTCCAGGCCTGGAAGCCATTCTGCCGGCTTGGGATCCATTGGATCTGTCTCATCCGAGATTCGCAGCTCTTGCCAACGGAAACAGAAAATGTATAATACGCTTTGGTTAATGGCATAAAAAACAGAATGTTTGGATATCAAATCATCGGATAGCTCGTTTTCGCATTGATCCAAGTAGGCCTCGATCCAACGAGTCATTAGGCCGACAATAACTTGAATCGTCGAGGCTTCCAAAGTTTTAGCACGAGACACATAAGACCCGAGGTACATGGCTCCACTAATCCGAAGCGTATAGGGTTGAGATGGATCCAAGCAAACTTCCGTGAGGACTCCCAAGAAAATGTCGGTAAATTCTGGATTTAGTTGGGAAGCCCAGAAGATTAAAAACTGTGTATACCGACAGCGAAAGGTTTTAAGAACAGTATTAACAAATGATCGAATCAGACTATTGTAAACAACGTAACGATCCCTACTTTGGTTTAAATTCTTTGTTAAATAAGAAAACAATGTATACAAAAGCTGGTCCAGTTGCAGCAAGGTTTGTTTGGTATCGACAGGAGACAAGGGATCATCGTTCAATAGAGTACTAGAAGTAAGATCCTCCGAAGTACCAGCGTGGCGCTCATACAAAGCAGATGCAGTTAATACATCGGAGCTAGCATCATCTGAAATATCTGATTCCTCATCATCCTCGATATCAAGTTCTACTTGAATCTCAACATCAACTTGAATGATTTTATCAATAATTGCATGCAATACAGGACCTTTAAGAGATGGTACATATTCACAAATACTTAAAACGTTCGAAATATAGGTCATTTGTGCCAGAATACTTTCATCCTTGTACGGAAACTCCTCAAGTATACAACTATACAAGTAAGAATGCGCACGAGGGACAAGATCTAACACATATTTTAAAGCCATATGAGCATGTTCATAATGAATTGCTAAACTATTACTCTGGTAGCACATGTGCTGGATAAGCATGGTCATGACCATGGGCAAATAGGTAGATTGAGCAGAAAGCAAATGTCCCAAAAACCTTGTGTAGCAGCGGACAAAAGGTTCATTTCTCGATACCCACACTGAGCCCAGTATGCTCATAATCAAAGATGAGCAAGAACTATCAAGTCGAGAAACGTTGCATGTAAGGGCAGATAATAAATTTTGAATCTGAATAGATGAAGGAGCATCTTTTGCATCAGGCCTTATAGAGAATTGTCTCCTCATATCTTCATATGCAGCAACATTTCCCGCGGTTTTATCATCAAGGGCTTTACTAACGAATGCGCGAAACATGTGCTGCATTAATTGAGAGTCATGTTTGGATGCATTACCTTCAGATGGGAGGACGCTAGAATCGGTAGGAGGATTCATCATGCCATTCGAAAGGGAAGAATCTATTAACGTTGAAGCTTGAATAATTGACGGCATCCTTAAGCAAGTTTCATAAACTAGTTTATGTTTTGTGTAAAAAAAATAAAAAAATTGTCCAAAATTCACTTCTCTATTCAGAGGGCTATAGAGTAATAATTAAATTTCTAACAAAACATATGTTAGCATAAGAATGGGAGACCTCTTCGTTTGTCATGGAACTTATTTTTACATTAGAGCAATTGCCTCTCAAGTCAGCGTTGATAGAAATGAGAGTGTCCAGCTTCAAAGCAATTTTCTCAGCAAAAACACCATCTGAGCACTTCTACTTACTTTATGTTTTCAAGAAATGTCCGATGTACACAATATCCTCTAAAGTAAAAAAAACTTTTCCAATGCAACAAAGATGTGAAAGATGTGGAGTCTGTCGTGAAAACTTCACAATTGACGATAATAAGCCGCTCGAAAACAGTGAAATATTAATAAATTAAATTAAATTAAACCAGTATAATGCAGTTTCCCCTAAATTACCAGCAATTCCTATTATTATTAAGTTTTGTTGTTGGTAAAAGAAAAGTTTCTACTTGCTGGTAGTAAATGTGTTCGTTTACTGAAGGTTGCTACACCTCGTTAATTGATGCTGCAAAAAAACAAAACAATATATCTTGGATAAACGATTTATTAGGCAAGGATAGAAAACTTGATCAGTGAGAGCATTATCTATATTCGTAAAAAACTAAATCACTTTTTGATGAAGGTCGTTGGATAATGGTTTGAACGCTTTTTGTGTGGACGCATGCTTGACTTTTGATCGCGAAGCATTTGTCTATAAAGACCGTAAATTCCAGTGCTTAGAGGAAGAATGTCTCTATTGCATCTCCCAGATATGAAATAATGATGCATGTCCTCCATTGTGAAGACACTTCGATAATTAGGTCCAGCAAAGTATTTGTCAGAAGGTATCAAGGACGCTGCATAAGGATAGGAGGAGTTCTCTGGAGGAGGCGAGATCCATGAATTTGTTCTCTCCATCCATACTGGTATAGTTGTCGATTTCAGAGGCGTTTCGGGATCACTCATGTAAATAGGTAAAGTGCCTTGAGCAATAGTCCCCAAAATCTTAGAAGGAGCCACACTAGGTTGATTTGTTTCCGGATCTATTCGTTTACACAAACTCAGATACGGCTTTAACTTTGAGTGTAATGAGGGATCTGTGAGCATCTGACGCATTGGTTCGTTTCTACCTCCAGTAATGAGTACCACGTCAAAGTCTAGAAAAGAAAAACCTTCATCTGTATAATGCTTTGGTTCGATAAATTCTTCAAGGGTACATAGTATGCTGTAGATATCCATAGCCTCTTTGGAAGGTCCCATGATGCTTCCTTTCCATCCACATGTATAAGAAGGGTCTGGTCTAGCTGTCCTTGGAGGATCAATTGGTCTTGGAAACACAAATTCAACCAGAAAACCACGATCGGTAAAGTAACGCCAAGGAAGACACACCTGTTCTACGTCGAATCCTTCGTCCGCCAGGACAATTGCCAAATGAGGAGATAAATGAGCATTCCGGCCAAATACAGGGGCATTTGCTGCAGCAAAAGGTAAAGGATTTGGTTGTAATCCAACGTCAACGTCGTTGATTATGTCCTTGTTTGATATCTGAAAATAAAATGCCATGACGGAACGCGACGAAGCCACAATCTAAACGAATTGGTCTCTCAATAATGTTTAATTTTTAAACAAATTCAATCCAAAGTCTTTGTATAAGTTGTGGTAAAGACTAGTAGGAAAGTATACGAAGAAGGTTTTTGTTTTCCAAAAAGAGAGCAAAAATAAATAAATAAATAAATAAACAAGACTTCTACTGATTTCTGTACTTTCCAACGTTTGTAGTGCTATAAAAATATTCTGTGTAATCTCTATATATATAACGATCATTAAACGAGAAAATAGGCTGACGTTTCGATATTACCTCGAACCACCCAACTTTGCATTTATTCAATTACTTCATCATTTGTTTAAAATTGAGCAAGACGAAGCCGGTAAACAAGAAATATTGGGATGTTTTTGCTTTTATAGACGATTGAGTAATTAGAGGTCTTTTGTAGTAAGCGGATTCAGCTGCTTTTTAAAGTCCGAAAACTTAAGCAAATTCTGCTTCTAGCACTTCTATTTCATCTCATTTTGTTTTCTTTTTGGTCATTTTACTCATGAAGCTTAGGGTATTTTGTGAAGAATTTCCTATCCGACAATGGATTCACACAGCCAGTTTTGGATTGGTTGACACCACTGGTACCGTAGCGGACCTTTGCAAAACAATCTGGGAATGGAATGAAGGTCCCCCATTCTGGAAACTTCAGCTTTTAAATGAAGGATACGCTGTCCCCATGACAGGAATCTTGGCCCGTTACTTAAAGGAAGATGCAAAGATCCAACTAATAGGACAGGATTTACGTTCTATATGGAAACTAGAAAACTTTTCTACTTCTCCTTATGAATTCATTTCTAGCGTTGGTCAACTTCCTGAAAATACTGAACAAATGCATCAGGCAAACTTGGAGCATCTCGTATCATGGAAGGATGTAGAGATGTGTTCATAAATTACGGGATTATAAATTTAGTACTCGAGTTGGTTTAGATAGCTGTTACACTAGCAAGAAGACATATGTTAATTTTGGACAGCAAAAAAAGAATTAAACCAGAGAACGGATCTCTTCCAATATTACCGGTTATGCAAAATTCAACAGCAAGTTGGCATAATTTTATTTTGCGATGAAAACATCTATTCTTGATTGACCACGGAGTCCAATTTTTCACATTGTTTTATTATTAAAATGTATAAAGACTCAAGCATTACGATGACAGCACTTACAATGAATTCTTTTTTCAACTTGGGCAAAGATTTGTTTTAAAAAAAAACATAGATAGCATCAATTAGAATACTTTGCAGCAAGAGAAAACGACTACCTAAACTTCAACTCTTTAAAAACATCCTTTCCCTACAACAACTCGCAAGAGCACGTTTGTTTTCAACGTAAACAACCTAATACATAGACACAAGGGAAGATTACATTTTCAAGTCAGGTAATCTAACGCAAATTTTGAAGCTATCGAATCCAACCCGAACCGATGCAAACGCAAAACGTAAATTTTATTGCTTACAAGCCTTCACCAATGGTGACGGGGAACTCAAAGTTGACGGTCTTACCGGTGAGTTTGTGGTAGACGCTAGAGAAAGAGGACAACTTGTAGTCAACAGTGCTGGCTTCTCTGTTGTCAAGGAAGACCTTGATGGACTTGCGGCCGTCAGTGCCTTGGCGGGTACGCTTACCGATGATAACGGTAGGGAAAACAATGTCTTCAAGAATGGCACTGTGAACAGAGGTCAAAGTACGAGAGCGAGGGCGCTTTTGACCAACACGGGACTTACGACCGGGCTTGGGCAAAATACGACGTTGAGCGATGAAAATAACGTGACGGTCAGCAAACTTCTTCTCGAGCTCGCGGGTCAAACGAGCCTGGCACTTGTGGAAAGCGGCGAGAAGAGGCTGGGGCACGAAAACAACGATTGCCTTCTTTCCAGCTCCAACTTCGACTTCACGAGCAGAAGTGATTTGGAGAGGACGGAGCTCCTTGGCCATGTCCTTAGAAGAGTTCTCTAAATCAAAGAGACATTGAGCAACAAGGAGGTCGGTTTCACTGGGCTGGGAGCTCGAACGCTTGACAATCTTGTTGAGAGCAGACATTGCTGTTGTGTAGAAAAGAAAATGTTTCGACTCTCCCATATTCTCTTTTGTGACTGCTCTCTTCGGTTTGGGTAACACTGTCCATCCCATTTGGTACTGTTACTTGGTTGATGGTAGCTGTATTGGGTAAATAGGACTTCCACATAATTTTTTTCTAGTAAATTATAACAATGTCATATTAAAACTGAAATTATCAAATTCCAATAGCGCAATTCATTTTCCCAATTTCTCCTAGGCTTTCCAATTCAAGATGCGTTTACCTGTCTAAAAAACAGTCACATTTCACAACACAGACAAAGTATACAGTACGAGAAAATGTTAGTTTACGAGTCGCTTTTGCGCGCGTTAGACGCTTTCAGCGTTCTATAAGGAGCCTGTTAATATGATAGCAGTATGATTAGGAAGGAAGTCGCACTGAAAAGCGTTTACAGAGGTGCTGCTTGAAAAATGCTCATCAGTAGGAATTTTATAGCTTTAAAATCATTTTTTTTTCTTTTCTTTTCTTTTTCTTAATTCTTAATTCTCTGAGTGTTAGGGAGCATTATAAGAGGTGGTAGCTTTCGTCAAATCTCAATGTTTACAAATAGTCGTCGCTATTGGTTGGGAACATGTAAACAAAAGAAACTTATAGGTAGGTAGGTTTCTTTTCTGTGGAATTTCATTTTGTCGTTTCTATAGTTGTTTTATAAATAAATGAAGAACTTTTTGCATCTTTTCACCGCCCATACTTACTGACTTGATTTGATTGTTTCTTACTACAGATTTAGTGAAGTGTGTAAATAAGTAAATCTAAAATAAAATAATAGGCCTTTTGCGATTGAATAAAGAAAATGAGAAAACGATTTCCTTTCACTTTAAGTGCACAAAACTTGAGAGTCGCATTGGTCTGTCCATTTCGAAATTTAAGTTGCTACCACATATTGTTTGATATATTTGACGGTAAACAAACCAATTGGACTGGCATTGAGAATTCATTTCTAGTTGATTTTAGAACCAAGAACAAAAGTTACAAAAAGGGAAGTTTAAAATCAACAGAAACGAAGACCGCCTCAATAGGATTCCACACAGTAGCTTTATGAGAACTTTTTCGGTAGAAGAATGAAGGATCTGCTTTGCATTTCAAGTAGTTAACTTGTTTTTCTTTTTTTTGTAGAGAAAAAAAATATATGCTAAATAACCACCATTATGAAATCTTAAATCAAGAATTGCAGTTTGTTTACATTGCCAAAATGTATCCTTTCCAATAAGCGACTTTTAGCTATCTTTCTATAAATTATAAATATGTACTTTGTTTGTATTTAACTTTACTATAATAGTCATTTATAAAATATGCCATGAAATCGTTTATGAGCGACCTTGGTAAAGAACGGTTTGTAAATAATAAATATGGGGGTTTTCTGTTATTTCCAATTATGGTTAATCCATAAAATAATATTTATTATTTATGAACCCTCTTTAGGCATGTTGCTTACTGTTTTTTTACTATGCGTTTTAGAGAATATGATATTCTCATAAGTAAGACCGACGCGTCTTTCTCTTCCCAAGAACCACAATCTTTACAATGTCTGAATCTCGGCAAGAGTTGCTGGCTTGGATCAACCAAGTAAGTAAATAATGAAGAATGTCAAAAAAAAAAGATTTTCTAACATATTTGTTTCTTAGGTCACAAAACTTGGTCTTTCAAGGATTGAGGATTGTGGAAAAGGTTACGCCATGCTTGTAATTATGGATTCTATTTATCAAGATGTTCCCCTAAAAAAAGTGAACTTTGAATGCAACAATGATTATCAGTACATAAACAATTGGAAAGTTCTTCAGCAAGTATTTTTAAGGAAAGGAATCGATAAAGTGGTTGACCCAGAACGTCTTTCACGTTGTAAAATGCAGGATAATTTAGAGTTTGTTCAATGGGCAAAGCGTTTTTGGGACCAATATTACCCAGGCGGTGACTATGATGCTTTGGCGCGTCGTGGTGGACGCGGCCTGGTACAACATGGAGCATCTCCCAATGCTCCTAGAAGAAGGCAAGTGTCATCTGGAAGTACCGGACAGCCCGCTCCACGATCTAGTTTGAATACAACAGGCGCTGCTACAAACAATACTGCCGCTGTACTTCGTGCCAAGCAAGCTCAACAACAGATTGCCAATTTAGAAGGCCAATTATTAGAAGCAAATGAAACAATGTTTGCATTGGAACGCGAGAGAGACTTTTATTTCAATAAATTACGCGAAATCGAAATTTTAGTTCAAACACATTTGAGTGCAGAACCAATGTCCCATGAAAGTATGTTAGAGAGAATACAAACAATCCTTTATTCTACTGAAGATGGCTTTGAGCTTCCTCCAGAAACAGAAAGATCGACGGATGTGTATCCACTTGTGGATCATAACATGAGTAATGTCGTTGATGAACCTCACATGGAAGAAGCCAAGCCCGTAGATATGTCCTCTAATCCCGGTGCTCCTGACTTTGTGCGCGCTCGTTTACAAAGTTTAGAAGTTGACGATGATGACGAAAATCTTACTTTTTAAAGTAATCATATTTCGCTCATTCTTTTTATTTCCTTATTCTGTTTCGATGCATTCTCTTACACATTGTCCTTGTCTTTCTTTTCATTTTGTGCAAAAATCACTTACCTTTTACTAGCGGCGATCTGGGTATGACCATTGTTAAAATATGTGATGTTTTCTAATTTATCATCGTCTTTTATTGGCGTTATTTCTTCATGTTTGCAAAATCTTAATAAAACTTATGGTTGTCATTTATAAGAAATTTCGTTGTGCCAGATAACCCATACTCCAAACTTCCTTGTCAAAATTTATTATATATATATATATTTCAAAGACTGAATTTGAAAAAGTATTCATACTACCTTTGAAATGATTCTCTTATCGAGATTTCCCGGTTTGCTCATTGAAGCTATCCTATTTGCAAATACTATTTTAGTAGTTGTCATGGCAGAAAAGGTTTAATCTTTTTGCATTAAAACAAGGTGGAAAGTAATGCCAGCAAATACCATACAAGCTTAGCCAAATCTGTAATTGTAAGTTTAACCCCAGAAAAGCCTTCGAAATAACCAAAATCATATTCGTTACCTAAATATAACATAACAAGCTTTTTCATTAATAAGAACCAAGACTACACAGGAAAGCTATTTATTGACCATACTCTTGTTTTGTGGTTAAGTCTTTAAATAATGCAAATAAGACTTCTCCTAATTTGACTATCCAATTCCGAAAGCTACCTGTTCTTTACATCACAAAACCCGAACTTCTACTCAATGACTTAAATTAGTCATTAAATGTTATTATTACTTGCTGGAAGTTTAGTTTCCATATGCCGAAAGAAGTGGAGCAGTATCTTGATCTTAATGAAGAGTTCATAAAAACTCTAGCAGGTATAAGGAAAAGACTGCGAAGTCGATATTTAAATCCTCAAACCTTAGAAGATTTCATTCACGCATTAGCCCATGTTCGAGCTATGAAACGGCTAAACTCATTTTGCTCTAACTTTGAAGGAGAATATACATCACAGTCCGGTCAATCAAGTCAATCAGCACAGGAAGCATCATTCACCGTTGTAAACAATGCAGACGTGCGTCAATCGATGGATCCCTCTTTCTTTCAAGGAAACATACTGGAGTTAATTAATGATTACGCTGAGTACTCCACGCAATTAATTTCTATGGGAACCAGAAAGTCGTGCATTACACCTTCAACCGAACCTAATAGGTCGAAAAAGAAAACAGCAGGTATTCTAGACTGCCCAGACGAAATTCTTATATTAATATTCCAAAAGTGCTTTGATGCTACCTACAAAGAAAGCATCCCATTTGCTTTTACTTATCGAAGGGATTGGCACACATTACTTGATGATTTGCCATATACTTGTACCCGCTTTCGTAAAATTCTGAGCCCAAAGAACGATGGGTTTTGGAAGCGTGTCTTAGACTTATATAAAAAACCTGAGGTTCCGTCTTCTCAGTTTGATACTTCATCTAGGAGTCTTCCATTCCCTTACGTTCAAATGCCAAATGTTCTTCCTGTCTTGTTAGATCCAAGTATCGAAACATATTCGAATAGCTCACCTTCATCTAGCTTGGCCTCGTTACCCTCGCAGATTCAAACACAAAACACCCTTTCTACTGGAAGTCCTTGTGAAGAGCCTTCTTACATTGAGTTTGCTTGTAATGTAGTTGGTCGTTGTACTGTATGCAAATTGCTGCCTAAGCGTACAAAGAGTCGGGAATGCATAAAGTCGTTTTATAGATCATCTATTGCAACTAACATTTGTGATCAATGCTTAGAGGCAATCATAGACTTTTATGAGCCAGTAAGTCGGTACGATTTTTATGTGATGGTGAATCAATTTGGTGTTGGTTATATTACCAGGCCAGGTCAACGATTTCCTTCTTGGCTTTCTGAACATGTCCAACTTGCACGAGATGAAGAAAAGGCATACAAATACATCTCTTCCTCACAAATAAAATTTGCAAGTGACCTGTTTAGGTTATTCCAATCACAATTCTGAAACTATCTACGAGAATTTACTTGCAAGCTGCTAGCTACAGGAACTTCCCTATACAGAAGACTTGATTCTTTGAAGGAATGATTCAACGTATATCAAATATCATACGGTTACTTAGTTGAAAGACAATGAACGAACAATAAAAATAAGATTACTATGAGAAATGACCAAAACCCTTTTGTCAATATTAATACAAGTACCGTAACCAACGATGAAGTTTAAAATATAATATCCTATATAGGTGAATCGGAAAAGGAAAAACGAGGTAAAAAGATACGGCAAGTAAAAAGTATGCCAATCAAGAGCTTTATACCCGATTAAGATAACTTTTTTTAAAAAAAGAAACAAACGTTATAAAAGGATGCACCTTTGTTCCTGAGAAAGGAACTATCGCAATGACCAAATTAAAGACCAACACATTACGAAAAACAGGCCGGAAAATAGCATAAAAGATTCAAAAGCCCTTCTAGGAATTTTTAGGAAAAGATGGAACTTATCAATTGAATGAGTGGGTAGTAAGAAATTCAAAGAAAAATAAGCACCAGTTTTTTTTTCTATATGCATTGTCTTGAAAAAAATAGTTGATAAGTATTTACTAGAGCACATCCTAGGCCAACGACGTCAATTGAAAACCATTTATTTAAGCCTCAACACCAGGGAGAGTGCAGTTCATAGCAATATGGCCAGGTTGATTGCACTTATAGCATAATTGACCATCGTTGGATTGTTGGCATTCAAAGCTACGATGACCAATCTTACCACAAGAATAACACTTGACACCCATGGTACAGTCACGAGCCTGGTGACCAACAGAACCACAAGCATAACAGTTCATAGGACGGGATCCAAAACGGCCGTTAGTGCGGCAGTCTCTAGCAATGTGACCAACGCGTCCACATTTGTAGCATTCAGCGCCTTGGCGGGGATTAGGATTAGGATTGGGGTTGGAAGGGCATTCACGAACAAGATGGCCACCAGTGCCACAAGCGTAACAGGTCTTTTCTTGCTGGGGTTCAGTGCAATCACTGGCCTTGTGTCCGGTTTGATTGCAGTTATAGCAGATGGCGCCCTTGGTGCATTCACGAGCTTGATGTCCGTTTTCACCACAATTGTAACAGCGGAATCCGGCACGGGGGAAAGAAGGGGCGGCTTGTGACTCCATATTTTCTTCCATAGTGATTATGATTTAAAATCCGGGTTGTATTAAAACTTTGGGAATTTTCTCGTAAAAATTCGCTTGAAAAAAATATACAGAGTTGTGACTGTTCTTGCGGGGCAATATTGGTACCTGAAGTAGGTAACAATGCGGCGAGTTTCACGAATATAAACAAGGGAAAACGAGAAATTGGCTTGCTTTATTTGTTTTATAATCAATAAAGCTTATAATGTTGCTCTTCATTTCAGCGAGCTTCATTTTCAATTCGTTCAAGTTGAACAGAGGATTTAGCAATATGCATTGTATAATCAAATAGAACGAATGTTTTCTACAATACGATTTTATAAACAAGAGTTGCTTCAAAGTCAGTAAGTTTTTATTGCAATTGTATGGTTCATGTTGGTCATTGTTTGTTTTATCTAAGAAAAACGAAGAAAAATCGTTAGGAAGAAGGTAAAATCTTTCATGCATCAAAGGTAAATTTCTTTCGGAAAGTGCGTAATGCGTGGCTTTTTTATTTTCTCTTTTTCTCTTTTACCCATGAAAATCTTGCATTTGGGAATTCTTGCTGGGTAACATATCGTATTATTTTCGCTATGATGATGAGAACCCAACGATAACGGACACTCAGTAATAACTTACAGTACAAACTGGTTATAGCGCTCGGAATTCCTTCAGTGTTGTAATATGATTTGTTGTTTTTTAGAATACTATACGTTCAAAAAATCTAATGTGTGTTTGATCTATATTGGCAAATATTCAAACCCCGGCAAAAAGAATTGCTTCGGCCGGGAATCGAACCCGGGTCGCTTCGATGGCAACGAAGCATTATACCACTAAACCACCAAAGCAGTTGTTATAAGACTAATATTCTTTATCATATATAACTTAGTAAGGTATTGGACACTGAAGCTATGTAAGTGTTTGGTTTGCAAAAGCAAAAAAATTTCTTAGTAAGTCATAGACTTGTAAACTTGCATTGAAAGGAAGAGTCCAGAAATAGGAAGACTCAGAAAAAAAGTAGTGCAGTACCCAATTTCCATGATGCCTTTTACACATACAATGCAAACAGGGCTATCTTACTCGGACGGTTTTGCTGAACTGCAATCACCGGAGCGAAATTAGAATGTGTGCAGTCGCAATAGGTAATCTATGAACAACTTTAAATTTAAAGGATATTATATCTGATATATTTTGATCTCCTAAGAATTGTGAACTTGAAAATCGCTGTTTGGTTATAGAAGAAGAAAAAAAAAAAAAAAAAAAAAAAAAAAAAAAAAAAAAAAAAAGGAATACTAATACTTTAAAGATTAGAAGCATACCTGCATCATTGTGAAAACTATAACTGTTCTGTTGTTTTGTAATTTATTTACCAAAATTTATTCACGGCATGGAAATAAAAAGGCAATTCATTTAGAACGAGTAAAATTCAGCATAGTAAGAAAACAAAAATGTATATTTTTTTCAAAGAAAAAAAAGTCATGCTTTGTAAATAAGAATGGGGAAAAACTTCAGAAATATAGACTATGGCTTTCCCGGAATGTAGTCGTCAAAGATAGTAGCTACCATCTATCATAAACAGCCCTTTTTTCATTGCTGTGTAAACTGTGCAATGTCTTACCATTTCCAAACTTTTTCAACTCTCTGATTGAGAGATAATTGGAAGTTTATTGGTGCTTTAGCCATTCGTTGTTTGCTACATTCTACAGTAAGTGGAGCATTTTTGTTCGTCACAAGTTCAACTCTTTGCTCACAAGAAGTAAATTTAATAAAATAATCTTCAACTTAACAGGAGCCTTCATCTACTGTATAATATTCGTGTGTATTTCCAATACTGCTGTTGGGCAACTAGTAAATGGTATTGGACGAGTAGTTGGTGCTATAAATTTTGTTGTTTGTCAAAAATTTTATAAAGTTTTTATTTATTGCTTTGGGTTGGTGTTCGTAAGCTCAACTGAACACACCAGTTCGCCTATGCTTCCCGGGAATCAACAAAGGGATGATGCACTAGTTCCTCCGCCGACAACGACGAATGAAGAAATTGAACTTCAGAGCAATCCTAAGCTAATGCTAATTTGTTTACCTTTCTTTTGCCTTGAGTCTTAACTCTTCCGATTGAAAGTCACTAAATGAAAAAGGGAACATTACAAGCGGTTTATTTTGAGGAAGATTTATTTCTATGCCTTGGTTAAGCGCTTTTACATTTTATTTATTAACAGATTTTAACTACGATATAATCCTTGTATCAATATGAATTGGATGTTGACGAAAACAATTGTACAAAAGGAAGGCATGTTGCGTTTTAGCCCGTCGACAAGAAATAAATGGGTTGGTTGATATCAATCTAGAATCTTATATGCATACATCTGCTATTATTTATAATTGTAATTGAATACAATCGTTTCATCTTTTTCTTACAAAACGTGACTCCATCGAATTTACATTTGGGTAGTGTTTGGGTTTACTGCTACTCTGGAGGTAACAATCTGCAGCAATTTTAGAACAGTTTGTACATTTTTTCGAATAACTCGAGAAAGTATTGAGAAAGTAAACATAATAATCTTAAAATTAATAAAAAAATGTCCTTAGGTTTGCTATATCCTTAGTGTTTAAGAGGTCCTCAGGGTTAACCAACGAGAATTGGTGGCTTTGTTCGATAGTATGTTCATATACTTAGAGACAACTTCACTGGGAATACGTGTGTCGTATGGTTTATAATAAAATTTATTTAAATATCTGCTAACAAACAATACGGAAGTAAAAGTTTCTGTATTCTACTTGAGATCCAGAGGATAATATCCTATATCTATTAGACGGCTGGAAATTCATTAACAGGAGGAAAGGTTATCATTCTTCTGACCCTTAGCGACGATTGGACTCATATAAACTAATCTAGTGGTATTCCTTATTTCAGTAAACTCTGATAAGATCAGTGGCTTACTAGAATAAGTTATCCCTATACAAACACTATATGTTTTATTTTTGTTTCTATCTAAGCGATACTCATTAAAAGGTTTTTAGGTCACCTATGACACGAACCTTTAAACCATCTACATCTAAGTAAAGAACCTCTTGTAATATCGACAGACTTATGCCCATTTAACTTTACTAATTAGCTATGCCCACAGCTCAATTCTTGAATGACTACATTTCTTTACACTATATTTAGTCTATCTACGTACGACAAGTTATGCTGCTTTGGTGGTTTAGTGGTATAATGCTTCGTTGCCATCGAAGCGACCCGGGTTCGATTCCCGGCCGAAGCAATGTTTTTCAGCAGTTTGCCCAACACAGATGAAAGTACACTGTAGAACCAAATTTTTTGGCTCGAATGAAATACGCTGTTTGGCCTTTTTCCACAATAAAGTATGTTTATTACTGTGCTCTAACGATGTATTTTAGTAAATACCCTTCAGTAAGAAATCAATAGTTGCCTGCATGGTACGAGTTCATTTCAATGTGTATAATCGAGTTTCAGATTTCATAAAGTGCAAAAGCCATGTCTATTGACGGTTCAAGTGCAGGTAGTTAATCGTGTCAAACGAATGACTTGAAACAGCATTTATAGAAGCGAACTATACTATTTGTCTAGTTGTCGTAATCTAGGTGATCCTTGTGTGCTTTTACAGTAACTAACGGGCTCATAAGAAACGGCAATTACTAGATTTCATAGCTTCATCCTTGGTCAGTCTCGCTTGGAAAAGTTAAAAAATAAACGAAAAGTCTTGATCCATTCGGATTTAGCAATTCTGGATTGCAGATTGATTTAAACCGAATATTGGAAGTCATAATCTGTCAATCTTCTATAAAATTTTAAATATAAAATATTAAATTGCTCAGCGTAGCATGCATCTAGAATACTATGAAAGAACCCCATACAATCGACAAGAATTACGCATGAAGTCAAAAAGAAATCTTCATAAGATTACTTAAAAGATCAAAAATATGAAGCTTACTTTACAAATTTTTACTATATCCCTTAAAGAGCCTAGTTTTTCTGTGTAATAGACACACATTGCTTTGTTTTCTAAAATGTGCACCGAGTACATCAATTGTTAAGATAATATTTCTAAAAATAATACTAAGAAGTTGAAAAACCTTTGCTTCGGCCGGGAATCGAACCCGGGTCGCTTCGATGGCAACGAAGCATTATACCACTAAACCACCAAAGCAGTAGATGATATGCAATATATAATTACGGTTATGTAACTCGATTATAGTAACTGAAAAGTTGATACTTCTATGCAAGAATGAATATGGACAGGAGAGGGAAGTATTTATTGTTCTTCTATTTTATCACAATAATACTTAGTTCACAATTTCTCTCTCACATCTACAGATGGATCTACTCACTTCGGCTTACCATTAAAGGCGGTAGTACACGAAAGCAAAGCAAGTACAAAATAATCCGTTAAATGTAAATTGCATTCCTTTCTAGGATAGTCTATTTTATCAAGTAAGCGTACGCTATATTATTTTTTGGAAATTACCAAATCCATTTTCAATTGCCAACCGATATTTATCACTATAGCTTTTCGACGATGGCCCACCAATTATCTCGATCGTAACCATCCTCTATAAGTTTCCCTCCAGCCTTTTGAACTAGCTCGCTGAGCTCTCCTTTCCGGAACAAATGGTAGTATCGCTGGTACGCAACGTTTTCGCTTGGATGGTGTCCTTTTAAATCTTCTGGTTTTGCATTAGGATGTTCGTATTGCCGTTTTAAAACCCAAGGAACGTGGACGTCTTGAGGTCCATTTTCAGAAAACCCACGACGAGAATTATTTTGTTCAAGAGCCCAAACAAAAAATAATGCTCTTCCTCCCTTACGAAGTACTCTCAAAACTTCTTGGACAGCTTGCAGACGTCGATCTTCATTGCTGAAATGATGAATGACTGCAATGCTCAATGCAAAGTCAGTTCGATTACTTGGATGAGGAACATGCAAGCCGTCTGCCACTATCATAGGTCCTAGTTGGCTTGCAATTCTAACTAGTTTTTCACAACGATCACTTCCTATCAAATAAATGTTCGGATTCACTTTTTGATACTTTCCATTTCCACATCCAATGTCTAAACCGATTGCTCCTACAGGTAAAGAATTGAGGAAATGCTCTACGACTGGCCAAGGCTTTTTTTCTCTGTTAACGAAAGGCGAATCTCAACAAATTTTTCTGTAGTTTCACTTACCTTGTAACGAGTGTCTGAAAAATGAGTAGCTATTTTGTCATATACCCTGTGAACATGCTCATTTTCGTACTCTAATTCGTTTCGTTCATTCATAGTTGCTTTTCTTTTAGAAAAAAAATACCACTTTCTCCTTAAATTGAAGAATGCTTGAATATTTGGAAAAGTCAAGTTTTCATTCGTTACTGTCTTCTAGTAGCTTTATTAATAAAAAGATATGATATATCACCCATAAAATGAGATATTGAATTTAGTAAGAAATAAATTTACCGGAATATGTATATATAAATTAAGGACCCGTACTTGTCACACAGAACGTAAGTACATATATACAGTAAAATCTACTATCAAAAAATCGTAATGTATATCAAAATTACTAGCTTTTATTCTATCATAACTTATACCAAAACCTTTGCATAGACAAAACATCAACATAATAAAAAAAAATATCTGAATGCTCAAGCTCCTAAATTGAGCTGTGTCAACAGATTATCAATCATATCCATTCTGTGATTATAATCTTTTTCATACGGTGTTAACGTATCCACATAACCGTCCACACACAAATCTTCATGGTAAATACCATAGCGTTTCGAAAGAAAATAGCGAATATCATCAATAAGTTCAATTGTGTCAGTTTCCTGACGATGAAGGATACGATCAGCACTTTCGACGACAAGTTCATGAAACTCTGGATCATCAATGATTTCTTCCAAATGATTTGCCATGTACTCAGAAGCATATTGCTCCAACCTTGTCGTTGATGTGTCCCATGCGGTTCGCAATATATCATAAATACTGTCTTTCGGCTCTTTTTGCTTTGTGATTGAAATTGAAGCCAAAGACTTCAAACTGCGTTCTTTATCGAGTGAAAGCATGTCTGCAACGTAAATGACGTCTAATGCAAGAAAAGGTGGGATATCGGCTTTGTCTGAATATAGGAATTCGAGAACAATTTCAACAATTTCGCTAGAAAAAGGAAGAGAAACAACTGGTAAACTTTGGTTACCCTCTAAGAAAGGGCCAGTGAACATATCCATAAAGTATTCAGATCTGCAGAGAATTGCCCGATGAACGGGGTAGCGATGAGTCTCAGATTGTAAATAGGCATCATGGAAAGAGCACTGAAGAGGTAAATTTTCAATCGGTTCTGATATCGTTTGCCTGTAGTTTCGAACTATTTCTCTCAAAAAACGACCCATATCCTCTTGTGTATGTATTAATTGGCGCTTTCTCCACTCTGGGGAACGCATCTGTTCTTGGTTACTTTGATAGGTATCGACAAAATCTGTCAAAGAAAATTTCTTGGCAATTGACACCAAAGCGGATGTATCATGCTTGGCTAACAAAGGATGATAATCTAGGTACAAAAACCGTAAAACAGCCTCCAATTCTTTTTCGTTTCTCTTGATAGAAACTTCTTTCTGTTCATCACCTAATTTCAAGAATTTTGCTTTAAAATACGGGCTTTTTGAGGCCAAATAGAATTTATGACCAGGTAAAGATATACTGTTACCAGAAAAAGTAACATCAGAGGTAAAATGAAAAGCAGGATTGGAAAGCAAAGATGTGATATGACTAGCATATGGTTGAGACTCATCCACGGCCTTCGTGATGTTGTAAGACAAAAGCATTTTACGGATGCGATCATTCAATGCACCGTAAAGACAGCGCTCTCCTTGAAAGGTATCACGCTCGCAAATTGCTCCGTTCTCCAATAAATATTTAACAACTGCCAGTTAGTTTCTAGTTAGGAGTTGCGTGCCATCATTTATGACGGTTACATACCCTCTTCATGACCACACAGGCTGGCAAGAACAAGTGGTGAGTAGTCAAAGATATCAACTCGATTAATAGGGACATTGTAGTTTTCAATCATACTAGAGTTACTGTCAGCGCTTGTTTCCATAAACGAAAAGAAACAAATGGAGCCAAAAAATTCTGATGAAAGAGTTCATCTGTATGATCCATTTAACGTACCTTCGAACAACCTCTAAATCGCCTCGGCGGCAAGCTTCACACAATTCTCGAAATTCCTCACTTTCATCGACAGAGAACAGCCCTGAATTGGATGATTTTTTCTCGTCCATAGCTTTCGACCAAAGAGCAAATTTGTTGAAACCTTTCTGTAAAGATTCAGTACCTGATGCTTGCTCAGAAGCATTCATTTCTGTTGAAGGATGTCTTTCAGCAGTCATTCTGATCCTCTTGATGCTAATAAATATTCAAATCTTATAAAAAAGAAATGGGGTTCTCTCAGTAATGTTGTAAACGACACAATTGATGAAATACGAAAAAAATCGTTCAAACAGGCTCAGTTTTCCACAACCTAAAAAATACCTTTGATTGAATAATCTACTAATTTAATCCATGAAGATTATTTCTGAAATTCTGAACAACCGACACTTGCAGTGCGATATTGTGAAGAGGCTTCGTTGGTGCTTTTCGTACACTGCTAGTACCCTGCACAAATCCCAATTCAGGTCTATATTAGAAAGTGATTAGCTATATCTAAAAACAAAAGAAAACAAAACACAAAGTAGAAATGGATGATATCTTTGTGAATGTACGTTCCTCTGGGATAAGTTCTGATCGAAAAATCAATCGCCAATGGACTGTGAGTCAATTAAAGACAAAGCTGGTTCCTGTTGTAGGGATTCCAGAAGTATATCAAATAGTAAAATATGAACCTGCTTCTGTTGCTTCTCAACCACATACATTTTCGAGCGAGGAAGAAAATACCATTTTGTCTCTTCACAATATTGAAGAACTAAGTACGATTATCATCGAAGATACACGCCCTCCTCACTTGCGGCCCAATTATGAGGATCTTTCCGAAGTAGAGAAATATGAGATGTCTCAAGAAGAGTATGAGCGCCGCGATGATTCTGTTTTGGCATGGAAGAAGCGTAATCGATTGGGTCGATTTGATCCTGCCTACGAGGAGACAATGAGCTCAAAGAAGGATTCTTTGGAGCGAGAGCTAAAGGACTTACAGGTGAATATCAATGCTCGCTGCTGTGCAAGTGGAGAACGGTATGGAACGATTCGTTACATTGGGTTTGTCCCTGAAATTTCCAAGAGCTCACTTTGGATCGGCGTCGAATTTGATGAGCCTGTAGGAAAGAATGACGGTTCTGTTCAAGGAAAGCGTTATTTCACTACAAGGAACAAGCACGGTTCTTTTTTGAAACCTACGGATGTAGAGGTTGGCGATTTCCCTGAGGAGGATATTTTAGCCGACCTTTAGTTAGGAACTTTAGATTATGCATATAGATTTCAGAAGATTTTGAATGAATTTATGATGATACAAAACATTGTTAGAACAACATGAATGTTTCTGCTACAATTCAAAGACCGATCCCCAATACATTGCTTTTACAATTAGAAAAACTGTTTCCTACTATCTGGCTTTATTTTTTACTGAATAAATATATAAAAAGTAACTATATACGTTTTTCAAAGTAGCTCTCCAATATTTCATGATTCCTATAGGAAACTTGCTGTCAGTAGCATGCATACATGGTAAAACATCCTATCTTAAAAAATACCGTTTTCATGATTATTTTTGGGCTATATCTTTATTTTTTAAAGAAATTTAATCTTTTACATTCATAGACTACTCAAACACATCTCATTCTAACCTCCTAAGCACTCTCGTGTAAAATGAAAAAAAACGATGAAACCACTACGTTTGCTTCACCCATAACTGAAGAATCTGACACGAGAAAGGGATTCAATGCAGCCTTTGTTCCTCCTTCTATAGATACTACAACTCCCGAAAAAAGCAACTACTTTCATACAACGATTGCACCTGATGTCCCCAAAGATCAACCTTTCCGCTTAGGTGTAGATGAAGCAGGTCGTGGTCCTGTTTTGGGTCCCATGGTTTATGCAGTCGCATATTGTCCCGTCGATTTTGACCTAACACATTTTGGGTTTGCAGACAGTAAAACATTGACTTCGGTCAAGCGCTCCCAACTCTTGCAAGATATTTGCAACACGGAGGATGAGCTTGGTCGTCATGTTGGCTGGTCCGTTCAAAGTATCTCTGCCCAGGAGCTGGCTGCCGGGATGCTGCGCCTGCACAACAAGTACAATCTCAATTCCCAGGCACACGACACCACCATGGATCTAATTCAAAAGGTTTATGATTCAGGTGTTCGAGTAACTGAAATTTACGTGGATACGGTGGGTCCTCCAGACACATATCAACAGAAACTTCAAGCACGTTTTCCTCAAGCAAAAGTGAAGGTAACGAAGAAAGCAGATTCTCTATTCCCTATTGTGTCTCTAGCATCTATTTGTGCGAAAGTAACTCGTGATATTCAACTCGAACTTGTCCGATATCTTTTACAGACTCAAGATTGGGGTTCTGGTTATTCGGCCGACGCGAGGACAACGAAATGGCTACGCTCCTCAGTTCATCCTGTATTTGGCTGGAAAGGAGATATTGTACGCTACTCATGGCAAACGGCTCGTGACATTCTTGAGGTGGCTTCTTCGAAAACTTCATCTCCATCTTTTGTTGATGTCGACTGGCATGAAGAAACCTCTGCTCCTCTTAATTTTACAATTCGTAAACCAAGCACCAAAAACCGTTCATGGTTTGGAACAGACTTTGTTTTCTAATAATCGACTTTCAATCGTTTATATACTCTTCTTTTGAATCATTCCCTGTTTTGTTTTCCCTCAGATCTTTTCACTACTAATTTATTTCTTTTTATGCTTACCTTCCATTGAGAATAAATTTCATTTTGCATCCTATAGCACTTTCTTTTGTTTACAAATTAACGATGCGCTTTAGTTCGTTGAACACTTCACCACCACTTTTCCGCGGATTATAATCTGCAGTTAACCAAGCACTCCGTCTCATAGAAATTCACTTTTGTTTCGGTTTTTCTTATAGTTCATTATGACTGGTATGAGAATCATCCTCGTTGGTCCCCCCGGTGCCGGTAAGGGTACCCAAGCTCCCAATATCCAAAAGAAGTATGGCATTGCTCATCTTGCTACCGGTGACATGTTGCGCTCCCAAGTTGCTCGCGGCACTGATCTTGGTAAGGAAGCTAAGCAAATCATGGATCAAGGTGGTCTTGTCAGCGATGATATCGTTGCTGGTATGATTCGCGATGAGTTCATGAACAATCCCGCCTGTAAGAACGGATTCATCCTTGATGGTTTCCCTCGTACCGTTGTCCAAGCTGAGAAGCTTGATGGCTTGCTTAAGGATTTGAAGCTTGAATTAAATGCTGTTCTTGAATTACAAGTTGATGATGAATTGCTAGTCCGTCGTATTACCGGTCGTCTCGTTCATCCTGCCTCTGGTCGCAGTTACCATACTGAATTCAACCCTCCTAAGGTCCCCATGAAGGACGATATTACCGGTGAGTCTCTCGTACAACGTTCCGATGACAATGCTGATGCTTTACGCAAGCGTTTGGTTACTTACCATGATCAAACCGCTCCTGTTGTTGATTACTATAAGAAGGAAGACAAGTGGCATCCTATTCAAGCCGCTCAAAAGCCTGAAGAAGTCTGGCAACAAATTGTTGAAATTCTTGAAAAGTCCTCTTAAGTGTATAGTTTACTCAAGAATTTTCCTATGAACAAGTTTTCAGTTCTTAGGGTTTCAATTTTGCTTCAAATAGACATTGTAAGAACCATTCATGAAGTGTTTTCGTTCATAGACGTGTTCTTTCAATAAACTTCTTTTGTTTTTACAATATAATCTAAAAGAACAAAACTGTAGACCAACAAACAAGTATTTAGATTTATTAAAAAATTATCACAAAAAAATTAGAAAGTAAAAAAGCCATCTTATAGATTATTCCATTTCCTGCTTTACCGCTTTCGGAGGTGTTGTGTCAACCGATTCATCTCTTTCCTTTCGCTTTCCGATAGCTTGGAGGATTCCTTGGACATCTATTCCTTGTAAGAGACTTTGAACATCTGCTTGTGGAGGGTTTACACTTGTTTTCTGCTTTGCTTGACTCTCGAATGACGGCTGTAATTGAGGAGCAGCTCCTGAGCTAGATGAGACCTTCGCGTCCTTTGATTGTTCTAACTCTTGCAAGCACGTGGCATGACAAATTCGACCATCCTTTTCCACAGCGTTCATAAATACCCACATCTCCGCTTCTTCATGCCAGACACTACGGAATTTTTCCTGGCAAACTGGACAAGGCTGAGAGGCAGCTATCGGGTCAAGAGGAGTCAATACATACTGTGAACGTATAGACTCCAGTTGCTTTTGTTTTTGTTCTTCCAGTTCGGCAGCAGTTTCTGTTACTAAATCCTCCTTTTCATCATTATGAATCCATTCTTCCTCAGTAATAAACCAGCACCTGTTGATGCCGTGCAAGCTACTTTCACGAATTCGTTTGTTAATTCTAAAATGCCAATCAAAATGCTGGTCCAATTCTTTTCTGCTTTCAGGATCATTAGCATATCTGCGACCGCAATTGGCACATTGATTGGGATATGAATTATATAAAAGAGTTGCTAATTCGGGATGTGGAGTTGATAAAGAGGCTTTTGACAAGTCAATTTCGGAAATAGGAGATACAAAATTGGATGAAGTACTGAGGGTAGGAGGAGGAGAACCTTTTGGTGATACTAGTCCTGCCGCTTGTAAATTGGCAAACAAAGAGTTGATACTCTCAGACTCTTCTCTGGTTAAATTATTCGCAGGATTACTAGCACCGCCGAACATGGAAGAAGCCAATGGAGGAGGAGAAACGGAAGAATTTGAAACTTGAGGACGATATGGGTATGCTGGTTGAGGCGGAATGATAGGTGTAGAAGCATAACTGGCGGGCGCGATATTATGGGATGCATGAGAGAACATATCGGGCGTTTGAGTGACAGGAAAAGTAGTAGGAGGCTGTGAATTTGGAAATGATGGAGCAAGGGGTTGAGGAGGAGGCTTAGGAGTTTCCAAACTTGTAAGTTGCTTTTTGATAACCAACAGTTGGTCATAAGGGAGATTGGAGGTAGACAAAACCTGTTGCAATTGAGAAAGTATTTCAACCCGCTTCTTTGCTAGACCATCAAGAGGGTTCCGCATACATCTGGCCTGCTCAGTGATAATCATACGAGCAACGTCAGCAAGTAGATTTTCGAGAGTTAAGACCTTGCTAACGGGAGCTGGGACTCCTGAACTAGGTAGATCAAGGGCTGGAGAGCCTGAAGAAGAGACTGGATATGAAGGTCCATAAGAGCTCCGCATGTTAGGGCCAGCGTACGCAGGATTAGGTGGGACAGACAAAAGCGGACTTTGGTGACGTAGGAAGGAAGATTTATACTTTAAAAGGGCATTTTCAATTTTTCCTGTTACAGATGGAGGGAATACAGGATCGGGAGAACTTGAATTAGGGGAACGCTGTTTCCAGGTAGCTAATAATTGATCCAACTTCAGTCTTAAAGAAGGCTCAACAACGGTGTAGGCATTCATAAACGTGGTAAAAAGATGACGACCAAAAAATAATGTGTAAGGGTATCCTATGTTTTTTGAGATAGAATCCAAAAGATACAGGGCAGGCAATTTGCATGACGGGGGGCACTAAGGTCACTAGTTAGTATTCACAACCAGAGAACAGATATCCGCCTGGAAAAGCTCACTTTTTGTATATGTTTTTCGAGGGCATTCACGACACTCAACGCAAAAGGTTCATTTTCTTGGGCAACATAGGTCAAAGTATGGATTATAGGCTTACTATTAAATGTCAAATCTTCTAAAGCGCTCGAATAATCCACTTCAATCAAATCCATTTTTCCAATCAAAATTGTGTTCTTTTTTATATCTGGTAATAAGCAATCACTATCTAACAAGAGTGATAAATTATTATTTAGATACTTTATAATAAATTAAAACTCTGTTTTTTTCTTTTTTATATACAAAAAAAAGCAATATTGTAAGAGGAATAAACTATTAAATTTAAAAAACACTGGCTACACGATTAAGCAAACTGCAAGACAAGCAACAAAAGAGAACTAGATTACAACGTAAACGGACGAAAAGTTTGGTGCACTGTTTAATTACAAAGCGCCAAATCCTTTTTCAACAACAAAACAAATGAAAGAATATGCGAAGAATAAGTAGCTGTTGCCATGATCGAAGCTATATATATTCCTATATAAGGAGGAGCGCTTGTATTTCCTTAAATATATTTGAGTAGTCTAAAGTAATTACCCAAAATTATGAACAAAACAAAGGTATACAAATAAGAAGCATGGTATTTGTGGGAATAATGGAATGCTAAGAAAGAATACTCCCTAATGAAGCGATCACTAGTTACATATGAAGTGGAATTTATCATGATTACTCGAAAGAACGGTTCTTCCATGCTACTACTATTTCGTCTATTTAGTAGACATCAAAGTCGTACTGTATTAATCATTATCAAAATTTCCCCAAAGTTTGTTCAGTTTTAATAAGCCTTATGTTTCTATTTTGTGTGTGCTTGAGCCAAAGTTAATATTGGGAAGGTTTAGCATTCTTCTTTCAATGTTTTTGTTTACTTACCATATAAACAAATAGGCATCAGCAACCATAATTCTCCCACATGCTTCCTTGGCTAAGTGTTTTATTGCTTGTCATATAGAATTTTAAGAAAGGAAAAGAGATTTTGCTTTCATTTGTTCTATAAAGGCGAAATAAAGCATACAATTTATTACTGACTAGCCAAGAATGCCGAAGGGAAAGGAGGATACCAAAGAGATTGAAGGACGTAGCCATGATCTTTCCAGAATTCTTGAAAAAGAGAAGGATATGAACAACCTTACGTCCCAGATCAAGTACCTTGAATATTTGGTAAAGGAACAGCAGAAACAAATTGCTTCTTCAGCTATTGAAGTTCAGAAAAAGGGAGATCAAGTGCGGGATCTACGAAAGAAACTAACGTTAGAGAAGAATCTATTTTCTTCCTCGCCAAGCATTTACTCTCCTGAACATCTTCTGCCAAAAAGCTTGTCAGCTGAAATCAAAGGAGCGGCACCAAAAAGTTGTGAGTCGAGAGGCATTGAACCAGTAGCCTCTTACGATCTGGAGAAATTTCGAAAAGACGGAAACTACCTTGATTCCAAAGTTCACGGCAAACATCCAATTGGTGAATTGGACGAATCATTCGATAACACTCCCAGGCCACCACTTGTCCTCAACAAATACAAGTCAAATCTACGACTGAACTCACAAAACGTATCGTCTGCTTGGGTTCCCGACCATTCAGTCGACCCCTTCAGTCTTGGTCCTCCCTTTTTGCAACCCCATACGGCTTCTTCACAAGCATTTTATGGCAGTCAGTTTTTTAAGAAGGGTTTGGAAAATCCAGTTCGCCTATCTGATAATGCTTGCAATCAGGAACTTCCGAACAACGGCATTCGTAAAGGGACAGAGATGTCAGAAACCAGTTCCCAAAATTACAAATGGAAGGTATGATCTTAGCATAACACAAAAAATTCTAACAAAACAGTCTGAAATTGAGCAAATTATCTTCAGAAACGATCAGTCGGCGTCCTTGTATCTGCAGCAAAAATTGAAGTCAAATGACCAAAATATGAAGCATGCGCTTATTCAGTGCATACTTCCCCTGTCATTTACACTTATGACAAACAAATTTGGCAACTTTTTGATACAAAAATGCCTTGAACAGTGTGATGAACGACAGCTGGAGGGATTTGCTCAACAGCTAAAAGCCCATATCACCGAACTTTCAACGAACGCATTTGGCTCTCACGTTGTTCAAAAGTCATTTGAGATCTATCCAGAAAATTTTGCAGCTTCCTTAATTGATCAATTAATGGAGCAGTTGCCAGAGACTTTAATGCAGAGACACTCATGCCACGTATGGCAAAAGTTTTTGGAGACTAGAAGAAAGTCATGTGCATTAGGGACAATGGATACATTCAATAAAAAACTAACTGGAAATTGGACTCAAGTTGCTACGAGCGAAATGGGCAGTTTAGTTGTGCAAACAATTTTTGAAAACTGTAAAGAACAAGAAAAGGTATGCGGTAATATTTTACATTCAGTATTAACAATTGCAGCGCCCTTGTCTTAATGAAATCATTCAAAATACTCGTTCCATTATCAGCGGACAATGGGGAAACTGGGTGATTCAACACATCATTGAGCATGGAAGTGAGGATGATCAGGAGAGAGTGTTTTTGGATATTCTTCAGAATGCAGAATTTTACAGTACAAATCAATATGCATCAAAGGTGGTTGAACGTGCGTTACGAGTGAACAATAGGACCTTTTTTAATGATTACATTGTCCTAATCACACAACCGCAAGATGGATGGGGAAGAATCTTGTTGATGGATATAGCTTCTAGCCAATATGGAAACTATATTGTCCAATATTTGTTACACGCTGCTACATCGTCCCAAAAGCGATTACTAGCAGAGCTTCTCAAAAAGCATATGGTATCTCTTCGCGGGCATAAACATGGACAAAAGATTGCGCTCTTGGTGGAAAAAACAAAGACATAAAAATGACTGGTTTCCTTAACATCCGGTTACTGAGAAAGAACAAATTCCTAATTCCGATGAGGACTAATCTACCTAGATTTTTGCGCTTATTCCGTCCATTGGAATCTTCAATTTGTTTGGATATTGAAAGAATGGGAATTTTTTATATCTTACCCTCTTGAGGAGGGACATAATCTTCGTCGTCTTCTTCATTCTCTAAATCCTCGTCTTCTTGGAGGGCTTTGGAAAAATCTATCTTTTTATTCCGTGTTCTGGAAGAAGAAGTAATGTTGGTGGGATCGATAGCTGTTAAATCTTCTGGTTCTATAGTTTCGGAATTAGAAAGTAAGCTCATGGACTCATTGCAAGACACTGTTTTTGCCCTAACTAAAACTTACCATCGGCAATTCCTTCTTCATCTTCTTCCATTGATTCTTCAGAAAGTTCCCCTTCGGATGAACTCATTTCTTCAAAATCACCATCGTCTTCTACATCTTCGATATCTGGAATAAAGTCCTCCGTGACTCTTCCCTTCCCTTTACTATTTTTTTGTTAAAAGATTATCGAAGAGTTTTTGGCTTACATGTCAGCTTTTTCATTATTCTCTGGCATTTTTGTATTCTCGTAGGTACAGCGTTTTTGGTAGGAAGTAATAATACTACGGTAAATAAAAGGCAAGCCTGCCGAAAAGTGAATTTTTAGAAAAGATTTTTTTGCTTGTTCATCTTTCTAGTCATGAAAATAAGTTTATTATTATCCTGGATAATATTCGTATGTGGTTTTGTTGTTTATTCTTCATCAAAATTGGTAAGCAATTCCTAGTCTAACTTGAATGGAAGACTTGAATTACCAAGTCAATATAACAAAAGTATGGGTAAGCTTCAAAATGAAAATTTACTGCTGGCTCTTTTCTTTCACAGTATTTGCTGTTTCCTACTATTTGTGAGATGACACAAGCGCGCGACTTGAACAGAATAAGCAATAACCCATATTGTTATCCATGTTAACCATATGATAGAATGATTTTCCAATCTAAACAAAGTATGAAACGCATTATACGCATTGCTTATGAACTGCCATCTTTCCTATAGTGTGTAAACAAATAGCTCATAAAATGACAACGAAATTCTAAAGGAATTGATACTGCGTTCAAGCGAAACAAATTCTCCAGTCGTTTTCTTTTAAATAATATAAATTTTCAGATGAAAATAATGAAAAACAAGCAGAGCACAATGCGTTCGTTTAGAAATACTTTAAATCATCACTGACGTAGAAATCGCTGTGTCCTATATCAGATGTACTATAACATAGATCGTTATTAAATAAAACCTGTAGTCAATAGAATAACTCGGTCGGTATTCAGTAAGTAATTATTTGCTTGTATTTAGAAACTCACTTTTCCTTTTTGTTTGTTTATTTACCAGAACATGTTTTTCTCGTGTGACAAAAGAAAGTAATGACACCGTCATATAAATAATAAACAGTATAAGTAGAATTCACCTTCAAGAAACATATTTCAACATAATTGCATTAGAAGAATTAAGCACTGACAATCCCTGTTACAAATCTCTCATTTTTGCGCTTAAAACGAAGTAAGAGTTCGCATCTGCTCCGTTTGTAGTTCATACGTACATTCAGAAAAGCAGGATTGAAGAACATGATTGAAAGCAAAGGCAAAAGCAAAATCCCGTCTCATCTTTCTAAGGGTAAAGAGGAAGACAGACAGTCTGCCCAGTTATCAGATTATGATGTATATCCGAAAATACAAAATATGTCCTTCCAACGGTTAGATAAAGAAAATCCTAATTATTTAAAAAAATTCCAATGTAACGTTTCTCCTCGCTCTACGACAGGAGAGAATTCAGCTGAAACAATTAAGTCGGTACCTAACAACTTCAGCCTTTTTGGAATGGTTAAATCAATGTTTAATACCGTAGGCTGTTGCCTTTTGGGTCAATATGAAGAGGAAGCATGGGATGAGTTCGTCGACGAGTCTGTTGCCTACAAAAAGTATGACCTAACGTCAACAGGGGAAATCAAACTTCCTTCCTTCCCTGTCCGCGAAGTTCCCTACTTTCAGCACAATGTTCCATATGATGGCTATCTGAGTCCTCTCAGTTACCAAGGTTGGATTCGTCATCTTTCTCAAAACGCAGGTGTAGAAGTCAGTTGGAAGAAAACGTATTGCACCGTTATGAATCCTTTTTCTAACGGAATGATCTACACCATCCCTCATAACGATGGCAGAATTCTACTAGAGTCCTGCTACTGTGAGAAAAATTTGGGCATGTCCACTTCACCAAGGATTATGGAGTTCATGCCATATAGGCCCCTTGTAAAGTTCAATTGTTCCAAATTATTCAATTCCTTCGAAAACTATTTTCGAGAACTTACGGAATTCTTGCTGAACGGACGCGCACCCCTCAACGTCTTGGTTCATCACATAATGCTCTATCACTATTATCCCACTTCTATGAAGGATGTTTTGTGGAAAGCTGTCGAAGTATACTTGGATATTCACTGCACCGAGGATCGTTATTGCAGAGTTCAAGTAGAGGCAGCTAAACGTAGACTAGGTGACATTCGACTTTATTTGGTGTACCCTCGTGATATTTACAAATTTACAAATTCCAAAGATTGGATCGCAGTCGCTACACGAGGGTTCATGTCTTATATTCAAACAAGGAACCCTTTATGTCTAGGAAGTATTCCAGTCAACAACAAGAGCATTTCCGAACTTCTTTCTTATACGACAAGTACAGATTGCATGGCTTGGCTATCCTTACTTATCTGTGCAGGGTCTAACGGGTCTCGTTTCCCACTGCATAAGTACATCAATACGAAGACACGAATCATGAAAAGTAAAACCTCAATAACGGACTTCTTGTTTTCTGATGAAGACCTGCTTTTCTTCCAAGATAAAGAATCCATCACCGAATTCAAACCTTTACAACAGCAACTTTTAAGGGAACTAGCAGATTGTGATGCTCATACACAGGCCCTTCATGATTCTAGTATTACTCGCGCAGTTGATGCATCCAAGCACCAAATGAAGGGAATTAAATTTTATGAGCAAGAAAAAACAATAGAAGAAACGAAAGAAACTCACGGCGAACTTCAAAGCAAGCGCCAACAACTTACAAAACAATTGGAACCCCGTCAGCCACAATCTCAAATTAATCGTATCTCTTCTTACAGCAGCACCATTACTCAAAAGGGTTATTTGACACCGCTGCTTATAACAAGGGTCTTCGTTCAATAAACAAGGCACCGGCCTTCACTTACTCGATATCGTAACTATTTGTCTTTTCAGTTTCTTTGTTGTATAGAAAGCACAACCTTCCTTCATTATTCCTTTACGGCCCCTCTGCATCCAAATGAAAATTATTGAACACATCCATCCTTCGAGTTACCAAGCATAAAGCTTGTATCTGTTCTATTAATTCCTATTTTTGACTCTACCATTGGTTTTAGCCAAAACTGGTTGATATTTAGATGACATTAAAAATAAAATTTTTAGAATTCGAAGATTTTCTTATTATTTAGTACGTACAAGATCCGTCTCACACAATCAAAATTAGTCTTAGTTAAGATTAAGCTAACTACTTAAATAGCACACAACCATTAAAATCTCAGAATAGCATATGGCCTCTAATGGTGGTGATAGAGGGAGGCCATTTCATCAAGGTCCTACACATCCATTTACACTTCTATAAAGAAGATACAAACGGAGCGAGATAGAGCACCTGATTAGGGCGCTCAAACCTTAGTTTTAGATACTCATTCATCATTTGATTTTAGTTGTGTAAAGAATCAGAGAGTTGGAATAACGCAAAATATAATTTTTTTTAGCAGTCACAACTTTACAGACTTCTAGCTTCTAGCTCTCTTGCTTAAGTAAATAAAAATTAACCTATTGAATAATATATATAATGTTTGAAATGTAATAATTGCTCGGTTGAAATATGTTACAGTTACTTTTATTATTCTATGCTTGTAAATAAGAAAAACCCAGATTTCCAAAATACCATTCATACCATTTTAATACTTAAATTCATCTTCCAGAGCTAACCTTGGAACGATGTTCATACTTAGAAGTTCTTGAAATAACAACTTCGCTGCATAAGGAATAGTCATTTTGACCACGTTTTTAGTGCTTTGACAACTGTTGCACCATCCTCTGTAACCCAAAAGTCCACATTCACCGCAAACATCAACATCACAAGCATCAGAGGAAAGCATCAGTCGTTCCAAAAGCAATTGAGAGGCACCGTATGCAATTAAACAATCACGTTCCATTTCACCCAAACGTAAACCACCATCACGAGAACGTCCTTCAGTTGGTTGTCGCGTCAGCACCGCCCGCGGGCCACGCGCTCGTGCATGCATTTTATCCAAAACCATGTGTTTTAGTTTCTGATAGTAAATAGGCCCAAAGAAAATATACGCTTCTAGAGGTTCTCCTGTAATTCCTGAAGTTAACATATCTTTACCTGAGTAGCTAAATCCGCGTTCAACTAGAACACGACTTGCTTCTTCAACCTTTGTTCCCCCAAAACAGGTTCCATATTCCAAAGTACCACGCATTACACCTGCCTTTCCTGACAATAACTCAATCATTTTACCGACAGTCATTCGAGAAGGAAAACCATGTGGATTCATGATGATATCAGGACAGACACCCTGGTCATTAAAAGGCATGTCCTCCTGTTGGACAATAATACCACAAACACCCTTTTGACCGTGACGAGATGAGAATTTATCACCAAGCTCTGGTCGTCGAGTCTGTCGCATTAAAACTTTGATTAAAGTCTGATCAGAGTCCGTAGTAGTAAGCATAACTTTATCGACATAGGATGGTTCAGGAGCTTTGTAAGTCATTGGGGTAGGTTTGAATCCAGATTCTACCGTCTGAGATTGTCCTAAAGCAATAGAATTATCCAAAGCGTTGGTGGGAGTCTGTTTATTAACATACACCTGACCATTCTGAACTGGAGAACCAACAGCTGCAAGGCCATCATCTTCTATAATTTTATGCTTCCAAATAACCTCACCAGTTTCTGGATCTCTTAACGGATCACCAATGCGATCGTGTGTTCCATTTGGATACTTACGAACTAGAACTGAATGCTTGTGAAGGACTTGACAGCGACCAAAACCACGGTCCATAGAAGCTTTATTCATTACCAAAGCATCCTCAATATCATATCCCGAATAACTCATAATGGCAACGGTAGCATTTTGGCCAGCAGGTAACTTGTCATATCCAATTAATTCAATCGTCTTCGTTTTTACCATTGGTTGCTGGGGATAAACCATCAAATAGAGTAGTGTATCAATCCGCTGTAATTGGTTATATCCGATAGCACCGATAGCTTGCTTACCCATTGCGCATTGGTAAGTATTACGAGGAGATTGGTTATGATGAGGATAAGGAATAAGTCCAGCAACAGCACCAAGTACAGTAAATGGTTCAATCTCCAGATGAGTCGTTTCTGGTGTGACGTCTTTTTCATATATACAGATTAAGCTGTCATTTTCTTCATTTACATCAACGTATTCAACTAGGCCTTCTTTCAGGAAGTCTTCAAACGACCATTTTCCTTCCTTCAAGAATTTGATGTGTTCCGAGGTGACTTTAGGGTAACCATTTTGTACAATAATGAGCGGACGACAAATTCGACCACCATCAGTAGATATAAAAACGGCTCGTTGATGAGTATTAATAAAGACACCGACAAAAGGCGAGATTTTGCCAGAACGACGCAAGCGTCGGAAAGACGATACAAACAATGTTGGATATTTGGAGATACCTAGAATCATACCATTTAAATAAACTAGGTATGTGCCGCTACTATGTAATTCGCGTCCAGTGACAACATGAATATCTTCAACACCAAATGCATAAGCTAAACGAATAATGGGTTCTTCTTCCTCATCTGTAGTAATATGAGTCATAAGAGCCAAGTTTTTAACTAAACCACAAGCTTCACCTTCAGGGGTATCTGAAGTGCAAAGCATACCATACTGTGAAGGCTGTAACGAACGAGGCCCTGAAACCTTTCTTGTTTTTTCAAATTGACTGGTTATCCGTGTCATCATACCCAAAGCACTAATGAAACTGAGACGTGATAAAACATGTGTGACACCAGCACGTTCCATTTTGAAACGTTTAAGAGACCAGTTTCCCGTAGATAAAGCACGAACCATACCTTGCGTAATTTGATCGCCGTGTACAGACAATTGATTGTAAGCATCAAATTCTTGCGTTCTGTGAGGTTTCTTTAAAACTTTGTCTATGTTTAGCTTCATATCACTATTAAATTTTTTGAAGAGATCTTCAAAAAGTAATGCAAGTAGTTGACCGGCCAATTCTAGACGTTTATTTCCTACATAATCACGATCATCAACTAAAGTAGGGTCAACCATAGAAATCAAAACACGACGAGTCATAACAGCGATATAAACAGCTTTAGGGTGAAAGTCTAAGTTGGAAACATTGATATGAGCAAGAACCACAGCAGCAAGGACCTCTAAAGCTTCTTCATGAGAGGGTAATCGAGCTGCACCAGCACGTCGGTTTACTTTAACACGAGCTCCAATGTATTCCAAAGCCTGCTGAGTAGTGAAAATATTAAGTTTAGCACACTCTTCAACACTAGGAGCAAATAAATCTTGGTATGATGCCTCATTACCGGCGACCAGCTCAAAAATTTCCTGATCTGATTGCAAGCCCATTGCTTTTAACACAGCAACAATCGGAATATCATCAGCAACACTGTTGTGTTTCAAATACAGCTTCCCATTTTTATGAACAACATAAGTTTTAGATTTTCGCTCATGTGTAGAAGAAGTTACTGAGGCCTGGAACATTCCCTTTTTCGGTTCAGCTTCCACAATAATACGATTCTTGGATAATTGTTCTTGAACCAAAATAACCTTTTCAGTACCTTTTACGACGAAATAACCACCTGGATCCAAGGGGCATTCGTTCAAAGTGGCCATCTCCGGTTCTGTTTTTCCGTGTAAGATACATTTATTACTTCGCAGCATGACAGGCATTCTTCCAATGGGAACATTTCTTCTACGGACAACTTGTTTGCCTCTAGTATATTCAACATCAACGTAAATGTTCGCACCGTAAGTTAAGTCTCGAAGACGGCATTCATGGGGACTAATGGAAGCTTGAATCGCATCGGCATCAGTACGTACAGGAGCGCCGACCCGAATATCGAGGTATTTTAAATAAAACCATGGTTCGACATCTGAAGTGACTTTCTGGTTTGCTTGGACAATTTTTTTTAAATCGACATCGACAAAGTAATTATAAGAGTCTAAATGTTGCTTTACAAGACCTTTAATCTTCAAAAATGCAGGTAAAAGTTGCCATTTATCTTCAATTGTAGGTACAGGATCCGTAAGCTTTTTTCCTTTATAATCGGGCTCTAAAAGAGCAGAAAAACTTTTATCGCCTTCAATCGGTCCTGTATTTGAATTCAAATCTTTTTTTCCAGACTCCTGCGACGATTTCAACCCCATTGAATTGCTGGTATTAGTAATGGTGGACGGCAAGATTGCTTCGTCTAGCAGGAAGAATCCACAATGACTCAAGGGGTCGAGAATCTTAAAAGAAACTAAAATATTAACTTAGATAGTCGCGTTTTATTTTTTCTCGGCTCATTAAAATATATTTATAGGTAATAAATGAAGAGGAATCGTTTGTGCCACAGTGATTACAAATTCGCAAAGCAAAACATGGAGTTCATTTTAAATCAAAAAGGGCAAAATTGAGTCATTTTATTTATTATATTGTCTTGAAAAGACAATAACAATTAAAAAAGAAATCAAAGAACAAAGGTCTAAAATAATTGTAATCAGAAAAAGGAATAAAATTTAAACTGACAAGAGTACCTTGGAAGCAAATTTATAAAGGACATTTAAGCTCCTCAACAAAAATGGGTTTGCTGATCAAAATCCTAATGCTTTAAGTCAATTCTAAATCTATGAAAAGAGGGGAATCGAATATGGTCGGTCAAGAGGTAAGTAATTTAGTCCAATTGGATACCAGCGTATTCGTCGTAACCACATGCCAAGTTGAGATTTTGAAGGGCTTGAGTAGCGGCACCCTTAAGCAAATTGTCAATGGTAACCACGATAACAGCTCTCTTGCCTCCAGAATGAACACCAAAGCCACCGACAGAAACGTGATTCTTGAAAGAGATATCCTTTACAAGGGGGACATCACCCTGAACATTAATCAATGGTTCGTCGGCATAGCGCTCTTGGTAGAGGTTACGCAATTCACGAGAAGTAATAGACTTATTAAGGGGAACATTGAGAGTAAGAGTAATTCCTTGGAACCATGAAGCAACGTGAGGGACGAAGGCCACGGGTTGGTTCAAATGGTGAGAAATTTCGCGTTCGTGGATGTGATCAGTCAAGGAATAAGGAATTAAGTTATTAGTCAAAACGTTAAGGTCGTTCTTGGGGGAAGGCTTGGTGCCAGCACCAGAGTAGCCAGAGACACCGAAAATGGAGGGTTGTCCACCAATGAAAGACAAGATAGGAGCTAAACCAACCTGGGAACCGGTAGCATAGCATCCGGGATTGGAAATGCGTTTAGAGTTACGCAAAGCAACACGATCGTTCAACTCTGGAAGACCATAGTTCCAGTTGTTCTCAAATCGGTAATCAGCGCTAAGATCTACAATCACGCTCTTACCATTAGCAGAAGTTAATGCATCAACGTAAGGTTTGCAAACGCCGTTGGGCAAAGCCATTACCCAAGCGTCAACTTCGCCTTCTTCTTCCAATTTCTTAACATCATCAACGGAAAGATTTACATAGTGAATTTCCTTCTTACTGTAACCAGGTAATTTGGTACCCTTGAGCTCACGAGAAGAAACGTGAGAAAGCTCAAAATGGGGGTGAGTATTGATCAAACTAATCAAATTTTTTCCAGTATGGCCACGAGCACCCAATAGAACAATCTTAGAAGGCTTAGAAGAGACAGCCTTTAAAGGCTTATGAATCTGCTGAGCTTCTACCGAATAGAAGCGTTTAGCAACGTTAGAAACGAATGGGCGAATCATTTTATTAGAATTCCAACGAGAAAACGTAGAAAAAGAACGCTTTTGAGCGGTATTAGGGGGATTGGGAGGTGTGGCAGAGTTGGTGGTTGTTTTAGGGTTGGCCTCGGCAAGGTTTGAGGATAAGCAGGCAGAAGCGAAGGGCTGATCAGATTTGATAAAATTAGAAATTGTATTCAAATCTTTTGCTCCATACCAAAAATAATAAAGATTATTGGCAAAAAGGGTGCCTTCACTTTTGGCAAAGAACCATTCCAAATTCTTGGTAGAGGGATGAAGACGCCAGAGCAAAGATGGAAAATCTGTACGTAAAGTAGAAAGAAGACTATCAACAACATTGTTGAGCCAGTTGCGGTCATAAGCACCAAAAGCAGCTAAGACTGGTAATTCAGGATTGGAGAGATCGACAACAGCGATCGATTCGTTATAGGAATCGCTGTAGACGCGAAGTTTAGCATTGGCAAAAGATTTCTTGAAGTCTTCGACGCTAGCATAGGTAGATGGGAGAGCATTGTGATGTAAAATCAAATCTTCCAAAGCCTTACTGGGGAGGGAATCCAAAGAATCAGCGTGATTGATTTTGAAGCCACGGCAGATCATTGTACCAGCACCAGATTCAGTGAAGAGTTCTTTTTGGAGGTCCTTCGTACTGATGATGGCTACTGAAGAAGTACGAGGAAGAGTATCAAGTAACTCTTTAATTTCTCTGATTTTGAGTTTGGTACCATACTTGACCCAAGGCTCTTTCATGAGGTCGTTATACTCGCGATCTAAATAGATACTGCTAATCTTCTTTTTTGTGACACCGTGGATTAAACCACCCTTTTCGTTCAAGTAAACAACCTTCAATGGTTTCAAGACGCGGGCTAGCTCACCAGCGGTAATGTCAGCGTTTACATTCAATGTTTGTCCGGAAGCAGTTTCGGCCATAGAAGTCAAGATGGGCAAAGTTCCAGCTCGGATGCTGTGTTCGATGGGAGCCTTATTAACGTTGACAATTTTACCAACATAATTGTACTTTTCCTTGTCCAGATATTCGGCTTGAAAAACACCTCCGATGATAGGACGAGCTCGTGTACCCAAACGCTCCAAAGCTTCCACAAGTTTGGCGTTTTCTTCTAAAAAGACTTTGCGAGCGACGGCCAATGTCTCGGCGTCGGTGATGCGAATACCGTCGCTGTATTGGGCTTCAATGCCACGGCTAGCTAGAATTTTGTTTAACTGAGGGCCTGCACCGTGAACAACGATAGGATAGAGACCGACATGGTTCAAAAAGGCAAGACTTTGGGCGAGTGTGTCCAATTCATCGGTAAGAATGGCACCACCGACCTTAATAATGGCAAAACGCTGGGCTTCAAACGAGGTAAAGTATCTCAAGTACTGCTCAACCTCACGGCGGCTGCCAACAGAAGACAAAATACGAACAATGGCATCCCGATCCTGTTGAATGTATTTTGGTGTAGGGACAAACGGCTGGGACTGTCCAACTGCCAAATTGCTTTGTTGACGACGAGAAAGCACAGTAGGACGCAAATAAGCACTTCCCTTTAAAATTTGGCGCTTCATCAAGCCCTTGAGAGCAGATGACTTGGCAGCTTGCTGCAGTTGTACAAGCATTGCCGCGAATCTGTCTTTGGTGGTGGTGGTTTGGAGAATTGGGTGATGGATGCCTTTTATCTTGTGTCAAACGTGCATGAGATGAATGATGAAAATCGTATAAAAATTTTTTACACTGATAAATAAAAGTTTATAAGAACTAGTAAGAAAAAAAAAAGAAACATTCGTTGAACAATGTGGAAAATAAAAATTTATTGAATGAGCCCTTTTCGTCAGCTCTTCCTGTTGCACTGTGTAGCTACTATGTTAGTTGTATACATAAAAAAATAAAGTAAAAACTGAAGAAAAAAGAGTCGGAAGGAGAGACGTGTATAAAAGATGTAACGTAAGAAGAGTAAAAATTGCTTGCTCTGTTCATTTTCTTTATTCCAATGGATGCGAAATGAAACCCGTTGGTTCAATGGACGCTTTTGCAAGATGATTGAATTTCAAACAAACGTAATAAAAGAGTTTGCTTCTCCAAGGTAAGCATTGATTGGCATTTTCGGTTTGTTTACTCAATCATGGATTGTCATCCGGTGTATCCTTTGCAGACATTAAAAACAGGAAGAAAACGATATAAAAGAAACTAGAAAAGATTACAAAACTCACAATAATTAAATAAAGAAGGCTACTTGTCTTATTCTAGACTTTTTATCTATTCTTTTATGAATTGATCTATCAACCTACAAAAACCCAAGTGTTTGTAAACAAGCATAAATTTTCAAAATCTCGGATTTATCAAATCATGCATCTTGATCTTTAAGGTAGTAATGTTAGTGGGTTTTATTTATTCATTTTCGTTAAATAAAAAAGAACAAGGAAAAACTGGAAAACAATTTCCGAATCTTCCAAACACTGATGGTATATTAGATCGCTTGGAAGGACCTGAACAACTGCGAAAATTTTTTGTTCTTTCCTGTTTACATTTTTGATTTCTTCTATCTTTGCATTTCCCAATATCGATTCCTTAAAGTAAAAAAAATAAAAGGCGAAAAAAAAAGGTATGGAATAAGCGAGGACGATAAACTTGCAGTGACTTGTTTGATATTTTCACCTATTATATTGAGTGGAATTGTATTCTTGTTGACGTTTTTTTTTCGCATTGCTAGATTCTGCTATTTCTAACGTTTGGTTCAGTAGCTGTTTAATCTTTTAGTTTCTTTTTTTGTTGTTTATTTCAATCACAAAACATAATAGTTTTAAATTATGTCGTTTCAAAAATTCCCCCGTCATTTATTATCAATCCGTGATTTGAGCCGTGAAGAGATGTTAAAGCTCATCACTCGTTCGGCAGAAATCAAGCATGATTACAAAAAAAGATTTGCCAATAGGGAAAACGTTCAGCTCGGTGGACTGGAGGGTCAAAACGTTGCCATGATCTTCAACAAACGCAGTACACGTACTCGTGTCTCTGTCGAAACCGCTGTCAACACCCTTGGCGGGAATTGTATGTTCTTAGGAAAAGATGATATCCAATTGGGTGTCAACGAGTCCTTCTACGATACCTCCAAGGTGATTTCAAGTATGGTTGCAGGTGTGGTTGCTCGTGTGAATAAGTATTCAGATGTCGCCAATTTCGCCCAACATGCTTCTTGTCCCGTCATTAATGGTCTCTGCGACACGTTCCATCCTTTACAAGCTTTAGCGGACTTGCTCACCATCCAAGAGGCCTTTGGCACCTTTAAAAACTTGAAACTTGCCTGGATCGGAGACGCTAACAACGTCTTGCATGATCTGATGATCGCTTGTGCAAAGGCTGGTATCGACACAACCATCGCAAATCCAAAGAACGTCGAGATCCGTAGTGATATTCTTAATCTTGTCCGTGAAAGCTCTAAAGAAACGAACGCCAAACACATTATCAGCCATGATCCTGCGGCTGCTGTTCGAGACGCAGACATTGTGGTTACAGATACCTGGATTTCCATGGGCCAAGAGGCCGAACGCCAAGCTCGTCTCAAACAGTTTGCTGGCTTCCAGGTCACAGAGAAAATCATGCAACTAGCAAAACCTCATTGTAAATTCATGCATTGTATGCCCCGTCACCCCGAGGAGGTCTCAGATGGGGTGTTCTACGGCCCAAATAGCTTGGTGTTTCAAGAAGCTGAAAATCGAAAATGGACCACAGTCGCTGCTCTTGAAGCTTTGGTCGTCAACCGTGGTAATATTTAGACATTTCCTACATACTTCCTGTTTCCAGCTTCCTTCTCCATATTTTCAAATGAATTTGCTAATGTTTCCTTTTATTTCTTTGGACGCGTGAATGAAAGATAAAAACTGTATGTTCTACAAATGTCACTGTCATAGTTCTTACGTATATAAAGAATGAATGCCCATAAAAGAAACGGACGAAAAGAAGAATTCATAGTAGAATACATTCATGGTTTATACTACAAGACGAAAGAGCGTATACCCAATAGACTAGAAAATCTGTGGGATTTACGACTAGAATCGAACAATAAACAAGCTTATTCAATAGCAAAGCAATTATCATCATCATTTCGTAAATCTATCTGCTCGATAAGCATGGGGGGGTGTAGGTCGCAGAAGCAAATCAGGCTGGAAACAGCGAAAGAAAATAATTTTAACAAACGGATGCTCAGACGTCATCATAACTTATCAAGCTTTACTTGATGCGAATACCAGTAGCCTTTAAAGCTTCATGATATTCTTTGAGGCTTTCCTTGGCTTTATCGACGTATTGTTGTTTCTTTTGATCAGAAAGTTTTCTCCAAGCTTCACTAACCATGCGGCTGTTCTCGGTCAAGTAAGGACTAAGGGCAGGGACACCCATTTCATTACGGAGTGATTCGTTTTTCATAATATCCAATAGGAAGAGGTTGAAAGCACCAGCAGGGCGCTTAGGAAGATCAGGATGACGAAGCTTTTGCAAATTGACACCCAAAGGCTTCAGCTCTTTCATACGGCGACGGTTTTCCTCACGGATTTGGGCAAGAGAGAACTGGCGGAGTTGGTCGTCAAAAGCCTTCTTTTTAGCAGCGTACTCTCTTTCAAATTCTTGTTTAAACTTTTGAACCTCTTCAGGAGCCATAGTACTGTAGACATCACGAATTTGTTCCCAGCGATCGGTGACACCTCGTTGACCCTTGGTTTTATGCATCAACATATTCCATATTGTCCTTACACGAGGAGGTTGTAAAGTGCGTAAAACGTCTGTATCTGCAAAAGAAACAGCGCTTGTTGAAAATAAACGATAAACAGGCCTAAAGAACATAGTTCGCTACGTGTTTACTTGAATGGGAAATGACAAGTAGCACAGCAACAAGGTTGCGTAAATAAAGTCGAATTTACAAGAAAGATGCAAGCAAAAAAGTTAGTAGGAGAATGTTAAGGGAAAACTATTAAATTTAAATTACAAGATAATATAAGGGACTAGTGTATTTTTGTTTACTTTTGTTTTTTGGGTCATTGGAAACATGATTTCATCCTCTTATCCTTGCGTTCGGATTTCTTTAAATACCGTAATAAAGCTTACATATTAGAATGTCCTTCGTAGAAACAAAATAGTGCAATGAAGCCTCTTTGAAAGGATCCGTCCGAAAGGAGGAATCATAACCATATTGGGTCATTACCAAGTGTGTCCCTTGATGGAAAGATGAAACTAATTCACTCTATAAAACAGAAAGTAAAAAAGGAATACAATATGAAGAGGATCGAAAAGTTAAATGAAACAAAATAAATAGCTTAAGGAAAAAAGTATTGACGACAACGGCAGGATTCGAACCTGCGCTCCCAAAGGGAATCCGCTAGGCTACTAAATAGCAGGCGAACGCCTTAAAACCACTCGGCCACGTTGTCTTTTCGTTATTTAGTGGAAGCAAATAAGTATTATATTCCTGTAAACTTATATTGTAATGATGAATAAAACTAGAGAGAACCGTGGTTTCAGCCTATAGGATGGAATCGAGGTACTATCATTTTTAAAGAAAAAGAAAATAAAATAATAGAGTAATTGTTAATTGAAGCTATTAGTTGTTCCGATAACGACTTTGTACTTTTGACTTGTTTCCGTAAACATCTCCCATTCCCTAATTTGTCACGTTAATAATTCTCAAGGGGTATGAGAATAAATATCGAGTAAAAGTAATAATTACAATTGTAGGAAAAAGTACGCTAATTAGACTCTGTTGTACTCGCTAGTAATGTCCAGGGATTTGGTTAGCTGTATTGAAAGTATACAGGCGATCTTATTTACCTACACGTCTATAATAGAAAAAAAAAAAATTGATATCTTATCAATCTAAATAGAGCTAACTTAAACGAACGCTCCTTTAACTTTATTTCTTTCAAAGTTCGTTCACGATGCGTTCTTCTCCACAAATGAAAAACGTCTTTGTGTATGACATCTCCTCTGGTGTTTCATCAGACGTAAGCTGATCCTGTTTCCTTTTTTTCGATTTCCATCGTAATCCCGTTAAGGTTCCCTTTTTACAAGTCAAAGACACTGCTGTTGGTTTAAACATACGCGACAGAAACTTTTTTCTTCTTTTCTGAACTTGTCTTTAGCCATCGTATTCACGTTTTCGAGATTACTTATTTACTATTTTTTAATTTTGTAATTTTGTAATTTGGATTATTTCTGATTCCAAACTACAGTATTTTTGTAAATATGTCGTTAAATCCTCATATGCTAGAAAAGAAAGCCATTTTCTTTATCATCGGTCCCTCTGGTTCGGGAAAAACAACAATGGCCAAGTTTTTAGCAGACAAACTTAGTTTTGAATACATCGAGGGTGATGATTTGCACCCTAAAGCGAACATTGAGAAAATGGGATCAGGCCAACCTTTAAATGACGAAGATCGTTGGGGTTGGCTTTACAATTGCGGAGGTGCATGCGCTATGCAGTTGGACGATCCTAATGTAAAAGGGATTGTGATGACTTGTTCAGCTTTGAAGTGTGCCTACAGAAATATCCTCCGTGACTCTTTGAAGCATCGTCCTGGCAGCGTCCATTTTATCTACTTGATGGCACCCAAAGAGGTGCTGATTGAGAGAACCAGCGCTCGAAAGAATCATTACATGAAGGCCGACATGGTGGAGAGCCAATTACGTGATATGCAAGCCCCTAAGGACGATGAAAAGGATGCATATACCTTGAATGTTAATAAACCACCTGAAGAGTCTAAGGATGATTGCTTTGCTTTGGCCAAGGACATTTTGAAGAAGGAGGAGACTTACAAGAACTGAAAGTAAAACGCTTCTGATGAAACTATTTTTTTCTGTAATACAATTCTTCTGTAATTACTTTCTACATCTGCAACGTTGTCTATCCTGTATTCTCACCTTTCTTCATTTCATGATAAAAGAACATATTCATTAGTATTAGCAGGAAAAAATTATCGTGAAAAGATTGTAATAGTACTTTCATAGATGATATGATCACAAGGTAAGAAAAGGGGAAAGTTATTTGGCTATTGTCAATGCTTCCCCTTTGGTTTTCTTTGACAAATTTGTGATGTTTCGAGTGTGCTTCCTATTCAGTTAGAGCACCGCCAACTCAAGATGCAAATATTCATGCAATGATTCCTTGTTCGTCTTTCCGTCTCCATAATGTAATTTCCGATTGTTTAAAGTAACGCCGTTGGTCTTCATCAACAAGAATCAAGCTCAAGTAGTAGCGTACGTTGAACTTTTTGTTGACATCGCGAAACGTAGGCGTTAGCGAGTAGCCATTCAAAAACATGCGCAAAGGAATCGTTTCTCCACGATTCGGATTTCCATCCATGACCTGAAAACGTGTCACGGTTTCACTATTACTGTACTGGTTTGGTGGAGTTCCAATGGTCTCTCGTCGTATAATATTCACTTCCATGCGCTGGACTTTGATTCGAACAAGGATGAAATAAATTTTCCCTACTATGACATCGCGCAAATGATACTTGTTCTTCGTGTATTCAAACTCAATATGAAGACAGTCATCAATACCGACATCCATCTTGATGAGGCTATTCGTTTCGGGCTCATTCTCATAGCGATACACCCATAAATCTTTTTCTCGAATCACGTCCGTCATTTTTCGTGTCACGGTAACTCTGCAAAAGTAACGTAGTTTTACATTTTTCCCAAAGTACGATTCATAGGGCTTTTCCACATGCTTGAATTCAAAGTCAAACATTTGAGCTTGTCGCATTTCTCCAGGGGAAGCAAGCTCTTGCACACTCCTTGTAAACTCATGGATGTTTCCTTTGTCATATGTATTTTCTATACAGCCAACAAACTCAATCTTGATTCCATTGTGATCCAACTTTCTTCCATCTTTCAACCGAATCATAACCTGTTCAATAATAATTCATTAGTAACTAACCAAAATGAAAAACAGTAGTATTTCCTTAAAAGCTTTTCTATACATGCAGAGCCCTCAGATCATGAAACGTACCGCGCCTTTTACAGATTCATCACTTCCATAGACTGGGGCTTTGTCCTTCCGTCCTTGTTCAAATTCGATATCTACAAACGAGCGTTCTTCTTCATTTTCCAAGTGGATATCAACATCAATCGGGCTTCTAAAAAGGTATTCCATTGAGGCTAAATGCGTCAATGTACGAATCTTCTCGTCGCAAAAGTTGCAGCTGGAACAACGTACTCTTCACTATTTAAGATAAGTAGAACAATCTTCTTAAAGAAAAATGCAAGCAGAAATCCTGGAGGAATGAAAGACACAATCTGGCTGCTCTTTTAGTAGAGTTTTTCTCTCCATTCAGGTTTGCGAGTAACATTAAAGTTACACAAAATAAGATACAGTATAATTGTGAATTGCCGTAAGCTGTAAACAATCCTTGCAGTAGACATGGAATTAGACACAATGAAATGGAATGATATAACACTCACAGCTTTTTATGCTAAATACCAAAGGATGTTCTTCTCCCTCGGTACTAATTGTGAAAAGCTTCAGTTTTATAGTCAAAGCTTCAATATCTGAATCAGCGTCGCGTATTTCCTCTCTGCAAAAAAAGAACTAAAATGACTTATATAAACCAAATTCCGATAAGCCGAAAGTCCTCGATTCCTTCATTTAGCCAAAATCAACGATGAATGTTTATTAACGCTACGTAATGAACCTTCCATCATTTTACCTACAAGTAAGTACCAACATTCTTGTTCATCAAGCACTGTAGAAACGTTAAAGAATGTTTGTAGAAAGATCTATGTAAGCATATCTTTATCCTTGTAACTGATATACTAATCGCTCTAGTTTGTATGGGTTAACTGTGTGCACATGTCTGCTGTTCTTCTTTGTATACCATTTCAACGCCAAATATGAACTTCAACCTATTCTTACTTTGGGATTATTAAATGCGAGTTTGGGAGCTATATCAGATTTGTTAGCGCAGGCCCTAGATTCTTACAAGTCGATGGAATTTCAGAAGAAACGTGACATTACTTTAGAAAAATACGGAAACTCAATTCTTTTGCCTGCTAGAACAGCTAAACTGGACTTTCACAGGACGATTCGTTATGCGGCATATGGTAAGTAAAATTCAAAAAGCTGAGTGCTTGTTTCGTTTGGGAGTTGAGCTAATCTAACTTTTGTAGGTTTATGTTTTACACCAATCCAGGTAGGTTAGGTCGAAAAAGATTTTGGCTTTTTGCTTAGAAACATTACTGACGCGACAGTACCATTGGTTTGCAAGTTTGAAAAACTTGGTACAAGGAGAGAATGAGTTTTTCTGCAACCTTTTCCGAGTAGCTATTGACCAGTTGTTATTTGCTCCTCTTGGTCTTGGATTTTTCTTTTTTTTTATGGTAAGCCATGCTGTGCTATTCTCGGCTAGAAAGCAAATTAAATTGATAGGTTTCTAATCATTCACCTATAGGGCATTACCGAATGCAAGTCTGCAGACAAAATCAAAGCTTTCTTCAAAAAGAATTATGTTCCTACTCTTAAGGTTTGTCCTTGTAACTGCGGTTGATGCGCAACAAATCTATGCGGTTCAACAGAGCTTGATGAAAATACTAATTCTACTAGGCGAACTACATCTTGTGGCCAGCCGCACAATTCATTAACTTCACTTTTATTCCGTTTGTTTTTCAAGTCTTATTTGTTAATGCAATCGCCATGATTTGGACAAGTTATCTAAGTTTGAAAAACAGCTCTTCTAATGTGAGCCTACATGATTAATATTATTGAACATTGTAATGAATTATGAGAATAAAGTTTTCAGTGATCAACGAACATATTTGACGCTGAATGTCGTCTAAACATATCATTCTCGTTTTTCAAATGGGACACATAAACATATGTGATATTCTAATACCAAAAAAGGGACTGACCTATGTTTTCTTCCTTGTTATGCTTCGTTTGTATTTTATTCTGCAAAATACTTATATCTCTCTTCTCTTACTTTGATAATCGTTGTGAATATGGCTTAACAGTAGAAACGACAACAAGCCTTCACAGAAGAATCATGGCCTCTCGAAACTTTCATAGTCAAGTGTAAAACTTACATTGTTATGTTCGCTTTTGCAACAAAGCTTCCTTCTTTCATTTACACCTGCCTATTACACTTTCTTTTCTCTAGTGATTTGCACAGATACTTTTCATAGTCATTAATGTATATCGGTTTTGCATACCCAAGAAAAAATTGGGACTATACCTTTCGTTACCCTTCTTTAGAGCTTGTAGTTTACAAATTACCGTTGTCAATCATCGATTTTTACTATTTATTTCAAACCATTGTTTCGTACCGAATCGCTCCTTGGCATGTTCAAAACTAGAATAACGACAACCTTATAGGTCCCTATTCAGGCTAACTAAACAAAAACGAACAAACTCAGAGAACGCCAATAATAACATTGCAGTATGAATGTTGAGAGTAGGTCTTTTGGAAGCTTTACTATATGCGAGAACGAATGCTAATCCGCTTTTAGACGTCGCTTCACCTTCCGGTTGCTCTACGACGGTCACCGTCTTTTCTCTCTTTGGAATTATATGTACTTTATTGAAAGCGAAATCGTTTATTCGGTTCCTTTATAACAACTACTTTGCTAAAGGAACAAAGGTATTTTATTGGAAAGAACGACTTATTTTAGTTCGTATCACTAACTGATCTCAATAGCTTACTGTTTACGGTGCCAAACAAGGTGCTTGGGCAATCGTTACTGGTGCTACCGATGGCATTGGAAAAGAATATGCCACGCAACTAGCTACTGCCGGATTCAATGTTGTTTTAATTAGCCGTACTCAAGAAAAATTGGATGCCTTGGCTCACGAACTCGAAACGGTTGCTAAAATCCAAACTCGTACCATCGCTTTGGACTATACCAAAGCAGATAAGACTTCGTTTGAAACCATTGCTGAACAACTGAAGAAACTTCCTATCACGGTTTTGATTAACAATGTTGGCCAATCCCACGTTATGCCAACCAGCTTTGAAGAAACTGCTGAGATGGAGATGGACAATATTATGCATATTAATTGCTTCGGAACCCTTCATACCACGAAAGCTATCCTCCCTATCATGATGGAGCAACGCCGTAAAGACAAGAAGGGCCCCCGTTGTCTAATTTTGACCATGGGCTCATTTGCCGGTCTTGTTCCCTCCCCTTACCTGAGTACATATGCTGGCTCTAAGGCTTTCTTATCTAACTGGTCTGCATCAATGGCTGAGGAAGTGAAACCTGAAGGTATTGATGTCTGGTGCTACAACTCTTATCTTGTTGTTTCCGCCATGTCAAAGATCCGCCGCCCCAATATGACTACTCCTACTCCCAAGGCATTTGTCCGTGAAGCTTTAAGCAGCATCAACGTTCAACGCGGTGGAAGCGCTCCTTACATTAGCCAGCCTTATCCTGCTCATGCTATTATGAGCTGGTCCTTGGAGGAATTCCTTGGAAGTGTCAAATACTTTGTAGTAAGCCAGGTTGCCGCAATGCATCTTGACATTCGCAAGCGTGCATTAAGAAAGCAAGCTCGAATTCAACAATCTGTCTCTGCTCAGACTAGTGCTTAATTAATCGCGAGGTCTTAAGATGCTTTTCAAAACTTACTAGACTTTCCCGATTATACTAACAGTACATGCTAAATATGCAATATTAGTCATCGAATACTCTACAGAATACAATATAATCTACTAATAAAAGGTTTATAGACTGAAACTACCGAGTCGAATTTCTATATGCACAAAAAATAATAGCTCATTTTTTAACAAGGCGCTTTGCTTTGACCAAACAAGTCGCTTATGTATTAAGAGTCTACTCAAGTTCGGAAATGTTACCACGTTCAGAAACGTAGATACCGTCCAAAAACTTACGAATATCCTTGTTGCGGACATTGCAAATTTGCTTGATGTTGGCGGCAGATTGAGAAACGTTTTCCAAAGAGTTGCCCTCGATGATCAATTCATCCTTGACGTTGGCAGACATGGAAACGGTAACACCAGGCAAGCACTTGATGACACGAGTAATACGTTCACCCAAGAAGTTACGGATCTCAACAACGGTACCGTTTTCGGACAAATTGATGTTGATGGGAAAGTGTGCGTAAACAAGACGCATCTTGTAACGGAAACCTTGAGTAACACCAACAATCATGTTGTTGATGATGGAACGAACGGTACGAAGGCAAGCATTGTGCAAACGAGAACCGTGCCAGACAATGAACTTAATAGCGTTGCCTTGCTTCTTCAATTCCAAGTCAACATGGCGCAAGCTCTTGGAAAGAGAGCCACGGGGACCTTTGACGGTGACATTACGGGCCTTAATGTCAACAGTAACACCCTTGGGGATTGGCAAAGTCTCGTCCTTGTAAATATCACGTCCCATCCTGCAAAGTAGTGTTGGTGGTGTCGTTCCCTTTTTCCAGTAGATAATTTCCGTTTCGAGTTCCTGTGACTGTACTTCATAAGTAGGGTAGGGTTATTATTTTTGGATAGCTTAATGCATTGTGTAGAAAAATCCTATTAATATTATGGAATCAAATAATAAAGTGATCGTTAATTAAATATAACGAATTTTAAAAATTGCAGTAACGTGTATGCAAGAAAATATATGAGAGGAAAGAAGGGGGAGATGAGGAAGCAGAAGTAGAAAACGAGGGATTAAAAGCATAATACGCGGCAGAAGTAATCAGCTCATAAGTATATGACTTAGCGGGAGCCTTTGTAATACTCACGTTGAACATCAACAATTTTAAGACCACGTTGCATAGCAATGTCTTCTGGAAGAGCTTGCTCATGTAATGCTTCAAAAACTGCTTTAACAACATTCATGCCATTTTTTGAGCCCATTATTTCACCGCTTAAATCCTTGATACCTGCACATCGACAAATCTCAAACAGGATAGCGTTGCAACGTAAGCCAAAACCTAAATGACGGGTTAGTTATTGTTCCTATTGTGAAATAAAGCCACTGTCTGTGACTTCCGAGGATGAATTAGACTTACCAGCAGGACGAGATCGTAAAGCAAGGCGGACAGCGTGAAACTTTTTATGCAAATTGCCATATACCGTCCTGTCTTCGTATCGTGGAATACACTTCATGCTTTTGACGGCACGAGCACAAGACTGTTTGTAAGATAATGAATAGTTTGCAGCTTTTCCTTCGCCATAACCAATGACCCCATTCCGGTTACCAACAACGGTTAGAACGTAGATACTGGGAATTTTACCTTTGCGGGTTTGGTTAACGACACGGCGAATGACCAAAGGAACGAAGACAAATGATTGTAAATAAGATTTCGGGACACCTGTCGTCTCCACTAAAAAGTCAGTCATTGTAGCTCCCTGGTTTGTTGTTCCAAAACTGAAAGGAGTATAACTAACGGGTGGTTTGGCGCGGAAAATATCCGCTGGAGGTGTATAGTTTTTAAACTTTTCTTCATTAAACGCATTATATTCGTCAAAGTTTTGGAAGCTGGAAAATTCATCCAAGGGACGAACATACTTGTCAAATGGAGAAAAGTATTGCAAATGTAAATTAGTTTTACGTAAACCCTTGGCATTTTCCAATGCCTGCTTGGAAAGCGGATGGTTTCGGATATAGTCTTCTTGCAAAGAAGCATCCTGTTGAAACTTTTTAACCATTTCTTCCCAAGGACTCTTTGCATCCAATTTATCCTTAGAAACAACTTCAGGAGCTACTGGAGAGGATTTATGCTCAGTTGATTTGGGATCGAACGCGTATGACGGTTGGGAAGCAGCATTCGAATCTTTAAAATCACCAGAAGCGTCGATTTTCGACGATTCTTTGGTATCATCCTTCGGTTGCTCTGGTGGAGACGCGTCCTTTGAAGCTATATTTCTAACCATTCCATATGTATGAAAGGAAGAGCGTCCTAAACGATAGCTCAACCGCATGTTTGCCGAAAAAAAGTGTAGTATATGATTTGTCATTTTGGGTTGCTATTTATCCATACAAAGTAAAACGGAAACCACCGACTCTAATACAAAAACACGTAAAAAAATATGTTCTTTCAAGCAAAGCAATTCATAAAACGGATGAATCACAAACAAGTTTTCTTCGATTTGTAGACTCTGCGACCAATCAAAAATTTATCCTTTTATTCAAAATTACAAGTTCAAAATTATTTTTCTGTAAATTAACTGCCAACGTCTAAAAGAAGACTCTCCTTTTACTTCCTCTCCTTGCGCGTTGTCTCTGTATAAACTCCCAAGGCCATGTATTCTCTACTTAAGTTTTCGTTGGAGTCTGTTGTTAATTTTTATAACGCAGCACATTCTAAATCGGTAGTATTTATATATATTAGTGAACCAGGCACGCGTAAACGCGTAAACAAAACACCACTTATTGTGTGTCTCGAGTATATAAACAGGTCCTAGTGAAAAAAATATACCATATAGAGTGAGTGATAAATTTGACAAATAAAAGACTCGTGATTGGCCTTGTCTTTTGCTTATTTGAATATATTTCCAAAGATGTTTTATGTGAGAGATTTTTAAGCATTTTCTAAGCCGAATCAGATTAAGAATTTGCAAAAGTAGAAAAAAAGCGAATTCTTATCTTATAAAACATCAATTTGCTCATCTGAATCTTTTGCCATTCAAGCATTGCTTCATTGCTTACTATAGGCTATGATAAGCAGTGAAAGCTGTTTCCTACTGACTGCAAAAATCATCTGAAATTGCAAGTACTCATTAAAATCATATTATTTTTATGAAGGGTGTGAACGACTGGCTTTGTTTATTGCCCGGATAACTTATATCTTGTAGTATTTTATCTCTTTTCAATTCTGACACTGAACAAAACACAGATATTGCCTTGGTACAAAGCAACAGCAAAAAGCTCATCTTACATTTACTTATCACCTTAGTTACGTATTTTCGTTCATTCACTTGGTTCTTTTTACCGGCTTTGTCCAAAGAAGCCAATGTTGCAATCATGAGGTGCTTTATTTCTCAATTTTCTCCGTGGAGGAAACTCAACTGGTTTCAGAGAAATGCTACCACGTTTACACCGAAAAACTTAAAGTCTTTAACTCCTTATGAAGTAATGGAACTTCCACGAACATGTACTCCCGCTGACATCAAGCGAAAATATATTGAATTGGTTAAGGTACATCACCCGGACAAGAGTAAGAGCGGTTCCGAAGCCACTGATTTAAAAGCACACGATGAGAAAAATCAGCAAGAATACTTTCGTCTCCTGGTGGCTGCAAAATCGTTGCTAACGGACAAACAACGGCGCTATGAGTATGATCGTTTTGGCTTCCATTGGAATCAGTCTTCTCCCTCTCAACCGTTTACTAAACCATCTGCAAATCCAAGGTACCCTATGTATTCTCGTGCCCGTCGCTCTTCTGGTATGGGAACATGGGAAGAATATTACTACAACTCCTTTGATTTTGAAAAGAATCATAAGGAAAAGGGAGATTCCAGAAAGATTGACGACGAGGGTATGATGGTATTTGCAGGTATTCTTTCTTTTCTTGTAATCTTTTCGGTATACTCAAATTACAGAAATTCAAAGTACTACCAAAAAGCTCGTGTTGCTGCAATTGAACAATCGGAAAACGATTTTGATTACTACAGTACTGGAATGTCTGATTTAAGTAAGGATGACCGTATATCACGATTTTTGATTCTTCGTGATCAAAATTTAAAGTCTGACCCTTCATCCTCTTCTTCGACTTCAAGACTTCCTTTACATCCTTCTTCACCGGCTACTTCTGTATCCTCTTCTTCTGAGCGGTCATTGCCTGCACCTGCTTCCCCTTCCTCTTAATGCTTTCTTATTTTTATGTTTCGTTTACGTTCCCCTTTATTTAACGTAGCCTAAATATTACCACTACGAATTTTCTTTGCTTCTTTATTTAAAAAATCCTTCCTTTATCCATCAAGTAAACAATAAACTGTACAGCTACTGTTTAAACAAATTTATTTATGTTCCATTATAGTTCTTGACCTACCCATTCAAGAAAACAAAAACTCTATTAAAGGTATCCTAATTATAATTAACTAAAAAAAAAAAAAAAAAAAAAAAACAATTATCCTTTTACCAAAGCAGAAGAGGGGAAAAAATTATTAAAGATAAAATATGCTTAAAGATGTCGAACACTTTGAGACACAGTCTCATAGACATAAAAGGTGACAGCATTCGCAGTAGCTGCACGTATCAAAACAGGAATGAAACCTCTGTAAAAACCCATCATACCGGAACTAGCATAGATTCCTTTGGCACATTGCCATGCACTCTTATAGCTAGCTTTTGACAAGAAGCCATCAGTCTGTATTTTAGACTTGACAATGTCAAAAGGATAGGCAAATACCCACATTGAGTATCCGCAAGCTGCGCCAAAAGCACATAGTTTCCATCCAGGGATTTCAGCACGATCCTTCATTTGGTACTTCTCCATGCTATGCTTTATCAATGCTTCATAAGTCAAAAAATATACGCCCAAACCATGGGCTTCACGAACGGCAGTAGGATTGAAACCCTTCATAATTCCTTTCATTCCATATTGAGAAGAAATTTTCTTGATACAATCCAATGGACCATTGTACAACTTGTTGGCGCCGGTTTGAATCTGAAGACGAATACGAATATGTTCGACAGGGCCAACTAAAAATGAGTTGGCCAAACCAGATATCGCACCTGCAACGTAGTATTGAGGCATAGGCACGGGATTCCCATTACGATTAAAAAAACGTTTGGCATACTCAAACGTAGTAAATTGGATGGAGACACAAAATCCTATTCCCAAGAGGGGCATAACAGTACCTTTGTAAAAAGCGCCGACACCCTCGTTTTTGGATATTTTTTTGACACAATCTAATACATTATCGTATAAGGGAGACCCAATGCTTTGAGACTGAAGACGAACTTTCACACAATCAAAAGGTTGACCGACTAAAACTTGTGCGACACCTCCTGATGCACCAGCTAAGAAATCCTTTGCCTAGATTGCGTTGTTAGTTTTCAATCTTCCACGATTTAATGACTATAAGTTAAATACTCGAAACTATCAAATGAATAACAATTCGTCTGGGCTCTTTAAGACTTTGTATATTATTTAAATGTCTTTACTTACTGACTGTGAAACTGTTCCTTCTGCCATTGCACCAACCTGATGTAGTTTGCACTCTGAAAAAGAATTTTACTGTTGCACCTATATGAGATGTTAACTAATCTTGAGAGCAGAAAAAATGAATGAAAAATCAAAAAAAAGGTAAATATAAATAATACTTATTTCTACATCAAGATTGTCGGAAGTTAACTTCCAGTCAAAATTTCTTTCTTTGATTGTGCATTTCAATTCAACACCTTTTATCAAGTTCTCGTAGAGGTCAGTAAAGCTTTTATGTTTGTGAATTTTTTTTCTATATCTATTAATTGAAGTTTTGAAAAGACGAAAGAAATGAATTGTCTATATTGCATTTGCTTGTTTATAGAAATCGAAATCTACTATGGAAGAGCTAAATAAGAATAGAAAGAAAAATCAAGTTTAATGATAGACTGTTTATATTTCATGAATGTTACCGCTTCTTGTAAGTTATTCGAAGGTAGGGAATGTTTCTCATAAAAGAAAAATATGTTCGATTAGGAAAAACCATGTTGGATATTGAAATGGCTATATATATTACTGGTTACATTCATCAGGATCAGCAGAAAATATTCTGCTACTATCCTTTCATACGATGGCAGAGAAAGACTAAAGAATTATAATGTTAGTACAGCCAGTGTCATTCAGAAGCTGTCAAAATCCCCCCAATCAATTTGTTCTCTTTGGTTCAAGTTAGCAACTGTCTTGTTGCATATATAAATAAAAAGATTTTTTTTTCTTATAAAAATTGTAAAATTGTATGAAGTATAGCGGGTAGACCACCTTGTACGTCGAGTACCGAAAAATGCTCCTTTAAAACAGTGAAAGGTTTCATTGAGAGCATGATTTTAACGTTTACTTGTAATGATCTGTGTGTAACGTAACTTCGCGAATGATTTTCTGTTTGATATAGTTGCAGCTTGAAAAACAGACTTCAATATGCGGCTCGCCCGGTTTCACGATGGACGAAATGCTGAAATATCTCAACCCAGGCTATTCACTTACTTTACAAAAGATGTTAACTTCCGATGCCTAATTTATGTAAGGCGCACGTATAAACTCATGGCAGTAAAGTGAATGCAGAACGCGCAATTGAGCTTTAAGCTGATTATCTTTGCAGAAGCCCTTTCAATGCCACTAGGCGATAAAGTGAAGAAAATAATAAAAGTTTATACTTCGTAATGAACTCGTAAAACCTTGACTTATCTTATATGAATCCAGCTATATAAAAAGAAAGCGCATTAATCTTCCGAAATATAATCTCCGTATTGTTTTGCAAATAACCCTAAAGCGTGGATAGAAAAGTAAAATTTGTAATTCGGGTAGGCGATGGCCACATTCTTGTTAAAGATTCCTTCAATTGACTTTTGTTTCCAACTTCCATCGGCAGCTTGTGATTTCATTATGAACTGGATCCCTCTTTCAATTGGCTTTCTATGCGGATACTTGGCGTGCATTAGAGCTAGCAAAGCCCAACTGGTTTGCGTTACTAGGCTACGATCTGTTTCCGTGTAATTCCCGGTGACACATGCCTAGAAATGTTAGAACCGTAACTGAAAATAAAATTACTCTACTTACCATATAGCTTTCACTCCAACCTCCATCTAACCTCTGTTTAGATAAAAGAAACTCACAAGCTTTCCTCTGTGTATCACAATTTTCGAAATATCTACCAACCGTGGCTAAAGAATCCGTTGCAAACATTGCCGCGTATGTAAAGCAAATAGCCCAACTACCATACCAGCTTCCATCAGGTCGTTGCGAGTTAACTACAAATAATAGCGCATCATGAATTGTTTGCTCGATCTCTTCACGACGGTACGAGTCATCATAACGAGTAAATTCTCGTAGTGCAAGAACCACAGATGTTGTACATTCAGGGTAGGAGTATTCAACCATAATCTTGCCAAAAACCTCAGCAGGATTTAGATGTTCCAGCCATTCATTCGCTCTTGCCGGTTCATAGGAAGCAAACCCATTATCTTTATTTTGCATGAGTAATAAAACGTCAACTGCCTCCCTTAATCGACAAAGACTTACTGGTTTCTCAAATTCAGGGAGAGATTGCACGGCTAATACAGCCCGCAAGGCCTCCGAAGTTGTATCCGAAACTGTGTACCCCTGTGTAATATTGCTAAAAGGCCATGCACCTTTGCTGTTGTGCCTATACCCTTTTCCTGCATACTCGTTTCGTATCTAAAAAGTTAGAAAAATAAAAAATTTGAAAAAAAATGCATACCTGTTGCCTATCCAAAAAATTCAAAGCATTGATTGCATCTTTTTGATAAACCTCTGATTCATACAACCCAGATTCTACTAGTGCACTCAAGGTAAAGGATGCTTCCCATACTTGAAGGCCATTAGTTCCACGCATCAACATTCCCTCAGGTTGCACCCACATGAACTCATGTAAGCGACGAATGATTTTTTGAAACGCCTTACTACTTGGACCTTCCTGGTAATAGACACAGAGAGTATTCATCGCAGCGTTCACGGGACCTAAACAAGCATAATCTGTATTTTCATTCTCAATTTGAATCAGTTCGTAACTCTTTTTTGTTCCTAACTTTCTTAACCACTTGGGGCGAAAAAATGTGAAATATTTATCCATGATCCAGTTTAAAGAGTCTAAAATCGTCGTATGTGGATGATACAAATCAATTTCACTGACATTGTTTCGATGTTTGGAAAAATCAATGGACATATAATCAGCCACATAAAGTTCTTCACGAAGTTCACGAATTAAGGAATTGACAGGGCAAGATAATTGTTCCCCATATAAATAACCCATAGGTAGATATACTTGCCGGACGTGGCACCACCATTTTCCTGGATGGATTGGAAACCAGTCTGGCAAAAGCCATAGTTCTGGCGGAATTGGATTCACACCTTTCCAATCGTAACAGTTAAGCGTAGCTAACCAAAATTTCCCCCAGTGAGGATTAGCAATAGCACCGCCAAGCTTGTGTAAACAAGTTCGAGCTCTAACAGCAACAGGGTGATCCCGTTTCATGCCTAGAATACGAAGAACTGTATAGTTTAAGGAAGTACCAAATACTGTAGATACACCCTCTGTATGGATACCCCAACCTCCATCATCGTTTGCATGATTTACCAAGTACTGAGTAATTTCTTCTGGCCATCCCTTTGGAAAAGGAGTTTGTGTAATATAAAACGCAAAGATCACGCCTGGAAGAAGAAACATAGGTCCCTCATAAGGACTAGCCCAATGACCATCGTTTAATTGCAGACGGCGAAAGAATTCGTATCCATGAATGGCACTTTCCAAAGGAGCTTTTGCTAGCTTAAATTTTGGAGCATCATCTAAGTCTAAACCAAGAAAATATTTTTCTGCGAAGCTTAAGGGGCGTGCTTTTGCTTCCTCTTCGGTTTCAAGGTATTCCCAGCTTTCGCCAGCATCCAGGCCAACATTTAACCGCCAAAGACGCTTGTCTAACTTTGGAATTGTTTTCGCCCATTCAGGTCGACTGCGGCAGGGTTCCATGTTTCTACCAACGAAATGTAGGGATATTTGTCTGTTATAGGTTTTTCACAGGTAAGAATTTCTACGTAAATAATAAACCCAAAAACGAATGGAAATGATTCAAAGTAAAACTATTCAAAGTTAAACTAAAGAAATTATTTGCTTTTAAGAAGATTAAATAAGAAACAGTTACAGCATCCGCTGTCTTTTATCCGGAATAAAACGATCATCCACCAATTTTTGATAAAATTACTGTACTTCCTTTCTTTGAAAGTAAATTAAATTTTTCTTTCCGACGTATACTACTATAATTGATTGAGGTTAACAGAGTATGCTATTGATTAGATTACTGTAAGACTAGGTAGGAACAAGAAGAGTTAGATTGGATGTTTTGATATTACAAAGACCTTAATTAAACACAAAACAGCTTTTTGTTTACTTTTAATCGCTTGCATTCCTACTCATTGACAATATTAGAATATACTATACTGAACCTTTTAAAGACTCTCGAAAATGTTCTATTTAAAATAAATCATATTGAATTAAAAAATCATTAGCTAAGGAGAATCAAACCCATAAATATTCTGTGGCATAATCATCAATAACATATTGCACACCAAATTAAAATATTAAATTATAAAAAACATGCAAGCTCATTATGAATTAAGTTCCTTTTTCAAATAGGAAATAATTCAGATCCCGTCAATTAACAGACAAAAATGACTTTAATCGACTTCTTCAACTTCAGGACCTTGGTCGCCGCCAGGGGCAGCTCCAGGAGCGGCGCCAGGAGGAGCACCACCGGGAGCACCACCAGCTTGGTAAACCTTGGCCATGATGGGGTTAGCAACACCCTCCAATTCTTTTTGCTTGGACTCATATTCGTCCTTGGCAGCAGTGGTGTTGCTGTCAAGCCATTCAATGGTCTCCTTGACAGCCTTATCAATGGCTTCTTTGTCGGAGGCCTCAACCTTGTCCTTTAAGTTGGGGTCATCCATGGAGTTGCGCAAAGAGTAAGCATAGGATTCCAAGTGGTTCTTTGCTTGAATACGACTAGCTTCGGCTTCATCCTCGGCCTTGTACTTCTCGGCTTCAGCAACCATACGGTCAATATCCTCTTTAGAGAGACGGCCCTTGTCGTTGGTAATGGTAATCTTTTGAGTCTTACCAGTACCTTTTTCGAGGGCTGAAACGTTCAAGATACCGTTGGCATCAACGTCGAAGGTAACTTCGATTTGTGGAACACCACGAGGCGCAGGAGGAATACCGGAAAGCTCAAATTTACCGAGCAAGTTGCAGTCCTTGGTACGAGCACGCTCACCTTCGTATACTTGAATCAAGACACCGGGTTGGTTGTCGGAGTACGTAGAGAAAACTTCAGACTTCTTGGTGGGAATGGTAGTGTTACGCTTGATAAGGGGAGTCATAACACCACCAGCGGTCTCGATACCCATAGAAAGAGGGGCAACATCCAACAACAAGAGATCTTGGGTCTTTTCAGAAGTATCACCAGTTAAAATGGCAGCTTGTACAGCAGCACCATAGGCTACAGCTTCATCAGGGTTGATTGACTTGCAAGGTTCCTTGCCATTGAAATAATCCGAAACAAGCTTTTGAATACGGGGAATACGAGTAGAACCACCAACCAAAACAATTTCATGAACGGAAGACTTATCGACCTTTGCATCACGGAGAACCTTCTCGACAGGCTCCATGGTATTGCGGAACATGTCAGAACACAATTCTTCAAAGCGAGCACGAGTAATAGAAGTGTAAAAGTCAATACCCTCATACATAGAGTCAATCTCGATACTAGCCTGGGAAGAAGAAGAAAGAGTACGCTTAGCACGCTCACAAGCAGTACGGAGACGACGGACAGCACGAGCATTACCACTGATGTCCTTCTTGTTCTTACGTTTGAATTCTTGGATAAAGTGATTGACTAAACGAGAATCAAAGTCTTCACCACCCAAGTGAGTATCACCAGCAGTAGACTTGACTTCAAAAATACCTTCTTCGATGGTCAAGAGGGAGACATCGAAAGTACCACCACCAAGGTCAAAAATCAAGACATTTGTTTCTCTTTGGGTGTTACGGTCTAAACCATAAGCGATAGCGGCAGCAGTTGGTTCGTTAATAATACGCAAAACGTTCATACCAGCAATGGTACCAGCGTCCTTGGTGGCTTGACGTTGAGAGTCATTGAAATAGGCAGGAACAGTAACCACGGCATCTGTAATTTTACTGCCCATGAAAGCTTCAGCAACTTCACGCATTTTTAGTAATACCATGGAGGAAATTTCTTCAGGAGTAAAAGTCTTGGTTTCTCCCTTATACTCAACTTGAATCAAAGGCCTGTCATCCTTATTGACTACTTTGAAGGGCCAATGCTTCATATCTGATTGGACTTCTGCGTCATTGTAACGACGACCGATCAAACGCTTAGCGTCGAAGACGGTGTTGTGTGGGTTCATTGCGACCTGATTCTTAGCAGCATCGCCAATCAATCGTTCAGTATCTGTAAAGGCAACATAAGAAGGAGTAGTACGGTTACCTTGGTCGTTGGCGATAATTTCAACACGATTATTGGAAAAGTGTCCAACACAGGAGTAGGTAGTACCCAAATCGATTCCGATAGACTTGCTCATTTTTGCAAATAATGGTCGTTAAAAGTAAAATATAAATTCGTAAAACAAAATCAAAAAGACAAATTGTTCAAATGCAAAGGAATTCAGCAGCGTTTAAATCAAATAAACAATGCGGCAAATAAATTAAAAAAGCAGGAATGAATGCAATTGTATCGTATAAAACAGATCTTAAAGAAATTCGTGAGTAATTAACGGACAATTCCAATTCTAAGTTATAAGACACTGGTGGTTAGTAAATGACAGACCTCTATATATACCATATTCGTCGCTTCTCGAAGGTTCACAACCCTTGCCCTTCAGAGACTTCGAGAAGAGACGAGAGATTACAGGGATGGGGGGCGAACCAAATTGCGTAGTTCCTTCTACGACGTTGAGATGTAAACAATCAAATTGAATCGAAAGAATTACTAGAAAGTGCGAGAAACAAGTGAATTCAGGCTAAAGAATAGCTTGGCTCAGTTAGATTCAGGAAACAATATAAAATAAAAAATAAAATAAAATAAGGAAAAAAAATGTAATCATTTCATCGTTACAATATCACAAGATGTTCGTTTATCTTACTTTGATTAAGCATCCTCAGCAACCAGTCTAAATCCTTGAAGCATTACCATTGATTTACAAAGACATCGTATATTTTCTCAAGTGTTTACCTTTTTTTTTTTGAATGTTGGATTGCTTTACAGGTCTATGACGAACCTTTTTCATCATGTGGTGCTGAAAGAAGTAAGACACAGAGTTTCTCTCCATACACTTTATTTATTTTTTCAAATGTTTTATTATCCTTATTGACACAAATGTAGTAACTGAAAAATAATATCCTCTTTCCTACTTCTTCTTCCCGAGGCAGACGTCATTCCACTTTTGCGGGGACTTTTAGCGAAGTGTCATTATGTGCAAAGAATGCGACAAAAAAGTCCTTTATAAAGCTTTTCTCACAAAGACAAAGATTTTTTAAAATGGGAGACATGGGAGACAAATAATATTTCGAAACAGAATGAGATGAAAAAATTTTTACCCATATGGATTTCTGCAATCGAAACGGATTCAGTTCAATTGAGCTACTCGAGAAAGAATCGAAAACTAGTTCTCTATTCTTTTCGTTCGTTTCTTTGATTTCAACGCTTGAAAGCATACTGAAATCTTCTACCTTTTTATCCTTCAGTACGGCGACACCTGGGAACTATTATTTTGAGTAGTGTTGTAATATTTTTCAAATATAGATATTTACGTTTTAAATGATTTAAATGACCAGATGAGCAAAACAGACATAAATAAATGAAAAGACGTTGAACACTGTTTCAATTTAATGATCTTGGTTTCCTTTCCAAATGAATGTTTATACATATATATTTAATCATCTGAGAAAGCTCGCATTCAGCTGGAAGGCAAGGCTTTCCTTCCCATTAGTGTTCTTTTCCTTTGGTATATATAATCATAATTACTTTCTTCGTTATTTACAAGAAATGGAAATCCGCTCTTCCCATTTTGTTAGTACTTTTGGTAAGTATATGATATAAATGAAATGCTTTACTTAACCTTAATCTTTTATTCTTATTTTTATTTTTTATTTTTCTAAAATTGAAAGGTTTATTTTTTATGGTATTTCTTTCGTAATAGTCCAACGAAAGAAGCTCCCGTAACCAATATTCACTTAGTCAACAAAACATTCTTTGTAACAAATTTCCAGGTAGATTTCATATGATAAACTTGATTTTTGACCGATATTTATAATTACAGTTCGATTAAAATCCCTACTTCTACTTTGGTTGTTTTCCCTTAGTCACCATCAATCCTCTTCACTTACAGTACAAAATCCAATTTTACATGGTTCCTCCTACATCTGGAAAAAAGCGATTACCATGCAAGATACTTGTTCATAATCTCCCCGAAGGGCTTCCGGAAGATATTTTCTTAAAGTCCATTGCGTCGTTTCACCCTTTTATAAATTGGCACCGGTATCATCAAGGAAAAAAGCAAAACCCGTAAGTGAGCTCTACATATTTTTTCTTACTTCTTATATAATTAATCATTTTCCTTCTCCTTGCTAGACCCCAACCAAATTTTCCTTCTTTCGCATATTTAAAATTTCGATCAGAAGCACACGTTCATGACTTTTTTCGCTTCTATCAGGGGCATGCCTTTGTCGACAAAGATGGTAAGAAAACAAATTGTTCCTGTTCTTCTTATTAATTTACCAGATCATGTCTACCGTGCTTTGGTACTAGTTGCTCCTTTTCAAAAAGTTCCACCTATTAAACTGAAGCCTGACTCTTTCAACGGAACCATCGAAGACGACCCTGTTTTTAAAAATTTTGTAGATAAGTGGAATGAGAGCTTAATGCCTCCTCCTCCTCCTTCGCCTTCTCACTATGCATACAATGCTTCAACTCCGTTGCTTCATTACTTAGCTGAAAAACGCGGCACAACTGGTACATCAACGAAACCAAAAAAATCAAAAAAGGAAAAAAAGCAAAGGTCCAAGAAAGTCAAGCAAGAAGCTTCACTCCCAAAGTCTGCTGTGACCTCAGACCAATCTACGGGCCATAGTTCCTCTCAATCTTTGGAGCCAAAAGAACAACTGAAACAAGAACTAATTCCCCCAAAACCTAAGAGCAAAAAAAAGGCAAAACCAAAAAAACCCATGAAAGCTTCTGCCTCGTCTACAAATACAGCAGATTCAGTGCCTAAACCCAATGAAAGTACTAAAGTAGTACCGAAGAAAATAGCTCCAAAGAAAAAGAAACCTCAAACAAAAGGGGAAAAGGACTAAATTCTTCGTAATAAACAGTTCTTTTTTCCTTTTTACGAGCCTCATGTTCAACCTGTTTTCATTGTTGTTATTTATACTATAAATATAAAATATTATATCTTGTTAAATAGAATTTACTTGTTTCACATATACTTCTTAACCTTTTCAAAATTTGCATAATAAATACATTAAGCAAAGAACAGCATATATCCTTTGATTGTCTATTATAAACTTCGTACAAGCATCTAATAATTAGGTTACACATAATAGGAACCAGCCGTTGGGAACGGCTGGTGACCACTTCTCTTTTTCTTTTATCTAAGGAAAAAAAAGAAAAAACAAGGTTATAGTAAGAAGTAAGAAGCCTTGATGTATCACAAGGGTAACAAATAGAAAAATACTTTCTATCTGAAAAGCTATAAGCTTCGAAAAAAACTTTTCGAAAGATTGAAAAGAGCATAAAATTAGAGATTCAAACATTATTTAGCGAATCATACGACTCACACCATCGCTCCGTCGGTTTTTGCGTCCACCTCGAACGGGAAGTTCAAAGTCAGCGTTACCGGATAACTGATCCAAAGTACTTGAAACTGGTACTAAATTAGCAGGGTTTCGCATTTCCGCTCTACTCATGGGGGGTTGCATTGACGGACCAGAGAAAGCAGAGCCAAGACTCGTTTGGGAGGGATTTTGATTTCTCTCGAGTGGGCTTCTAGAAGGTTTTGGAGTAGGTCGTTTGCTGAATGGACGAGGAACACCGGTAACGTTGGACAGGTCATTAGACGAACCGTTCAATGATGTAGGTGGTCTGCTGCGGTGGGTAGTAGGCATCTTGAGCTGAGCTGATGAGTTAACGTTAAAGTTATCTTTGGGTAAATCTTTATTATGTATGGGTTCATTTCCCGAAAAAAGAAGGTTTTGAACTTCACGGCTTTCAGGATGAGGAAACTGCGTGTCAACAGGAGAATCAGATACATGAGCTTGTTGCTTCATCGGAAAGCTGGTATCTGGTTCACGAGTTAAATGATTATTGGACTCAGTAGGGGCAAATGGCCTAGCAATCTTTCGAGAAGAAGGTTGGTCATTAGCGGAAGGAGAGAGTGAATCTTGATGAGAGCTTTCGAATTCAGTAGTAGCCATATTAGGATTAACATCAAAGAATGCAGAATTCGTGTCCTCACTACTGGTCGGGCTAGGATTAGATTTGGAGAATGGATCCGAATTAAACGCAGGACTGTTACCGTTTCTATTTGTGTTTAGAGGAGGAAAACCAGGGAGTCTACCAGTTTTGTGAGGAGAATATTCCTTATTGTCTTCTGCCTGAACTTGGGGTCTTGCAAAGTTGTTGGATGAAATCAAAGAAGGGGTCTTTATGTATCGGCCATCATCATAACTAGGAAGCTTTGAGAGAGTATCACGAGTAGGTGATTTGACAGATCGAGAGGGGGTTGGGGAGACAAAGCTTTGCTCATGAAAACTAGGAGACACACGTTTAGAAAATGGAGAGTCTTCCTGCTCGGAAGGAGGACCCAATTCAGAATTGGACGTTAAAGCATCATTGAATTTCGGCAGTGTAGCGGGAACGTTATTAAGCTTATCATCCATCGTGAGGGGATAATCCTCCTTTTCTTTATAAACAGAGAAACTTTCAACGGTGTCATTGGAAGGAGTGGTTTCATCATTTTTCTTGTGCATACGACCGATCGAGACACTACGGAAGCAAAGATGCAAGATTGCAAGTAGATCGCTTCCAATAGCGCCGGCAACAACATAAGATTGCCAAGTATTGTGAGGCAAAAACAGAGTAAGCTCGACGCCAAATGCACAGCAAGTCGTCAGAGTAGTAAGAAAAATAAACAGAATGTTAAAGATATTTAATCCCTGTTTCACAACGAAGATTGAAAGAAAGACTAAACAAGCACTTATAAAAGACATACCAGCGCTGATGATATGGGTTATCAAAACTTTGGAAAGAACATTACGTTTGTCCCCCTTGTAGTAGAAGTCTTGGACCAAAGAATCATCGACAGTGTAGCCGAAACTTGTTTTGGTGCAATGATCGCCATTGCCCGAGCAAGTACCGAAGATACCCAAGTAGGTGTCGTTAACCTTACCTAGCATCATCTTTGAGGTCGCAGGAACAGAAACACTGCCAATAATCAATAAAGCAGTAGAAATTAAAAGAAAGATAATCGTGAGAAAAGCAAGAAGAGAACGAATCATATTGAGGTATTGATTGTGGGTATAGATTATTAGAGATGTAAAAAACCAAAAGCAAGCTTGAACGAATGTAAGTTTCACCTTTCCAACGTAAACCTAAAAATCACACAAAAAAAAATCTATCAAGAACATGCGTTAAGCAATCAATAAAAATCTTTCCAAATTTAGCAAAGTACGATGACAGAGAATCCACACTTTCCGCAAAAAAGGAGAGAAACGAAGATATAACCGGGAGAATTAGGATTATAAACGAGATTATAAACAAATTAAATGTACAATAAAATTAACGTATCACAAGTATACAAAACAGATTTTACCTTACACTTTGGCGAATGCTGAATATCGATGTTCTCAAATGAAATGAAGAGATCTTCAAAATAAAAATTAAAACTAGAGAAAAAGAAGGTCGATTAGAAAAGAAGGAAATTTGAGAAAAAAGCCGCCCAAATGGTGTTGGTAGAGGGAAGAATGCGGAAGTAAATAAATAACTTAATTATAGTTTAGGGTAGGCTTGTCTGAGCCACTGATAAAGCAACTTTGCGAAGTACAACCATTGTTGATACATGACGTAAATATAAACAAACAAACAAACACAAGTGCCAAGGTGATAATGGCTTGTTCCCGCAAAAATGACCAAATATGGATGATAAACGAGTTGGGGCTGGCAAATGAGATCAAATGGATCAAGCAGATCGTGCTACATGTGGAGACAACCATTGGCAGTTTTCATTGCGAAGCAAACAAACGCAAATCAAAGGTGTAGTTGCTGAACTCGCTTCCATGTCATGCAGTAAACATAAACGCACAATGAGTCTAGCTAGTTTGGGGAAGCAATAAAGCAGGATATCCTTTGAACGTATGGTTTCGTTGGAATCGTTTCGTATAAAAAAAAAAGACGAAACAGCTTGTAAGCGATATTTGTTATTGGACACCAATATTGTTTTGTTTTTGCTTTGTTCATTCTGTTCAGTTTACTTTATAGCTTCTTGAATGACGATGAAGGCAAAAAATGACATGGCACCAAACACGATGAATAAACGCTTCGCTCCTTTATACAGTTTTGCTTTAGAAAAATCTCAATCCAAAAAAAGCGCGTTCCTTCTTTTATTTTTCTGTCGATTGTTTAGTAAACAGTATATACGTACGATGTTGGCATGAACTCAAACGACTTGATGGTAACGTCACCTTCTTTCCTGAAAAAAATGATCGGACTATAATTTGATGACTTCCCCAAAGCGTTTTTTTTTCTTTTTTCTTATTTTGTTTAATTCGACAACAGACCTAACATTCGTTGATTTTGATAGTTGAAACGTACACAACTCTTTTTGCCGGTAAATTATTCTTCCTGTTGTAAAAGCCTGTGGTACTTTGAGTTTTTTGAAGACCATGAGTGAGTCAAACGGGTCTGTAACTCCCTCACCTGGAAACGATGTTAATGCAATTATAAATATCGATAGTATCCATCCTACTCTAAGTCTGTTAAAGGCGTTGCCAGAATGCAATTTGGTTATAAAAAAGGAAAAAGACACCGATAAGAAAACTGTCAGAACTAGCTTTCCCTTGAAAAATCATAAAGACTTACTTCTTTCTGGAAGAGTGTACCATGATTATGATTTTAAGCCCCGAAAATCAATCATGGATCGTGCTACTGCTCCACAAGAGTTCGCAAAAAGTGAATTTCGTGGATTTTACGTTTTATTTTGGCTTTCCATGTTTGTCTGGATTGTACAATTATACGCAAAAAGTTATTGGTTACGGAACACCATTCTCGGATTGCCTATTGCCAAAATTGTCTTTCGTCAGTTCTTTGTTCTATTTGGCTCTGATTTTATCATGGTTCTTTTGACCTTCTTTTCCTTTGGCTTGCAATGGTGTGTCGAAAAGCGATACATTGTGTGGGCAAATACTGGCTATGCTATTCAACTAATCTGGCAAGGATGCTTCACGTCACTAGCTGTCTACTGGGTAATTCATCGGAAATTCCCGGTCATCCAATGTCTTTTTTTTACCCTACATTGTGCCGTCCTGGTTATGAAACAATTCTCGTATGCCCAACATTTGGGATACATGAGTAAAGCTCGTGAGTTACATGAAGCTTATGGTGATGTTTTACAGCTGATTCGAAATATCCTGAAAGAAGATTCAGACGAGGGACAAATGTATAGGTTTGAATTAGAATACCCTGATCATACTGAATCAATTGACGCTTTAAAAGCCGAAGAGGTTGTTGCTTTGACCATGAAATACCTTAGTCGCCAATTGCGGAGCGAGAAGGGAAACGTGGCTTATCCAAATAACTTGACTCTTTTAAATTACATTGACTATTTACTTGTACCCTCACTTGTCTATAGTTTGGAATTTCCCCGCGTCAGCAAATTTAATTTGAAGTACTTATTAGTCAAAGTAGCTTCTATATTTGGTGTCTTAATTATTTGCTTGGCTCTCGTGGACTGGTACTTTTTACCTACCGCTGAAAGTGTCCAAGGACTAGATTTTATGACAAAGCTTCACCATGCTCCATTTTTGATGAGCAGAATTTTGTTCCCTGCCGTTATTCTCTACTTGCTATTGTTTTACCTTACCTTTGACTGTATTTTAAACGCCTTTGCTGAAATAACCAAATTCGCTGACCGGGAATTCTATGGTCCCTGGTGGAATACCGTGACTTGGGATGAATTCGCCCGGCTATGGAATATACCAGTTCATGTTTTTTTGATGCGACATGTATATCACTCTTCTAGACAGAGAATGAACAAGACATGGGCTGTTTTCTTGACTTTTTTGTTGTCTGCCTTGGTTCATGAATTTGTAATGCTTCTAGTTACTGGAAAGCTTCGTTGCTATATTCTATTTATGCAGGTATGTGAATTGAATTCAGTTTGTACGTATGTACTAACATAAGTTAGCTCCTTCAGTTGCCCTTGTATGATTTGTGTCAAATGTCTGGATTAAAAAACAGGGCATTACTGGGTAACCTCTTCTTTTGGATTGGAATTTTTACGTATGTTTTTTCTCAACGTGTTGAATTTTAACTAACTTAAAAATTTAGTGGTCCTTCGTTTCTTTGTATCCTATATATCGTATTTTAAGAAACAAAAAAAGGAGGAAGGTAAAGATAAAGGCTACTTTAGAACGTATTAGAGATTCCTCGTATGTTTACTATTCTGTGTCTATGTCTTATGATATTTATGATGACAAATATTGGTTTCCTTAAGGAGATATATCAGCTCCTTGAATGAAAGAAAAGGATCTGCTTTCTAAATCAAATTAAAGCTTACCTATCATTATTTTTATTGTTGTTATTATTACTATTTTATTTTTCGTATGAAATGCAATAGACAGTTTCGACTTCGTTTTCTATCCACATGTCACATATACAGGTCAAAAGACAATGTAGCATCTCCACATCAGATTTCTAGTAAGCAGTGAACTGTATTCCTTTTTGATAAAATGTAAACAAATAAAAGAGCACAGTTCGAGCGGCAATCATATTGAAAATTTATCTTATAATGATATCCTATAAAAGAGATTAGAATTGCACAATATCCAGATGAATCAGCATATGCACAAAACTCTTTCCATTTGCTTGTATACCTTTCCATATACCTATAAAACACCATAGTGTGTTGATATTTGATTGATTTTATTCTTTTTTGAGAATCGAGAGACACTTTAACTTGACTCTGGGAGATAAAGATATTGAGTGCCTACTTGTGTTTTACAGGTTTTTATATTTTTGTTTAACTGAGACCATTTTTGTTATTGCTTTCCTTCAATTACTTAATTTTATCTTTTTCGTTTTAAAAAATGGATCCTTCTCAAGCTTCGAGTACACAGTTAAGTGCAAAGTCTTTGTTTAATCCTGATCACTTAAAGTTCATAAATCAACAACTTTCCCAATTGAGTCCTCAAGATATTCTTCGTTGGAGTAGATGGACAATTCCTCAACTGTTTCAAACGTCTGCATTGGGTCTTTCCGGATTGGTGATTTTAGACATGCTGTCAAAAATGGAAGTGAAAGTTCCAATGATTTTCATTGATACCCTGCATCATTTTCAGGAAACCATGGATCTTTTAGAAAGGATAAAAAAGACGTATCCAGAGGTTCCCGTTCATGTATATCATTGTGCCGAAGCATCTTCCGAAGAAGAATTCGCAAAAAAATTTGGCGAGAAACTCTGGGAAACAGACGAAAATAAATATGATTTTTTGGTTAAGGTTGAGCCTGCTAATAGAGCTTACTCTGATCTTGGTGTGCTTGCTGTTTTTACAGGTCGTCGGCGCAGCCAAGGAGGAGAACGTGGATCTTTGGATGTTGTACAGGTTGATGGACCTGTTATTAAGATCAATCCTTTGGCCAATTGGTCCTTTGAGCAAGTATACTCTTATATCAAGGAAAATAACGTTCCCTACAATGAGCTATTGGATAGAGGGTATCGGTCTGTTGGTGACTATCACTCTACCCAACCTGTGAAAGAGGGTGAAGACGAGCGTGCAGGACGCTGGCGTGGTAAAGAAAAAACTGAATGTGGATTGCATACACAAAGCAAGTTTACTCAATACTTACAGAGTTTGAAAAAAGAATGAACAAGACGTTTAAAACTCAATGAAGAAACAACAAAGATCATAGAACGTACTCTATATGGCTGGACGGACGTACTTTAGTGTGAAACTGAATTAATCTGTTTCTGCTTAGACTGTTCTTTTCTTTTAAGTAATTCATATTATATTATAAATTTCTTTGTTAGATAATCCTTGGAATCAACCAATGCTGCTAATTCTATAAAACTTATTTAGACCGTGGAAATGAAGCAATCATAAAATAAAGACCACGATAAAAAGCTTTGCTATCTTCAAACGTGTACGATGAATAGTGAATAAAAAAGGTTGTAATCGTATTTTTCATTTTTTTAAATGTTGTTCAGGAAGCAATTCTTTAGTTTCCTTTCGATAGGTCATAATACTATCTGACTCAAAGTCTGGTACGAACAGTAGACAAAGGATCCTACAGCCATGTTTCGTAAGAAAAGAACAGCCTCAACTCCGAAAGCCTTTAACTTAGGCAATTCATTAGAAGACTTGGGGCTCCAAATAACTTCAGATTATCGGCTACGTAAACAGCGTTCTCCAGATGAATTGTACGAATTTTCTGTATCCAAAGACAAAGCATATAACGAGCATTATTATCAAGCCGTTTTAGGTAATTAAGATTCATGTTTAATTCTATTAACACTCGTCAAAAGAGCATATCCACGATTGGACAATAGCGACTTGTATGCTTCAGGCCATTCCAATTTCTGCAAAGGAAAACAAGACAGACGAGCCTTATGCATTTGTTTACACTACAAACAATTGGAGAGAAAATACGAAAGGCTTGGTAATAATCGTTCAGTCTTTATCGCATCCCTTAATTTGGACCAACAGGAACGTTAAGGAGCATGATTTGAGAGATGCAACTGTTGTAAACATGATCTGCGGGTGTGTAAACATGGGATATGCTGTTGCTATTTTCACACCTTCTGCTTTATTGTGGGATACACACAAAAAAATTCCAAGGGTACAAGTAAATCGGTTTCAGCTTTCTGCTAACCTTCGATACTAGACTATTTCTTCTTTCATTTCTCTGGGAGACCAGATTACAAAGCAGAATTATATTCCATGTACGTGTAGTGAAGCAAGAGTTTATAGACATTCGTCTCTGACTTTTACAGCCATTAGATCACCCGAGGAGTATGTGACTAAAGGATTAAATTACATTCTATCGCAATCCAAGGCCTTAAAGATATATTACATTGGAGCCGAATATGGTTCTCAACCCTTAAACATGTACTTAGACCGAAATTGGGAAACATTATCATCACGAGCTGCATCTGTCATCTTACTTATGAATATAACTTCAATATATGAGCTCAACAACCAAAATTATTTAAATTACTTGTCAGAGGTTCGTAGATCTTGGAATGCCCAGTTTCAAGTTTGCGAAAAGCGCTAACAAATTGTCTAGAATTGTTGGAACTACAACCCATCGAATAGACCAAAGCAGGAATTGCTGGTGGATTTGACAGCAGCTACAGGATTGAAGACTTTCTCATGTGGTACGCAATTCAAACTAGAAGTAAGCAATGGCACTAACACATCAGGTGAATTTATTGAATTTATTTATGATGACATTACGAATATTTTGCTTGATAAGATGAAAAATGAATCATGAATTCTCATTTTACAAAGAGAGCGTAGGCACGTCTGCCAAGCTAATGGAATCATATGTAGTTTAACAAATTCCTTATTATACAGGTAAATAAATCAAATGTTAGTATCTATAACAGAAGAAACCATTTTTCCAAACCGATTTCCCAATAATGTAATCAACCATATCCGAGCCCCAGTTATTTCTGAAGATATTTTTCCCATAAAGCTTGATGAACACCTCTTAATTCTATAAACAGCCTTCTTGTTTCTCTGAGTTCCATCTCTGTAGATTCTGCTTTCGCACGCCATCCAGATTCCGTATTATGAGTCTAAAAACAAGTGTTAGAAAAATGTTACAAACTACTATATACATACCATTAATTCAGAACTAAGACACAGGATATCAGGTGCTTGCATCAAAGCTTCTACGCCATCATCATGAACCATCATATTCACATCTGAATATAAGTAATCGTCCGTAATCATGCGTTTTAAAACAGGAAACACGTTTTGGACGCTGGTGAAGAAATTTATTTTATCAATCAAGCACTTCAAGAATGTTACGGGAGAGGGATATTGGATTAGACGCCTTAAAACTTGTCGGGATACAATGTCCCAAACTAAAACATTACCGTCTTTATCGCCAGTAATAATTAAAGAAGCGTCAAATGATAAAGCAACTGTCGTGATAGGAGAGGAACTAGACACTGTATGAGCATCCTTACTTTCGTTGGCATCCACAACTCTGCCCATTCCACCTACCGCAGAGGGAACAGAGGAAGGAAGGGTAGCACCCTTCGTAGTACTATAGTTGTTCTCGGGAAGGGAAGTTGAATTCGTGTATAAGGGGATCCAAATAAGGCCTTTTTCGTTACCGACATATATGATACGTTCGGCTGGATCAACCGTCATACACGAAGGCATGCTATTAAGAGCAATTGTAGTCAAAAGGTTACCTGTGCTAACATCCCAAACACGAACAGTGCTGTCTTCACTGGCGGTGTATAGACGACTAGATATAGAAGGACCGGAGCCATTGATAACAGAGACGATAGCCCGTTTATGTCCAGAAAGACTTTTAAAAGGTTTTATCGTAGAACCTCCTGTTAGCCCAGCCATGTTTGACCGATCAACCAAAGAAGACATTAACCATACATTGATGTCTCCATCGTTCGAAGCTGTATAAGCTAACATTCCATCGCCTGAAAAAGAAACGTGAGTCAACGGCTGGTAATGAGCACGAAACGCATGAATTAAAGCTCCGGAAAGTATCGACCAAATATATAAGCTGCCTTTCTCTGTACCGCCAATTAGCCAAGAGTCACATGGACTGACAGCGGAAGATATAACGACTTCCGGAAGGATGATAGTCTGATCTAAGTTCTCCTATAAATTCCTGTATTAGTTTTCAAATCATTGGATACACAGCTTGGCCAAGATGTCCCTTATATTTACAGTAAAACCACGTGTGCTATCAACGCCAACAAAATGCTCGAGAACTTACCTTTCCAAATCCATGTACATTTAGTTGTGGTCTGCGCCTTTGAAAGGACAACAAATGCGTTTTTGTAGAACAAGCTGCTTGTGGAAATGGTGTACTTTGACGAAACGTGCGAATCAATGTCCCAGTATGTAAATTATGAGCGATTACATTGCTCGGTTCATTTCCAGTTGTCTCGTAGCCTGACAATAAAAGCTCCATCAAGGATAGTCAAATGTTGGTTTTTTCTATATGTGAATTTCTGCTATTCAGCTTGATTTTCAAATAAGGAACTACAGTAAACTGCGGTAAATAGTTTGGAGTGAATAGTATAGACGAATATAAGGCAGAAGAGGAGGGAGGTATCATGAAGAAATACAAAAGAATAAACCATAAATTAAGTAAAAATTAGTCCTAATAATACATATCAACGAACATTTGAGCATTTTTTTTGTTAGCATTGAACTGCCTGATCTAGTTTCGTCGGTGACTTTATAACTTGTAGCGTTGAAAGGAACGAAAAAAGAAAAGAAAGCAAATAAATTACTGAGCTTGTAATAGTTAACTTGAAAGAATTCCCAAATCCAAACGCCAAAATCATCTAGAAGGAAGTTGAGGATGTGAAAGTGTATGAACATCTTTAGCCTTATTTTCGTTTGGGAACTACAGATATCTTTTAGCCTAAACACAGAAATGTACTTGGCAATTAATAAATAAAAGTGAATATGAACCCGAAATTAGAAAAATGCAGATCCCTAGTATTTGTAGCCATTAGAAAACAATAAAAGCCGTAAATGCAGAGCCAAAGTAGTCTTTGCTCTTTGTTTTTAAAGCGAAACATTGAATGTATGTTTCAATATGAAAAATTACTTACACATCACATCATCTCATGAAAGCCCGTCCATCCATTCTCCCGTAAACAAGTCAAGCCTTTCATGAATATCTAGTTCGGTTTATGGACAGCTCGATGACGAGCATGACGCTTTCCATGAACAGATTCTCTCCTTTCTTGGGAACAAGAAAGGTTCTCTTCATCCTCACAACTTTTCGATCGTTTTCGTGTGGGAGGAGGTGATACATCGCGTCGTCTACTTAATCGACCGCTGGGAGAAGGCGAAACCTCGCGTCGCCGTTGCTTTCCTTTTTCTGCTCTTCTGGATCTCTCTTTAGCGTCGTCGCTTCTATTTTCCACGTTCATGTTGTGAGATCGAACATTGCGCATCATATTGTTTAAAAAATTTGTATTGGGCCGTAGCTTTTGAGCATTGGAGGCTTGAGAGCTCGATTCCCCACGTTCATTTAGTTTATTCTTCTTTTGGGCTTCTACCACTAATAACTTCGCGATATATTCATCAAATGTATAGCCGGTCATATTTCTCTAGAAACCCCACCTCCTAAAGAAATATTTTTTGCTTTTTAAGGATAAAGAATTACTAAACATCAAGAAATCATTCACGAGATATCCCAAGTCTAATTATTCTAACTTACTATCTGAATAAGAAAAATGGCTATGTAGTTGCGTTGGTTTCCGGTAGCATGAACTTGGCTACACTGGATCCTTTTTTGATGGAATGCCTTGCACTTATCGTTCTTTCCAAAACATATAAAATTAGATAACTAAATAAATGCAATAAAATACAATTGAAAAAAAAAACAGAGATGTTGCCAAAAAAAGCAATGCTGGTTTCGTCTGTTCTCTACAGTAAATAAATCGAAAAAGTGTAAGCAAAAAAAATTACTAGACGAGGAATGAGACCAAATCACTTTTTGTAAGATCTGAAATAGAAAGAATGAATCTGGTAGGTTTGGAAAACCACTGTTGCTTCTTGATATAATTTCACTGCTCACAATGACGGACAATGATGGACATGTTGATTTCGACTTGAAAACAAGACTCAATTTTCTCAATTCTTATGTTTCCAGTAAAAATGATTGAAAAACTATTGTCGTTCATTCACATATTTCCAGATTCCATATGATGACCTCTTGTTTACGAGAAAAACGTTTCCAAGAACCACCATGCAGGTTTCTCATATAAAACCTCAATTTTATTTTTTTGCTTCTTTATATTTATTTTAATTAAACCAAATAAAAGGAAAGAAATCTGTTCTTCCCACTCACAAACGACACTCCCATAGGGAAGCCATGGCAAATAACACCCCCGCATAGTATAGTATAGCGTACCAAAATGGGGGCGAAAGTGGATCTGTAGCTCACATAGAAACTTAGCATCTGCCTTTTTATTTGGCATTCCTTTATTTTTACGCATTATTTATTAAAGGAAATAGACAAAATTGGCTAATATAACGTTTGAAGGAGGTTGAATTGACCATGGGGTCGTTAAATACGTCGAAAATGCCGACGGAGTTGATAGACAACCAATGCGTCGATTTGTTAAATGGATCAGTTTTGACAGAAGACGACTCAAGAAAAAAGGACGAATTACAGGGATTTCCTGTCCCAAGAGTGCGAAAGGTTACGAAAACTCGGAAACCAAGAGTAAAATGGACTGAAAAAGAAACAAATGACCTTTTACGTGGTTGTCAAATTGTACGTATATACAACTTTGCAATTCTTTTGCATTTCTATTTAATAATTGCGACTTTTACTGACTCATAAATTAGTACGGCGTGGGCAATTGGAAAAAAATCCTGATGGATGAGAGGTTTCATTTTGTGAATCGCTCTCCAAACGACTTGAAAGACAGGTAAGTTTTGTGGCAGGCTTATTTATGCGTGTTTCTATTTCTACGCACTGTGGTACACCAAACAGCGTATACTAACCAGGATGGCAGATTTCGAGTTATTCTACCAGAAGATTACAAAAAGTTTTACCCTAATGCAAGAACGCACATGGGGAAAAACCAAAAGATCCCGCATACGCCAGGAATGGCAAAAGCGTCTCGTAAAGAGCGAAAACAGTTTACGCCCGAGGAAGATGAACGATTACTGGAGGGTTTCTTTTTGCACGGTCCTTGTTGGACGCGAATCAGCAAGGACGCAAGCTTGGGATTGCAAAATCGCCGTAGCACAGACTTACGAGATCGGTTTCGCAACGCTTTTCCCGAGCGATATGCTGCTGCCGGGTTTAAGTTGAAAAACAATTCTGGACTGCGTGCAAAATATGACCAAAGTAATTATTTAATGAATGATCCTTCTTCGACGGAAGCTGCTGCTGCTGCCGTTGCTGCAGTCGCAGCCGTCGCTGCCGACCGTCAAGAAGCACCATCCCAAAATTCTAGTAAGGACTCTACACAAGATCCTTCAGCAGTATCCGTCACTTCTGATGACTTGTTAGAGTGGTCAAACCAAAATTTGAATTCTTCCTTTTATAACGCTGATCGTCAACAGCCTCAATATGCGAATGAATCCTTTTTACTTAGCCAAGCATTACCTGAAACATTTCCGACCAACGCTTTACATTCGTTTCCACCTTATGATGCTCTATTTCCCACTGGGAATCCTTCTTCCTTGCCTTCTGAGTCACAATCTTCTGTTCAGTCATTTCCGTTTTCTGTGCAACAACCTCCTGTACACTTGGAACCCCCGCTAGAGTCTAATCAAATCCACTCCTCATTGTTTTCGACACCTAATGTTGCTGATCTGCATTCTTTTTCACAATTCCAGCAAGCTCATCAGCACCCTTCTCTCCCTCCCGGGGAATTACCGTGGGTTAACCGAGGTTAGTTCGTTTTCCCCCGGAACACTAAGTTTCAACTCCATACTGGTAAACTAGGAAAAGTTCTTGGTTTTTTCTTTTCTTTGTTACGCGTTTCATATCTATATATATTTATGAAAATGAATGGCATAAAAATGTCGCTGTTCTCTCCAAAGTGGCATTCTGCCAATACAAATTTGGCAAAGAATGTAGGAACATTGAGACCATTGGCATTTTCTCGATTTATGAGTCAACAGCCCATTAGAATGCTAGATATCCCCTTTATGAGTATGGATAAGTACCTATTCTGCTTATTTCTAACCTGCTTTTCATTTAGATTGCTATGTAGAGCCAAAGGATGAATACTCGGTATTTACACACCCTTATTTAAAGCTTCGTCAATGGTGGAGGTCTTTTCGTTATAGAAATATAAATATTTACAAGAGTCGGTATTTTTTACGCCGAAATTTTCCCGGTCGTGCTTTCAATATGAATTCCATAGTCGGAGAGGCTGTTCGTTTACACTCGTCAGTCAATTGTGCTTTAGCTAGGTAAGCACACTTGAACACTTATGAAGTGACATAAGGATAATATTATGCGGTCGGTTTGGTTACTAATCTACTTTTTAGCCATGATAGTCAGGTTTTAGAAAATAACTGCACTCTTCGTGCTTCCCAAATTTTACGAAATCAATTAAAGCAACTACCGAAGTGTGAATGGAAAGTTGAAAAACACCTAAGCTCTCCAAAATTGCTGAATTTAAGTTGTGCTCAAGCTGATATGCAAGGAAACGAATTTTTTATTCAAGCTATTGTTCGACTACATACTCTGCAATCAGTAAGTATCGATCAAGCATCTCCTTCATCGAAACGTTTAAAAGAAGAAATAGAGAATGTTGTTATTCAACAATGTTCTTGGATCCCTCCTGTACGCTGGCAATTTTGGGGTCTTGTCTCCTCCACGGCAGCAAACGCAGTAAAAAAGAAACTTCCTGATGGACAAACGGCTTTTGTTGAACTAAAAATAAGCCATCGTCAATGAAACCAAAATAGTAGCTTATTTTGAGTTTCTTAATTTTGTTTATCATATACAAAACGCAGCATTCAAAAGATTAGTGTAATTTATACATTTAGTAGATAAGAATCATAATAATTAATTAGATCTCAAACGTTAGTATTCTCATAAGGATAAATGTCAGCCCTGAACCATCGTAAATAGTCAATTAAGCAATTAATCAGTTTAGTCATAAGAAAATGTTGAACGATTGTTGGCATTCAGACCCAAAGCAGCACATGTCTCGTAAAATAAATTAAACTTTTCCATACTGTAGTTGATATAATCAAAGGAGGTTGAGCCGATGGGAGGAACGTTGGAAGAGGCAATCTTCGAAGGGGGAGAATCCGATTTATCTTCTCTTTCACTGCTTACGCTAAGATCTTCCCAGTCATCGTCGGTTTCTTCGCATTGCATAACACCCCACAAGGCCCAAACGGCATTCACCGCCGGACTAATAGCTCGAACTGCTTCCTCAAGCTGCTGTACTGAAGTGTCAAATTCCAATTTAAGAGACTCGGGAAGGACGCTGGTTAATTCTGAAGCGTCTTTTACTACTAGTTTTTTGAATAGAACAGCGCTTTGCTCGACATAAGCACGATAAAACCGTTTACGAGCTTCAGAACTGGGATATCGAGAACGATCCATCATATGACTTTGGGTAGGGTGATGATAATTTGCCATCCATTCGGCGAAATAATTCGCAATATCATAGGCTCGTATATTAGGACCCGCATACTCAAAATCGACAGGAACAAGTATGTGGTGTCTATTTTCTGGTTTAAAAGAGCGACGTTTAGTTTTAATCTGTAGTATATTCCCGTATTGAGTATCATTATGGGAGAAGACGAGCTGCAAGGAGGGCCAATGTTTTTTATCACTTGCCCAATTATTAAACCATTGAAAATAATCATGAAAATCTTTTTCAACGGCGTCTAAAAAGTTTGTAGTTATAGATAAAGAATGCTTACGGTTTTGTACATTTCTTCTGGCCAAAGGAAGCCAGCTGAAGCAAAACTTCCACGCATTAGGCAATTCGTACAGTTCAGTAGGACTTAATTGTATAACATAATGGAGTTCGGAGATACGACGCGCCACATAAATGGAACATGTAGGATCTCGAATTGTCTCGGGCGTTAGTGTTGTGGATTCCATATACTGTTCAAAACGGCCATTACCAAATTCACCAAGCAAGCGGGGACCAATGTTATGTTTAGCTAGACGTTTCAAGTTTTCCAGTTCAACGAAACGATTAATAAACATTTCTACATTTGGTCCGTAAATACGCAATAAGAGTTTGATGGCTTTACATCCTTCAGGAGGAGCGATATAATAGACAGCGTTCGTTAGCGCACCAGAAATTCTTCTAATTATGAGAGTCGGATGAGAAGCTACTGGTACTCGTGACCAGGTAGGGATAGCTAATTTGTGAATTACCAGTAAAACCTTATGTCGGAGAACGTGATCAGGATCTTCAGTGTGTAAAAGAGATTTGCATTTTTTAGAAACGTATGCATTGTCGAAACAGAAATCCTCTTCATCTGATAGAACAGGCATTTTATAGGGTATTAGGGTAAAAGTTTAGAAAAAGGGTCTAAAGGATTATGGATGAACGTATTGAAGTAACTCAGAGCTTATTGTATTCTCAACAATCCAACGGGTTTCTATACAAAGTCAATTCAAGGCGTCAGTAATGCTATTTGGAATCCTTTTATCAAAGTAGGAATTAAGTGTTCGGAAATTGTTAGCGACAGCGTAAAAAACCGGAAAATGTAAGAATCGAGTTCGCTACGATATATCTATACTGACACGTAGTGGTAAATCCAACAATACAAAACCAACTTGCTTTGAAGAGAAAAGATAAGCGAAGAAAAAAAAAAAACCTAAGAAACAAAAAAAGAAAGCTCGAATCTAGATTTCTATATGTCTAAAAGCATATATTACAGAAAAATAAACCACCGCTAATCACAACAAAATTTGCTAAAAAAGAGTAGAAAGCCAATTAAAATATTTCTCTTTAAACAATCAAAAAAGGAATAAAAACCAAGTATGAAATAAAATGTTGTGAAGCGTGTACACCAAACAACCTGATGGTGAACGGTTAAGTGCAGCCAACCCTCCTGCAAAAGATCTAAATTTTGTACGATTATCGCTACCGTAAATATCGCAAGGAATCTTAGAATATTTACTCACTGTATATAAAAAAAAAAAAAGAACAAGAACGCAGATAGCATTCATTGATACATAATGCGTATTGTAAAATATACAAGGAGCTCTTACTTACAATTTAGATAGAAAAGATTGAGAAATGAATTTCATTTATTAAGGATCTTGATTAAAACTAAACCTTCAAAAAACGGGAATAGAATAGAATATGGCTACTATAGCTGCGCCATATGTTTTTTATTTTTTGCCAGTTTAATGCGCAATAGGCATCTGTGCGAGTTACCAAAATAATGAATATCGACGATAGGACTTACTCAGAACCGCTTATATGAGAAGCGGAAGAAGCCCCGTAATAATAAAGGTTTCCAGGTGCATAACAAAATTCGGGATAAGGGTAATATGGATAAACAGACTGCAAACCAACAGCGGTAGGGCTTACGGGAGTCATGGATGGATGAAAAGGATAAGTCAAGGACGAATTTGCAGGATTTGCAGCAGGAAACATTGCTCTTGGTGAAGGAAGGAAAGAAGGAGAAAACATGGGAACCTGGTAAGAAGAAACCGGATAAGTAGAAGGGGGAAGAACTCGAAATTTGACACGTAGAGGTTTCTTTTGGAAAAAAGGATGGGGTTTATTGTTAACGGCGTTGAAAGCAGCTTGCTGGGAATCAAATTGCAGAAAAGCAAATGCAGGTTTGTTCGACTGGCGAATGAATTTGCAATCCAAAACTTTACCATATTCAGAAAAGAGTTCAATGAGAGAGCCACGCGTGCAATTTTTAGAATCTAAATGGTCGACAAAAATTGAAAACGGATCGACGAACGGCATAACCGGTTGGAAGTATGGGTGAGTCGAGGGAATAAAGGAAGGATATTTAGGTGGAGAAAAGGTTGACTTGGAAATACTCGGAGATTTGCTGCTGTACTTTGATTGGGAGTAAGGGCTGGTGCAGGGAGGGCTCATGGATTTGTTCGGTGTAGACATATTACTACAATTATCAGATTTGGTAGCTGAATTAGGAGTAGTCAATGAAGAAGAAGAAACCGGGGTAGGGCTAGCCAAAGATGGCATATTGGAATAATAGGGGAGGTTAGTAGATACAGTAGACGGGTTCGAAGTTTCTTGAGAGGGAGGATTTCTGTGAGATTTTTGAAGAGAGACCGAGTTGGAAGAGGAAGAACTTTTTAGTGGACGGACGTGATTGAAGGAGGAATTAGGATATTTTTTTCGGAAGATGGATTTAGCAGAGACATTCTCGGCCCAAACGACTTTATAGTGAGAATTCCGCAGGCTCATGAAGGCAGAGATGGCATCATCTCGATAGACGAAGCGAACCAAAAAGCCTGAGCGATCGTTTGTTTGGACAAGCTCCTCAACGAGACCATAGGGTTTGAGGAGTTGGTACACATCAGTGGTAGAAAAACTAGATGGATCTGATGGATAAGCCAGATAGATGCTACGATTTACTTTGGCTCGTTCGATACGAATGCGACGGCCATCAAGCAAAGTATTTTGAGCTTCTTTCAGAGCAGTAGAAGCGTCCTCGACGTTGGCAAACTGCACGAAAGAGTAGGAGCGTTGAAGCCAGTCTTTTAGAACCTTGACATGAAGCAAGGGACCCCATTTTTGAAAATAATTCTCGACGGAAACAGTGAGCTGAGATTCAGTGAGGGAAGAATTCAAGCTACCGACAAACAAGCAGGCAATGGGTTTTCCTCGTGGGTCTGGGAGCTTTTTAGAAGGGTTAAGGACGGTGCATTCGGTAAGCTGATCTGACGAAACGTTAGGGGATATAGCATGTGGGGTTGTGTTTGTAGAGACTGAGGGTGACGACAAAAGAGGGTAGCAAGCAAATTTGTGGCCTGGCGAGCCAGATTTGGAGATGGATGATGTCGGAGAGAGAGAGGGAGAGGTTGTGACAGAAGCTGGAGCATTGGAAGAATCCATGATACCAAAATAATATTAGGAAAGAGAGAAAGACACTTTTAGAGCCCGCACCAATAGAGAAGAGAGTTTAAATTATTTTCAAACGAGCAAGTGAGAAAGAAAGAAAATGAAAAGGCGAACCGATGGAAAAATAAAGTGATGATAGAAACGAGAGTAGTCGAGTGGGTGGATCACTGTTGATGGTAAGGATCACTTTTTTAAATTACCAAAGAGAAAAAGGAAATCAAAGGTAACAGACATACAGGAAGAAAAAAGGTAAAAAAACCAAACGTCAAGTGTCAAACAATTTAAAGAGGGAAAGAAAAAAGATTAAATGCAAGCGAAAAACCAAAGTAAAAATAAAATAAAATACAATAAAATAAAAAACAAAAGGTAAACAAAAGTGAGATTCTATAAGGCGGAATAGAAGCAGAAAAGGAATGATAAACCAAAAATGGAAGGGGGCAGAGGGAACTGAAAGATTCCAATAAAACGTGTGTGTGTGTGTGTGTTTTTTTAGTCTGATAAGGAAAGAAATAAGGAAGGAAAGAGAGAGAAGAAAAAAAAAAAGAGAGGTCGAAAGGATAGATAGAGAGCAGGAATGGAGGGATCAGATTCAATCAGATAATCTAAATTTCGTATACCTTGTACGTAGTAAGTAGTAGCAAGGCGGAGGAGTGTATTGATTTGTTGTATATAGGGAACTAATTATATACTATAAATGGTTTTAATTGGAAAGAAAAAAAAAGGAAAAAACAAATAAAGGAGAGTTGAAATTTGTAATTCAATGAGAAACCGACAAAAAAAGAAAATAACCCAAAAAATAATAATAAAGTACAACAAATAAGAATATCGATCCAAAATTTAAAGAACAGGAGCGTAATTAAAAAAAAAAAAAAAAAAGAAGAAAGAAACAGTAAGTGACAGCAACACACTAACGATGGAAGGGAGCGTGCAGCATATTCGTACATATATATATACAAAAAAGGAAAGGGTAGGGGTATGTATGATAAGGGAAAAATTCTAGCCCAAAAGCATTAAACCAACCAAAGATTAAGAGGAGAGCGAAAATGATCTTGATACAGGTAGCATAAGTTACAGAACCTGGTTCGGTGAAATCAGATGCGTGTGTGTGTCAATGAGAGATAAATTGAGAAGTGGTGAAAAAGGGACAACGTGATAAAGTTGAAGGGGAGGGGGGATAGGGGGCAAAGTGTGGAACCAAGATAAAAAGAAGAGGGAAAATCCACCAACAATAAAAAAAATGGAGAATAATTAAAAAAAAAACCCATCATTTCAAAGGAATCTTAAGGCTAGAAGAGAAGTCAGGAAAACAAAAATTGACTAAGGATATCTAGAGGGTAACGATGGTCACAAACTGGTAATGAGATCATAAACAAATGAAAAGTATATGAGAAATTGTAATTTGCGGTTCTTTAAATGGAACAAGAGAAGGAGAAAGAGTCAAATATTTATTATAATGGAATCTATTTCCACTGGGTTCTTAAAGAAAAAAAAATGTTAAATAAAGAATAAAGAAGGTATCAGTGCAATGTTTGCGGTTGAAAAAAAAAAATATATATATATATTTTGTTTATGTTTGTTCGTATTGTTTTGTTTCTCTATGGCAAATCTATCTCTGACAAAATCAACAGAAGACCGCTCAGGGAACACACATGTCTATGCCATGTAGTGGTGAACCCCTCCAAAGTCGAGGAAAGGGGTGGGAAAATTGACAGGATAAAAATGGACGAAATTGGATTAGGAGGAGATGTGGTTGGACAATGACATAGATAGCGGAGAAAAAGAAACAAAATAAAGTTCAATAAAAATCAAATCACGAATTCGTGAACGAAAAAGGTGAAATCATTTTTAATTTTTACAATTTCCAAAATTCGAGATTACATAATTTTCAGCGATGCGTGAGATATTTTCTAATGTTTTTTCCAAGCTGAGTAAGAGGTCGTTTGAATGGAATAAGGAAGGAATAAAAAAGAAATTTTTTTGACAAGTTCTCTTTTTGTCTTGTTTATTTTTCTGTGGTGTCTTGGTTTTCTATTTTAGTTTTCGTTTGCTTGAACGATGATGATAATGAGTCTATCGAAACGAGCCGATTGCCAAAAAAAAATAAAGACAACGAACGAATGTTCAACTTGAAATCTGTCACTATCTGTCTGTCACAATAGGTGTCTTGTTTATATTATACATACTACAAACTCTGTGATATAAGGAAATTGTTGAATGTTAAAAATCACCATAAGACTAAAGGATGATGATATATTACACATTGTAAACAAACAATTAAAAGCGTGATACAAATAGAGATTGAATCATCAGTCATAGGATCACTAATTAATCTGATTGAAAAAAAAAAACTAAAACTAAAACTATATATACTCATCAGCCTATAGTTAGATTCTTCAGACTAGAAGGTTCGACCGGTATGACTGAGAATAATACTCCTATTTATATATAATAATATGATGATATAATAAATCAATAGATTCAAATCTCTTTTTTCTTGCTGTGGACTAATTCTACTCCCCCCATCTGTAATCCTGACTAGTGTTTTTCTACACCAGCAAGATCTACCAATAATACATATACGTAGTACTATGACCTCTTTGTACAGTAGTTATTATCTATTTTTCTATAATTTTAACTGGATAGGAAATGCTAAATGCAAACAATAAAAATGAATAAAAAACGTGTTCTTGTTTTCTTATTTTTTCTTATCTGTAATAATAATAATAATAAATGAACTTCAAGTCGAGAATACGTGCTTGTAAAGAGAGGGGAGAAAACAAAACGTTAAGAGAATCCAAATTTTTTATATCATAATTTAAGAAGAAGGTGACCAAAGAGATTGACAAGCCTTTAATTGTTCTAAATAATAAGAACAGTGATCAAAGCCATGTTGATTCATACACTCAGCAAATGTCTTGGCTTCTCCATTGCAAGCATTCTTGGACTCTTCAGCACCGGCATCGGAAAAGGCAGTCGTTGAACCAAATCCGGTTTCGGCTTGAGAAGGAGCCGCTGCTGGCGCAGAGTTGTCTTGTGCAGCAGGAGCTGAACTTCCACCACCAAATGCACCAGTAATTAAATTGCCCATCGTATGACCAATTGTACTACCAATACCTACACCAGCAGCTGTACTAACCAAATTACCGAAAAAGCCTGTACCACCTGAGGAAGGGATGGCCGTAGGGGGAGCAGCAGGAGCGGCTGCGGGAGGTTGTGCGTGCTGAGCAGGAGGGGCAGCTGGACGAGCAGGTTGGGCAGCAGAAGGAGCCATACCAGGAGAAGCAGCCATGGTAGAAGCAGGTCGTGAAGAACCGGGCGTGCGGCGTTGGCTGGAAGCGGGAGCTGCTGCAGTACGTCTACGAGGCATGATGATGATCAAAAATAATATGAACCAAGCTGTTGGTTTCCAAGAAAAAAGAGTGAATAAAAAAGAACTATGATATCCTTCAACGTTTCACAAACACCAAGGACGTGATATGGTTGATGGAAGAATCAACTTTTGCCATCGACCTCCATTATAAATTCGTTCTCTTTCCTAGGCTTTCATTGGTGTTTTCTCTTCTTTCCATTGTTCCAAGTGACAACACAATGTAACTTGAACTTCAACAACACAACCAAACCGGACCAATACCTTTTCAAACAGCCTTGTACTTGATAAAACAAGGTTTTACTATGAAATTTCATACAATGCCTAACTAAACACATATTCATAGATTCCATCATATATCGGTACGAATATTAGGGAAAGATAATTTTTGTCTATTTCATTCGTGACACAGTATAACTCTTTCAAGGAAATACAATATATCCATATAAAAGTGAATACATGTTTCTTAATTTATACATTTTCTTTTTGTTTTGCCTTTCACCTGAGAGATTCGCATCAGTGCTGCATAGTGGTAGATATTTGAGTTAAAGCTACGAATACCGAAAATTGTTGCGAAACCATTAAACTCTATAAAGAAATGCAGCGCAGCATCATTAAATGGATACAGATAATGAGGTATATTTTTTCTATAACAAGATAACAAATGCAAGAGAAATGAGATGAAGAGATCAGATTGAAAATTTTTCACAGATTCGGTAACCTACGTAGACAACAAATTTGTTTTATTTCATTTCATTTCCCTTTGTGGTAAAAATAAGTAAGAAATCCAACACGGTAGTAGACATCCCTTACTAAATTACGAATTGAATCCCAAGAGCCAACTATATAAGAGATAACAGCAGAAGGTTCTACTGCGGAAGGAAGCGAAGCTTTATGATTTGTTAGCGACAATTGCCGTCTTTACTATGCAACCTTCTTGGATAAGTATTGGATTTTGCTGGCCGAGGAGCGGTAGAGTGACGTGTGCCCTTTGGTCCCCACACCTTAATATATCCCGGCCTTAAAGACGTATTTCGTTTACAGAAGCATATTCGATTTGTCCTTTACATAACCCATTTTGGTTTCGTCTATTGTTTCACAAAGGTATGTCTAGTTAATAAAATGCACCAAATTATGTAAGAAATGAATTTCAGTGAATACAGAGAAACGGTTTTCATACGCAACAATGTTTGATTCTTTATCATCAACTTTTTCTCTCACATCTTCTTCAGCGGATTTGGACTTTTGAATACCACACGCAATCTTTGGCTGGTTTTATTACGCGTTTGAGAAAGGAATACATTTCCATTATTAGTGGAGTTGTGCTGGTGAAATGATTAGACCATCTAAACGTTATCATAGTGATGGGAAAAGATAGTTTCAGGAGTACTACTCTTCACGACTTTGTTCTGGAGTTGTAAAGTTTCTAAATGGTTTTATCCAAAAAGAAGCTTGAATAGTCTTCCACCCATTGGTTTTTGTTTTCAATTTCATTCAACAAGACAAGACAAGAATTGTATTTTCTTTTTGTAATTTGCTTCCTGTATTTCTTAGAATTTGGTGCAGCATTCTCATTTCTTGCGCGTCCTACTAACCTTTACTGTTATTAGGATGCTCATTTTAACCGCCCCCCGATTTATGAACAACACCAAGCTGGCCAGCACCCGCAGACTCGCCTCTTCTCTATTCTCGCAGGCCTCATTACGCTCCAAACTTCCTGCTACAGCTGCTGCCTCTTACTCTACCATCAAAGGCGGTTCTCTTAAAGACCGCCTCACCGAACTTATCCCCGAAAAGCAAGAGGAAATTAAAAAGTTCCGTTCTGAACATGGCGGTGATGTTGTAGGTAACGTCACTATCAATCAAATGTACGGTGGTGCCCGTGGTATTCGCTCCTTGGTTTGGGAAAGCTCCGTCCTCGACCCCAATGATGGTATTCGCTTCCGTGGATACACCATTCCCGAATGCCAAAAACTTTTACCCTCTGCTCCCAACGGAAAGCAACCCCTTCCCGAGTCTCTTTTCTGGCTTCTCGTCACCGGCGAAATCCCTACCCTTACCCAGGTGCAATCTTTGTCTGCTGAGTGGGCTGCTCGCTCTCAGCTCCCCAAATTCGTTGAGGAACTCATTGACCGCTGCCCTCCTTCCCTCCATCCTATGGCTCAATTCTCCCTTGCTGTCACTGCTCTCGAACACGACTCTGCCTTTGCAAAGGCCTACGAGCGCGGTCTCAGTAAGCATGACTACTGGAAATATACTTATGAAGATTGCATGGACCTCATTGCCAAGACCGTCCCTATTGCTGGCCGTATCTACCGCAACATTTACCGTGACGGTGTTGTCGCTCCTATCCAACATGACAAAGATCATTCTTACAACTTTGCCAATGTCTTGGGTTACGCCAATAATAGCGAATTTGTTGAGCTCATGCGTCTTTATTTATCTCTCCACTCCGACCATGAGGGTGGTAATGTCTCTGCTCATACTGGCCATCTCGTTGGTTCTGCCCTCTCATCCCCTTTCCTCTCTATGGCTGCTTCTTTGAACGGTCTTGCTGGTCCCCTTCACGGTCTTGCCAACCAAGAAGTTTTGAACTTCTTAAACACTATGAAGGAAGAGATTGGTGATGACTTGTCTGATGAGCGTATCAAGAGCTATTTGTGGGATCTCTTGAAATCCGGTCGTGTTGTTCCCGGTTATGGACATGCCGTTCTCCGTAAGACCGACCCCCGTTACACCGCTCAACGTGAATTTGCTCTCGAATATCTCCCTAAGGATCCCATGTTTCAACTTGTCAGCCGTCTTTATGAAGTCGTTCCCAATGTCTTGACTGAGCACGGAAAGACTAAGAACCCCTTCCCCAACGTCGATTCTCACTCGGGTATTCTTCTTCAATACTACGGTATGAAAGAGCAAAACTTTTACACTGTACTGTTTGGTGTTTCTCGCACTTTGGGTGTTGCTTCTCAATTAATTTGGGATCGCGCTCTTGGATTCCCCATTGAGCGTCCTAAGTCTTTCTCTACCAAAGCTTTAAAAGAGCTTGTTAATGCTAAGTAATGACGATTTGGGTAAATACGGAGTTTCTTGTATATCATGGATTCTTGATTAGAAAACGACTAGTTCTATGTTATAATTATCTTTTTCTTTGTTGGACATTTCAGATAGAGTTTGAAATATGAGAAAAATATCTTCAAAGACTTTAAATTATTTTATAACCATATATTAAATATACTATATGATGAGACACTAATCTACATTGCATAGATAAAGCAATAATGAAATAAAATAGAAAATGTAAAACACACATAGTCAGACAAAAACCATTCTATGTCGGTTACTATCCCGGCTTAATTGGTGTTTCTTCTTCTACATCTGTGCAGCGTACCAAAAATCAAAGCACAATGCTCATTTTAGTTACACGTGGATTCACAAAGCCAAAATCAGTCATTTAAAAAATGACCAACTTCAAACTTTCAATCGTGTTGCATAGATCCTTTAGTCTAAACAAACACAATCGCAAAGCTATTTATGTTATCTTATAGCATCGACAGTCACGCTTCGTTATATCATTTTCTTTTTTTTTTTTTGTTTACAAAATGTGTCGCTGTAAAGAGCCATGGAGAACCTAAAAAACTTGCAAATTTACATGAAATCGCTAAAATAAAGGGAACAAGGAAGAACGGAAGCTTATGATTTTCATGAAAAGTGAGGAGGTTTGTGGCTGCTTAAGAAAAGGAGCTTCACTATATAAAAGAGTGTTATAAACTTATGGAATGAATAAAATACTTCTGGCTGGTTACCAAATCATTTTGGCAAGTCTAAAAAGTAATACTCTGACGATGCAACCGGAACATATTGGAGGTAATTTCTATGTTTTGATGTACATATAATTCTTCTAATATAGATCTTATGTATACAACGAATAGTTATAAAATCTTTATCTATGAAAATTGTTCATGCTTCCTCTCATCACCTTGTGCAGGTAGTCCTTATGAAAATAGCTTCTTTGCCACACAGAGCTCATAGGAACGCATTTCTGTTTAGCGACTAGCAGCTACTAACTCAATTCTTCATCATCCTTTGACCGAGACTTTGAAAGAGTTTTCTACCGCAATTTCCAACCTAACTTATTTACTAATGCAGAACACAGGAATGCATAAAAGCAACGGTTTTATTCCTTCTCGGTAACAAATATCATATTAAAGAACTTATGCTAAACAAGTGCTTGAGTTTGCGATTGTACATAGTAAAATCAATAGATTGAACCGTGTCTTTTATTTTTAGGTAAGCATTTGAAAGAAGGAAAAACCAAGTTGAAATTTCATTGCTAGCGAAAAGTCGAAATTATGTACCGAGGAAGAGAACGACCGATATTCTCTGAGGTTTGTGTTTCAACGGATAATCAAACAGTTGAGGAATGTATGTTCTAATTAATTAAAGAGATACAATTGAAATGTTTCCTGTTATTGTTTCCTTTAACTGATTGTTCCTGCTGTAAGTAATGTAAACAGACGCGGCGCGTTTGATTCTCAACATCTACCAACATCGACGCGGGAACACGACAAACTTAGCAAACGCAAAAACCATTAAAGAAACGCTTTAATTCGTATAAATTAAATTATATAAAAAAAAATGATTATTGAAGCTACACATGTCAATGTAAAGCATGAGCACGAAGGTCATTTGAGAGGCTTGTTGAGGAGACGAAATTCCATGAAACGACCTATGATTCAGCTTAAATGTGAACCAAGCCGATTGAAACAAAAGCCAACGGAAGAATTTACAATTCAAAGTGTCAAACAGATTCGTAGCGAATTAAACAACATGTTAAGAACGATCACGGAGGCAATTACTCACCAGTTAACTTTGAACCGGCACATTCACTTGGATGGTGTCAATCAGTTGCAGAAAACCCTCCTTTCTGTGTTAAAACCATTTGAACAACTGGATCTATTGCAATTAAATATGATCGCGGTAAATTATTCTTTAAAAGATATATTCTCTTCCTTCGATGACATTTATTCTTTTCTAATGATGTATTACTCTACGATTACTTTGTACGAAAGGGTGGAAATCTTTCTAAAGAAAGGCCTAGAGTTAGTTAACCAATTGTACGATCTCCTATACTTTCAAACAACGTTGCAATTTACCATGGCTCGTGTCCCTCTTTCAGACACTGGGCTTCATAATTTAAACCTTCTGGTTTCTACTCTCGAAAAACAATCAACTAGCCTGAGCACCACGGCAACAGCATTGATTCCTTTACAAGAAGAACTTGAGCAAGCTAATTCTTACTATAAGTGCTGGCAACGAGCACATACGATCCTTACTATCTTTGCAGAGCCTTATCATCTTCCGAAACACATTCGTAATGAAATTGCTTCTTGGTTTCAAAATATGCCCAGCTGTCATCCCAAGCAGCTCATTTTACTAAGGTTATATCTTTAATGCTCACAATTAATGCAAACGAAATATACTCAATACGAGCGAACTTAATAATAAGGATGCAAATGTACAAATCACGCGAACCTAATATACACAATGACATATTCAGTGTAAACATATTATGCGGAACAATATTAAACATTAGTACACCCTCATCTTTGTAATTTTGCATAACTTGAAGGTTTCAATTTTTGCTTCAATGCTCTTCCGCTCCAAACAGGTAAAAGACTGATAAATAATATAAGAGCTGATACCCAGTAAAACTTGACTCCCAGAAAAAATTTCAGATCTACGTTTGTTAGCGTAATCCAATCTTAGACAAGTGCTCTTACCAAAGTAATCAGTTAAGAAAGGTATACTCAGAGTATAGATCATTAAACTTAGCATTTCCGACATGACAATTGTTTGTTCCCTAAATTAGTTATTAGCATTGCTTATTTCCATGAACAGTCTTACCATCTATTAATCTGAAGGGCTACCATAATGAGTTCGTTCAAAATTAAACAAGAAAAAGAAACAGCTAGCATTTGGCCTTCGACATCGAACCCGACAAGGACGTAAGTGATCACTTGTATTATGACACCTTAAAACAGTCAGTAACAAGCATCTATATGAATAACATACCTTGGTAAATACTAATTAACACGCAAGACATAAATGACTTGAGAGAGAAACATTTATCTTCTCTCATCTCCTTATAAAGCTCTGGAAACAGAAAAACTAGTTTTTCGCTCACATCTCTATCATAAACAATGGAAAAAACGGGCATCATTGTATACATCGTCGAGTATCCAACCAACAGTAATCCTTGAAACAAAGCAATAGGCTCAAAGTTTGAGATTATACTGTACACCACCTGACAGATAGAAATAATCAAACCACGATGTATAACGAACATTGCTAATTTTGATGTTTGTTTATAACTTATACGGCCATGCCACAAGAGTAAGCGAGCAACGTGACTAAATTCTTTTATGCTATAGTCAGCAGCAAGACTGGCCTGTTGACCTTCTTTTCCGGCAACACCAACACCAATATTCGCAACTTGAATCATTCCGACATCGTTACCTCCGTCACCGATACAGCAGACTGAAGCAGATTTCTTCGTTTGGATTAAGCGCGTCATATTTGCTTTCTGTGTTGGTGTACACCTGCAAATCACCACGCAGGATAATTCAGAAACTGCTTCTATAAATTCGTCCTGTAAATACCCGATACAGAATTCCATGGATTCACCATCTATTATAAGACAACAATCTGGTTTTCCAATTAGAATCATTAATTGATTGTGCGCATCATCTCGAGAATTAAGTTTGGAAATGGTATGAATGTATTGACCTCGAGAAACGAGCCTAGACGATATAGCAATACACCTAGCAGTTTCCACTTTGTCTCCCGTGAGCATCCAAACATGTATACCAGCATTTCTAAGTAGTTCCAAAGTTACTTTGACATCCTTTTGAAGTTTATCTTCAACACCGGTAAGACCAAGTAACTCCATATCATTCTCCAAATATTTCGAAACAACTTCCGTCATTTTCTTATCTCTCGAACCTGAAAAAGACACGCTCGCTTCTGAATACACCGTAGCGAAAGTATTATATTGTTCATTAGTTAAATCTTTCTTTGCAATTACTAAGGTTCGAAGCCCTTCTCTAGCCATATTTCCACATTCTTCATCAAGCCAGAAGCTTGGACTGATAAATTGTTGCATGACCGAATCTGCACCTTTAAGGTAAAAAGTGATTTGTCCTTCTGGCGAACGGACCACAATGCCCATTCTCTTTGTTTCAGATTTAAACGGAAAAAGTTGTAGAATTTCGTACGAAGACATATTAATGGTTACGGCTCCTCGATTACGATGTGTCAAAACCAAGCCCATCAAACTAGTCCACCGAACAATTGCAACTTCATCAGGGCTTGCGGCTTGAAAGCTAACAGAACCGTCAGTAGTTTCAGATGGAGTTACATTGTGGCATAAAGAAAGGGCCAAAACAGTTGTTCGAATCAAATTTTTAGTATCATCGCTCAACGGAATTTGGGCCGTAGGATCATTAATACAAGCTTGGATTACGTCCATTGATTCATTGGAGAATCCAATAGCTCCTAAATGTAGTTTTTTCATTTCCATTTCATTCTGTGTCAAAGTACCAGTTTTGTCAGTTAACAGGTACTCAATTCTACCAAGTTCTTCAGGGATATTACTGCTTCGAACAACAACATCTGGTAAATTAGGATCTGCCTCGGTATGTTTAGAATGAACAATTTTACCAATATCTAGATTGACACGCAAGTTAATCGGAATAATGCTGGAAAATAAAATCAAGTATCTGAAGATAGCAATGTACCAGTTTTCTCGTAGTCCGTGGCTGAATGTAAGTATGGTGGAAAGTGAAAGAACAATCATGCACAGAATTTTAGAATAAAAGTTAATTTCTTTCTCCAACAAGCCGACCTTTGTTTTAGCTTTCGAACTATTTAAGGACTGACGAGTATCTTTACCAGCATAGATGACAACACCATAAACCGCCTCACTGGCCAGGACAGTATTTGCCCAAAGTGTATTGTCCACGGTAAGTGGTCTCCTATTGTCATTCAAAGTAAAGGTACCATAAAAATGGTGGACAGACTTGATAGGGGAATCTGCATGAATGATTCCATGTGAATATTGATTTGAACAGGGTATCCGTAATTTCCAATCAGTTTCTCCATCGAGCTGATCTGTTCTAATGAAGGCTTCATTCCCAACAGATGTATGCATAAGGATCATGTCTGCGGGTACTCTTTGATCCTTTGAGATGAGCACAACATCGCCTACTTGAATATTCTGAGCAGAGCAGGGATGGTTATTAACAATATAGATTTCATTATTAGCATACGAATCCCTTCTTCGCCTCTTTAAATCATCAATTGCTTCTTTTGTCAAGGTAATCATCAAGACAAAAATTAAAGGAGCGATATAAGTAGACAGGTATCCAATTTTTAGAGGAGGAATAAGCTGGGATAAGGACACCAATAGAAAATACATGTTATAAAAATAGCGAAACTGTTCGTACAAACACTTGGGAAGAAAGGTGAAAGCATCATACTTTGTGTTTGTTACAGCATTGTTGCCATAGAGAGGATTAGGTCGACCTACTTCGATCATTCGAAAACCGGATTCAAAATCGGTATTGATATCTTCTTGAGAACCCCCATGAATTGAAATTAAAGAATCCGTTTCCTCCCTGTCATAAGAAAGCCGCGTTTGTCCTAGTGATGCAGAAGATGTTCGTTTTCTTTCCTGTGAATTGGAGAGAACACTCAAAGGTATAATGGAACTCTTTTCGTCTTTATTCTGAAGCCAGCTTTTCATTCTTAATTGAACGCCATTTAGTCTGGGCTTCATAATGGATATTGCGATCAATAATTAATCAGACGTTCCAGCACTGGCTCAATATTAAAACTTTTCTCCTATAATTTTACTTTTAATTCTATAAATTAGAACTCTCAAAGTCCACCTAAAATGATTATTTCTTTCTAAGATTAAAATATTCGCATTGGTATATGTTCAGGTAAAACACAGCATAATTATACCACGTCAAAACTAAAAGTCTAAGAACAGTTAGTTTGGTAAACAAATCTGATTCTATTATTATTAAATACAAAAAAAATCTATTTCTATTACTTTCTCCTTTGTTTTTGCCAGTCTATCAGCAAAATGGTAGAGTAAGAGAATTAGACGTTTTTCTGTACTAATTTCGCAAGTTTTACTCTAAGTATAAAATCTTTGGTTGTTTTGCTTGGGAAAACTTACTTTGTCACTTTTAAAAGCAAAGCATAAGATCAGGCATTTTAAAATGAATGAAGCAAACTATATTTGAGAGAGTGAGCAGCCGTTTGGCATTTCCTTAGGACTACAAACAAATTTCTACATCTCACAACTTTCTTCCAAGGTTACACGTTTGTTTTGGTACAGTGAACGAAATATAAACAAACAAATCGTTATGTGAGTGTTGTTTTTTTGGGTGAAATAAACAAAATTTTAAGTATGATACGCTTCATACCATTAGACACTGATGTTGTCTATTTAATATCAATTATTTCGACTGGTTTTGTCAAAAAACCCCCAACCGTTTGTTGCAAAAATGGTGAATTCAACGAGTTCTTTAAATGTAGGATTTGAGGAGATCCAGAAATTACTTTCGCTAGTTGAGCTGCAAACTAAACGGGAACTAAGGCAGGTGTACCAAAGATGTGAGGAGCAAGAGGCATTACTTTTAGATTTGGCGAACAGCATGCAAACGTATTTCTCCGTAGCTAATCCGCAGCAACGAAAACTGGAAGCTGTGTACGAAACACAACTCTTAATTATTGGCGAAAACAGCCATGCTAGTAAAAGTTATCAGCGCTATAAAAGTGATGTTCATCTATCAAAAAATAAAATTGAAGAGGTCTTGGATAAATTGGAGGAGTTTTTTTCTCTCGATAGAATGATTATAAATAACTCTGTTGATCTGTCTGAAGGAAAATCACCGAATGTATCTTTTAAAGAACAAAGATTACGAACGAATGAGATGGATAGTTTTGAACTTTGCAGACAACCGGAGAATGAGGAGTCTTCTATTGAATGCATTACCCAAAATTTGAAGTCGTATAAAAGAACTTCGAGAGATACTTCGCCTATTCAACGGGTGATTGCTTCTCGCAATAATGATTCTCTATATCAAAACCGTCAACAACCTTTTATATCCAGTAATTCCTTTAACTTAAACGAAACTTCCAAACAAAAGTTCAATGGACCGAGTGAAGACTTGCTTTCAAGCACGGACAATAAAGATGATATCCGAGATTTCTCGTCTTTTTTGAAATCTGACAATTATAGTCCTTTGTTAAGCTCCACTAAGAACGTAACACTTATAAAGGATGAAAAGCAAGCGCATGAAAATACGCTTCAAAATGAAGATGATGAATTGGAAATTCCTTCCTCTGATAACCCTTCTAATGTATCCTTGAGTTTGGATCTGTCTCAGGAAAGAATGACTGAACACAGATCAAATACAAATGAAATCATGACAAAGCAAAAGCAGTTTCAGGACCATCAAAAGAAAAATGCAGAAATAAAGAATCTGGTATACGAAAAATCGCCAAAACTTGAACAGACCGTTAACTATGCACGCTTAGCAAAGTCTGTTTCATTTCTTCCTTTTAAAGACAAAAAGAACAGAATGGCAAGAAGGTCAAGGAAGAAGAAAACCCCGCCAGAAAGAAGAGAAAATGGAGACTCATACAGTAATACTAGGTCTAAAGATGAAAGTAATCCTGCTGAAAGACACGCGAGTCCTATTAGACATTGCGAAAGGCGCTTATCGACCCTGGAAGGTGATCAAGAAGCAACTTCAGATGATAAAGAAAATCAGCATGTCCAAAATCCGAAGCTAAGAAACATTGTGTCAGAAAATTCAAGTAGTCTTTCTCATCATTGTGAACGCATAAAGCCTCGCTTCAATAATGAATATTCCAATGAATGGAATTTCGACGATAATTTTAAAGAAAGTACTACTATTTTACGTCGTGGCCATTCAAATGATTCTGCACAGCAAATATACGCTGCAGAAAATAATCACAAAAATATGGTTACTCTAGATTTTAAAGATTGGAATATTTAATTCTATTTAACTTGCGTTTAAAGCTTAAATCTATCTTGGCGAATCCCCTTCACTTGTTGAAAGCGCAAATTAAAACACATCCTTTTGTTTACGCACTCGATCCTGGAGTTCCCTTTTAAAAGATTTAATATAAATGTTCTTATAGATTATCCTTACTGCCTACAACTGCGGTATGGTTATCTATAGTGTACTTCTTATGCAATGAACTTTTGAATGAAGAGTAATTAACTATATAACTGAAAACGTCTTGATTTTTCTAGAGCATCACATGTAAAATTAAAATATTCCTCTTTTAAATATTTTAATTATGTTTTTGTTTCTTTTTTTTGAAAGGTAAACCATGTTTATCGTCTTACAGACCTATTCTGTAAATGATATTACAGTATAGAGTACAATAATTATATAAGTACCGAAATTACTATGCCAAATATAAATGTATGTAAGAAACACAAAATAGTTGTAATTTGCCAGCAAAAAGCAGCAATAATATTTAAACTGGTTATTTAATTTCTCTCATAAATTTCATAAATATTTGAAAAATGTATGCAAGTCTAGGACAGGCACTTCAAGAAAACTGTGGAATTGAATATGTGCAAAGGACAATTACAGAGGACCGGAATACTTTGAATGCTCCTGATGCGGTAAGAGAGTTATCGAAGTTATTTTCAATTCAGTTGGAAAATATCTTGTCAAATAGACTCAATTTTCATAACTTACTAACCTGATGGATTGCAGGATAAACGAACGCCCCTTCATTGGGCTTGTTCTGTAGGAAAAGTAGATGTCATTGAATACTTATTAAAGCAACCAGACATTAAAATCGACGAAAAAGATGAAGCTGGTTGGACTCCTTTGATGATTGCTATTTGCAACAAAGCTATTCCTGATTCATTAATTGACAAGTTCCTGGGACGTCCTGATGTCAATATCGAGATGACTACTCGTGGTGGACAAACATGTCTCCATTATGCTTCTGGAAAAGGTCGACTTCCAATTGTTCGCAAAATATGCGAACGTAACCCTGGCGCAATGAGAGTAAGAGATCTCCAAGGCCAACAACCATTACATCGAGCGGCTGCAGTAGGACATCTGAACGTTGTGAAGTATCTTCTTTCTCAAAAATGTCCCTTGAATGCTTCTGATTCTTTTGGATTTACCGCTCTCCATTTTGCCTTAGCAGAAGGCCATCCGGAGATTGCTGTTGAACTTATTAAATCTGATGCGGATACTTTACGCACTGACAAAGAAGGTCATACAGCTTTAGATGTCTGTATGGACCGAAGCATTCGACAAGAGTTCATTGAGATGTGCAAGCAACAAGGATTGGATATATAAGTTTTCTAATTCAATCATAATGAGCACACCGAAATGTCCTTCTGATTTCAAGCACAAATCGTGCTTTCAGAAAATCCTTTCAATAAATTTAACTTTTTGAGATTTATCCAAGTACTCAAACTTCTATGCTTCCTATGAGATTCTTTAAATAATAAAAAGCATTAAAACAACAAAGCGATCCTTAAATGAAATGTAAATTCGATGTTGCGAATTGTGGTAATACAACAGTTTAACCTTGTACTATAAACGCGAAAAATATTTGAGTATTCAGCATAGATACAACTCAAAGTTTATATCTATTTTCCTTGACATGAAAACTCCCTTCAATTTACTTCATTCCTCCCTCACGCACCTTCTCTTCTAGTTCTGGCTAGTAACGTACTTGCTTCCTACTTGAATAGTTGTGGATTAAGTGATTTTGGAGGTGAAAAGTTACGGATTATTAGCAACTTACAAATGAACTCTTCTGATTGTACATTTACTGAAGAAACGGGAGATGAAATAACCAATTTGTCTTATGCGGAAAAACAAATTGAACAGCAGCGCTATCAAACATCCGTACGTATGAGGCTTCTTTTTTCGTAAAAATCTAACAACGAATAGGTTGATTTACTGCTTCCCATACAAGAAGAGACCGATGTCATTGCAACCAAAATTATTAATTTTGTAGACAACCTTTCGTACTACGAATTTACCGGAAGCCCTGATATCCTTCTATTTCCCGAATTGTATAGTAATCTCTTGCATTCAGGTATAAATTTCTATTATAAGCTACAGTTCAGCCTTGATGTCTAACCCATGTAGGAAAAGCATTCCTTATTTCTCGGGTGCCTTATGGTTCTGATGACCAAATTTCAGTTGTTAATGGTAAGGAATTAACTGAAGTTGAAAGCATCCTAATATGAGCAATTAGGAAATCTACTCGTTACGTTAAGTAAAGACTCATTTTTGCGAACAGGACTGGATGCTCATCCAACATCTTCAAAGGCGAATAATTCTGTATGGCTTGCTTCTTATGACTTGAAATCGACATTTTTAGAACCTCATCGAAAGGGCTTTGAAAGACTGAAAGGTGCACTGGGCAGGTTCAATAATCAGTGGACATTTTTCTTGGGAATTCCTCCAGAACACTTAGACAAATCTTTTATGGATTCGCTTAGACAATCGTTCCCGGTACCATTGGTACAGCGGCCTTTACGTGCTGTAAGAAACGTCCGTTCATCTGTTATAGTTCCTCCTCCCATAAATTCTCTGAAAAAAGATAGCAAGGATGACTTGCTAGAAAAATCTGTCGACACTCTAGAACACTTTTCCTTATTGCTTCTGAATGCTGATGTTATACAAAAAGACTATTCACCTGATCCTTATATATGCTCCTGTAAACCTAATTCTAATAGTACATCTGACATATTGGCTATTTCAATAGTGGGTCTATTCGACTCGTCTGTTTCCATGCATGTTTACAATTTACTCAGGTAAGATATAATTTTGTTTCTGATTAAAGGTTAACGATGATAGGGAATTGGACTGGAGTTTTTGTGTCCATCGTAATGACCATCTTTCGATTCCTGATTCTTTAGTCGTTTCCGGCAAAGCCAACCGAGCTTTGCTTTGCTTAAGCCAAAAAAATCAAAAATTACGCTGGACTTGGAAAATAATGTGAATAACTGGTGATATTGGGGGATATCGTGTACATTATTCTTAACTTGCGAATAAAATAGCTACTTCGATAGGCAAATGCCATCTTATATAACTTATGAAAAATTAAATCTCCAGAAAAACCATATCCAAAATTCATTATACTAACTAGCGCTATACATTATTCCTTAGGAAGGAACTGCAGTGTTCCCGTGATGTCAACTTTAGGTTCAACATCTATTGTATGAATTTCTGGTTCATCCTGTGATGCTTTTCCTGTTCTCAATCTCTCCAGCATCAAATTGGACTCAAATGGTTTGATACAAGGTGAAGTAGTACCTAATGTTATGTGTAGTTGAGGATTGCCGGTTTTTCCAAACCACATGCTCTTTGAATCAATATCTACTTTAAAGCACATCACTCTTCCGTCCCATACGAGGCTTCTCAGAGTAAAGCTAACATGATCGATAACGTTGCTTCTCTTCTTTTTAAGCTGATTAAGGTATTGTTGCCATAAATCAGCCATTTCGGGACCCAGCGTGATTTGCGACCTGTGTATCATCGTCACATGAAAAGAATCTTGAAGGGTATAAGAAGAAAACTGATCATCCCAGCTTATACCTTTTGACCTAATAACATCCTTTAATATGGCTTTTACTTTATCTGAAGGAATAAAAGCTCCGAAATATTGAATTTCGTTGGAATTTCTTTCTTGTTTCTTCAAGGAGCTTTCCCCCATAATTTTTGTATAAGTAGGCACATAATCGTTGACAGCAAATTCTAGAGCTCGCTGAAATTCATCCTCAGAAGGATAGTTGGTTATCGAGTCAGGAATATGTTGTTGCATGTAATCAACTATTAAGCGTGCATTCTCCAAAGATCCAACATGTGGATCCAATTCTATAACATCATCATAACCTTCATCATGAGAAAATAATTCGGGATCAAACGGCTTGTATTGTTTGTAAAACATGTCTAGAATAGAATTTACCTTTTCTACACCTTCCGATACTTTGATGGATTGGTGACGATCACCTCGGCTTATTACTCGCTCTTGCACAAAAGAACGAGTACTCAAGTTTTGTACAAAAGGCAAAGCTACATAGCGAACCCCTTCTAATTCAGCCGAAACATCACTTCGAAGAGCACTTCTCATATTCGGAATGTGATTGTTTCGGTCAGCGAATACAATCGGATGACCATTTTGAAACTCGTTAACAATTGCACGTGCAAATTTCTTAGGTCCTCCTTTACCGGAAGGGATATTGTCGTTCTGTACGACAGGCCAATTGAATAATTTCTCCAAAATCTTGGCAACCGTTGTTTTTCCACAACCAATGGTAGCAATTGGTACGAGTAATGTGTAAGGCTTCTCATTGCTAGACTCGACCGAAATCGTCATAGCGTCGAGTTTGGAGAGTAGCAAAAACTCTTCTCGCAGAGATATTATTCCTTTGTTTTTAAGATACAGAGCCTTTAATTCAGGCTTCTCTTGGAACTTTTTTCTACAAAAATCCACATACTCGTTTGTAATCTTTTTGTACTTGGCGTAATTAAGAGGCTTGTCATGGATTAGCATTTTTGTAACCTCTCTCCATTGTCGAAACATGCCGTAGGGCTCTTCAAACTTATACTTGAAAAAGAAATCATTTGTTGAGTTGCGTTTTCCAGCTTGAGCAGTTGAATGACAACGCACAACGAATCCCTCAACGCTGCGGTTATTCAACCTTCCAGTCTTTGCAGTCTCTTCCAAAAAGTGCTTCATGTCTTCAAATTTGTGAATGTAAAAAGAATCAGTTTTCAAAAAACCCCAAACCTTTGCGAAAGCGGATACGTCTTCTGATGACGCCGTGGTAAATTCAGGAATATTCATATTTAGACCATGTAAATACAAACCACGACGATCACCTCGATATGGAAGAATGTGTTCCTCAAAATCGTCATCACATAACTCTGCGACAGCTGTAGCTTGGCGCTTAAGAAGCTCCTGGGCAAGCTCTTTTTTTGATTTACCAACCTTCTTCAGATGATCTTCAAGCCATCGCTCTCCAGCTAACGCATGGGAAACGCTTTGGCCTTCAACAGCACCAAAGGAATGCTTACTGGTGATGATGAGCTCGCCGTTGGATAAAGCACTGATAAAAATAATACAACCGTTCTCCTTGACTGTCAGCTCGTAAGGCCCCTTTGTGTGTTCCCTCAGAGAGTTCCAAGTAGTGAGAGGAATCTCATCAATATTGAAAAACTTGTCATAACCACGGATAGCAATCTTTTGTTCTTTCGTCCTGGGATCCATATAGGTGAATAAACCACGAGCGCATGTTGGTAAACGTCTTTTCAAACCTGTCACACCATCATATGTCTTCTTGCTGTCGGACACATTGATACGATATGCTTGCTCCCAAACTCTCCAGGACGTTAATTCATAATCGGTACCTGGAACAGCGAAAGAGACAGAGCGGATGGTAGGCTTCTTTTCACCAAATATTCCTACTTTTAAATCACGCAATCTACAAAGTTCTTCTACAAGTTCTTTTGGAGTAGCAAACGTATTCGACATTGTGCAAATCAAAAATTCCTGAACAACTTACAAGAGTCAATTTCAACCCTGGAATTACTTAAAATCAATATTTAAAACATAAACAAGGTAATTAGCTGCAAAAGAAAGAGCACAAATCACAAATCCCTTGTCTTAAGTGAGGATAAGTGTTTGGTTCTTTATAAAAACAAACGAACACTCTGTCATTCATTTAGCACTGCTCTGTATTCTTTCTTATCCATTCACTGTTCTCTAACAAGAGCACGCTAGTGTTTGCTTTACAAGTTGTTTCAACGTGAACGTAATTATTGTTTACAGCGGTCTTAGAAGTGACCGTAATTCCTCGTAAAAGTTCACTCCTCCATCCTTCACCTTGTCGAGGAGGAGCTCGTTGACAAGAACTACAGACTTGTAGCATATAAATGAGAAATTTTTAGAAAAAAAAAAAAAGAATTTAACTTCAATTGAAGAAACCTTCATTTGAACAGCAGGCTGAACGGACAGCATTTGCGGCGTTTGTTTACAAACTGACAGTACTTCGTAACGATATGATGAACGGCGGCAGAAGAAAAACTGTTGATGTATGGATCGATTGCGACCCTGGACACGACGATGTCGTTGCTTTGATGGTTGCTGCTTGTGCGGACCATTGTAACATTCTAGGTTTGAGCACCGTGCACGGGAACACGGTTGTTGAAAATGCAACTCAGAATGCTCTTTCAGTGATGGAGCTGTTAAAAAAAGATGTTGATGTTCATTCAGGAGCTTCGAAACCTTTGATGAGACCGTCTAAGCTTGCAACCCATATACACGGTGTGAATGGACTGGCAGGCATCGCTCTTTTACCAGATCAACCCCGGAAACGGGCTTCTCCTGATGCAGTTGTAGCCATGTATCAAGCTATTTCTCAGAATCCTATTCCGGTAACTCTTGTCGCGACAGGCCCTCTGACGAACATCGCTTTAATGTTGGCCACTTACCCTACAGTTTCCGAAAATATTGAACGACTCGTTTTCATGGGTGGGAGTACGGGGATTGGAAATATTACTTCACAAGCTGAATTCAACATGTTTGCTGACCCCGAGGCTGCCAAACTAGTCCTTGAAACTACTTCACTCTCCGGAAAACTTTATATGGTTCCATTAGATGTAACGCACAGCGTTCTAATGGATTCCGCAATCATGGAAAAATTACGGCAACATGGAAGTCCCATCAGTAATACCCTAGTCGAACTTATGACCGTTTTCCAAGCCACTTATGAAACTGTTTATGGATTCAAAAATGGTGTTCCCGTACACGATGCCTGTGCTATGGTTTACGCATTGTGGCCCGAAATTATGTCTTCAAGAATCATGTATGTTACCGTCAGCATCGACCAGCTGACTCTTGGCCGTACTGTCTGTGATGTATGGTCGCAACAAACTCAGATGCTTCCAAACGTTCATGTTGTCCTTAGTGCTGATGTTGTTGCTTTTTGGAATTTATTTATGCAAGTTGTTGAAAAGCTTAACACATTGTGATTTGGTGAAGCGTTGTATTTTATGATGAAACATGCTTCCGTTACTTTTAGCAGAAATGCTCTTCTTTCGTAATATTACGCACAGTGTTTTTACAGGAAACAATAATAAGGATTTTCTGACTTTGTTGTATAGAGTTGCTCTTCATATTTCTCTATGCAACCTTTTTCCGAAGTTTTTACGACAACTTTTTTGAAGATTATCTTTCATTCAACTGACAGTCATCATCTTTTCGTAGGGATTACATTGCTATCATTTTAACTATTATGATTATTCGTCGTCTAAATTTACCATTGCATAACCTCCTTTTAATGAGAATTCCTATCGTTATTAAATGCAAATAAGAAACAAAACCTGTAGCCAACTCCAATACTGAGAGCAAAATTAAATAGTATAGTCTTAGCATATAAAGCCTAAAAAAGAGCAAAACCAGACTTACTTTCAGATTAAGTAGAGAAAGAAGTAATCCAAAACATATAAATTACCATGAAACGATATCCAAATTTTAAAACGCTTCATAGAAGTATTAAAAATATTAAGCTTCACCAGAAGAATTTGAGTTTTCGCTGGCTGTTTTTTCAGAAGTAGCATCTGCCTCAGCCGCTTCTTCCTTTTTAACAGCCTCACCTTCACCTTCTGATTCAACTGCCGCTTCTTCTTGTTCTTGTTCTTGTTCTTGTTCTTGCTCATGCTCATGCTCATGCTCATGTTCTTCTTCTTCTTCTTTAACTAATTCAGCCGCTTTTTTAGATTCCTTTGTCTTTGATTTTTTCGAAGCTTGACGAGTTGTCTCTGTGTTTTCAGGATTCTGGGGGGAGCGACGAGTACGAGGGCGTTTTGGTTTTCGTTCGGCTTTGATAGGTGGAGCGTCAGGGATCTTTTCAACAATGTCTTGTAAAAAGTCAAATTGTTCAACACTTTTCACCGCATGTTTCAGATGCGAAACGGTTACACGCTTGGCTTGATGCAGACGAGCTTGCTGGCAAGACTCATTTATTATGCTTTGCATAAACATTTCTAACGCTTTGGACATGATTACTGGAGTAACTTGAGCTACCTTGCCAACATCCTGGTCAGCTTGCATAATCTTTTTTATACGAGCGACAGGAAATCGACTTTTCCAAGAAGCAGCTGCAGCGGCGGCTGCCGTGGAAGAAGCATTCGTAGGAGATTCTTCAGCTACACTTGAAGAAACGGTAGGCTTTGTCTCTTCCTCGTGAGCAGGCTCGACTTCAGTCATGAAGAAAAATAATTTTTTTTAGCAAGATTACGCGAAAGGGGTTTTAAAAAAGATAGTACTTAATGGCGAAAGGTACCCGAGAGATGTAGGAAAGTTGCTACTAATTGCTTTGTACCTATTCTGGTCGATTTTTCACAAGCAGCAAAAATTTGTTAGAATTGAAAGAAAAAAATTACAAGACCCAAACTTTGCTTCACAAAGTTCTAAAGATATTTAAAGTTTGTAATTTTAAAAGGAAATTGTATTTTTTTCGGTGCCAGTGTGGTTGGTAAAGAGATTACGCACAGGGAATCTTTTCTGATTATTTATACGCAAAACAGTTGAATTAGAATCTTTGTTATCCATGTAAACAATCTATGAGAATAAAAAGTAGCAAATAAGATGTACCTGGATTCAAAGGATGTCATATTTGCACTTATTTTGAATATTCTTGTCAAATATAGTGCCGCCGTTCTACTAACGTATCAGTATAAAATGATAATATTATAAACTATTATTAGGCACTGCAATTTCTCTAAAGTTGAACGCTTGTATTTGCTCTATAATAAGGTATCAACAAACTTCAGATTAAGTATAAGGGAGAGAGATTGGTAATGCGTTTACGGGTTTCTATTGTTGTTTTCCTGTTTCATGTTTCATGTCTTAAATAAAAGTATTTCATGTGTTTCTATTCAGTATGGTAGTCAATACAAAAACTTAGAATTCGTTTCATTTGGAAGCGGGAAAGTTCCAGTAGGATGGACACAAGGAATTTTCCAATGCTTTTATTGAAGTGTTATTATAGTGAAATTCTGCTTATGGAGTGGACTTTTACACTTTTTCTCCCAGCTAATAGTGTTGAGTAAACAAATTCAATTTGATTACTTTCTTTATTACCAGATCAAATATCTTTTCTTAGATCTTTATAGTAATTTTGGCTTCCTTATAAATGCTATGAATGTCCTACCAAGACACCTACCAATTATTGCGAGTGCTGTTGAAGCTGTACTGTACTGTCCATGCAAATAAAGGACCTTTCAAAGAAACAATCCAGTAAGTAACCCTTGTCCTTTCAGTAGCATCCAAACATTCATTTAATAAAATTGGGCTTATTCTTGCTAAAAAAAGTTTTAAGCGTTGATTTCAATCACGGTTGTATTGATTGAAACGCATGGAAGCTTCCTGTCCAACTTTTGACGAGTAAGTATTTCTTTCGAAAATTTGAAATATTTTCGTTTTCTACTTATGAAAAAAGATTACATTAAAAAGTATTTTATTATGTTTGTCTCCTTTCTGTATCGTTACGAACAACAGACGTTAACAACGTTGCAGAACATCTTGGACGTTGAATTGCAATGAGTTATCCAAAATCAAGGATGAAACGTATGCTTCGGCAACAGGCCGAGAGGCCCATTGATGACTCTGCTGTAGACCTGGTAAGGAACAGAAACTGGAACTGGAACTGGAAGTGAATGTGAATGTGAATGTGAATGTGATTCCTTTGTTCAGGCTAAAATAGAAAAAAAAAAAAACATAACAAAAAGATTTGAGTTTCTAACTACTGTAAATTGTTATAGGTTTATCTTGATTATTGTCTTTTTTTACAATCACTCTTGAAAGAAGCCAACATTGAAGCAGAACGAACCGGGGAAAAGAAAATTCAGCCGATCCATATTCAAAATGTTAAACGGGTATGCTGCAAAAAGTAGAAATCATTCATAATTCTTCTATCAAAAGCGAATTACGTTCATATCTAAAAGAGGAAAAGTAGCGAAACTAGCAAGGAAGCGTGTTTTTGCTAACACATAATTTAGAAAATTTTAGCCCGCTACCGAGGATAGCAAACAATCATAGCAGTCATAAGGAAGAATCAATTAAGAACCCCGATAGAAACATCCATGGTCGCTTTGAAATGAAGGTAAAAAAGGCGAGCGCCAGGTTTCGCTTTTCTGCTTTTCATGTTTTTATCTGAGGTTTTGATTCGCTTGCGTTACATGTCGGGTCTGCTGTTTAATACACGAGTGATGCATCCAATCCCATTGACTTGAACAATCTAATATTTGTGTCAGTTCGTTTATATCGAATACCGTGAAAGAGTACATACCTTTTCATGCCAGTTTAGCAAAACAGAGGGATTATAGGCTTGAGGATGTGCAAGTGCACGATAAATAAAGTTCATCATGTTATCTAAATCTTCAGTACTGCGTTGTTTTAAAAATGCTATAATATCAGTGGACCGGATGTAGCTCAGCAAGTCAACAAAGGCGGATAAGTATTGTTGCTAGGCGGAGGTTAATATAATTTTCAAAGAAAAGATAAAACAAAAAGGATGAAGTAGTCCATTTTAAAGAAACGTTTGATCCCACCGACTATGGAAACAAAGTCATGACAGAAATTGCTTTCTTAATAACCACCAGTTACAAAAACTACCACAATCCATTCTCATCTCATCATCAAATGACTTTACTTACTCTAGCTTCCTGAACATCGTCTCCAAAAGGTACATAAGACAATAAAATCCGTAACCCTTCCACAGCATTTCCACTGTATCAACTTCTGTTAGCAAGCAAAGAAAGGAAAAAAAATAAGTTTTATTATTCTATTTTCTTGGGCTTACGCTTGAATAGTCGATCGAGCCTGAGGAACTAACTGAGCAATAGCAGCTTGGACCTGTTCCGAAGATTCTTGACGGGGAGGAAACAAATCTTGCTGTGTAAGTACAGGCTCTGTAACGGAATCTACATCTTGCATTCGAAACGACATGATTCTAGCAACAATTACAAGTTTGAATGGATTTGTCAAATACTGCTCTTTGAAGAGCAGTAGAGTAGAACAGACGTAGTACTAAAACTTGCTTTTAGCTGTAAATCAATACACGATTTTGGCAAAGAAAAAACAAATACAAAGGATGAAATTTATACTTTCTTTTATTTCCCACTTTTCCTGTCAATTCATTTCCTATATATAGTTGACCATGCACTCCCAACTTCTCCAGTACTCCATAGACCAGTATTGTAGATGGTTGTTTTTTCGTGTTTACAGACAATCGTCTCTACCTGTGGTCTTAAGAATAATTTCTGAATATCTTGTAGGTATATGAGCTTGCTGTCCGCCCTCATAGACCTATGGTGATTCAGAAGATATGTTTTCCATAAATATCCAGCTGTATGCCGGTGAATTATGAACTGAAAAAGAATAATATAAAGAAACCTTTTCCTTGTAACTATGAATGTCGATTTGTAAATTTTTGATGCATAAAGGCAATCTTTGGGACCATTCTCGAAGCAAATTAAAATTGTAAGTATAGCCGTAGAATTCAGTGAGTCCTGGGAGCTATTCTGAAGCCGATTCCAAAAAGTAGGGAAATCTAATCTTGGTTATGTTGTACAAACGAGTTCAAAGTAAACTAATTATTGGAATTCATATGTTTACTGAATGTAGAAAAAATCTCATTTAACAACACTATTCTCCAAAACAGTAGTAATGTAATACTAAAGAGGCCACTAGTAATGTAATACCTACACTCGTTTGTTAAGAACAGAAACCCATATCATCTGTATTATGTTGATTGGTTTCTAAATGGTTTCAATATATTTCAATTTATCCTAGTTATTATTACTTGTTTTTCAGTTTAAGTCGCCGTTACATCGTACATACAAATATTTTCCAATATGCCGGTTCATGGGTAAGCCTTTTTGCCTGCGATTTCTGCTTGGGTAGTCGCTTGAAACCCCTTTTGGTGTTTGCTTCTATTCTCTTTTCTATTTTTTCTAATGCATTAGGCTTGTTTATTATACGACTCCTTCTATGGCTACCTTCTTGGGACCTGCACAAGACTATCTTGTAAAATCATTTTTAGCCCAGTATATGAGTATGCTACCAATTTCAGTAAATATCTTTTGGTATGGTAAACTAACTCGCCAATAGAAAAATGGATCGTTCAGTATAAACTCTATCGGAATGTCCTTTCCCCAAAGAGTTTGGAATTCTTAAAGCAAAATATCCATCCTTATATGTATGCGTGTGTTGATGAAACGACTACTATTGATGCAGAACCCGAATTAGAAGATATTATCGTACGTACAAAGCTGTGGACATTTCGCCAAACGTTTAACATAGAGGGAGCAATTTATGAGGTTGGAGATTTCACTGTAGCTGTTGCCAATGTTCTTCAGAAATCAACATGGAAAGGGATCGTTTTTCACGTTACTTACGATGGTTCTGACGATGTCGATATTGCTCGGCCCATCCTCCAAGAGTTCTTTAATATTTGTTTCTTTAAAAATTCTTCGCCTCCTCCTCCTATCTATGAAAACTATTTCTACCATCACAGGCATTCCATTGATCCTAAACTCTTTCTCCAAATTTTTAAGCATAGAGTCGAAATTTCTACCCCGTCTAGTTTACCTCGGGTGAAGTCTGAAAGTACTCCTGCTGGATGAAATTTCTTCGTATTTTTTTGTAAATTAGGTCAAAAACGAATGAATGGTACGCTGCATGTTGTTCTCCCCTCCTCATTTTACTTTTTTTCCCATCTGTTCCTTTGCTATCTTTATTTTTATTCACGCTTACCCATAGACCTTTTAATTAAATGAAAAATTTTATTAAATTACGTGTCCCAAACAAAAATTATTAAGTCCTTTTGTTCTTTTAAAACAATTAAGCCGCTGATGTAGGCAGTTCATTTGACAGCTTCAATAACTTAGTCCAAAGAATCGGTAACAACACCCTTAGAAGCAGTGCTAACATTACGAGCGTACTTCAAAAGAGTACCTTGTTGATACTTCAAGGGAGGAGCTCTCCAAGCCTGACGACGGCAAGCCATTTCTTGCTCGTCAACCATCAAATTCAATGTATTCTCGACGGCATTGATTTCAATAATATCACCGTCTTTAACGAGAGCAATGGGACCACCAGCTTGAGCTTCAGGATCAACGTGACCAATCAAAAATCCGTGAGAGCCACCGCTGAAACGTCCATCAGTCAAAAGAGCAACGTCCTTACCAAGACCAGCACCCATGATAGCGCTAGAAGGCTTCAACATTTCAGGCATACCTGGACCACCCTTGGGACCTTCAAAACGAATAACAATAACAGTCTTTTCGCCCTTCTTAAATTCGCCACGTTCCAAAGCACTGATGAAGTCGGCTTCGGCATCGAATACACGAGCTTTACCACGGAAATGCAGTCCTTCCTTACCAGTAATCTTGGCTACGGAACCCTCAGGTGCCAGAGTACCACGAAGTATACGCAAGTGGCCTTCAGTCTTCATAGGAGCGCTCAAAGGCTTGATAATTTGCTGACCTTCCTTGAGAGGCTTAGCCTCGCGCAAGTTTTGAGCGAGTGTCTTACCGGTAACAGTCATGGTGGAACCATCAATAAGACCTTCAGCATGAAGGTACTTAAGAACAGCAGGGACACCGCCAATGTTGAACAAGTCTTCCATGACATATTTACCACTAGGCTTCATGTCAGCGATGACAGGAGTACGGTTACTGATAGCCTGGAAGTGGTCCAAAGTCAAGGTAATACCTACAGACTTTGCGATGGCAATCAAGTGTAAAACAACGTTAGTAGAACCTCCGAGTGCCATGGTCAATACAATGGCATTTTCAAAAGCCTTTCGGGTCATAATGTCACTCGGCTTGATATCTTCAACCATAATGCGCTTGATGGCCTCGCCGGCAGCTTCACATTCAGCAAACTTTTCAGCAGAGCCAGCAGGGAAAGAAGAAGAGCCGGGCAATGTCATACCCATGACTTCAGCACAGCTGGCCATGGTATTAGCGGTGTACATACCACCGCAAGCTCCACCTCCGGGACAAGCGTGGCGGATAATATCATGGCGAGTTGTTTCGTTAATCTTACCGGTAATAAATTCACCGTAAGCCTGGAAAGCAGAAACTAAATCAATGGGGGCATTGTTCTGACAGGAAGAATGACCTGGGCGAATGGAACCACCATATAACATAATACTAGGACGATTGATACGGCCCATGGCAATTAAGCAACCAGGCATATTTTTGTCACAGCCTGGAATGGAAATGTTGGCATCGTACCATTGACCTTGCATGACGGTTTCAATGGAGTCGGCGATAATTTCACGAGACTGCAGACTAAATCTCATACCACTAGTACCCATAGAGATACCATCGCTTACGCCAATGGTATTGAACTGTAAGCCAGTAAGGCCAGCCTTTTTGACACTTGCTTTGACTCTGCGACCGAGATCCAACAAGTGCATATTGCAAGGGTTACCCTCGAACCAGCAGCTGGCAATACCAACTTGAGGATTGTGTATGTCGGTATCAGTCAAGCCAGTGGCATATAACATGGCTTGAGAGGCACCTTGAGACTTGGGTCCAGTGATAGTATCACTAAACTTGTTAAGCTTCTTCTCTTCGAGAACTGTAGCAGAGGTTTTGAAAGTACGAGTATTCAAAACGGCACGCTTTGTAGCCGCAGCAGAGGCACCCGCGCGAACGAGTTTGTTCAAAATCATACTCAGAAGCTGAATTATCAATAAATACGACCAAAAATTTTAACAATGATTAATTATCCCGAGGATTCAGATGAGTAAGCAACAAAAAAGAACAGGAACCAAACAAAGGAAATCCAAAAACAAGCAATTATTATGGAAAGAGAAGCACGTTCTTCCAGATTCTTTACTATTTTTCTTTAAAAAGTATGGTCCTGGTCAAAAGTAAGGATTACAAGATGCAAATTTATACAGATGGCCATCGCGATCAAAGGTAAAATCGAATTCTCATGTCAGTGATTGGCTCTTAAATCGGTAACTTTTAGAGTTACCTTAAGCGAAATTTGAACAAGAATGTTTTATGCTGTAAATGAAAATGTTTGTTGTAGTTATTCTCTCTAACAATCATAAAAACTTGCTATTCCTTGTATATTTATGAACAGATGAAGACTGTGTTGCATAGTTGTGTTGAATGGTCCAAGTTTAGCGCTTTGCTCTTATGCGCTTTTGGAACACTTGGGAAGCGTTGACAGGGAAGGGTAAGCATGGCTATAAGCCTTTCTATAGCTTGCCTATTGATTCATTGAATCAGGAATAGGAGTGTACATATGCATAGAAGGAATCAATTGCTTTGTAAGGTGAATCTTTCATTGTAAACTGAACAGAAAAGTGCTTTGAATCCGAGGAGCCAAAAAAAAAAAAAAAAANAAAAAAAACAAAAAAAATAGAGAGATGTAACTTGATTCTTTTATAATGATTATATTTCTTGCTTATTATTTTCACTTTCTCCGTCAACGAGTATTTACAATATTGTGAAGTGCAGTGATGGCACAATACGCATTTGCGATTTATCGTTAAATGAAAACCACTTGCGAGCTGCAACACCAGATTCTTGAAAAAATTGACTGTCTTGGCAGCGGTTGGTTTGTTTTTAGGAAAGATTTATGTTTCTGCTTTCATTCTTATAGGAAACGTTCGGTCGCTAATATAATATAAGGTATTGTTTAATCTTCAAAGAAAGTTTGCCTCGATCTCATTATTGTTCTTGACTCTCATAATTTATAATAATTCGTTTTATTTATTTATTTACGGCTAATTTGGAAGAACGTGAAAAGAGAGTGTCTTGGTACAATGGCTCCAGGAACTCGTGTCAGTAAATGCCAAATATCTCGTCCAATTCTAATCGGAAACGATGCAAAGCCATTAACGCCAGAGGAACGAGTTCATGCTCCTCCAGACCACACGCATACTTGGAGGATTTTCGTCGAAGGTGTTGACGGAGAAGATATCTCAAAATGGATTAAAAAAGTAGTCTTTAAGCTTCATGATACGTACAACAATTCTACGCGAAGTATAGAGTCTCTACCATTTGAAGTAATTGAAACTGGCTGGGGAGAATTTGATATCATGATTCGTATCTTTTTTGTACCAGAAACTCATGAAAAGTCACTTACCTTTTATCATCGCTTAAAACTCCATCCTTATGGTCCTCGCATGGAAGAAGAAAAAGCCGCTGGCGGCCTAGTAGAATCTGTACAGTACGAGGAAATTGTTTTCAACGAACCTTTTGAATACACATATAAACTCTTCTTAGAAAATCCCATTGGAGATGGGCATGGTTTAGCTGTTGAGTCGGAACCAGATCATCCATTCTCTCAGCAATTGGAGCAGGACGAAGCTGATAAGTTGGACATGGCAATGGAAAATGTGAAAAAGACAATTGACACTTACAAACAGCAATTACATGAACTACAAAGCCAAAAGCCGCCAATTTCTTAGACTTTTTTTTTTTTCAGAACAAAAATCTCGTCCATTGGACGAACAAGTTAAAGAAAGTTTCAAGGTTTTTATTATCAGTCTGCATTAAGTTTATAAAATATATATTGTCTTTTATTAATGGGGGAAATCAATATGAAAGTCAGAAGTTGTATCATACATTTTAGGCCATATTAGTTTTGACAAATAAAAAATTATGTGATTTCATCCTCCTTCTGCCTTCATAACCATAAACATACACCTGCAAATGTCAAATATCGTCGAGCATAGCAATTGTACCAGTTACGTACACAACTGAGTTTGGTTTCATAAAGGTTTAGGCAACTACGTGTGCATCGCAAAAACCCAAATTTAAGAAAATCCTTGATAAAAGTACACCAAGCCAAAAAGTATAAATAGACACCCTCCAGAAAGCAATACCTTGTGCATTTGAATTTTAGTTGCAAGATACTTTCCAGAAAGTACAGCCAGGCCCGTGCAAAAAGCATGACCTAAATTGGCTCCTAAAAATACACCAAACATATTATCACTAGCAGCCATAGCAATGGTTGCGATTTGCGAACGATCACCCCATTCACTTACAAAGGTCAGCGCAAATGCCTTCACAAAAAGAGGAGACAACAAGAAACTAAAAAGATTTTTTAATCCATCTAGAGTCGACTTTAGATAATTAACGCTATCATCTTCGGTTTTTTCATAAATAGGATCTTTAGGAACCTGACCTTCTTCCATAAGCTCTTCAACTGGTTTAGCAGTACTGATCTCATCTTCCACCCGCTTGAACTCTTCATCAATAGATTCATGAGCGTTCATAACCTCAACACCTTCACGGATCATTTTGATACCAAATATTACAAAGAGTAATCCGCCTAAAAGATCCGTACATCGTTTAGGGAAAAGCATAGGAGCAGCATGGCCTAAAAGAACGCCGAGTAAAGTCATGAAAAATAAGGCACTAAAAGATCCTAGGAATACGATGCCTCTTGAATTTTCGAAAGAAAGAAGGGCTGCCACAATGAATGTTTTATCACCAAGTTCGCAACCAAAGATCATGGAGATGGCGAAAAGCATACTTCTCAGCATATTCTTCTGAGTAGACCCCTCTGAGGGATCCACATTTTCCCATGCTTCTCTGTCGATTGAAAGATTGGAAGAGGTATTCTAATACAGCAATTAGATAAATGAACTTGCAAAAGCACATAAAGACTGAGCAGGCGTTCAGCATTCAGTGAAAGTTAAAGGAATTTATGTGGAAAATCCAATAATGAAAAGCAGGCATGTACTAGCTCACGATACTGCATGTACGAGACGAAACCACACAAAGGTGTCTGTAATATAGAATTTCTGAAACGCCCGGAATAGTCTTTTATTCATAAAAAATTTTAAGAAAATAAACTACTTACCTCAGCCATAGCCACGAGACTCATAGTAGCCAGCAAAAGCAAACCCAAGTTCCGTTTCATCATCAAAGTGTATTACGCCAAATCGAGCAAACAGTAGTAATCAAGAATACTCAAAATATTTCTAGTTCTATATAGTTATTGAATTGTAGCTTCTTTATAAACAAGGATGATGGTTCGAGTGTGGCGCTTGGTAAATGTTAGTCAAGCATATAATAAAAGATGAGATTAGAGTGTGGTCGAATAGGACGAGAATTTATTTTAATTTTTCTAAAGTTTACTTATATCATATGAGCTTTTTATCTAAGAAAAAAATATTCGAATGGTTGTGATCATCTATGAGTACTTTGTTTAACATTGTACAATTTGGCGAGGCGTACGATTATATTGGCGAAATAAAAGTTCACTCATTTTTCTTGTTTAAGGAATTTAATGAATTGCATAGCTCTGTTTGGATGTCTTAGTCGTAAGCAATCGAATTGATTGTCTGTTCGCCCATTAGATATTGCTGTATTTGGTAGTGCCAAGCAATACAAACATCATCTTTATGAAAATAATGATATTTTGGCCATTTCCAACAAATCATTGATTCAAACCCTTGGATTTGATACTGAAAACTTGTTGTTTGCTTGATGCCAGTATGTTTCATATAGGAGGACTCGGGATGACTCAAAGAATCAATAATTCATTAAATAAACATTGGGTTTCTAGCAGCTTGATAATTAACGTACATGAAATCGGAGGTTTCAAAGGTCTTTGACATTGGGCTTTTGAACAAGCCATGGATATTTGAGTACAAAGTTGTATCCCAATTTTATTTTTTCGTATAAGACAAGCTATACATTGTTTCAAAATACATATTTAGAAATACCTATTTGAAAGTCTTGGGAAATTTGACCTTTACCAAGAACCAACTTTCAATAGAGAAATATGCTTTTATAGGATAAAGGGTAGAAAAATGGACTCAAATAAAACGGTAAACGTGGATGATTTAGTGACAAGATTCAAAAGAGAAGGACATTTCGATCGTTTACGAAAGCTTGTCTTGGAAACATTCAAAGAAAAGGTATGTTAAAAAACGCAACCATATATATACTTCTAGGAAGACCACAGGAAGAAGAAGCTAAAAAAGAATCTATTTTCTTCCTTCTCATGGGATCGACCTCTTTTAATCATAGTCATTGCGTTGCGTCTAACAAGGTTTCTTTTAGGAATCGGAGGGATTCGCAGAGCAACTTCGAACAATTGCTGAATTAGAACTAGAGAAAGATCCATCTTTAAAAACCAAAGATCATTTCCGAACAGCGCCTTTAATCGCAGGCGCCGTTGATCGGTATGAACATAGTTGGTTTCAGTCGAACGAATGGCTAATTGAAATAGGACATCGCTTTATGAAAATACCTTGGAAAATATAAAAAACAATATTTTGTCTCAAGATAAGCTCAGAGTAAATGTCCTTGAGACAATAAAGCAATTGTGTGACAAAGAAACTGAAGGGCATCGGGGATCATAAAGGTAAAGCTATACTACAACAAAATCAAAATCCTCTTCTAGTTTGGTTATAATGGTTGATTCTTCATTTTATTACTATATATATTTTGGAGCATGTTTTCAAGTATTTATCGCAAACTGGGGATCGATATGACGTTGAATGCTGGATAGGATTCATAAGGCAAAATATATACGCCAAAGCAATAACAAGGAAGTTTGGAGAAAGAAGCGTGTTGGCGTCCTCAAAGGATTCACCAAATAATACGAACGACTTGGTTGAATTGTCGCCGTCGTTTATTACGAGATCGATTATTTAACAAATATAATCTCGACGCACACATAAATAAAAGAACGTGCGTTTGTTTGATCAGCTTAATTGGTCTGCTAAACAAACGTGTATTAAAAACTAGGAACTCCGCCAACAGTAACTGAAAGACAAGCTGATTAGAAGAAATAAAAATAATGGACAAAAAGGTGAACAAAGCGCACAAAGATTAAGCCGAAATAAAAACAATTGCATTACAGTTCATGAATAGTTTAGGTCGTCATCATTAAGGATGTAAAATGAGTGCTTCAAATAAGTTATGCTTTGGTTAACTTCAAAGTACAAGAATAAATAATCACTCTTTAACAGTGGTATGTAGTAGTAGGTCATTCAAACATTCGTCAGCTTCCTCAACTGGCGCTTCCAAATCATGGTATTTTCGGCATATGAAACAGCTAAAGTATGGGTGGCTTTCTACCAGAGTTGGGCGTATACATTTATAATGATAAGTGTGAGAACAAGGAGCAAAAAAGAGTGCTTGACAGGGTAAAACAGGCATTAAACAAATGCAACACTCGGGAGGGCCGTTATCAGTTGAACCAGAAACGGCTAGTTCTTGAACACGGCGAAATTCGTTCAAATTGTATGGATTGATTCTTATTTTCCAAGAATTATTGAGTTCAACCCGCGCACGGACACAGCGATAATGCATTTCATAACCACCACGATAATCGGCACCGAGCTGGAGAATATCATTATTTGACATGGCATAAGGCTTACTCGTCTTAGAAGGTGGAGATAAACGAACGTGATTAAGAAATGTTCCGGAACTTGAACCCATATCTTGGATATACCAAGTATTATTTTCGTGATATATTTGAGCATGCTTACGACTCACAACTTTCGAGCGAAAAACTATAGCAGATACGTCTCCTCCATTAAACCTCTCGGTGTATCGTCCAATATAGATAGGTAAAGAATCATTCTTTTTATCCCAACACCGAACTAGTGGATCAAATGAAAACGAGTGTGCATTTGGGCCTACAAAGTTGGTAAGACGAATAGAATATTTACATTCATCTTTTTCTGAACTAGATTCAGCAAGACCTTCATTTTCTTTCCGACAACCTTCCACAGCCTTTGTCATCCCGGAATCTTTGGGTTCTGGGAATGAAAGATGCAAAATTTACAAGAAACCGAGATACGACAGATAAATAGGAACGCCTTTTAAGCTTAAAATCTAGCAAATGCCAAAGTTCCGTATCACAAAGAAGAGCTGAGAAATTTCAAAGCTTGCTTGTTTAAGGAAAAGCTAATAGAATGAATTGTTTAGATCTAATTTTCAAAGATTTCTCCAGCTTTTATGGCTTATTTTTTTAGCAAGATATTGGTTTTGTTTGTGTTGTAATGGAGATATCCAAGACCTAGTCCAACAAAAACAATGTAGTGTAAACAAAGCAGGGCTTAATCCCAATCAACGCAATGCTGTTTACAATAGAAAGAATTAAAAACTCTCAATTTTATAAATAGGTTCCTTTGACAAATAAAAATTGGCCTTTCGAAAGGCACGCCTTCTTTAAGCTCTGTATATCTCACAGATACAAAGCGACGGAATGTATGAAACAATGACAGAAAAGAATTAATTTTTTAAACAGCCAACTCTTAAATAGAAACGAAAGGAGCAAGAGCTTGAAAAGGTAATGAAAAGATATGAAATGGATTGGGCTTTTAAATTTTTGTCACTAGTTATCGTTAGAGGTCGTTAATTAATTTGATACAGAGGTGTTTCTTGGTATACTAGTCTAGACGAAGCAAGAAATAGTAAAAATGAAAAGAAAAATTTCAGACACACTGCTGAAGCACTTACTAAAAAGTGAATAATTGGGCCTACACCTTCTGGAGGGGAATCTATAGAATTTTGCAAAACGATAAAAGTTCCTCTTCTTCTTCAGGCTAGAAGTATTAATTTCCGTACAAAGAATTTTAGAATGTAAATTCATAATAACAATTTAGCTAAATTTCATTTAAGATAATTAATATAAAGAATGTAAACGATCGCTAGATAACAAACATAAGAGAAACGAAAGTATTGGTTTACGAATAAAAGAAGATGCAAAAAAAAATTCAAACGGTAACAACGAAAACAATAGTGACAGCAAATTAAATCTTTTACGGACTCTTTGGCCTCGTTTGAGATTCGAGGTCGAATTCGACCATGAATGGTACAGAATCTGAATTCTGCTGATCGCTGCTTTCATCAGTGGAAACGTATTGCTTAAATTTTCTCCAAGGAGATGATGATTTACTTGAAAAGGGACTACCAAAAGCTCTTCTGCTAGATCGAGAGACTCTGGCAGCAGGCTTTAGCGAAGATCCAAATAACAAGAAAACGATAAAGAAAAATAATACAAAACCAAGTATAGTCCATAGTAACCAATGTCGGAGCATATAAAATACAAACCCAGCGTCGTTATCATGCCAGGATGATCCTTCAAAAATGTTGAAGAATGAATATTTGGAACCGGTGTACACATCAGAGGTCAAGACCCAAACGTGGTGCCAGGCTTCAGCCATGGGGAGACTTCGCCACGCTCTCCAAACTATAGAAAAGAATAAAGGGCCCGTCGAATACATAACTGTTAGATAAGGGAAATGATAGTTGAAAGCATAAGATGGTAGAGTACGGATGACTTGGAGCAGAAAAGGATGCTTTTTCCTGATTCCAATAACATTGTTGCTAATACCACTGGGGCTTGTTTTTCGAACAAACGCAGGATATTTCAGTAAAGGCTCCATAGAACGATTACAACCAACATCCAAATCTAAATAAATACCACCGTAATGGTATAAAATGAAGTAGCGAACGACATCAGCGCGTTCTATGTTATAAGGGTACGCATCATACTGAGGAAGGAACCAGGGATAGTTTTCTTTCATAAAATCTCGCATTGCCTCATCCGTCCATAACTTATATTCAAAGTCGGGATGCAGGTTGATGCAACTTTTCTGAGCATCTTTCCATTTATCAGGAATATCTTCGGTTTTCCAAGTCTGATGAATTACGCGCGGGACGTTTTCTGTCGCATTATTGATAAGCGGATAATTAAACTCGTCGAACAAATCGTTTGCTTTCAAAACGTCTGTCCGGTAATCTATAAAAAATAACTTGATGGGTCCCCAGAAAAGATGGAGCGTGAAAACGACAACCAGGGACAAAACAAGGAAAAAAACGAGAGCCGGCTTATTCATAGCGGTGTATTCTATGTCGGCGTAAAGTTGAATTAGGATTTAGATTAAAAAGCGACTTAGAATCTCAAACTTAAACACAAACGATAACGATAACAATTTAAGTCCGAAATTAAACTTCAGGGATTTCTATAAGGGAAAATCGGAGGGGAGGCTTAGTAACGAAGGATGGATTGTGCCCTGTTGGTGAAAAATGTAAAAGCTCAACGAAACCGAAATTAAGCTTCACAACAAGCCAATGGGCAATTGAACTTATCGAATTTTCAGATAAAACTCTCGTAATAGGTCTTGCCCAGTTCTTTGTCTCTTTCCAGTGACTGAATGTGCAAACAATGATGCAATTCAAGCAGTCCACGAAACCAAAGCCCTTGTTGAGAGGAAAAGGTAAGTCAAATTTTACGTTAAATGATCACTTATAAGCTGGAAAGCTTCTTGCAAACTTTCGTTATCACCTCTCCAGTAGAAAGATGATGGAGCAACAAAAGAAACAATTAAAATATTCTAAGGATGCTGTATTAAATAGAAACAAGAAGTCAGAAAAGTAAAAAGTAATGATAATCCTTCAAAATTGTACTATAGGCTTTTATGATCACCTCTTGTAACTGGTTAAACGCTGTCAAGGGATTCTAAGGAAAGTGTAAAGGCCACAGACACTTTCGAAACGTGAATAATTCTAATAAATATGTAAGTATTATAACAGTTTTTTTGGATTCTTCATGAGAAACTGATATTTTGTTAAAGGTAGGTGTCGTTTGCCTCTCAGTCCTGAATCTAGATAACGCAAAGTAGCATCGTTACCTTTATGTCCTTTGGGTACGGCTACGTTAATAAACAAATATGTTTTTTACAAAATTTAGTTGTTTCAAACATGCTGTCGTCAATTCAGTAAGATTTTAGAGAATCGATAAAATAATGATGAATTAATAGCAATTCATTGATCCTATACGTTGTTGTTTTCTTTCTAAAAAAATTGAATCTGTCAAAGTAAAAGGTGGATAAATCGAAAAATGATTGAAGCAAGTCAATAGAATTTGAGAACTTACTAAGGTATATCGCTCTACTGTTTTGTTTTGTTATTTCTTTTTTCTCTTTAGTTTCGAACTAAACAAACAAAAGACAAATCTTCCAAGTCCAGCTAAAAGCTTCTACAATACTCCTTGTCCGCAGTAGCATAGCACTGAATTGAACTCGTAAGGGAAATCGTGATCACCTTTCGGACTCGTATATTGGTAGAATTGCTCCATGAAGCACTAGTGAATATCATGATGCTTAGCATCTTAGGAGTACGGTATTGTTCTTATTCTGTCATCCATTTTCCCGTATATTGTTCCAATTGAAAGGAATACACGAAAAATTTGATTCTTTCTTCCTATACGCTTTCTGCTCCTACCGGAACTATACGTTAAATAAATGCAATGAAAAAACGCCCAGAGATGCTAAAGAAAGTTTTTTAAAATATTTATTAAATATTTTAGACAGCCATACACTTCATTTATTGTATCATTAGGCTTCTAGGACAAATTTATACTTTGCCTTCTCTATGACTTAGGACCCTCAAATTCATTCAAAGATTACCAATTTTCTGAATTGAGCAACATATTCGATTATCGGAAGCTTTTTTTATATTGGTATAAAAACGCTCACTAGTAGCACTGAAAAGTAAGTCATTGACTCATATGCTCAGTTGTTTGAGTGGATTCCTTCTATTATTATAATTCTTATCAAGACTGACCTCAACTTTAAAGGTCATCATTCCATCTACCGGCTTTTGTTTTTATTTTCTTCCTTTTCCTTTTATTTATTAATTCATTCATCTGTACAAATATTACAATGGACGATCTTACAGGGGACCCTGTAGCGGCAGAAATTATTCAAGCTGTGAACCTCTCCCATTCTGTGGATAAGCAAGTAGGAGCTGAAAAGGCTATTTCCTACCTTGGCGTTGAAGAAGAGCGTGGTGTCAATGTCGTTGGGTCCAGAATGAAGCCTCGATATATTGTCCTTTCATATGACGAAAATACCCATGTTTTCTATATTCATCGCTTAAAGGCAAGTGACAAAGGAGGAATGACTGTAGTGAGAACTTGGCCTCTTTTCGAATTACAGGGAATCACTGTTATTGATGACAGAGATGTCACGTTCACAATCAATAAACCCCATCTTCTAAGAAGCAATGATACGCTCGCGAGAAACAAGTTCATATTTTCACTTGCAAAACAGTTCATGCATTACATGGGTAAACCTCTGAGTGTTCTGACTCCCGATGGTCGAAAAGTAGATTGGGCTTATCGTAATTCTTTTGCGGAGGACGCAGCAAAGCCTTTGAGTATCCCCAGAACCAGAAATTCTCTACCAGAAAACGCCATGATGGCTCCTAGCCCCTCATCATCTTCTAAAGCTGGTCACTTGCGCAATTTTTCTGATGGACCCATTGTTACAAACCTAGAAACAGATCTTCCTTCTTCAAATGATAAAGGAGAAACCTCAGGCTCTTTTCCAAATTATAAAAGTTATAAGAATGATCAAACTCCTGATGGAAAACTTATGTCTCATTCGAAGCTGAAGCATCAAGCAAAACCCCTTAGCAGTTCCATGTCTGGTAAGTCTAGCTCCTCCGTTCCGGAGTCTCCTTTTACTCAAAAAAATGAAACTTCTTCTGAGAAAGATTTTCCAAAAAAACCTACGTATAAAGATAATTTTATTCAGGAACAGGTTCAATTATTTCCACCGAAGTCTCCTTTGCGAAAGGGTGCCCGCAGAGAAAGAAATTTCCCCTCTGAACCAAAAAAGAATGCTGTTCAACCTGAAAAAAAAACTACACCCTCGTCTTCATCAAAAGATTTATTGTCGCAAGACCCAATGTCATTGTTGGACGAAAAATCATATATTAGTCGTTCGAAGGAGCACAATGTTTTACTATCTGATGAGCCTAACTTATTTATGAGTGATTCGAGTGGATTAAATGAAGATGCTTTTCATTCAACACTAGATCCAGCTTACAGTTCTTCAGCTCAGCAACTGCCTCTTAAAGAAGGTTCATCACCTATCCGCCCTCCTTCTATTTCAGCTAAAAGTTCTTTGAGAAATTCTCCAGTTTCGTTTCCCAAGTTATCTTTTTCTTCATCTTCTGGGCTTCAAATACCGGCTAAACATCCGTCTCGCCAAAGTTTATCAACTGCTGCGGATACGAATGTTGTTAATTCGTCGGCTTTAAGCTCTCTACCTTTAGAATCGCAAGAATACACTACTCCAGCGCGTCCCAAGATAGGTACCATGTCTAACAATCAAGTCTCGAGCGAAGCTTTACCTACATTGAACGTATTGACACCCGCTTTACGAGGTTCCATCATTGAAGAAGCATACAATGTGCACTCTAAAATCAGTATAAATAGCCTACCAAAAAATGTGACTCAGGAAATGTCTCAGTTGAACTGGAGTAACAAAATGACTTACAAGGATTATTATGATTCTATGGAATCTGAATTTAACACTTCAATGAAGAAGAGTGTCCAAAATCTACTAGACGAAGAGGGTAGAATGGAAAAGATAAGGAAAAACATTGACAATTGTGTCACGGGCTGTGATTCTCTAAGTTCAACTATTAATCTGTTTTCACTCGAACTCTCAGAGGCATTAAACGATATTATGAACAGTAACCAGCAAATAAAGCACAAATAATGAATGTTTATGAACTAGAATGATGGAGTATTATCAGGTTAATAACTATTGTGTTAGTAATGTGAGCATAGACCTTCACTAAGACGATTTACTTAAAGGAAGTAGGATATCCTCTTTTGAAAGCAAATCCGATATCTTGGCTTCACCGATATAGGGAGTCCATCGTAAGTAAGCGGGTTTTACCCTTTGAGGATGCTTTTCATCCCATTTTTTACACACATGATATAGGTTCATTTTGTCAATGTGGAGGACGTAAATTTTCTTCTTCATATCATACTTTAAGACAGATAAAGCTTCCAAAGCTGAAATAACGTCGTCGCAAACCATGGAAGTCGCTTGAGCTATGTTTTCGATGCTGACGGGAGATCTCATACTCAACAAAGTTTCAGCAACACGCTTCTTCCAGTAACTACGGTACGAAAGCAGACCCAAATCAGAGAGTGGCTTTTCAGGAGACCCCAATTTCCGTTCAGCCATACTCAATAAGTAACTGAAATCTATTAGAAAAGCACCGTAACCCCTTCGCTGATATATCGGTAAAGTTAAAATGCAAGATACATTGTAATTTGAGGCTGATCTTTTTTCCTTACTGAAATAGCCCAAAATTTTACAGGAAGTCCCGTCGTATTCAGTCATTATGTAAAAAAGAAAAGGTTCAACATCGTAACATAGTATTTTTGATTGCAAAAACATTTTTGCCAAAAGACATAAATTTTGACAGTAAATAGGTTGTCGCTGTCCGTCTACTTCGAACATTGAAATATTTTGATCCCTATAAATCTCGTCACCAGGAGGATGCCTCCAAGCACATTTCATTCTGTGCCGTTGCAGAACATAATCGCTGTTCATGTATTTGAGACAAGCATTGCATAAGTATAGGTTTCTTGAGCAACTATATTCTTCAGGGTAGGGAGAAGTATACCATGGTTTCACTTTGTAGTTACCGAAGTAAACATTGCGAATCGTCGTAGGCTGTGGAGGTGGAGCATGCAGTTGATTGGAAAGAACAGGATCAGAAAAAGCATGTGTCACTTCTTTAGTTCTCGTAACTACTTTCTTTGCTTTATCGAACAATTGGGTATCATCCGGTGTTAAATCTGTCAAAGATGTATCCGCCTCTTCTTCAGTTAAAACCCCAATGAATGTTTTTTCGCATTCCAAGTCTAGTAGAAGCTTTTTATAATTTTCGTAATGTATAGATTTAGTATCAAATTTGATGACTAGCAAACTTTTTGCTTCAGTAGGAGACACAGCTACCTTTGCTGGCATTGAAGCATTAAAATGGTAAGTGATCAGTTTTATGACTTTCTATTTATCAAAAAATTTCGTTTTTAAACGGCCTTAATGACTGGTTACCGTATTGAAGTTGTATTTCCAGGAATGCCTGTTTTCAACCTTCATGCTTACAATGGTAGCTACCAACATTCGACAAGGTTACTAGCTTAAGGAGCCTCGATTTGATTGAACTTTCTTATAGCAAAAAAAAAGAAAAAAAAACAAGAAAAATGTTTTTAAAAAAAAGGAGGACTGAACAATCTTATGCTGAATTAAAAAATTTGAAATTCCGTTTTCAGAAAGCATTTTCTAAATATTCAAGAAGAAAGGTTAAGTACTTTTTTTCGTATAGAAAGACTTCATAATTCATAGGTATCATAAATTTTCATCATTCCGTCTAATATAAAAATAAGGCAACAATAACTTAGCTAAATAGGTCTATTAACTCATGGAATAATGAAGAAAAAAGAGAAAGAGAGATAGAGAGAGAGACAGGGAGACAAGGAGAGGGAGAGATGGACAGAAAAGCAATAATGTAATATCTATATCAACCTTCACAAAACTCCATGCGTATAACATAAACAAAAATAACAAAAAGAAAAAGAATCGATCCTAAGCATCTACATCTGCCATGCTAGAGAATCCACGGAAACATTCCTGCTGTTGTCTCGTCAACACAGTGTTCACCGGTGTTAGATTTGGTGCAGCACTGGTAAATTCTTCATCAAAGTTATTCAAATCATGGATATCACTTGCTACTGGTTTATAAACAGGATCATACTTTAAGTAATAAAGATCAGACCAGATAATAGTGGCAAAAAATGGGTGATTCATAACCTCAAGGGCATCAGTTGGGCCACTTCCTAATCTCTTTTCAGGATCGCGAGTTAAAAGCTAAAATGTTAGTTAAATATTTACAAGTTATGCGTGCTTACCCCTCGTAATAGCGAAACAGCATCTGCCGGCATATTGATAGGAAACAATGGCTCATCCGTTAAAATAGCATCAAAAATTTCTTCTTCATCTTCTCCTTTAAAGGGAGACTGACCTAACAGCATTTGATACATAAGAACACCGAACGCCCACCAATCTACATTTTTTGTATATTGCTGTTCCAAGAGGATTTCAGGAGCCATAAACTCCGGAGTGCCACAAAAGGTTGAAGTAGTGTTACCAGGAGACATGTTTTCTTTACATAGACCATAATCAGCAATCTTAATATGTCCGTTGGAGCATAGAAGGATATTATCTAGCTTTAAGTCACGATATGCAATACCGTTTTCGTGGAAGTATTTCAAAGCTAAGCAAACCTCAGCACCGTAGAACCTCGCCCTTTTCACACTAAATTGCTGTCTCTGAACGTGAACCATCAGATCACCACCCTGAATGTACTCCATTACGAAATAAACACGAGTACTAGTTTGAAAACTAGCAAACATGTTCAATAGAAAAGGATGCTTTTCTCTGTTTGCGACGTCAAAAACATGTTTTTCAGTACGTAAACTTTCTAGTTCTTCGTTTTTCAAAATAAACTCTTTTTTCAATACTTTTATGGCATAGTGTTTCTTAGTTGGTTTATACTCAGCAAGCATAACTTTACCAAAATTACCTTTACCGAGTACAGCAATAAAAGTAAAATCGTCTAAAGTAATGCGCTTTTTCTTCTCTCTGCGAGGACTGGGCGAAAGTTTTCCTGTACTTTCCGCTGTAGTTGAAGTGCTAGACGGAGGTGTAGGAGTTAGATGACAAGGGGAGGGTGCGCTCATTCCTTTTGTTTCTTTAAAAGGTTCATCAGGTGTAGTAACAGGAGAGGCGTTCAATATAGTAGTAACAGGCTTGGTAGCTGCCATAAGGCCCTGGGATATCGTAGGTAAATGTTCATTAGATGACCTTGTATCTTGCTTGCTAACTCCCTGTTTTTCCCTCGATAATTTATTGTTGACATCGAGCCCCGCCAAAAGTTGGTTTTTCAAATCATTCGACATCCCACAAAAATCTGGGACTAAATGGGCACATTGCCCATGGCATGTTAAATTGCATTCTTCACACCTAAAGCAATCTTTTCGTCGCAAAGGTAAAAAGAAACCACAGTGAGCACACCAATGAGCTCCTAACGATGATAGTGGTTCGAACCTATGGGGAATTTGGTATTTGAGACGACCAAAATCAGCTTTTTCTGCATTGGATAAAGCTATGCAACCTGCAAGGATCTTGTGTAAGCACTTTTTATGGCATACAAAACTACAATTCTCACATTGTAGACCAGGAGAATAAGAGAAAAGTTCTCCACAAACAGCACAACGCATGATTTGATAAAATTGTTTTTGAATAAACTGGTGCCCTAAATGACCTGCGACAACTTCATCTTTCTTTTGGCGAATAGCACCTTGACGACCCAAACCAGTCTCAAGAAATTGCCGTTTAGTTAATTTCTTCGAAAATGACATAGAAACGCAAATTTGACCTACAGGTTCAAGGGAAAGCCATGTACGAGATAAAAGTGTGTAAGATGAAGGGGCAGACGTCGGTGAAGAAGCAAGAGGATCATAGAGAGAATTTCGAAAAGATGCCGTAGAAGCAGCCGTAGTTGGACGAGCTGAAGTGTTATTATAGGCATTTTGATCCGCCAAACTTGGCTTCCAATTGGCTTCAGACATTTCATGTAAGTTTCTCTTCCGACGCAATTCCTCGGCGATTAAAGAAGCAGGAACTAAAAGGAATCCAATAGGAACGTCAGACTCTTTTTTTTGATCATAAATAGTAAGCTGTATTTCTTTCGCACGATGAACGTCGAAAGTAAACGTCTCGTCCCATTGGTCGCCCGGGGAGCTTCGTGAACGAGCAACGTGGGTATCATCAACATAGCATACAGCGTAAGAGAATGTAGGAGATAAGTTATGCTGCAAAAAAGAAGTATGTTCTAAATTGCGTACGGAATGAATGGTAACTTGGAGTCTACCAGAAACTGGCTTTGCTAAACCACGGAAAGCAATTTGAAACGGATGATCATCCTGTCCAGCGATAGGTTGATTCAAGGGAATATGAAGTTCGTTGTAGCGCTTCAAAGATCGCTTCAACAGATTGATTTTTTGTTTACCCTCTCTCAACTTGACAGAAACATCGCGGGTATCTTTCTTTTCTTTGGAATATAAATGTAAGATCTTTTCAATTCCAGAAACACATTGTTGCTCTACAGATAACCGCATTTGCAAGTGCTGTAGCATTGTGGAAATCTTTTGTGGAGTTAAAGGCTTCTCCGAGCTGAGTACTTCAAAAGCGCTTCTACTTTCATGTAAAAGTTGTTTTTTGCCATCCTGCTGCTTGGAAGGGTACTTTTGCAAAGAGTCAGTTTCTTCTGTAGAGGCGTCATCTTTCCCATTCTGATCGAGCTTTAAGGATTGGATTCTCTCTTGTAAATAAGTGATATTGTTCTCCGATACAGCAATGTTTGTTTCTAACCGTTTTTTTACTTCCGGATTTTTGGTTGATGCTACCATTGATTTTGCTCCCATGATTAGCGATTCCTCTCGCTCAATCTTCTTGTATGCATCATGAATAGCATTTTTTAGAAACACCATTTTTCATCGAAAATGTTCCCTTGGAAGGGTTTTTGCCTAAGTGAATCTGGGATATGCAATGGCGTTGATATGTAAACAAGTGAAGTTTCCCACTACTCGATTATCAAGGGCAAGATAGTGAGGCGCAGGGCAAAGTTAGGCAATTTATATCTGTTTACTCTTAAGTAAATAAAAAAGGTATAAAATTTTATTTCGATAAAAAAGCATGGTACTTGGGCAAATTTGGGAATTAATTAAACATTGAATGAAAGGTCAATAACTTGCTTAATTCTCTTGTAGCAGAAGCTTTCTTAAGCTGATTTTCAAAGGGTAAATTCGCTATGTGGCCATACTTTACAATAGAAATTATTTTTGGATACATTGAACAGCTGGAAAATCCTTTCCAATGAACCTGGTAATTATCAAGATGAATCTTTTCCAAATATGGAGAAGAAATATGTACCGTAGCTGAGTTGTGTTGCATGCTATACAAGATGCAAATTCTCGTAAACACAAAATAGAAAACAATGATACTACAGTCCTTTTCCACAAGGAACTTATCTAATTCACCTCTATGTTTTTAACAATCTGAACCTGGTGGGTCATTTAAGTTATTTATTTACATTTTTACCAAGAAATGAACAACAATAACAAACAGAGCGAAGGACACAATGCTTGATTGTTTGAAAACGATGGCTTTTCAGAAGAAATTCAGCCAGCATATTATATTTTGATTCCAAGCTTTAAGAGAAGAGCAGTTATTTAGACAATAGCAATGAACATGCTTTTCAAGGAATAAACAATTCTTTTCTAGCCTGGTTCAATTGGCTTTGTAATTTCGTCTCAACAAAATTAAAAAACAATCCCAGGTCACAAAACCACCATCAGGAACGTTTGCGAGGTCACGATAAAAAGCTTAAGATGATATAGTGATAAATTCCTTTCTACGAATCGCAGACCCCAACATGAGATCTTCTACCAACAACCAACATTGAAGCATATTTTTAGCCTTTTGTTCTAGAGTGTATCATTATGACCTATTTCTACAAGCCTTATAACTTTTATCAAAATCCTTCTCCTGGTTATCAATGTACGTCGAGTGCTTATGCATTTTGTCAAAGGACTGTGCTAATGAACATGCTTATTAGTACATGAATTCCGTTCTTCTTTCGAAAAAGCACGAACTTTTGATGTTGAAGATGATTTAGAATTTTGTCCTGCCTTATCTGAAGAAGAAGTATGCTTATCCGGGACGGTAATGGGCTAAGCAGTTGCAACTGGAATTGACCAGAATTCTTCACTCTTAAGGAAGTTTCTGTGAGTTTGTTAATTCTGCTTAATTCACCCTCTTAAAAGGATCCGTTAAACAAGGTTTATGTATTAACATGCTTGTATAGTTGACCGCAATTTACCAGATGACCGGGCTTTCTCCGACAAACAGTTCCCCATCTTTGTCTCCAATGACTCCCAATATGTATCCTTCTGTTATGCCGTCGATTCAAAATGGAAGCTACGCCGGGATGCAGTATGCACCCTCGTCATTCCAGCACAATCCAAGCACCCGCCAGAAAAAATCTTCTAGTATTCCAATCATTGACCCTGTGACTCGTGCTCCTGCAGTTTTGACAGCACCTACAGCAAATTCCCGTTCTAAGCCTTATTGGTAATGAGGACTTGGGGCTACTTTATATTTTGCATTCATGATGGTTATAATCTTTAAAGCTCTTTGTACAATTACTCATTGCGTTTACCCTTGTATTTATCCATTTTTCATTTATGCAGCCAATGCGATTGTGTGTATTTCAATTATTGCACCGCTCTTCTTTCATGTTTTGTCTTTCCTATCACCGTCACACGAACACATTCTACAAAACATCGCTTTTTACGAACATTGTTAAAATATTTTGAGAACCTTTTATCTTGTACAATACTTGTTTCTCTGTTCTATCCTTGTGTTGTTTATGTCTTTTGTTTTGATGAAGTTATTCACTATCAACATTCATTTTTCTTTTTTTTTACAAGGAGGCTTTATCCTTCTTCGGTTGTATATCTATAGTTGCTAAACTTTACGAATTAGTTTATCAATATTATCAGCATTGTAATAGCTTTAATTTGCTACACGAAAAATATCTAATGCCAACTGTAATCTAAAACCCATATGTATACAGTAAGCATGACCCAACTTGAAATTAATTACATGTATGTATTTTTCACACTAATAATGGTTGATTTCATCCATTCTTTATTTTTTTGCCCCAGAAACCTATTCAATGCTTGCCAAAGCAGCTTGCTGTTCTGCAGTAAGCCTTGAAGCATATTCGTTAAAGTTGTTAAGGTTGATTGCCATCGCATTTTTTAAAAAGTCAAGTAGATAGAACTGTGAAGCATTAATTAGGCTTTGTTCTTTCAATGCACTCATATCACTTACCTGCAAGTCTGTCGTGTCATCCTCACCTTCAGCGGATGATTTAATGGATGGAAATTCATCTTTAGCAAGTTCATTGACTTCTAATTTTTGTTAATAAACAATAAGAAAAAAAAGAGTTTTACCATCCGCAGATAAGCCCAAATCCTCAACGTTCGATGGGCCATCGTCCCAATCATCAGCCTCATCATTGGAAATTTCTTCTACAACAGATTCTCTAGAAAGAGACATATATTCATCAACCAATAGCTTAACCAACTTTTCGCGTACGCTGATGGCTGTATATTGATTTGGATCTAAATATAACGTTAGCAGTGCGTTTAGATATATAAAGACCATACGTAGACGAGCCTGAGAACGGGTAACGATTCTATCGGATTGTGATATTATATCACCTTTTACTTGGATCGTATCCAAAAGACTTGTTTGTGCTTTGTAAATGTTTATCATGGCAATACAACTGAGATTATCGGTTAGCAACAGTAGTAAACGATGAAATCATACATGACAGACAAGTTCTTAAAATTGCTGAAGTAAACATAATTATCACACCAAACTTGCATTAACGCTTCTAATGCGAATGTCCCTCTCTCATCTACTGTAGAGTTTGTCAAAAAATCCAAAACAGCTTCAGCATTTTTGTTGATCATTTTTGAGAAAACGTATATTATGCTCTATAATTGTTAGAAATATTCGTTGAAAACTGTATTACCTGAATAAAACGAGGTTGTTCAGCAACAATTGCTCTTTGTAGACAAGAAAGCAAAACAGGTTGCAAATCTACGGCCTGATTTGCATGTTCCAAGAGTTCTAAAAGAATCGTTCCCACAAGAAAACATGAAGAATCATCAGATTTGCTCAATAAGAGCTTTTGCAATATATACAGAATATATTGCAGTCCTGTTGCTCCGGATATTTCTGCTTGTAATACCTGTGGGCAGTCTTTACGCAAGAGCTCTCTTATGATTTCTTGTGAGAGTTGAAGCAGTTCCAAATCATCATTATGTGTTTCTGTAATTTGGTAAATAGGGGGCAAAACGTAATTGATAAAACCAGCTGGAAGAGGAGAAGGCCCGGCACGAATTAAAGAAGAAAGAAGGGTGCATCCAACATTTACCAAATTGGGGTCTGGATGGCTTAAAACCTGTAGCAATTCTGGCATAGTTATTTCGCAAACACTTTCGTAACTAGCTGCCTCACTAGTGAGGTCCTCAAACGTATCTTCGATTAGTCCGGATATATAAGGATCAGAAGGATTATTAGCTATAAGGTTGAATAATACCGGAATAAATGAACTATCTGGCTCCGCGGCTTTTTGACAGTCCAATCGAGCCAACGCCGTGATTGCTTCGACCAGAAGAACGAGCGATTCGTCGTAGCTGTTTTGAACATACTGCCTAAGAACTTGCAGCACAACAGGTTGCACCGAAGGTGATGGTTTTATTTCACTAACAGAGCATAATCTCTCAATTCCCTTAATGGCAGCAAATTTTACTAGGTCTGATTGAGCAGCATTCGAGATACAATTCAAAAATATTTGAAAAAATTCAATGGCTAGGGGAGTACTCTCTGAAAAGTAGCCAACGAAATTAAAGAAACTAGCCATCAATATCTCAGATACATCAGAAGTTTGCATTCGAACAGATATGGCTTTATATACTGGCTCCAAAAAGTCGTCATAAGTATCATCTGAAGCGGCATCGATGGAGCAGCATGCGTATAGCAAAGCTTCTTGATGAATCCAGTTTATGTCATTTTCCAAAATGTAAGTGCTAGCCAGTTCCCGAATGTGTTGTTGGAGCCTTAAATTTGTATGCTGTTCAAAAGAAGAAAGTACGTTAACAGCGGCTCCACGCACTGTATCAACAAATGCGTCATAATTCGTTTCGTTGATTATATACTCGTTAACATCGTTTTCGTATTGTTCAGTTTGACCTTTAGAAAGCTGGGCATATTGAACCAAAACAGATATACAAGGAGGGAGACTAGATAAAGAAGAATTACTGGCTAAGAAAAGGGCTTGAACAGACTTGTTCTGTAAAGCTACACCAACGAACTGAAGTAGTTCCATTAGATAACGAAGAGGAAAATTCATGCCAAAAACGTTCTCATCCGAACAACTGTCAAAGACTACATCTTTAAGATAAATGGGAAGCAACTTTTGCAGGATATCCCAAATTAAATCAACTAGTCTTACAACATAGGTTGATAACTTTGATGGAAACAATTCCCTTAATTTCGATAAAGACAAGGAAATTTCTCCCATTATACAAAATATACCCGTAGAGTCACCCAAAAGTTCATTACCCTGAAAAAGAGGAGTCTGTAATTTTTGAATAAACATGTCCATCCATGGAGGTAATAGTCGGTCAACAAAGACGCGAACTGGCTCATAACGGGTTTCTTTATACATTTCCAATAATTCCAAACATGAGCGAAATAATCCTATCGCACGGGCTTGCAGTTTTCGTAAAGAGTCATTAGGAGGAGCTAGCAAAACCAGTTGATATAGAGTCTCAGAAAGACGTGGTGCTATGATAAAAAATTGTTCCTCCACCAATGACTCATCAATCAACTCACACAAGACATCGAGTGCGGCATTGATAGAATTTTCATTGTTTGACTCGAGTAACTGTAAAACACAGGGAAAAACCTCAGGCCATTCATCCGGAAAGTCAACGTTTGCAATCAAAGATACTGCATAAGCGACTGCTTTATTAAGCTGGTAGTTTTCCAAGGAAACCAATTGATGAAGAAGGGCATCTCTCACCGTACGCTTAATATTTTCGTCAGGTATAGGACCTTCTTGGAACTGTTCAAACAAGGGGGACCAATGGTGAGTAATAAACCGCTGTAAATAGATTAAGGATCCCTTCATACTATTAGCACCTATCACTGAATGTACTAAAACAACGTACCTGTCGCAAAGGGATTGAAGCTCCAGAAGCTGCGATGTTCGTTAAATACAGAGGGAACTCTATTTCAAAAATGGTTAGGCTTTGATCTTTCGTATACTGTTGTAATCCTTTCTTCTCAGCTCCATACCAGGCAAATTTTCAAAATTCTTCAATTCGAGTTCTGCTTGTAAACGAACATTTGTTTCTGGGTATTGTACAAGCTCAAGAGCCTTTTTGATATTGCTTTCTGTCATCTTGAAGGCACTGATATATATGTAACCAAGCTATCCAGATTTTTGAACCGGGAGTTATAACAGCCACCTATTTCGTAAGTAAAAATATATAGATTTTATAAATAAATTACTTGGATCAATACAAGCTGGAATATAGCTTGATTATTTATTTGGTAGAAATATCAACGCGTTTCTTCTGTGTGCTGCTGAGTAACAGCTTATTTTTAGGTAACAGCTGCTTTTGCTAACAATGTCAATGTCACGATAGGTGTTTTGTTAGTATTATAGATATCACTATACACTACCATAAGAACATATTTCCGAATATTAACAAACGTTATAAGAATAAAGGTTGAGATATTACAAATGGTAAACAAAACAAAGCAAAACAACAACAATTTAAGATTTAAGAAACCTATTTCAAAAAGGGAAACCAGTAAACTTAAGAAACCGTTCCTTACAGAGAGTTAAATTATGCTAACGTTTTTAGCAAAGATGTATATACTCTTGTGTCTGCAGTCAGAATTTTGAGATTGGAAGATTCGACTGGTGTGGCTAAATAAGATCATCGAAACACTTCCAATTTAGTTAATCAGAGGACAGTACAACAGAATCCAATTAACGTAATCCTACAAATGTAATCATTACTTCCGCTCGATATTTATTCTCATAACCCGTGAGAATTACTTACATGACAAGATTAGTGAAGAAACCTGTTTGTTTTGTATAATCTTATAGATCCAATTACGGTTTAGAATATGCAAGGGAAAGGATCAGTTTTGTTTCAATTGCATAGGCACTTAATCGTATTCGTGAATACTCATTTACTGTACAATCTACTTAACGATAAATGTAGCACTACTCTTATATGATTGTATACAAGGACTTATATGTTTTTTGTTATCATACAAAAATTTGCATACAGGATAAAAATGGACCATTCTCATTCTATTTACGCCCATTATAATTCAAATGCCGGTAGAATCGCTCAATCCGAACAAGTATGTCTCGATTTTCTTGGGTGATGAAGTGCATTACGTTTATTTCCACCTTTCGTCTGATCATATCCTACATGAATTGATGGATGAATGAAATGCCAAGCAAGCCTTTAAATTAGGAACTCGATACAGACTAAAATGAACATTACGGAAATGCGGTGAATGGATCCCCAAGCCAACAAAACAGATTTACAGTCCTCCATACATACTTTACAAGGCCCTTCTACTTGTCAAAGTTAAATCTAGCTTTTAAAGACCATTCTCTCTGAAGAAGGAAGTCTCCACGAATGTGGGAGCACAAAGCATCCAAGAGAAAGACTTCAAACATCTCCAAAGACCACCACAACATACTAAATTGGTTCTAAAATCTTATCATATATCAATGATGGCTTTCACTAGTATCATCTGTTGGGTGTTTTCACCGATCAGGAGTGCCGTGTCTGTTGATAATCTTTCTTATTTCATCACTATCGCCGTCGTTAGTCTACTTGTTCTTAAGTTAGTGCTTCATTAAGGCGGTACACTCGAAAGGAATTGTCCGTGACACATTGCATTACATTATGCAATTAGCACGATATCATATTACACTAATAATTTATAACGATATTTTTTAGCACTTTTAGTAAACGACTTAATTAGGGGTATATTAAAACAGCATGTCCATTTATAATTAGGTATGCCTGTCAAATGGACAACAGACTATAAATAGCTTGACTTCCTTTTGAGTGACAGATCCCAAGGAAAGTAACAATGTCACTTCATGTCTGTTTATACATCCTCCGCATGCTGAAACGATTGTATATTTGAATTTGATGCGACTATTTGGATTAAATATAGGAGGTTTTTATGTATTTTTTTAATTTTTTCTTGAACGTTTTTATTTATTAAGGATATTGTTAACTTCAACCGCTTTCTTTGCCTGATAGGCTGAAAATCTTGCGCGACCTTCCTTTTTCCATTTGTTTATTAATGCTTAATTTTATATTTAATATTCTGCGTCTTGTTGATTCGAAATGCTTGATTTGGACGAAATAATTGAGAGGCTTTACAAAAAGCAAATTATTGCAGAACCGGTGATTGCATACCTCTGTAGTTTGGTTAAAGAATTATTGATTCAAGAAAGTAACGTTGTCCGTCTTTCTACGCCGATTACTGTAGTTGGCGACATTCATGGGTAAGTTGTACCGATAATAAAAATCTGTGTAAAAGCCCAATTATGAGCATGACTGCTAACTTCGACAAAGTCAGTTTGAAGATTTGTTAGAGATCTTTCGGATTGGTGGTCCTTGCCCATTCACGAACTATATATTCCTGGGTATGTATCTCCTTAGCTGAGCGGCACCTATGAAAGCTTTTCAGAAGAAATCTATATTCATGTTCTTTGCTAATAATTATAGGTGACTATGTTGATCGTGGGTATTATAGTATAGAAACGATCACTTTGCTATTGTGTCTAAAGCTAAGATATCCAAAAAGAATTACCCTGCTTAGAGGTAACCATGAATCTAGAGGAATTACGCAAACATACGGTTTCTATTCAGAATGTCTTAGAAAATATGGCTCTGCAAACGTTTGGAAGCAAATTACAGACATATTTGATTTCTTAACACTAGCAGCTACAATCGATGATAGTATTTTTTGCGTCCACGGTGGACTTTCGCCTAGTATTCAACATATTGATCAAATTGTAGTACTTGATCGATTCCGAGAGTTTCCTCATGAAGGAGCCATGGCTGATCTGGTATGGTCGGATCCAGATCCAAGTATCCAAGAGTTTTCTTTATCTCCTAGAGGCGCAGGATATTCATTCGGTGAAATAATAGTTTCTAAATTTCTTCACGAGAACAATATGGATCATATTTTACGAGCTCATCAACTTTGCAGTGAGGGATATCAAATTCTGTTTGAAGAAAAGCTATCAACTGTTTGGTCAGCTCCTAATTATTGCTATCGTTGTGCCAACTTAGCTAGTATCCTTCAAATTGATACGGATAAGTCAAAGTTTTTCAATGTTTTTGACGCAGCCCCTAACCAAGAGAACCCTTACGTTGAACCTGCTGCGAGGGCAGCGGAATACTTTCTCTAAATACCTCTTTCTTAATTTTTGTTTTCTATACAAAATGCTTTACTTTTAGCGTATTGCGTTTGAAATTTCCCTTACTATTGATTTGTATAATAGGATTGCTTTCATTCATTAACATTTACTACTTCTTTCTTTGCAATAGATGAATCTATTTCTACTATATAGTAAGCACTGACTGTTCAAAAGTGGGAATTCAATGTTACTTAATTAACTTTGATCATATAAAATAATTAACCTCTAAAACTGTTAGTATAAGTAAAGAGCGGAATAAGATATTTTTTAAAGTTATAAAACAGTTTTACTCCTGCCATTTGCATGTTCCCATAATCAAAGCATTACTTGGGAGTCGATCTGGTACAGGAGAAAGAAGGGTCATTCTGTTTTTTACATCGTCCACGTCGGTGACGAAGACATATCCAAGTATACAAGAATCTATAATTGCAGTTTCATTTTCATCTTCATTCACGCTCGAAATTGCCAAAATTGAATTTTGTAGAATTGTCATTGCTTCAGTCGTGATCCTTTCTAAATATTGACCCTTCCCACTAAGAGCTAAAGACATATAGGAACCTTGTTTGTCTGCTTGACCAGTTTCTTCTTCAAAGCCAATTGGGAGCACCGAAGATTTCGGGCCGCTTTCTGATGCTTCCAGCACGCGATAAACTACTAGTTGGGTGGAATCGACGATTATCGAAAGTGGTGAAAGAGGCATTCGTTCATCTCCATAGAAATATTGTTTTAAACATTTGGATTGCCATTTTGCAATCCATTCCGGTTCTCTGTCAATACATCCTCCACTCGACGGAAGCTTGACGACAGAAAGCCAAGAGGCATCACTATAATTGCGCTTTATAGTGCTGTACAATCGCTCAGAGCCCAGTACAAGGACAATATTGATACGGAAATCAGTAATAATAGAATGAAGAGTACCCTGGTAGCGTTCATAATTCTCTTGTAAAGAACAGGTGTCAACAAGGCAACCAGACACAGATGCATCTGAGCTTTGAGTCATTCGTGAATTAACAGCAAGTGCTAAACGAGAGCAGCAAGATTTATATAGTTTGGGATTATCATATGGACTATCCAATCCATAGTTGTATACCAGAGGAGACTTGGCAAGAATATGAGTAGGGCCGGTGGACATACTAGCACCGAAACCAGTTGCTTCTTGGATGTCCAAAATGGTGGCATTATGAAAAGCGGATATGGAGCCTGGCAGAGCAACCATGGGTTGACTAGGATCAAGGTTAACACAAACGGGATGTCGAGATTGCCTTAATGCATATGATTCTAAGATTTTCATAACGCTCGTTTTGCCAGAGCTTTTGGGTCCAATAAGACAGACCCTAGGACCTGAAATAGAGGGATCGACCGAAGCATCGTCCTCAGCTTTTTTGCGTATATTTTCCAAAGCAAAATGCAGATTTAAATATGTACACATAGGAGTTTCTTCAGCGACATACTCCACAGAGGGTTCTCCTTCTACTTCTAAAGTACATCCCTGCCAAGTAAAGATTGCTCCTTTGACTTGTTCAAATTTATATGGAGGACCCAAAGCGAGTTCTGTACCAAAATACTCAGCATTTCCATTTGCAAGCTAATCGACAAAGGTTAGTCATCTATGGTTGACGAAGACATCAGAATAACAAAAAAAACTCTCAAGAAAAGAAAAAGGCATAAAAGAGGAAGAATACCTCTTATTATTTACGAACTTTTGAGAAAGATCGTTGACTCAACACATACCCGAATTTGAATTCCTGGTTCCTCAACTTCAAAACGCCATTCACACCCTTTGGGAACAACTATTTCTTTCATCATTTTTTATGTAGATTCAGCAGCCATAGACTGCTACTAAAAAGTAAAAAACCAAACCAAAAGACAATCCTGAGCGAAAAACGCAGCTAGGATCCTAAGAAAGTAAATAATGAGCCCAAAGGATGCTCCTTTTTCCTTATTGCAAACACTAGTGAAACCGTTATCCAAGCTTATAATACTTTTTAGTATGCGTAATGAAAGGTAAATAAAGAAGCATAAGACAGCCTCGCTATACTACTTTCACCATGGGTATCAACGTCATATAGGCGAGGAAACGTTAGAATGTTCCATCACGATAATTTGATTTAACCCAGAGCGGCGAACGATAACAAACGTCACGTTAGACCACGAAACCATCTGCTGTGATGTAACAGCGTTCTTGCAGCTGCAGATCTTCGTGCAAATCATTATGTGTATTTTGTACATGTGCCAAAGGAAAGCCCCTGAACAAACCCGGTTTTAGCAATAAAACGGACGAACAAGTTTGGTTTTATAAGTTGAATTAAGATCTAAACAATGTAAGAAATATGTCTCACAAAGCAATGCTATGAAAAAAGACAACAGCGGTCAGGCGAAGGATTTTCCGTTTACATAAATGTAGATCTATTTGTTATTCTTTGGAACCATAGAATCCAGGACCGCCACCCCCTTATGTATGATTCAAACAACAAAGAAAAATTATATAAGACCCCTTGCCTCAATCTCTTTCTTTAACCAAGCAATTTTTACTAAGCTTAAAAGGTAATATTCCTTTGGTAGATGATACCCATGATTTGGAGAATTACTAACTATTGAGTAGGATTATATTATAAATTTAATAATGGACAATAAAAACTGTGGATGTGGCAGTGGAAAAGCTTGCACTTGCCAAAACCAATGCTCTTGTGAAGCATGCAAGGGTAACTGTGGTTGCAAGAGTGGTGACAGCAAATGCCAATGTGAATCTTGCAAGTGTGGAAAGTAATGATTAATCGCGGGGTTTCCCTTTCGTTTCATACCTGCTCTGTTACCATAAACAACCTTTTCGCATCCCTTATGTGCAACTTTTTATCCAAGTTGGCGCATTGACGAACCAGCATACCTTTTCAGGAACGACGATGGTAATATAATGCAATGAATGATATATGTTTATTTCATTTTATTTTATTTTCATAGTTTGGCTGCATAGTATGAAAAACAAACATGGAATGAGATAATCAAAGTATTGAAATTTCGTGAGCTTCAATTAAACAAGGTATCGAAAGTTGCTGCTCCCGTGCTTTATAACGTAAACAGACGTGTTGCCGTTGAGCCGTGGAGAAATGCCGTTGAGACACTTTTTGATTCAATAACAGCATTCCGTCGGTGCCTCCTAGGCTTGTCGCAAGGATCCCATTTGACCAATATAATGATATTGAGATACTGCCTAGTTTGAGAGACTGAATGGTATAAACTTTTTTTTTTCTCTCCCCGGTAGAATAGTAAACAAGTATACATCCCTGGAACAAGCTATCATTGTTACTTAAATCTAAACTTTTAGTTAGCGAACATGTTGAACGGGAAGTGGGTTCATGAAGAGCAAAGGATTGGTAAGAAGAGAAATTCTTTCTTTGCGAAACTGATTTTTATTGATTTTCTTTCGAAACCATTTGTGCATTCAGAGGTAACTTTGACTGATATATTGCCCAACAGGTCTGTAGGATTATATTACAATGACCGAAAACAATGGCTGCAACCGTCAAAGCACATTGTTAAGTAACAACGTCCAGGGTAACATGAAGGAACATTACTAGGTCTTGTATTAGGGATAACGGTGATTTCTCCAGTACGTGTCGCGTTTCAACCCTTCTTTCTTTGCCTTTTCGCCTTTAAAAGCAAGGAGACAAGCTATTTTTATAGCTTTGTTAAAAAAAAAAAGAAGAGCAAAGTAAAAATAAGAAAGGTTTTCGTTGCTTTTACGTTTCAGCGTTTTTATCTCTCTTTTTTACGGTTCATTCTTTTAGCTCTCTTTCACGGTGGTCAAATTAAGAACCAAAGGAATTTAGCAACTTATATTTCCTTTTTCTTTCTTTCCTTTTTTTGACATATCCCCTTGAAGTCACTCAGAACATTCTTTCCCTCGTCATTCTTTTTGTTATCTACTTTTTCCTTTGTTTGTTCAGGTAATACAGTCAGTCATTCTTTAATTAGAGACTTTCTCAAATACCCTTACTCAAATATATTTCTTCCCACGGATTCCTTTTCTCTAATCTTTATATAATTTTTCTTTTTTATTTCTGCTAAACGTAATATCTATTCAATAAACCCTTTGTTAATTGAACACGGGCACAATCATCGTCAGTCTATTCATGGTGAAGGTATTATCTTTTTTTGGTTGTTGTTTTTAATTTTCGTATTTTTTTCACTAACCTGGACTCCAGATTCGACGTTCTTGGAAAAGCCATAGTCGCATTTCGAATAAAGATCCGTTTTCCATTGAACCCCCTAGAAAGGTCATACGGGCTTTGTATGATTACACAGCACGAAAAGCTTCTGAAATATCTTTTACAAAAGGAGATTTTTTCCATGTAATTGGTCGTGAAAATGACCAACTCTGGTATGAGGTCTGTAATCCGGCCGCAGGAACACATGGATTTGTCCCTGTTTCTCACTTCGAAGAAATTGGGAAAAATGCAAGTTCTATGAGAAATAGCAGCGGTAGTGAATCCACTGGGAATTTCGTGGATCTAACCAACTCTACAAATTCTCCTCGGATTTCTTTAAATGATTTGCAAACTTCTACTCAGCCTCTTTTTGGTATTGTGCAGTTCGATTTTGTTGCAGAAAGGGCAGATGAACTAGATGCTAAAGCCGGTGAAACAATTATTATTATTGCTCGCTCTAATCACGAGTGGTTGGTCGCAAAGCCAATCGGTAGACTAGGTGGACCAGGTCTTATTCCTCTCACATTTATTCAATTACGAGATTTAAAGACAGGTGCCGTGATCAAACATATCAGCGAAGCTATTTTGCGTACCTCTTGCATTCCACGAGTAGAAGATTGGAAACGTGCTGCCGCTGATTACAAAAAAAGCAGCATCCCTTTAGGGACTTTTCAGTCTCCATTGGAAGACTCCTCATCTTCAGTTGGATTCGAATCTAAAAGTACCTTAACTGATCCAGTGAAGGAGTCATCACCTTTTTCAACGCCTTCTTCATACGTAAGCTCTTCGAAACTTAGTCCATCAAACAATATTAGCGATGGTCAATACATATCCTCTGCTTCATCAAACACTATTTCTCATTTTAATGTTCCTTATGTAATTGCTGCAATGGTGGAAGCGTATTTTGCTCATAATAATCAATTTTGGTACTTGGTACGTGCAGTAATGAGTGATGGCCGACATCGAAACCTTTGCCGTTATTACGAAGACTTTTATCATCTTCAACTGACATTACTTGATGCATTCCCCAGCGAAGCTGGTCATGGACAAGCTCGTCGTATCATTCCCTACATGCCTGGCCCTGTAGATGATGTGAATGAATTGATTTCATCTCAACGAGCTTTGGATCTTGATGTCTATGTAAAAGAACTTTGTCGACTTCCTTCTCATCTGTTGGAGAGTGATTATATAAAAAAGTTCTTTTTACCTATGGAAGGTGACGTTGATGCTTCTCATCCTACCAGTTCTATGCCTCGTGTTGTAGAGCGCCCGTTCATATTTTTAGAATCACAAAAGGCAAAAAGCCTTACTGCCCCCAATACGCCTGTTTCCGGGAACGGTCATAATAATACTACCCCGATGTTCCAGAAGGTAAAAATTCGTTCTGGAGATGAGACATTTGCCTTGCGAATTGCCTCGGATATAGCTTACGAAGCATTTATTGATAAACTGAAAGCAAAGTTGGGTTTCCAATGGTACAAATTGGTTTATAGAGACGAAGCCACAAATGATTTCTTACCTATGTGTAACGCAGATGATCTTCGCAATGCATTCTCTCAGAAGTCCGGTGCTTTATTGCTTGCAGAGAGACAGAAAGTTTGACTTTTCAATTTTGAATCATTCATACTCAACTATTTGAATGAAACGCAGTATTTTATGATGGTTTTGTGCAACTTACATTCCCTTCTTTTTATTGCATTCATATTTACTGATATTTCTTTTGATGGCATGTTTTCTATAATTTGGCTATACTTTTGTGTTGACATTGATCATGTTTTCTAGTTTTTGTACTTTATTTCGGGTTCCTTTCGTTCTTATTTAATATATTCCATTCTTTCACGAATTCTCACAAATGCCTAGTTTAACTTGTCATCTTCTTTAAGGTCTTACTTAGAGTATGAAATGTAAAATTCAAAAATAGTTTATATGCGTACAAAGTTTCAATTTGTATTTAATAAAAATAAAAGTTTTTAGTTCCATGATGAGTATACCTCACTATGGTTTCTTCTGCAAGTCGTCAGTGTACCACTGCAATTTCTTCACCATCAATTCAGAAAGTGTTTGGACGCCCACTAGAAAAACATATACGCCTATCAGCTAAAAAATAAAAGTCTGAAGTTACTAAAAACTTTAATTATCTATACCTTTTTGTACTTTATGTTGTCCCTTTTTGTTAAGAATCGCAATAATTTTTGTTAGACTATGAACACAGAAGAGTTACGAGAGCTATACTTATCATCTATTTTACCTGAAAATATACAGGATAAAGATGTAGCTACTGAAAATGCTCCTTCTTTCATGTCGCAGCGCAGTAAAGTTATACCTGTACGGCTAGAATACCAAGAGAGAAGACTACTTCATTTATTGGTTGCTGCGTACGTATATCTGCTACTTTTTCTATTAATTCACTAATGAATCAGTTTGGATGTATGCGATTACACGGATACTGTCGATACCTTACAATTTTCGTCTAAAGCTAAGCGGACTGCTCAGCAATTAAAAGGCATTACCTCTGTATTAGCAGGAATTATGGTAGCCTATGACTATAAGGCTGGGCAGGAGTTATTAGAAAACAGAGAGTTTGAAAAGTATGCGAGCTTTTTCCAAGATGTCTTTGAAATAGGCCGTCGGTACAAGGTCTTGAATCCCAATCGGTTAGGTACTTCCTATGGTAAACTTATGTACTTTGTTCAGGATTCCATGTGTCCAGAAATTCAGGAAAATCTAGGGTTCAATCTATTTAAGCCAATTTTAACTGTTTACGAATTTTTGAAAGAACGAAAAGCTTTGAAGGCGCTTGAGGATCCTTACATTACGGTTGCTACTATGGAAATTGTAGCAGGCGGTCGGGCAAGATCTGCTATTCAAAAAGATATTAAAGCAAAAGAGCGTGCGGTAGAAACTATTGCAAAAAGGCACGCGAGCTCAACCATAACGAAGGATCAAATCCGCTGGTGCTTATATTCCTTAGCGGATAGTAATAGCTACCTTCGATTTAACCGAGATCCGGTTGCTAAATTGATAGATATGGTTAAACAAAACTTTTCCGCCGATACCGTGGATGATGAATTTAGTTTGGCTATCGATGCCGCCAACGGTTCTCGTTTGCAACATAATCATTACAAGCAATACCATTATGTACTTCAAAGTCTTAACTTGTGGCTATTAATTATGGGTGAAATCTTCTCCTTATGGGCCTTGAGTGATTTAGAGTTGACAAATCCAGATGTCCGGTACGAGTTGGTCAATAATAATCAAGGTGTTCACAGGATACAGGCGTGTCCTAACATTCGAATTGCTATGGAACGTATTTTGAGCAGAGCTCAGAAACAAGCCGGCTCATGGATCGGCGACTCAACAATTCATTTGGGTGACACGGCTGTCCCAAATGCTTTGTTGTTTATTGATAAGTATATGCAAGTACCACGTATCCTTACTCCACTTGTTTTACTATTTGAGGAACTTGACTCTCTACATGACCAGGCTTTACTCCGCTATATAAACACTGCTTTTGGTGGAAAGGAATATTTAAAAAAAATGGTGTTAACAGATTTCATGCGCTTTGGTTTTGACGGTTCTGGCGCAGACAACTGGTTTGATGTAAGTAACTTTGTTTGTGTTCGGTATAATAATGTTCTGAACAATATACACTGGCTGCATTTGAGTTATGCTAACCATATATAGGCTGGTAGCTGTATCGACGGTCGCCTTACTAGCGCCTGGAATTGGGCCAACAGCATCCACACAAAAGATTATTATAGAGTACTATTGATGACCGGATTTTTAAGTTTCAATGGAGATTAGGATGTAAAAATTAGATTCAAAAAAAATCAATGATTTTATATATAATATTGAATTACTTTTACTTTATATCCAGAGTCAAGTTGATAGTTTTATTAATCCTTTTAGTATCAAACATGCTGAACTAAGTATGTAAACTTTGACTTAGCAACTGTGAATTAAGACATTCTTTTATTATTTATGTATTATTTTGAAAATATAAAAGATATATATAATTTAGAATGCATTTCTCATCACATTTTGTTGTGCTTTATTGCACTACTCCTAGCCTACATCTCATTAATCAGTATTTCCATAGCTCTTTCCCTTTCATATAGGATGTATCTTATTTATGGTGTCAATTACAGTAAACAGACATAAAAATTATCTTCTACGGACGTCAAAATCGGTCATTTCTTGCGGCATAACAACAAATCTTGCTTGCAATTATGTGTATCAAAGGGCGTTGAATGTGTTAGGATTTCGAGGAGGAAATGCCAGGTTCATAAATGATTATCATTGGTATCCGAATAATATATCACCTTACAAACACTTCAGGAAGAATGGAGTCTCTAATAGCTCGTTTGTTAATGTCTCTGAAAATCAAGGTAGAAGCCGTGAAACTTTGGAACTATCCATATCAAAGCTATACAATGATTGTATCGGCTATTTAAATCCTTTTTATAATATTTATGAAGCTAATGAAGCTTTGTATTTGCGCTTAATTGAATTCTTTTCAGAAAGCCAGACAGTATTCATTCTCTTACAACAAGAATTCGAAGAAGAAGCGAAAATAATTTTTGAATATTTTCAAAAAGTAGCTTGTTTAGATCCTGACTATTCTCGTTCATCCAAGGTTACAGAAAACATATTGAATGACTTATTTAAGTATTGTAAACTATTGACCGACAAAGGTCAAGAAGACCCGAATAAGTTTATTCATGCATGCGTCAATTGCCTTCTATTCCTATCTTCTGATCGCTCCTTTTCTACTGTCTACTGGCAGCATGGGTCTCAATATCAGCAGTTCTTAAATTTATTAAGAAATGCTTCACGTTCTGTTCTTCAACCGAATAATGATCTTTATAAAAGCATTGAAATATTTTTTTACTCTATTCTTCAATCTTACGCGCTACATAAAGGATTCATTCCTTCAGCCAATTCTATTGATCGCTGTCTACCCGAAAACATGCGGATAAAAGAAGAAGAATGGGCAAGAATATTATCATTCAAAAGGGATCCTTCCCTTTTTTCAAACCCTGAGTTACCTAAGAACTTCTCAGATTCCTCTTTGCTTTCCATTCTTTATAGCGGGAATTATCAAGCTCTTAGTGAATGGCTTATTTCAGCTTGTAAAGAGGGACAAGTTTCTAATTTAAGGATTCTTAACCTGTTATTGAAAGGGGAACCTAAAACGATAAACCTAAGAGATACTGTTTCCTTGTTTATGTATTCAGTAAAAAATATCCCCAATAACAGTCGGTTCCTTGAGGTTAAAGCTTCTTTATTGTCGAAATTACTTCGAGTTAAAAAACTTCAGGAATTTCAAGCCGTCTTATCTACTCTCCCAAACATCCAGTCGATGATTGAACACCGAAGATATGATGTTCTGCTTCCAATAATAGATTATGTTACCTTTACAAAGGATATGGACCTATTTTTGGAGCTTAACACTTCTCTTCTTACGTGTACAAGGGAAATACCAGAAGAATTATACGTGAAAGTTTTGAAATGCTATGGTCAAATGCCGAAGGATGTAACCTATTACAAACTGTTTAAAGCCTTCTTGGAGAAAAACCCTATTTTAGATGAAAAACAAAAACGTTATGTTAATAGCATCTTATTAAAGAGCTGTCATACTCACCTTTCTCATGTACTGTATCGGGAATTCCCACACATATTGAGGCCAAAAAGCCCGATTTTATTTTTTTGCTATTGCTTTAGGAAAAGGGGGAACGAATGGATTCTAAAATACTTAAACATCGCCGGACATCCTAAAGATGATATATGGAATGACATGATTACGAACCCCGATGCCTCTAAAACCTTACTAAAAGCTTTTTGTTCCAAATATGATTCAAGTCGAGCAATAAAATTTCTAAAAGCGTGTTCTGCTGAAGGACCTTACCCTTCAAATTTATTACGGGAGATTCTTCATCATGCTCAACTTGAGAATAATTGCGAGACCATAAAATGGCTGAAATCTCAAGAGACGGAAGTTTCTCCTCCTGTACTTGAAAAACAATTATAAAAATAACCATTGTCGAGTTTACTCTATAAACACTTTTGGATTTTTTTTAATCAAATGTTAATAGCCCTTGTTTTCATGCTTGCTTTCATTAAAAATACTAATATCATTTCATTTTTAATCTGTATTGTGATTTGTTTGATTGAATTAAGTATTAAGCCATGTCTTATGTTTGTAACTGTTTTTTAGACATGAAAGGATTATGCATAGTAATTTCTGTTCCGAAAAGGCTAGTTAAATGTAATTGTCTATATAAATCTGAAGCTTTATATATTCAATTAACCCAAGGCTGATTTTAAACATATATTGAAGCTTTCGATATGGATTAACCAAGATCCATTTCCACCATGCCAAAATCCTTGAAACTTTTAATTGGCAATTAAAAAGGTATGAAGAGAAAATTTCCACGAATATCACTTCTTTAGCATTTATTAACAAAGTAAAGATGAAAAGTATTTCGGCTTCAGAATACGCCAGTATCTTAGGCACGCGTATTGTTCTTGTACTAGAACATCAAGAGGATAGTGATTTCAAAATTATTTTAGACAAGAATGTCGATCCAAAAACTTTCGTAAAAAAATGCTGGCGTCACAAATTACCTATGTATGCTTTGATATTATGAAAGTCTGTTTAACCCTGCAGTATTGTAAAAAATCGAAGCCTCTATTGCTCAAAAGAATTTCCATTTGACAGAAAAAAATCTTTTCTAGATGCTTTATACGAAAAGTATGGCAATTCTTCACCATTAATTTCGTCGTTAAACTTGAAGAATGGGAAGCAAATTGAATTTTGCGGATTTCAGGACATCAAAAGCTTGCAAGCGGACTTTCAGAGACTAAAAATAGTCATTTTAGAAAACTTGCAGATCTCCTCAGTTGATACTGAAGTTGATCATGGTTCCATTTTGTCAGGTATACGGAAAGTGACACTTAAACTCGACTAACCCAAGTATAGGAGTCCAAAAACTTAACCTATCAAGTAACTTACTTAATTCTATGAATGATGTACTATTCTTATGCAGTCAGCTGCCGAGTTTGAACCAATTGATTTTGGAGTACGAAACTAGCAACTATTCAGTAAGCTAACTACTCCAGTAAAAATAAATACCTATCTTTGGATGAATTTAATCCTAAGTTCTCTAATCCTCAAGTATCGAGCCTATTTTTAAGAGATTGTAGCATTCGATCAGAGGAACTTGGATGGATACAGAAGGCATTCCCTTGTCTTAACGAACTTTTCTTGGACTATAATGATGTTGAATTAAACTCAAATTGCTGTTTGATGTCAACTGAGACTCTTAGTCTATCATATAATACTCATTTAGTAACAGCTGATCTTACTTCTTTTCCTGTGTTTGAAAGGTAATACAATTTTATGAACGGTGCAAAACTAACGGATTACAGAACAAAATGGCTGAATATTTCCTTTAATAATATTTCCGATCTTAATATCTTACCTTTAGAAAACATGCAGTACTTATCTTTCCTAGATATATCAGGAAACAACATCAATTCCTGGGATCAAATTGCTCTCTTACAGACACTAAAGTCTCTGAAAGAGCTTCGGCTTTCTCTTTCAAAACTCCACGATAAGACTGATGAGACTAGAATGCTTGTTATTGCTCGCCTCCCTAGCCTAATGAAGCTTAATGATGTTTCTATAAGCAAGAGTGAACGCGAAGATTCTGAAATTTATTATTCCTCTTGCATTCGTAAATTTGTTTTAGAAAATGAAATTTCTAAGGCTGATACATTGGATAACATAGAGCCCATTTGGCGATACATCTGGAAAAAACACGGTTTGTCAGAACCAGAATTTTATCGGATTCAGAAAATCGATAAAAAACCTGGTGTAATCAAAGACAATATTATACGAGATGTATGCGTTTCGTGTAGTGAAGGCAATGAACATGTTGTTCTTCAGTTTCACCAAAACTGGACGGTATTATCAGTTAAAGCACTAATTGCATTTCGGTTTAACTTACGCGCCTTCGAAACCATATATCAATTCAAAGGCCAAGAAGACAAATGCTTTAGAATAATTGACTCTACTCAGGACGAGAAGCAGCTATATGAATTACCATTCACAATTACAGAAGTTAGAATAAGTCCCAAAGATTGCGTCGGCGACATATCGAGAAGCGAATAAATACAAAAAAAAAGCATAAATATTTTTCAAAGAATATATAGATAATATAAGCGATCTATTTTGATCAACTTTGTTTAAGCATTTTCAATTAAGCTGAAGGAATGATAGAAACAAACAGAAATACGCACATTTTCATAAGCATTAAATATAGTTAAAACCAGCCAGACCTCGATAGATAGAGAACAAATAACAAACTGAACAACAAAAATAAGACAAATCAGGATACAAATAGACAACTCGGTTAATTTTCTTCGTTTCCCTTTCAAAGAAAAATTGTGGAACCATAAACGAGAAAACTCGAATATGCATCATATACCCGATAGTAAAACAGAAAGACGATGTTTTATTCTCACACAGAATGATGTACATCAAGTCAATCTATAAGTTAAAACAACAGTTGCATTACTAAAGCAACTTTCACAAAAAGTTACAGTAGCAAAAATGAACAAATGTATTAAGTAAAATAACCCAAAATAACCCAAAATTAAGTTTAATACCCAGTAGATTCCAGGACTTCAAAAAGCGGAGATAACTCAGGACCAAGACCTAAACCAACAGTTTCATAGTCGTTATCAAAATAAGAGCCATCAGTTCGATCATCTTCTAAAGTGCTTTGGAAATCTGAATGCAATTGTCGATATGTAATTTTTTTTGCTTTTTTCTTAAGCGCGCGACGAGCTTTGCGAGAATGCTTTGGTTTTGCAGCAATCGAGCTTACATTGTTTAGGGTAGCCGAGCGTTGCTTATGTCTGCGCTTTTCACGAGTTTTGATAGCCAACGTGCACCATTCATCACGAATTAGTTCATCTTTCCGAGCCATAGATTTTATGTACTGATTCCGTCGGAAAGTACCAATGGGAATTCTCTCCCAGCGACTCAGTAGATGGTCCTCTTGGTTGGTTACAGATTCTTCAGGTTTAGTATCATTATTAGTCGTGGCAGCTTGTAGAAGCGATGTATCAAGGATATCATCCAAAGATGGTTCTTCAGCACCTCCGGTGCTGTTTGACGATCTTGCGGGGGCGAGAGGCTCCACATCGCCTTTTTTGGATGCGTTAAACTTGTCTTCATAAAGAGAGTGGGAATGCTTTCCGTCGATAAAACCAAATAAATGATTTGGTTCACTTTTCCACGTACCTAAAACAGGGGGTTTAGGCTGAGAAAAATCCAATTTCGGATCCAATTCAAAGGAAGGAACGTCATTCAGTTCAGCAGACGTGTCAACAAAACTAGCAAGAATGGGACCGTTTATGTTATCATGGTTTTCAGAATAAGAAGTATCTTTAACCAATGAAGTCTCATTGGAGTGAGGAAGTTCTAATCCAGTAGCTGCAGTGGGAATAGAAGAAACCTGAGAGAAGGGAGAGTCAGAAAAAGCAGAAGTGAGGGGGTCGTGAATGGTGGAGGAAGTATTAGAAGGGGCTTCTTGCAAAGAGATAGATCTAGAAAGCTTGGGCTCACAAAGCTGAGGTAGTTCTTCGTCCGTTGTGTCGCCGTCGTCTTGAGGACGACTTGTAGAAAAGGAATGCCGACGCTGAGTAGCACCACGGGAATTTCTAGTCAAAGGATCTAATTCGTCAGAAGAGTCATCGAAAAAACATTCCCATCCAATTAGGTCCACATCGTCGCGCTCATCATCATTTAAATTTTCAACGCTCGAGTCAGAACTCAAAAGACCAAGCAAAAATTCATCATCCGAGCGATCATCCATGTTGACATGATCAGGAAAATATGACTCGTTACGATGACTGTTGAACGATGCCATATCAATATCGAGGTTATCCACCCAGGATGCACTAACTAAATCTTCTTCAGCAACATCCTCGTCGTCATCAGAGCTTCCAAAGCTTTCGCCAGCATCCGATACGACAGCTTCTTTCTCGGGATACGTTTCGGAGTTCTTACGAGCATTGTTTACGAAAGACGCGGATTTTCGGCGTTCTTTTAATAAGTCTTCTTTATGTAAAAATTTTAGATCTTCTAAACTCATAGCCTCCTCTTTGACTGCCCTAGATCCTTCCTGGTCCTTGAATCCGTTGGTCTTTATGGGCTGAGGCTCGGCCGTGCTTGACTCGGATTTTTCAGGGAAAGATTCAGTTAACCCGGTACTATTTTCAGGCGTATGACTAGTTTTCCAATTTATTTTTCCATCGTCTAATTGCTTACTATGGTTCTTTGCAATCGCATGCAAATCATTGTCGCCGTCCAAAAAAGTCTTTTCATTCACAATCCCGGTATCCAATTCCGATCCAAACCCGAGTCCATCATTGATGCCATCCAAAACTGCGAATTGATTTTCGTCAAGCGAAATACTGTCATTTAGTCCAAATCCACTATCATATTCATGATCCTTGCCCAAGAACGGTGTCGCCAAATTTCCCAAGTTCAACGAGAATTGCAATTCTTCTTGAAATTCATCCTCTTCATCCTCTCCTTCACTTCCATCAAAATCCTCGCTTATCCCAAAGCCATATATCCTACTATTTGCTAATTCCATTTTCAATCATGCGTGAATACAATTTGGTTCTGGTTGAGTTGAATGAGCTCACTTTTGCACGGAAACCCTAATGGGTCATGCGCATGTGTTGTTTCTCGAGTTGCTACCTCTTAGACCCTACCCTGTAAATATTTCCTTAGCGATGCTTTTCGTCTTTGAAAATAGAATTTTTTTCCCCTTGTTAATTTTTCTTATTCTTGCTTAAGCGAAACTACTTTCCACTTCCTTGACATAGTCATCGTAATATGTTTCTTAGTAGTTCATAGTACTTTTGTTTAATAATTCATTCCTTGATTTTGTGTTTTCAGCTTGCAAAATCTTCTCTTAATATTAACATGTTGGTGCCTGTTTCTATAAATGCAAAGTTGACATTGAGGTTTTCTATTTTTACAACTTGATATTGGGATCTCGCGGCGTCTTGGAAACTCATATACACCAATCTCGTTAATAGAAGAGATGAATATATCTTCTTTGGGTTTGTTTCTATCATCTAGTCATTCTTTCCTTTCATTTTAGGGCGATCTGAAAAGCTAGGACCTTTTGATGGTTTAAATTTTCGGAAACTATTCTTTGTATATTTTCCGTTGTTTTTAAAGCGAATTTAATTATTTACTGCTAAAACGGCTTTTATATGATCCCCATGTTCATATTGTTTTCAAGGGGTTCTCTTCGGAGGGTCACAGGGTGAATCAGAAACAATAGAGCCTTTTGCTTAGTTCCTCGTATAACTCTTTGAACCATCTGCATAAGTCAACAGATACTATTGTTCCTCGAGGTGCCTTGTTTGATAAAGAGGAGTTAACCAAGATCTTCATCGTTCGTTGAAATAAACCTGTTCGAAACCATTTTTTTTATATTTTATCGTTACTGAATTTCGTATGTGCCTTTGACAGTACCAAAAGGTGATTATCTCGAGATCGTAGGAAAAACCGAAGCTAAATATCCTAAAAGTCATCGCCGTCTGTTCGATCTCTTAAATTCTCTTAAGTACATATTGTTAGTTTACGATTGTTTTATTTATATGATATTACAAGACTTCTTCCATTCTTGTTTTATTTTCTCCGCCAGATTTACGCTTTATGGCCGCCCATCTCGACGGCGGTAAATCCACCTCTCATACCGAACAAACCTATCAAGTTAAGTCTATTGCATCCTATACATGTGTTGACACTATTTGCCTAATACTACAGCACTGCCGATCTTAACAGGGCTAATCTAGCAGCGTACATATCCGCGACCCGTTCTGAGCTCTGTCTTATATGGAATAGTAGAGAGTGTGCCACTGTGGATATATGGACTCCATTGTTTGCAGTTTAGACAATTGGAGCCGTAATGGCGATGTACACAATTCGGCTTTTGTAAATTCTGCCATGCCGTGCTTTTATGTGTCCAGATTTTCTCCACAGAGTTAGGTAGTATAGAAACAGTCCAGTCTCCGTTTTGTGAGAACTCTTTAGTTGAGGTTACACCCAGGTTACCAGCAAATACGTTGGCAACTTCAAAATATAACCCAGGATCAGAAGATCAAGCTGTGAACTATGATTATGGTTGCGTGGAAAGTAGGCTAATAGAAGAATAAGTGGAAGAGATAGACACCCACTAGCCGGACACCAATCCTGGTCCCATAGACCTTTACCGACCGCTTGTCGCTGAGTAAACCATGCTCCTAGAGGTGCATTATGAGCATTCCACCGCTTACCGAACCCAGTAAGATTACTTAGGAACTGTACATCTGTTACTACTGTAGTGATACCTATGGCGTAATAAACAGATTCATTCTAAAGTGAGCCTGTTGAAAGTCCTACATGAGCTAGTCCAAGTGCGTGTTCAACATATTGACATTTGTTATGTTATTGACACAACTATGCCCACTGACCATCAAGCCCGGTTGTATATTATGCCTGACCTCCATGACCGCTACACTGTTCAGCAGTACTAAAATTAGCATGATCCAACGCTTTGTACTATCGAAATTACTGAAAAGAGGTGCATCTACATCTGCATTAGCAGTGCTGGGTCCTAAAGCCAAGCATATACCAGTAGTCTTTGTACAGCCAGTAGAGAAACGGAGGTCATAGCAATGTGAAAAAGGTTGACAGGTTCATAACGGGCTTGAAGGTAGGTGTTTTCGGCAACTGGTTGTATGATAGATTACAAATTGTACGCCTAATGAATTTGGAATTTTCGATAATAAACCGGAATATTGCTAAGGGTCATAACGACGTAAACAAAAAAAAAGTTAATATTATCGTTAATATTTGCACTGAAAAGTGCATTATGTAAGGTAGCAGCAACCAAGCATAGCAGGCATAGTTGGATTCCTTCTGTATATCAAGAAACCCTTCAGTAGCGCTACGGTTTAGAAAAAGCAATCATCTTTTGATGTATCTATTAACAAAAGAAATACGCTATAGTATACGCTGTATTGAAAAATAATACATTTATCAAAGAATCTTATAATTGATTTCTTATATCGTGAATGCAATTCTTGTACTCAACATCATCATCGTGTAGACCCGTGACTATCTACTTTGTCGTCTTTTCTCCTCTGTATACTCATCAACATCATTTTTAAGACACTTCGGCGGTTTCTCTCTTCTTCAATACTAAATCATTGCCTGTCATACGCTTATAAATATCACGAACATCGCGAGCCATCGTTTCAAAGTGCGAAGTAGCATCGACACTCTTTGTGATAAAGCATTGATCCTTGGTACCATCTTCCATAGGCTCGTACAATTCTTGCACCCGAGAGAATGACTCCACAACAGGCCCCAATAATTTCAAGCCTGGTGCAATTTCAGATAAAGGATTGGCAGTTTCCACAATGGTAGAAATAATGGCCAAATAGTAGCCTTTAGGACATACATTATGTACAGACGAAATACATGCAATATAAATATCGTGCTTTCTCTTGACTTGATTCTGAGGAATAATAATCTGCACTGAATCCAAATTGTCTGTATTAGGAATAGGGTGGTCTAAAATACAAATGGCACGCACCAGTCTTCCAATGCAGCGTACCTTTTCTCGGAAATACGAAGGATCACCAACGACTTGCTTCGCCTTGGCAACTTGTTCTCCACTGCGAACTCCAACTGCAACACCGTTTCCATCATACTCGATCCCATCAACCGGTTGACCAAGCATGTATGTTCCGCCATAAATCGCGCTCAATCGAGCAAAACCCTGAGGAAGCTCGCCAAGACCATACATAGGATAAATATAAGGGGATTTGCCAAATTTGGCGATCGAAGAGGCATACAATAGAATACGGTCTCGTGTTTCACGTGCAGGCTTCTTGATATATGATTCATCTAAATAAAGCGCCATAGCATGTCCAATAAAATCCTGGGTACCTGACTGAAGGCCAAACTTTTTGTACACTGTCTCCATTGTATCACGGTCCAAATTGATATCTTTATGTGTACTAGGATCTTCTTCGCGATAGTTGCTTACCCACTCCAAAAACTTTTTGGCTCGGCGCTTCTCAAATAAACTCATCAGTGGGCTCTTCAACGCTTCTATCTCATTACCTGGTACTTTTGCTATTCTTCCATCTCGGTATACATAGCTGCCAGCAATCTGCTTAAACTCAATATAGCGAGTAACATCGGTATAAACCAAGATATTTGTCAAATCTCCGTTGGCCATCAGAAATTTGGGAACCAAATCTACGCACCAGTCTCGATCACGGCCAAGGTTTTCTGGTCGTTCTTCACCAGGGCGAAACATAGCGTACAGTTGACTTAAATTCAAGCTAGCAGAATCTCTGTATATTTCCTGTTAGTTTCTTTGTTCACCTTTTTCATACTAAGGTATGTATCCATGCATTTACATACGCTCCATAGTAGTCATTTCTATCAATATGTAGGACTTTCTTCCCGTCAATACTCAGTAAGCCACTCAATATACATTCTGTAAGCCCTGTTCCTAATACAATTACGTCGTATTCCTCATCCATTGTGTTTTGTTGTTGACAAGCAAGCAGATGTACTGAAATCATAAGCTTGTTTATCACTGTTACTTGGGCTAAAAATGTTACTTGTATGCCAAACAAACGTTCAAATCCTACACCCATAAAAATGATTTTTCTATGAATAAACAAAGAACATTCATTGAAGAAATTAATTAAACCGTGTTTAGTAGACCATAAAGAATGCGAGAATATTACACTAGCAAACACTAAGTAAGGTCCTCTAACAAAAGCATTCAAAAGTTGTGCCCTCGTTGCAAATTCTCTGTTCGTTTCTAGGTATTCTTATGCATGATAAATACGTTCCTTTTAATTTTTATTTTGTATGTTCCATTATAAAATTCGTGTCTTTTTTTACGTAGCTGTTTAGGATTATGAAGAGTAAGCTCAATTCACTCCCAACTACCATCCATAATCCCAATATCAAGTTTAACCATGGATAAGGTAGAATCAACGACGATTCCCACTAATCATAAAGACTTAATTAATGATGTTTCCTATGGTAGGTGAAAGATCTCTAGCATGGAATTTTATACCTAACACAACGTGTAGATTTCTACGGTCGAAGGATGGCTTCATGTTCCGCAGACCAACGAGTAAAAGTCTACGATTCTGATGAAGATAGCGGGAATTGGAAAATCGCATCTGAGTGGAGGGCTGGAGATGCAAGTCTTATGAGAATCGAATGGGCACATCCGGAATTTGGTCAAGTCCTGGCTGTCTGTAGTTTAGACAGAGGTGTTAGAGTTTACGAGGAACAAAAAGGAGTATCGAATACGAAAACATGGGTCGAGGTTGCTAAACTGATGGATGCTAGAAGCGCAGTTTTAGATATAAGCTTTTGTCCTATTCAGCATGGTTGTAAGCTCGCAGCGATTTCAGCAGATGCTACCTTGCGGATTTATGAAGCACTTGAGCCTGAAAATCTTTCTTCTTGGACTTTGATGGATGAGATTAAATTGCTTCCTTCTCCTCCTTCCCGTAATGAACAACCTTCCTTTTGTGTAAGCTGGTGCCCTTCTCGTTGGCGTACTCAATGCATCGCCGTTGGTTGTATGGACAAAGCTTACTTGTACACCCAAAATGCTAGCGCAAAGTGGAAGCAGATTGCTTCCTTATCTGGACATACTAGCCTCGTCCGTGACATTGCATGGGCACCTTCTATGGGACGCCTCTATCATTTACTAGCCACAGCCTGCAAGGACGGAAACGTGCGCATTTTTAAAGTTTCGATCCCTTTGCAGCCAAACCAAACGAATTCTCTCGAATATGAGTCTCCTTCAGAGACTACTGAAGAGCCCATAAAGGTAGAATTGATTGGTGAATATGATAACCATAAATGCCAAGTTTGGAGATGTCAGTTTAATGTTACTGGTACAATTTTAAGTACTTCTGGCGATGACGGATGCATTCGACTATGGAAGGCTTCATATGCTAACCTCTTTAAATGCATTTCTGTGGTATCATTAGAAAGGTAAGTGATTTTTTTTTGTAAGATAGCTAGCAAAATGCTAATAAAGATCTAACTAGAAAACCGGAACGTTCTACTTAGGGGTTCTTTCTTCCTCCAAAAATGCACATTGGATTGAGTATATCGTCTTTCCAGGTTTATGATATTTTTAAATAGACTTTCATATTACAGGTTTTTGCTCACCCAAAAATGTTTTGTTCTTTTATGTCTTCGATTAGTAAAAAAAAAGGTTTAATACGCGTCTCTTGTCTTTGAAAATTCACTGAAGCTTTTCTTATTTAAAGGAAAAGATAAATTCATGACCCGAAAATGATTAAAAATGTTTATAAAAAGCCAACTTAAATTTCTCTATCTAACCATAATTGAGACGGAAAAGGTCGTTCAAAACAAAGTAATTACCGGCGTTGTTAACAAGGTGGAAAACTTGGCTGTAGCGTTGTGCAATTTGTTCCTCATCCAACTAGTATGTAGGTTAGTTAAATCTTATTTTTGAGTATTCAACTCATATATCCCAAAATGTATATACAAGACTCAAAGTTTCTTTTTCAACTTACCAAGAGTTCACCAGTAACCATAACAACAACAGAGCCGTTAGCACCAGAGGGTTGTGCATCCAAAGTAGAGATACGGTGTTGAACACGTTGGAAAGGAAGGCTCTGTAAATCAATGTTAGCTTTTTCTTGAACAGTTCGGTTATCAATTTTGCATACCACAAGCTTTTCAACAATATTCTTAGCACCTAGGAGTTGAGCGCCCTCAAAGCTCAACATGGACTCATCACGCTTTGTATAGATCGTTAGTTACTTTCCTTCTACAAATAAATCCGACTTGACTTTTCTTTTGGTGGTACACTTACGTATAAAGTTGAGAGTTGAGAACGATCGGTGTCGAAGGTTTCATAATAAAACTGAGTAAATTGAGTAGCCAGAGTGTTAAAGTCTATTCTCGTTAGCTATTAGTTATTTTTCTTCTGCTAATAAACTTACCAGCCATACTCGTAGATATTGGTAAAAGAAAACTGTAGTATGGGAGAAGTCATCGTTTCCCCAAAAAATAGCAATTAAGAAATTAAACCGAGGTACACTAACGGATATTATGAATTAAAGGATTCGCTAATTTATTTTGCAAAGCGGATGGTATCGTTAATATGATATGGTTTACGAAAGCATTTGTTAAGATGGAAGAACTAAGGCTGGAAGGAGTCTAAGCATTTCTCTTCTTTCTTTATTCTTCATTCGAAAGTATATGTAACTTGATTCTGTATTAAATATAACAAACTTGAAAATGAAGGACAATTTTCTTTACCTTTTACATTACACGGATTCTGTTCGCTTAAAGTTATATGGTTATTAATACAGGTCGTCGAGAAGTAAAATGAAACTTCGTTAACAAATAGAACGTATAAAAATTAATAAAGAATAAATCAATAACAATGAAAGAAATGCAATAAGGAGCGGTAAAAATAAAAACTCAGAAGTAAACAAAAATGCAAGATTAGAGGTCATGGTACACAGTAGCTATTATAATGCCGAGAATACTGGTTTTGAAAGCTTAGCCCTCAAATGTTTCTCCAAAGACAGAATCTGCTACCGGATCATCTTTATCAAAACGGTTTTTTTCATTAGATACGGAGTCATTCACTTTTGGCCGATCATTTTCATGGAATTCCCCAATGTTGACATCTTCAAAACGTTCTTCTAAAGATTTATCGGTACTGCAAAAAGTTAGTGAAATTCATCATCAACTAGAAATTTCTTCCGTTATGAAATAACTTACAAAGTAAATCCTTTGAATCGATCTTGAATAGTATTTGAGAGGGGTGTAGAACCATTGACTGAATCATGAGAACTATCCAGGTTCACATTCCGAACATTGGTGTTCGTAAATTCTTGATCAAAATTGGAAACATCCAAATCACTCTGAACATGAGGCTTGAACGGAGGTGGTAACTTTTTCTTCTCCAGCAAAGTCCAGTTAATGTCGTCAAAAAAAGGATGTGCTTTTAGTTCCTCTGCATCTGCAGTTGCTCCTATCCGATGTCTGGGATTCCGATTCAGTAATCCACGCACAAAGCTGCGAGCTTCATGGGATAGCACGCCTTTGGGAAATCGAACCTTTCCAAAGGCAATATTTCTGTACATTTGCTGCACATCAGGTGCATAAAAAGGACTCCAACCACAACACATTTCGAAAACTAAAACCCCAAGAGACCAAAAATCTACCTGCTTAGTATACCCCTTATCGTCCAATAAAATCTCGGGTGCTAGGTATTCTGTTGTTCCACAAAAAGTATTTGTAGTGTCTTCGGACGAAAGATTTGCTTTCGACAATCCAAAATCACACAACGCAATATGTCCGCTTGCGTCTAATAGAATATTTTCAGGCTTCAGGTCTCGATAAATAATATCATGCTTATGAAGATGTTCCAAAGCCAAAACGAGTTCTGCTATATAAAACTTGGCCCGATCTTCGCGAAACCGTCCCTCATGTTGTAAATGCCAAAACAATTCACCGCCGCTCATGTAGTCAGTTATTAAGTACAGGTCAGAAGCAGTTTGAAACGAAAACTTTAATCCAACGATAAACGGCGACTCGTGAAGCGAAGTCCGAACCAGAATATTCCTTTCCCCAATAGTATGTGTAACTTCTTTTTTTTTGACAATTAACTTTTTAGAAATCTTTTTCATAGCATATATTCGGTTCGTGTCCTTTTTCCGAACAAGATAAACATGACCGAATGTTCCTAAAAACCTGTTAGTACTTGAATATTCCCACAAAAAGACAATGTAATTTACCTCTCCCGATGAGCCGGAGAACACTAAAATCCTCTGGTCCATATCGTGTTATTTTTGACTGTTCAAAAATAGTTTGAACATTAATTTCACCTTCAAAAGGCTGAGATAAGTCGAAGGGCTCCAGTTTATACCAGTTCTCATTCAAGTACTCGTTTAACAAAACAGGCACAACTTTAACACTTCCTAAAAACATATCATCATTCATACGGTCGTACACGCTGACAGAAATGGCGGATTCCGGATTGATAACGTCAAAGACAGTTTCAAAATCCCATCGAGGGGCTCGAGCTTCAGCAAACATCAATTCAGACTGCACAAGAGAAGGAGATACAGGAAAAGTTTCGTTCACAGGGCGTGATTTAGAAGGGATGGAAATTCCCATCCCATTTTCACTGACTTTCTTTGGAGAAGGAGTAACGACTTCGGTTCTGTCATAATTTATAACTGCATATGGTTCAGCATGCATATTGGAAATTAAGAGATTGCGACCTTGACGAAGACGTACAACTAAACGACCCAGAATTTGGTTGGATGTCATTGGTTCATGTTGCTCATGAACTATGCGATTAAGTTGGCAATGTTTAGATGGAGGAGTTTTTAATGTGTCGATTTGAGGCTCGAGGTGTTCAGATTTGATATCCGCAGATGTAGACGCTGTAGCTTCGGTTGTATTTTTCCTAGAATGGTCAGGCTGTTCCTCAGAATCTTTTGTTTTTTCCTAAAGCAGGTTAGTATTAGTCAATAAATAATTATAGTCGAGGATTATGCGAGAGCAAACAAAACCAAGCAGAAACAACAGTGACAAAACAAAGGTCCACTCCATATTTTGAAAGCCACTTTTCTTATGAATTTCGTTACAGCAATCTATCCTTTCTACATACTGTTTGTTTCACTTGAGTAGTTATTTCTTCGTAAACATTCTTCAACCGGTCTGGTAAAAGAACGGGGTCATAGCCCGCTGATACATTTTGATTTTCATATTCAGTCGTCCCTTTTGCTTCCGCTGTCTCCACAGAAACGGAAGGAGTAGAAGAGAGAGAAATTTTAAAAGAAGGATCTGAAGATGAGGACGGATATTGATTTTGGCTATCAGAATTGGATCCTCGATGTATTTTTTCGAATATTTCGGTCATTATAAGAGAGCCTGGAGAATCTACTTGTCCACAAAAACTCCACAGCACCTATGACGAAAAAATTGGCTCTTGTTAGTTGTTGGATGAAAGATGCGTGCAGTCGGCAAATTCACTGTCAACCCCTTCAGGCACTGTTTACCATTTAGTGAGTAAGAGGGAGTAAAATTGAAATGCTTGTTTGCCACGAGTAGGTGAGTTGGAGTGGATATCTTCTTTCAAAATGTTTGAAAGCAAGTTGTTTTGAACTCTACTTTCGACTTCTTAATGGATTACGAGGACAGAATCCGCACTTTAGAGAATTATTTTTCAACCGCTGAATAACAAAGCCAGAAGAAAGGAGGTTTTAATTGGAGCATTTAAACTTTGTTAGAAACGTAGAAATGATATACAATGAATACATTTTATAATGCTTCAGCGAAAGCCATTAAGATATATTTGTTTTTGTTACTTGTGTTACCTTTGTAAATAAATGCGAATCCTTTGGTTCATCGAATAGAAAAGGCGGGAGCATGGAAAACTTGAAGCGTGTTGTTCTGACTGTACTGAAGCTTTTTGTTTAGAAAAGAGAAGCCTGTCGTGCAGTTGTTCCTTCTGGTGCTTTTAGAAAAAGTTGTACGCTTCCTACATCTTACCAAGGAAGGGTGTACTAAATGACGGCTTCGCTCTTGCAAGGCGAATCCTTTCGTGAAAACCACCAGGTTGGTTTCTCATCGCCTGCAATTATTCGTTCTGCTTTCCAGTCGTTGTAACCTTTCTACGCTTACAAAGGATAAACTCCCCCCCCCCCCCAACTGGATCAGGGAAGCATCATTCACTGAAGAGAAGAGCAAGACAGCTTGTGCACAAGTTCTATATGGGGGCCCATTATTGAAGCTAACGAAGTCGTACTGAAGAGGATGTGACGGATTTATTTCCGTACAAGAAAAGAGACAAAAAAATAATGAAAACAAACACGCATTCAGGAAAGAAATCAAGAAATGATGAAAGCAGATAGAAAAAGTTTAAACAGTGTCACAGTTATAGGTTATAATAATTCATGTTCTTTTTGAACTGAATAATTAAACAAAAAAAATTTCTAGATGTTTGAGGTTAACTCTGAGATGTCATTTAATTACATATTCAAAAAGACAACGGTCCTTTTGGAGGAATTGCAGTAAATGAAGCTCGTATTGGTTAACTAAATATAAACAGTGAAGTGATATTCACTGTTCAACATACTTTCAATGTTGAGCTTGAGTATTTCTGGGTTAGATATCCATTGATTCAGAGTAAGAAAAGTGTGAATCTATTTTATTGATGTACAAATAGAAGGGTAAAGGTGGCATGAATTTATAACGGAGCACTGAGCTATTTTGACAAGAAAGGAAATTAGGAATCCTCTAAAGAATGTCTCTTCAGATCAAAGCAAAGTACGTACGAATGATGGACAAAAAATGGCTTTGTTAATATATTGATTTCATATCTACGACTTACGATCCAGTTAAAAACTCAGTGAATCGACATGAACAGTTGGATAGAAAAAGTAAATAAATAAACACAAAAACAAGAGTAAATAAAGACAAAAAAATTTCATCAAATTTTTCCGCGAGATGAAATGACTCGAAATAGAATTTTATTTTAGTTTTTATCTTTGAAAAAGTAAAAGAAAAAAAAAAAATTGTTGAACGATCTCTACAAGAAACCCTCCACTTTTCGAAGCAAGCCTGTGTGTTCCTTGGTGGTGGTACACCTTTTTCACCAACTGGAAATTACCATCTTTTCACCAACATTTGCAATGGCTGGAATTGGCAAGAAACGTGTATGTTTTCGGGATCTTTATTTAATTTTTAGTAGCTTTGAATATTAACATTTTATTTTAGGTGAAGAGAAGGACTCATTTAAAGGATGATCCTGCTCGAGAGGCTTCAATTCCCAAATCGGTAAGTATCACCCATCCGGCAGCTTGAGCCTGAAAAAAAATGAATAAATTCTAACAAACATGTAGATGGTCGTCCGTGCGGGTGCTTCTGAAGTTGGAAAAAGTCTTTCCCTTCTTACTCGTGATCTTCGACACATGATGGAACCGCATACAGCCGTGCGCTTGAAGGTGAGCATTCTAACTTTTCGTTGATGGATTTTCTGACTGTTTTTAGGAACGTAAAGCAAATAAACTCAAGGATTACCTCACAATGACCGGTCCTTTGGGAGTTTCTCATTTGATGGTTCTTTCTCGAAGTGATGCAAATGCGAATTTACGAATCGTTCGTGCTCCAAGAGGCCCAGCTTTACATTTTCGTATCCATGAGTATATGCTCAACAAAGACGTTCGAAAGCTTCAAAAGACTCCCAAATCCCCGAACGCCGAGTTTTTGACGCCTCCTCTACTCGTAATGAACCATTTCAATACAAAGTCCTCCAAGGAAACTCCTCACGAAGCTTTGCTGACAGCAACATTCCAAAATATGTTTCCTCCCTTGTCGCTCCAGTCAACCAACATCAATTCAGTAAAACGTGTGCTTCTACTCAATAAACGTGATGATGGCTACATAGATCTTCGTCATTACTTAATTACCACCAAACCCGTAGGAGTCTCACGGCCGATTAAGCGTCTTTTGAAGGGCCAAAAACATCCTTCTGACCTTCCTGATTTGAGTGGAGTTCGTGATATCTCAGACTTTGTCTTGCATGGAGAAGGAATGTCCGGGGTACCCAGTGATTCTGAGGCTGAGGAAGATGCTACAGTCGAAGTCCTTCGACCTACACCGACAAAGATCGAAGAGAAACTTCTCAGCGAATCTCAGCTATTAAAACCAAAACAGCAGGCAATCAAGTTAATCGAGATTGGTCCTCGTTTGACTTTGGAGTTGACAAAAGTTACCGAAGAAGCTATGGGAGGCAAGGTCCTTTACCATAGTCATGTACAAAAGTCGGAGGATGAAGTTCGTCAGCTTGACAAGTTTCATGAGGAAAATCGTTATCTCAAAGAAAAAAGGAAAAGAGAACAAGAGCAAAATGTTCATCGTAAGCAGGATAAGAAGAAGAAAAAATCAAAGAAGAATCAACCTTCAGATGAGCATTCTGGATCTGAAGCTAGTGAAGGTGGTGAAGAAGAAACTGCAGAAGGTCATACTGCAGATGTTTAATTAAAAATAATTTTGGTTTTGGCACACGGTAAACATTAGAAAATGGAAAAAGTTTTGGGTTTTATATTTATAGGAAAAGTCAGGACAAATAAATAAGAGTTTGTTTTTTAGTTTTGAATATATACAGCCGTAGCAGTACATCCTTTATTAAAGTAAAATAACAAGAAAGAGACCCTATTTCTAATAAATAATTATGAAATGCTCTAAACGTAGTGATAAATTAATCTATATATACATGTCATGCAAGTCGTTATCCTCAACAATCCAAAGATGGTCTATTCTGGCAAGAATATCATTTACCTGGAAAGGTAAACTTGACAGAGAATTATGATGTAAACGCACAGTTTTAAAAAAGGTTTCTAGTTCTGGTTCCAAAATATCTCGTTTCCTTTTCCATATCTGAACGAAAAGCTCTATTAAACCGTTCCACTTCGTATATTCCTGTTCGACAACAGGCAGTAAATGAAGCTTGGTCTTTCTGACTTTGTGAACGATGTTATCAAAATTTTCATACCAATCAGCAGTACAATGTTGCTCAATCGCACTAAAAAGCTTAGATTGTGGAGAAACTTCTTGACAAAAAGGCGGCGGGTATTCCTGACCTTGTAATATCCAACAAAGCTCCAACAAAAACTCGCGGCTTATTTTTCCCAAATAGTTTTGAAGATCCAAGACGAGGCGGTTTTCTGTGTTTACTAATGTAAACTTCGCTATAGCCGAAAAAAGAAGATAGATTTTACCAACAATAACAGGGTTCGAAGAAGAGTACAATAGGGCAAGATTTTCCAACACCGACATAGATGTATAGACTTCTTCGCAAATCTTGATTTGGTGTTCTTCTCTTAGATAAATATATTGAAAGCTGTTATAAACATGGGTTAAGCAATCAAGCAGTAAAGAAGAATAGAATGATGCTACTAAAGATTTGTCACTTAAGTAATTCAATAAAAGTTCTTTTAAGCAAAATCTTCGCAATGCGGAGACTTCGAAATCCCAATAATCATTAACATCTTGACTGTAACTTCCCATAGCAAGAGTTAACAGATTCGTTATATCTTTCTGCTTTTGCTCTAATAAAGCAATATCAAAATTCGCTTTCAGAAAACCAAATAAAGCACTTCGAGAAGAATTTGATGCCAAATTTTTACGGGCATAACTGCGTAATCGAAATGCAGCGTACTCTAAACGCTCCGGTGGTTGAGGAAATCTTGCAGAATCCATAAAATAACGAAGTCCTGCCAAATTCTTTTCATTAGCAAAGGGACTGCAATATTGAAGAATGTCGCCCACAACCCGCTGGGCGGATGAAATAAATATGGAATGATCATCATTTGAATAAACAAGACTTTCATAACTGTTTTGCATAGATGCTAATAATGAACTTAGGTATTGAAGAAAAAGTATTTGATAGTACTGCAGACGTTCCATATGGTTATTCTTAACATCGTCGTAAACTTTTGCCATATTCCCAAGAACACTGGAAATCAAGCTTAACTGAATTGACTTAAATTGACGCAAAAACTCCTCTTGATTGTCCAGTATAATTGGTAAGTTGAATAGTAAAGGGTTATTCTTATCTTTTTCCAAAAGAAGTAAGGTAAAGGAAGCAGCATATGTACCATTTAAAGCACCTAGTGATTCGAACCAAACAGTCATAACTTTTTCTCGTTGATCAACCAAAAAAGAAACGTTTGTTTCTATTAGGATAGAATAAAATTGACTACTTAATGACCGCTTCAACCGTGTATTGCGAATCCGTTCCCAGGATTCGGAACCAAAATCCACATAATAACTCCAATCATTAATCTTAGCTTCAACCGCAAAGCTAGCGCAAAGCGCCATGCATTCGATTAAAGGAATTAATACTGGACGAAAAAATTTATATTCACTTTCATCGCTTCCTACTAATGTAGATATAGTTTGATATAGATAAGGAGATACATGCTTCCTTAACAATTTAGCCAGTTCACAGATGCGTTCAAATTTTTCTTGCTCGATCATTAACTCTGTATCGTCAATGTAATCGTTCTCAAAGTAAGCATCTTGACTATCAGTAAAGACGACGCTAGTTACTGTTTTATCATGAGGTATTTGACAAATAGAGTGATAGGTAAGAAACTTCTTCAAAAAATAAGTACATTCAAGTATAACCCTTGAGGGTAAGCTCGACGAATTTTGAAATATGAATTGACTAGAGTGAACGGTCAGTAGACAATTTATTCTTCGAACGTAGGTCGTATGATTTGGGACTAAAGCTTGAAGCGAGTAAAAGGCCACTAATAAAAAATTCTCCAGTTGACCTTGGGAATAAGCGATAAGCTCAATCTCATCGAGACTTTGGTCGGAAAGTATCAAAGATAAATATTCATTCAGAGTGACTTCCATTAATGAATCAAGCCAATACATACAAGCATCTAACTGAACATCCGATCCATGTAATAAGATATACCTCATCAAATACTGCCAAGCTTTCAAACTGATTAAGCGTGCTTTGAGATGTGAACCTTCAAATATGACATTGTCGCGTATCCTATTTATGCTTGGCTTGCAGTTTTCGGGAGCAACCCAAAACAAAGATATTAATAGAGTATGAGTATGCTCAAGAGACATATAGTCTTTAATGGAAAAAGGAATTTCTCTTTTATATTGTCGAGCATGAAGCGGTTGAAGTCTCGCTACCATTCGACGAATGATTGGTGTATTATTAGAGTCGCATTTCAGTCTTTGAATTGAAATAATTACTGTTTTGAGAAAAATGACAAAACAGGTATCAAGAGCACTTATGTGCAAATCAGGAGACCTGTCCAATGATTTAATAAAATCAGGAAAATCTGAAGCTACATATTCAGATGATTCACAAGAAAGGTCGGTAAATTTACGATGACTAAAAAAGTCAAAAATAGCAGTTAAAACAGATGTTACCTCTGACCAAAACCAATCGGAAATCAAAAGGTTAATTCGTAATAATAAAACCCGTAAATAGCGCTCTGTGACTTTAAGATCAATGCCCTTCTTCTGTCTTTCAAACGTACTTCGACAAGTTTTTAGTACTAGAGGCCAATAACTCTGGCTGATTGGTCTTCCAGTGATACCAAGGTCATTAAATTGAAACACTGGAGATACGGTGATAATGATATACCAAATTTTTTCCATTTCTAAAGTTGATAGATCGGGACCATTTAAGCTCAAAAAACTATCAACCTGCTCCCATAAGCTTTCATATTTTCCAGTACAGATAATCAAAAGTTTATTCAGGACAATCCATGTTTCCAAGGTAATCACCGAAAACGGGTATCTTGGCTCAGTCGAAGACCTTAGACAACGGTAGCATTCTAGTAAATCAGACTGTCCGTAACTAAGCAGCTTGTTTATCAGTTCTCTTGCCAACCGAATCAAATTTCTAGATGAAGAACTTATAATCTCGTATTGTGCGCAGTATATAAATTGAAACATTAAAAAAAGAATGTTCAACTTGAAGATAAATTGATTTTCTCTCATAGAAATAGTCGACATACATCGATCAAAGAACTTGGTAAACATTTCCAAAAAAGAGGAACTTTGGCTCGTACAGTTTTTCTGATCTGATAACTGCAACCTGAGCAAATAACTAGAGCAGAAAGCAAAGAGTATATACACATCATTAGCACAGTTTTCATTGAATTCCGGAAATAGATCGACTATTAACTCAAAAGCTTCTTCTAATTTATGCTTTGTCTTGGATATTTCGTCGGAAATGTTGAAATGACGAGAAAAAGCATAAATACTGGTAGTATAATTTGTTTCCCTATTTACAATATTTTCTAAATACCCATTCCGAAGAAAGCTTCCTTCCGGTAAATTAATACCAGATTTAAAGGGAACCACATTGAAGGTAACAGAAAACGAGCCAACCTTAAAAAAATGCTCTATGTTAGACAGACTATCAGAATCCTTTGAAGAGAAAATTAATTGACCGTAATCATTACGAAGGATTCTGTTTGCCTTTTGTTTTCTCGGTAATTTATTGAAAATGGAGGGCACAGTTTTCAAGTCATTTTGGCTAGGACTAAGCAAGCGATTAGAGTCCAAATTACTGTAGTCCTTAAAAGCACTATCATCCTCTTCTAAGGAATTTTCAGGTTTATCAACGAAAAGCTTATCCAGTGAACTTTGAGAGAAAGTATACGAATGCTGCTTCCTCTGTCTCTGAGTCTTAGGATAAGAAAACAAAGATAGAAACTTTTCTCTTTTTTGTGGATTTTCCCTTTGCTTTCTTAATGATGAATCGAATTTCGAAAACTTTTCAGTCGGCAACTTAACATTGTCGGTTTTAGTGCTTAAGCTTCTTGATGGATCAATATTTTGTCGAAAACCTTTTTTGTACATAGTTTTTGGCATTTTCGTAAAAGTATCCTTAACCATCAAATGTTCACCCCGATGCCATTTATCCATCACTTGTTCAATTTCATTTTGGTCAGACAACGAATCAAATAAAAAATACTTGCTGCTATTTCTTTGGGAAAGTCTTGATTCTTTCTTTGGTATTTTTGATGCTGCTCGAGAAAATATACGTAGAAACTTTGGCGCCGGTTTCCCCGTCGCGTTATGAGTATGTGTTGCTAATAAGCCCAAATCAACATAATTACGTTTATTTTTTCTTTTCCTTTTCCTAGAAAAGTTTCGAGGAACCTGAGAAGCAAAAGTATTGGACTTTTCCAACACTTCCTTTTGATTTTGAGGGAAGCTAGCTGAACGAAAGGTTGGAATGCTGGAAGTATTTGCAAACCAAGAACGATCAGTGTCATCTTGATATTCCGATTTGCTTTGCTTATGAAGAGAGTTTGTGAAAGCTTCCTTATCAAAATGTGAAACTTCGGGAGACAAAGAAGGAGGACTATGTTCATAGTAGTCTTCATGATCATTAGAATTTCCAATAGAGAAGCTTTTTTTCCTGTTCTGATTCAATTTCCGTCTAACGATTCCCTTTTTTTTTACATCAACCGAATCTATATTTCTTTTATGAACATCATTACTTCTCAAGTTTGCATTTTCTTTATCTAACTTCCTTTTTCCCTGTAATGTGAGAAAAGACGGAGGCAGAACGCCTTTCAATCTTTTCTTGAAGACATTAAGCGATGGTGACAATTTAGTACTAGAATTCATAGAAGAGTAAGAGGACGATGATTCTCCACCTGAATCGTCATCTTGATCAGACACATGCGATTCAATTACATCTGAAATATGAGATGCTTCGCTGGCGTCCACGATACTGTCATTAGACTTTGAGGTCTGGGGACGATGGACGTTTGAAGGCTCATCATCACTGTCGGACAAAACTATACCATGCCGCTTCCTTAATCTGTTAGGACTTTTTTCCGTTTTTCTTGTATCGTTTACCGGGGTTTCTTTATCCTTCATGTTTCTCCTCACTATGACATTGACTGGTCTGTGGGCTACTGATCGTTGTTCTGTTGTATGCTCGACGCCATGAGGAACAGAAATCGGAGCTAAACCCATTTTCTTAAACTCTAATTTATGCCTTAAAAAATCATACGTGTAAGGCATTGTTTGTTCAGGACGTCGGGGACGGAATTCACGTCTCGAAGTAGAAGCTTTTGGTGAACCAACTTCCTCATTGCTCTGTATAGCTTGTACATCATTTTGATTTTCAGTAGCCCCAACATTTTTATAAGAGTTATTTCGCGTAAGACTATCATATATGGGATTTGGTAAGGAAGCAACAGAACTGTTGGAAGATAATGAAAAACTGTTCAGGGCCTTCACGTTATTTTCAGAAGCCCCAAATTCATGATTGTTTTTGGAAATGCTAGTTTTCGTCTTTACGACAGAAACCGAAGACGAGATTGTACTTGACCATTCACTTCCTGAACCTTGAGAATCTGATACATGGTCAAGAAGTAAGAAATCATTCATACTAGTAACCCATCTGGAAAAAGTCTACTCATATGGTTATAATACAAAAGGGAGAATAAATTGCTGGAAATTATCCAGAGTGGGATATAGGTGGAATCTTCAGTATTGCTAGAAACATTGACGGTGAAAAATCAAAATAGAGGTAACAAAACAAGTAACGCTTATGGACTAAACAATTATGAGTAAAATGCATTCATAGACTGTATTAATGCATAATAAATCACCTTAATCTGAAAATAAATTTCCTCAAAACGAATTCCTTTTTGTTTAGATGATACTGTAAGTGGTTACGAATCGAGATTATGACACAGGGTCACCAATTGTTTGGTTTAAGATGAGAGAGCGAAGCCAATTCAGTAAGATTACCTCAGATTCCTCTATTGGTTTCACGAGAAAAATGATAGATATCATCTGTAAAAGCGATACTCGTTGAGGGTTGTTCAACTTGGGCAAATAGGTAGCAGCATTGCTAATTTTTTTCAATTTTGGGATCACTACAAACGTTCGAAAGGCCCATAAACAAAGAACTTTCACATTAATTTGTTCTGATTTTTTCAACCAGTAGCTTTTCATTGGCTCTTCAAATAACTGTGCAATTTCTATTCTTTCGAAAGTGATTGGTAAAAAGGTAGCCTCTATATACGGGAGAGATTCCGAGTAAAACATTTTCCACTCCTCTATGAGTTCAATAATTCCGTGATATTCCTTCTTCATCCCATTGATCAAAGAAATATCCAATGTTAAACTTACACGGGCTGTGTCGACAAGGTCATCAAAGTCACGAATAGCTTCACAAGCACTCACACACCGTAGTAAAAGTAGATTTAGCTCCTCAACAACGATTCCTTTTCTCCAGTCATTCACGTCATTTCCGTTTGTTCGATGTTGAGGAAACAGTGGCTTCATTGCGAGGTTTAATTCTTTCCAGGCTAAAAGTACAGTGGGAGGATCTTTTTCACTTCTTTTGCATTTGATATAATGTTTATATTGTTGTATGAGAGAACTGGCTTTACTTCCTCTTGGAGCAATGGAGCTGACAGATCCCTTCGAAAGGATAAATTCATTCGAAATGGTCCTTCTTCTCTTTGTTGTAACTTTCGACTTCTCTGGGTTCGAAGTGATTATTTTATTTCGCTTTCGAAGAAATACGTTTATGGAGAGACCTTCTGAGATTTCAACAACAATGGGACCTATACGTATACTTCGAGTCTTTGCCATCTTCTTCATTCTTCAATTTTTTATGTTAAAATTGAGGAAATTTAACATTAACAAACGCAAAAAAATTGGCAAAATTCAAGGATTAAAACCAGCAGTACACATTTGTTTTTGCTGAACTGAGTTGTGTTTTATGTGTTTTCTACGTAATCCCACATCCCCACAAAATAAGCTTAAACTACTTCGGCTAGCAGTGATAATTACTAGAAAGCTTATTATATAATAACACCTTTCGACGAATTCAGTAAAATTAAAGACATATAATTACGATTCAGGTACTACCATTGCTCTGAAGCAATATCCAATTGACATGAGCAAGATCTTCATGTAATCCGCCTTCTTCTCTTCAAAATTTCCTAAATCCTATTTTGCCCTTCGTTTAAATGGCAGGATATTTGTGTGCAGCGTTAACGACGGTTAGAAGCTCTTTAAATTATATACTGAGCGTGATCAACTTATCACCAAATCAGCTAGATGCAAGCTTTGGGTCTGAGTTAATTTATTTTTGAACAAATTCATCCTATACATAAGTAAAGCCTTTATAGAAAATATGCCTGATTTAACGCTCACATATACCAACGAACTTGATTCTCAACACTCTTGCTTTAAGGAAGTACCGGTAGAGGAAGACAAGCAAAACTTTTATGGCTCCTTAAAACACCAAGTAAGAGCATTACAAGAGTACTCGAATGTGTATTTTACAGAGAAGATGAAGTTTGAGACGAAAAACGATGTTCCTGATGAGCAACCCATCATGCTATAAACATTGGGGGTGTTACTACTCGTTGATAGTGATTGAAAGTGGACTGGCTAGGCTGCCTGTGTTTATTTGTGAGTTTACATGAGGAAATCTGAAACTTCAATGATAATGACCAGGTGGATTTTTCATTAAGGAAAGGAAATTCATACATACACACTTAAATAAAGTTCTTTAGCTTCTGTAAACGTTTAACAGCTTCTTCTAGTGTTTCATAAGTTTTGCAAAAAGAAAAACGAAGATAATCTTCGGCCAAAGGGGCATCTTCATCTGTATAAAATTCGGTAGGGGGGATGGTTGCGACACCAATTTCTTTCAACATCCAAAAGCATAAACGAAAATCACGTGGGCGAGACAAGATATGTTCTGGGAAAGGATAATCTTCAGGTAGTTTTACCTTGGAAAAGTTAGCCATCACATAGTAACTACCATCAGGGATCGTATAAGGAATGCCGAGTTGATCAAAGGCCTCCGCCAAAATGGAAAACCTCTGTTTATACGTTGATATATATTCTTCCCAGTAGCCCACCTTGTCAGCCTCCTCAAAGGCAATGGCTGTGGCCTCTTGTAATGGACTGTTTACGCAAAAACAGATCCGTGTATGGGCAGTAGCAGAATACTTAATGATGCTCTCGTCTCCAATGATCCAGCCAACCCGCCAGCCGGTGCATCCAAACGTTTTTCCGCCGGAGCCAACCGTGACGACATGACGAAACAGCTCTGGGCGAAGAGTAGCAAGACGAACAAAAGGAGTGTAAGAAAGACGATCATAGACTTCGTCAGAGACTACAAGCAAATTATGTTCTAGTACAATGTCGGCAATTTCGTTCAGCTCTTCTTCCGAAAAGATCTTTCCAAGGGGATTATGAGGAGTATTAATAACGATCATTTTTGTCTTGTCAGTGATTGCAGCTCGCAGTCGATTTATATCTAGCCTCCATTCTTTAGCAGACACAGGGCGCTCCGCTCCTTCCTTGGGGGGGATTAAAGGCACATAAACAGGAACACCGCCATTCATCTGGATGTTGGATACGTATTGATCAAAGAAAGGTTCCATCAAAATCACTTCGTCACCAGGATTCAAAAATGCTGCAAACACACTGTAAAATCCTTCGTTCGCACCAGCTGTGACTACAATTTCCGTGTCCGAATTCAGCTTCCGATTGAATAGAGGAGAGTAAGCTTTCGACAGGGCGTTCCGAAGGCTTATACGACCACGCGTGTGGGAATATTGATTGCAAGACACCTCGTCTATACATTTCTTCGCAGCGTTTAAGACAAATTTGGGTGGACTATAGTCGAAGAATCCCTGACTTAGCGAAACTGGGGGCACTTTACATTCTGCTGTTGCCTTGTTTACCATAGTCCAAACATCTGGACGACTCCCAGCAACCCGAAAGGAAGGGACTATGGTATTTGCTGTCATTGCAAGGATTCTTGTAGGTCGAAACAACTTGGAATAATTTTTTTTTTAAAAAAAAAGGAGCTTTTTTATATCAATATTGCTAACAAAGCTGTTAACGTACGGTTTACGGTTGAAAAAATCATGGCGAAACCAAGTTTTATAGAAATTTCGTAATCAGATAAGCTAACGAAATATTGGATGAAAATTACGAATGCAGCCAAGCTGGAGATAAAACAAAAAATTTCATAGGGAGGAAAGAAAAAAAGGAAAGAATTAAGAAAGTATTAACAAAAAAGAAAAGTAAACCAAAATCATAAATATGATTTTTAAAAATGGACGAAAGCAGAGACCCAATTTCTGCTTTTCTTATTCTTATCCTTTTTACTCCTCTAAAACGAATTCTATGACTTTGGTTCTGTAGGGAATGAATGATTTCATAGCAATAAAAAATATGTAGATTGTAGATGCAAAAATCATGAATGTTATCCTCATTAATAACCTTATAAAAGATTAGGTAAAAACATGTACAAGACTATCATTGGGTTCACAGTTTCATTTTTGGTAAAATGGGTACAACGAATCTGGTATGATGGCCCTACTACCCTCTTGGTTGTTGATCCAACGAATGCACTGGAACGGTTGGTGCATGGATACTCTGGATTTTTTGATGGTCTTCTTGGGTGTGCCTGAATGATCGCTGGTTACCATCGGTGTACGACCACGTCGAGGCTTGTCGGTATTAGATTGCCTCTTTAAAAGTCGATTAATAGTTTCCATTTTTTCTTCCTCTAACTTTTTTTCGCTTTGATTCTTTCTTCTTCTTGCATTTTCTACTCTTCGTAAAGCCATTTCTTCCTCAGTCAGCTTTTTCCGACCTGATGTTTCCGGCGGAAGCTCCAACATGTCATCTTCTTCGCCCTCTTCTAATACGCCTTGGAGAGCTCGTTGTCTTTTTGTCATTCTGGAAGAATCCGTTGCTCCAGAAGGCATGGGCTGGGAGTATAAATCCTTCAAGTCAGTGAAGTTCTCTTCCTCATCGCCTAATTGCTCGTCTTCGTCAAGCTCATCCTCCTCTTGTTCTTCTTCATCTTGATCTGACTCTATATAACTAACTTTTCGTTTCGAAGCGTTTCTCTCTCTTCTGTCTCTTTTGCTTCTGAAATTGACGGGTGGACTAACGTTGCTTTCTGTGTCTTTTTCTTCTTCCTCTTCTTCCGCTTCCTCTTCTTCTTCGTCTTCATCTTCAAAGTCGTCATCGCCTCCTTCTTCCTCCTCGTCGTTTCCTTCTAAAGTTTCCTCCAGTTCCTGCTCGTTCAAAACAGAGTCACCCTCCTCTGCTGCAAGAGCATCATCACCCAATTCCTCTTTTGTAGAGACGCTCAATGTATCTGAATCTGGATAGTTTTTATTAAAAGGAGTTTTTCTGGAAGGCTTCTCTCCCCTAGATCTTCGACTTCTTGCAAGCTCCCTTGACATTTTTGTTTTTTTTTTTCGTTTCCTTTTTTAGAAATAAATACGAGAATAAATATTATGCTCCTTCAATTTTTTAAGAGGTGGCGAAGGTCGAACCATACACTTGTAGTACAGTTAGAAAGTTAACAACCCGTGCTTAGTTGGCTTTTGATTCCGCAATTTATTTACAAACTATTCAGAGTGAAAGCAAGAAGAAAATTCAAGCACAACAAAAAAAAACTCAAATTCAGTATGACAAACGATTAGGTTTGGTGGTTGAAAGATGTAAGTGCACCTAACTTAGTTTGGTTTAACCAACAAGAATACTTCTATCTAGCTTATAATAATAACGAACCGTTTCTAATGAAGTTGGAAATCGATATACGTTGTGATGAAACTTTCTTGTATTCCTTGAGATATCTGATTTTTTCTGCGTGGTTTTAAAACATGAAAGGGGTTTTCCACAATACAAAACTTTATTGTTTACACCCAGTAAAATATAAAATAGGAGAAAAGAAATATATTCTATCCTGTAGTCGTAATGTACATAGTTTTACTCTGTGATTTTGTACTTTAGTTTTGTTTAAAGTCGTTCATAATAACAGTCTGCTTCCATCTTTCGATTTGTCTGTATATTTGTAAAGTGGCTTAATCATGTGTATAAACAGTAAAATTAAAAGCAGAAGGATACGTTCACAGAAACCTTCATGACACCAAAATGCAGCATTGAGAAACAGACAGATACTGAATCATCTCAACATGGATAAAGAAGTTACTCACGAACTTTTCCTTGGCCGATATGCGAAAACATAGTACTGACGTCTTGAAAAAACATAGTGAAATTACAGGGTACAGATCAAAGCTTTCGCCTTATAGATGACAGAATGATAAACAAAACTTGAAACCCAGCGATGATAATTTATGATATGATATTGAGTGTCTTTTGGTCTGAATTAGCGGACATGCAACCCAACATAAGTTAAAAGAGGGGTTATTTCTTGCGATGGAGAAGGTATGACCGGGAGTCTTAAGTTTTCGTTTCATCATATTGATCTGTTGAATCTGGGTACTTTGACCTTCGTTCTTTGCGCTTCAATTCTTTTTCACTTGGTACACGCTTTGGTGCTTTTAGAATACGACGAATACTTTCAGGAGAAACACCATACAAGTTCCCCAGTACGGAGCATGTTAATGAAGGATCATCTTGCTTAAGTTTTCGGATCTCATTCATGGATTCCAATGGTAATTTTTTCTTTGGATTCCAATTGCCCTGTATTTTTCTTTTCAACGCTAGCTTTTGCTTTTTCCAGTCAGGAACTGATTTTGTTTCATAAAACATCCTTTGAATAATTCCATGACGAAAGCTGGCTCTATTACTATGGTGTAGACCACGTATGAATCCTAGAAACCTCAACTCGGATAGTAACATCTTAAGCTACCTTGACAAAAAAATAAACGATAGAAATATCCAATAGTGTAACGTCGAATGTGTTAATATTACAATTCCTACGAACAAGACAAAATATAAATCAACATATAAAGCAATTTGGGAAGAGGTGCAAAATCGCTCTTCAGTTGGTTGTCATCCTTGGAGCACTACTAACTAACTACTGCTACACTAGATGATCTAAGCATAACCACAAATTTTATATTCATAGATTGCTTTACTTAATAATTATTTAGTAAATAACAAAAGTAAGAATTTCAATATTCAAGTAAAAGGTAACTAAACCCATAAACCCTTTTAGTATACAGAGCTCCACTACTGGACGCAAAAAATTCATGGACTATACCATAAAATAAAGCATAATTGAAATAATTAACAAAAACAGGAAAGAAAGACAAAAGACATAAGAGATAATTAAAATGTGCAAAAGAAAGCAGATAGTTCAGCACACATTTAAATTTTCGTTAAAGCAACTCTGCACGCATTATGAAAACAGAATCGCTTTTTCAAAACATTCTGGCAAGCCGAAACATAGCTGTTTCTGTAATAAGGGGTGCATAAAACAACCTTGCCTATAATGCAAAAATAAATTAAGGTAAAAAAAAAATAAAAATATACACACTTTTCAATAAAGAAATAGATGCGCTTCACATGATTATACACGCATTCTTGTCGGAAATCACACGTACGGATGTAGAAGGACCAGTAAATAGATCTTCCTCGTTTTCGACCCGCTTTTGTTTAATTTCGCGGGGAAAAAACGTCTTCATAAAATTTAATAATGCTTGGTCAATATTGCGGGAATCGGCTTTCAATACTTCTTCAGCACGACATAAAGGACATAGATTAACCTTTTGTCTCTGTAAAATAATTAAGCAATGCAAACAAAAAACGTGCGAGCAACCAAGGCGCACAGGCTTATATGCTATGTTGGAACAAATTGCACACTCAAAGTCCTGTAGTTGCGGGATTACAGAGAACAATTTGGAATTAAGATTAAAGCAAATAGCCTTTGCAACATTATCGGCAACGAGTAGAGGGTCGGAATCAATGACTTTGAAGAACAACGGCTGAGCAGTAAGCGAAGTACGTTTATCAAACTTCTTTAATATTTTCGTTACTGCCAGCTTGTTCATACTCTGGAAAAAAGTCATTTTGAGAAGATTCCGATTCAGTTCTACAAACTGATTGTAGAACACCCAGTCATGATGCTTCGTAGAAGAAGGAAGGCAATGAGCCTTCCGAACTTGTTGGTCAAACCAGCTCAAATGGCGTTGAGCTAACTCTGGAGATCTTTCACGATTTCCATCGGCTTCCTTACTAGACATGAAGATATCTGCATCCATATACAGTCTAAAAATGGTTCTCCAGCAATACAGTGAATTGTAATGCTTTTTAGAGACAGGTGACGCGGTCAAGGAAATATCATGAGTAAGATTTTCAAAAGCGGAATGCAAAATTTCACGTTGCTGTTGCTGTAAGTGTTCGACATTCTGCAATTCTGTAGTAAGCTTTTCAAAAAACTCATGATCGAAATTCAACAAGAGTTCCATTTGTTGAACTTCGGAATCATCCGTATATGTATTAATTTGACCAACCTTAATATTAGAGCAATGATTATCATTACCACCTTTCTCATTGATATGAAAAGTTCGGGATGTTGGAGTATGGAAAGAATTAGCGATATTAGAAGAAGCAGAAAGTTGTTTCACCATTGAGGCTGCAAATTCATCATCCTTTAATTTCTCAAAATTCACATTCACAACAATTTTGGGAACCACAACGTGACCCTCTTTGGCCAAAGAATAAGTCATGGTGATGGCTCGCTGCTGGTTTTCATCTGATGAGGAAATGAGACGCCGAATTGTTTCAGCACTTAAGCCCAGAGATGAAAGCTCGTACACAAAACGCTTAATGCACTTCTTAAGAGCTTTATACTGAATTGCTGCCTCGCTCCAACCAGGAGGCATCTCGTTTTCCAACGCACGCTGAAAGTTGTGTCCAAATTTCATTGTAAAAGGTACAATTAATAAGTTTCCAAAAAAAAAGGGGGGGATTTGATCAAACGTGACCGACGAATGTATATATGCAAAGACCAAATAGACTCACTTGAGTATAATATAAACAGAAGATGAATACTGAAAATTAATAGCTTCTGTAATAAATTACAAATTAGAGATTATTTCGTTTCCAAATTGAATCATGGAAAGAAAAAATTATGATTAGAGATGCCTTTTTTCCCACCGAACACAAACAATCAAGGTTGTACTATAAAGTGAGAAAACACAATAGCAATCTGCACCAGAGCGCACTTATTAATAAAATCTGAAACAGCAATCGATATTTGCTATTATCAAGATTAAACTAAAGAACCGATTCCTCCTTTAATAAACGTCAATTAGTTTTAAGAAGAAAGAAAGAGGAATTGTACCAATTTCTCGGTATAAAAGATCAAGAAGACGGTCTTCTAGATTACATAAATAATTATAGTTTATTATACAATAATTCCAGATTCAAGATCAATGGGTTTTATAAAAAAAAAAGGAGTCCTGCATAAAAGTTTTGGTAAAGGACAACTTGTGTTGTCGTTGGTATGTCGCTAAGGAATCCAGCGGACATACAGATTTCTTCTGTAAGTGGCGGTTACCGTTGTAAAGCTTACAATCCGTAATATAAATTACCGAATATGCGTTGCAAAAAATTGGTTTCTAATAGTGTAATATGTTTATTATACGCAATTATTGCTCCTAAGTCACACACCTTATATACTGTTCTTTAAAACAAATTTTATCTTCTGTTTATTTACACTAGAAACAATTACGTTGACTAAACATAGATTTGTGGTTCTTAACATTGAATAGGATTTCTTAAGAACTAAAATAAATCATTCATAGAACTGGCAATTTATCCGTAGAATGTTATCAGTAAGCTAGAAAAACAGCCAAAGTACAGAAATTCCAAATTTCATTCTTGCTAATCAGATTGTTCATCTGGCTCAAAACACCTGTTACATTATGTGTCATTTACGATGTGTTTCTAAATGTTTGAGTCAGATGAAGGTTTATTTCTTATTGAATTATACTCAATGTCCATATTGTAAAAGCGAATACTGCTATGTAGCAAAACAAAACAATGGATAAATCAAAAGAACGGAACTTCAAATGAGAGAATTGATCAGGGATAGTTCAAACTTGAAGAAACATGATTGATCCATGAGTGAGTTTTTGTTAAACTTAGAATAGCCAATTTAGCCAGATAATATCCAGACAAAGTTTTCAGTTAGGAAGATTTTGCTGGTTACGCCTAATAAATTGCGCTAAAAACACCTTCATTCGTAAAACTAACAGACGCTCTTATAGGTATATATCTAGATATTTAGGAATCTTTTCAGTTGCTATAAAAATAATTTGCTCGATAAACGACATGGATTCCACCGTATTACCGTGACAATAATCATCCTCGAAGCCCTTCATACTAAAGGGTATATTGTTTTATAATGTCATCTGAAACAAGACAAAACAAATAAACTAGATGGAAATGTTTTATTAAAGATAAGTCTGAAATACAATGGTGAATAAATTGAGGATTTTGTTTATTTACATCGGCTCTTTCCTGACAAATCCTTCAGTTAAAAAGATTTTCCTTGTCGAACAAAACAATTGTTTCTTGGTACATTATTGTCGTCAACTAGGTATGCCAGAGTATAATGTTGAGAAAATTCACCTCAAATCCAATTTAGCAGTTTTATGCTCACTTTCAAAATATCATCGAGTATCATTCGCATGACATTACGCAGCTATTTGATAAAGCTTGAATGTAGGAAAAGTGCATTTAGCTGGTGTTGTAACTTTCAAGAAAACTCGATTGATGTCTTCGTAAGCAACCCATGAATAAGTAATTAAAGATAACAAACAAAGATGAGGTGGCCACGAATATTTGATTAGTTGTTTAGTCAACAATAGACATAAAAGTACATATTACATTAGAATTCTTCCTCTGTTAAAAGTGACTACCTGAAAAACACTTTACTACATCGTCGCTCTCTTTCGTAATACCTTCATTTTCATTACCATTGAGTTACAAATAACAAAGACAGCTGAGCAACCAATACGGCTTTTTCTTATCCCCCACGCATTATTCATCTTGCTTCGCTACGGATTCTGTAAACATTTGTGGAACAAGGCTAATTAATCGACAATTATATCCATAATACTAAATCACTGAAATAGTCAATAGTGAGAACTACTAATTAAATAGAAAAGAAACATATATATTTCTTGAAGTTTAAGAAAAATGTCAAAACACATCTTTGTTTTTTGTCCTTCGGCGAAATGTCATAATATTTCATTGATTACTGGAAAAGACCCCATTGGTTTTAAAACCTTACTGCTTTCCTTTTCTTTCCATTTAGTAAAGTATAAATTCAAGTATATTATGATGAATTACGGATTGTTTAGCACATAAACATCCAACGATATTCAATACGAAAACATCACAGACGTAGATGAAATCTAACCAAGTAAGAAAAACAAGAATTTTCAAATAGAATATCACTATTGGATTCAAATATCAAATCAACGTTTCGTATCATATTCGACAACTTCATAGCTTTACCTATAGTTCCTTAACTCTATCTTATAGAGAAAAAGCTTACGGTCATTTAGGGCTCAAAAGTACCTGAACCAATACTCACCCATTGTCTATGTTTTGAGTGAATTTTAATTGTTTTTGGTTGAAAAGGGATATTTTCTTTTCTTTTGTCTACACGACAACGATTTCATACAAGTTAAATTGAGACTTTACTCATTTTATCTTTTTGGGATACAAGGATTGAACGAAAAGACAAGTATCAGGAGTTTTAAGTTTTTTGAACATCAATTTGATACTTTTCATGAAATTGCTTTCTGTTTTCTTGATAATTGCTTCAACGACAAAACGTAAAGCAGAGTGAAAACGACTTTAGTCGACTTGCATTTGGTTGTTTTCCTTTACGATTTTCATTTCCGAAAAGATGGTTAAATCCTTTGAGGATATGGATTGCTATGAAATCCTTCAGGTGGATCGCAGTTCTACTTTACAGGAGATTAAAGCAAGTTATAGGTATGAAAGAAAGGGAATAGGAGCGGAAAAATATTTCTTCAACATACTCTTATTATCCAATGTTCAGAATTAGTACTAGGAATTGGTTGTGGTTGAGATTTTGGTATATTTACTGACCCCTTTCGTCTTGTATAGAAAACTAGCTTTACAGTATCACCCTGATAGACATCCTAACAAAGAAGGATATGATGAGATATTTGCAGGAATTAGCAGTGCCTACAACATTTTGTCAAACGAGGATAAACGAAAATGGCATGAGAAGGATTATACTAGGGACCAATACTCAGTGTTTACTGATGAAATTCAAGAAATGCAAACCAAGTTAGAGAAAGTCAACTTTGGAGTATGGGTAAATTTTCTAAATCGAATACGAATAGATGAACAAACTGCACGTTCTACAGTTGAATGGCCAAGCCTTGGTGATATTACCTGGTTATGGACACACACAAAGCCATTTTATCAAAAATGGCTACGATTTTCTACATCAAAATCTTTTGAGTGGGAGGCAATTTACAATGAAGAAGAAGAAACAGACCCTGGTACGAAACGATTAATGAAAAACGAAAACCAAAAATGTATTAAATACTCTATTCGACAGTATGATGAAGCAGTTCGTGCACTGATTGCAACAATGTGTAAACTAGATCCTCGGCGTCAAAACGTGAAGAAAATCTCAGACCCTGAACGTTATGAATCTTTGCAAGCTGCATCTCGCAAACAAAGCGAGCATGATCGCCGTAATTACCAGGATTCTTTAAAAAAACAATCCCTTGCTTCATGGACAGTTGTAGATCAAGAATTGAATTGGAGCGAGGATGAGGATGAGGATGAAAGTTCGTCTACTGATATGACGGAAGCAGTAGACATCACCAATTGTTCCATATGCAACAAGTATTTCCGCTCATTACAGCAGCTGAAAAATCACGAAAACAGTAAAAAGCACAAACAAAACTTTCGAAAAGCAAGAAAAAAGCAAGAGAAGGATGCCAAAATTGCGCCCAGACCTTTCGAAGCTTCAGGAGAAGCTTCGGATTCTTCTAAGAAATCTGAACCTTTATATGAATTCTCTTCTAAAAGCGTTGAAGATATTGAAAGAAGTTTTACATTTATCGAGATGTCTGACGATGACTTCTTTACTGCCCATGAATTTAGCGATGAAGAGGCATTCTAGAAAGTTTCTTAGCCGACTTTATTTTCCAGTCTTTATGTTATGCTTTGGTTATTTATTCGTAAATTTTATGACCAGCTCGAAGGCCCTCAATCAGCATTTGCAGTTTTCTCTGATCAAAAATCTCTTTCTGCCTCAGTGTATCCATTTCTTCTCCAAATTCAGTCGTCAGTTGCTCCATATACTCAGCTAAAGAGGGCTTTTCTATATGTTTTTGAGTGTCTAGTTTAAATCCAGAACTTGTATTTGATTCAACCCCGTTCACTACTGTATTCGCAAGTTTGCCTTCTTCTGCTGACATTTTAATCCCTGTTTTATGCCCTGGAATGTGTTACACTCCTTAAACTGTCAGATAATAAGATGAAAATTTCAAATGTGTGGTCGGTTTACCTTTGAGGTGTGTGTTGGAATTTTGTCGTTTTTGGTCCTCGCTAAACCCAGCTCTACGGTTTTTTTTGAATTTTTGGGAAGCTTTCGAGCCTTTGTATCAATACCTGGCAGTAATTAAAAATTAAAAAATTATACAGACGAAATGTCAGGTTCTGTGAATTTTCCTAATGCTGCAAACGCATTAGCTGGATCTACGACTAATTCTGACAAAGAGCCGGTTCTGGAGCGAAGAGAAGAAGCAGAGCCCCCAAAGATGAGCAAATCTGCATTAAAAAAACTTCGTCGTCAACAAGAATGGGAAGCAGGACGCGAAAAGCGCGCCGGAATACGCCGAGAGAAAAAGAAACAGAAAAAGGAAGAGAGAAAGCGCAAAATTGATGCTGGTGAGAAAGTTCCTAGCCAAAAGAAAAAGATAAGAGAAGGAAAAATAACACCTTCTGAAATGCGTGTCGTTCTGGATTGTGGATTTGACGAATTAATGAATGAAAAGGAAATCGCTTCTTTGTGTCAACAATTCACCAGATGTCACTCTGCAAATAGAACTGCTTTGCATCCTGTGGAATTGTATGCTACTGACTTTGGTGGTCGTTTGGAAGCTAGACAAGAATACGTTTTACGCGGTCAACAAAAGAACTGGAAACGCTATCATCCTACAACTAACAGTTATTTGGAAGAATTTGTTAACGAGAAGGAAAAAATGGTGTACCTTTCAGCAGACTCGGATGAGACTTTGCACGAATTGAAGGAAGACGAAATTTACATTATTGGAGCCCTCGTTGATAAAAATAGATACAAGAATATCTGCGATGAAAAAGCTAAAAGTCAAGGGATTCGAACGGCAAAACTTCCAATTGGCGAATATATTCGCATGTCTGATCGAAAAGTCTTGACTGTAAATCATGTTTTTGAGATTTTGTCTTTATGGCTAGAGCATCGCGATTGGGAAAAGGCTTTCTTGGAGGTCATTCCTAAGCGGAAAGGTCTTGCTTCTTTGGACGAAGAGGAAAGCAGAGAGCAAAGCCTCGAACAAGAAAGCGTTTCCGAAAAGGCTGAAGAAGCTGAAGACGAAGCAAAAACTGCGGATGGAGTTGAGATGCCTGCCGAGAAAAGGATAAAAATTACGGAATAATCCTTCACTATGTGTAATTTAGAAATTCTGTATTTTTGTTCTGTTATTTTGGAAAGTTTTAGATAATTATAGGTTCTAAAGGTAATGCTAATTTGTAATAAAAGTACTGTTGATAAAAATAATTTCAGTCTAAGCTAATTAACGTATTTGAAGGACCCGGTAAAATAAAAATTAACTGATACATGCATTAGAACTCTAAAGGATCGGCCTTTCGTTTGTTATGCGTTGTGGATTTGGAGAGATTGTTACTAAAAGATCTAAAATACGCTGTAAAAGGATCAAGATCTGTGGAGATAGAGGCTGTCGATGAAGGATTAGATGTTTCACCAGCAGATGGAGAAGAGGGAGCATTCTGTAAAGAGTTTGAATGAGTAACGGATTGTTGATCAAGTTGACTCAACAGAGTATGGACAGTAGGAACACAAAGAGGATTAAAGCTGCTCATATCTTGAATATCAATGGGAACACAAACGCGTCCAGTTCCTGGATGAACGCAAAAGGGGGATTTTAGCAGATGGTTTAAGTGCTTAGAGACTTCAACATCTAATCGTGGATATAGATATGTCAGAACGATATCTTGTTTCGCGTGAGCAATAACATTTGGGGAGAGATCAAAGTTTCCAGATGCAATTGCAGCATCAATGTCTGACCATTTCTTTATACTAGCGCGTCCAGGATCCATCTCCCATTTTTTCCGTAGTGCAGATGCTAATGATTCACTAGGTAATAGTTTCAAAAGATTTTCTGCACCTACTTCAGAAACCCATGGATCTTGATCTTCCAAAACAACTTTAGCAAAAACAGATTTGAGAATGTCGAGCGAACGAGACAAGTGAGGATGTAGAGGGCGCTTTAAATTGTTAAGGATTCGTACACCGCCTTGAGGATTTCCTGCCACAACTTGTAGATAGCCAGCAATCATTTTTCGGGAACGATCGTCCATTGAACGAGCCATTTCGTCACAAATCCAAGCGTGAATACCACGTCGACCAGAGTAAACCCAGAGAATATGATTGAACCCAAAATCTTCACGTAAAGCAACATCTATAATTTCTACAGCAACTGTAATAAAAGACCAGCACTTTTCACAAATGTTTGTTTTGGAGCAACATGTACGAACATCGTCATAGTCGGTCATATCGATATCGAAAACTAGTTCCTTTTGTAATGGGCGAAACGAAGCTTTCCTTAAGGTTTTTCTATCTCTTGGATTTACACTGTAAACTGGTCCAATTTCAAATCTGCTTGGACACATACCGATGGCTTCTTTCTTTAATTCTTCCCAAGATTGAAATGACAGGTATCGCACGTATGCATCATTGGGTAAAGTAAATGCAAACTCTCTATCCGTAAAGTCTTTTTGGGGAACAGGACCATGATTCAGCCATTGAAATAGTAACCGCCAGGGAAACAAATGGCGATAGTACTGAATCATGGTCTCAGGATCAACATTTTCTTGCTTCCTAAAGCATAGTTGGTTAACTTGTTGTAATCGAAACAAATATCAATATAAAAGAAGCATGCTGATTGTATACATAAAAGCTTTAGGTAAAGACGCGTAGAGCTTCTTTTGTTGACCGAACACCTTTATACTTACACCGCATCCAAGGATCCATTAGCAATTAATTCATCCAAATCCTTGTCTTCAAGATCCTCTACAGCAACCGTCATTCTGGGTATCTTAGTCAAAGTAAATAACCCAATATATCAAGAAGAAGAAGTTGTTTTTCATGAATTGTAAGAAAATAACGTTGGTTGATAGAATGCCTAATAGTAAATAGGAGCTTTGGGTTATATATTCCTATGTGAATTTTAACGAATGTTTATGCAGTCCCTCATTAATTGGAATTGAAAAACAATTCATTGTCAACAAAAAGGTTGAAAGAACTACGTCTGTCTTTTGAGGAGTGGAATGAGGAATGGTAGTTGAAATTAATCAGCATTATTGAAAACAAAAAATATTATTTACTTTGGATCAATATAATCTCTGATCTTTTACCGGGATTTCAAAGAAAACGGTTTTAGACGATAGTTTACTAAAAAAATCGAAAACCTAAGGAAAAAATTATGTCTAATGAGCCATGGAATACTCAGCTCCAAAAACTCAAAATCCGGCTGAAAACTTGGGAACATGAGTTTTCGCATAATCAGAATCGGAAGCCGACGAAACAAGATGTGAAATCAAATCCCTCTATTTGTAAGAATATTAAACTACCCATTTGAGGGAAAGAAACGTACATGTTCAGCTAACAAGTAGCTCTACTCTACAAGGAATACTATAATTTAAAACAAAAGGTTGCCGGAGAACCTGACGAAAAATCTAGTCCAAGGAAGAAAAATGAGAACGTGGAACAGCCAGAATTTCGAACACCAACAAAAGTCCGAAAAGTTGAAAAACGTTCGTTCGAGCAAGGAACTCCGACATCGAAACCATTGCAGGTGACACCAAAGAGCGCTGACAAAAGCTTGCTAGGGCCTACACCGCAGCTTTCGCGAAGGGTGATTAATATCTTTGAAGATATATCCCCAGACCCATCACCGAATGCGAAAATTTCCCAGACAGCAGATAGTTCTATGGTAAGCATTGCTGAAACTTCCTTACAGTCCATGACACCTACGACACCATCAAAGCTTATTCGTCCGTCTATAGATTTATCATCACCTTCTTCTGCCATCTTTGATACGCCTTCCACATATCGGACAGAGGTCCCGTCTTCTCCAAACTTTTTGCGAGTATCTTCGAGATGTCGGAAAAGTCTGAGTGAAATGATTAATGAATTAAAAGAAATCGAAGACGATTACGGAAACGATGAAGAGAGAATCCTAGCGGAGGTTGAGGAAAATGAGAGTTCATCATCCTCAGAACCAGAAGAAAATAATGCACAGAGCTCGCTGAAGCCATTCAAGCGACGAATTAAGAGACAAACTCGACTAGTCAAACGTATGTATTTATGGATTTCTCATTTTATTTCCATTAACATCTTTAGTGCCTCCTTCAGTCAGTACCGAAAAGAGTCATCTGGATAGCATGCCAGAGATTGACGAGGAGGAAGAAGCCACAGTGAATGCACCAGTAGAAGAAGAAGAAGAAATCCCTACGCAGTCGGCTAGAGGATCTGCAAATAAGGAAATGAACTCTGACGAGTCGAAACGGCGTCTAAAAAATGGACTTTTGCTTGGTAAGCAAGTGAGTGAAAACTTTTCTTCATACAAACTCAATCGAGGAAAAGGGAAAGGTTTCCGTTCTCGTAGGTGAGAGTAAGGCACTTTTGAAGGGTCTATGGTTATGTGAGATTCCTCTCAGGCTTCGAAACGGACGTAATTTTTAATTGATTGTATACTAAGGATCATAATGCTTGAAGACGCTCTTTCTTAGAAGCTCAGGACCAAAATAAAATTATGCTTTTACAACATTACGATGTTTCAAATCCAAATAGATTTGTTACGAGGCTAAACATCATGTACATTTTAAGAGTTATAACATTGTTTAACGACAATACAATACATTTGGCTATACCAAACTATCAGTTAGCTCTTGTAGCTCAGTGGTAGAGCGCTTGCCTAGTAAGCAAGAGGCCCAGTGTTCGAGTCACTGCTGGAGCATCTAATACTTTTTTGATTTTTCTTCCTTAGTGCAATTTTCACCAACGTGGTAAATATGATAAAATCTTGTATCAGCGATTTAATAGAGCGATGGAAAGACCCCGAATGTTATAAGCTGCTGCGGTTATGCCAAGAAAGACGGCCAACCTGGTATCAAGTATACGTTTTTGAATGAGAACACTATCACAGTCTCTAATTCTTTTCAATGATCAAGTTAATAAATTACAATTCCCTTAAATAAACGGAAGGCTACTGATCCTAGCTTACCGCACTGCAAAGCGACATCGAAGAAGGATCTATAAGGAGAATAGCATAGCATTGGACGGCGGGTTCAAGAAACGTCTAGTAGAATTGTACCTCCTAAACATAACCAATACCATGTCTGGTATACCCAAACCTGGAAGTGGCTCTCCGGCCGCATCTGCTGGTCTATGGCAGTCCGTTTCAACATTTGTACGGAGACATAGAGGTGCAGCATATGCGATCGGAGCTGTTGCAGTTGTTGCAACAGCCGGTGGAATTTACCATGTGAAGCAACAGAAGGCTTTAAAAAGGGGAATGAAGCCTCGTAAAATTGAGAAAGAAACATCTGAAAAGCAAAAAGTCGAGGAGGAACCTGAATCTGGTAAAACTGAGGGTGACGAGCAAGAAGATGAAAAAGCTGGAGACTCTGGCAAAGGTTCTGATGCAGCTGCTGGCTCTGCAGCCGCTTCTGCTGCCGCCGCTAAGAAGAAGAAGAAAAACAAGAAGAAGCTTAAAAACAAAAAGCCCGGCGATTCAACTGCCGAGAAAATTGCTACCGAAGAATCGGTGAAATCTATGTCAAAGGAGGAACGTGTAAACCTTGCTACTGAACTCAAGACTCTTGGAAATAAGGCTTATGGACAAAAAGAATATGGAAATGCTATTGACTTCTACACTCAAGCCATCACTTGTTCACATGATCCCATTTTCTTTTCCAACCGTGCCGCCTGCTTCGCTGCTATCGGAGATTTTGTTCAAGTCGTTAAAGATACCACTGAAGCTCTTAAACTCGATCCCACATATGTCAAGGCTTTGAACCGCCGTTGTTCTGCTTATGAGCAACTCGAGAAACTTGACGACGCTTTGATGGACAGTACAGTCTCCTGTGTTTTTGATGGCTTCGCAAACGAAAGCATGACTGCTACCGTCGAACGTTTATTGAAGAAGGTTGCTGAGAAGAAGGCCGCTGCTCTTATGGCTGAACGTCCTCCTAAGCTTCCTGCTGCTAGCTTCATTCAAACTTATCTAGACTCTTTCCGTCCTCAACCCAAGCCCGATCTAAACGAAGAATATGAAGGCGACCGTATTCTTAGCTCTGCTTACGATGCTCTTGACAAGGGTAACTATCAGCTTGCTTACGACCAAGCCAAGAAGGCTGCCACCGTTTCCTGCTCCAGTGCAGCTATCAGCGCTCGTGCTTATAACTTAATAGGTACTTTCAAATTTGTTTCTGGTGATTCTAGAGGATCTATGGAAGAATTCAATGAAGCTATCAGTCTTGATTCTTCCTTCATTCAACCTTACGTTCGTCTTTCAGCTGCCTATCTTGACGAAAACGACCATGACAGCATGTGGGGTATCTTGAAGAAGGCTGAGTCTGTTAACGACAAAGACTCAGATCTTTACTATCATCGTGCTCAAGTACATTTTGTTTCCGGCGAATTCGCTGAAGCTATTGCTGATTACAACAAATCGATTTCTCTGGACGACTCGTTTATCTACAGCTACATACAGCTTGGTGTTGCTCAATACAAGATCCAAGCCCTTAATCAGTCAATGAAGACATTTGAGGAATGCAAGAAGAAATTTCCCAACTGCAGCGAAGTATACAACTATTTTGGTGAGATTCTTTTGGATCAACAAAAGTTCGCCGAAGCAGTTGAAAATTTTGATCGTGCTATCTCCATTGAGAAGAGAGATCGCTTGACGATTATGAGTGCTATGCCTTTAATCAACAAAGCTCTCGCTGTGTTCCAGTGGAAGAAGGATATCAAGCAAGCTGAAAGTTTGTGTCGTCAAGCTTTGTCTGCTGATCCTGACTGTGACATTGCAATCGCAAGTATGGCTCAATTCTTGCTGCAACAAGGCAAGGCTCAAGAGGCCCTCTCTTACTTTGAACAATCGGCTCAACTTGCTCGTACTGAAGCTGAAATGGTGAATGCCTTTTCTTATGCTGAAGCAACTCGCACACAAATTACATTGACAGAAAAATATCCTCAATTGGTAGGCCGTTTAAGTCAATCTATGTAAATTGAGAAAAATCCAGCACCTATGTTTGATTCAGATGCGAATGAATGTATAAATTATAAGAAAAATAATGGTACATTAATTTTGCAATCCTTATTACGGGTTTTTCTATGTTATTATGTGACATGGCTTTTGCTTGCTATTACTTAAAAAAGTATGAAGATTATGTTTTGAATATTGAGCGACTAATAAAACTCCAAGTAATGTTCTTTGCGTCAAAATTTAAGGAGTTTTGTGTGTTTGTAATTTGTTTTTCCAGTTTTGGGTGATCTTTAATGAAGCCAATGTTTGAACTGACCTGGGTTTTTTTAGGTAGGGTAGAAGATGTAATTAGAACATGTAGCAAAGTAAGAGAAATATAACGTTACAACGTAATTCTACCATCCGCAAAAAAATTTGATTACTCCCAAATAAGAATTTTTCCAATGTTTTTCATAAACCTAGCCTCTGTATGAAATGAAAACCCAGCTTTGTAAGTTTTATTTATTTGATCCTTTCTTGCTTAAAAGCGATACTCGTATAATTATTACAAATCGCTTCGTCTCGTTAAAGCATCAAGGGCATCGGAGTGAGAGATAACGAAGCAAAACCATACAACAGTTAGTGAATATAAGCGTAAAAACTCTTCTATTTACCAATTTAGGAATAGAAATTTGCATTTCTATTTGTAGATTCGTCAGTAATTTAGTGGCTTTTGACTCTTCTTTTTTAAGCGCTCAATTGCGAGCGAGTTCGTTTGGGAGGTAATTGGAGAACGAAATAGTGAAATATACATAGATCTTTTTCGAGGATGGAACTACCCTCTAACACCGATTACTCTGGATCTCGCACGATTACGACGAACGAGTTGCCTTACCCAGTCCCTGAGGAAGGACAGTTTGAAGAACATGTATTACGATTAGAACCCGAGTCTCAAGGCAGACGTGTAAGGTGGGCAAATAATACTGTCGACAATGAGAATTTGAATAAGAAAAAATCTAAAGGTATGCTTAAGGATGTGCAGGTACTGATTATTGGGAACGGAATCATCAAGGATGATTTGAAGTCTTTTTCTATGCACATTAGGGTATATTGTACCTAGTCCCACGTTTATTAATATATACAGTGAGTCGGCTAACCTATATAGTATGTTGCATTTACCATAAGACTAGAAAATTTGATGAAAGTTCATCGGAATCCGACAGCGACACGGATTCTTCAAGCTGTAGCCGCAATGCTTATGAACGTGCGTGAGGAATTAGGTTGTAAGGAATATAGAGTTCAGAAAAATCATAAATTCTCTTAAAAGCTAAATATTTTTCATGTTCCTTATTGCAAGACAGCTGTAAGTGAGCCATGTCCAATATTGTTTCGCAAGCGAGAATCACAGATTTTTTTTTTAAAGATCCCTCGTAATTGGCATAACTCTTTTAGCTGTTACCTCGTACCAAATCTGTCAACCTCAATTACTTGCCCAAATGGATGACATTCTATATGCTTTCCTGAACACTTGATTTAAGTATTTTTGAATATTAAAGAAAGAAATTTATCTTAATCATAAAAATAAAATGAAAACGGGAATAATATAAAAAATCATCAAGTAAAAATGACACACAGATTAGAAAAATTACACACTAGAATGAGAAAGGGAACATAAACCAAAGGGAACAAGGAGAATCAATGAATATAGACAGACAAATAAGACATTACCTTAAAAAATATAAATAGGATACAGGAAAACCAATTACACGCAAAAATGAGGCTTATCACTCAAGAGAACCATACAAAGCGTAGAATCAATCAAAGCTTATGAGTACTTGCATTCACCGACGATTTCGTTTTGTCCATGTGCCATTCAAGTCGAAAACTCTTCGTTTGTGAGGAGCTTCATCATCGTCTGAATCCAAAACGGGCCGACCTGAACGAGCTGTGCGCAATGCAGAGAAATTAAGATTTGAATGACTCTGAGGAACTTGCTGTACATCGTCCATATGGATAGGGTCTCCATTCCCGCCTGATGAGTGTTGAAACGAGTCTGCCACGAACTCAGGGTCATAAATCGTTAGTTTTTCTTTGCAATATTGAAGGACATAGTCACTAGAAACACCGTTACATTCAATCAGTTCTGCGATTTCTTTCAAAGCCTGTGCATAACCAGCTTTTTGGGAACGAAGTACCTCTGCAGTGGAAGCTTGGTACAACTGTGTAACGCTTAATGCTGTTTGTTTGAAATGAGATAATAAATTTTCTTGCCCAGACATTCCTATTAAAAGGTGCGACTTCCAGTTCGCATACCCTGAATATCCGGTAATTTAATTGATTTGAAGAAGGCAGGTTTTGTGAAAGGGTTACTGATTCCCCACGCAAATTGCGAAGTAGAACGCACTGTACAAAAACCGAACGTTTTCAAAGTCTTGTTGCTTATATTGTAAACAAAGCATCTATAAAAATGAAAATGAAGAATACTAAACAGATTATGAATGACATTGTCACAAAATTTAACAGACGTCAATGAGCACTTATAGTTGTAGAAAAAACCACATTGGGAGGAATTTCTCGATGAACGAACAATTAGCTCCTTTGCTGCAATAGAAAACAAATGTTTTGATGTACCAAATTCAACTCGTAATTGGATTTTTCAGTCTTTTACGAAACCAATTGAAGGATTGATTTAAACTTTGGTAAATTTTTACTTCTGATATTGTAGAAGAAACAAAAATAAAAACACCCTTCCATATGAATACTGGATCACCGAAACGAAATTAGGGTAATTGTACATTATTGAGACAATGTGTATAACAAGGCATTTCATCTTGTTCAACTGAGTTCATTCATACATGTCCAACTTAATATGTATTTTACTGCTTGACTGTTCCCTTTGAGATCATATTACTGGTAGAGAATTTGAAGAAAAACCGGTGTCTACACTAGGAAATCTTATGCAGAAGCGATTCTAAAGATTTTAATTTAAACTTTAATAGTATTTTTTGGCCTGCTTTAATCCACAAAGGATTACTACAATATGACCGATCTCATCAACTACAGAAAAAAACTTGTTTTCGGGTGGACACCTAATGGTAAAGCATTATCGCCGAACACATACATATAGAAATTCAGCTTACGATAATAACAACTACGACTTGATATGGAAACTCTATTACAAGAAAATTTGGTGTAGCATACCAGCCCTACCCTAAATTCCCCGAAAACACAGTCACATCACATATAGAACATTTTTGTACTAAATTTACTTTTCCTTCAAGACATCACGACCAGTCAACATGCCAGAACAACTTGTGCTCCGTGCAACTCTCGAAGGTCACTCTGGATGGGTTACTTCCCTCTCCACTGCCCCTGAGAACCCTGATATTCTTCTTTCCGGTTCTCGTGACAAGTCCATCATCTTGGTAAGTATTACTACGGCGGCTGTGTTCATATTGTGACGGTGAAACAGAAAACAAACTCATAAATTTTTCGAACGATTAGCAGTTTCGCCAGCTTTCTTGGTAAAACGACCTTTATACTAATATTACCCGTTTTAGTGGAACTTGGTCCGTGATGATATGAACTATGGTATCGCCCAGAGACGTTTGACCGGCCACAGTCACTTCGTTTCCGACTGTGCTCTTTCCTTCGACAGTCACTATGCCTTGTCTGCCTCCTGGGATAAGACCATCCGTTTGTGGGATCTTGAAAAGGGTGAATGCACCCACCAATTCGTTGGTCACAACAGTGATGTCTTGTCCGTTTCCATCTCCCCTGACAACCGCCAGGTTGTTTCTGGTTCTCGTGACAAGACCATCAAGATCTGGAACATCATTGGTAACTGCAAGTACACCATCACCGACGGTGGTCATTCTGACTGGGTTTCTTGCGTTCGCTTCTCTCCTAACCCTGATAACCTCACCTTCGTCTCTGCTGGTTGGGACAAGGCTGTTAAGGTAAGCTCACTATTTTTATCGCATTTACTATTAAGAGTCTTAAAAACGTCTTTTGGGTAGATGATGCTTTAGACTATATTTGCTACTTCGGAGGTCCTTCACGGGCTCGATGAGACAAAACAATCACCATAGCTACTGATCCCAATTGACAAGTTTTATTGCTTCAACGGTTTTGCGATTTTATTAATTCTTTTTCATTCGCTTTTCTAACTCATATATAGGTTTGGGACTTGGAGTCTTTCTCTCTCCGTACTTCTCACTACGGCCATACCGGCTATGTTTCTGCCGTCACTATCTCCCCTGATGGCTCTCTTTGCGCCTCCGGTGGTAGAGACGGTACTTTGATGCTCTGGGATCTTAACGAGTCCACTCACCTCTACTCTTTGGAAGCTAAGGCTAACATCAATGCTCTTGTCTTCTCTCCCAACCGCTACTGGCTTTGCGCTGCTACTGGCTCTTCTATCCGTATCTTCGATTTGGAAACTCAAGAGAAGGTTGATGAACTTACTGTCGACTTCGTTGGCGTCGGTAAGAAGAGCTCTGAGCCCGAGTGTGTTTCTCTTACCTGGTCCCCTGATGGCCAAACTTTGTTCTCTGGCTGGACCGACAATGTTATTCGTGTTTGGCAAGTTACCAAGTAAAAATAAGATCCTAATTGTTGTCCCATTTGGCGAAAATAAATAATGTTAGTGGTTATAGGAAGGATCATTTTAAGTATGAATCGATTTAGATTCCACCATTTATATATTTAGCGGTTTGTTTTTGGTTTTAAAAAAGTATTGTCTGTGTTTCATGTAAATTTCTTTGGTGCTTGCAAGTAGATGCGGAACAAGTATGGGGAAATATAAATAATGACTGATCTCAAGATTGTTCAGTTAAGGACAAGGTGTATTTCGTATTTTTGTATTTCGTTTGTTTTTATTCAATAAAAGAGTTGCTTCGGCCGGGAATCGAACCCGGGTCGCTTCGATGGCAACGAAGCATTATACCACTAAACCACCAAAGCATAATTAATTTAAATAAGACTCTAATAAGTTGCATACGTACGCTGCCAAAGCGAATGAATTCTTGTGCAGTCTCAAGAGTTGCTAGCTTTTACTGAAAACACTCGAACAGTTACTGATCAGAAAAAAGGAGTAACAAAAAGAGGAGCCTACAACACCCCGGATTCCCATGTTGTCTCTAACCATAGTACTAACGAGGCCCTCAGACGCTTAATTGCAGTGATCGGACGGAAACTGGTGTTTTCGCCTAGGTATGGCCGTAGACGTTCAGCTTAAAAAGCTTTTATATTCTTTTATATGATATGAGTGCTATATTGTTGGCTTTTAGTTTCATTTATTTATCAATCAATTTTATTCAAGCCGCACAAATCCACTTGCGACGCGGTATTGATGATAGCCCTGTATGGCAAACTATTTATGACTGCCTGTCTAGGCACTTTGACGGTAAAGCAATTGTGGACAGGATTTTGATCAATCGTGACAAAGAGTACACCGTGTGGGCGGACGTTGGCAATAATGTTGAACATACATTTGACGAAAGTATTGCAGATGCAATAACAAAGTGTGTCAGTCTACAACACCCAAACATTACTGTCAACTTGAGGTCCCACAATCAGTTTGCTGTGAGAGGTTCAAGGTATACTGAACACGTCGTAGATGATTTCTATGATTTCTTCGGGCATGGGTATCCTGCGGACTACACTCCTGGTAATTCCAGTGATGAGGATGATGATGAAGTACTTCATGATGACTATGTCGGCTTGGAGAGAAGAGGGATCTTCCTGATTTAAGAGGTAGACCTCGTCAGTATCGCAATTCTCTCACAGTGGCTTGGTATGGTCATGGCGGGGCAACCAATCTCATCAGCAGTTCAGTTGAAACTAAAACCACATTACAATGTGGGTTATGCTATAGCATACCTGGCAAGATCGCGGACAGCTTTGTATTTTGAACTTAAAAATCATACTCATGTTACAATTCCTCATTGACCTTTAGAGTCAAAACCCAGGTTCAACTCGGCCCTGCTTAACTTTGATGCTCTTTGAATTACTCACAGGAGGATCATCTTTTTTTAGTCGATAAAAAAAAAATGGAAAAGATCTTTTTTCAATTGATCCCGCAGCCCCTACATTGAAACAATGCGAAAAGGAACCTTGTTACTTGTCATTGTTAGACTAGTCTTGACCGAAAAGTTGCGTAAGCGATGGGAAATCTTTTAGTGAATTTTGGAGTCAACATTATTTATTGTCTTCATCCTTGTAATTGAAGGTTTTTTGACTTTCTCTGAAAAATTGGGATTTTTCTGTGCTAATTTCCTTTCCTTTTTTTTTTTTTCTGCGATTTGTGAGCATTTGTAGAATTTTTTCTTCATTACGGATCAATAGCTTTTTTCACTCTGTTTTGCAAAGTCAATTATATTAGAAATGGCCGAAGAGAAGCTGAAATTGGATTCAAGCGATTTTACTGCGCACAATCAGTCGAATGTTTACAATGTTGATTTAGAGAAGGGTCTTTGTTTGGATACACAACAGGACATCAACAAATCGTCCTATTCAACTTCCTTGAAATGCAACAATAGAAAGAAAACGATCATGAATGAATCACAAAACTTCATCGCCTTGATAAAGAAATATCATGAGGAAATTTTAAAACAACTTTCCCTTCGCTTTCCTGATAATGTTGTCATTAAAGATCGAAACTGCCATCTAACAGTAATATTATTTTATTCATTGATGTGTACATTAGCAATTTCAAACAGTTTCGAACTTCTTTCTTGGCTGGAATACAGTTGGACCCTTCTTGGACCTTTGCTTATGATATGGGCAACCTTGTATGCTCTATTTTATTGTAAGTGAAGCATTTTTGATAATTAGAAAAAAAAAAAAGTTGCGGTTCGTTTGCTAACAAAAAGTAGTCCTTTCTTCACTCGCTGTCGTAGTAGTAAGAACTGCTGCACAGGTTATAATGTACATACTTATAATCGGAGGTGCTTTCATTGGTGCTCTAATTATAGGTGTTGGTGCTTTGATTGGAGCTGCTGGAGTTTTTCTCATTGGTCTTTTGTGCTGGGGATTTTATAACATTCTTGTTTTTTGCCTTGGAATGGAATTTGAGTGCTCAGCTGAAAACACTGGCTCGTCTACTCTTCCTAGATATTTAGCAAAAGGATGATGTACTAGCTCCTCCGCCGACAACTACGAACGAAGAAATAGAGCTGCAAAGTAATCCTACCACTCAAAGTTAATGCTAATTTGTTTTCTGTTTTTCTCATAATTCTCAACTCTTCTGCTTAAAGGTAGAAATTTGCTTTCAGTGCTTTATTTATTTATGAAATGGTGCTTCTTTCGTATAGGCTCAACTTAGAAGCAAAATTTTTTAATTAAATCACGAATGTCAAGCCCGATCGAGCTAATTTATATATTCATTTCATGTTTATGCTCTCTGTTCATATATACTCATCAGTCTATAGTCAGAATCTTCAGCTAGAAGATTCGACTGGTCTGGCTAAATAATATCGTCACCCATTAAATTAACCCAATAATTCCCTGTAAATACTAGTGTCTCTACCAGTAGCACAACCGCGTCCAATTCGCGCATAAAACAATGTAACTAAAGTTATTTACTCCGCTTGATTATACATTCTTTTACGATGTGAAATAACTACCGCGACAACTACCCCTGTCTATGTAAAGCTTACCTTACTTTAACTTTTTAATAAGCGAAAGTTTCTAGCTGCTGCCAGGTCCATGGAATTTTACTTTGGTTTTTCATGTTTTCTTTTTGTCAATGAGATCCTTATTTAATGATGTTCGCTCAAATCTTTTTTTACATTCATTATGGGTGAAGCTGAAATATGTCAATGTACACAGCTTCCTCCTCTTAATGAGTTATTTTATATATTCATATTCATAAACCTTATTATATGTACTGAAAAAAAGGGAGAAGTAAAAAGTCTGCTTCTCAGGTAATGCTTATCCATTTTATGCTTCAGTCTATTAGGAAAAATAAAAAAAAAAAAAAAAGGCAAGCATTATAGCACATCTTTTTTTCTGTTGCTGGGTTCCTTTAGAGCTTTGTAAACAGAGAACAAGTCAATCTTGATTAGGATTCTCTAATAGTTTAAAATAAATCATTAACCAAACAAGTCCCGTTTAGCTCAATCGGCTTAGAGCGTCCGGCTTTTAACCGGAAGGTTGCGAGTTCGAGTCTCGCAGTGGGAGTTCCTTTTTTGGCTTCAGTTTTGTCGCTTCATGGGTTCGTATTAATATGCTGTATGAATTTAAATTACTCTAGTTTTTATACAAAAGAAGATCAAATATAAATTGTGCAGTGTAATTTGTGAACGGAAAAGGGCTTTCTCAAAGAGCCCTAAAGTACAACAAATGTTCCGCAGAATAAGTAGCGAAACCCATTTCCTTGCTTGAACAAGTATATTTTATGCCTTTTATGTATCTCAATTCTATTCAAAACCGAGTCTATGAAGTGGAAAGCCTTTTACTTACTGAATGTGATTATGTAACTGTAAGCAAGCTAAACCTGTGATTTGACAGCATGATTTGCAGAAGCAGTAACAAAAGCAATGAAGTGTTAAACTCATTAAGAGGTTTACAAAAGCTTGTTTCAATATCTTGATTTTAATTACTTACATTGGCTCTTCAGCGACATATAGCATCGCTTGAAAAACAGCAGCCCTAATAACATATGTTGTTTATTTAACAAGAGTATTAAATTGCTAAACTCAATTCGAAAACAAACTCCAGAAATTTTTATTTTGTTTTTTCTACTTCTATATTACAAAAATCCATTTTGTTTATTTACATGTTGGCGCACAAGTTACCTGATGGGCGTTCCATGTGTCGCGAAAAGGATGCTGGTTGCATTCGTCCCTTATCCATTACCTCTTTCTTGGTGTATCCCTAAACGGAGAGAGTGGTCTACTACAGAATTAAAATAAGATTATTAACTGTTCTAGTGAATAGAAATTGCCAAATGAGCTACAACGATATAGAAAAATTAATCTACTTCAACAATCACTTTCTGTCTGAATTACCAGAACCCCACGCTGTTTTTAACAATTCTTTATGTTTTGAAAACTTTAAAACTTCAAACACACTACCATTTGAAAACCCATCAGACTGTTACTCTCTGCATACTGCTTGGGATAATAATGCAGAATTTCATGCTGAGGCAGGTGGTATCGAAAATTCGCGTGATGCCAGTGGTCCTCTACAGGATGTTAAAGAATATTTGAAAGATGATTTACATGACGGTTCGGAGGCAGAAAATGGAAGAACAAGCAGCAAACTATTAAATCATAATACCATCGAAGAGAATCATTCCGAAACGTCCATGGACAGAGCTCTTCAATCAAACAACTCCATTTATAATATTCTTTCAATTACGCCCTCGAATTCAAAGATCGCCATTGAAAGTCAAGTCGGAAATCGTCCTCATTTTAGTGATTTCCCAACCGCCAAAGAAAATCGATGTCTCTTACTAACAGCTCCCAGTGAAAAACCAGTCAGTGATAGCAATGAATCATGCCCGATCACTATGAAACAAAGAAATGCCTGTACCCGTCATTATCTACCATATACCCCGATTCATCCAATGTTCCCTTCATTTTACTCTCAATTACCTAAGCTTTCTCTGTTCCCCCTTCCCAAATATCCTTTGGAAGAAGATGTCAAATACATCAAGTCCTGTCCCATAGACGATTACTATTTGCCCAGATATACCCGTGGCCAGGGTAAGAAAAAAGAAGGCCTTTGCCCAATTTGTTGTTTCCAGAAGAAAATCGTTTGGCTTCGCACAAAAACTAGCGCATTCTGGTATCACATGAACTTTTTACACGGTATTCATAGTAAAGGAAGACCTTATCATCCGCCCATTGAATTTCGTACAATTCCTGTTCGAAAGGTAAAGAGTATCGTCGGACTACCTGACAGGCGTCAAATCGTTCAGGGGAAATGCCATCAATGCAAACGTTGGATTCGTTGCCAGGGTACGTCTGAAACAAAGATTGCAATCTACAATTATTTGCACAGAATATTCTTTCACATTTTCTTTTGTTTTTTTACCTTTTTATTTTATTTTGCTTATTTACATGACAAAGGCACATTACTGACAATAGCAGGTCGAAAAGATGTCAAAGTAAAAGTTCCTGAGATATTTTGGTGGAAACATGCACACAAATGCCATTCAGTAGACCCGAATAACTTAACTTAAAATTAAAAAATTTTCATGAAACCAAGAAAAAGATGACTGAAATATATGAACAGCTATTGTTTAGTGAATATTTAATTTTTTATATATACTATGAACCTTAAACCCACGATAAACCGAAAATTATCATTTCGTAATAGTACACGAATATATATGAATTTTTTTTATCTCAAAAAATCTAACTAACGTGCTTTCTTCTTCCGATTTGGGCTTGGTAACCTGTCTTGATGGGCTGCACAGAACGAACAGATCCACAAGATTCACAAGTCATAAAGAAAATTCTGTTTTCCTTCGTAAGAATAGTATCTGGAGACTTGCAGGTCTTGCAAGTAACGTATTCAACAATATAACGACGAAGAACGTTTTCCATCTGCTTTTGTTGGAAACGACCTTTAATAATTAAACGAGAAGAACCATCAACACTACCACTAGTACCCAATTCTGCAAACAAAAATTGAATCACATGGTCTAAAGAACGATGCATACGCTTGGCGATATCACTGATGTTTGCAAAATTTGTCTTTTTACCTTCACGGTGAACGGAAGGAGGCACAATAGTATATTTACGCTTTTCACCAGCAAGCTCAGGGTTATTAGTACGGAGGAGGTTGAAGAATCTGTTAAGCAATTCAGGATAGTAATAATCGCGGTCACTCTTCAACCAAGCATGTTCGCCCATGTTTTCAGAGTCAAAGGTCTGCTTGCTAGCATCGGCAGCATCGCCGGTGGAAGAAGCTTCCAACTCCTTATCGAAGGCAGACAAGTCAGAGGATTTCTTCTTCTTTTTCTTCTTCTTCATAGACGCAAAGTCTAATTCACCATTATCATTGAGAACTTCCTCGCCTGTTTCACCTTCGGCATCACCAGAAGACTTCTTTGACTTCTTTTTCTTTTTCATACTGGCAAACATGTCCTTCAACTCGTCAACTTCGCCCTCGGCGACAGGCTCAGTCAATCCTTTGGAATCTTTGCCATCATCATCTTCCTGCTTCTCATCAGAGGATTCGTCGGCAGGAGAGGATTCCTTTTGGTCCGGGGAATTCACTTCATCATCAAAAGCAACCGATTTTTTCGTTTTTTTCTTTTTTTCAGGAAGAGTGCCGTTAAGACCAACCTATCACATTTATCAGTAAGTATGCAGTTCAAAGGATAAATTATTCCAAAAAACAAATCTTTATTTAACAAAATCCATTTTTTTAGCTAGTATTTGACTTACCTGGTCAATTACGGGTTCTTGTTCAGACATGGCTCTTTTCAGAATTCAAAGGCAAGTTTGGATAATATTAGCCATCCTGGTCAAAAACAAAAAGGCTCGAATTTGGAATGAAAAAATACATAAGGCATATTATAATATTCTATTTGTGAATTATATTTATTTTTTCTCTGCGTATTCTGTATCTTCCACAACAAGGGTTATACTTCGACCATCCGTTGCTTTTTCTTTGTTCCTCGGATGCCCAGATATATAAAGGACGCGTCGCTTCACCAAATTGTGATTTCAACGGAACACGTAGAATAACCAGCATGGATTATTGGAATCAAGACAATATTGATTTGGCTCAAGTAGAGTTAGTATTTAAAGAATTGGCGTCTCGCCTTGAACATTTAGGTATTTTTTACAGTTTCTTTAAAACATCTTTTGAACCTTCTTTTATAATGGTAATTGTATAGAAATTAACATTAATTACTAGAAATGGACTCTAGCAATATTCTATTTCGGATTGCTGTAGGATCTCATCCCGACAAATACTGGGAATCCATAGCGTTTATACGCGAATTTTACAAAAACTTAGAGAAAAAGCATAAAACTGAACCACATGAAATACAAAACCAAGTGCGACTGTTGAGTGAAACCAGTTTAATATCCTGCCTTCGTTGGATTCTTCATCGTATTCCAGGAGGTGTAATTACATGGCCTACTTATAAACTTTTCCAAGAAGCAGAAGCAAGGGCTAATTTTCCGAGTTCTGGATTCAATATTTTCATGAAACATGCAACCAAGAATACCCACCATATTCACGTGCTAAAATATTTTTTAAAACTGATGATGAGTCTCTCCGCAAAGATGGCTACTAGCGCACAAGTCCATGAAGGATCATCTTTGGAATTGATAGCCCAAATCGCTAGTATTTGGGCTTTCGAATGGCCTCGCATGTCGTTGCAGGATACACTCGAATACTGGAATAAGTAAGCTTTGAATATTTTTTTTATTGATACAAAAAGCCTCCCTTACGTTTTGCTAACAACAGTAGATGCTCCAATGCTTGCTTTCATCTTCTTCTTTGTTATATCAGAAGCATGGATAAACATGATCAACCAGGGTTTTCCTGCTTGCCATATACCTTGCAAACTCAAGTTCAGAATTGCAAATATCCTCCTCCTGCTACAAATTATCTAAATGAGAAAGCTTCTTTAGTAAGCTTCTCTCTTAGTTCCTATTTTTCAAGGGATCCTTTAGAAGTCATCCAGCTGATTTTTCAAATGCCTGTACCACGTAAGATCTCTTCGTCTTTACCTCGTCGCTTTGAAGACGTGCAGACTAATTGTTTGTCCACCTTGCAGCAAGTTAGCAAGCGTACGTCCTATCATTCCGTATTCTCCATTCAAGAATCGGCATGGTCGAATTTTATCACCAATGGATTTGAGCATCCAATTGCTCCAACTAAGTCCCAAGAAACAGTCTATTCGATATTATCTGGAGAAATTTCACCTTCAGGTTTTCCTCATGTGGCACCGTTAGACCAGGTTTCCTCTTTAGATCAGAACATCGTCAAACAATGTTCTTTTGAAAGTATAACACCTGTCAAAGCTTCAAAAACCCTTTGGTGGCTTTGGGTTGAATCTCGTTGCCCCGAAATTCCTGAATCGAAGCGAACTGCCTTCATGAATTGCACTATGATGCTGGATAAAACGGATAAACTATTGATTTTCGAACAGAGTCTTCCTACTACAAACTTACTAACTCAGCAGGATGATTATCATGCAAAAAGAACAATCTTAAACAAAATTAGGTCCTCTTTTAAACGTGTTATGAAACCGAAAAAGTCTCAGAAAAAAACATCTATGCTTACTAACTCTCCAAGAAGAAGCTGCCAGAGCGTGTTGTATGAAAGTAATCGTGCTGTTTTACTTCATTTGGCCGATCAAATGAACCAATTATCATCAAATGATGTTTACAAGAATGATGTTAAACCATTAAAAGTCATTTCTGAACATGAGGAAGATTGGGACCCTGAAGCAACGGGATACGTGAATACTCTCTTAAATTGGGCAAACCAACGACAGTCCATATACGATGAACCGATTAAACTGTTGTACCCAAACAATATTGATTCTCGTCAATCAAATGACGGAAAGTCTTCGTCTTCGAATTCTTCTAACAAGTATATGTCTTCATCATTAACTGTGACTAGTGATAACTCTTCGATCACTGGAGGTTCTACCTTTTCTTCGATTGAGAGTCAAACAAAAACCACGCCTGCCGGCTGTAAAGTTCAGCCCACTGTCTTACACAGAAACAACAAACCTAAAGGGTTGCCTACTATGCTTGCAAAGAAAATGTCTATCAGCAAACCTCATAGTGTATCAGCTATAAAATCTGAAAAGACTGAAAAGAATATGCGACCACCATTGAAAGATTGGGATTCAGCTGAGACGCTATCACCTATGTTTACCAAAAACAATGGTTCAGCCAGAAGCAGTCCTTTTTCTCTCGATCGTACACTAAGTACACGTGCATAACTTATGAAACATTAAACTGATGTTGTCACAATTAAGGATACCAAAGGAGTATATAATTTGGTTGACTATTGCAAATCTTAATTTATGTATACCGGCGAAATTTAAACTAAAAAATTTTACATTATAATCTAAGAAATATATCTGTTAATCACTATAAATTTTAGGAAAATAGAATTAATATAATAAACAAACTTGATTGAATGGTTTTCTTATAATCAAGTCGAAATTATCGAATTATAAAATGAATAAATAATTTTTGAACAATAATTTGAAAGTAATTTTACACCAACAATATAAAAAAACCAATAAATCAAGTCACTGCTGTTTGGTGTTCGAAACCACCGCGCTTTCTGGTAGGGGCATCAGTATGATGGTACAAAACTTCTGGAGAACGTTGCTCTTCACCAAAACTTGCAATAGAGTGGTCAGTCATACTGTGCCTACGAGTGCTTGGATTTCGAGGAAGTGGGATCTCAGTGACGTTTCCAAGGGCCATTTGATCACTTAAGATTGTTTGGTTTAAACTAGCATTCGTAGGAGGCTGTTCCCCAGTTGAGGTTCCTGCTGTTGTCGGTCGATTCTTAGAGGAGCCACGCTTTGACATCTTAGAACGTCGTGAACCGCGTCCAGCGGTACCGACAGCACTGGCACCACCCATAGTACCTAAGCAATCATAGATAGGGGAATGCCAAGAAGAACCAGAAAGAGCCAATTTCCTTAGGCTTTCGGCTTTCTGTAAATCATGGGAAGGAAGAACGATGCCGCTAAGTATGCTATTCTGTTCGTGAAGAGCGACGCGAACTTGAGTTGGTCCAGAAGCTTTAGAGCGTTGTTGCGCTGCTGTCAATTTAGAATATACAGTCTTACCATATACCTTTGTTCTAGAATCCTGCTCTTCTTTAGGTCTTCGAGATTGCTTTTCCAATTCGTTTTGGGCTTCTTTGTGAATGTCATAGCAATGTCTATCTAGTTGCTCAACAGATCGTTGGATAGAGACTTCCATAGACCTTGCTACGGTTCTTCGGATATAAGTCATCATTGAAGGCTTCAGAATATTCAAAAGAGCTTTGTGTCTTGACTTTCTAACCTTAAGCTTAATGTTATGAACATCCACTTTGACATGGTCTACTCGAAAGAACGAACCAGGAAGGTCGCGATTGGTAGCTTTAGGTATTGCTGACAAGGCAAGATCAACAACCATCCCTTGCTTGTGGATAGCAAGATCAACGATGCCTTGATCAATAAACTTAGGAAATCCTTGTTTACGCCTAATGTAGTAATTGACATTTCTGAGATCAGTCTGGATATGGGCAAGGTGAAGGTGAACTAAGTGATCTTGAATAGAGGAGACATTTCCATAAGGGGAAAATCTCATGAGGTTATTGTTACGAATTTCCGCAATTTTTGGAAGGACGTTAACCGTTTGAAGGTTAAGGTTTTCTAGGACAATGTCAAAAGCAGGTTGCTCGATTTCAAGGCGAGGAATAGGAAAGTACTGAATTCTGGCGAGGATGACGGGTATGCTTAATTGCAAAATCTCATAGACCATATCCTTTTTCAAAGATGTTTCACCACCCTTTCGTTCTACCAGCTGATTATACAATTTCTTGCCATCATTTCCTAATTGTCGATAACTTTTATCAGAAGCTGCGCTGTCTGCAACGGATTTACCTTCAGAGCAGAATTCATCCCAAATTCGCTTATAGCGTCCTTGCAGGAATCCATTTCCGCGATCATAAAGCTCATTATACTCGTCCGTGGCACCCTGGCTGACGGCATAACCTTTTTTCAAAACAAACTTTCTCAGAAAAGCATAACAGTCTCGGAACCATTGCTTAAAATCTTCGTCTTGTTGAGCACTATGATGGAATTTTTTGAAAATGTTAATAAGAGGCGTGAGGGAGTGATTAACAATATTTTCAAGGAGCTCTCGAAGATACCTTATGGCACGCTCGGTATTTTCATTGGTTTCAATTTGCAAATTATCTTGCTTGTCACCAAGCTCATTAACAAATCTTTCAACCAGACCAAAAAGGCTCTGCAAAGGATGTTGATAAGCCCTATCCTGTTGTAATTCGACGACTAAGGACTTCAGCTTATTCATAATTTCTTTCAAGTTGGACTTCGTTTCCTTTTTAACTTCTTCTGTTTGGGGATCATTCAAAATCTTTCTACCCTGTTTTTTTCCTTCCTCTTTGACGTTAGAGGACGAGGGAAGTTGGATGCCATTGACTTTCTTGGTTTGCGGTAACTTTGTGGGTTCTTTCTGGCCAATTTTCCCTTGCTGTGGATCCCACTGGTTGAACTTTTGCTCTGTTAACTTCGAACCTTGGCGACCAAACAGTGCAAGAACATCTCGCAAAATCTCACGCAAGTGGGTGTTGTTAAAAAATAAAAGAAAAAATTGTTTAAGGTCTTCACGATTAAAGTCTTGACCTTCCATATTTTGACTCATGTCGTTCCAAACATTTTGTGCGTTGGTTGATGCACTGGATTGCGTCAACTCATAAACAGCATTTTGCAAAAGATCACCTCGGTTCTTTCTTTCCAACATCAAATATGTATCATCTACCAGCTCTGCAAACTGGCCAAAGAAGCTCCGGGCATCTTTGGACATGTTTCGTTTTACGTCCTGAGCAATTGATTGAGAGCCCTCTGAGATAGTTGAAAATAAGCCACCTAATTGCTGGTTATTCGGCATTTTGCCCACCGTTAGCGCCTCCCAAAGGGCAAACAACTGTAGCCCTTCTTGCATATGCTCATTTTGCACGTCTTCGTTTGTCGGATAAGCTACTGTCATAGTCTAATATGTTCCTAAGTAAAATGCCTTTCCTTAAATTGAAGAGTTGTTCCCTGGATCTTTGACAGCCTTATTTCTTCAAGTGTTTCTTTTACGATTATAATATGTTCCACCCAAAAGGTTTTTCTTCAGTCTTAATTAACTTCTCTTATATCTAAGCTTTTCAACTTTGAATCAATTATAAGAACTTAAATAAAAAAAATCTACCTGGGCCTCCTTTCCTGTTTATGTACTTTGTTTTTCGTTACGTTTGTAATGACTCACAGTGAAATGATAATGACGTTCCTTCCTGTGCAATATGACCTATGATTCTGTCCTTTGTTTCCAGCATTCTATAAAAAAACATTATACTCGCAATATGATGATTTCATAACATCGGTATAACAAAACGGCGAAGAAACTTTTATTGTCGCATCTCCAATGTTGTAAGAAAGATGACGTTGAGAATCATTGTTCCTTTTCCCTTCGTTTATTGAAGACTTTGATCTGTAATTAAACAACCTATCGGTATAATGCATTCTGGGGTACTTCGCTTCCTGAGGAACATTAAATTGCGCTAATAAACACGATTCTGTTTTTGCGCATAAACCAAGTTTTCTCGTCATTCTAATGGATCTTTTATTTTCCTTTCTCTCAACTTTTGATTAAAAAACCGAGTGCTTTGGAACGATCTTACGAGACTTGTATCGTTACATGCTAAATATGAATTAATAAGTCATCTCATTGCTGGTTTGAACAAGAAATAAGGAAATAAAATTAATCAAAGTGGAATCGTCCAGCGATATAAATAATCATAATATCATGCATGCATAAAATAAACACAAGAATAAAGCATCAACTATATAAAAAAAAAATTTAAAAGGTCGCATTCTATTTCAATCCATATACCGTTCCTCCAAGCGACAGACAACCTAGGCCTTTTAAATTATATCTTCTGTTGTCATTATTTCTTTCTTTTTTTTTTTTAATAATGATGCACCTGAAACTTCAAGCGAATATCGACAAAATTAGTACTGTTCCAAGGATTCCTTCATGGTCTATTGGGGAATGTTTCCCTGAATACTAGATGTCGCTTCCTCTTGTTTAACCGAATCAGAAGGAATCATCTGCGGGTACAATGAAGTGCTTTGCTCTCCTTCATCTTTAATCCCAGTGTTCTCTGGTACTGTAGAAGCGCTAGGTATCCTAGGCGTCTGCAGATGCAGCTGCGGAGCTCTTCCAGAAAACCTGGTTTGAATTTTCGGATACTCAAACGGATATTCTAAAGGAATTTTTGCTAAATTATTTTCTCCTTCCACAACTCCAACACCTGATTCCATTCCATACGTCGAGTTTTCCATGCCTGTACCCGCAGGCAATGTATCCACTGGCGAACTATGTTGCATAAAGAACCCATTTTCAGGGAATTGGAAAGTATCAGAGGAATTAACCTCTCTCTTTTCTTCTCTTTCGTTCCTTGTTTCAGCGTTCATATATATAACAGGATTTAACTGAGAAAAACTTCCTCTAGAAAATGGATGCATTTCAGATGGTGCTGATAATGGAAATGATACATTTGAATTGGTTTCAAAAGGCCTAGAAGGCTCAATAGCGCTTCGTACATTCTCGGATGGAAACGAAGAATCATTAAAGGACATATCTTTTTGTGTTCTTTCGGAAGTATCCGCTTTCGGTGATCTCTGAAAATGCAATTCTTGCATTTCTTTTTCAAGAATTACATTTTTCTTGTTTTCCTCTTCTTCGTTCAATATCATACTATGCTCATCCTTGGTTATTCCATGTTCCTGTTCTTGATAGTTTGAGGGGGGATTTAAGCTTTTTTGCAGTTTAATCACAGATCCCAATTCTGGTGAAGCTTCCCGAATCCGGTTTAGCATTAAAAATATACTGCCGGCGGGCCCAATTAAAGAATGAGATAGCACTTCAGAGGCTTGGTTTCCTTCGGTAAAATCAGTACAGTTTTCCTGTCCCTCTGTAGTTATCATATGAAAAACAGGAGGAATTGTCAACTGAATGTCAACTTGAAGCCAAGATTCATTTGGAGCAGGTCTTTCTCGAGCAGGAACCGCAACGTTCAGCTCACTCAACAAAGGATCATCGACACGGGTCACATGTATAGATTCAATTACAAAAAATGAGTACTCTATACGGTATTGGATTCCTTCATATTGTATCAGGTATGCAAACAGTCGCTTGGGAGGCGAGTAAAAACACATCAAATCTTGGGGAGCTAAACGCAATCGTTTCCATAAACCAATAATCAGAAGAGCGCATGAAAAATAATAAAATTCAGAGGAATTACTATTGGAAAAAGTTGACTGGTGGCCTTGAATGGATTGCGAAGGAAATAAGCGAGTAGAAGAATATCTTCTTGTCGTAGGCGTAGGGGATACCTTGTTGATCATATTTGGGTTATTATACTGACTTCCTTGTGGAAAACCCTGGTCGAAGATACCAGTCGCATAAGCCGAAGGAAGGCTTGCTGAAACTGGTGATAAAGATGGGAAAGAAGAGGAAGGATATTTCGAAATATTTTTTTTAGCGGCATCAGGAAGAGATGATGGATTCTTATTTGGCGGGTAGGAAATTGAATATCTTTGCTGAAAACGAGGGTCGTTGCTTCCCGGGAATGCATATTTGTATGGAGGATTTACCATGGTGTGTTGCAAGGTAGGATTTTCTAATGAAGAGGGAGCAGGTTTAAATGATGATTGAGGTGAGGAATACGTATTCCAACATTTCCTACTTATTTTTGGGAGCAACGTTGTCATGAATGGTAAAGGTCGACCGTACGTTAAACCGGAGCTGGATTCGGGATTGTTTTCAGAACTGGATTGTACTTCACGCGCAAAGGCCTGGGAAACTTGTTGATTTAAATTATCTAGTTCCTTTTGTTCACGCAACAGCCTCTGACGTTCTTCTTCTTGACGTCTGGATATTAACTTTGCTTTTGCTCGACGGTTCTGAAACCAAATAGTAACACTTCGTTCAGGAAGGTTAAGTTCTCGGGAAATCTCTTCTCGAATAGAAGGAGGCGGATTTGCATCCTTCGCAAACTGACGTAAAAGATAGTTTAATTGTTCAGGGACCAGCCTTTGTTTTTTGCCTTTTGAGATTGGAGAGTTAAGGGACGGTTCAAAAGACAATTCCTTTTCTGGAATAATTGAACTAGATACTGGTAGCCTTGGTTCAGCTTCTTCTGGTAGACTCGTATCTGCAAACGTCTGATTAATTTTAGACGATTCCAAGGGTTTGTCGATATTTGAATAGACTTCGGTATCGAGTGTAACAGTTGGAGCTTCCTGTTGTGGAATTTCTTTTAGATCTAGTCCACGTAGCATTGATTCCTTTGGAAATCCTTGCGCATTTGGAAGATTGGATGATTCTTGACTGGAGAAGGTCGGTATAGAAGAGTTGCTTGGCTGAGTTCCAGCATGATTGTTGTAAGAAGGAGCAAAAAGGAAATCTATATCGTATTGCTTCATGGAAGAATCTGCTTGTTTTTGAATGGGAAGAATGGAATTTTCGGCGACTTTGGCTTCCATTCCTTCATCCATTTGGGAACGATTAGGTTGCTGAAAATATTGCTGCATGACAACCAGCAGAAGAAAAAGAAAAGGAACTGAAGAAACAATAATTCTCAACTAAATAAATGCTTTTCGTCTTCTTGGTATATCGAATTATTGAATACTAATGGGTGCGATATAAGCATACAAATTTGATTCCTTCGATAAGATTAAAGAAAAATAAGGCATAAAGTCGATGTTTTATAGAACAGGCTTCTTTCCTATCCAAACCACTGTAATACGCGATTCAAGGAATTTCTTTTATAACTAAAACCGAACTCGCTAGGTTGAATATTACAACCTAAAACGCAGGCAAATACAAATCACTTAACCAAAAAGAGAAAGAATTAGGAATTGATCTTTTGACAGGCCTGTGGCACCTTCCAAAACAGCCAATTCAACGAATTGCTATATCCAAATCTAGATTAACGTTCAAATAATTCTATAACGAGAGTTTGTATCTAGGTTGCTTTGAATATTTCCTCTGTTCTTATAAATATGCAATGCTAATAAACGTCGCAACTTAAGGATTTCAAATGACCTTAAGCAAGTCAATGATTTCTTGGGCAAACTCTTCTTCAAAGCCAAGGGAATAGAGACCGTTAGACGGGTTTCATGAGGCAATTGAAATTTTTAACAATGCATGCGATGGGCAGATCCTTTTCGTCGAAATGAGAAACCTGGCTTTTTGTACTGAAGCATCATCCTCACAGTAAGGATACAGATTTCATAAAATGACATGAATATGACGCCCTTGGAGTTTGCTAGACTTCCGATAACTTTGTATAATAATATCACTAAAAAACACCGCCCAATATATTTTAACGAGGTTACTGTTAAAAGGACACTGAATACTTTCATCAAGTTTTGCAGTTCAAATTGTATATTTCCGAGAGTATCTAATGCTAATATGTATTATTACATCGAGGCATTTATACCTACTAGTAAATACCAAAATTAGACAAAAAACAGCTTTACGTCGATAAATGAAGTAGTTAAAATAATCAATTGATGCAAAAGAAACGTTTAGGAAAGGTAGTAATACCGGATTTTTGTTTATACGTCAAAAATAAAAGATTTCAATCTTTTAAGTAGCGGTGTAATAAGTTTTCACTCATTATTCATTTTATGCTCTTCAGCCGAAGTTATTCTTACTAGCCTTACTTTCATATACATATACGAGGTTTCGTTAAAAACTTGCTTTATAGAGAATAGATGATATCCACAACCAAAGTTTTATTTTATATATCAAGAAATATTTTGCCAAAAACTCTATCATCTACCAGGAAATTTTTCTACAGAAAATTGTCTGCTGTATCAGTATTAACGTTTAACATTTAGTATGAGAGTTTTTCATTAGTCAAAAAGCATCGGTTTATTTCATATATGTATTGATGCCTTTAAATAAAGATAACAACATCCCTTCAAATGATCGAAAAAGACTCACAAACTTAGAAGCGAAGGTCCCATCCAATTTGAGGTCCCAAAGTAGGCAATTGCTCAGCAACGCTTTCAACGTCTTTATCACCACGACCAGAAACACAGATCACGATATCCTTGTCTTTAGGAAGACTCTTTGCCAATTCCATACCACCATAAATAGCATGAGAAGATTCCAAGGCGGGAATAATACCTTCGCAATGGCATAGAGCACGGAAACCTTCGAGGCATTGAGCATCTGTAACTGCGATGAAATCGCCACGTTTGGTTTCTTTCAATTCAGATAACTCGGGACCAACGCCAGGATAGTCCAGACCAGCGGAGATAGAATGGGTATCTTGGATTTGTCCATCTTCGCGCTGTAAGACATAGGTACGAACACCATGGAATACACCAATTTTACCCATAGATAATGTAGCACTATGCTTGTCTGTTTCAACACCAGAGCCACCAGCTTCACACCCCAAAAGCTGCACCGATTTGTCTTCCTTAAAAGGAGAAAACATACCAATGGAGTTGGATCCGCCTCCAACGCAAGCCACGACGGCGTCAGGAAGCTTGTTACGCTTTTCCTTTAGTTGTGCTTTGGTTTCCTTGCCAATTACAGTTTGGAATGTCTTAACAATAGTAGGGAAAGGATGAGGTCCGATAGCAGATCCAATCAAATAATGAGTAGTATCAATTTGTTCAACCCAAGCTCTAAGAGCTTCGTTTACAGCGTCACGAAGAGTTTGAGTACCGGAAGTGACAGGAATAACCTCCGCACCCAATATACGGATACGGAAAACATTTAGAGATTGACGACGGCAGTCTTCAGCTCCCATATAAATTGTGCACTTCATGCCAAGCTTAGCAGCAGCGATAGCAGTAGCAACACCGTGTTGTCCAGCACCTGTTTCAGCAATAACACGGTTCTTACCAAGACGTTTGGCAATCAAAATTTGACCAATAGAGTTGTTAATCTTGTGAGAACCACCATGATTCAAATCTTCACGCTTCAACCAAATGTGAGCACCACCGCAGTATTCTGTAAGACGCTTGGCATAATCAAGAGAACTGGGACGACCCATATACTCATAGTAAGAGCGGAACTCTTCCCAAAACTTCTCTTCATTTATGGCTTTGTAAAAGGCGCTTTCAAGTTCAATCAAACATTGAGTCAAAGCTTCTGGAACGAACATACCTCCGAAAGAACCGAAAGTTTGAGGAAGGTACATTTCGTTAGCAGGTTCAAGGATTGCGGCAGGAGGAGCAGTATTAACGGCAGCATCAGATGCAAAGCGTTTAGCAGGAGGAGCAGAGGTATCTTGTTGGGTCAAATATTGACAGTATTCCTTAGCATCGTTAGCAGCCTGACCGGATTCAGCCTTAAAAATCAAATCAATAATTTTACTACCGACGACAACTCCATCAGCAACGCTACCCACATATCGGAAATGTTCGTTGGTGTTTACACCAAATCCAACAGCCAACGGTGTATCTCCAGCATATTTGCGAATGCGATCGCACAAATCGGGCAAAGCACTATTGATACTACCAGTAGAAGAAGAGCCAGTGCTACCCATACGGGAGACGACGTATATGAAAGAATCTGCAATAGAAGCCAAAACCTTCATACGCTTATCAGTGGTAGAGGGAGCTACAAGGGGGACAAAGCTAAGTCCTTCTTTAGCGCACTCAGCTCTAAAACCAACAGCTTCCTCAGGAGGTAAGTCAACAATAATAAAGCCATTAGCGCCAACCTCTTTAGTCTTTTGAATGGTTTTAGTATCACCATAATTATAGATAGGGTTGTAATAACCCATTAAAATGATAGGAATGGTAACACCAGCTTCACGAGCACGCTTGACGGTATCAAAGACGGTCATTAAACTAACTTTATTTTTAAGAGCCACCTCATTACCCTTGCAAATGGTGGGTCCATCTGCGACTGCGTCAGAAAAAGGAACACCCAGCTCAATGACTCCAGCGCCTCCAGCTTGAAGACCCTTCATAATATCAATTGTTTCATCAACACTTGGGAATCCACAAGTAATAAATGTTACCAAAACATTTCTATTCTCCTTTCTAGCTTGTAAAAAGGTATTCCTCAATTGTTCTGCCATTGTGCTTGTCTATACTGTACTTAATGGTGTTGGCAAAGAGATGGTTATAAACTTAGGATCGGGAGATCGAAACTGATTTTTTTTTTGACCAAGGTCATATCTTTTATATATCTATTAAAAAAATTTAAGCTTTAAAGATATTTTCTAGCAATAGTTTAACTCTTTTGGGAAGATTACAGAAATTGAAAAGATCATTACTTGAATTTAGAAACACGCCTCTCGTTTAGAGATATATCATGAAATACTTGCTTTCTTTTAACTAAATTGCCAAAAATATTATAATTTTTGTGTCCTATTTATCAAGCCATAATTTCCAACAAAAGTTGTCGTCAAGGAGAAAAGTTTACTAGCTCAGAGCATAGTATTCCTCAAAAAATGTCAACGAACAGCTCATTTTAATCTTTGTAACCTCCTTTCTGCTAAATAATTTCAACCCAATAAACATTTAAAGAAATTGAAGTTAATATGGGGGTAGCAGACAAATAGGTTTCTTGGCAAGATTTAGAATTTTTCAACATGTGGGTGACAAACATTTACTAAAAGCTTGAATATAGATCTTGCATGTACATAGGATTTTTCACAAAAACTCACAAACTCAGTTCAAAATGTATAATTCCAATGTCAAATTTTTAGTAGAACATAGCAAACGTCCGCAAGTTCCAAGTACACAGTTAAAAGTTAACAGAGTTTGACTGTAGTCCAAATATCCAATATCTGCATAACTCTTGACTGAAGGTGAAAGCCATCAATAAGTACGGGGGATCACACAATATGGAAATATATATATTCCTTGTCTTATTTACTTTAGAAAAGCTTAAGACTGCCTGTAACTTCATTAATTACGCTCACCGGACCTGGACCAATTCCTAGAACGGTTGCGGACCCAGAGGCAATTTGAGTACGTCCAGCATCATGAACAATTCTGGCAGAAAGGCCTAGAGACATAGCTTGAGCTTGAAGAATTTGAAGCTGTTCTTCCGATTGTCCCTGCAATGTAATCTTGGCTTGACCAGCTACCTCCCATAGTTGTAATAATTCGGGATCTGTAGCTGCTGCAAGCTTGTAACACGCTAAGGCTGCATGAGCACACTGAGCAGCTATCTTCCCCTTCGTCATGCCCAAATCTGTGCGGACGACAAGCACCATTTTAGTTTGTCCCTCAGCCAAGGCCAAAGCAGCAAGGCTGCTTTTTCCTTTCAGAATTGCGGCCAATTCTGCTTCAGAATCTTCCTCCTCTGTAAAACTTTCTTCGCCTTCACTAGTGTCTTCCTCCTTTCCTGACAAAACATTGGTTTTTTCGCTTTTTGAGGTAGATTCTTCTGTTAAAGCTTTTCCAGCTCCAATTCTAAATTTTTGATAGGCATTTTTCCAGCCTAGAAGGAACCCACAAGAAGTGCCTACAAGCACGCCTGTTGTGAAATATGAAAGGGCAGAAGCAGTAAAAGAATTTTTTACTGAATTTATCAACGACATAGGTATCCTTAAGTTAAAATACTAGGGCCCGATATTGGCACGAACGCTTAAATATGTTTATATAGAATTGGTGGGAAGTAAGGGTAGATGAAGATGGTAATCTTGAGTATAGAATATTAAAACATGTCCCATAAAGAAGAGGACCATGGACAAAAAACGAAACTCCTTCTTTAAAAATTGAAATAGTTGATTAGACACTGTAAAAATAGCGGTAAGCTTTTGAATTTTTAAAAAGCACTATGGAGGGAATTTCACGTAATTTTAACTAAATTCTAAAATAGATTAAAACGAAGGTATCCAAAAACTTCATTATGGGTTACAGTCATTACGGATCATGTCAGGAATGGAAAAATAGGTAATCGCGCCTATACCTCATATCGATGTTTATTCCAGTCGTTTCTTATTTTATTGGTACCTCCTGCGCTTTGGAAAAGAATCACGCCTGTCATAACCCAAACCTGCTGTACGAGAAGAACGAGATCCTGACATTCTCGAAGACAACGAGGAGCCCCCGGGAGGAGGACCACCGCGAAAACCACGATAGCCACCACGAAAACCAGTATCCCCTCTATATCTTGAGCTCCGTTCACGAGGGGGACGCTCTTTAGTATAATGTCTACCGCCTAAACCACCGCCTAATTTTCGAGGCAACCAACCTTTCACAGTCCGACCACGTTCAACATCAACGACAATCCTTCTTCCTTGTAATATTAACCCCTCAGCAGCGCGATAAGCAGCCTTCAGGTCACGTTCTCGTTCAAATACTACAAAGGCATACCCCCTTGACTTACCAGTGGCTTTGTCTCTGACGACGCGAATTCTCTCAATTGGACCATAATGTATAAATTCTTTTTCAATGTCTCCTTCCCTGGTATCATAGTTTAATCTTCCTAAAAACATAGTTTTATAAGGATCACCAATAACATGTCGGTCATCATCAGGTTTCCATTGTCGTATCATGGACCGTAATTTCTCACGTTGTTCTAATTTCTTTTCTTCTTTACGACGAACTCTTCTCTCTTCAAGAGTTTCCGTAGGCTGATAATTATCATTGTATGATTTTGCTAATTGTAAATATTTTGCTACTCCAGAAAGGTGAGGAGTAGACCGTTTTTCTGGCGCAGCATCTGAAGGCGGTAAGTACCTTAAAGGAGGCCTAGGAGCAAACAATGCCAATACCGTTGATGGTAACTTTTCGGTCATTTTTCCAACATTCCCTTGATTTTGCTGATAGCAAGCTTACAGTATGTATCTTCTTAATACCTCGGCCATCTACTATTATATTATACTATCAAATATTTATAATATAACAAATTCAAAATGACTAGATTATTTAACAATTAATTGAATAATCCAAGGAACCTGCAATATATTTATTCTTTTTGATTATACAAATCTCGCATAGTAATCCTCTCATTCTACAAACAACCTCTTACTAGATAATCACTAAATAGCCTCATCAATTATAATTAATTCATGCAATACATTCACAATCAAAATATATACACCTCTATACCACTTCTGTATAACTTTCAACAGGATTAAGCTTAAGAGCGTAACTAAACTTTTCTTTGGTTCCTTACTACGCTTTGTAGATAAGAAAGGAAGTATTCATCGGATGACTTTTCAACAGTCTGCTTGCTTTTGTCATCAACTTCTGAAGATGGAGCCCGCTTGAGGATCTTTACAGAACCAGGGAAGGTACCTGGTGTAGTTGGTTCTTGAATTGAATGATCAGCTTTTGCTGTAAGCTGTATGGGCACCTCAGTTGATGTATTAGCCATAGGCTGGACTGAACTACCCAGTAAAACGTTCTTCAGGGCTTCCGTCTTTTTTTTCCTTGTAGCATCATTATCTTCAGCTTCGCTCTTGGCGTCCAACTGAACACCTCTACTTTTTGGTTTCGGTGATGCTTTTGTTTCTAAAGGTTGGGCTCCGTTTAACTCGTTATTAGTAATGGCTGATGAAGATAAGTTCGAAGGTAGAGAGAAGGTTGATGGGTTCAACAACGCTTCAAGCAGCTGTTCAGAATGAGACGAAGGTTGAGTAGAGAGCTTGGAAACAGCAGGTTTATTTATCGTCTCAGCCTTTTCAGGGACATTGACATTATTGTCGGGCTTAGGAGTGCTTAGTAAAACGTTGACCAGCTTTTGAGAAGAACCATCTCGAGAAGTTGGAAAAGAATGAGCCGGTTTAGGAGAAGAAATCATATCTAAAAGTTTCCTAGAGGAAGCGTCATTCTGTGATCGATTTAAAGAAGATTCATCGTGAAAGCTTTTCATTTTTTGCCGATGTTGTATAGTAGGAAACGGATCAATCATTTGATTCGTATACGCAGGAATCTGCATGTTCAAGCTTGGGTGAGTATCATTATAAACTTCACGCTTTTGTTCAGGCTTGAAACTCTGAACAGATGTAGTAGTTGGCGGATGGAAAACCTCATGATAAACTGTTTTGGGAGAAGGAAGATCCATAGGAGAAGGCATAGTTGCTTCAGGACTTGAGTTTTCCCTGTTTTGAACATAAGGGCTAGAGTAGTCCGGAAATGGCGGTGGAGGGGGAGGATGGCTGAAAGAAGTCGGGAATTGTAGATTGGAAGCGACATTGGGCGGAGGAGGACCGGTAGCAGCGACCCTGGGGAAAGATTCAGAAGGGTTGTGTGGGTCTAAACCAAGATATGCAAATGGATCAAATCCGTAAAGAGAGGGTCCGTTTGGCCAAGAATGATCTAGTTGTCGAGGGGGCTGTTGGGGGAGAGATGAGACTGGTAAGATTGGAAGGGACTGTTTAGGCTCTAAATTTCCATTGAGTAAAGTAAGTATTTTTTGTTTAATGTCAACTGGAGGAATTTGAGGAACAGCCTGCTGTTCCATTGGTTGCGAGATAGGTAAGGGTATAGTGGTAAAAGCCGTGGATGATTTCAAAAGAGAGAAAAGTTGGGAAGAAGCGTCAGCATCAACGTCAACAGAAATACCTTGTTCTTTGGTAGTCTTTGTAGCCATGTTGCGTTTCTTGATCCACTTCTTAAGGGGAGTCAAAAAGGGAATGACCATGTAAAACTTGTTTTTTACCGTATCGGTTTTGGACTTTTTGTAAGTGGGCAAATCAGCCAACATATGCCACTCAATTTTGCTAATTTCTTTGCGAGTTCTCGATTCAAATACTGTATCTAAAGACATTTCTGGAATAATGTACAAACGGACATTTTGTCCACGGATTGTCATTTCGATGTACTCATTAGGATTGATGTGGCCCATTAAATCGAAACCAGTTTCTTCATAAACCTCACGAATAGCACAATCTACGTCTGATTCATCTTTGTCGATCTTTCCTTTAGGAAACCCCCACCCAGAGGAGGCTTTCCACCCTTTCACGAGAAGACAGCGTTGCAATGACTTGTCGAGCAAAATCGCTCCTCGAACGGGAATACGTGTCTTGTATCGTAAAAAATCATCAAAAGCTTCTTCATGAACTTTACTCCATTTCCATAGTAAGGGACAATGGGCAAATAACCTTGCACTGAATACGCGTAGTCCTAGGGATGGTAATTGATCATTCTGTGCACGAATAAAATCTTCATAAAACCAGTGTGCTTGTTCAATCTGAAAGCAAAGCCTTTCGACACTGCTTTGTTCTTCAGCCGGTAAATTCAAAATGAACCGTGCAGACAGATCATCGAGCACTTGCGAAAATGTAGCGTTCTTAAAGGACATCTCGCATCAAATCTAAGAAATTAAATTAAATAATACAAAGATTAACAATTAAATCCCGGTTAAAGCACCGTCTAAACTTTAAGTATCTATTCTTTAAATTCGTCGTGGTTGTGTTACTATTAGTCGTACATAACACGACATATAATATCTGAGTACACGCTTTAGCGTAGGTAAATGAAGGTTCATATTTATCCCATTACGTGCAACAACGTTTAGCCTTAAGATAATTAAACTAACGTCGTTAACCCGGCTTATTCTAGAAAAAATAGCTGTATTAGAGCATATGCTGTGTGTAAATTTGGGTAGACATAGAATGGTTTTTATGTACGTTCTCTCTGCTATAGCTGTTACCTTGTCTAAGTGTTCTATATATATTGACTTTGAAAATACTAGGTTCCTCGAATATTCTGTGTTATATTGTTCAATAGAAGATGGATTCAAAACGAATCCTAATTATAGGGAAGCCAAAATCTGGTAAACTAACATTTGTTAAAGGTAGCTCAGCAAAATAATTTTATATAAAAGGAATTCAAGCAGAATGCTAAAACGTAGCTTTGACGGGAACTTTACCTAGAGGATTGAGCTTGACATCAAGCGAAACATCACATGCTGGTTTGACGCATGAATATACATTGAGAAATAAATACTTTCAAAGAGAGGTTGGAATATGGATTGACGAATACACGGACTTGGAAGAAACACTGGAAGCATATGCTTCCCAGGATGCTAATGAAGTTATGAATGCCATTAGTGTCATCGTCTATACATTCCGCAGATTTGAACCCCAAGAATGGTCTTTGTGGAATAAATTTAGTGAAAATCTGGAAAATACTATTCCCATCATTGGACTTCATATGGATAGCTCATCCATGACGAGGCCTCCTGAGAGCTTAAACCCTGAGTATGTAGTATTGTCCCAGACGGGAAAGAATGAGTTTGGAGGTATGTGTTTGAGAAGTTACAGGCTCTGAAAATGACTGCTTACAGTCTAAAGAAATGTTGGGTTTTGATCGTGTTTTGGATATTTTCAATTGTTGCGAATGGGACCTCTATCATAATGAGAATACCTTAGAAGACACGGAAAAAGAAGCATCCAATACAGTGCCATATAGAGATTCCTCGATGTCTCTGAATGATTCAGATTTGAATTCTCTCGTTAATCAAGCAAAACAGCTTCGAGGTATGTTAGTCATTAAACTACACTGACCAATGTTAGCGTTAAATTTAGATGTGCAAGAAAGGAAAAAGCAGGCGATGTCAATCATCAATTCTTTAGTGGATGAAGAATTTCAAGAATCAGATCTAGATTCATGTTGACAATTCGGCTCATTATATCTCCATTTTCGCTCCATTTACCCAAAAATAGAAATATATATATATATATATATAACGAGAGTAAACAAATAAATATTAACATAAAACCAATCTATCAATCGTAACCTAGAAGTATAATTCCCAAATTGCATTTTTTGTGTTCAAATAACGATTACAACCCAACGCCGAACATTTGGCTTCTGGTCGTCGACTTGTTTTGAGCACTTTCGCGCAAGATCCACAATAGACATGGCCACATTTGGTAGCCCAGACGCTTGCCTTTTCAACGCTTTTCGAAATTCCCAATTCTTCATGACAACGAGGACATGCCATGGCCGTTTCAGAGCCAAAGCTTCGAGTATATCCCTGTGAGGCAGGCTTTGGGGGAACATAAGTAGCCTTTCGTTCTTCTATGGAAGGTGAATGAGTTTCTGTTTCAGGGACATAATCAGAAAAATAATCATTAACTCCAGAGGCACTGGTTTCTCGGCCAGGATGAGAACTTTCGTACCTCATTCTACCCAACAGCATTTCAAATAAAGTCGGGGACATTGCGTTCGCTGATCCCAAATCAGGAAATGAACGTGTCATGATTTCAAGTAGACTGCGAGAACCTCTGGAAGACCTTCGGGAGACGACTTGCGGGCCTAAATACACCATGTCTTCAAGATAAGACAATGGGTTAGATGCCAGGTTACGCCGTCTCCGAAGTCGTCGGCGACTACGCCCCCTTTGGGGTCGCTCTTCAGCAGGAGTCACCGTAAATGGATCATCGGGTATAGCATCCACATCAATTACTGTAGGAGCAGACGATTGCGGTGGCTCGTTTATAGGAGAAGGGGTTCTTGTCAAATCGATCACATCACTCGAATTTACATCTATGGATTCATTTAAGGGCATGGATATTCCAAACACAAATTTTACCCTTATTTATAAGCTATTTGGCGCTTAGCAACTTTACTTTTCTTGTGAGGCAAGCTTATATTATAGTATTAACGTACCCGAACGTACTGTTTGCATCGATAAAATAAGTACCATTATGCTGGATAAATATCGTGTACTATATGAAATAGCGCACAACTACGAAAACTTTTAGTAAACAAATGAGTGTACGGTATTTTTAAGGGCACCGGCTTTTGAAGATTTAGTGTAGTGTTATATTAACGAATACAGGTAATTGAAAGCATTGTTCATTTCAATGTATTTTTAAGCTTATTATGAGGCATCCTCTGCAATATTGAATTCATGCTAATATTCTCTGAAGTATTCATTAAAAGGTATCGTATAATGGATCTCGCCATATAAGAAGAAATGCAGCAATTAAAGAGTACATAAGTAGAAACAAACACTTAGATAGAAATTGTTGGCGATAGTGATGTCCTTTCTGCTGTTTATTCCATCGGAGGAACGATTCATAGCTCATAACCCCACGTAAATATCTAACTCGAAAAGATAGATCCCAAAGGTAAGACTTGCATAACGTCTAGGATGCTTTAAACAAGAACCTTAAATATGTATGATTCATGATCCTTATAGTAAGGATATGCAATCCATCCCATATTTGCTTAGCCCAAAATCAGGTTGTAAATAATAACGAGCGTATTAATGGCAATTAATGGAACTACAGAATTATTAGATAAGAGTTTCCATCTGAAAAATGTTACATACAAGTCATAACAGTTCGAATAGCTCGAATTAGATGGAGAATTCTACTTTTGATGGTATCCTGGGGTTCGCCAAATCCATAGGAAGTATTCTGAGACCATCCAACTGAATAAAGTAATTAGAATAAGTTTTATTTTCTTATTTTTCACTTACGTCTTCCTAAAAAACGATCTTCAGAAAGAATCGCGACTGCGTTCAACAAAAGCAAAATAACTAAGCAAAGTTATCTTCTCATTCTCTTCATTCATTCCTTACTATAAAGTATATTTCCAAATCCAAACATAAGCCCCATTATTAAAAAATAAGCCTTTTATATAGGATTCAACAAACTGTCAAATGCAAAGCAGTAAGTGTGAGCTTCAGAATGCATATGCGGAAGTTTCTTATAGTACCTTAGTAAACAAATCTATAATCATATAAGTGATAATATGTTTAAGAATTTCCTATGTTTTTTTATAAGTTTTCTAGTTTTTATAGTTACAGAAACCACAGATACGATGTATTAAAAGCAGACATTCATTGTTTTTGTTAACAACCGGTAAAAAAAGCCATAATTCCCAAAACTAGTCATAGTTTAGTACCATCTCTTTCATGCGTTTTCGTTCCATCAATTCTTCTTTTTGTCGCGTCTTGGTAGACTGCGCTAGTACCGAATGAGACGGAACATCCAAGACCTGCGATCGTTGCTTATTCCCTTTCTTGGTTAAGAGAGTAAACTTCACGTTTTCTTCACTTTCCATTGACATACTATTTAGATCTGAAAATGACGTATCTCCAGTCGAACCTCTCAATGGAAGAGGAACATCGAAAGCAATGCCTCTCTCATGAGCCCTCGAAGATAAACTATCGTTCATCATACGGTTTAACTCTTCATCGATTTCATTTGTATGAACTCGCTCTTCGTCTAGTTCTTCGTCGTCGCTATTGAAAATCTCAGAATCATCCAAATCTATACTGTTTTCCTCTTCACTCTCTGAATCTTCTGATGTATCTTCATTTTCTTCGTTATCTTCCCAATCAACAGCCTCTAATTCATTTTCACTTTCATTTGACTTTTCTGACTGGAGATTAAAGCTTTCCTCGTCATCTTGATCATGATCGTCCACTCCACTTTGTAGTCTTTCAGCCAAAGCAGTCCATGCTTCATCAAAGTTTTTATACACGTTCATACTAGGACGAACTTTTGGAACCACATCCTCAAACTCAAATTGCATATCTAAAGGTACCTCTGGCTGTGCTAGAAAATAACATTGATAAGCCAACATATATGTCAGCATCGTTTTTCTAGTCTTTGAGCGTATAAGTGAAGAACCACACGTTGAGAGAAAGAGTGCAATCATGCGAAGTCGAAATAACTCGTTTTCTTTACTTATTGCAGCAGTCGGAGAAAATTGAAGGATGTTTTTAAACTTTTCCGGGGGAAGTAAATAGAATAAGATTCCGATGATTGACCTTACATCTAGTAGTCTAACACAATAAAGCTCAGCTAAAAACTTTGCTTGTGCCAATCGCTTTTGGCTATCGCCAAAACTGCTAGAGTCGATGTACGTCAAAATTGAATCCACCGTGTCATCAATCACATAGATGCAAAAATCAGGATGGAACTTATATAAAGAAGTCACTAAACTTGCAAACGAATTTAAGCACTCATATTTCATATTCCACACTTCCATAAACGTCGAGTATAGCATATCATAATCGTTGTTCCAATCGAATTTTCGTAACAAGGCTATAGTAGCAGATAGATTCGTTTCATTTAAACGAACATGTAAAATATATCTCAGAAACTCTTCTTTTAAGGAACGCTTCCTAGCTCTTGCAGAGCTCTTCTTTGGGGGATTCACAAAGTACAAAGCGTTGTCTAATATTAGCTGTTCCTGCGAAGGAAGAGCGGCAGCTAATTTTTTTTTCTGTACAGCTTCTAGAAATGAGGACATTTGTAAAGAAGATTTAGGAAATCTAAAAAGAAATCGACCACAGTTTTCTAAAAGCAAGGACAAAACTTCCAGATCAAAAGAAGTAAAATCTAATAAACACATTTTATAACAATCAAACACATAAGGAAAAGACATCAACCGAAATTTGGTAAGTTCTGAAACGTAGCGAACAATCAAAGTTCTAGTATCATATTCATGCTTAGCTTTCCTATGCATCATGCGACGAAATGCACCACGGGCGTGCTCTACGAGAGCAGAAGCAATTTCAGAAGCAACAGGTGCTACGATTCTAGCAAAGCGGATGTAATAAGGGACCAAGAAGGAGCTTGTTCTAGGTAAATTACAAAGAGCTTTTATTAATCGGTTTCTCGAAGCCTTAGTATTCAAATAAAGAAACTCTAGAGCAGCCTGATCAACTTGAGTTACAGACATAAAATTTGGAAGCGTCTGCAAAAGAGTATCAATTTTGACGCTGACAGACTTGGATGGTTTTGTAAACTTTTGAGAATCCTCGCTTGAACCTTCTGATTTTGATTCCTGATCCCCGTTAATCTCGAGGCTTTTCTTATTGGCGACATCTAAATTTGGTAATTCAGGAAACGTTTCATAGAATTGATGCTCTTCTTCTGAATCCCATAGTTGGACAGCACCTGTCTGAACTAGAGTTTCCGCATTTAGTATGTTATTCTGTAAACTCATGACTTCTTCTCGTTTTTTATAGAACGATTCTTGCTTTTCCTTTATGCTCAAAGGGAATGGTTGGTCTAATGCTTCCGATATAGAAACACCATTCGTAATATCGCCTTCGATAGATTTTAAGAAATCCTCAGCCTTATTTGAGATATCCTCCAATGAGCTCCCCAAAAAGTCTTGCTCACTAAGGCAATCCCTATATTCTTCATATTCATGTTGGCGATGCTTTATGTAGACAAGTAAATCTTGATAATAACGGTCTAGCTGGGACCGAAGTTGAAGTCGCCAGCGAGGATCACAAATACTATCAATGTATTGATTTATCTGACTATCTCCTGGTAATGACTCGTGGGAAGAGAATAGTTCATACCTGTATGACCTGACTAATGAGGAGACGATTGGCAATAAAGAGAAATTGGAGGGGGGCGCGAGCACATCTTCCAGTAACAGAATAACTATTGGGGTTTGAAGTGCTTTCTCATCAAACATTGTTTTACGGTATTTTTTCCCCGAAGCGTAGACAACAGGAAGGAGATCTTTGAAATCTTCTGGGGTGCGGACAAGTCCATGAAGCCAGAATTCAATAAAGATCCTCAAAAGCGCCCTTGTTTTTGCAACATTAAGACTAGTTCCTTTATTAGTAACTGATTCTGAGATCACACCAGTGGACGCAGACTTTACAAGGTTTCCTGAGATGGAGTCTGAAGGCGAAGGATACAGCATGGAATATAAATTCGCCAGTAGCGGTCTGATAAATGAAATAGAAAATCTTTGGTAAAGGAAAAACACAATCTTCACAGCGGCCTGGATATCCTTCACTGACCTGCACTTTGAGAGCCCTTCAGCTATGGACAGAGTGATTTCAGGCACAAATTTTTCTAACGAAAGAGACTTAATTTCTTTAATAAATAAATCATAATTATCAGAGGTTAAAGAAGCTCTACATCTTTTCATAAAGGCAGTGTTTTTTTTCAAACTAGAGTCCAATGATTCTTGGACAGGAAAACCGTTTGCATCTCCATTCTTTGCCTGTAAAGCAAGTTGTCTGTCGTTCAAATATACATTAAGTTTATCCAACAGTTCTTCCCTTGACATAGCCTAATTCAAAGTTACAAGCCAATACGACTATATTTCATAGCAGAGGTTTGGCTGTACAGTAGGGTTGCTGTAAAGGTTTTGGATATGAAACAAGGCGACTATTACGGTTTCTGGTTGAGACTTTTTTTAGGATGAAACGAGATAAAGGAGTATATAACCGACTTATTTTTGAGATATTTTGGTCGCCACGAGCAAAGATTGATCGAAGTCAATGTACGGTACTTTCTGTCCGGAAAACAAAAATATCAAATTTCCCTGAAAATGTGATGAATGTCAAATAGCTGTTTATTTATTATTTAATCAACATTCAAAATAAAAATAGAATAAAAGAAAAAAATCTAGTCAAATAGATTCCCTTCAACAGAAATATCAGCAAAAACTGTATAATATTACAATATGCTATAATACTAACAAACATAATAGAATTAGTACTACCATACGAGCAAACTCTTTCCTTATGAATTTTTTGTCAACGTGGTTTTTAAACAGTAATGGCCGGGCTTTCTATGCTGTATAATGCAGCCATTGCAAGTACTTTTATGAAGATACTGCTTTTTCCATGCTATCGCTCCACTGACTTTGAGGTTCACAGAAATTGGTTAGCAATAACTCATTCATTACCCATTTCTCAATGGTATACTTCAGCAATTTCAGAGTGGACATTGGATTATCCTCCATTTTTTGCATATTTCGAATTTGTTCTTTCTTGGATTGCAAAATTACTTGGTTTTGACACAGAAATGCTGAACCCGTATAATTTGAACTATGCGTCTCCTTCAGTAATTATATTTCAAAGAAGCTCAGTTATTATTTCTGAATTGGTACTTCTTTGGGCCTTACGAGAATATGTCTATTCTTACCCTGAAAATAGTAGAGGAAACGCTGTACTCACGGCAATAGACACGTTTTTATCTCCTGGATTTGTTTTGATAGATCACATTCATTTCCAGTATAATGGCTTTCTTTTTGGATTATTGATCTGGTCTCTTATATTAACCAAGCAAAATCGACTACTTATGTCAGCAGCAGTATTTACAACACTCCTTTGCTTCAAGCATATATTTTTATATATTGCTCCAGCTTATTTTATATACCTTTTACGAGTGTATTGTTTTAGCATATCCGGATTTCGCCCACAAGTACTAAACACTATGAAGCTAGGACTCACTGTTAGTAGTATTTTCCTTTTAGCATTTGGTCCATGGATTTATATGGGACAGACACCACAGGTCTTCTCTCGACTTTTTCCATTTTCTAGAGGTCTTTGCCATGCTTATTGGGCACCAAATTTCTGGGCACTTTACTCCTTCTTTGACAGGATTGCTTATGCTTTCTTGCCTCGTCTTGGATATTCTTTTCCTGAGGTACCTTTTACAAACGCTCCTACGCGTGGGCTAGTCGGTGACACAACTTTTGCAGTTTTGCCAAATATTTCTCCCTCTTTTACTTTTTATTTATGCCTGGCTCTGCAAAGTTGCGTATTACTCAAGTTGTTTTTCCGTCCTACGTGGCGCGTATTTGTTGGAGCCACTACACTGTGTGGTTGGATCAGCTTTTTGTTTGGCTGGCATGTTCATGAAAAAGCAATCATGATTGTCATCATTCCTTTCAGGTACGTTAGCTTTCTTTTTATTTATCGTCTTACATTAACATGATGACTAACATTTGTAGTATTCTGTCTTTAATAGATCGTCGTTATTTGGAGGCTTTCCGTCCGCTGGCCGTTGCGGGTTATATTTCTTTGCTTCCTTTGATATTTACCCCTCAAGAAGCTCCCATCAAATATCTTTTCACTGGCGCATGGGTCGCTGTTCTGTTGACTTTTGATAAATGTGCTCCTGTTCCTCTTAGAAGGGTATTCTTGCTTAACAGAGTTAATCTTGCTTATGTGGCTGGGTTCGTTCCTTTGTTTATTTATAACATATTTTTTCATAACCTTGTATTTGGTGGGCGATACGAATTCTTGCCATTAATGCTTCTAAGTACTTATTCAGCTTGGGGAGTTTTTTGGGCTTTCATCAGCCTCTCTTGGCTTTATTTCACGGATCTAAAATAGCTCTTTCTGAAAAAAAAAAAAGAAAGAAAGAACAATGATATAGAAAAGGTTCGGTTATTGAGTTTGATGATTCTTAATGATATATTCTTAATGTCGCTAAATGGCAAAAAACTTGAAGAGCAATCCTATTACATTCTTTTTTTTTTCTCATAATTGGACAGCTTGAGTTCCATTATAAACGCTTAACATCTGTTTACAATTTGCTAACAAATATTTATATACTGATTACTTCTTTGTCTGCTCATGAGTTGCCAAAAAGACATTAGATGAATATTTGGGAAAGTAATCAATGTGCTAAAAAGTACATCTATCGGTTTCCTCGCTCGATGTACTCACTCTTCTAACAAGTTTGGGCTTGAAAAGAAAAGCAACCCAATTACTTAATTTCTTACAATAACATAGACAGTGAATGAAAAGAAACTTCTATAGCACCTTTCCTTCATCAATCACCCTTCTTTAGTACAGTGCAACCATTGTAAACAAACGGTTACCCAAGTTTCCATGTTACCCACCATTCAAAACATCCTTGAAATAATATTTAACGAACGTTCTTTTAGCATTTTCCTGTATATGGAATCATGTCAAGTAAAATTTTAAGATCTATCGGCCTGCTCGCAGTCGGTACAATATCGGGTGTTTCTTTGACACACTTGTATATCAAAACTGCGCAAGAACCTGCGAATGCTGTTGAGTTTTCTCGTAGGTCAAGAACGGACCCTACGGTACGTCCAGATGATACAAATTACGACTTTGATCCAGCGAAGTTTCTGCAGTATGGAGTTCCTGGTCCCGTAGCGGATCAAAGAATCGCTCATGGGTACATGTCTGTGTTTGATAGAAGAACACGCAACCCTTATTATGTAAGTTTAACAAATCATATAAAAATGGATAACCCGTATTTGGAGGAATGAATCCAGGTTGTTTTTGGTTTGGCTTGTTTCACTAACGATTGATCTTTGACTGTAGACCGCCGAAACAATTACAGAGGAATTGTTAGAGCAAAGAAAAGGAAATCGCAAATACTCTGAGTTTCATGTTGATTCCAATATTCCTGAAATGTTTCAAGCTAAGCTTTCAGATTACAGGGGTAGTGGTTATGATCGTGGCCATCAAACTCCTGCAGCAGACTGTAAATTCTCTCAAGAAGCCATGAATGACACATTTTTGTTGTCTAATATGTGTCCTCAAGTTGGTGACGGGTTCAACAGAAACTGTAAGTGAATCTTTACATGCCGGCATGTCTTTCCGGGTAGCTCAAAATAGTTATTCCTACTAACTGATAAATTAGACTGGGCATATCTCGAAGAATGGTGCAGATCCCTTACCAAAAAGTACGAGTCCGTCAGTATCATGACAGGACCATTATACCTCCCACAGAAGAATGAAAGAGGACAATGGGAGGTCCGTTATCGGATGATTGGAAATCCCCCCAATGTAGCCGTCCCCACTCACTTTTTCAAAGTCATCATTGCTAAAGAGAAAGGTAAAGACAGCATGAAGCCTGCTGTAGCTGCCTTTGTCCTTCCCAATAAGCCTATTGCTGACAACTTTCCTTTGAAGAACTTCTTAGTCCCTGTGGAAGTTGTCGAACGCTCCAGTGGATTGGAAATTCTTCAAAAGGTCCCCAAAAGTAATCGACAAGAGCTTTGCAAGCAGATTGAATGCAAACTCAACGCCAAAGCATTCCTTGAAGAAGTTCAGCGAAAGCAAAACAAGTCTTGATATGCTCTACTAGAGAAATGAGGAGCAGCTAATGTTTCAAGCAATATTGTATTAGATATTCCTAACCAACCCCCTCTTTTTAGTATACTTAAGTATATATAAAGATACTCTTGGTCAGTCGACTATAACCCATAAAAAATTGAAAGCATTTATTGACTAGTAAATATATTGAGCGTATGTCCTATGAAGCTACTGAAGATTTTTTTGTTCATGTTGCATACGAGAAATGTAAGTTCGAGAAACAACGTTCCAAGCATCCATGTATCGTTCCATGCACTTTGAAACACAAGCCTTGAAAAAGTTAATATAACATCCTAGTACACTTCAGTGCAGAATCAGTTTCACTTACCTTTTCGTTACCACTGAAGGAGCTTCCCGGTTGAGGAACACACTTGTCAAAGCAGCTTTCGTTGATTTTCTAGCAAAATAAGTTAGAATAAGTTTCTTTTTCTACTTTTCTTATCCTTCAGAAATCGAAGAAGATATCTGACATACGCTGATTAATTCACCGGCTTGAGCAACAGCAAGCTCTTGACGGATTTGTTTCATGAAGACATTTTTCTTGTCTTCTGAAGACACTGAAGGTCCACTGTTACCACCAAAAATTCCCATTTTGATCTGTTGAAGTTGTTTAAGAAGAAAACCTTGTAGATGTTGCCTTTCGTATTCCTTGCGGGTAAAAGGGCAAGTTGGTATGTACTGGAATTTGAAAGAAGGTACCCTACCAAGGGGAAGGATTCCAAAAGGACGGAAGGATAGCCTTGAATAGGAAATATGGTTTCTTTTTAACTTCTTATAAAGCAAGTTGTTTTTTAATTTGCTCGATTTGAAAACTGAAGCTTTTGAAGAATTGCAATCTTCGAACTCACGATTTTGTTGCAATATATTGTAAACGTCCCCTCATGAGTTTTTTGACGTCCTTAGGACTTATTATAACTGCTTTATGAATAGTTTCTGAGGCATGTAATATGAAAGCTTCACTAACGGATTTCTATGAGTTTTCTGAAAAATGAAGGCAAGCTGGCATTAGAACAAGGTTGCCAAAGCGTTTAAAAGAGCTAGGTACTAAGTTTTGTATTTCACGAGTCGAATTGAAAAGCACCAAAACTTACTTATAACTACGGGAAAGGTGTCTACTAGTCGGGAACAAGAACGGCGATGAATCCCAAGTACAACGGTTTTATGATTTTCAAAATTTTTATTCATGTTCTCTTCATTCTCATACTTTCCTGTTTTGAATTTGCTGGATAAAAACGCAGCCTGTCTACTCAGTTGAAAAAAGAGCATCAACGTTCCAAGCTTACTTACTCGATTTGTATGCGAAATACTTTTAGAATTGATGTTTTTTCTTCAATTGTTGTCTATTGGTTTAGCATGTTTATGAATGTTGAAAAAGTTTTTCATGAATCAAGAATTTTAACATCTGAATCATCAAGTCCATGGCTTTTTTTTTTTTCTCACCCCTGCCTGTAACTAAATTTCTTGGAATTTATCTTGTCTGAAATAAGGCAATCATGGAACGCTTAGCGATATGTAGACATTCATATCTGTGCTCTTCCTTACATGCCTACTACTATCATCTTTTTGTTAGTGGAATACTAACAAAAAATACCCTAATATATAGTTACATATAGTATTTGCATTAAATTGTTTGCATTTCTACTACTGTTTACTTTTCCTGGCAAAAACCGATAGATATTTGGTGTAGTTTTCGTTTTGCCCTTTGTGTGTGCCAGGACAGCGATCAGTGCTAATTTCTTGACTGATTCAAAAAATTTGAAGCGATTGTAGCATTTACTTTGCATTGGACACTCTCAATTGTTGATAGCCGTTGAAATTGCCATTTTTAGTTTGTTCGTTATCCAAGATGTTTGGAGTCCAATTGTCGGAATCCATATTGAATTTTTTAGTTGACTTTTCTTCTTTTCTAGGAGCACTCTCATTAGGATGCTGGGTTGTTTTGTTGATTCCCCAATTGCTGGAAAATTACAAGAATCAATCGAGTGATAGCATTTCACCATTGTTCCTCATTCTATGGTTAGTTGGTGATGTATTCAACATTGTTGGCTCTATTTGGGGAAATGTTTCTTCAACTGTTTTAGTACTCGCGATTTATTACATTGGTGCTGATTTTGTCTTGCTCCTACAAGTGTACTACTATCGTTGGAAAGCGTTTCGCAAATCCAGAAATGAGCATGAGCCGTTATTGCAAAGCCGTTCACTAGAAGAAGGTCTTCATGAGCCGTTAGATAAAAATTTGATCTGGTGGGATCGTCTTTCCCTTCGCGGTCAATTTGGATTCATGGCTTGTATTGTACTCATAACGACTTTTATTGGAAATGTTTTAATCAACAATGCCTCTTCCGATAAGAGTGACGATCAAGTAAATAAATGGCCTTTTATAGCGGGTTGTATTAGCTCGATCTTATACTTTGTCGCCAGATTCCCTCAAATTATCAAGAATTACAAATCGAAATCTACCGATGGTATGTGATGAAACAAAGCTTGTTCCAGTTTTGACTGCAGATTTTCTAACTCAAACTTTAGGACTCTCTATAATCTTCTTTATTCTTTCCATGCTAGGAAATACGGCTTATACGTTGAGCATCTTGGTGTATCCCGCTGCAGATTATGTGAATTACTTTAAGGGTAATCTCCCATGGATTTTTGGCGCTTTCAGTACGATTTTCTTAGACATATTCATTTTCTACCAATTTTTGCTTTACCGTCATCACTCGCACTTTTAAACAAACGTTGGAAGAAAGAAGAAACCCCCAATATAAATATATGTTACCTATAGAGTTTATCCATTACTGCCAGTGTGGTAATAGTACGGCAGAGGGAAAGATGTCTAATGGTTTTATTAGCATGTACTCTAGAGATAATATGAATATATTCCTTTGCGATTGCAACTTTGAATTGCCAATAACACATACCTTTCAATTGAGAAATGGGACGATCGAAAACATCGGCGCCGTAGGTTGCGCGAGGAAACGTTGTCATAAAAGCTGTAGGCAAAGGCACTTGAAGTTTCTCAGAAACTTGCTGCGCGACATCTCGTAGGGACTGCTCTGCTGGAATGACAAGGTTGCAAACTTGGCCCTGGTGACGAATAGAGAAACGGCCTGAAGACGGAGGAGCACGAGAAGGGGCTGCGGTATCCGCAGCAGCAGAGGTAGAAGTAGAAGACGGCTTTTTTGTAGAAGGGACGGTAGTAGAAGAAGCACTGTTCGCCGCTGACGAGGTAGTAGCAGCACGTCGCTTTTTATCAGCCTCAATTTCAGCCAAAATTTTTTTTCGCTGCTCTTGATCTTCAAGCTTTTGTTGGCGCATTTTCTGTAGCTCACGAAGACGTGTTTGGTCTTGAAGCTGTCGCATAGCCTGAGCCGTTTCGTCATTGGACTTTTGAAGGATTCTGAAATTTTTCTTCTTATCTTCTTCTTCAAGAGCTTCCTGTTGCTTCTTCTTTTCTTGAGCCTTCTTCCTCATTTCCTCTATAGCTGCCTTTATTTCCTCAGGAGATCGTTGTCGAACCTAGAGAAAATCACAAAGTTAGCTAGACCACGAACCATACTATAAGAGAGCCAGGATTGTCCGTTTCTTTCCTTACAGCTCAGCACGTACCTGTTCTTCAGTTTCTTCGAAATTTTCATGGCCAGACTTGACGCCATGGAATTCTGCCATTTCAATTGAAGAAAGCAATTTTCCGCAATCAGAGCATTTCAGTGTCATTCTTATTTGCTGGATATTTATAATGGAGACAAGAAATAAGACAAGATGCAACGATGGAACAATGTGGGATTTGTTTGATTACAGACTTGATGACAATTTCAGCGTACAATCAACTGTTCAATACTGCTAAGTCTAAAAGGTTTCCTTCTGATTAACGTGTTTTGGAAGCGGTTGGTCTTTGGTTTTATTATGTTTGGTTCTTTCTAGAAACCCAAAAGTTGCCATGGAATGATGTAGACAGCTTAGCATGCCTCTCGTAAATCCAATTCAAGATGAATGCCACACGTTCATTTTCAATTGAATTTCTTTAAAAAAAGAACTTTTACAGTGGATGCAGACTTTTAAAACTCGTCTATTTCTCTGAGAACACAATTTTGAAGCAATCCTTCTTTTTATTTTCGCACTACTTACGGTGTGATTTTTTTTCATCTTGACCCTTTATCATTCATCTTTCTTTAAAAATAAATTCTCCTCTTGATGTATTGTTTTGGTTTTATTTGTTTTTTCTCTCTTTATTGGTTTGTTTATTTTTCTTTTTTAGACTTTTTTGATGACGTAAACTTTACGATATCGGTTCGTTTCTTAATGTAAGTTTTTCATTCCTCCTTTTACTTCCGTAAATGATATCACTCCCTCGGATTGTTTCTCTACGAGTGACTCTCTCCCTTTACGATTTTCGTCTTCACTGCAGTTCCAGATAATTTATCACGATTTTGCTGTTCTTTTGACAGTTTCCTTTAACGAATTGCTTGTTTAAGTTCTATTGAAAGAAACGTACGATCTAAAGACGCTATAGTAATTTATCGTTGAACGAAATTGTAGTTTTGTTGGACGAAAAAATCACTTTCTTTATAGTCAGTAAGTGTTTGTGTTTTGTGCCTTGTTGTGTGAGCTTCGTGTAGACTGTGTTTTGGATTTTTATATAAACGTTTCTCCTGGTTGTGATTTCTCGGCTCCGCATCGTTTAATATGTCGATTGAATGCAGAAACTCAATTTTCTTTCCAAGACCACTTACTCAACTGGTTAAACGTGATTTTCAACTTGATAACCCGTCCTCGGTACCTATTGGCTTCAAAGTCAAGACAACGGCTCCTAAACAGTATTGTGTGCGTCCCAATGGTGGCAGAATTGAGCCTAATTCGTCTACGACGATTCAAGGTAAGCCTTTTTTCTGTTATCTTATCCTAACAATGTTATATATAGTAATCTTGCAACCTTTGGATCACGAGCCAGCACCAAATACCAAGTGCCGTGATAAATTTCTTGTTCAAAGCGCAGAACTTAGACCCGAACTCGAAGGGATTGATACTACTGAAATTGTATGCACTCTCATTAAGGCACCGCCTTTTCTCTCGATATGTACTTACTAACTTGCTTATCGTTTAGTGGAGTCAAGTAAGAAAAGAAGACGTTCATGAGCGTAAGATCCGTTGTGTTTTTGGAGATCCTTCTGAAGAAGAAACTTCTCAGCACAATCGTCACAAAAATTCTATATCAAGCACTACAAGCAACGCCGCTTTCGCTTCTCAGGCTCCCAATGCTGCTTATGGCAGACAAGGCCAGCCTTCTGCAAATGCCGCTTCCCCTACCCTCACGCAGCCTCCTCAAATGCCCCGGTCCTCTGTTGATGCTCCAGCTACCCCTAGGGTAGCTGGAAAGGCGGCTCCACCTATTTCTACGGATGACCCTGTTGCCACGGCTCCCAACGTAACGTTTCCTAGCCCTTCTGCTCCTACATCCAATCCGATTAATCCTCGGTTCCAATCGGCTGCAGCTACTTCTCCTGCAGCTACTTCTCCTCCTGAACCAAAATCAACTCATTTTGGAACATCCAACACCACCCCTTTACCAGCTACAAAATCTACGTCCACTTTTGGTCGACCTACCAGCGGTGCCAAAGTTGTACCTCAAATTCACAATACTGTCACTGTACAAACTGCGGTTTTATTAGCCGTTATTTGCTTCTTAATAGGCCTTCTATTCTAATTTAGATATATTGATGCATGTTCAACCATCCAATACCGCTTTCGTTTCCCATGTTTATACCATTCGTTGCCCCATAATAATGTAAGTGATTTTGTGGTGCCTGTATTTGTTGAATAGCAACGTTTCTATTTTGTAAAATTGGCTCGTTTTCTCGTAATTCCTTTAAATATACAACAGCTTCTTGTAATCGGTTATGGGATTTTTGATTATGTTCTTCAATCTCTTCGATTGGCAATAGCGGCAGGATCGGCCGCTCTTCCAATTGTTTCAACACCACTAACCACGCTCCTGTAAGCTCGTAATAAGCCTGACTTTTGTAAACATTATGATTGGGGTTATGAAATTCTGGGAGCTGATGAACAACGTTGGTAGCAGCGTCCAAGAAGGCAAAATTATGTTCAAAACAAGTAGAATGAGGGGGTAAATAACATGGGACTAGATCATTTAGAGCATGTAAAACAGCCATATACTTTTCATGAATTCGATTAAATGCATACTCTCCTTTTTTATCACCACCATAGGGAAAAGAAGAGTGCAACGTTTTGGATAGTTTTTGCAAAGTGTCAATGCATGTTTCCAAGGAAGGTACGGGTAATTTGTCACGAATATCGCGTGCCAAATCTGGATGCTTTTCAACGCACTGAAGTAGCAAGGATAGCAACTGTTGCTTTTCCGTATACTGAAACAATCGAGGTAAAGGCAAATGATTTCCAACGGGCAATGGACGAGCTTTTTTTAGTACAGGTTCATCAGAATCAGCTTTACGCTTTTTCAAGTAAGAATAAGAAATCGCTTCCATTTTTTTAAAACAACAGCGATGAGGGAAAAGTTCAAATGCAAACGAGAGGAAGAAATGAAGAGATATTAAAGTTTATGCAAAAAGAAACAGTCAAACAGGATTATGAAGAACAAATAAATTAAGACTGGATAATGAACAATATCTGAAAATCAAATAAGCCCTCTTAATTACGGATAGACCGAAAGGAATTTGCGGAATATCAGATGAATCAAGGAAAAAGGTAAATAACAATGTTTCCTAAAATACAAAGAAAAGCCGGGATATTAAATATATACTACTTTCAAACTTAACCAAAAGAAGTCCTTATTATATCGCCAAATACGTGAAAGGAAGAAAATGTCTTTCTTACGAGAAAATGATGGATGAAAAGAGCAATCGAACAACCTTTCCTTCGATTTTTTATATATAACCCAAGTAATGGAAAACGGTAGATGGAAGGAGTAGTTTGCGAGTGGCCCCAATGTATTTAGGGAATAAGGAACTTTGGCGATGCGATAGACTAAATTTAGCGGAGTACGCTAACTTCAATAAACTTTTAGGTTATTAGAGCGTATAAATAAATAAATAAAACTAGAATGAAAAAGTCACTGTAAACAAACAAGCAAAAATCTGGAAAACAAATGAAACGAAAATAGAAGCTTGAAAAGACGTCAAGAACTTTTCATCTGAACTGGATGTTTTCTGCGCAGTTCACTGAAGGTTACTCGATAAATTGAATATCAAATTGATTGAATCAATTGTAAGCCGAAAATTGTGTAGACAAACAAGTTTTGATTAATCAATGTGCATCCAACCGACAAAACCTTCTCTTTTGAAAGAAACTGGATTGTATCCTCGAATTCAAATAGTTCTCTGGGTAACAGAAAGTTCCAAAGGACAGAACGAACGGACTCAAGAAGAAAAAATTATATAAAAAATTTTGAGCAGCTTTTTATAGAAGTTTAATGAAAGTTCTTTCTTCGATTGGACCTCACGAAGGACTGGTTTTCTGCCTATGTTTTATTTGGTGTATATTCTATTAAAGAGGTTTCTTCACTCAAGAAAATTGACCTGGACGAACAATATTCAGACAAAAAGCAAACAAGAATAAGCTTCTTGAGAATGCCAAATTCTAGTCAAGACGTGCATGGCGTTTCAAACGATTCCAAAGGAAAGAACGAAGTAAATGAACTCGATGGTATGTCGCAAGTAAAAGTACAAAAGTTCGCTCGCTGTCCAAAAGTTTGTACTGGGGGTCAAACTGTACTAGGGGTATCATAAAATGTTACAAATAGAGGAAATAAGACTAACAATATGAACCACTAGACATTCTAGACGAGCTTGATTTACCTCCCAAAGTCGACAAGGAAGAAGGGAAGCAAGAGCATAATAACAATGATAATGACAAAGAACCTAGGAATCACCAAAAAGGAAGTGATGGAAATCTTGATTCTTTGATTGAGGACATGATGGATAAGTTCCAAGGATCGGGAAATTCGGATGCATCTGAAAAGGAAAAACTAGCATCGATGGGTTTAAAAAACGATAATGATCTTTTTCAATCTATTTTTGGGAATACTCATGAAACTGATGGAGCCTCCAATTCAGAAGGTATAAATTACGATGCTTTAGAGAATGCTCTCAATTCTCTCATGTCTCAAGTGACGAGCAAAGATATCCTTTACGAACCGCTCAAAGACTTAGAAGGAAAATATAAGGTGTTTTTTGAGGATGAGAACAATGCAAAGAATGAAGCGTACGGAAAACAATTCTTAAAGATCCAACGGTGTATCGGCATTTTTGAAAATCCTGATTACCAAGTCCAACGTGATTCTCCACAAATTGCAAAGCTAGTTGAAGAAATTCAGGAAGAACCGCTTCCACCCTCCCTTATGGACTCTTCGTTCGCAGCGGCCGGTTGTCCTCTTCAATAGATTCAGCCTGCGAATATTTTTGACTACTGCATAAAAACTTTCGCATATACGCTTTTCAAAAGGTTGCAAATGCTCACTTTTGTTTACCTTAAGAGTCCTAAACTACATTTGTACATAAAGGAAAAGTTGAAAAAAAAATAATGTCCGAATCCATTCATTCATGCAATTGTAAATAAATAATAACGAAAAAAACCATGATATCCACCTCACCTCAAATACGGAATAAATCCAATGTGTTTTTTATATGACGGTGAAAAGACCAATGACCAGCACTTTAGTTCATTTTCACCATCAATACGAGGATAAAGTATCAAATAGAGGCTGCATACTCAAATTCAACAGGAACTTCCTGCAACTCCTCTTCTTGTTCCGCCTCTAATTCGGCAGGATCCAAAACATATTCTTCTGATGCCAACTCCAGTTGCTTTTCATAATCCTGCTGCATGTTTTGATCTATAAATCGATTCATTTCTATATTTCCGCCTCGGTATTCATTCCATTTACTCTCACGTCGCATAGTTTGTAGGTTTCGATTTTGTGTACGCGTCATGTCGCGAAAATGCGCCCATGCACTCCTTTGAGCTCTCGCTTTTTGCGGCGAAATCCGTACAGGGCTACTTCTTTTGTTTACCGCATGCATATCGATATCAGACTTATCAGATAATTCTTTGAGCTCTTTCATTTACATTGATACCATCTACTCTATGTTCTGCTTCAGCAACCGAATATGTATGTGTATAGGGAAAAAACAATATTCAGTACCGTAAGCATTTACCCTACGAATTGTATCGTTGGAATTCACTAAACGTATTCGGCAATAATTACCTTAATGCTTCAAGAGCTGATACGTATAGCTCCTGTGGCCAAGCTGGTTAAGGCCTCATGCTTATATGATACTCCTCAGAGGAGGTGTGTTACGTGGAAATCGCGAGTTCGATCCTCGCCGGGAGCATTTTTTGTACTTTAATTTTTAATTTTTTAAATCATCTTTTATTAAATTTTAAATTACTGTCAGATAAAATCCTAGCCTGATCAATTCATACTTGGAGTCTATCATACTAAAGGGTATATTGTTTTACAGTGTCACCTGAAATAGGACAGACAAATAAACGTTAATTATAGATGTGAGTCTGAAATACAATGTGAATGAATTGAGGATTTTGTTTATTTACAACGACTTTTTCCTGACAAATCCTTCAGTTAAAATGATTTTTCTTGTCGAACAAAACAATTGTTTACTGATATATTAAAGTTCGCCAACTAAATGTAATGGAATATACAGTTAATAAATTCAAAAAGACCCAATTCGAATTTGGCAATATAATCATCTATTTCTATTTCTTAATCTATTCTCAATTCTATTCATAATTTTTTTTTCGTGAAAATTCCTTAGTTTCTTTTTTTTTTTTTCAACAACGGCAACTTATTAACAACATTAAAAATGTGCGGCATTAACTAAATAACGGCGAAATAAACAAAAGGAATTTTCACAATTTGTATATCTGTATATATCATAAACCATAACAACAATAAAAACCATATTAATCATATAACGTTTTCATTACTTCATTATATCAAAATTAAGAAGCTGCGAATTTTGATCTTGTTCTTAATTTCGTACCCATCTTGTATAAAACAAAGGGTATGGGAATCATTATACAAGATATGACGCCAAGGATTGTACATCCCCAACCGACGGGTGCATAAGAGGGTCCTGTATTATTAAACATAGCACGAGCAAAGAGAGGAAATGCAGCGGCCATACCTGATCGAAATAAATCGTTTCCTGCAAATACGGATGCGACGTATTTTGGATAACAAGAGGCGAGATATTGAAACGTAGTTTGAAACATTATAAAAGTACCCATGGCATAGAACACAGTACTGGCTATCGGCGACATCCAATGAACAGATGCACGACCGGTCCAACCGAACCAGAAAAGACAGATAGGAAAACAGACAGTAGCTGCAAATTGAAACTTTAAAATCTCTTCAGGTGGAACTTTGCCATTGGAAGCCAAATACTTTGGAATTGTAACTTTATAGAGCCCAATATAAAAGAGAACTAGCGCAATAAAAACGCCTACCATAATTCCCATATATGTAAGGCCGTTTTCTATAAGCGTGAAATGGTAAACCCCTTGAAAAACAATTGGAAACGCTTCAAACCATAGATAAAGGATGGCATAGATCAAACCAATGTAAATGTTTAACGATAAAACGATTGGTTCAGAGATACTAAGGTGAATGGGACGCCAAACAGTTTCAAGGGCTAATTGCGAAAATTTTGTTTCACGAGACGCTACTTCACCTTCTGTGACATAACTCGGGTTGCCCCTTGATTCTCTTAAGCCTTTTGCACGTTTGTATAGCAAATAGGATTCTGATGTTTCCGGCATTGAAAAAAGAAGGAAAATAAAGCTAAAAGCACAAAGTATCATCAAAAACCAAAATTGCCATCTCCAATCTTTTGCCACGACCATTGCAGCGCCGAGCAATGGACCTAAAACAGGGCCAGCTACACAGTAAGTCAGAAAAATGCACCTTATTTTTACTTTTCATATCGATACTTACCAACAGCGCCTAGAGACCAAATACATATTAAATAAGGAAGAAGCGTTGGCTGCCAAATATCAGCCAAGGTAGCACCTCCAGTAGCTAAAGCAGGTGATCCAAAGAACCCAGCCAAAAATCGCATTGGAAGTAGCACACCAAGGCTGCTTCCCAAAGCTGTAGGAATCTGAAGGCAAATAAAAACAAAGAGTGTTGCCAAATAAATCCTTAAGCGACCAACCTGTGGTAGTTCTGAAAGAGGTGATAAAATTAAAGGCCCCACAGCATAACCAACTACAAACATAGTCAATCCTAAGGTTATAGGAACCTCACCAACATGCATCACCTTCATCATCTCAATTTCACCAGGTGTAAATATAGCAGAGCCAACGTATACTGAAAATGTAAGAAGGCAAATCTGAATGGTAATCAAACTCTTTACCAGTACAGGCCAATTTTGCGGGTGCTCAGGATCATTTTCTCCGTTCCAAGTAACTATGAATTCCTTTTGATTTACATCATTCTCTTTGGATTTCCTTGTATAACTTGATATTTGGGACTCAACTCTTGTTAATTCGTCCGCATCTTTATCACGTTTCCTTTTAGCTAAATAGCAAATGGCTTCTCCAAACAGTGTGTATCGAAGAAAGTTCATTTGTTGGTCTAATAAATTTTTAACGATTTTTTTGTGTAAACAAAAATTCCCTCTAAAATCTAAAATTAATTACAGTATTATTTAGACGTCAATTCTAGTTCTTCATTACAGCGCTCCTACTATATAAGCGTATTCATTCGTAAAGATGTCATACAATGTTTAGTAATCGTTTCACGAAATATTACAAATAAAGGAAAATTTTAGTCATACTGTGTATTCGCTTATGTTCCACTTATTTTAGTTGAAGATAATGTCGATGACCTTCACTCGGAAGTGTCTGTCTTTATTAATTAAAACAGAAAAAAAGAAAAACTTATTGTAAGTATTAAGTAACTTATCACTTTCCGGCAGCAAGTCTAGTCAACGAAGCTAGTATGAAAGAGACAATTTCATATAATTACCTAGAAAACTGATAATTTTAAGAAGAGCTCTACATATTCAGGTTCGATTGGATTTCACTTTTTGATTTAGTGCCACAAAAGCTTGCACGAAGATTAGGCTTATTCCTTAACGAAGATACGAAAATTATAAAGCTCCTTTCCATAGAAAAATTTCGCCAATGAATTCGTTTTTTTCTAAAACACTATAGAACTAGGGTCGCCGAAGGTTACTTTTGGTTTCCATTTCAAATCCATAGATTGTTTACAAACAATTTACTGTATGTCTGGGTATGACTAAATGACACTTGTTTGTTTATAATCCAGCTTCAACCCAAAAGTTTGGATATTTGATCGTTGGATCCTTATGGGATACTTTTAAAACTTTTGTCCATTGTTTACCTTTATGCGATAAGCTTAAATGAAAGTCAACGAAACCATTTGTAGCACAAGCGAATCGTTAGCAATAACGTCCGATGTAACATGTCAGGGATAGCTTGACCAATATAATAGCACGTATTTTGATTTTTAATAAGGGATTGTCATGTCTATGAATTTTAGAAAATCATTTCGGAGAAATAGTACATCAAACTTTAAGCTGATGATGGCTTGTTTATTCTACCGAAAAAAAAAAACAAAGGTCATCAGCTAATTGGTTCATTGCCCGCCACAAAGGCATGCTTCAATGTAAACGATGTCGTTTTGTTTACAGACAAAGAAATGCGTTGGCAAAAAAAAGTGGGACGCGCCAAGCCAATCTATATATTTATTGGCTTTTTTCAATTTGAGTTTCTGTTTATTGTCCCCTTGAGGAGAAAATGTGGCGAAAATGTGGAGCTAGGCGAATCACTTGCTTTACTTTTCATAAACAATACTGCATCATCCATCATTAGACGAAACTTAAGCGACAAGTAAACAAACAAACAATGGGATTTTATGTTCTTTTCGATTACAAAACATTGACTCAATTTCTGTTTTGAAAAGCATAAATACCCTCCTTTTCTTCGTTCTTTTCCGCATCTTACAAGCAATTGATCAACTTTTGTTTACCAAGCCTTCTTTATCGTGCGACTCACTTTACTTTTCTCTTTTATCCTTGTGTTCTTACATCTTTAATTCTCTTACATATATATAACACAAGAACAACAATTATCTTTTCTAGCCTGTTCATCAAGCTTTCTATCCTTATTATTTTTTATTATCTTCTCAAACGCTATTTTATCTGTTCTTTCCAACATGCAACAACCTTCTCAGCCCATTTCTGCTCCACGTAACATTCGCATTAACCGTCCCACGGATGGCCCTATCTTCTCTCCTATGACTTATTGCAATCCTTACATGCCTCCTGTACCTACTAGCATTCCTATGGGAATTATGCAATCGCATATGAAACCAATGAATGTAAGTTTTGCACAAATGCCTTATCCCATACCTTTTAATGTTCTCTGCCAAAACAGTTCTAGTGAACAAGCTAGTATTTTAGCCAACTTTCGCATGGATATCACTCAACGACCTCCTCATCCTCAACCCGCTACTGATACTGATCGAAACAACGGAAATGACTTTACCAACTTTCAAGTTCTTCCTTATGGTTACTGGGATTATCGTGCTGTCCTTATTCACAATATGCCATCTCTCTACAATGTTTCCGAATTTCTAAATCTTGGACGATTTGGAACTCTCGAACGTGTTGTCCCCATTTATGAAAGAAACCAACTCTTCCTTGCTTTTCTTTCCGCTGCTGATGCTCTTGACTTCTATAACGCCGTCCGTTACACCGATTTTACTTTTAAGAAACAGCGACTCATTGTCTCAACTATCGACCCTATGCCTTTGGAACCATCCATCATTGAAGCCTGTCATCGAGGATTTGTTAGCAGAAACGTCCAAATTTCCGGGTTTCCTTTTGATTTTGACGAAGCAGCTTTGATTCAACTTTTATGTTCTCTCGGTAAAGCCGAGCTTATTTCAGTTTGCACGAAAACCGACTCTGTTTACATCCACTACTTAAGCATCACAGATGCGCTTTATTGCATCGATTCTCTTGCTTCCCACCCTTATTATAAAAATTTGAATTGCTGTTGTTTTTATGAAAGATGTGATCGCTACTACGCCACTGACTTCCAAGTCGAGAAAACTGTTGCTGGTTCTAATTTCACTAAACCTGAAGTTGAAGAATCCATTATTCATAAGTCAACTCACTCTTCTACTCAAACGCATGCAAATACTTTCCCTAAAAAGTCCCCAGTCAAGAAATCTATTACCAAACTTGAGCAAAAGGAAATTCCAGCTAACCCTCCTTGTTTGTCTGAAAACGGTGTCCTAGATAAAGAAACTACTAATTCAATCCCTAAGGAAAAAACAGATAAGAATTCTGTCGATACTGGAAAAGCAAAGTCTGTTCATATATCTGAGACTGAAGTAATTCCCTTAGAGAACCATACCAGTCCCAAAAAACCGAGCGAAGAATCTTTTCCTATTTATAAAAATTCTTTACAAAAGAACTCTAACACTGATTTTACAAAAACCAACGTCTCCATTTCCGTTCTTGAATGTCATTCCAAGATTGCTGCCTTACAAAACGTCACCAATACCTCCTCCTCTGTTTGCCATTCATCCAAGTCAAGCTTAAATGAACCTTCTAATGAATCCACTAATACTACGATTTTTCCTGATGCTGATGTAGATGCATCATCTTCTTCCCTTCGCGTACCTTCAGAAAGTAATTCTCTACAGGACAGAAATATACCCACCATTTACCCTAGCTCAAATGATTCGAATGCAATATTTTCTACTATTAATGATCAGGCATATGACAGCCTGTCACCGAATTCTAAACCACATGCCCTCGTTGACTATGAGGCTAAAGATAAAGATCTACAACAATACTCTAATGCAACATCAAATTCCCTCCAATCTTCTGAAGAAACCACTTCTGGTGTGAAAAACTATTCTGATAATGATTCTACCCCAGTGACAAAGAAAGCTTTACCTTTTGTTTCCTCTACTTCAATTGACACAGATACACAAATAAAGACAGCTCGAAATACGGAAATCACCGAACAAAACCTTAGTAGATATGAATCCTTCTCCGAGGACAGTTCCCTTGCTTCTCTTCCCATGCAACATGCCGATAAAAACCCTGCAAATGACTTGAGTAGTCTTCCAAAGCTAACAACTGAGAGTTGCTCATCGAGAAGCTCCTCTGCCCTCACTTCTCCTACCCTTGTTGGCTCGCCGCTTGAAACTTCTGCAAAATCTTTTACTGATTTCTCTGAATACAATGGAATGGATATTATATCAAAGCCTTCCAACGATATTCAACTTGTCTCTGATCTTGACCCTTATTCGAAAAACCGAACTCTTTTCTTAAGCAATATTCACAGAGCAACCAAGCAATTAGAGATTAGCAAGTTGTTCGAAGGGTTTCCTTTAGAAGAAATTCGCTATCTTTCAAAGAAAAAAATATGTTTTGTCACTTTTCTGGAGTCTTATGATGCCAAGATTTTCTTGCACGATCATGAAAAACAGCCGCCTTACCTACATGGTCGCCCAATAAAACTAGAGTGGGCTAAATTTAACAATCCTTTTACTGATCAACTAATATACGCAATTGCTAATGGAGCATCTAGAAGCATTTCCTTTGAAAAAATTCACCCGACTATTACTCGCAACGAACTTGTCTCTGTTTTCAGACTTTATGGTCCTATAGAAAGCTTCCATTTCTCAAAACCAAAAAGTGCCGGATCTATTACCTATAACAGCATATACTCTGCAATGAAGGCAATGGAGTACTTTCAAGCTCATCCAACATTTGAAAAAGCTACCCTTTATTACTCTTATGATGATCATCATGGTCGAAAAAACGTTCTTGTCGATAAACAGCCTTACCTTAAAGGAAACAAAGGTGATTGTATCTTTAAAAAAGTTTCCTTTCAAGAGTCTCCGAAACTTTCCTCTCGCTTTCACGAGTATGATTCGTATTTTCCTTCTCATTCAAAAAGTACCAAATTTCGTCCACCAGCGTGTACCATTTCTGTCAAAGCATAATTCTCCTGCATTGTTTTTGAAATTCGCCTTTCTTTTTGTTTATCCTTTCCTAATGTTATTACGTCAATGTTTGTTGTTACTGTTTGTTTATGTTCACAAATAAAATCCATTCAAAAAATCAAAATAGTTGATTGCAAGTACAATTGTAATCGTTAACTATATATGAAAATGATAATGTACAATAAAGACATTTATAAATCTGATCTTGACAAGAAAATTCACCTTATCCCACAAAGGGTAGTATATTCACCAACAGAAATAACTATTATTTTCATTTTCGTTAACTTAACATAAAATTTTTTTTATGAAGTATATATCTCTTTAGTTTGCTTTCCTTATTGATCGCATATAATTATCATAAGACTCAATTGCAGTTACTCGTCTAGCTATGTACAGTTAATTATGCAGTAGAGGGAGCTTTATACTCATTTGTTAAAATTTCCAGACAAAACGAGTATCTATTATCAGTCATCCTTTAGTATTCTAAAAAAACCTTAGGTACCAAGAACGTTGGACATATAAGTCCTTTTGACTTCAAGCTGCAAAACATATGAAAAGTTTCCAAACACGATGATACCTAGATTGTATCGATGGGTCAAACTCAAATAGCTGTCTAGAGTCGGTCAGCGGTTCATATCTATACTCAACAGTTTATTGAGTATTGATGGCTATGAAGTAGTTTTAACCATTTTAATCAAGCTGCTTGCTAAGTCTCACTTTTTCAGGATTGCAAGTTGGACTTTGTGTTCCTCTCGCTTACGGAATAGAAAAGGCCTGAAACGGAATATTATTTATTAAAACACAAGCTTATATATTCGTTAAGACTACAATCGTAGCAACCATTCATAAACAACTCGTAACAATCATCATCATAAAGCATACGAACTCACTGGCACAAGCAATAAGAACAAAAACCTGTGTCAGATTTCTCTTCAATACTATAAGCTTCTTTCTCTGTAAAATGACTAGCTTGGAAAGCATGCTTTGGTTTAGCACGAACGCTCTTTAAAAGCAATTCGAAATCGCCGCTTTGAGAATCAAAAAAGCTTCGAATCATAAATGAAAACTGTACGATTTGACTAGTATCCAAGGGAGGGGCTCCTTCAACTGGACGACCTCTAAAGGTAGGCTGAAACTCGGAAAATGGCATGTAAATACTTTGGTCCTCTTTCGAAAAGCCTGGACAAAAGTCATATTCATACGATAAAGTAGAGCGCTCATGCTCGTCCTTATTCTGATGATCATCTTTAATAATAAATGTGTATTTGAAATTGTCGCTCTTTGCAATATTAATCTCTATTCCATCAAACTCTCTCAAGTTCCATTTACGGTTAGGGATGTTTGTAGCTTGACTTGCGAATCCAGCACCACCAAGAGTTTTCGTGTCCAAAGTACCCCAAAATCTAGCATAAGAGTTGCTATCGTTATCTTTCTCAGCAGTTAAATGGCTGGTTGATGATCCTCCGCGGACTCGATCATCAACTGCACGAAAGTCTTGCTCGTGCCAGTTTTCTGGTTGACCAAACAATACTAACATTCTTTTATCCAAAAAATATAATAATTAATCAGTCCAAAGATACAAAAGCTATCGACTGCTTGTTGTAGACAAATTTGGGAGTGTGCAAGAAAAAACGCCTATGTCAGACCTAAGTATGGAGGATGGAAGAGCAAATACAAAATCGCAAGTAAAATTAAATACAATTTTGAGACAAAAAGAGATATTATAATAATGATTTAGAAGTAAAATATTATATAGGAGGAAAACGAATGGATGGCAAAGCATCAAGAGTAAAAGCATTATTACGAAAGTTATCAAAGCGTCATTCTATTAACAGAAAAGAAAAAAGGTAAAGATCGTTGCGTAGCATGTAAAAAATAAAAAAAGCCATAAGATACCATAATATATTCTTACGATTTGAGAGCATCTAGCTTTCCACGAATGTCCAGTAACTGTTCGTTGTCAATTTCCTGGTATTCCTGAGTACCATTGCCTCCAGATACGGATGGCAATGTTTGCTCTAACGGACGAACAGGCTCCGGTTCCGGTTTTAATGTTTGATTAGGAACAGGTACAGATGGTTTGACAGAGGACGGCTGGAATTGTGATAGGATTTCTTTGATTTCTTCATCTTCGTCATCGAGCTCTTCAAGGCCTTCCTCTTCGACGGGAAAAATCATTTCGTCACGCATTTCTTCCAAAATACCAGCTCTCGTGAGTTCCATCGATAAATTGCGCATGGTTTGGGAGAGCTGAGGAAGACGAACTAAACTTGAAACACTTTGCATGATAGAGGTGCTTGATTGCATAGCTTTTTCAACTTTGTACATCGCAATTTGATCATTGAGTTGCATACTAAGACTTCCAAGCATGGCTTTTGACTCCGCTAGCTTTTTGCGATGTCGATTGGCTCGAGCGAGTTCTTTGGCTAAGACCCGCATATTTGAGACATCCTGCTGCTTTGCAAGTGCTTTCATTTGTGCCTCAGCTTTCTTTTTACCATTTTGTAAGTACAAGACTTGCCGGTCAATGTTTCGTTGTTCCTTTCGAAGAGTCGACTGCCATTTTCGGTTCTGCTCTTGCGGTGTAGGACCAAACAAATAGGAACGTACAGTCTGCATTTTGGTAAGAAAAAGTGTATGTTCGACTCCGTTCACGCATGCACGGTCAAAAAGACACAATCTCCAAAAAAAGAAAGCTAACTAGTTTTCGGGCTGATATGTTATAACGTTTGAACCTGAAAGAAGCTGTTCAGAGATTTGTTTTCGGAAGCAATCGTAATTGCTATAAAAACTCCAGTTACAGCTCAATTTTTCTTAGATCCACTTCACTTCTTCCAAGGCTTCGTAAGAAAAAGAATCTATCTATATGGAATCCCCAAACACAAAAATCGTCTCGTTTCTCGGTTTTTTAAACAGCGCTTATTCTGGATATGATCTTGTTGCAACAACAGCCGTTTGAAGGTACTGCAAAGTTTTACAGCGAAAAACTGAAAATAAAATTAAAATAAAATTAAAATAAAAAATAAGTAATAGAACAATGTTTTACACACAGGATTCCAAATACTTTTCTAGTACAATCGTGAAGGTGCTGTAGTTAGTTTTCTAGAAAATACCTGTAGTGGTGACATAACCCTTACTATATATACCAAGAACAACCCTTGAACTTAGCAATAGCAATTTACTGGCATATAGAATCAATCCGGTTAGAAACATACGATTTACATTATTTCTTTTCTATTTAACTCGAGAAAGTATTTGATCTTATAAAAATATGAGCACTACTCAAATTCCTGAAGGTATGTGTACAAAACCATGGCGTAGAAGAGATGAATCTTCACTGTATGCATCCGATACCATTTTAATTTGAAATGGATGCACTAGAGTTGCCTAATGGTTGGTTTCGAAACTTGAAACCTGTATGAGGAAGCGATTTGGTTTACTAACTGCATTAGTTCTCTGGGCTCAAAGATCTCACAAGGAGAACCCCGACAAGAATGTTATTTATTTGACTGTAGTCATTCCTGATGCTGTGGAACCTAAAATTAATTTGACATCTGATAAATTGGTTATCGACAGTAAATCCGGAGCTGCTGCTCATTATGCTGTTCAAATTGACTTCTTTAAGGAAATAGACACAGAAAACAGCAAATACTCACTTACCGGTCGTAATATTTTCTTTGTTCTCTACAAAAAGGAACTCCAAGAAGAATTTTGGCCTCGTTTAACTAAGGAGAAGCTTCGTCTTCACTGGCTCCGTACCGATTTCGAACGTTGGGTCGACGAGGATGAACAAGAAGCTCAGCCTGAAGCCGCCGCTAATCCTTTCGGCGCTGGTGGCATGCCTGACTTGAGTGCCTTAGGTGGTGGCATGGGCGGCATGGAAGGCATGGACTTTAGCCAATTGGGTAACATGGGTGGTCAAAATGACGAGGAGGATAGTAGCGAACCCGAACTGGAAGAAGCCGGTGAAGAGGAAGGTGAAGAGAAGAAGGAGTAATTCTGGAACGTTTCCCCCAAATGGGCTGCGTTGCAAGCATTAAAAGTTAAAGTTTTTGACCTTTTCAGTAATTCGTTCAGGCATATTTTCTTTCTTTCTCTATCCCTTCTCTTCTCTGCATGGTTAATGCTTTATGTATGATTTATTACCATGTGCCGTATAAACGTTACGATTTTGTGCATAGAAAGAGTGAACAAATGAATTCTATTATGATTTGATGAACCTATGTCTTCCTTCTGGTCATCGTGGTTTTATATACAAACTTTTTAAGTTATGTTTCGTAGCTACGTATAATTCTCATTTCATTTTTCTAAAGATAGATACTTTCTATTTGTAGTTTCAAAGACAGTATCAACGGTTTCTTGCTTTTAAGGGAATATTGACGTATCATAATAGAAATTTTTCTGTTTGTTTCACCCTAGCTACCGAAAGGTACCAATTCCCAAAAGTATTCAGATTCCTAGGATTTCCCTTGATAGAATGCCTTTTTTATTCAATAGCGCCTAAAAAAGTCGTAGAAGTACTTGTTTTATATGCTGGGTCTGATTTTCTGCTCGCACGTTTCATTAATTCATTCAGGGTGCAGCTTCATATCAATGTGCGATTCTTCTTCCTTGTATTCTATTCTATGAAAATTAACTCGTCAATTCATTTCTTTTGAAAATATCGACGACAATTTGCTTTGTTTACTTCGAATCTCGTTTCTTTGGGTTAGCCAAATACAGTCGTCTTTCTAGAAGGAAATTGATGATGTCCTTTCATTTTTCCTTTCCGAAAATTGAATTTCAACGTATTCTTACATGTCTACTTCGACAATGGCAACTACACTTTCTCCTGTTCCTATTTACTTTCACAAACCTTTTTCTTATCCGTTGTATATTCCAACCAAAGTTCCTATCCAAGAAAGTCAGAAGAGTCTTTTCAAAACATAGATTTATAGAAATTTCCCAGATCTTTCTTTCTTGTATCGCTTGCGTTCTTTCATTGTGGATCCACCCGACGACGCCCTGGTTTCCTCTTCAAGTATTGCTTCATATAGAGTTATTTTGCTTTTACGTTATTTCATCAAGGGATCATTTACAAGCCCCCCTGTTCTGCAATTTAAGCATACTTTATTGTTTCAGTCTGTTTACATTTTCTGTTTTAAACGTCGATTATTTGTCTCGCTTTGCAAGTGAACAACTACAATTATCAACTTTTCCTCGATTACTGAATATTTTCGGTAACCATATTCATGTTTCTTATATAGCGGTTTTGTTTCTTCTGAATCTCTTCCCATTATTCACTCCTCGAGTATGGTATCCAATTCGACCAAATGTTCTTCCTGACATCCCTTCTACCGAACAAACATGCTCCTTATTTTCATTAATATTTACCTATGGATGGCTTAATAATATTATCTGGAAGGCTTGGAAAAGCCCTGTCTCCCTTGCAGATATGCCTGCGTTGCCTAATACAGATCAAACTTTAATATGGTTTTCGGTTTTCCAAAAATATCGGAAAAAGGGACTTTTAACCATGGTCTTGTGCTCATTGCGATCGAATATTCTTTGCCTTGTTTTGCTTTCTGTAATTGTCAGCTTGACTACTTTTATTTCTCCGTATGCTATAAAAAATTTACTTCAGTATCTTCAAAATCATCAAGATGACTCCTCAAACTATCCAATTCATTTGCTTTTGATGCTATTATTTGGGCCGTACGTTGCTTCTGTCATTAAAGAATACAGCGTTCATATCTCAAGACGGTTTATGCTGCGTACTAAGGCAGGCATATCCCAGTTAATTTATGAAAAGGTAATCCATTCCAAGATTTCCCAGATTACCATGGATGGTTCGCAAGCTAATATAGATCATATATATAATCTGCTTGCTTCGGATGTCGACAACATTGCTAACATGAGGGAATTCATTGGTTTTATTGTCCGAGGTCCTATTGATGTAGGAATAGCAATGTTTTTCTTATACCAGTTACTCGGCTGGAGTGCTTACGTTGGTGTACTTTTGGCAATTGTTAGCGCTCTTCTTCCTCTTTTGATATCCTCCAAGTTAGCCGAGCTTACTTCTATATCTAATCGTTCCAGTGATGATAGAATTCGATTTACTACAGAAGTTTTGCGGAGTATCAAAGTTACAAAGTTCTTTGGTTGGGAAAAGCCAATGCTCCAAAGGATTCAACAAAAACGCAATAGTGAGATAGCAAATATTTGGAAGTTAAATCTTTTTGATATTACTTTTAAAAGCTGTATGAAAATTGCCCCTTTTCTAAGTATGTTTATAACATTTGCAACGTTCACGAAAATAATGGAAAGGGAATTGTCCCCTTCCATAGCTTTTACTTCTATTTCCCTTTTCTCTGTACTTCGGAATCAATTTATAACTCTTTCAGGTATACTTCGACAAATGATTCAGTTTCGTGTTTCTCTTAATCGCATTAGTTTGTTCTTGGCGAAGGGTATAGAACCAGAGCAAAATCCGCTCGACTTTGAAGGGATTTCATTCAGGCATGCTTCCCTATCTTGGTGTCCATTTCCTTCTTCTGCTCAATTCCAGCTTCGAGATTTGAATTTTACGATTCCACGTAGTCAATTTACGTTGGTTGTAGGAGCTACAGGTTCTGGGAAGTCAACACTAGCTGCTGCCATCCTCGGTGAATTGCATCTCACGAGCGGCGAAATGAATGTTCCTTTGAGGGAGGAATGTGTTGGGTATGTCCCCCAAACATCCTGGCTTAGGAATGACACCATCCGTGCTAATATTCTTTTCGGTGAAACCTTTGATGAATATAGATATTATAAAGTAATTGAGGCTTGTTGTTTAGAAGTGGATTTCGAAAGGCTACAAGCGGGTGATTTAACTTTTGTCCAGTCAAATGGATTCAGCCTTTCTGGTGGACAAAAGCAACGGATTTCGCTAGCCCGTGCTTTGTATTCGAATGCCAATGTTTATATCTTTGATGATATTTTTTCAGCTCTAGATATTGCAACTTCGAAGAAAGTTTACAAAAATTGCTTTGATTCTGGGCTCTTAAAAGGAAAAACAGTAATCTTGTTTACTCATAATATCAATATGTGTCTTTCTATAGCAGATATTGTCATCTTGCTGGAGAATGCTACAGCTAAACTTTTACCTTCGAAAGAAGTAAAACAGCAGCTTCCTTCTAGCCTTTTTTCCCAAAATAATGACAATAGTCATTATTCTTCGCAAACCACCTTTTTGTCTGATCCTTACGAGAATTTCCATGAAGAAAATCTCGTATCTTCAGAAGAGGAAATCTCACCAGAAGTTTCTAATGCGATTAAGCCGAGTCTTCCTTCCTTAGCGTTTCAGTATATGCGATGCTTTGGATCCACATCTTTTCTTACCCTTTGTGCGTTGTTTGTAGTATTAACTCAGGTGATGATAGCATGCATAGACTTTTGGATGGCCTTATGGTCCGGTCAATCTCATAAAGGACTGATGCTTCCTTTTCCAATGTCTTTCCTGCAGGGGTATGCATTTCTCTTAATATTTTACTTCTTTATAGATTTAATACGTGGAATATTTTTTTCAACCGGAGGCCGTAAAGCTAGCAGATCTATTCATGAACGGGTCTCAGAACATGTTTTTTGTAGTCCACTACAATGGTTTGAGAAAACCGCAATAGGAAGAGTCATAAACAGATTTTCAAAGGATATATCTTCTGTGGATAACTATTTATGGGTTTCGATTGAAAATATTTTATGCTGTTTAATGGCATTGTTAGTGGGCCTTGGAAATGTTACAATTGTTATGCCCGTATTTATTGCTCCAGCCATTTTTGTTTGCATAGTTGTATATGGATTTGCGTATGTTTATTCAAAGGCGCAAAAACAGCTTACTGCTTGTTCTTCTTCCCAAATATCGCCTGTGTTTAGCTTGTTAGGTGAAACTCTTTCTGGATTAACTGTTATTCGTGCATTTCGAAAGGAAGAAGCGTTTGAAATAGAGAACATGGCTGTCCTTGACAATATGCTTCAGTCCCAGTTCGTTTCGTATGCGATTAACCGCTGGCTAGCGATTCGTACTGATGGCATTAGCGGCTTGGTTGGATTTCTTACAGCGTTTATTGCTTTATGGAAGCAGAACATACCTACAGAACTTGTTGGGTTTTCTCTGAACAGTGCAGTTGGACTTAATCTTTGCGTTTTGGTTTTTGTTCGAGCTAGTAATGAGTTGATTACACATCTGAATAGTTATCGAAGACTTAATGACTATATTAATCTTCCTCTGGAGGAGGATTCGACCGCATGCCACTCCCATTCGCAGGATGATGAATGGCCCAGATTGGGGTCTCTAAATGTGCAGGAATTGACAGTTCAATATGGCATGAATTCGCCCCCGGTACTTGAAGGGGTAACTTTTGAGGTTGTGCCAAAGGAAAAGCTTGCCATCGTGGGACGAACAGGAAGTGGTAAAAGCACCTTGGGATTGAGCTTACTTCGATTTACAAATCAAACAAGAGGGAACATAGAAATTGACGGTGTCGATGTAAATACACTACAATTAGAGACTCTTCGCCAGCGAGTAAGCCTCATTCCGCAAGATCCTGTCTTGATTTCAGGAACAGTTCGGAGCAATTTGGATCCATTCGAATATGTGAGTGATGAAGAACTAAACGCTGTACTGAAAGTAACGTCTTGTGAGACTTTGGTGACATCGGCTTCAGGAAGTGCGGGATCGTCGTTTGCGATTCACTTGGACACTCCTGTAGAAACGGGTGGTACCAATTTTTCACAAGGACAAAGACAGATTTTGGCGCTTGCTAGAGCGCTTGTTCGAAAGTCTCGCATCATTATTTTGGACGAAAGTACAGCTTCAGTTGACGACGCTACAGACCGCCGAATTCAAGAGATGTTAAGGGTCGTTTTCCGGGACGCAACTGTGTTGTGCATTGCACATAGAATCAAAACGGTATTAGATTATGACAAGATCTTGGTTCTAGACTCAGGAAAAGTAATAGAATACGGATCTCCGAAGTCACTGTTTTTGAAGCGTGGTTCTTTTTGGAAAATGTGTCAACAAAGTCAAATATCGCTATAATTAATGATTGTTTGATTACGAGCCACTCATATGAAATAAAAATAGAATACTTTTAAAGGGAATATCTTTGAAAGGACTGCTGCTGACAACCAGAAAGGTCATTCATAACCAATTTTAGCATTTAAGATAATTAGAATTAGAATATCGTTAATTAACAAGGATCATATATGAAAGGACGAAGAATGTATTGTAAACGCTAATAACATGAATGGCTACAGTGTAAAAGAAAAAGAATTAGTTTATTATCCACTACTAATATCCACTACTAATTCATGAGGTAAACAAGATTGCAAAATTGGATAATGAGAAACAGGGAAAAAGATTTCTACAAAAAATAAAAATCTATTAAGAGACGTTGCAAGAAATGAATAACGTGTTAACGAACGCCTAACTTGACAGAAGATTATTATTGCTTTGAAAGCATTATTCATTTATTAATGTAGTATAACAAAGCCTGCGTTATAATAATTAACGGAAACGTATTGGAAATGAATGAATTCGTGCTTGGGTTGTTTCTACGAAGAGGCTGACGAAAGGCAAAGACATACCACATGTGCAAGGTTATGGAAGGAGGATTTCATTCGCCAATGTCATACCTTTAATTTTCAGTTCTTTTTCTGCTTTGTATTGATCGCTCGTCTGACTTTATCGGGGAAAAAAGCTTCGCAGTTTTAAACCATCCCGTCGCACTTTATTGTTGCTGACTAACCGCCAATAAACACCGAGCAAAACTGGACAAACGTTACAAAGGGATTCGATCGTAGCAAATTAACTTTCATAAGAGAGAGGTCTGTTTCTGTTCACTTTTGCACTTAAGAAACGTGATCATATCATTCGAATCCCCGATTCTGGTCAAAATCAGGCATTTCTTTTTATGTGAATTTAATAATTAATTATAATACTATTAATTTCATTACTTTATTTTAATGTTAGAGTTTGCTTTTCTGGAATTTCTTTTTCTCGCAGTTCTTTCCTCACTTCCCAACACGCCAGCTATCGTAGAAAATTATGCATCGCTTTCTACAAACCTTAAGCAGTACGGACGAGGCTTTCAACTGCGGAAGTTCCTCGCCCGAGCACTTCTCTTTGCTCTTGATAGTCGCTACCTATAAACCTTCTCCTCCACCAAAAGGGTTACCTCCACCTTTTTATCCACATATAGCTTAATATATCGACATGAAGTCACCGGTCAACCACTAATCCCATAGGGATCATGTATGTTTTGATGATTGGCTGTAGTTGCTGATTATCATTGGCTAATGTATTCGTCATATTACGTAATGTAACTGTGGTGTCAGGCTTCGCCCTTTGAATTATTTCATCTCAGACATCTTTGTCCCTCCTCTCTGTGTCATGGTTGGTGCCACTTTTTCTACAATTCGTTTGTATGCTGCTTGACAAACCAGCCAATCACAAATTGTCATAGATGATATATAAGACCCATCGGCGCCGTCGAATATAGTTACTTTGCAATCTTCGTTCTTATTTTTTATTTAATTTTCTTGTATTAAAGAGTTTCGTTTCTCTACTTCTAGCAGCGAATTTTGGGTATCCGTATTCGTTGACTTATTAATTTCTTATATCTTATTTTGCAATTGCCTTTTCTGTTAAGAGAGAAGGATAAAAGAGAACAACTTTTTTTGATTCTCTTGAGTTGCTTACGTTGCAATTGATTATTCGTACACCTTACTATCTTTTCGTTTCTGTTTCTTCGAAAGGTTTCTTTGAACTAGCTATATAGACATCCTTTCTACATTTTTCTTTTATTTTCTTGTTTGGTTTTGTTGTGGAATACTTTTAAACCTTGATTTCTTATATTTCTTTTATCTATTTCGTTTTTGCACTACTATTATACTATCATTATGTCTTCTGTTCGTGAAGTTGCAAACGTTCAAATTTCTATTCCTACTGGTAAGACGTATGAACAACCTGTTGGTTTGTTCATTAACAATAAACACGTTGATGCCGTCAATGGAGGTCGCGTGAAGGTTTTCTCTCCTTCTACCGAAAAGCTTGTTTGCGAAGTTGTTGACGCTGACGAAGAGGATGTCGATATTGCCGTTAAGGCCGCTCGTGCTGCTTTTCAACCTGATGCTCCCTGGCGCAAATTCTCTAGTGCCGAACGTGGTCGTTGTTTGACCAAATTGGCTGACTTTATTGAGCAAAACTTGGAATATCTTGCTTCCATTGAAACTCTTGATAATGGTAAGAGTATTACTTTGGCACGAGGTGATGTTCAAGCAGCTGCTAATTGCTTCCGTTACTATGGTGGTTGGGCCGATAAGGATTATGGTCAAACCATTGAGACCGATACTTCTCGCTTTGCTTATACTCGTCATGAGCCTATTGGTGTCTGTGGTCAAATTATCCCTTGGAACTTCCCCTTCCTTATGTGCTCTTGGAAGATCGCTCCCGCTGTTGCCTGTGGTAACACAGTTATCTTGAAGACTGCCGAGTTGACTCCCTTGTCTGCACTTGTTCTTACTCAATTTATCGAACCCTCTGGCTTCCCTCCTGGTGTCATTAACGTCCTTAGCGGTGATGGTCGTCGTTGCGGTAATGCCATGGCTTGCCATATGGATATTGACAAGATTGCCTTCACTGGTTCCACCGGTGTTGGTCGTATGGTAATGCGTTCTGCTGCTGCCTCCAACTTGAAGAAGGTTACTCTCGAGCTCGGTGGTAAGTCTCCCAATATTATTTTTAATGACGCCGACTTGGAGGAGGCTGCCGTTTGGGTTAACTTTGGTATCTTCTATAACTCTGGTCAAGTCTGCTGTGCTGGTAGCCGTGTTTATGTTCAAGAGGGCGTCTATGACGAGTTTGTTCGCCGCGTTGTTGCTAAGGCTAAATCTTTGAAGGTTGGTGATCCTTTTGATGAGGAAACCTTCCAAGGTGCTCAAGTTTCTAAGCAGCAATATGAGCGTATCATTGGCTACATCGAGAGTGGTATTCAACACGGTGCCAAGCTTGAGGTAGGTGGTAAGCCCCATGGCCATCTTGGTTACTTTGTTGAGCCTACCATTTTATCTGGTGTTACTGAGGATATGGCCGTTGGTAAGGAAGAAATTTTCGGTCCCGTTTTGGCCATCATTAAGTTCAAGACTGTTGAAGAAGCTGTCCGTCGTGGTAACAACAGTACCTTTGGCTTGGCTGCTGGTGTTCACACTAAAGACCTTAAAAATGCTCTTAAGGTTAGCAACAGCTTGGAAGCCGGTACCGTCTGGGTTAACTGTTATAACCTTTTGCACCACCAAATTCCTTTTGGTGGTTACAAGGAGAGTGGTATCGGTCGTGAGCTCGGTTCATATGGTTTGACCAATTACACTCAAACTAAGTCTGTCCATATCAACCTTGGCATGGGACTTCCCATCTAAACTTATTTAGAATGATCAAAAATTGATTTTTGAGGACAGTATAGCATGTATTATCATCCTCAAAACTCCCCCTTTTGCTTTTTATCACCAAACCTTCTTTCATCTTTTGTATGTGTGCGAGGCATGATCAATTAAGTTTTATTGACAATGATTGCACTGCGATGTCCCTTTTTTATGATCTTTATTTTATTCTAGTTATAATGGTTTAGGAACAAGGTAATTGAATAAGAATCCTCATTTATTAACGATATGAATCTTATTTTTTTTATTATTTTACGAGAAAGTAAGTTGTTTAAAAGTTGAGAAAGGAAAAGCTATTATTTTCAAAGAAAGCAAACATCAAAAATTATTGTACAGTTGCTCCAATTCTTCTGGGGACAGGCAGATTTCCAATAGATACGAACCCAAAGAAGCGGTTTCTGACGCATCGTCGCCAAATAAATGGTTTTCCAAATCGCCGAATGTACATGAAGCCAAAGCATAAATAAACCGCGAATGTAGACCGTTTCCGGCACTCATGAGCCTGGAGGACAAATCAGCAGGAGCAATTAGATACAAAAGTCGAATAATGGACACTAGTATTTCAGCAGTATCCGATGTATCGAACATAGCAGACAGAAGCCGTTGATGGTACCAACATAAGCCAAGAGCAAAGCAAGGCATAATTGGAAAACAGTTCCGAAGGATTTCCGTGGTGATCGATCGGTTTTTTTGCAAAAAGTTTGTGAATAGCGATATAATAATACGATGAATTTCCTTCCACTTCATAATGGAATAAACATCATTATCTTCCCGTGTTGGTTCTACGAATATATGAGAAATCGTAGTTATCAATCGCAAAATTGAATCTCGTCCAGTTTCGTCTGTATTTACAAATTTGATTGATGCACAATAAGAAACTGTCGTGGAACTCATGAGTAACAGTAAGCCTTCTTTGATGAGAAATAGAGAGTCATGAAGCAGAAGACAATGGTAAAAGACTTCGTGTTTTATTTGCCCAGCTACCTCCTCGAATTTTGATGGAGCTAAGTCGGATACGATTGGCATGTAGAATCGTAAAAACTGGACTAGTGGTTGAAGTACTCCTGGGGAAGTTGTATGGTTTTTAGAAGCAATGGCCTCGATAGCATTACTTATGAGAGCCGGAATGTGTGTATGTAAAAGTAAAACGCAACTATCAGGTTCAAAAAAAACAAGACCCTCTAGGAGTTGAACAAGGCCGCGTAAAGGCTTGAAAAACTCGTGTGTAACGGCCATTTTGAAAAGACTGACAATAGCTTGAATAACAGATTTTTGATATTCATCATACTCTGATGACAAATCAGAGTTATATATGTAGTTGCATAATGATTCGTAAAGTTTAAAACAAGGCTGAAAAGACTGAAACTCCTCAAACAAAGGTGAATAACAATTCAGTATGTTCGTTAAATTTCGCGACAACTATAAATTTATTAGAAAAAAAGTACTCAAGAGCTCTTACTAAAAAAGCTTACAAATAAAATTTCTTCTCTCTTTTGGAAGATGAATAACTCCTGTATCATACTGTTCGAATACATCGGAAAAGACATATCATGTTGCATATTCGATTCTTTCGACTTGGAACCCTCTACATATTGGGGTAATGATATTTTTCGTTTTTTCTTCAGCGTCCCAGGTTTCGAGGCTGATTTTGCCTTATGGGACGGTTCAGCCTGAGAAGCCGAAGGAAATAAATGGTCTACACTTGGAAACCCATCTTTGTTAGGCTTTTGGGAAGACGTCGATAAAACAGAGGTCTGTTTCGGATCCCGTTGTAGTTTCTTCATAGCCTCGACGGCTTCTTGGGCTTCACGTTCATGAAAGAGAGATTTCGTTTTCGCATATTCAATCTCATTTTGAAGCTCGTCTAGCTTTTTTTGATATGATTCTTGCTGTTGTTGAATAGACCTGTTAAGTGACTCTAGCGTTAAGTTATTTTGTTCGGCCTGTTTGGCAATGTTCGAGCGTAGAATTGCATTCTCACCGCCTCTGATGAGTAATTGCTGTTGGAGATCCTGAGAACCCAGATTTCCGTAATCGAATACTTGAGACAGCGGGGGTTGTGAGCCCAACGGATTTACAAGGGTCGTATGAACAGAAGAAACTTGGGTAGGTTTCTGGGAAAGCACTTGTTGTTGAGCTTGCTGCTCTAGCTCATCCAAATTTACGCCTTGAAACAGATCATTTACGTTAATGTCTGCAAATTCTAAGTCATCATCTGAAGACATGGGCAGGTCACCGAAAATATGTTGAATTCACGTTCATGGACGTGTATCCAATGAAACAGATAGGAGAAAATAAAAAAATTGAAGGAAAACCAGTTCTTGTCCGTTCTTCTACTCGTAAGACAGTTCTGAAACTGAGTTTACATCGTTAGTAAAAGATCGCTCAAACGCGGAAAAATAGTACCTAAAAAAAGATCAAAGCAAAGTATCGAAATTCATTTATTCGAATAAAACAGGTGTTTGACCAGGAAATCCTCCCTATTTTATATGCAATTTAATGTAGAGGTCGTTTGTTTACAAAACGCGTTGAGACGCGTGGTTAATGAATCTTAGCGCGCTATTTAGTAAAATTTGGTTTATGGTTTAGTGCTGTGCTGCGTTCTTACACTTTACAAATATTTGCGCGACTTTGCTATTTAGTAAATATTTACGAAAGAAAGCCAATAAAAATTTAAACGAGATTGGAAATGAGCATCATTTGTCAATCGTGATGGCTTCAGGTTTTAGTTCTTTTATTTAAAGCAGACGGGTAAATGAAATTCTCCCGATTTTTTTTTTTTTATATCTACAGCCAGTTTTTTTTATGCTTCCTTACATGAAGAAACCGATTTCAAAAGCCGTAGATTGGAATGAGAGAATCATCTCTATTCATACGTTATGCACAGTTTGGAATGACATTTATTTATCCTGAGGGCAAATGTAAATACTTGACACAAACAGTTGAATACACTGCATGTAAACACACTTCATAAGTAACATTGTCCTTTCGCCTCAATTATCAGATCAACACTCAATGAGCGTGAAAACGAGGGAAATAACAAATGACAAAAAAATCCAAGGCATTGTCCTTGCTTTTCAGCTACTTTATCATTGTCTAGTAAAATAATTATCTTTCATGCTGAAGAATCTGTAGGTACTTGTCCTTGTAAGTTGTGACTTGAAGGATTACAAGAAAATTGAGCTTCTCAGGCTAAACTTCTTGGCAAACATAAACATTAATTCGACTGACTCGTGAGTGAAATCAGGTACATATTATATTGACAAAGAAGATGCAAATAGTCTGCTCTATAGCATGCGCAGCGGCCATAAATGCTACTTGTCTCCAGAACCGTTGGTATTACCTATGGTCCTTGGACTTCATAGAAGCAACTGAAGTGTGCCAGAATTCACGTCAAAGCATTTATACCCTTGTTGTAGTCATAGAGCACGATTAATGGACGAGAAATCAGAATTTAATGAAAATATGTTATGTTTTTACAGATGCCTTTTTTATGAGTGAAAAGAAGCGTTCGAATTGACCAAATCTCATTTACAGCAAGTAAACAATGATTAAAATACACAAGTAATGTAAAACACAATATTTTCAGTAATTATAATGTATCAGGATGGCTTTCTTGCATCCACTCTTTCAGAGCTTCCAGGGACTCCCACCACCGTTCATTTTGTCAAAAGCAACTCTCCTCAATGTCAACAAAATCCTACGATTATTTAATAAAATTGCTTCTTATTGGAGACTCAGGAGTAGGAAAGTCATGTCTTCTTCTACGGTTTTCCGAAGATTCCTTTACGCCATCTTTTATCACAACGATTGGAATTGACTTCAAGATTCGCACCATCGAACTCGATGGTAAGCGCATTAAACTACAAATATGGGATACGGCAGGCCAGGAACGATTCCGTACAATTACGACTGCATACTATCGGGGAGCAATGGGTATTTTGTTATTGTATGATGTTACAGACAAGAAGTCGTTCGACAACATTCGAACGTGGTTCAGCAATGTAGAACAACATGCCAGTGAAAACGTTTACAAAATTTTAATCGGAAACAAGTGTGATTGCGAAGATCAAAGACAAGTATCGTTTGAACAAGGACAAGCTTTGGCTGATGAACTTGGAGTAAGATTCTTGGAAGCTAGTGCGAAGACCAATGTCAATGTGGAGGAAGCTTTCTTTACTCTTGCTCGTGAAATAAAAAAGCAGAAGATTGATGCCGAGCATGAATTCAACAATCAAGGGAATAACGTTGATTTAGGAAATGACCATTCTGTAAAGCGTTGCTGTTAATTCCGCTTTTCTGTACATGGCACTGTTCTTATTATCTTGCGTTTCCCTTTTTGATACTTCATTAGCAGCATCGTCTTTTTATTGGCTTGGCATTGTTTCTTGCTCTTAATGAATTCATTATGATACTGATAGGTTGGCTTTGTTCTATTAATCCATTAGGCTTGCCAGTCGGATTCTTTTTTATTATTATTGTTTTTTCATTTTTTATATGGTGTTTCAGCTTGATGCTTTCTGATGGATGATAGATAGTTCGCGTCGTAAATTCCGTTTCTTTAATGCTTTTACATACATAACATAAATCTCATGTCTAATATCAACTTTCTATTTTTGTCAAACTTCTGGTGGTACCTTCGTTTTTGCGGTATTTAAAAATCCTCTTTTGAGTTAAACTGCTCGTAAAATGTCTCTAATCCTCTCTCCCCTTTATATATATAATGGAGTATAAAGAAAGATATACAACCTGAAGAGCGCAAAATAGATAGTGAATAGCAATCATTTCTGCTGGTGTTATACTAATACTGCAAGAAACTTTGTTTTGTACTTTATTTACGCATTACTGAAAAAGCAAGCATATAGAATACATAATCTTCTATTAGCCTGAAAACAAGCGGCTTGAATGAGAATTGTTTAAAAAGTGGTTCTTGTAAAAGGAAGAATAATGGATCTATAATTTGCTTTGGTACAGCAAATAGTCAATGTGATCAAATGGAACTTTTTTTTGTTTATAACATTACGGTAAGCAATCAAGTTTTTCCCACTTCTCTAATACGAATCAAAAAATAAATTTTAAAACACTTTTACACGAAAACAATCTTTTGGAATTGTCTCGGTCATGAATTTCTATTTGTAGATAATCAAATTGTGTTTACCTGATCTTATTAACGAGTTATAATGATTGATCACTGATAGCACAGTGCAACGATAAACTGAAGATGGTTTGCCCACAACGTTAACTTTCCATGCAAAAACCAACCTTCCAAAAACCAACAACGTCGAGTTGGAAAATCAAAATGTCAAGCCAAGTTACTTATTTGTCTACTCGTGGCGGATCTTCAAACTTCTCTTTTGAGGATGCTGTGGTATGTGAGAATGGGTGTTCATATGTGGTTTTGCTCAGTCGCTAATGAATTGTAAACTAGTTGAAGGGATTGGCCAGTGATGGCGGTTTATTCATCCCAAGCGAAATTCCTCAATTTCCCGAGAATTGGGTTGAGGAATGGAAGAATAAGAGCTTTTCAGAAGTCGCTTTCGAAATTATGTCCTTGTACGTTCCTCGCGAAGAGATTCCCGCTGATGCTTTGAAGGATATAATTAATCGCTCATATTCTACCTTCCGTCATCCGGAGACTACTCCAATCAGAAATTTGAAAAACGGTCTTGATGTTCTTGAACTTTTCCATGGTCCAACCTTTGCTTTCAAAGATGTTGCCTTACAATTTCTTGGTAACCTCTTTGAATTCTTTCTGACTCGTAAAAATGGTGACAAGCCTTTGGAACAGCGCGATCACCTTACTGTTGTTGGTGCTACTTCTGGTGACACTGGAAGCGCTGCTATCTATGGTCTTCGAGGAAAGAAGGACGTTTCTGTCTTCATCTTATTTCCCAAGGGACGCGTTTCTCCTATTCAAGAAGCCCAGATGACTAGTGTGTTGGATAAGAACGTTCACAACATTATTGTTGACGGTGTGTTTGATGACTGCCAAGACATCGTCAAGCAAGTTTTCGGTGACGTTGAATTCAACAAAAAGCATCATATTGGTGCCGTAAACTCTATCAATTGGGCCCGTATCCTTTCTCAGATCACTTACTATGTCTACGCTTACCTTTTGACAGTCAAGGCTGGTAAGGCTGACCATGTTCGCTTCGTTGTTCCTACTGGTAATTTTGGCGATATTTTAGCTGGTTATTATGCCAAGCGTATGGGTGTTCCTGCTGATAAGCTTGTCATTGCCACTAATGAAAATGATATCTTAAACCGCTTTTTTAAGTCCGGTCGTTACGAGAAAGTCGATTCTAGCATCGCTCCCGCTAACTCTTCTGCTTCTGCCAAGGAAACTTATTCACCTGCTATGGATATCTTAGTTTCCTCAAACTTTGAACGTTATTTGTGGTATTTAGCATTGACTTGCGAAGCTCCTAACCATACTCATGCTGAAGCCTCCGATATCTTGGCCAAGTGGATGTCAGAATTTAAACAAAACGGCTCTGTTGCTGTTCGTCCAGAAGTTTTGGAGACTGCTCGTCGTGATTTTATCAGCGAGCGTGTTAGCAATGATGAAACCATTGCTTCCATAAAAAACATTTATGAGACTGAACAATATGTTGTTGACCCTCATACCGCCGTTGGTATTGAAACTGGTTTACGTTGTTTGAAATCATCTCCCGGTATCACATATATTTGCCTTTCTACTGCTCATCCTGCTAAGTTCGATAATGCTGTGAATCTTGCTCTTAGCTCTTTCTCTGGATACGACTTCAACAGCCAAGTCTTACCTACTGAATTTCACGGCCTTATGGATGCTGAATGTCGTTCCATTGCTTTCGGCAAGCCAAACATTGAACGTCTTGAGCAACTTATTGAAACCGCCCTTGATGAAGAAAAGAAATAAAGGAAAAGGTCGCTTAATACCCAAGAACCAATATACCTTTGTAGTTAGAACATCCCTTTTTTTGTCTTTTGTATATTAATTTTGTTATAGTTTTGGTACCTCAATGAGAGAATAAAAGATTTTCATTATATAGAATTGAGCAATTAATTTTCTTTGTGGAGTAAATACTTGATTGAAGTTAAATAGAAAGTTGTATAAGAGACATGGTAACTATGGAAGTTTGTATTATGAATCAATTTCATAATCTGGTGCTGCTACACTTTCTTTATGGTGAAAAACAAGCATGAAAATAAGATCAGTTTTTTATGCTTTTAAGGGCGAATGAAACACAGAAGTTTTCAAACTGAACATCTTTCTAATTGAAATAGGCATTGCCTAAAATAAAATATATTTTCAAATTACAATAATACCAAGCAAAAGGAAGTTACAAAGATTAATCAGGATTGAACTTATGAATGTTTAAAATCAAAATCAGTTCAACAGAAAAGAAAGAAAATAAATAACTTAGTGAATGAATTTTCTGATCGCCGAACCTGAAAAGACAGCATTGAATCAATCGTCAACCACCTGAAACTTGTATTGGTCTATTTGCTGAAAATACTGTCTCAAGTCTTCCATACGCTTTTGCTGTTCGTCGTCTAGTACTTTTTTTCCCTCTTGGTCTTCATCGCTAGAAGAGCCATCGGTTGATCTCTTATTATCATCATACTGTGAATTGAGATTTTCGTTATCCAATGTAAACGAAGAGTCCGACTGCCTACGAGAAAGCTTCATTCGTTTCGACTGTTTCCATAGTGTCTCTGACTCTCCCGACTCGGATTCAGATGCTGACGGTAAGGGTGATGAGTTAGGAACAGTGTGTAGAATGGAAAGATCCACCTCATTATTCCTGCGAGCAGGACGCTGTCGCAGTCGCTTTTTGAGGTTCCCATGAGGAATAGGAACAAAACGTTCCAACTGCCGAGTCGTCGCTTCTTTCGGGAACGAGGACCGTGAGGATAGTTTGGATGAAGAAGGTGGATGCATCGAAGAAGTTGTAACAGAAGACATTGGAATAGGAGAGGAGGGGGTGGAGCTAAAATTGGGAGGAGAAGAAGCAGGTAGAGGTACTTGTTTCGGTGAAGAGGCAGATAAAGGTGGAGGATGTCTTGAATGAAGGTTGAAGGAATGAGGGTCTTCTACATTTTTCAGAAATTCGTTCTCGTTTACAACGGGAGGAGAGGAAGATAGAATTCTTTCAAAACCGTCTTGATCCGTTACGCCAACGTTCACTGCTTGATTTGCACTGCGTAAAACAGAAGAGTCCGATTCCAACGTCGAACTAAGACGGACCCCCTTAACAGAATCAAAGCCAAAAGGATCATTTCTGATTGGAATTGGCTGGGGAACCTGTATGCTCAGTAATTGACGCGCATTTAGTTTTGTATTCGACGTAGACGACTGCTCTGTCGAATTCAAACGAGAAGCTCCTGACGAATTACGTTCCATAAAAGAAATAAATATACAAAGTCCTTTCTATGATTTGTTACAATATCATACTTGAAGGTCCTTTCAGGCCGACGCGTTTTGGATTTTCTTACCGTAGAAAGGCGATTTTGTTTTCTTCCAAAGATGCTACCTATTCGTTACTTAATATAGAAAAAAGTTTTTTTAAAGTCATTGAAAATGTTAGGATTGTATAGTGCAGTAATTAAAGTGGTAAGTTGTTTTCATTTAGCATGTCAAAAATAAACAATTCAGAAAAAGAAACAGAGAAAATTATTTCATGTGTATTTTCATGATGGAAACGATATCGGAGAAGTGTAGATCACAAACTTTATTATTCAGTTATGTCAATTTAAAATACGAAAATCATAGAAAACTTGGCTATATATAAAGCATTGGTTAAAAACAAGATGATAGGAACATATAAAAAAATAAAGACAGAATAACGACCAATGTAGAAATTCATTCTGACTAGACAACGGCTTCTTCAGGTGAGTAAGGAAATTTCCTAAAAAAGTATGACATAACGAATGAATGCTTACAAACAGTACTATCATTAAATGTCTTTCTTTTTCTCCAAAGTTTTGGTAGCCTCAGCGTATTTATCAGACAAAGCAGAGTACTCTTTATCACGAGATTCAAGTTTGGTGCGCAATGTATCGAGTTCTTCTAAAGACTTAGTGTCAGATTTGTTGGATTTGAGTTCGGATTGAAGAGCTTCAACTTTTTCTTCAGAAGCAATCAGGGTTTTGAGAGAGAGGTAATAACGGTTAACGACCAAGGAAAGAAACAAAGCAGATCCACAGAGATACAAGTTTCTTTGTGCATAAAATTGACCAGCCTTAAACCCAGTACGAGCATTTTCAGCGGTAGTAGAACCGGCTCCTGACATATCAAATTCGGTACTAATGCGAACCACTCTACGAACAGAGTCGGAAAACAGGACCAAAATACAAATGATCATAATCTACAAAGCAAGCCCATTAGTATAAGGTTCAAAAAAAGAAGCAGAGGCCAGCCCTTCTTGATGATCAACATCTCTAAAGTATTTTTTGTAGCATAGCATGGCAAGCTAGCGAACGGGCATCATTTTAAGATTCAACCTGACAAATAACTAGTCTATCCAGTTTCGAGAGGAACCTATCGCTTCAGCCCAATCTGCCCAAGCTACAAAGTCACTCACTTAGAGATGCGACTTCTTCCATTCCTTTGTCTTACTTACCTTTAAAGTATGCTCAATTTTACCAGCAATAGGAGAGTTACTGATGGTGTTCAAGATAGCTTTTCTCACCCTCATAGGCAATGGTAAGCTAAGTATCACAAATGATACTATTTCTAGCATCAGCAGAATAAATACAATCATATAATAGATCGTCATTTTGGCGATTTTTCCTAATCCAAACGAATTTGGCTTTGGTAAAAGTTGACTGTGAATTCCTTCAAGATTCCCTAGGTCTCTTGTAGCACTAATTAATGACGTAAGCTTAACGAGCAATGAACAGGTTCATAAAATGGTTCCACGAAACAATAGAAACAGGAGATTCAGAATAAAAGAAGCTCTCACATTTGTTTTCGTAGCTTTAGAAATGTAAAGTACATTGGAGTTGATAGCAGATAAAAGTGTTGTGTGGTAAATACAAAGACAAGTAAAGAAATAAAAGCCGTCACCATTTCTATAAAGAAAACGTTGTAATTGTTTTGGTCTTGGACGATGGTACTGGTTTCAACTTGTACCTATTTATCCTTTTCAAATGTTCAATTATAATTTGAATGAAATTCCTCAAACAAAATTTCCACGTTTCAAGGACTTAATCACTCTACGAAATTACATTTACATTTGGACAGACTCCTTCTCACAAGATAACCTATGCTTTATTAACGACAATCTCTATGCAAATAATTATTAAGAAACATAGTGAAAACATCAAACAAAATAAAAAATCTTCAATCTTTTAATACTAAATATACATTCCTTTACCAGTCACTGCGACCACTGGTAGATTGTTTAGGTCGAGAAGGACTCAGGCGAGCACGGCTACGTCTGATGTTCATCCAAGGGAAATTTTTCTCTCTAGCGGATTCAAAAGCATCAATCTTTGTGGCCTTTTGCAAGGTTAAGCCAATGTCGTCAAGGCCATTGATCAGACAGTGCTTACGGAAGGACTCGACTTCAAACTTGATCTCCTTGCCGTCATAACGAATGACTTGATTAGGCAAGTCTACAGTAAATTCTAACTCCTTCTCAGCAGCAGCCATTAATTCATTGACTTGCTCAACAGGTAAGGGAATAGGCAACATGCCGTTTTTGAAGCAGTTATTAAAAAAGATATCAGCAAACGAAGGAGCAATTATAACCCGAATGCCAAAATCATTCAAAGCCCAAGGGGCATGCTCACGTGAACTGCCGCATCCAAAATTCTCTTGAGCAACCAGGATGCTGGCATTACGGTATGGTTCACGGTTCAAAACAAACTCGGGCAGTTCATTACCTTCCGCATCAAAGCGAATATCATAAAATGCAAATTTTCCAAGACCAGTACGTTTGATTGTCTTCAAGAACTGCTTAGGAATGATCTTGTCCGTATCAACATTCGTAACAGGTAAAGGAGCAGCTATACCAGAAACGACAGTAAACTTGGGAATACCAGCGGTAGAAGAGTTGGGTCCGTCAGCGACACTTGTAGTCATACCAGCGGAGTCAGTTACAGCATCAGTAGCATCGTCTACGGCAAGGGTAACAACGCTACCAGCATCATGAGAAGGGTCATAATTCCTGTTCGTAATCACAGTAGGAGTTCCAGTGTTGGTATCACCAAAAAATTCACGGACATTGCAGAGATATCCCTTAACAGAGGCAGCAGCAGCCATAGCAGGACTAACAAGATGAGTACGACCTTTGGCACCTTGACGACCTTCGAAGTTACGATTGGAAGTCGAAGCACAACGCTCATAAGGCTTCAATTGATCAGGATTCATACCTAAACACATAGAACAACCAGCTTCACGCCAGTCAAAACCAGCTTCAATGAAGATTTGATCCAAACCCTCAGCTTCAGCCATTTTCTTGACCAAACCAGAGCCAGGAACAATCATGGCATGCTTGATGTTGCTAGCAATTTTACGACCCTTGACGATGGAAGCTGCAAGACGTAAATCTTCGATACGTGAGTTGGTGCAGGAACCAATGAAAATTTTGTCAATGGGATAAGAAGTAATAGGAACGTTGGGTTCAAGACCCATATATTCCAAAGAGCGCTGGATCGAAGTAGAGCGAACGGTGTCATTGACCTTGGAAGGATCAGGGACCAAGCCGTTAACGGGTATGACATCTTGGGGAGAAGTACCCCAAGTGACAGTAGGTAAAATATCGGCGGCATTTATTTCAACTTCAATGTCATATTTAGCACCCTCATCTGAACCCAAAGTCTTCCAATAAGCGACGGCTTGTTCCCAGTCCTCTCCCTTAGGAGCTAGGGGACGGTTCTTGACATACTCATAAGTAGTCTCGTCGGGAGCAATCATACCAGCACGAGCACCAGCCTCGATAGACATGTTACACATGGACATACGAGCTTCCATACTAAGAGCTTCAATTGCCTCACCGCAGAACTCAATAACGCAACCAGTACCACCAGCAGTACCGATGACACCGATGATATGGAGCATTAAATCTTTAGAAGCGATGCCTTCAGGGAGCTTGCCGCTCACATGGATGCGCATATTTTTGCTCTTTCGTTGCAAAATGGTTTGGGTAGCCAAAACATGCTCAACTTCACTGGTACCAATACCGAATGCCAATGCACCGAATGCACCATGGGTAGAAGTATGCGAGTCACCACAAACCAAGGTGGTAGCTGGCAGGGTAAAACCTTGCTCAGGACCGATAACGTGAACGATACCTTGACGTTTATCAGTCATACCAAAATAACTTAAGCCAAATTCCTTAACGTTGTATTCCAAGGCCAAAACTTGAGTACGGGAATCGGGTTGATGAATAAAGGATTCAAGATCCTTCAAATCTTTACGGGAATCGGTGGGGATATTGTGATCGACAGTGGCCAAAGCCAGCTCTGGACGACGGGCTTTTCTACCAGCAGTGCGAAGGCCCTCGAAAGCTTGAGGCGAGGTAACCTCGTGAATCAAGTGACGGTCAATGTAGAGCAAACAGGTCCCATCTTCTTGCCTGTCGACAACATGGCTGTCAAAAACCTTGTCGTAAAGTGTTTTAGGGATAATGTACATATTCCACAAATCTTATGAACAGATCAAATAAAGTTAATGTGCTCAAGAATAGAAACACTGGCTAAAACAAATATAAAAAAGAATGTAAAAAAGGAAAAGAAGCAAAAGTCAACTGAATTAGGGAATGCGGTCCTATAAACAAAACAAGACGCAAATCAAACAATCTCAAAATCCAAATCGAAATGCGTTTACAGATATCAACAACCCCTCCGTTTCAAGAAGCAAATCTCTTCTCAAGGCACTACTTATATAAATATCCAAGAAGCCTTGGTGTTTGGTTACGACAAACTTAGATGGGCGGCGATCTCAAAATTATAGAAAGCAGCTTAATTAAAAGACTTCTGATTGGCAATTGATAAGATCTGGAAACGATGGACTTACCGATGACTAATGGACGCCACCTAAAAACATACATCGCAGCGCAAGACCAAATAGAGATATCACGGTAATTTCTCTCAGAGCTTACATAACGAAGTTGGTCGTACGAACGTTTGCTAACAAAAGATGAACATAGGAAAAAATAAGAGGAAAGCAAGGTAAGAAAGAAGAGCAAGTGGCTAGCTGTCTGCAAAGTACCGAAACAAATTTACTATTACTCTGTAAGATTAGTTTTTTAAAAAAAAAAAATGATATTATTCAAAAGAGAACACATGTCTTTATAAAATTGAAAGCGAAAAAAAGCTCGATAGAACCAATAGCGTGAATGGAACGGGTTCTTTCTTTGTTTACAAGTAACGTCATAAACCAAAGGAACGTTGGTGTGCTACTTGAACAGTAGAGTGTTGGGGAGTCAGAGGTCTAGCGAAAGGGCCAATAGGGATGCGGCCCACACCAACGATTTTGGAGAGAACTCGTACCAATCCCCCCTCAGTTAACGAAATCCATACAACATAAGCGAGTATATTATTTGATGGGCCAAAAACTACGAAGGGAAGAACTTATACATAATACAAAAGAGAGAACGGGAGAAAACGTCAGCCTTCATAAGGGTTTTCTATTATAGCCAGTAGAAGTAGTTATTTTCAAAGGAAAAACGCTCGTCCTAACAACCGCAGAAGGTATTAATTTGAGAAACGAAAGGAATCACATTCTACGAAGTTTGATGTACTTTGAGCCTAAGAGGATTCAGTCTTAGGAGAAAAAAAAAAAAAAAAGAAAAGAAAAGAAATAGAATAAAATAGAATTGATAAAATATTTAAGATTTATTAATTCGCGTAATAATTACTCCCTTAAGAGACGAGACTGTTAACCTCGCAGTCAGCAACACTTAGGAAGAAATATAGGAATTTGGAAATATAATATACGAGTAATAATGGAAAAGTCAAAAGATAAATACCTAAAGTAATAATGGGTTGGTTTCTTAAGCTTATACAGAGTAATAGTAAACGCAATGCGGAAAAAGTCATTGGATTGAATGGATCGCCTATCGCCTATCACATGAGTGGTAAGTTAATGTGGCCAAAGGCCACCAACCAAGGGCAAAAGTAGTAGTAACCACCAGGAAAGCCAAGTTCTAATGGCCGAAACATGCATGGATGATGGAAAGACGGTCATATAGAGTGGAATTGGCCTTCTAAAGTATTGGTTAATTATGAATTGTACGCAGAGAAGCAATGTGAATGGGTTTCATCCCAATATATAAATCCCATTTCTCTATTTCTTACAATTTTCAATCAAAAATTACGGAAAACATTGATTTGTGCTTGCGACAACTGCTACCTTCAGATACCATTAACATAACAATACCTTTTTTTTTGGAAAAATAAAAATCTCACAAAATACGTAGGACATCAAGAGTCTCGTGAAGACCAAGAAAACAAAGTGGAAACGATTTCATCTTTATTCACAAATATCTCATAACTTCGCTTTGCATTGATTCAATAACTTTACAATACTTAACTTTTGTTCTCGTTTATCGGCTAAAAGCCTTTCTTCAAGCTTTTCTTGCGTCCCTTAATCTCGCCAGCAAGTTTCGTTTGTTCACAGTTTTGAGTGCCGAACATTTACCCCACCTTCTCCTACTTTTCCATCACTTTTCCATTGTAGATAGGCATTAGATTCCTATTTGTAATCCACATCAAGGTTCCTTCGCTTCATTTCGGAATTTGGAACCTAAAGTATCAGTCTCAAAAGGTCAATAATATTTTAAAGCTCAGATTGTAGTCTTATTCACCTTTTCGTGCTTTGCATCTTTTTACTTGCCTTGCCTTTATCGTTTTTATTATTCCTCTCCGTTTTTATTTTTGAATTAAATCAGGCCAGGTCAGTCAACTCTGTGTTACTTCCCCCGTTCAATTCAGTTACCTAAACGTCGGTTTTGTACCAGTCTAGCTGAGTCCCTGTGCGTGTGAAAGTATCTTGGTCATTCGGTTTACATATTAAGTAATACATCTAACCGATCGTTATCCTTTCTGGTGTCCATTCATCCCCGTTCTCTTCTGATTCCTTTGTCCTAATTCTACTTATTAGTAATTTTAAAGTTCTAAGCTCCTTCTGACCGTATTATTTATTACATCGTCTATCTTTATTGATTTATTTCTTAGGCTTTGTTTGCCATACCTCTTAGTCTTACTACGGCTACTTTCCTCCTCTTGATACTTCCTTAAATATCGTTAAACTTTGTCAAGGACAAAGTACATCGAATCTCAATCTGGTATCTAGGTATCGAGTTATTATTATTTGTGAACCCCGAAATACTGATCAGTGATTAGCTGTACCATAGTGACTTCAAGTGCTACCTTTCCAAGCAAGTCTCCGTACCGCTCAAATAACTTTTCCGAATAACCGTGGCAAACGACTACACCTATTGGCTGTTTAATCTATCTGTCGTGAAAGCCACCGAAACTATTATTGGCTCTCACAAAATTCCCGACGTTTTGATTGACAGCGCATAAGGCGCACATTTTGTCCATTTTGGTTTGTCCCCTGGGCTGTTGTTACTCACCTGCTTGTTACGTGGGTCCTACTAGCTCACCTTATCCACGCAACCGGCGGATTACTTAAACGCTGCATTCCCGCCTGCGACGACCTGTCTAATATCCCATTACTTACATAGTACGAATACCATTGCTATTTGGAGGCTTTAGGAGGAGCCTTTAAACCAAACTCGCTGGAATAAGCAATTGGCTTTTTTAAACCATTTTCTCCTTTTGTACCTTAGTTCTCCTATTACCTTTTTCCCATCCAACACACTTTTGCAACATTTGGAATTCATCTTTTGTTGTTGTAGTTGACTGTGTGTCGTTTTCCTAGTGGTTCATCCCTTTTTGTGTTTGAGTCGTAGGATTCCTTATTGACCGTTTTCTTCTTTTTTTCTTTTTTTGGTTAATTCTTCCTTATTATTTGTTCATTACTGCTTCAGGTTTGAATTATCGGTGTCGGCAAATTGGAATTGTTCGACTTAACTATTTGTTAATTTTTTGGTGTTTTGGTATTTCCTGGATTTTTTGTTTTTTGTCTTATTTTGTTAAACCCGACTTGTTTTTCCATTCTTAACAGCGCTGTGTGTTGGAATTTAAACTCTAAGTCCTTTTTGTGATTCGTCTTAGTATACCCTGGTTTTGTTCTATATAACCTTGTCTACGATACCTTGTCAATTATTAGGTATTGTATCTTTCTTCCGTGATTCCATTATTTTGTCTGGCGTTTTGTCTTTTCTAGTTCACTATGCCGTCCCTTGCTTTGCCAATCAATAAACCTTCCCATCACAATGCCCCTAGCTCTGGGAACTCCTTTGCCAGTCCACAGGCTACTCCTTTTGGTTATAGCCCGCAGTCTTTCGGAAACAGCTTCTCCGGGCATGCCTGGCTTCGAGATGCAATTCCCTCACTAACATCCTATCCGGAACATCATCGTCCTTCCGATGATTTCTCTACTATGTATCCTAACCGTCTCGAAGAGGCATTCTGTCGCAACTTCAATTGCTGTGGAAAGACTCTTGATGATCTCCATCAGCTTATCCATCATTACGAGGAGCAACATGCTGTTCTTCCTTCTGACGTAAATCTCTCCTCCTCTCTTGACAATAGTAACTCTGCTAGTGTTGCAAATCACCTGAATCGCAACAACGTACAAGTCCTTAAACAGCGAGAGCGTATTCGTATGCACGACTTAGAGGACCAAATGGACTCGTCCCCCCTTTTCGATAATTCGGCTGTCATGCCCTTTGCTTTTCCGGCAAACGAGGGTGCCAACGGCCCCTATCGTGTTTCCGTCGTTGTCCCAGCAGCCGCTGCTGCAGCCGCGACTGCTGCTAACCCGGATCTTGCTGAAGAGACTTCGATGCAAAACGAGCCTTCATCTACTCCTACTCATCTCCCTGAATCTATGATTATGGATGATGCTAGCTCCCCTCTTAGTGATATGAGCTTCAACATGGATATCAGCAATAGTAATCGCTACAGTATGTTTGGAGTGAATCAAAAAGCTGACCCAGAACCAGCTTTTCTTTCCCCTTTTCATTACGGCCAAGATATCTTTTCTTTCCGTCCTGACACTCCTAATACCGTCCATTCCGAACCTTTTCCCGATAATATTATGTCACCTACTCCGGAGGTAGTTGCGCCTGCTGCTACTAGCACAGCACCTAGCTCTCCCTTCATAAAAAATTCTAGTAAGGACTTTGAATGGCCAGCACCGCTTAAAAACCAGCGCTCAATATCTCCGGAGGATTCTTCTGAATCCCCTATGACCATCGATTCTCCCGGTTCTAGTCTGGTTGTCGTTGACAAACCGTATAAATGCCCTGTTCCCAATTGTGATAAAGCTTACAAAAATCAGAATGGTCTTAAATATCATAAATTGCATGGTCATTGTTCCCCTATAACCACCCCTACCCCGGCGCCGGTTCCTCATCAAGGATACGTTGTAGAAAACAAACCTTATCGATGCGATACTTGCAATAAGCGCTATAAAAATTTGAATGGGTTGAAGTATCATCGTGCCCATAGTCATTTGCAAGTTTCTATGGCCCAAGCCCAGCGCGAGGTCCAGATGAGCTTCATGCGCAACGCGTAAGTCGTCCCATGCATACACTATTTATCTTTCACTATATCTACGAGGTATTTAATATTTTATTTGCATCATATGATTTGAACAAATTTGCTTTATATACCGAACATTCTTTTATGACTTAGATGTGGCCATATCGCGTTGGTATTCAATTTGGTAAAATGTAAACTGCCAATATTTCTATTTAATCATTACTGTTAAGTATTTTTATTTTCCTATCATTTGAGGTTTTATAATTTTTTTTTGTTGCTTTTGTTTGATTAATAATTTAATTTAGTTTTCGGGTCTTTTTGGGTTTAAAATAATTTTTAGAGCTTGGTTGTGATTTTAGGAGTTTATGTTAATGAATAGAAGGTTTTTATTTCAAAATTTCAGTTAAATCTGTTGTTGTCTAATTATGTTCAAGTTATCCAAAACTTTGAAAGTAAAAATTACAGCCAAATTTTATAGAATTACCATAATGTACATGCAACTTTTTTTCTTTTTATGTAAGTAAACCTCTTTAACCCTCCGCCTCTTCTACACTGTTACTTTTATGTTTAGGTGTGAAGTTAAATTTGGAGGGTGTAGGACCCAAAAATCTTTCACTGAGTTTGACCCAGTCGTTGACATTCGTGCTAGCAAGCATGCCTTCCATTTCATCCCTGGCATTGTAAAGAGGAGGCCGCTGATTCAGTCTTGGTCTCGCAACTTCATATAAAGCTATAGGGGTGTACCGATGAAAGAAACTCATAAATTCCAAAAAGAACCTCCTGGTAGTGTTTATACCTTGGGCATCTGAGCCCCAATATTGTAATCCATTATTGCAATATTCCTGCAAAATTTCCAATCGTTGAGTTGATGATTTATCGATGTGTTGACGAGCCTCAATCTCTTCAAAAATCCAAGGCTTTACGATTGCACCACGGGCTACCATAATTGTGTCGACTCCCGTATCCATACCCTCATACCAATCCTGCCAGCTGTAGCAATCACCATTACCAATGAAAGCAAGTGGTTGAGTACGAAGACTACCTTCGGGTAATTCGTCAATTCCTTCATTCAATTTCCGAATATTAGAAGCGCAATCTTTCACATATTCCCAATTTGCCAATTTTGAGTATCTCTGCTGACGAGATCGGCCATGAAGCACAGCAGCAGACGTATTCGTCTCAAGATGAATACGACTCAATAGTTTATGCACGACGGGATGATCCTCACGGTTTCCTGTACGAAGCTTCACTGTAGTTGGAATGGTACCAGAAATAGCATCAATACCTTGCAAATTTCTAATAAGACGACTGGGGTTCTCCAGCAAGGATGATCCTGCTCCTTGACGAAAGACAAGATCGATGGGGCAACCACAGTTCAAATCCAAAAAATCAGCACCATCACAATTTTCAGCAATAACTTGAGCAGTTTTTACTCCTTGCCAAAGTTTTGAGCAAGCTAATTGGATACCTAAAATTCCCTTTCTTCCGTTAGGCATCGTTTCCCGTTCCGTATTGATACCACGAACAAGAGCCCATTCTGGCTGGTTACCTTGCATTAAGGGATAACACATTGCCATTTCGGTATAAAATGTATCTGCACCCAAAGACCCGCAAAGCTTTCGAAAAGGAGGATTACCAACTGTGGTTAGTGGAGCGAGAATTTTTCTACCTTTCCAGTCAATTCTCCTTTTTTCTTGAGGTCGCAATGTCGGTAAAAGGACGTCAGAACGAGCTTGTTTATGGATGTCATCCGTAGTTACTTTATTTTTTGTTTCCTCCTCAGTTTGTTTATGTGATGTCTCGATGGTTTGTGATTCTGGTTTATCATCCATGTCGACTTTTTTGTCATTGTTGGTATCAAAAGGTGGTTGATCCTGCTCGCCTTTACGAGAAACTTCTTCTTCAGCTCGGGGTTCTTGGGTATTCTGATCATTTGACTGAGGCTTTTCTTCCCCAAGCACGATAGAGATCATTCTTTCAGCTTTACTCAAGTCCAATTGCTTTGTTCGAAGCTTCTTCTGAATATTTTTGTCTACAGCATTCAGCATATTAAGTCCGAATTTGCTATCAGGTTTTTGGACTAGCTCGTGTTTTCCATCCTCGTTAACTCTAACATGACCTGTTAACCATCGACACTTATACCCGGCCGGACAGACGCCATAAGTCTCGTAATTTATGCATTTTTCACCTAAATCAGGTTCCTTTTGCGCAAGGTAAATCTCTACGTCGTGACCAAATTTACAGTTCTCTTGAAACGGACATTCCTTTCCAACAGAAATCGAGGGACAAAGTGCATTTTCCTCACGTACGGAGACTTTACTCCTCTTTTTATGTTGCCCACGTTCTTTAGGCTTGCGCTTTCTCTCCGCTTGCTCTGGTTTAGCAAGAAATCTAAAATGAATTAGCAATTGAATGCAAGACTCTTTTCACATACTCTTCACGAATAGGAGCAACACCGGAATGTGGATCTGACATTTTCCAAGCAATTTACTAGACAATGCTCCCCCTCGGAATTGACTTTATTGCTGAAAACAAAAATTCAGCCCTTCATACTAGTAACCTGGGTCAAATAACGGGCTGTGAATGAATACACAAAGGTAATATAAAGGATTGCAGTGAGAGAGTGTTAAACCGTAAACAAATCTTTTTCAGGAACTGATTGCTTTGTTGGAAAAGCAATCAAAATGAACATTGAATTGAGCTTGAAGCTCATCAAAGGATTAGTTTATTACTACTTTAGAGAGGTGAAAAGGACGTTGTTATTTTCTTGATTTCATCAAGGTTATGAACAAACCTTGAGTGATAGATTCAAACACTATTAAGCTAAATAAAAAGAAAGACAATTCATATGATTTAAAGAAAAAGATCGCACCTTTTTTCAAAACATTTGAAAGGATCAGACGTGCCCTCGATTCGTTCCTCCCAAGGGTTCATCATCCACCAAGCCTTCCCTGAATAAATCTATCATTGTTTACAAATGACTTTAAGACTACCAGGGCTTGCAGATATGCATGTTCACCTACGCGATGGGGAAATGATGAAGCATGTCGTTCCTACTGTAAATCAAGGAGGTGTGTCTGTGGCTTATGTTATGGTATGTGAAGTACCTATGTTTTGAAGCATGGGGAGTGGAAATGAATGAGTAATGGAAAGCTAATTTAGAGTAATAGCCTAATCTTGTTCCTCCTATTACAACAGTAGATGCTTGTTTGAAGTATAAACAAGTAATTGAACAGTTGGACCCTAAAACGAAATATTTAATGTCTTTATATCTGTCTCCTCAAATTACACCTCAAGTCATCTACGAAGCCGCTAAACGAGGAGTTCGCGGCGTTAAGTCATATCCTAAAGGTGCTACTACCAATTCCGATGGCGGCGTAGAAAGCTACGAACCCTTCTATGCTACGTTTGCAGCCATGGAAGAAACTGGCATGATCTTGAACATCCACGGAGAAGTCCCCTCTTCAACCAGTAATGATGTCTTTCATGCAGAGCCAAAGTTTTTGCCTACCTTATTAGACCTGCACAAACGCTTCCCTGATTTGAAGATCGTTTTGGAGCATTGTAGTACGCAAGCGGCTATTGAAGCCGTATTAAACTGTGGTCCTAGTGTTGCTGGAACCATTACTGCGCATCACATGTACATTACGCATAAAGATTGGGAAATTGATCCCCATTGCTTCTGCAAGCCAGTAGCAAAAACCGAAAAGGATCGGCTAGCTTTAATTGAAGCAGCTACAAGCGGAAATCCAAAATTCTTCTTTGGATCAGATTCGGCTCCTCACCCCCAATCCTCGAAACAAAAGTCTCCTCCTGCCGCTGGTGTATTCACTCAAGCCTTTGAAGCATCTTATTTAGCAGAAATCTTTGATAAGAAAGGATGTTTAGACGCTTTGGAGGGGTTTGCTTGTAAATTTGGTAGACATTTCTATGATGTTCCCATTGAAGAATCAACCCCTACGCTAATTTTGGAAAAGAAACCTTTCACCATTCCACAATTAATAAACGACTGTTTAGTTCCTTTCCGACCTTTACAAATTTCGAACTGGCAATGCCGTTGGGAGGAAGGCACTTTATAATCCACGTAGAAATATTTGAATGGATTACTTTATAACAAACTTTATTTGCTTCCATGTAGCTGTGTACTATCAAAAGCATTACAGAGTTCATTAAGTTATAGGAAGGGCAATCTGAGTACAAGTGCAAGTCAGCCGATATCTAAACAATTGTATAAGGTTTAATCCCATTATCTGGATATTGAGTTTTTCATTCGGAGAAGCACCATGGAGTCAGTCTTGTGTTATGACTACAATATTGAACTATCGCTCAAGAAAGGCTCTAATGATGAGACGGAAAACTCCAAAAACGGCCTTTCTATAATCAATCTTTGTATCATTATTTTTTAAATCAAGAGACGTTATGAATGTCCTTGTGATCCGATGTACTGTTGATAGAATTTGGGTGGACAGGGGTCTTATCGTTTTATAGACAGTAAATTTATCCTACACTCGCTGTACGCATTCAATCTTTCCCATACAACAGTTTTTTTAATTCATTAAGCTACTGTTCATGAAATCATCACTAAAAGCTTCTTGTTGTTGTTCCTGATACAATTTTCATGAAAGAAAAAAAGAATGTAGAAAAATGAATAATCATTATCTAAATATTATAAAATTACAATTTTTTCTATAGATTTCACTTGCTTACTTAACGCCTGCTATACTACTACCAGCTTTGGTGTAGACTTGTCAGCACGGCGGTTAGTTGTCCTTTACCATCTCAGTACAAACTACACCAAAGTAAAAGATGTCTGAAACTAGATTGTTTATAGGGCGTATTCCTCCTCAAGGTAATATAATACAAAAGGTAGACGTGTATTAACGAAATTATTAGCTACTCGTGAGGACCTGGAGGACTTTTTCAAAGGCTACGGCCGTATCCTTGACTGTAAAGTTATGAATGGTTTTGGATTCATTGAGCTTGAAGATGCTCGTGACGCTCGGGATATAGTGAATGATTTCCCAGGAAAGGAATTTATGGGCAGTCAAATTGTTGTAGAGCCTGCTCGTGGTGAAAGAAGAAGAAGAGAAAACTTCCGTGAAACTGCTGCTTCTAAGTAAGTACATTTCTTTTTGTAAAATCTATACAAAGCGCTTTGTTGTACCTCTTTCGAGTTTTCGTTAAGCCTATGTATTTGAGGAGATTGGGTTGAATCAAAGTTTGCCCATTCGGATTTTATGACTTTTTTTTTCTTTTCAATGACTTTAAGCTGGAATAATAATAACTAACATCTTTTAGATACCCTCGTCCACGTCGTACTGGTTATCGTCTAATTGTCGAAAACTTATCTGAAGAAGTTAGCTGGCAGGTAATGCTTTATACAAAAGTTAAACGAATGCAATATTAATTCTATATTTTTAGGATTTGAAGGATGTAATGAGACAAGCCGGTGAACCAACTTTCACTGACGCTCACCGCCAAAATCCTGGTTTTGGGTACGCTTTAATGTCTTCAAAGTGAATTGATTACTAACAATGATAGCGTTGTTGAATTTTCTACTGAAGATGATATGAGAAGTGCTCTTACAAATCTCAATGGTGAAGAAATTAAGGGTGCTGCAATTGCTTTGCGTGAGGACCCTGTATGTCTTATCTTTTTTTTATTTTTCTAGTACACTGTACTAACATATATGAATAGAATGCTCCCAATGAACCTCTTCCCGAAGGTCCAGGTTTCCGCTCTAGGTCTCCTCCTCCTCGTCGTCGTTACCCTACCGATAATCGTAGAGGATTTGCCCGTCGTGATACCTATCGCCCTGCCAGAGATGATGATCGTCGCTATATTCCTCGACGTGGTAGCCGCGACAGTCGCGACAGTTTCCGCCGTGGAGGACGTGATGATTACAGACGTGGCCCTCGTCGTGATGATTATCGCAGACCCAGAGCCGATGAATATCGCCCTGGTCGTGATGATTCTTATCGTCCTGAACGTGATGACTCTTATCGCCCTGAACGTGATGATTCCTATCGCCGTCGTGATGACTATCCTACCCGTGATGAAGAATATGGTCGTGATGCTTATGAGCGTAGCCCTTCTCCCCGCCGTGAACGCAGTCGTTCTCCCAGATATGCGGATGAATATAACTCTTACCCTCCACCTCCTGCTTCGGAAATGCAGCAATCCAACAACCCTCCAAGCTATCCTGAGGAATCAGCTAATCCAGTCTCTGCTGGAAATGGTGAAGGTCAAGTTGCTGCTGAATGGTAAATTTAGACATTTGGTTTCATTTTAAAATCATTTATGATACATTTGTTAGTATTCCTACTTGTTGCTCTGATATCCTTATTTTGCTTGAATTAATATTCTCTTGAGGCTGGAATATTGGATGTTTCACTCAAAATGATCATGGATTAATCGTAATATTTCATTCGTGTAGTACCTTTATACCACTTCCTTTGTATTGGAATCTTCAATTTTGGTTACTCATTTATGCTGAACGTTCTTTACTTCTTTACTTCATACATTTCTCATGGTATAAAAGTTTTAATTGTCAAGCGTATGTTGCATGTTTGTGTTTCTTTTCGTTCTTTTCTGTATGTTGAGTTGATAATAAAATTTTGGAGAGTCTTGTGATATTCGGAAAGTGCATTCTTGTGTTATAGAGCAATTCGAATTGTCGTAGCGTTTTAACAAGTTGCTTTTACTAGCGAAATTTTTACCCATTGTTCATATCACCACCTTTATTGACTACTATCTACATAAAATTTGTAATAAACGTTTTAATATTAATGTAGTAAGATCTTATATGCCTTGAAGTCGTACGCCTAAGACAAGTAAATTTAGAAATTCGTGCTGAGTTTTTTAAAGTGATCTGTATCCTAGAATTCGTCCCCTTCGGTATCTATCGAGACTCACAAGCGTTTCGAATAGCGTATACTGCAAGACAGAATACGAAAGGAGACTTAATAAACATCATTGTAAATTAGGATTGATCATTTTTTGTTTCGGAATAAGGATAGTATATGAAACTTGCATTCTTTTACAAAACTGTCGCTAATGCAAAAAAGGAAGTACGTGTACGCTTGTAACCGTGTATATATGAGTATGCATTACATATACATTATTGAAATGCTGGAAAAAAGAAAAAGAAAGGAAGAAATAAGTGGTCAGAAGGAGAGGTTTTTAACGAAGCATATTATAAGAATTGGAAAACACGAAAGGGAAAAATGCAAAAGATAAAAAGAAAACAAACGAGAACATGGGAGAGAAAAAACAACCACAATGTAAAAAGAACTAAAATAAATAGGCTCGATGATGCAAAGTGGGAGAAATAAGGAAACGGGAAATGAAGCAAATATCAAGGGCGTAAGGAACAATGATGATGAAACTTCAAAGCTTCAACCATTAGAAATATACTGCAGAGCCATTAATGTTATAAGTAATAGGATTATAAGGTAATTGCGAAAAAGACAGCTAAACAATAACGCAGCATTTTGTAGAGCTTTTATCCATTTCCAAATCGCGTACTGTTAAGGCAGCACGAGTTGCAGCCTCAAAAACATCATCTACGCCATCACCTGTCAAAGAGGAACATTCCATGTACTTTCTTGCGCCAATCCTTTGTGCAACAATCTCAGCTTGCTGTGGTTTAACAAAGTTTTGATTTCGCCGCCGCATTTCTTCAATTGCGCCTGGATCGGTTCTTAAATCCGCCTTCATGCCAACGAGAATGAAAGGTATATTAGGGCAAAGTGTATTAACTTCCTCAATCCACTGTATACATGTTAGAATAAGTAAAAAAATAAAAAAATAAATAAACGGCAATAATAAAAAGCATTTACCTTCGTAGAAACGTTTTCCAAGGAATCCGGAGAATCAATAGCAAAACCTATAAGAATAATGTGTGCTTTGGCATAAGACATTGGACGTAAACGCTTAACGAATTAGCTTCTTGTTACAAAAACCCAACAAAGATCTGCACATACTTCGTATTCTTCTTGACCACTAATCGTTTGTAAGTAAAGTAAAGAAACAATAATTATTGACTTACGCTGTATCCCACAATGCTAGCTGGACGGATTTTCCATCCACCTTGATGAAGAGTTAGTAGAATTTAAAAAGACACTTCACGTACTCTACAATCCGAAACGTAATTCTCAAACACGGTAGGAACCTGATTTGCGTGTTAATGAAGGAACCAAAAGAACAACCATACATATTCCTAAAGAATGATTATTAGTAAAATAGAAATAAAAAAATGCAATAAAACCGGTAAAAGCAAAACATACCGTAGGAAAATAACCTAAAGTGAATACTGACAGCAGAGACGTTTTTCCACATGCACCATCACCAACAACGACTAGTTTTCTGACAACCGTCAATATTTAACTTCCTTTACGTTCACAAACCTTCGAATAGACTGAGACTGTAGCATGGGAGGAACTTTTTTTATGTAAAAGAACGATGGGAAACGAATGTAAATGAAATCTAGCTCACTTCCACAAGTCCAACACAGCACAAACGATCGCGGCACAATCTATTAAGTCTATGTAACACAGCAGTTCTAACAAGCAGACAAGAACGTCAACCTATGGTACTCTTCTTTTCCAAGTACGTGCCCAAATTAAAACGAACGCAATAAGGACTAATTCCAGGGTTAGACACTATTTATATGTGCTTTCTCGCAGGATTTAATTCTCTGTACGTACCTTGCAAAGAAACTGATATGAAACTTGAATATGCTTAGGATTGGTTTCGTAGGTCATCAACTCTGGAGGTAGGGAGACAGAATGCGAACTGTGACCTTTAGCGCTGCACGCGTTACGTATGTCGTAAAAGAGTTTGCACACTTTACGAAACTTTACAATATGCCTTACTTGTTGTTAACGCACTACGCTATATATTCCTTGGGATCATTATATTCACATTATACGGAACAAAGCTATGTCGTTATGTTTCCGTAAAAGAAATTCAAACACTTTGGCACTGAACGATTTCCTCACTTTTCGCTTTCGCTAGCATTGAACCTGAAAGGAGTCGAGTATTCCTGTTTTGGAAGAAGATAACGGTTTTTTAAGTGCCGTTAAAAAGTACGAAAAGCTGGTATTCGAGCGGGCGATTTTAAGGTAGTACTGGGAAGTGTTGAAAGAAAACCAGGAATTTACTCTTTAACTATCGTCTAAATCGACACATGACTGGGTCCTCTTTGTTATAAAGATTTATTTTAGAACCTTTTTGAAGAGCAAAAGCTGCAAGCTCTTTCCTTTTGTGTATCGACGAAAGTATACTATAGCACCAAGTCTAGTTGTTTGAGGATTTCTTTGAAGAAGGAGAACGAACAAGAAATACGTCCGTATTTGCACCATGGGTAGTCGAGAGCTCTGTATTGAGGCGCTGAATGCAGGGATAGAGCCTCCGAGCTTTAAAGACCTTTTACTTCCTGTATCAAACCCGGCTGCAAATGCAAAAAAACGAAATAAGAAAAAGAAGAGGCAAAAAGCGAAAAAGCAAGCCGAAGTTTCTGCTGCCCCGTCTGGAATCTCTGAGGATGAGGGACTTAGCAAAATCGAGCAACTTTCTATGCATCCATCCTTAGACAAGCTGATGGCGGAAAAGGACAAAGAATATATGGAATATAGAAGAAACATGGAGAGTAACTTTACGGCTTCTCCCAACGGATCTTCGCATTACTATCCATCGCTGGATGACATGAATGCAATTTCCTCAACGGACTGGCAATTTACGTTGGAGTCGAATGCAGCCGCTGAACCTTCTGATGAATGTATTATCTCTTCTTCTCATATCGTCGATGAGGCAGAATTTCCTATCCATTTTCCAACTTTGGAGGAAGCTGCTTCGCCTTCCAACATCTCCTCAAATTCTGTACATAATAACCTATCACCTTTTCCGCCGATAGAACCAATTATGCCTCTTCCTACAACGACATCTTCAAAAAAGAAGAAAAAGAAAAAGAAGAAATCTAAGAATGCAAATCCCGCCATGAATGAACCCATCGACCCACAGACGGACGTGCAAGAGGAATGTGATGGTAATGCAGATGAGCATGCCTTTCCGTCTTTTCCAAACACTAATAATGGGAAACCTAAAGACAAGATTTGGGCAGCCTCAAATACTGAAGAACGCGAACAAATCCGTGAATTTTGGTTATCTCTTAGCGAAAGTGAACGGAGATCACTTGTCAAAGTAGAAAAGGAAGCTGTTTTACAAAAAATGAAAGAGCAACAAAAATATTCCTGCTCTTGCTCTGTATGTGGTAGAAAACGTCTTGCCATTGAAGAAGAGTTAGAAGTTTTATACGATGCTTACTATGAGGAGTTAGAACAATATGCAAATATTCAGCGTAATCGTGCTTTGATGCAACAGTCCAAAGCACTAGATGAGATCAATACTCCCATCGCATCTGCGCCTAATGTTGAAATCACTGAATATATTGATGAAGAGGAGATTGAAAAAGATATTGATTTTCAAACAGAGTCGGAAACCCCTGAGGAAAGTCTAGGGGAATATGTTTCTCATCAAGATGATACCTCTGTTCAAGATGGTCAAGGGCTCTCTGTTGACAAAAATATTTCCGCTTTTACTGAGCAATTGGATTCAGTAGATGTCGATGCAAATCAAGTGGAAAGTCTTCCTTATACCCCTACGGATCCTTCTCGACTTCACGAAAAAAATAGTTATCATGCAGATTTGTATAATTTCGGTAGCAGTCTTACCGTTAAGGGAGGTATTTTGACTGTTGCTGATGATTTGTTGAAAAACGATGGGAAAAAATTCATTGAAATGATGGAACAATTGGCTGAACGTCGCATGCAGCGCGAGGATAATAATACTTTTCATGAACCGGAAATGTACGATAGCGGTATAGAGTACGATGAAAATGAAGATGAAGAAGATGAAGATATAGATGAAGAAGATGAAGATGAGCTTGACTTGATGACGGATGAACAAAGGATGGAAGAAGGTAGAAGAATGTTTCAAATTTTTGCTGCTAGGCTATTTGAACAAAGAGTGTTACAAGCTTATCGAGAAAAGGTTGCTCAACAGCGGCAAGCAAAGCTTCTCGAAGAAATTGAAGAAGAAAATAGACGGAAAAAAGAGCGAGAGCTTCGGAAGTTAAAAGAAAAGGAGAGGAAGAGGGATAAAAAGAAACAGCAGAGACTTGCTAAAGAAGAGGAACGGCAGAAACGTGAAGCCGAACGATTAGCAGAAGAGGCTGCTCAGAAGGCAGCTGAAGCCAAAAAAGCTGAAGAGGCTCGTAAACGAAAAGAGGAGCAGCGTATTAAGAAGGAAGAAAAGAAACGGCAGCAGGAACTGGAACGTCAGAAAAAAGAGGAGAAGCGGAGAATGGAACTAGAAGAACGGCAGAGACAAAAAGAGTTAGAAAAGAAACTGAAGAAACAGCAAGAAGAGGAACGATTAAACGTTGTACGTGAACAGCAATTACGTTTACAGAAATTAGAAGAAAAGAAGCTACGGCAAAAAGAACTTGAAGAGGAAGAAAAGCGGCGAAGCGAAGAAGAACAGGAACGTTCATCAATAGCACAAGCGCAGGAGGCAGATGAAGCGGAACGAAAATTACGTGAAGCTAAAATAGCCGCTTTTTTTGCACCTTCAAAAGAAGACACTATGAACATTGCTACTCATTCTTCCTCACTTCCTCAGGCCTTACCAAATACTTATTTACGAACAGAGCCACAATTCTCCCCTTCCCGTGCTTCATCCGTTGCACCAAACTTACCTTCAATACGGCCAAGAGAAATTAATACTCTTCCTTTCGGAACGCCTCAACCTATTCCGACATATAAAAATCCTTCTCAACTTCCTGAGAGATTGGCACCTTCACCAAGTTTTATAACCTCTCCCTCTTTTCCTTCCCCGCTTAATATACCTAATAGCTCTCTTTGCTTAGATAATAACGGAAGATCGAGGCAACTTAGTAGCGGTAACCCAAATTTGCTGAATTCTAACCGTAATTCTAATGGTCTATATTCTCCGGTCTCTCTTTTAACTAATCACAGTTCTTTTGGTTTAGGCTCAAGCACTCGTAACTCGCTAGGCCAAACGGCTTCTCCTGTGCATTATTCTCGATTTTCAAACTGTATATCTCCTTTAAGTATAAAACCTTCTACGACTAAGACACCACCATTGTTATCAAGGTTGAACTTGCAATCAAATTCTCAGCAGGATCCATCGGAGTTGAACGATATAATTGGAAACTCCGTACCTAACATGAATATGGCTACTTCGAAAGAAACATTAATGGGTTCTTTTGGGACGGAAGCCTTGGGATTGGGATCTCCGACACCCATGCGCAGTAGACCTGCACCTATTCGACGACCGAGTCAAGGTAGTTCGCTGTTAATGAAGAAGACGCTCAAGGAAGAAAGACTGGGTAGTCGTGCTTTGCTAGATGAAAACTCGGATACAGTTTTATCTCAAAACACGTCGTTGGGTGCGTCCTATGACGGATTGAACAGGCGAGCAAGTCATGGATATGCTAAGTCTTTGAATTATTCTAATTGGAATTCACCTAACAATACCGCCTTCTACAATCCGCTCTCCACAGGCCCATGGAGTTCAGCGCTGGGCGCTTTTACTCCAAGTACTTTAACATCTGATGCTTCACGCAGACAACGTACATGGGCAGAATGAAGGATGATATTGAGTAATCTTCTCTATGATTGTTATCAGCAGCATTGTACATAAATGATTTATATGTTTGTTATGTCTTTTGTTGTTCCTTGTTTTGGTTGTTAAATTATATTGGTTTTTTTTTCGCTAATGCTGGGATGCGTTCGGTTCTAGCTTTATTAAAACAGAGTCATTTAATAATATTAATTTTTACGTTCAACATTTGTAAGTGTTAAATGAATAATAGATTAAGCAAACATTTATTCATTTTTCTTATACTATGATAGAAAGCGATCATGTATCTTTGGCACAGGGGAAGTAGGTGGAAAGGACGGACTGTAATGTTTTAGAACTAAATAAATCTAAAAATAAAGGTAGATTAATTATGAAATATTCAAAATCTCATCGTTAAAAAAGGTTAAAAGACATTACAACAGATTACCTACGCTCAAAGCACTATGAATCAAAAAGTGGAGGTAACGAATCAGATGTACCAAGGTCTTCTACCGAAGGTAAATCATTCTCACCTGAATACGAAGCAAAAGATTTTTGGCTCCAACTTTCACCTTCAACGTTAAGAGGAGTTGTGCCGTACTCACGATTAAAATTGGTAATGTTGACACCGTGATCTCTGAAAGATTGCGATTCTTCTTCTTCGAGCATCCCAAAAGGATTCTCAATAAAGCCGCCACCATCTTCTTCGATGGAATCATTCAAGTTCATTTTCTGATTGTTTTCGAACCATTGGAAAGGACCTTCTAAAGACACAGATTCGGGAGCAGGTACACTATTAGACAGAATAGAGGCTTCCTGAAGGAAAGCAGATGTGGAATCTGATATATTTTGAGAATACAAAGGAGTTGTATGAATTGTACTTACAGCAAAATTACCATTAATGGCTTGCCGCAATTGAAAAAATGGTTGCTTTCCTGACTCCATGGAAGTTTGAACAGAGTTCAATATAACCTCTTTTAGCCGGTCACATAGTTCTGCTGGCTCTTTCAAAACTTCTTCAGGGAAAAGACCATGGTACTTTTCATACTTTGGAGATGAAAGTCTTATTGCAAGTTGCTGCAGAGAAATCTCTTGATCTTCTCCTTTTAACAGGTCAGCTAAAACTTTTTCTATTTTCTGAATATCCGGATTCGTTTCAAAGGTCTTTCTCATACAGGGATTTGATGCTATTTCCGATAGCAAAGGCTCATCGCTTGTTGCTCCTTTATAAAAAGAATTGAGCGTTTCTGGAGCTGTCTTCTGTTTCTGTTCTTTCAAAACTTCTTGTAATTGAGGTTCAGCATGTTCAGACGGCCGTGCTTTTTCATCCTCAGCTTTCAGTTTCTTTATCCATGGTTCTTGTTCCAAATAGTCCCCTTCTAAGGTGCCTTCTATTGAATGCTCTCTTTTTAGTACGTGTTTTTCTGGGGAATAGAGTAAATAATTTAAATGCTCTTCTAATTCGTTTCCTTCAGGAATTGCAGAATCCAGCTCAAATGCCATCAAACTTTCAGTTTCTAAAAATATATGAAGACGTTTCACCAAACAACTTCTCTACTAGTACTCATCTATTCATACAGATAAGCTCATATATTTTGAATAATACAACCTCCTGACCTTAAAATTTTCTTGGTTAAATTTCGTCAAATGAAACATACCAACGTCGAACGCGAATTAGGTATCGCGCCGTACTCACCTTAAACTTATATCTTCGTTCACACAGTTCCAATTTCAATATCTTGAATCCACTCTACGGCTAATATTTACTCGATCTCCTTTCCAATTTTTCAATAATTTTATTAATTATTCAATATTTCTTTTTTATACTTCATTAGTTAACTATTATTTATTATTACAAGAATCATGAATAGGAACTATACAAAGCAACAAGAATAACAACACTTGTAGCAAAAAGTTTGTTAAGTCAAGTTGCATAGACAAATGGCAATACCCCACAGAAGTTACTTCCAGCTAAGAAACCTTATGCATTGAACTCGAGCTTGAAAGCAATAGTCTCAATACCATATTGTCCTTCGCCCTTGACTTCTTCAATTTAAATAAATTTAAAGAGAGGACCCACAAAGAACCGTTTGCCATTTAGGCAGAAATGTGTATTGCGTATCATTATCATCATCAAAACGCAGCTAATCGCCAGATGCTGCCAAAAATGTTTAAAATTTAACAATGCCATCAATAAGATGTTTTCTTTTTATATTGCAATGAGAAGCAGCTTTTTCCTAAGAAAATCTTATCCCTTCCCTGTTTTACAAGGGCCTGAAAAAACAGTGACGAACTTATCCACCGAAAAAAAGACCAAGATATAATTCCCAACTGCAGGAAGACTCCAGTGACATTCTCAATAGCTAATCTCCCAAGCACAACTAGAATATGGGAAAGCTTATTGAAAACTAACGATTTACAATCGTTATAGACAGTTATTTCACTTGACCTAACGACTAGCGATATGAAATATTCAGTCTTTTTTTTCTGCCTGCTTAAACCCACATATAAGTTTTTGATTACCAACAAATTCACCATATAATTTGTTTCGTTGAATGGATTTTTGGCAAACATTTTTCTCCAAAGAATACCACTTCCCATCACTTTTAGTGTTTACGGAATTCCGAGAGTACAGGATAAATAGCTTCAAAAGCCTGGTAAATTTCCTCTCGTACTTTGGCACCCGTTAAAACGATTTTACCAGATACAAAAATCAGTAAAACCACTTTGGGCTTAACCATACGATAAATCAAACCAGGGAACAGTTCAGGCTCATACTGTTTGCAACCGTTAGTATCGTTTGTTTCAGCAACATTTACTAAAAACTACATACGGATGAGAAAGTTCCGTGAGAATAAGCCAAGCCCTCCAAACGGATTGGGAATTTCACATCACAACTTCCGACAATATTTTGAATCTTAAAGTCGGTAAACTTTGCGTTAAAGCCAAGCTTCTGGATGATACGAGCATATTTCCGAGATGCCAATTTAGAGTCATCCTCGGATTTACCACCCAAAACAACCATTTTGCCTGAAGCAAAGATTAAAGCAGTGGATTTGGGTTCACGAATACGCATAATGACAGCTGCAAAACGCTTGGGATTATATTCTGCATTACGTGCATGAAGGGCAATAGTTTTGAGATCAAGACGACAGCTATAGGAAAAGTATTAGCATTTCATAATTAGATTGTCTATCAAAAACACTCATTGGAACTGCTGCAACCATGACCCACCGTCGCCAACAGTCATCGTCACGGACAGTCTTCACAAAGGCCCTACTGTTTTCAATAATCGAATGCCTTGAAAACATAAAGGTACCTTGAAAACCATATCCGGGACTATGAGACATACGGCAGGCCTGTTCCCTATCCATGAGAGGCACGACTTACTCTAAGTTCACAGTAGCAACAATGTTCTGAAGGGTCGGAACAATTCCGGAAACACCCTCAGTCTTCGCAACTTCTGTATCACCGGAATCTGCCGTGTCATCAACTGTTTCGTTATTATTAGTTGGTAAAACAGGGAACGCTAAAGAAGAATTGTTCATAAAAGCACTCGCTTGCGAGGCCGTGGTGGGCAAAGCAAAATCCATTTTCTGTGCACTAAATTGACCTAACAATCTATAATATTATTCACTGGCTTGCGTTATCCCACCCTACTGGAAACCCTAGAGCTCACGGGAGGCCGTCTCATTTATATAAACCAGGATTTACAGGGTTAGGGTTTCTCGTGTGTAACAATCAGCCCTCAGTGGCAGATAGATATACAATATTTGTCGAATAAAATTCTAGCACTCGTTTTTATACATTCTTTTCTTTAATTTCATGTATTTTTTAATGTAAAGTTTGAGCTTGTTTGATAACGTCCGTTTTCAGTGAGTTTTTGGAAAAAACTACAGGAGATACGAAGTAAATTTTGATTATAATATGGTTTTAAAAAGTTCCACTAAATTCAGGACGTCCTTCCTTTCAAAATGCTTTTTTTTTAGGTGTTGTTGGTTGCTGGCGGCTTGCCTGACACTGCGGCCAGCAACTCTCATTTGGGAGGAGCAGAAGGATTATGTAATCGTTGCTTGAACAGTCCTAATGCAGTTGCTGTGTTTATCGTTAAATGCTTTACAATCCTTTAACATCATATCGGTATCGGTAAAGTGGGGGTAAACTAAGCAAGACGATGGATAGGATGGATGAAAGGATAGTTCTATAGGGCAGATTCTTCGATTGGATTTACCGGAAAGTAAATGAAAGGCTCGCTTCAATTTTTTACGATTCGTAGTAGATAAATAAATAAATAAAGTTTAGAGAATATTAAAAAGGAATGATGAGACTGTACGATACTAAATGGTTTAAATGAGGACTCAAGCGCTTTATATGGGGAAAAAAGCATAAATAGGTAAGAAAACTACTTCCATAAACAGAAGCGTCTAGATAATTCTCTGCCATTTCTATAAAAGATAATGATTTCTGTTATGTCGGTCGACAAATCCCGTTTACTTTTTATTTGTTTATTTATTTGTTTTCCTATACTAACCAAGTAACATGCTCCTTAGACTTTATAAAAGCATAGTCTCAGTCTGGTATAAATGCTTATAGTATAAGAGCATATAAGCAAAGTATGCTTAATCGTTAATGAAAGCAAAACCTGGCTTTTGTTTGCACACCCAACTCACGTTACAACCCAGACCAAATTAACAAATTTCCAAAACGTTTTTACAAAACGTGAAAGTGATAGGCGTCAAGTTGCTTCGGGGTTTTTCCTTTCGAAATTCAATTAGAACGCGTTGTTTCAACTCAAAGCCATCCATGTCCTCTGAAAAATCGCAACTGTCACCATGGTTTGCTCCTACTGGACATAAGACGGAGTTAAACGTTTTCAACACCATTACCCATTCCAAGGTCCCTTTTAAGACCAATGGCTCCATGGTCACTTGGTACTGTTGTGGTCCAACCGTGTACGATGCTAGTCACATGGGCCATGCCCGTAATTATGTGACTACAGACATCTTGCGAAGAATTTTACAGTCTTATTTTGGCTATAATGTTACTTTCGTTCAAAACGTAACTGATATTGATGACAAAATTATCCTTCGTGCCCGTCAGCAATATCTTTTTGAGCAATACAAACAGCAAAACGAGCATAATTATGCTTCTCCAACTGTGAAAGCTAAAGTTACCGAGGCGTGGCTAGCTTATGCCAAGAAGAATCTCCCCGAATCCCCCCAATCCGTGGATGAATGGTCTAATTGGTTGGCTACCCACGATATTACCACTTTGGCACTTGCAGCTCCTAAGGTTCCTTTGTATGCCGATTCTCTCACTCAAGGTGTAGAAGGATTAAAGATCGCTGAGGAAGCCAAATCTGAAGATAGTGAGCTTTTCTGGTCTAAGGTCCAAGAGGTGCTTATTCCGGTCCTTGACTCCGAACTTGGAAATACCGTTACGGATCCTGCTATTTTCCGTAAATTGTCTGCATACTGGGAAAATGATTATAACGAGGATATGCGTGCTTTAAATGTGCTACCACCTACCACAGTTACTCGGGTTTCTGAGTTTGTACCTGAAATTGTCGAATATGTTCAAAAAATTATTGATCGTGGTTATGCTTATCCAGTTACTGATGGAAGTGTTTATTTCGACACTGAAGCCTTTTCCAAAGGTGGTCACTTTTATGCGAAACTTGAGCCTTGGAATAAGGGAAACCGTGATTTGATTGCTGAAGGTGAAGGTTCTCTTGCTGCTCTAACTGGTAAGAAGCGTCCCGGGGATTTTGCTCTTTGGAAGTCTAGTAAACCGGGTGAGCCTTCCTGGGACAGCCCTTGGTCGAACGGCCGTCCAGGTTGGCATATCGAGTGTTCTGTAATGGCTAGTGCAGTTTTAGGTCCCAATGTTGATATTCACTCAGGTGGTGTCGATTTAGCCTTTCCGCATCATGATAATGAATTAGCCCAAAGTGAAGCATATCATGACTGCCCACAGTGGATTAACTACTTTTTACACACCGGACACCTTCACATTGAAGGCCAAAAAATGTCTAAATCTCTCAAGAATTTTATTACTATCAAAGAAATTCTCAAGAAATTTACACCTAGACAACTTCGACTTGCCTTTTTGTTGCAACAGTGGAATTCTCAACTCGATTTCAAAGATGCTCTTTTGGCTCACGTGTTGAATGTAGAGCAAACTTTGGAAAACTTTTTCCAAAATGTCAGAGCTTTAAACATTGAATCTCAAGGATTAAGTCAACAAGGAGGCCATGTTACTGAAAAATATGGAGAACTCGAAAGGCAACTTTTAAACGATTTGCAAACTGCTCAGCGCAATGCCCATTCTGCTTTGTGCGATAACTTTAATACTCCTTTAGTTATGTTCCATATCGATAGTTTAGTTGGAAAATCCAACATCTACATTCGAGATGTTGGACAAAAACCGTGCACTCGTTTGCTTAACGAAATTGCCATGTGGATTACCAAAATGCTGCAAGTTTTCGGTCTGGATGATGAAGGTCGTCCTAACGCCATCGGTTGGTCGTCCAAATCCTCAGCTTCTGTATCCAACTCCAATGATGCTATTCCATATGTACGAGCGGTTTCTACCTTCCGTGATCGCATCCGTGAACTATGCATTGCTAAGGCTCCTATCCAAGAAATTTTGCAAGCTTGTGATGTCTTTAGAGACTATGACATGGCTGAGCTTGGTGTTAGCTTGAACGATCGCCAACAGGGGCCAGCCTTAATTAAACTTGTAGATCCACAAGTATTGATCCAAGCGCGTGACCAGAAAATTGCAGAAGAACAAGAAAAGGAAGCCAAAAAGTTGAAGGCGAAAGCCGAGCAAGAAAACAAATATATCGAGCGCATTATGAAAGGTAAAGTTGCTCCTTCAGAGATGTTTAAACTATTTGAGGAATTTTTGTCGTTTGATGAAAGTGGTTTCCCCACTAAAGTCCGTGCAGAAGATGGTTCTGAGGTTGAATTACCTAAAAGCCGTAAAAAGAAGTTACAAAAAGAATATACCACCCAAGAGAAACTGCATAAAGAGTACTTGGCATACATAGAGAAAAAGAACCAAGACTAAATTTTATCATTCTTTAATATTAATTCAGTTTAAATTTTTGGTATGCTAAATATTCTGGCTTTGTATATATGTATAGATTAGTTACGAGAGTATTCTTAATTATATCCTGCTCAAGCTAGTTTTATGCTATTTCTAAAAGCTTCACTAACTTCTTGTAAAATTTCTATTTAAATAATGAGTAAAATCACATTCTTCAGAAGCAAATCTTGCATAATACAAGGGACCGACATACTATATACTATTAATAATCAATTCATCATCGGACCAGACAACTATTGGTGGGTTGCCGATATTCACTTCCACTCTTCTACTACTTGAAAATTTCCTTATCTTTGTTATACTAATACTAATTAAAGAACAGAGAATACCAGGTTGAACTAAGAGAATGAAGACCGCAATTTTTGCTGCAGGTTGTTTTTGGGGTGTTCAAGAAGTCTTTCTTAGGAAATATGTCCCTACAGCCGCAATTTTGAAGACTTCTGTAGGCTATATTGGAGGTATTACTGATAATCCTACGTATAAACAAGTTTGTACAAACAGCACCGGCCATGCGGAAGCCCTCAAGGTTGATTTCGACGAGAATTTGACCTCTTATGAGAAAATTGTCGAGTTTTTCTTCGCCATGCATGATCCAACAACCGTAGATAAACAAGGTAATGACATTGGAAGTCAGTATCGCTCTGTCATATTTACTACTTCACCTGAACAAGAAAGCATTGCAAAGAAAGTTCTAAAGGAAGTACAAGAAAAGCACTTTTCCAACAAGAAGATTGTAACTCAAATTGTTCCTTCAGGACAATGGTGGGATGCGGAAGAATATCATCAACATTACCTTGACAAAAACCCTGAAGGATATCGTTGCAGTTCTCGTAAGTTTCCAAAGCTCTTCTGTGAGGAAGATAGTATTACTAACTACTTTATATAGACTTCCTTCGCTGGAATCCATTCGCTTAAGATCAGGTTCAACCTAATGAACGTAAATTTCCTGTTATATCTAAAGAAATTATAGTCATTGAGATGAGAATGAATTTGTTCGAGAAATGAATTGAAATGAATTTAAACGGCTAGAAATTTTGGTTTAACAAATTACATTGGGTAGGTTTCAAATAGACGAGATTATTCCTATCCGTTTCACGGGTCAAGTAGTAAATTTATCACCTCCCACATGAGGCTCCTCTTTTTGATAAATAAACGATAAGAGAGAATCCAAATTAGTGAGCACATTTTTTGAAATTCCTCTTTCGTCCATATTCTTCACTGTAGTTTCCAACTGTTGAAGAAGCTGCTGAGCTATATGAACATATTCCTGTGTTTTTTCCTCATCCGCCTCGATTTTCTGAGACAGAGTTTGGTTCTCAAGTTCCAAGTCTTCAATGTCCTCTTTCAGTTTTCTTTTAAGGTTCTGTTTGTGTGTATAGAGATGAGCTTTAAGGATTTCTTGAGGCTGCTTGCTTTCGATACTATAGAACGTTAGAAATGCTTTACTGTTGAGAGTTTTCTTACTCAATTGGGGGTTCTCCTGACCCTTTTCGGTCCTTAGCTTCCTTGATACATTGATCCAGGAAGTCAAGTTTTTGATGCAGACCCCGTTCCTCAATCAGCTTGGCATACTCTTGCTAAATTTCAGTCATCAGCTGCTGTTCTTCAAACGTTCCATACATACCTTGCAGGTTTCCTCAAAAAAGCTGATAAGTTGCTGATGCATGGCTGCAATTGCCTTTCCTTTTTTGAATGTTGGAAAACATTGTGCAAACTTTTCTAAAGGAATGTGTGCAACTGTTTCCGATAAGGTACGTCGTAAAGATGCTTCCAATTGCTCCTTCCTAGTCATATATACCCAAAAATCAATAGATCACTCTTAACAGACGACTCGACTCGCAAACTAAACACTGTTTGCCTAAAGGTTGATAAAATATAGAATGCCTAATTATTAGATCAAATTTTTACTATTTTTTAGTAAAATAAATCCTTGTTTCTCAAGATTTTTCACGATTGTTCTCATAGAAAAGATTTTCCCAAACACATGAAATTAAATTCGTGCTAATCCTTTTTTGACTATTTTTATGAAATAAATAAGGATAAGAACAATAAACTTATAAAGATACGTTGGTTCTTTTCTAAGCCTTTGAAAAGGCAGTTTGTTTACAGCCTTTAGTAAGTTCAATTCTGCTCCTGCCTATAACTACATACTGAACTTGCGTCTTGGACCTCAAAAAAAAAAGATCAGAAATTTGTTGAAATAAGCAAATATATAGACTTCGCATTGAAATTTATTCATGGATATCCTTCAAAAAGGTTACAATGTGATAGTAGCGCCTCCAAAAGTTCAACAGGCAGATGAAGCAATCTCAACTCTTTGCGATCGACTTGAACATGCAACTCTCTTTGAAGATAGAAAGGCCGCTGCTCTAGGAATTAAAAGCTTTGCTCGAGAGTTTAAAGAAGTAAGCCGTTGATTTATACACTAGACAGTACTGACAAACGTTTGCTATAGTTAGTCGCTGCTCACGGGCTCAAAGGGATTATTCGATCTTTACACCGGGATTCATCAGATCCCGAGTTACTGAGAGTGGCTTTAGAAACCTGTCTGATTCTGACAAAATCTTCGGATGAAAAAACTTCGTCAGACACAGCTTTATGGGTTTCTGATCAGTTTATCTTAAATCATGAGAACATTCAATGTCTTCTAAATAGTGTTCAACATGATGATTTTTACGTCCAGTTATACTCCATCGAACTCTTTTCATCCATACTGGCCTGTAGACCAGCTGAATTGAAGGATTGCATTCAAAGTTTTCCTTCTGCCATCTCAACGGTAATGACTCCATTAAGAGATACCAGTGAGCCTATCCGGAATGCTGCACTATATTTCCTGAAAGACCTAACCATGAATTGTGCAAGCCTTCAGAAACTAGTTGTTTTTGAAAATGCATTCGAATCTATTTTATCTATTTTAGATGATGAAAATGGAGTTGAGGGTGGACTTATCTCTGCCGATGCACTTGTCTTTTTAGACACTCTTTTAAATGACAATATTACCAATCAACATTTTTTTCGAGAATCCAATCAAATACCTAATATTATTCGTCTATTACGTCCTGATTCGTTTATAGATGCAAACTGGGATTCTCTTCGTACTCGTTGTGTTAATCTTGTTCTACATGTTCTACAGTCTTTGACACCCATCGGTCTTTCATCAGGGAAAGCAAACCAAAATGCAGTTATGAAAAGCAACTCATTTGATTTCCTCCTTCGATTGGCAACAAATCCAGATTTATTACATTTGGATGTCCCAAAGGTCGCTTGGATTACCCTTGCTCATTTGGTTTACGCAAATAATGCTTGTCAGGACGCTTTCGTCAAAAGCTCTTATTTCATTAACCAAAATACAGATGCTTTATCATGTCTTCTAAATCAGATCTTCCTTCCTTCAATCTCTCCTTCACATCGTTATTCTGTTGCCTTTTTTTTAAGGGCTTTGGTTGATTCTAACAATCATTTGGCTGAGACCTTCCTACAAAGGATAATAGATGCTTACCGAAATAAAGAGTCATCAAAGCTAAATCTTTTAGACCAGTACCTCGACATATCCATACTTGCTGACACCGAACAATACGGACATTGGTTAATTAGCGTTATTTTAAGTTATTTGGTGGCAGGCAGTGACGAGAGAAAGTTACAGTTATGCAAAATACCACTTTATCAAGAAATCGCAGCAGATGAAGAAGATGGAGAAGAAGTTACTTTTATTCAATGTATTTCCACCAAGCTTATTGCGACATTGCGGCATGATCATGCTCTTCATAACTGTGTTGGGTATCTGACCTTATTAATCATTTTAGTTGATAGCAATGCTCACTGTGTAAAAGACTTTCTATCTGAAAGTAGTATACTCCAAACCTTGTTGACGACATTAATGGACGAATCTTCTTCAGCAAGTTCCATTATTCAGGGTATGATCGCCGTTTTATTGGCTCTGGTGTACCACTATTGTCCCCTTGATTCTTCTGTGCCAAAATCTAGTATTTATGGAGCAATCAATTCAGCAGTTACTCGTGATGTTTTTTTAAATCGCCTTCATAGACTACACCAGCTTGATCAAATTCGCAGTCATTTACCGTTAAACGAAATTCCTGACGGTAACTTCAATACATTACTCTTCGATACATTGTTTGTTGATTTTTTTAAAGACAATTTTTATCGCTTAATACATTCTATTGATGATGCTTCTGATGCTTACAATGCAAGTGATGATGGGATTAACACTCTACGTGCCTATGAAGAAGCTCAGCAAAAACTAATCACGCTAAGCGACGAACTTAAGGAAACTAAAAGTCTCTTGAGCTCCATTTCAAGCGACAAAGAGGAAGAGTTGCGAAGCTGTAGAAATGAGATGGAGGAAAAACAGAAACTAATCAATGAGTTTCAAGTTCTTAATGACGATTATCGTCAAGAATTGAGTTCTCTTCGACAAAGCTTATATGATATTAAAATTGAATTGGATTATTCGAAGTCTAATACTAATAGTATGGAGGAGGAAATGAAGGTGCTTCGCGAAGGTCACGATATGGAAATCAAAGACTTTACCGAAGAAAACGAGAAACTTCGAAAGCTTTTGGATTCTACCAAAGATCAGTTTAAGGTTATTAGTATGAAAAATAAAGATCTTCATACGACAATGCAGGGTTTAGAAAAGGCCAATAACGAATTCCAAACATTGAAATCTGAGAATTCCTCATTACAGCAAAAAGTTAATGACCTCACAGAGAAAATAGAGGGGCTAAACAAGACTACTATTTCTATGAAGAGTTCTTTGAACGAATCCAAAAACTTAGAGGAATCCTTGACTCAGCAAATCCAAAAGAAAGACAATCTTTTGTCCAAATATAAAGACGAAGAAAACGGATACAAGGGTCAGATCAAAGAATTTGAATCCCAAGTTAGTAGTTTAAGGAACGAATTAGAAGTGTTACGTGAAAGCAAGGGTTCCTTAATGGATGAAATAAAAACCACCCAGAACGTGGTGAAACACCAATCCAATGAACTTAAACTTGCTAAACAAAAGTATACTTCTTCTCAAGAAAAGCTGAACGCAAACTCACAGAATTCAAAAACAAATGAAAAGAAACTCTCCTCATTAGAAAGTGAACTCAGGGAAGAAAAAGACGCAGTTAAAAGATTACAGGAGGAACTGGATAATATTAACTCTGAAAAGCACCGCTTACAAAAGGAAGTAAATGAAGGAGATTCGTTTCGAACGGCTTCGCAAGCAGCTCAAAATGAGCAAAGAAAAGAATTAGAGAAATTAAAATCTGATTTGGATGAGCTTCAAATAACACGTGAGACGGCTGGTGAGGAGAATGAAAAGTTGAAAGAAATGTGTGAAGAATTAAAGAAAAAGGTTGCCGGCCTAGAAACTAAGGATGATCAAAATACAGCGGAATTGCAAAAACAAAATGCTGAATTGGAAAAAAGGCTTAAAGAAGCCGATGAATACTGGTTACTTATCATCGAGGAGTTGGAAACAAAACGCTCGAGGGATAAAAAAGCTTTAAAAGAATTAGGACATGAAGTTTCTGAAGATGAGAATGAAAGTGATGAAGAGTAACGGAACTGCAATCTTTTGGATATAATAATAATAATAAACATTAACTATTAATTAACTAATATCTAACTAAAGTCTTCTCCTCGATTCCACGAATTAGCCAAAACCCAAAAATGCTCAGCATTACCTAGTTGTTCAAGAGATTGCCGAGCTTCATTCTCCGTTGGACATTTTCGAAATGTCCAATATGAGAAATTTCGTTTGCTTAAATCTCCTTCCCATACCAAATCACATTTGTTCTCGTTATAGGGTATGCTGCTTCCATTCATATCAGCCAGCTTATTTCCTTGAGCTAATATAGAATTTCTTGAGGTATCTGTCCAATCTATACGATTTATCATTAATTTTTTAAAATGCTTAATATTTTTTCTTCCGCCTTCAACAATAACCAAGTTAAATTTATCACTTAATATACATGCTCCTGTAAGACCCAATTGTTTAGCATTTAAATCAATTTTTAAGCGATGTGGTCTGTGTGCAAGGTATTTAATTCTGAAATATGTTAGAATAATTCAACTTATTCATAAAAATCACTTACTTGAAAACAAGGCACTGCAAGCCACTTGCAGCATCTTCTTCGAGCTTTTTTAGAGTTCTATCCCTCCTCTCTTCGGGAGTAAGTTTTCTTTCTTCGTTCATTTGTTCGTGACGAAGACGTCGTTCTTCTACTTGCCTTCTAACCTCGGCCTCCATCTTTGTTGGATCCTTAATAGCTGCATCGCCCAATACGCGCATAAGATTTGAAAGCTTCACCTTAGGAGGTTCTGGAGGTTCTAATCCTAATAGTTGACGATCTTGTTTTTCTTTACGAGCTTCAGCTCGAGTTTGCCTCCTGATTTTCTTTTGTTCCTAAATACATTAGTACCAATATTTGTATGTTTTACTATTACCTTTTTTGTCAAGAAAAGAGATTTAGAGGATGGTTGATTTTTTAAATAAGGGGGAAGAACAGGAATAGGATGTTGTATATTCGATGTTATAGCCTCGCTATTTTCGAATATTTTCCATGAAGATTGATCACCGTAAGTTGATCCATCGGCAACATACGGCAAATCCCACCATTCGACTGTAGGAGGCTCCACTCGATGTATGGATTTACTAGCGATTAGAAGCTCATCATTAAGCCCTGCCTTTTCTGAATGCAAGGCAACACGTTTTTTCAACTTTTCTAATTGAGATTGACGTCGAAATTGTTCAGCTTCTTCGATATATTTACCGGAAGCATTCAGACTTAGAACCCTTGGAGCTCTAGTACGTCTTGATTCCTTTGTCCTTGGGTCATAATAAGGAAGATTTTCAACTTTGGGTACTTCAATATCTTCTATAAGTGGATTTCTCTTACTTTCAGTGGGACGCTCCTGTGAAAGAGCATCAGGACTATCCCGTACAGGCTTATTAGATGCTGAAGGTTCTTTAAACCTTCCATTGGATGAATATATATCATCTTTTAATAGAGCAGGATGAATTCCAACCCTTAAGCCTCCTTTTGCGACATCACCCTCAGTATGTTGAGATGGAGCAGAGGATGGTGAGAAAGAATTCTTAACAAAGTTAGAAAATTAATATAATATATGCACTTACAAATCTTTTTGCGGTTCTTTCTCTTAGTTCTGCTATACGACGCTGAGCAGCACCTGGTTCAGTGGGTCTATTACCATCGGAATTCTTGTCTGAACTGCCAATGTTTTGAGAAGATGTTCTTTTTTCCAACTCTAATTTTCTTCTTTTCACAGCTTCCATCTGTATTTACGATTAGGTTGACGTTACAAGATGGAACGATAGGAAACTTACTATGCAATTATCATAAACAGTTAGCAGGACGTGTAAACTGCTTCAAGGGCAGTTGCACCTCTATATGAATGTATAAAAACTATAATAAAAGATCCTAAGGAACTTTTCTTGAAATAGCAAGTTACGAAAGCAGTTGGTGTTGTGATGAGAGGTCCGAAGACGGTAATGCCATTAAAGATTTATTAGCTATTGTACATGAGATTTTTATAAAAAAGATCAAGAAAAATACCACAATTAATCCAAAATTAAGAAACCACATGAAAAACCTTTGATTTGAAGATTCAGAAAAAGGTACAGTCAATCCCATAATCAAATCTCCAAACAAGGATCTCACTGTTATGAGTACAAGCTATAATACGCCGATGATCACATTGTAGTCCAAATACTCGAGATCTTCGATCGTTATGTAGAACGCAGTATAGTTCTCCGGTTTCAAAATTCCATACCCGTATAGTTCCATCGTAGCCTCCAGAGACTACTTTTTCATTGTCAAATTCTAAGGTTCGGATGAGGTCTTCATGGCCTTGAAGTATACGAAGTAGCTTTCCGGAGTTCGCTTCAAAAATGCGAACTGTGGTATCTGAAGATCCTGAAACGATGTATTTTCCATTATATTGAGTACAAGCAATACCTCTCTGATGTGCATGTATAATCTTTAAGCACTGACCACTATGGACGTCCCACATCCTTAGAGTACGATCTCCGCTGGCTGTTACGATAATACCAGTTGACTCATTGTATTGAACAGAATTCACAGAAGCAAGATGTCCTCTCAATACATGTATGCAGGACTCTTCCGCGGATGAAGCATCCAACTTCCATACCCTCGCTGTGTGATCACGGGAACAAGAAATTATATAGTTTCCAGAGAGAACGACACCTAGCACATTGTCAGTATGTCCAGTCAAGGATTTAATAGGACACCTTCGTTCCCAACTCCAAATTAAAATCGAAGTGTCGGATGAACCAGAAATAATGAGATCACGTTCTCGATCAAATTGCAAGCATAAGACACTGCCCAAATGACCATGAAGGAAATACAGTAAGGCACCTGCGTGAATATCCCAGATACTTATTAAACGGTCTTTGGATCCACTGACAACAAAATCATCGTCGTATTGTACGCAATATACGCTATCTGTTGAAATGCGAGAGAACCTCCCTAGTCGAGTTGGGGTTTGCATTTCACATAAAACAAATCGGCCGCGACGCCAATTCGCTTCAAGTCGAGCGCATTCTTTGTAAATGTGAGCCCAATTGAGCAAAGGACGATTCTGCGAATCATACACGTATTGTCGGTCGTGAAAGATAGTTCCATGTGGACCTAGGAAATGTTCATCGATTCGAATGAAGGTCTCTTCAGACAATGACTGATCCTTGATACGCATCCATTCTTCGAATTCTTGTACCACCTTGGGGTTTAGCTGCCAACCTTTCCGTTCAAATAACGTCTTCCATATGCTAGGGTCTTCTAGCAGCCTTTTCCACCGCCTGGACATTAATTTACATCTGCAAAGATCATTTTGCCCTAGATAGCTGAATATTCGCAAAATTATTTCCTCGGGAAAGAACTACCAAACCGATTAGAAACATAAAACATAAATGTGAAAACACAGCGTACATCAGTAAAGTCCTTGAATAAGAGAGTTTGAATATAATTATAAATTAGAAGGATTCCTTCTTTTGGCAACTCTGAGAGAGTATGTTGGATGATATCTGATCGTTAATTTTTGCTTCCAAGTTTATATTAGGAGGGCATACCAATTTTTTCGCTTTCCAGCGGGGTAAAAGAGGATGATGGGTTTCCTTTTTCGTTATCGAATGAATCCTTTTGTTCAGATACTTTAATCCCTAGTTCATTCTGTGATTCAATTTTACTGTAGTTCGTTTTAGGGTCATCAGACATTTGAATAAAAAAAAAGAGAGAAGAAAAGTTTTTCTGTGAATATCAAATATAAAGACTTTTGTTTACACAATACAAATCCTCAGCTCTTGAAAAGCTCAAGTGAAAGCATGCTACATGAACCAGAGAATCCAAAGTTGGGAAAGTAGCCTCGCAAATTCAAACACTTTCTGGCTTGTTCAATTTAAATAATTCAACCTGTTTTTAATCGTTAATTTGCAATGAAATACAACAAAAATTCAAACAAAAGCTGCTACATCTCTTGAACAGGTTGGGTTAAGCAATATCGTTCTACCTCGTTGGTAAATAAATAAATAAATGAATGAATGAATGAATGAATGAATTAAGATAAGAAGGAAAAAGCGACCCTTCTACCCTTATAGTTTCAATCTTTGTATCTTATTTTGTTAGCTTGTCGATGAAGGTGGAAAGGAAAGCTTTAAGATAGATTTCCATATTGCCTATTTAAAAGAAAGACACGTTTTTGATTCATATATCAAAATAGCCTAAAAGAACCTCTACTAGGTACCTATTCGTGTGTTTGATTATTTTCAACATGTTTCATGACAATATTCAACTCATATTTTGTTTTCTATGCTCAAACAAAGTGTAAACAATCAATCTGTCGCTACCAAGACTGACTGCTTCAGCGAGGCCGGGCCTAATTGTTTATTTCCACGTGAAAAAAAGGCTAAGAAAGAAAAAGAATTATGCACAGTTAAAGAGTATCCCTTTTCAAATATAACAAACAATGTATGTTTAAACAACAATGTAATTTGAAAGAAAGAATAAAAAGGTAAGGTTTATAACTATTTTCCTATATACCGAGTTATAAGTATGTCGTAAAGTATATTGTTGGCAGTTTCTCTCTTCAATGAATTGAAGGAAAAACGTCGTATTTGATTCAATTACAATAATGATGCGACTTACAGACTACGCTTCGCAATCAACCAAAGCGTTGTCTCGCTTCTATAACTAAATCAGTATCCTTAACTTATCACCATAAACCTAGAATCTATACCTTCCATATTGAGTATCAGTCTTGGAACACGTGAAACTTTAACTTTGGTTCCTAATAGTAGGATCTTCAAGAACTTTTATCAACAAAGGGGAAACGGAAAATCTGTAACGAAACTTTCCTTTATTTATATTTTTTTTGGTTTCTTTTTGCATAGAAACGTCTTTCTAAAACAAACAAAGAATTTCTCCGGTCCTTCTCTTATCTCTACTTGATTGATTATCGCAAAAAGTACCAGACTGGTGTAAACAAACGATGAGTAGGTAACATACGCCAATATCATGTCTTGAAGACTTTAAGATGGGAAAAAAAAATTTTGTAATAAAAAAAATAAAGAAGAAACTTCAAGGAAGATTAAAATCCTTTGTAAAAGAGATCGCTCAATTTTTGGAGTGACATTTTCCTAGAAACACAGGAAATTATCATATCCAGGTTGTGTTTCCTGTCATTTTTTGCAGTAATTCGTCCAATGTATGGTACAGAACGATGTTCTTATTTTGTCTCTTGGTATGAATGCATGCTCTAGAACGAGCCTGTCAATTTGGATTTACAATAGTAGGTAACAATTTGTGTGGAGCCTCTAGATACTTGAAAAGGACGTCATACGAACAAACAGCGCTCGTTATCCAAAATTTATAAAACGATATAGTCTTATCTTACACTAGAAATAGCCTCCTTTTATCTGTCAATATATAGCTCCCTTTTTCCACGACTGACTGCGTTTCACCCAAAAATTGGGATTACGGCCTGCTTCTCTGCTCTTTCATTTGCAACAAACAGTTGAAGTTAATTACAATAGGATTTCATAATTACTGAAAAATCCATTTGCTTGCTGTTAGGAGGTACTCTACTACTGCCATAAAAGCGCAATCCTACCTCTCGTTTTTTCAGCCACTCAATCCGTTTCCCTCTGTTTTCTTCAGTCAATCAGCTCTTAATTCCCTTTAATCTGTCTTTGCTTTTGAGGTCTTGTTCTCACATTATTTTTGTGTTTTTTTCGTTCAGCAGTCCTCAAAATTCACAGGACAATCCGGTCTGATTGCATCGCATTTTTTATTTTTTTAAAAAGTCTTTCTGATTTGTTAATAATTGTTTTGTTTAGAGAAAATTTTTAAAACATGGATGCTTCGCGACCCTCTCCTTTCTTGCCTGGGTCAAACAGCTTTAATTATATTCCTTATCAGATTCGCTCTATAATTGGAGATTCTTTTTCCTTTTTTCTGAAAGGAAGTGCTCATGATTATCATGAGGATTCTCTCTTGCCTCAATCGTCATACAAGTACCTCCTTTCCGGAGGTCTTGTTTGTACTTATTTATACTTACTTTATAAATGGCTCTCAAACTCTTTTATAGTCAAACGTCCCGTGTCTGCTGAGTTTTCAGGGCTGCGGCGTGTTCATGGGCTTTGTCTTTGGATGCTTTCGTTTCTCTTTCTATGTTTAAGTACATTCATGTATACTGAAGGGCATTTTCCAAAGAGATTTATTGGTCATGGTGTCAACCATTTATTGCTTGCTTTCTCTATACACTCCTTTCTTCTTCATTCTCTCCGCATTCTTGTTCCCCGGGCGCGTCCTACCTTGTATCATTCTTCAGTTCTTTTAAACCTTTCCATCATTCCGGTGTTTTTCGATTTTTATGTTTATCCCTTCCTTTTAATCCATCACCCTCCCTTCTCCATATTTCCGCCCCTAATGTGGGCCTATTTTACCATTGGCGTATCCATAAACATCATTCCCTGGTTCACACCACGTGTATGGTACCCTTTATTTCCTGAAGAAAACGATCACCCGTCGGAAGAGCAAATCTGCAATTACTTTAGCTATATTTGTAGCTATAATTGGTTAAACAAGCTTATCAATGTCTCCACCCGTCGTACTGTTGAATTCGACGATGCTCCTCATCTACCGGATTATGACAAAAACAAACTGTGGTCTAATGTTTATGAGAGGCTTAAGCGCCCTTCTTTATTTATAACTCTGCACCTTATCTTTGCATATCAAATGATAGGTATGGGTGTTGCAAGCTTTTTCATTAGTGCTTCACAGTTTATTTCACCCATGGCCATGAATCGGTTCCTTCAGTACTTAGAAAATCCAAAGAGTGAATACATATCTCCCTATGTATGGATTGCCTTGCTTTTAATTGGCCCTTTTCTGAATTCATTGGCTTTTCAATCTTATTTATTTTTGTCTACTCGTTATGCCATCCGTTCTTATTCGGTTCTTGTATATCAAGTTTATAAAAAAGTGCTTGATTTCCGCTTTGTACAGAATAAAAATGAGGAATCCAAAGTCGGCCGAGTTAACAATCTTATTTCTACCGATGCTGATGATATTGGCGCGTTGCGAGAATTAGTCCATGTTGCAGTAAGAGCACCTTTTGAAATCGGCATTTCTATCTATTTGTTGCAGAAACTTTTGGGATGGAGTGCTTATGTTGGTCTTGTTCTTGCCGTCTTAACTACATCGGTTCCTATTCTGTTAGGTCCCTTTGTGGCTAAACTAACTTTACTCTCTAACAAAGCAACTGATTCCCGTATTGAATTAATGTCCGAACTTCTTCAAAGTATTCGTATTACAAAATTCTTTGGTTGGGAACGTCCAATGCTCGAACGTGTGCGTCACAAACGCCAACACGAGCTTAATCGAACCTGGAAGTTGCTTTTAATGGAAATATTAATTCAAGTTTTGGTTGAATCATTACCGTTCTTTAGCATGTTTGTTACTTTTGTAATTTTTACTACGGTTATGGGACAAAAAATTACACCCTCAATTGCATTTACTTCAATATCCCTTTTCTCTTTGGTGCGTAATCAGTTTGCATGGATTGCTTATCTTTTAAGGCAATTAGTGCAGATTTTCGTTTCAATTGGTAGGGTTTCAAATTTTTTGAACGACCCCAATGAAGTGGATCCCACAGTTTACACTGACTCTGAAAGTGAAGACATTGGCTTTGACAACGCCACTTTCACCTGGCCTTGTAATCCAGTTGAGGGAGATTTCCGCCTTCGTGACTTGAACTTCAAGTTCCCAAAGAACCAGCTTTCAATCGTTGTTGGTCCTACTGGCTCCGGAAAATCTTCGCTAATTTCGGCATTACTTGGTGAATTAAGTTTGTCTAGCGGCTCTTACTCCCTACCTCGTTCCAAAGGTGTATCATACGTCCCTCAAGTTGCTTGGTTGCGTAATGCCACCATTAAAGACAATATTTTATTCAATGCTCCTTTCGACGAGGCGCGTTACAGAGAGGTTTTGAAATCCTGTGGTTTGCAGAGTGATTTAGAAAATTTACCTGCCGGTGATTTAACTGAAATCGGTGAAAAAGGTGTTACCTTATCTGGAGGTCAGAAACAACGTATTGCGCTTGCTCGTGCTGTATATGCACCATCCTCCATCGTTTTAATTGATGATGTTATGTCTGCTTTGGATATTCACACATCAAATTGGATTTTCCATCATTGCTTCAAAGGTCCTTTAATGAAAAATCGTACTGTTATCCTTGTTACGCATAGTATACATCTTTTCTTAGATGCTACTAACTTTGTTGTTACCGTAAAGAATGGATCCGCTTTTCCAATTAAGGATAAGTCAACACCTATTTTGCAACTGGATGAACAGGCTAACACATCCGAATCTTCTGCACCGGAAATGCAAGTTACGGAGACCCCTCTTGATTCCTCAATAGACGCAGAGCAAGTTGCTGAATCGGGTAAACTTGTAGAAGAAGAAAAAAGAGCCACCGGAGACGTACCTTTGTCTGCTGTTTTCGAATATTTCCGCCATTTTGGCTCAACATTTTATGTATGCTTCATTCTTGTATTACTAGTTGCTACACAAACAGTATCTATCCTTATTGATTTGTGGGTTGCATTTTGGACCAACAAATCAATAGACTCTCCTGACATGAGCAATACCAAGTTTTTAGTAGTATATGGATCAATGCTCATCTTTTACTGTTTGCTAGACTACTTGCGCACGTATACATATGACAGAGGCTCCTTGATTGCTGGAAAGGCTATTCATAATTCAATGCTAGAGCACGTTTTTGGTACTTATGCCTCATGGTTTAACAAAACACCTACTGGAAGAATTGTGAACCGTTTTGCCAAAGATATTCGATCTTTGGACTTGAACCTGCCAGGCTGGCTTTTCTGGTCTGTAGAATGTTTCCTTTCAATCCTTGCCGGGTTAATTTCTGTTTCTTCAGCTATGCCTATTTTCTTGGTTCCTGCCTTATGTATCTGTTTAATAGGATATTATGTTGGTATGCTTTATACTAAGGCTCAAGTTGGTATCAAGCGATTAATTTCCGTTTACAATTCTCCTATTTTCGGCCTTCTTGGAGAGAGTATTTCTGGACTTGCTGTAATTCGTGCATTTAATATGCAAAGTACATTTAAAGATGAATTCTCGAAGAAAATTGACAACCTACTGCGTCTTCAGTCTACATCGTACAATCTGAATAGATGGGTTGCAGTTAGAACAGACGGCATTAGTGGATTGGTTGGTGGATTAGCTGGATTTATTGCTCTTAAACAAAGCAACATTAGCCCTGGTCTTGTTGGTTTCTCACTTAACCAATCTGTAATCTTTAGCATCACAGTTCTTTATTTTGTCCGTTCATTCAACGCCTTACAAGCTGAGATGAACAGCTACCAAAGAGTTAAAGAGTATACTGAACTAGAGCAAGAACCTTTACCAACCAAAGAAGGAGAAGTTCCTGTGGCATGGCCCAAAGAAGGAGACATTAAGTTCGAAAATGTCAGCGTAAGTTACACTCCAAATGGATCGAGTGTCATTAAGGATTTAAATCTTCACATCCATCACGGTGAAAAGGTAGCGATTGTTGGACGAACCGGTAGTGGTAAGAGTACACTGGGACTTACTCTCTTACGATTCACAAATCGTCTAGGTGGATCTTTACGTGTCAATGATTTAGAGATTGAAAATGTCAATTTGAATTCTCTTCGTCAACGAATTTCATTCATTCCTCAAGATCCAATTTTGTTTTCTGGAACCGTTCGAAGCAATTTAGATCCTTTCAATGAACTTGATGATTCTTTGTTGAACGAGGCGCTTCAGACAAGTGGAGCAAATAATATGGCTATTGCCTATTCGGAAGACCAACAACCAATTCATATAACGCTAGATACTCAAGTAGCTTCGGAGGGCTCAAACTTTTCTCAGGGCCAGAAGCAAGTCTTGGCTCTATCAAGAGCCATCGTTCGACGCTCTAAAATCATTATCCTGGATGAATGTACTGCATCCGTAGATGATGCTACAGATCAACAAATCCAAAAAACATTGCGTAGCGCATTTGGAGATGCAACTATGTTGTGCATTGCTCATCGCTTGAAAACGATCGTTGACTATCATAAAGTTATGGTTATGGACAAAGGTGTACTTGTTGAATATGGACCACCTGCCGAGTTATATCGTAAGGGCGGGGTTTTTCGTCAAATGTGTGAAAAGAGTTCAATTTCTTTTTTGGATTCTACAGTAAAATAGACTTGACTCATTAGAAAAGCCATGGACTTGTTTAGTTTTATAGATATGTCACAATTATTATAACTTGGTTCATTTGTTAGAAAATGCGTGTGATTGGACTGATTATGAATTTAATACGGGACTAATGCAATTTAAATTTTTTACATATAATCCATCTTTTATACGTGACATACTACCTCAACATCTTGTTATACGGTTTGCAGTTAGTCAATTCGGTACTATAGGAAACGTAGAGAGCTCATAGACAGCGCTGTACAAATATTATACTACAGTATTTTATACAATACATAACAAGCTGGTAAGTCACCAACACACATTTACAAATTCACAGAAAAACGGGACAATGGATAAGTCAATTTTCAAGGAACTTCAAACAAAAATTGATCATGAGACTTCTTTGCGAGACGTATGGGTTATTTTTCACCGGCAATTACTAAACAAATAACCAGGAATTAAGTTCGCGTGTTGAAACTATTGATCAGGAAACAAAAGTTTTACGTCTCTTGCTTGGAGAAGTTGAGATTTGTATGGCATCAAATCTGCTACATTTTAGTCAAACCCTGTTAATTAACTTATAGCAAATAACGAAGTATCCATTGATATTACAAGGAGTACAGAGGTTATCAAAGTGAAAATCCAAGAATTAGCTAAGTTGGCATCTGAACATTCTTACTACAAATATGTTAATGTCTGGGACAGAACTATTCAAGAAGTCGCGTGCTTGATCTTGTTAGCAACTTGGAGGGGAGCTCTTCGTGGACATGAAGACAAGAAATACCAAATCTTGACTTTGGAAGAAGTCGGTCAAATTTTGAACGGTATGCTATAGTGTAAATATACGCAAAACTTAACGAAATGGTTCTAGTTCCTGTATATCCCGAAGAAGTTAAGTTTCACATTTCTATCGAGGAGTATTTGCATGGTGTTTTGTCCATTAGTTCTGAACTGGTATGTTTAACTCTTGTATACCGTTTTCTAAACATTATACTATAGGCAAGGTTTTCTGTCAATGCTGTTATCCATGGCAATAAAGAGGTTCCTTTAAAATCACTTCAAACTATTGAAAACGTACATTCTTCCTTTCAATTGTTATCTTTAAAGAACGACTCCTTGCGTCGTCATTTTGACAGCTTAAAATACCAACTCAAACGAGCGGAAGATGGTATGTTAATTTCTTTATATAAGCACCCTTACTAATTGCTCTAGTGGTTTACGATATGAGAATTCACAATTTGCTAGACTAATAAAAATTGTTCTATGACGGAAAATGTAATTTCATTAGTTATTTATTGACGTTTTATTGTTTGTACTTCGTCTTTGCATATGTAATTTTTTCTTCCTTGGTTTATTTACTAAGGCACTCTAGCAATGGTTTCCTAAATCCTGGAATTCTGTTGCAAAAATAAAACTCCAAGTACAATTTGTTCTTAGAGTGTTAAATCTGTGTTTTTTTATCTTTTTTACAATCGAAAGAAAGTCTATCTTATTTTTATGTGTTTGTTTCTATCGTCATATTTGAATTGAAATGCCATTAATTATTTTGTCTGGATATCCATCCTCTGGAAAAACGACGCGTGCGAAGCAACTTCAGAAAGCTTTAGAAGAGCGTATAGAAAACAATGTTGATGGAACCAAGGACTATCGTGTAGTCCTCATCAATGATGAATCTTTGGACATTGAAAAAGAAGTTTACAGAGGTACACAATAATTTTTTAATACACCGAGACAACAATGTCTCTTCCCATTATACTAGGGAAGGAGAATCGTTTTTTTGAAAGACATACTAACTGGTATTAAATTTTAGAATCGAAAACAGAAAAGGCTGCTCGCGGACTTTTGTATTCCGCCGTTCAACGTGAACTCTCAAAGAGTACTATTGTAATTTGTGATGCCTTGAATTATATTAAAGGATTTCGTTATCAGCTTTTCTGTGAGTCAAAATCCATGTACACCCCTCACTGTGTGGTATGGCAATACAAACTTTTTACCATATATACTAACAGGATTTCCTAGGTTCATGTGGCTGTCCCCAAGCAGATGGCGAAAAAATTTAACTCCACCTCGGAACATCCATACCCAGAAGATGTCTTAGATGGACTTATTTTTCGATATGAAGAACCGAATGGGATGACCCGATGGGATTCGCCTCTCTTTACAGTTATCCATGATGATCCTACTCCTCCTGTTGATACTATTTGGTCTGTGCTAATTCATAACAAATCCGTGAAGCCAAACTTGGCTACTATGACAAAAGCACCTGCTGAAGTAAATTATTTATACGAATTAGATAAAGTAACGCAAGACGTTATCATGCTAATTCTCAATCATCAAAGTACAGAGGGATCTTCTTCGTTGCCCATCCCTGGAAGCAGTCTTCAAGTCGAAATGCCAAGCATTACTGTATCGCTTCCTCTTTTGCAGCGTTTTCGCCGTCAATTTGTTCACATCAATCGCCAACAGTCATATAACACCAATCTTTTAAAAGATATGTTTGTCGATTTTTTGAATGGACAATTTGAAACAATGGAGTAAAGGCTGTTGGCTTATTGCTGGGCTTGGAAAAAACGAATTACCATTTTTAGGAGTTCTTGTATGATAAAAGTAACTGTTTAGAAAAAAAGGATGATTGAAATTTTTTATTTTGTTCTCTTAACTCAAATAAAAAGGGGTTTTCTATGATCTTATTCAAACCTTACTCAGTTTCTTTAAAGTGAACAGGTAGCTTTTTACTGTCTAAGCTATCTCCTTTCTTGTTTTAGTGTTGGATTCATTTACAGACTAACAATGCTTGAGATCTTTTGCCTGTGTTATATAAGTTTTTGTAGAAGATAAATAACCCTTTTCTATTCCATATTTTTCTCAAAGGCTACGCTACCTTCTTTAAATGACATTTTTAAAACAGCAGCTTATAATTATTAGGCAGTCGTAGAATATCCAAATTACTAAAAAATCAAGGACATAAATTACTTCACAGAAATGTTGATTTCTTCATATGCTTTTATGAACATAGAGAATCAGTATGCCTTAACAATGCATAAAAGGATATCTTTAGCATACTCAAGTATATGCACTTACTTAAAGTATATCACTATATCTTTCATTAAGAAACAATAATTGTCATATGGCATTATAAATGCTTTAAACTACAATATCATAAACTAGACTGATTCCTATGTATTCTGTTAATGTTATTCTGCTTCGTTTTTCCTTCGACACAACTGTTGCTTGTTTTTTCACCGACTTGTAAACATAAAACGACTTGGAGAACATAATGGATTAAATGACCATTCGATAGAATACGATGAACATATATAGAAGTCGCATAGGGTAGAATAGCAATCTTTTTATTGCTTCTTGTAATTCCAGCAACCACCAAAATTAATTTAAATTTAATTAAAATATATCGAAAGTTTGCGCATCTTTGGGACTCCTTATAATTGATACCGGATTGGAACGCAATTAGGGGTTCAAGCATTTCCATCTCCAATATACTTCTACCATCGTCAATAATAGTATCGTGTTTAAGTCATAGTAATTGGCTTATAGAAACCTGTAATAAAATGCAGGATGATTCTGGGAATGTGGCAGAGGTACCTGTCGTACCGAATCATGAAGAGATGTCCAGTGAGAACAAGGTGTATCCAGCTGAACAGAAAGCTTTCAAACCCGATACCGAAATAGACTCGCATAAGGAACCCGAAAAAGGACCTCGAGTTTATCCAAATCTAGCTTTGGAGCCCATAAATGCCGCCGAAGATGGACGGGCACCAGGTCAGGGCGACTTGTCTTCACCAGCTACGTTAAACCAAATTGTGTACGAGCAGCAAGGGCAAGAAGAAATTCCTGCAAAAGTCCCTCTTGATAATAAAAACTTAATGAGCCCTGTATTAGAAGAACCACGACCTGAACCCAATGAAAGGGTAGATCAAAATCCACCGACTCCTTCAAATTGGGAACGATCTGCACGTCTCGTGCTTATAAAGTGCATTAATGATTTTCAACAGATTCGTGCATGCGCGAAGTTTGATCCATTACGTAAAGTAATGGACGACCTAAAGCCCAGTCTTCAAACTGACAACGAATACGACAAAACTCTTCTTATCGATTTTTTTCAACATGCTTTTGAAATTGCTCAAGATGACGTCTTAAATATTGCTCTAAACACCGTATCAAAGTTAGCATCTTTTGCTTACTTCCCAGCTGACAAAAAGGTTTCAGCTTCAAATCCTTCCTCCAAATCAATGCTACAATGCATCGTGGATATGGTATGTGATTGTATCAATGATGAAGTTGTTGATGGAACATTGCAACTCAATGTTGTCAAAGCTCTTTCTGCATTCATCCTTTGCCCTAACAAGAACGATTTACTTCATGGAGCTATTCTTCTCAACTCCATTCGCAAGCTTTATAATATTTTCCTTCTTGGCGATGATGATTCCATACAATCTGTAGCTCAGGCATCTCTGACTCAAGCTGTTGGGATTGTTTTTGAACGTTTACGTATGTTTCATCCTTCCAAACCATCTACAAATTCTAGGTTTAACGACATCGCCACTGCAAGCACTGACTCTTTACATGAAAATGTCTCAAATGCGGAAGAAAAAATAACTCTGCAATCAATGGCTTCCAACGGAACGTCGAAGTTGGATTATGTGAAAATGGATGTTGAAAATTCCAAGACTACTAGTCTGGAGCATTTATCTCTGCAGGATGCATATCTAGTATTCCGTACCCTATGCAGGCTTGCAGTACGCCATAGTTCTTCTGAAAAAGTTGACAACATACGTTCTCAGGCCATGAGATCAAAGCTTATAAGCCTTCACCTTATTTATTTTATCTTAGACAAGAATGGTGACTTGTTCACGGAATTGACTTTCCCTTTTCAAAACATACCTGCATTAGAGGGATTAACACTAGTACAAGCATCACGTCAATACATATGTTTAGTATTATCTCGAAATGCTGTAAGCCCAATACCCCAAGTGTTTGAAATTTGCTGCGATATTTTTTGGCTTATCGTATCCACCTTGCGTATACATTTTAAACAGGAAATTGCCGTTTTTTTTCACGAAGTTTATTTTCCTATATTGGATTTAAAAAATACCTCTTACAATCAAAAGCTTCATACACTTTTGATTTTCCAACGTATTTGTCGAAATCCCAGGGCACTGGTTGAATTATATATTAATTATGATTGCGACCGCAATTCGACAACTAATGTTTTTGAACAACTTCTATTTTCTATATCAAAAACCAATTCTATCACTCCTTTAGATCCAAACACATATCAATATGAAGACTTGCTTCCTTCAATGGAAACTTCTAACAGAAGTGCTACTCCTTTCTTGACTACTAATTCTAGCTCTCTTAATTCAGAAGTAGTACAATTAACCAATTTTAGCGATTATCAGTTAAAGCTGAAAGCATTGGAATGTGTCATCGATGTTTTGCATTCCTTGATGAGTTGGGCCGAAAGCGGATTTTATTTAGCTAGGGGCAATATATCCGCAGATGAAAATACGACAGGTGCTGATGATGATTCCTTAGCTCGTTCAGACACCCCTAATACACTCCCTCTACACAGTGGTCGTCCATCTGTTGAAACGAACTCATGCAGTAGCAGTTCATTGGCATTAGCTGATCCTTCAGAATTTGAGTTGAATAAGCAGCGAAAAAATTTGTTGCGACATTGCATAAATAAGTTTAACTATAAACCGTTGTTAGGAATTAAACACCTCTCTGAGAATGGATTTGTCAACACTGACGATCCTGCATCATTAGCTACATTCTTATTTAACACTGAAGGTTTTGATAAGACTACTCTCGGTGATTACTTGGGAGCTGGAGAGGAGTACAACATATCTGTTATGCACAACTTTATCGACTGTTTTAACTTTGCCAATTACCGCTTTGTTGATGCCTTACGTCGTTTGCTGCAGGCTTTCAGATTGCCAGGTGAAGCCCAAAAAATCGATCGTATTATGTTGAAATTTTCTGAGCGTTATATGAAAGAAAATCCATCAGCTTTCGCAAATGCTGATACAGCTTACATATTGGCGTACTCTATTATCATGTTAAACACCGACTTACATTCGCCTCAAATAAAAAATAAGATGTCGAAGGAAGATTTCGTAAAAAACAATCGAGGAATTAACAGTGGCGGCGATCTGGATGAAGATTACCTTGGTTTTGTTTATGAGGATATTTTAAATAATGAAATTGTTCTTAAAGACGAACAACAATTGGCTGCCATAGCACCATTGATGACTTCTAACAACAATGTAGGCCTTTTCGCTGCTTCTTTTACTCAGACGGGTCGTGACTTACAGAGGACTGCGTATCTTCAAGCTTCAGAAGAGATGGCTAACAAGACAACCACCGTCCTTAAGAAGCTCATGAAGCAGCAGAAACATAATCCAAAAAAAGAGAATGTATTTTACAATGCTAAACACTTTGAGCATATTGGACCAATGCTTGAAGCGGGGTGGATGCCCATTTTGGCAGCCATATCAAATCCTTTACAAGAATCTGAATACTTGTATGAATTATCTTGGTGTTTGGAAGGGTTTCAGTATGTGATTCATATAGCTTGTCTTTTCGGCCTTGATTTAGTTCGTGATGCTTTTATAAAAACACTGGTCAATTTCACGAACTTGCATTCCGCCTATGACATAAAAACTAAAAATACCATGGTCATAAAAACACTGCTTAAAATTGCATGTACTGAAGGCAACGATTTAAGGTCTTCTTGGAAAGACATTCTTACCAGTATTAGTCAATTGGAACGTGTTCAATTAATTGGCGAAGGGGTCGACGAAACAGAGATTCCGGATGTTATAAATGCTAGAGTACGACCATCGAACTCAATGAAAACTCGTCAAATGAGTGGAACTCTTCAAAATCAAACGCCTAGATCCACTTCGAAACAACTATCCTTTGATGTTATTTCTGAGTTGATGTCTACTGAAACTATACTCTCCATTGACAAAATTTTTACGCAGACTTCTTCCCTATCGGGTGTTGCTATAAAATCTTTTTTTGAAGCTCTATGTGAAGTTGCATGGGATGAAATAACTTCCTCTAGTGATTCCGAAAATCCCCGCCTATTTAGCTTGCAAAAGCTTGTTGAGATTTCATATTACAATATGGGAAGAATCAGAGTTGAGTGGTCTTCTATTTGGAATGTGCTGGGAAAATTCTTTAATTTGGTTGCTAGCCACAGGAATAAACGTGTTGCAGTGTTTGCTTTAGACTCCTTAAGACAACTATCCATGCATTTCTTACAAATTGAAGAACTTTCTTTGTTTTCTTTCCAAAAAGAATTTCTCAAACCTTATGAATATGTCATGTCATCTGATGCTTCTGTTGATGTTAAAGAGCTCGTGTTGCAATGTATTCGCCAAATGATACAAGCTAGAGTTTCCAGTATAAAATCAGGATGGAAAACACTGTTTGGGGTTTTTACTTTTTCTGCTAAAGCCCGAGATGATACTTTGCTTTTATTGACTTTTGAGACACTCTTGGACATTTTTGAACACCATTACAATTTTATAGTTCAACAAAGTTGTCTGATTGACATGGTTGTTTCTTTTACCGAATTATGCAAGAATGGTGTTAATCAAAAAATATCTCTGCAAAGTCTTGACGTTATTAAGAAGATATACTCCAAACTGGTTTTAGAAGCTAAAAGCAAAAAGAATACTAATGAGGAAGAAGTACCAAAATCTGCATTCCCTATTTTATTCGCTTATTATGATGTTGTAGTTTCTGCTGAAGACTTGGAAGTGCGTTCTAGAGCTCTTCAAAATATGTTTTATATATTTCTTGAAGAGTCCGATGAATTTACTGAGCAGATATGGGAGATCGTTTCGCGAAAGTTCATTTTTCCTATTTTTTCAACGTTTAGTTTAGATTCTGATGACATTTTGCTACGTGACGAGGAAGTTCGTACTTGGCAATCGACGACTCTGGTAGAAGCTCTGAAGGGTATTGTTGCGTTAATTTCTCGCCGGCTTGAGAAACTTCATACCCTACTCAAAGGTTATTTTCGGTTGTTTAGCACTTGTATATGTCGCGACAACGTTAGCTTGTCTCGAATTGGTACTAGTTGCATGCAACAGGTTTTACTTGAAAATGCACATAGGTTTACAAAAGGTGATTGGGATTTAGTCGTCGAGCTCTTTGTTGAGCTTTTTCGCGAAACTACTCCGCATAAATTGTTATTGGAAGAAGCCTTTTGGTTCGATGACGAAAATTTTATCCGTTTTAATTCAGCTCATTCTCAAGCCACAAGGACTGAGGTTGACAAAAGTTCTGTAAATCTTATTGCAGAAAAGCAGAACGAATTTCGGTCCATGATTCGAAAATGCATACTGCAACTTTTGCTAGTCAGTATTGTTGCTGAATTACTGGATTACGAAAATATCTTCAAGTACATTCCGCAACATCAAGTTTTAAAACTCACACAAGCAGTTTATGATTCATGGCAGTTTGCCAGAAAATTTAACGAAAACAAATCCTTACGTGTTTCTTTACTTAATATTGGCTATATGAAGCAGTTACCTAATTTATTACGCCAAGAAACAGCGAGCGCATTATTGTACATCACTTTGCTCTTTAGATTATTGAATAGCGAAAGCTTACCGGTTGATTCAAGTTCTTGTACTGAAGTTACCAACCTACTTTTTCCTGCCTGTGCGGGATTATTAGAACTTTATGCTTCCATGACCATTGAGAAACACACACGGAATCACGCTAGCTGGCAGCCCGTTATTGTAACCATTCTTGATAATACATTAAAGCTTCCTGAAAGTTTGTTCATTGGCTCCATGCGACAATTATATTACTCTTGTTGTTCCATGATAGCTAAAGGAAGTCTTGATGATCAGCTTCGAGGATTGTTAAAAGCTTATTTCAATCGGGTGGGTCGTACTTTTCTTGAGAAAGAACCGAAAGAACCGAAAGACTAACTATAGCTATGCATACACAGTGCCTCCTATTTAATGAGTAAATGATGTATTTCTTCTTTTATACGCTTTTGTTTATACGGTTTTATGGTTGTGCCAAACTATTTCTTCTTTCTATCGTTGACTTATGATGTCTTATTTTTTTGAATGTTTGTTAAATTAGAGTGAATAAATAACAACCATTACTCATTTTTTTTTTTTTCCGTAACTTTTAGTATTCTTACCTTTTTTTATATTTATTGTACCTATATTATCTAAGCAGCCTGTGCCTTTTTTAAATATTTATCACAACATATATCCAAGTATTTTGTCTTATATAGTTCTAAAGACTAAGAAACAGAAGAGGAGGGCTTTAACTACTATTAAGAGTTGTAAAGCCAACTAAGTGTAAATATAGCTTTGAATTTCGATAACGGAAATGGAATGCTATGCTGACGAACTCCACAGAAAATTATATTTGCGAATTTGAACAACTTAATGAAACCAGAACTTTCGCTAAACCACAACAATGCCTTTGTAAAACGCTAAGACAAAAGATACGCTTATTCAGAAATCCAAAATGCCTTCCTTCTAATTGACGACAATTCACCTATTTCGAAAACTTAACCTTGGGCAAACGAAAAACAAACGAAGTATTCAAAAAAAAAATAAGCCGATAAAATCCAGCAATCCAGTCGTTATAGTTATCACCTCAGAATTTTTTTATTTCTTTTTTTTATTTTTAATTTTAAAAAAATAGTAATCAAGCATTGGGTTCCGAAAGCATCAAATTATCCTTTATGTTTCCAGACAAATTATTCATCTCTACGGCAGAAGGAGCAATAGATAAATTAGATATCGAACTTACCAAAGATGAGTTATTAGAGTTTTGCTGGGAAGCAGTAGAATTAGGAAGTTCAAACAGACGTTGTTCTTTTGGCAAAACCCAAGGCTCCCAAGTTTCTGAACGACGAATCTTAGCCATAATAGGAGATTCAAAATGAGGGTTAAGTGTAACAACGGAGGAAGCTTCACAAGCACTTAAAAGAAGGTTTATATCGCTAGTCAAACTTTTAATTCTATTGAAGGAAGCTAAAAAAGCGAGGGAAACGTAACCTTCGTCATCCATATGTTTACGTAAAAACATGTCCTTGCATAGGTTTTCTATGGACATATAGTAATCGATTTGAGAAGTAAGGAAAGCCTTTACATCATAAACATATTGAACGGTTCCAGCGGGATTTGTGACAACAGGCACATTTTGTACTTTAGGATGATGATAGGAGCGATTAGAACGATGGTTGGGATTCTTGCTGCGATATCCTTTACGATAGTTTCTGCCACGGAATCCACTATTGTTCTGAGAAGCCTCGTTGATGCCTCTTTCTTGGAGGGTGTCGTCGATTCGACGAGGATTAGGGCGGAAGTGGTTATTGGCAGCACTAGGCTGTTCGCTAGACTTCGTGGTACCAGTAGAGGCAACACCCTCGTTAAAAGATTGAGCAGTATTTCGAGGAACATTCTCCTGACGACGGTTTTGATTTTGAGAATAATTTTGGGAACTGCCTTTACGGCGTGCACTACCAGAACGACGATTTCCATCGTTTCTGGAACGATTGGGTTTCTTAGAAGGATGAATAGGAGGATGACTTATTTCAGGAGTGATAACTATCCACTTTTCTTTACCGTTTGTTTTAGGGGCCAAAGGCTTTTTCACTTCTGGGTCATGCTTTTTTTCTTCAGAAGACTTTTGTTCGACTAATTCAGGACTAGGCCAGATATTGGGATCTTCAAGTCGAGCATTTTTTGATTGCTTTTGTTCGTCTTGAGAGCCACTAGCCTTTTGTGACAGTTGTTCACGACGAACAGCCCAAACATTGACGGACGAGTGAGTAGAGCTTTGATCATTCGCAACCGGCGTGGTTGAACCAGAAGCTAAGGAAGAAGCGGTAGCTGAAGCAATATCACCTGCAGAGTCCTTTCGATTGTTAGAGAAATCCGTATCATTCATCTTCGAATACACATCACTGGGCTGTTTCTCAGACTCGTTCACAGGAGCGGCTTGAACAACCTTTTGATCTTTTTCTTGTGCCAAAGTTTGTTCCTGAATCATTTTTTTATTATCTCTTGACTGTTCTTGCAGACAATGAAAAAAGTAATTCAACCTACAAGTTTGTGTATCACACACAGAAAATCTTGCGAAAACCAGAATTAGATTGACTCAGTCAAACTGATTCTTTGTACGTTGAAACCAATACCAAAACCAAGCCGATTGAACTTTGTTTCAGCTTGTCAAAAATTCACACGTTCGTTTCTAGTTTTAAGAAAAAAAGTCACAACCCCTGTATCGTAATGAACGGTACTGACTACGATAAATGATAAAAAAAAAAAAAAATTCGCTACTTCGAGTTTTTTTCCAACTCAATCAACGCCCCCTGTGTTGTACTTGGAAAAAGCCTTTTGAGTTCAATTTGGCATTCGTATTACTGCGCTTTTTTTTTCCTTCTTTTAACGAGGTCTACTTGAAATTAGTGAAGTCAACAATAGCATATACAAGAATATGTACCACTTCGGTAAACGATAAACAAAACAGAGAAGGCAAAGAAAGTAAGAAAAAACAGAAAGAGTAAGAGCAGTAGTAAGAGAAATAGAGCGCTTTCGACGTATAAACCATTTCTTTCCCGCCAGAAAATTATTACTTTTAACAGGTGGGTTGCATATAAAAGTGTTGTGTCTCTTTCATATAAAACCTATAGTTATACATAGACCAGAGAGAAAAGAGAAAAGCATAAAGCAAGAAACGATCATTCTAAGTAGAGGAAAGTATATAAGCCATCCATACCTATCATAATTACAATTGCTTTCCTAAGGCAGCCAGTTGGACATAGAGCGTGAGGCCATTCTAGCTCCAAACGAAACTGTTCTTGTGCCAAATGGGAAAAAAGCAATTAAGTAAGCGATAAATGTTAGTATATGAATTGCTCCAAAGACAATACTTAGAATTGACGATTTTAAGTAAATTGTAGATACAACAGTTGCCGCTAAACTTGCAAAGTAACCTAATGTAATCGGTAGTCGTTCCTTCGTTATTAGTTGTTCAAAGTGAGCTTTAAATCCAAGAAGAATTGCAAAGCTAAATTTCCGTTAGCGCTGAATAGGAAAAGATTAAACAAAACAGCTCTGATTTTTGACCTAGCAGGTATTGTATAACAACTGCTGTACTATTAAAAAAATCTTAGAGTATGCTGTCGTTTTTTTTCCTTAATAAGCAAGACAGACTTACCCGAAGACAGCTAACAGACTGCCCATAGTCCACAGTAAAACAAATCTTCTTGGCTTCAGAATTAGTACCGGAAACATAAAACAAGCAATTGCATAACAAGCGAAGCTGCCTAACAAGCAAAGTCCAAACAACATGTACCGCTCCCAACGAGACAGACTGAAGTCAGAACTCTGAAAATATGAGTTTCCATTAGCATTGGTTGGTACTTCAGAGTAATCATTCGTCCATGGAAGTGAGCTTTTGACACGCTCGTACCAAGTATTCGTCGATTCTGACGCAGCTTCACCAGTTCTTTCTAACACAGACTGCAAACGCGATCGAAAACTCTATTAATCAATATTAGTTTCATAAACACTCATTGTATACATTTTTATGTCAAATTCGCTTCTTACATCTTCCATTTTCTATTCTCGTAGTGTATCGGGTTTCTCAAAAACGTCAGAAGCCTCAATCTACCAAGTACTTATTTATACCTTAGTACCAAAAGTTATTGGTTTTGTAGTAAGAAATATTTTTGTAAGTGTTTTGAATTGATCTAAACGATTTAAAGATTCCCGTTCGCTCTCACTGCATCCATGTAACCTATTATAACCATACTCTTATAAGTCGTTACTGTACATGTTTTACACAGACTATATTATAAAGAAAAAAATTAAATTTATTAACTTCTATAACTTATTAAGGTAGGTATCAAAGAACGAGAAGGCATTAGTATTATTCTTATTTAAACTTCGTAGAATGCCCAAATTTAGTAAAACATGATGAGCTAGTATTTCCATCCATCCACGATTAGTTTAAGGTCTCATCAAGTTTTCTCGGCGAAAGAAGAGGTAATATCCAACAACAATTCCAAGCTGGCATATTAGGCAAATCCAAAATGGCGCACTAGCTAAAATACGTGCTCCGTCCTTCGGTTGCCAAGACGTAAAATCAAGAAATACATCTGCAGGTCCAATTCGGCAAGGTGAAGTAGCCCTGCCAATCATGCTTGCTATGGCTCCAATAACCTGACCAAGATTAAGAACAAGGTTTATGTGCTCTCGTGTTAATGTTTGGAGTAAAATAATTCCAATACCGACGGCCTGGACAGTATCCAGCAACCCAAGCCATAGCCAAAGCATGCGTGACATATACGGCGCAGCTTTCCCAAAATACGGAAGGTATAAGCCTATATTCGAGGTTCCCCATAAAGTTTGTAGCCAGCGTGGAGCACCAAAGCCTAGTCCTAAAATTGGCAATATCCAAGAATGCTTCTGCGAAAGTGATGCCAAGCCACCAATAGTACCTAACCATATTGCAACATAGAAAAAGAGTACCAATAAAAATGTCACCCATCTGTTGGTTGAGCGTGGTGACCAAACAAATGCCCATGAGCGACCCTGTAGTGTCGACATCCAATAGTTTTGCAAAATAGAAGCAAAAAAGAACCAAAGGATCAACCGTCTTCGGAGAACGGATCGGTAAAATGCGGGAATTTTAGGAGGAATTTGCCTGTAAAACCTTGGTAGTCCTTTATAAAGCAATACCGAAAAGCACAACATCATCAAAGAAATAGACCATACAATAGCGTATACCCAACGAACAGAATGTACTTGTTCTGAAACTCCAAATTTATTAGGTTTGGAGTTCATATATGAACCCCAATACCATAATGCAGATGACCATAGTTGCTGGCATCCTTGTATGAAACAAGCTCGAATAACCCAATACAAAACATCATAGTTTCCTTCATCGCCAAAGTTTAATGAGAAGAATAAAGCCTGACTTCCTGAAGCAGCTGCGTAGATGCAAGTTGCAATGCGCGCTAGCCAAATTCTGGTGTCACCCAACTTTTCAAAGCTAACCAGTCCGACGAAGAAAAATGCAAGCCCGTAAACAATGAACGGAAGTGCCAAGCAGTGTATACTAGGAACTAAACAGTGCATGACATACCAAAAGAAGGTAGACACAACATAAATCCCACACACAATGTATAGAAAATTTACCGATTGTTCTGAGCTTCCTGATAAAAGACTTAGTTGAAACGAGGTTACGGCCAGAATCTGCCCTAAAGCAAGGATTATCGTATATATAGGCCAACCAAAGACTTGATACTGTAATAGCTTGCGACAACCATAGTATTGCTCAAACTCGTAGACATATTCAGCTTCCTCTTTGTCCTGTGGTTGTAATGCTTCTTTACTTATTTCATTCTCGTTGAGGGAATTATGAACATCTTCACTTCGCACCAATTCAGGCAAACTATTTATGGAACTAGTTACCGTTACATCATTAAAAAAGTGAAGCTTTTCTGGTTTTAAAGATCCAAGCTGTAAGCGCTTTACCTCCGTAAAGTATTTCCGGGTACATTTCATAATAAAGTGATCAATGCAGAGCTCAGTTAAAGAACTTTTTGGATTTAAATATTGCAACCGTTCAGCAAAGACGCTTAAAGCTTTACCATCCTCATCATCAAATTTTCTAGGGACCTTTGTCAAGGAAAAATCACGCAAATTAGACCGAACAGACGCGATGCTAAGCTGAGAGCTATTGTGTGGAAGAAACATGTCCGAAGATTCAAAAGCCTTGCTATTAGCCTCTTCATAAGATTTTGATATATCATCCAGCTTCAAATCACTTTCTGAGATGATATTTGATGGATTCGCTTGATCTGGAACATCGACAATTTCATCATTCTTAGCATTATCACTTAAGGTATTTGAATGATGATAGTTTTCCTCAGTACTCTGCTCTGAAGGTGGTTGCATTAAGTCAAATTCTATTAGTTGATTTCGATATTCATCACGACGAGGCAGATCATCAAAACTTGAGGATGAAACCTTTTCCAAACTCTCTGAAGACACGTTTAATATATTGTCATTCTTCGATTCTTCCCCTATACTGAATAGTTCGTTTTCATGTGGTTTCATAGTTCCCATTAAAGCACTACTTAATTCTTCATTCCCCATTTGATCCAATTGCTGTATTTCAGGTTCCACTTCTTGCAGATCTCGTTCAAATCCTTCGCCATCAAGAGAAGAAGGCTGGAAGTTATTTTGATGTTCAGAATTTCCATGTAAGATTTCAGGGTTGTTTTTTATACAGAGTTTTATGCAAGTATCGATATGCTTATTTAAACGAATAACCCACTCGGAAATGGGAAACCTCTGAACTGCAGAGACAGCACGTAGCTTTGTACGAGTCTCTCTCGTAGAGGATAAAGCCTGACGACAAGCTTGCTCAAATTGTTTCAACAAATGTGAGGTTGTGTTTGATTCCACTGCATACCACCAGCCAGGCATTTGACCAAGACCGCCCACATTAGCTCCTATTCCAAGAGTACCTTTTCTCCCGAACTCGACAGCAACAAGACCGAAAGGTTCGTCTCTTGAAGGAATTAATGCAAAATCAGCACCACTAAAAATATACTGCGGAAGTTGTGTAAAAACGGGCCGTGAAAATAACCGTCGTGGATATTTCTGCATCAAAGCTTCAAACTTTTCAGCTGCAAACTTACCATATAGATCGATAACAGGACCGATTACAACAATCTGTGCATTATAGTTTTCAAGGATCACAGGTGCTATATCAGCAATTAAATCTATTCCCTTTTGGATGGACCATCGCCCAACGAAGATTAAAAGATCCGCATCCGGGTCTAATTCCAAACCTGCCCATTCTTGAGTTTGTCTTTTATGCTCCTCCTTCGTAAGCTCAAGAGCCTGCAGAGACTCATCAGTTACCTGAAGAATCCCCTCACCTTTGTCAGACGGATCTGGATTTGGAAGCTTGCCAATCTTTCGTAGTCCCCAAAAAATAGGATATCTCGCCCAAGAACGCTTTCCGTACTTCTTCGATACACCGACAACACCGTATCCTTTTTGATGGATTCTTATATAGGACGCACCAGCATGCAATAAATTAAAAACATTACCAAACTGGACATATTTAGAGCACACATCCAGGGGAATATTGAAAACGGAGCAAACCTCTTCCACCTCTTCCGGACTTCTTAGAGGCCAAAGTCCTTGAAATTCAGCGTTATGCAACGAAAGAGCTACTGGGATAACTTTCGGCAGCAAGTAAACTGGAGCCAACGCTCCATGATAATCGTTTATGTGATACAAATCAACTTTCTTGTTCCTCATTATATTAGCTATACATTGATTCCATGCAGAATAAAAAATTGCCGAACTCAAATCATCGACTCGAGCAGGATAAGGCTCAGATGTTGTCTGTCTTCTAAAAACAGGAGCATCCAATAGCAAGTATGTTATATTTCGATGTACATATCGGTATACGTTAATTAAATAGGATTGTCCTATAATTACCACAGTAATTGGATCGTCTCGTTCCATGTCAGGATATATCACATCACCAACACATGGAATAACCCATAACAGATCTTGATGTTCCAAGTTCTTAACCATTAACTGTGCCATAACACCCAATCCACCAATCTTAATTCTGATTTTCAAAGTTGGAATATCGTATTCAAGAGTAGCGAGAAGTATTGTTTTTCTATTACCTTGCGAAACACCTTTCTTTTTCATGCCCATCATTTTTGGAAAATCCATCATTTTAAACATGATATTACTACTCTTCTCTGCCTCAGGAAAATCAACAAAGTATTTATCGATGTGTCCTTTCCCAAAGTCATTGAACTTTACGTGATAGAACAGCCTTTTAAAAAGCAACACAGAAACTAAGCCCGAAAGAATAGGAACAATGATGAAAGAGACGTAAATTCCGATGGAAACATACATAGATCCTGATGGATGGGTGTAAAGCCGACGTGCTTGAGGATCAAACGTAACTTTCCACGATAAGCTTTTTTTGGGAGGTGCAGTTTGCACATAAAAAACATTGTCCTCTAATGCGGAAGGACTTGCTCGTGACAGAAATGAATCATTTTTTAAACTACCATAAATGAAAGATGGATCTGGCTTACCTCTTTTATCCAAACCCCATACATTGAATTGAAAAGCCGAAGGATAAGAGTCAGATATAATATGCCCGATAAAACTTCCATTCTCCTGCATGGCCATCCTGTTTCGCTCATCCGAATCGTACGCCCATTGAGTTATTTCACTGTCCAAATACATCTGAGGGAACCATCTTTTATGAGGAAAAGATACATCAGATTCTTGCATGTGGTTTGCAGAACCAGTTAACTCACTCCAGTACTGTACCATAACATGATGACCCGTCCATTTTTGACGATTAGGGCCCGACCAGTTGGTAAGAGAGCATCGAGTAAATGTACCATTGTATTCTAGCCATGACGACCAGCTTGATCCGAAATCCAGTGAGTATCGAAAAAGATCAGCACCATCAGCAGAATGATTTAAAAGCAAGGAATCTCCCTCTAGCTTTAACAAATCAAAAGAGTAATTGGCAGTAGGAAAAATTAAAGGATTGTTAAGTGACCCAATTCGCAGCAAAAAATGATCAACTGAATCAGTAAATGCTGATCCATCACTGGTAGTAACGTTTGAAATAGTTATTTGGTGTATGCCATCCTGAAGATTAGATAGCACAGCTGACCACCTGAATCTGCTATCGGGCTGTCCTGTAAAGCGTAATTGATCCTCGGAAATTATTTCTTCGCATGCAATCGAACCGTAATCAAACTCTGCCGGGACATGATGTCGACTCCTAGATGTAACGTATATACTTTCAGTAACTGACTCACAGCTCATTTTCTCTGAAAATTCTACAATAACATTAACCCTTCCATGAGTATTAACAATTCTGGAATCATGCTTGGGGGAAAATTTGGTAATTATAGGGCGCCGAGGGATATATTCGTCAATTGGGACAAATAACTTGAAACCATAAGCATCAAGTGAAATTTTCGGAAGACAACCAGCAAATGAATCACTTGAAGGACCGACTGTAGTAGATGATTCTTGTAGCACATATTCGTCATACGGAAAAACGAGATTTTTTATCGTTGTTCCAGTCTCAAATGGTGCTATATTCGCAAGCTCAGACTTACAATCCAGATTCAACTCGACGGAATGGTTGTGATTAGTAAATAACATCCACACATCAGTTACCGATATTCCATGACTTGAGGAAGAGGAATACTCGGTTTTTAAGTCTTGTATAGGCAACAAGGAACCCCTTACAACACTAAAGATACCAACTGTCGTCGGATTCGCTCCACTGTTGGGCATATATTCATCATAAGTCCAATTTCCTAACTTTTCAGACTTCCAACCATCCACTAAAGCCGGATATCTCCTTCTTATATCTTGGAACTCAATAAAGACTTGCCTCTCAACTTTAGCAACGTCAAAGTGATCTAGCGTATTCCACGCATCAAAGCAACCGTGTCGGGCGGGAGTAAGATCAATTGCCTGATAAGTAGAGGAACTTCCAGTATAGCACCCATGGATGTACCAAGCAACTGAAGAACACATAGGCTGCCGACTATATAAATAATTGTCGGCTCGATTGTCAAGAACATACAAACCCTGTTCATCTCCATAATATATCAATGGAATGCCAGGGAAAAGGAAAAAAGATATCATTGTACCGAGAATTAATCTTCCAGATCCATCCGTAACCGAAGACCAACGGAAAACGTCGTAATTTGAGACACCGTATAAATGCCGTGGGTCATGCTTTTCAGTCATAGCGTTTATTGAATCCTCATTAATTGCAATTGTTTCCCAAGCTTCTGTTAAGTCTGTAGGCAAATCGAATGATATTTCCATCAAGCCATCCATTCTCAAGAATCGAAGTAAAATACGATAAAAAGAGTAATGAAAAGCAGCTGCATCCAATGCATTTTTGCTCTTTTCTCGTAAAAAGAAAGAGTCATTTGACGGTGTAATACTAAAGGCATTACGAATATCTGAAGGTCGCTGATCGGGTTTTCTACCCCTCCCGTAATATATAGAACCGTAACTTGAAGATCCCGTAACTTCACCTGGAATGAAAAAGTTGTGCTTATTATGCTTTCTAGCACAATCCCGAATACTATCAGCCCAATCAGCTAAAAAGTCAACGGTCATTTGCGTAGCTTTATCAACACGGAATCCGTCCACATCGAGCATAGAAATAACTAAGCAAGAAAGCCTTTTTAGTTTTTCGGATACAGAAGGTTTCCACTCTCTCAATCGATCCTGTACCGAAGCAAACTTCGACAGCTGCCGTTCCCAGTCAGGGTGGCTACCAAAGGCTTCTGTATCTCCGTATTGATCAAAATCAGAATCATAGCAACCTTTCCATTCTAAAACAACAGGGTATCCATCTTCACCCCAGAACTTTGGAAGGGTACACTCAAAGTCCCACTCATTCTGAAACTTCCAATCTCGATAACGGTGCTCGCCTTTCCATATGGCATTATGCTCCATTAAAGAAAAAGGAGTTGTAGTATTAACATAGTTTTGAAATCCAACAAGGTCGGAAAGCGTTGCAACAGTAAGGTCTACAATAATATACATATCTCTTTTATGCATTTCTTCAATGGTACTCCTCCAATCGGCAATTGTTCCCAAGTGAGGGTCCAACAAAGTAAAATCCAGAGGGGAATATTGATCGGCACCCCAAGGTAAATTTACAAATGGCGTACCGGCAAGATAGACACCTTTGACACCCATGCCTTGAAGATAATCTAATGATTTCTTTACTCCAATAATATCACCACCATTTCGAAATTGTGTTTCATACATGTCATATTCGAATCTAGTGCCATTGATGTCGTTATTGGTTGGATCACCATCAACCCATTTATCCAAAGCAATTGTGTATATAGGAAATCTCCATGATTCAGGACTAGGGAAAAAATCATGATTCTCCCATTCTCCAGAGTAATCAATGGGATCGGTTGCAACTTCATTAGTATTTAAATTCCATGGTACTTTAGACAAATCAAATGGTGAAGAGCTTACACGAAGGCAACAAAATATAAACAAGTAGACGAATAATAAACAGTGAAATAATGAGAAACGTTTAGGAATCATTCTTTTCTCGCTTATAAGACTCTATGGAGAAAGAAGGAAAACGTTTCTTACAAAGAACAGAAAAAAAAGAAAACCACTCTTAGCAAAGACTTGTCTAATACTCTTTTTGAAAAAAATAAGAGAAAGATTTAAATAAATTCCTTTTACCATAAGCAGGTATATTAAATTTAATAATTTCACGATACAAAAGGAGGTTTCTCAAACGAAAGAAAGAAAGGAATTCTCTACTTATGAAAAAGATAGATGCTTTTGTTTGGTTGTTGTTAGAGGAAAATAACAATTTGTAGTAGGTCCCAATGTTTGTTTACATTTGTGCATACTGATACACAAATAAAAACAAGCAGCCATTGACCATACCTAGAACCATCCAGCATAGTAGCCCAATAACAAAAATAGATTTATAAGAAGAATGGACGTATTTATAATTAAAATGTCCATCTTTTGTGTTTTCTTGTTCAGTCTTCTTCAACTCTCGCTAGCAGGACACAGCGTTGAAGAATGGAAACAAAGATCGATATACCAGATTGTTACCGATAGATTCTCTTTAAATAAAGATACGCATGAGCGGATTCCATGTGATCCAGCTCGCTTTATGTATTGTGGAGGAACTTGGAATGGAATTCGAGATCATCTTGACTATATTCAAGACATGGGCTTTGATGCGGTAAGCTCAAAACAAACCAAGTATAATAAGGCTGACATTTAGATATGGATATCTCCTGTTTTCGAAAATGAAGAGGGAAATAAGATTGATGGTTGGTCCTATCATGGATACTGGACTAAAAACCTGTATGAACTGAATCACCATTATGGAACAAAAGAAGATTTTAAAAATCTAGTAGAAGAGCTACACCGAAGAGATATGTGGATACTATTAGATATAGCCGTAAACTCTATGGCACTGAATGGACCCCTTGAGAATATAACGTTTGATGGAGTAATACCCTTTAACGATCAGTCATACTTTCATCCATTTTGTTGGGTTGATTACGAATTGAACGATATTGAAATTGTGCAGAATGTAAGATTATTTTCCAGTAAAGTTCGACTTGAAGATCGAACTACATATGTTTGGTGTTGTTTGTGGTGGTAACATATGAACACCACTAACGAAACTGTAATGAATACAGGCTAACCAAATTTATCTTAGTGCTGGCTTGGAGATGATAATCTAGTTTTAGCGGACTTAGATACAGAAAATCCAACTGTTGTGGAAACATTGGTAAAATGGATTCACGATGTGGTTGAGGAATATGATATTGACGGAATTCGTTTCGATGCTACAAAACATGCTCCTATCGAGTTCTGGTCGAAAATGGCAGAGGCTGCTGGCGTATTTACGATTGGCGAATACTTTACAGGATCTCCAACTGAAGCCTGCGATTATCAGAATGCAGGTTTAGATTCCTTTTTAAACTTTCCTCTTTATTGGCCTATCACTTGGGCTTTTAACAATACTGGTCTTCAATGTGAGGCACTTGCAACGGTAATTAGCCAAATTCATTCTCAATGTCGGGATGTGAATGCCTTGGGAACGTTCATTGGAAACCACGATTTACCCCGGATTAGTCACAATAACACAGATCAAGCCCGTGTCATGAATGCAATCTCCTTTGTGATGATGTGGGATGGAATACCTATAATTTATTATGGGACAGAACAAAACTACAATACCTATCATGATCCTTTCAACCGAGAAGCACTTTGGTTGTCGAAGTACGACACAGAAAACGTTTACTATAAATTAATCGCAAGCTTGAATCAGTTTCGAAAGTCTGTCCAAAAGAAAGACCCAGAATACGTAAATACCCAATCTACTATCCTGAAAGTTCAACTTCATTATATAGTGATTCAGAAGCATAAAGTTATCAGTGTTTTAGGAAATTGGGGTGTTCATAGTCAAGAAGGCTTGACAATTTCATTTACCCCTTTGGGTGCTAACACTGAAGATGTATATTTGGATATTATTAGCGATAAGGAGTACAAAGTGAATCAGCAAGGCAAGCTAAATGTTCAGATTTTCCATGGATTTCCTGTTGTACGTTCTCTTCAAATAAACAAACATTATGTTTGCACACTAACTTTCTTATTTAGGTGTTGTATCCCCAAACGCAGGATCGGATTTTGCTTCCCAACTTCACTCCTACTCTCTTACCAGAGACTACTTTTATTCCTAGTATCACGATTACAACCCATTATGTGGAGCCCACGTACGATGTCCCTTTTGGTTATGATATGCACGATCATCCCGGTGGCCAACGATTCTGGAAGTCCATTATTTCGCAAAAGAGCTCTTCAACTGAAAAGAATCCATCTCCTGGGAAAACACTTCCCATTCTCTTATCTTTTTTTACCTTCTTCTTGCCTATCTTTGTTCTTGCATGAAATATCAAATACTTACCTAAATAAATATCCTTAACTAATGACTATGTTAATCTTTATATAATTACCAACAATATTTCTAAGCTTATTCTAAATGTATAAAGCTTTTTAATTGATTCTCTTTCTTTCTTATTTATTAACGAAATTATAACGTTTCCTAATTATCGATTGCGTAGTTTAACGAACTTTACTAAATACTACCATCCGAGTTCCTTGTTTACTTGGTTGCATTCCTGCCAAGTTGTTGAAACCTTTATCAAAATTTTTGATGAATCTTTATGAAACTCTAATTTCCTTCTTGCAATCCATCAGCTTAGATTCTCGTAAAAAGAATGCAGATTTAAAAAATGTTTGTCTCCGAATTTGAATAAAGTGAATGTTGTTGTTCTAACTTTTTAGGACGCTGAATCCTCGATTAAGCTCTTGGAAAAGATTAAAACAAATTCGGATCATGAATTGGCGTTAGGTATGTATTACGCGAAGAAGATTTGGTTGTTATATGTATGTTAATTTCTCCGCAGTATTGAAGCAAGACGCCCTGTTTTTTCGACCTTTTCTTTCCACGCTTGAAAGGAAGCTAGACCGTTACATTATTCCTGGCTTAAACTCGGTCCAGTCACTGGTAATTCATGGTGCCCTATCTCCTGTACGTCGAATATAGTTCTTGAGCTTCCGTATAGTGCTAACGTACATTTAGTCAATTCTGTCAGAATTATTCCCTGTACTAGATAATATCTCTTCTCTAGGACAGGATGTGCAGTTGAGAATACTTCAGATACTTCCTATCGTTTGTATCAAGTATGCTGAGTATATGCAACTCTCTTTATTGGTTTCTGTGCTTCACACATGCTTTTCTTTACATAATAATAGGAATGTAATCGTTTCTAATGCTGCTTCTGCTACACTTCGTCAAGTTGTGATATTGGTGTTTGACCATTTGGATCATGAAACCTCGGCACAGAGAATTAATAATGTCCTATTTTCCGACTTGCTTACTATTTTCTCTGATCTATGTGCTCTAATCAGTTCAGGAAACTCTGAATTACTAAAGGTTAATGGCATATCCGAAACTTTCGGTTTGGAATTGATTGAAAGTATTCTTGTTAATCACCATCATTTATTCGAACGAACTGAATTTCAAGATTCAGTTCGAAAAGACTTACTTCCAATTATAACTGCCTCCCTCGCCTCTATGTCTAATTTTTCCGTAGCTCTTCGTGTTGCCCGTATTTTATCCATTCTTTTCCAGCATCATACAGCTTCATTAAGCATAGATGTTGAAGTTATTTTGTCCTTTATAATCAGTTCCTTGGAGAACTCGGAGGCTCCATGGAAAAAAGCTCTATTTTTGGAAGTTTTGCGGTGTCTATTCACTAATTCTGAACTCATATTTATTATGTATTCCTTATTTGATGGTGTAGAAGGACGGAAACCTATAATCTCCAAATTAATAACTTCACTCAATCGGATTATAAATGAAAATCCTTCTATGATAGGAGTAGGATCACGAGTACTTCTACCTGATTTTATAGACGATTACCCGTCTGGTTTTTCATCTACACTTACTTTTGAAATGGAAAAAATAATAGGTACATTCACTGGTTCAAAACCGGAACAAGTAATAGGTATATGCCGTGCTACAATTTTGAAAACTCCATGCATTGAGCAGTTTGACAAGCAAGACCCGCCCATCATTCCCGCTGCTTACTTAGTTTACCTGGCTATGTGTTCCTTGGTATCTCTTTGCAAATCTACTGCTGAGTTTGTCATGGACTTCCATAAAACTACATCAAACACTGAATTCTTGAGTTTGCTACATTCACTGCAATCTAATGAAGATATAAAATTATATCCGGATACATATCCAAAGTTAAAATGCTACTACGGCTTAATCTCTCAGAATTGGACCGCCTTCCTAGTCTCGTATTCTACTTTTATGTCGTGTGCTTTGAGCACGGAGTTGCTAAAGTTTAGTGTTAATTCTTATGTAAAATTCATATGTGTCTGTACCATTTTTAGATTGGAAACCCCTCGTGACGCTTTGCTAACAACTCTTAGCAATAAAGCGGTACCTTCAATCCTGTTGACTGGAAACTTGCCCAATAACAATTCTAATTCTGTATCTAATAATGGACGTTTATCCACATCCACGATGTTTAGTGTTGAAGGATTAAAGGAAGCAGCAACGACCATAGCTGGGATGGCAACTTATGATGGTCATGACGATAAACAAAAGACTTTTTCATTAAGAGAATTAATATTTTTACGAAGTCTTTCTTTTGTTGCTCAAGAAGTTGGCGAGCTATTGGGTAAGGGGTGGAAAATATTCCTTGAAACGGTTGACAAAGCAGACATCATTTTAAACAGATCGCCATCATCTAAACATTTGTCCACAAGCAGCTTAAGTCGCCTTGGCTCTTCGCATTCTGTTGGGCATGAGGGCAAAGCCATATCTGGGTTAATGGATCAGGAAATGATATCGTATAAAAGTGAACTTTCCGAGCTTATGTTAGCTACCTCTAAGTATGATGATCAACCTTTTATGGAATTTCTTGAATCTTTACTGGCAGTACTCACGTCCTCGTGTATAGATCAGACGAATAATTTGACTGTACCCCAACTGCCTGAAGAGAGAACTTCTATTTCATCTCGTGGATCTTCAGCGAGGCTTGCAGCGAATAGGTCAATTTCTGGAGGAATTCGTCTTCTTAGAAAAAGCTCAGAGGTCTTTTATTCATTTACCATTTTGGAAGTGATAAGTTCCTGTAATTTAGATCGCTTAAGCAACACAAAGCATGTAAATGACATATGGCCTCTGATCTCTTCTTCCTTAAGCGATATTTTCAAAAATTCAACAGTTTCCCAGGAACTTCGAATAAGAGCTGCGAAATGTTTGGCCAATATATTGGTGGAATTCTGTTCATGCATCTCAAACGAAAGAACTGATGAGAACAAGAAGTCCCAAGAACAGTTTTTACAGTCGGTCAGCTTACTAGAGCCGTCGACGGAAATATCTGATACTACGTCGAAAAATGTAGAGTACGATATTTCTTCCATAGGTCTCGAAGCTTTAGCATTGATTCTAGAAACGGTAGGTCATAATCTGTTTCAAGGATGGCGTTATGTATTTGACATGCTTCGATTCAGTTGTGCCAAGTGCTCCGATCTGTTTGGTCAGGATAAAGGGGCCAAGATAGTAAGATTAGCGTTTTCCTGTTTACAGTTAATCTGTACCGATTTTTTGGGTTCACTGGATATGGACAACTATCTAGATTTGCTCGATACTTTACTTGTATTTTGTCGACAGGAAAAAGATGCCAATGTATCACTTACCGCTGTCGGACTATTTTGGATTGTTTCGGATACATTAAAAAATATGTTTAGTAAATCTGACTGTTCTTGTACTTATACCTCCTTGGAAGAATTATATTTGTTTACTACTACTAAAAGAAGAGAAATTTTACCGGAAGTATTATGGATCATGCTGCTTGTGCATCTAGCAGATCTGTGCGAAAACTCATGGGCCAGTGTAAGAGATGGGGCTGCTCAAATTCTGTTTCGAATTTTCAATTCCCAATGTTCGAATCTAGGAATTAATGCATGGGCATCCTGCTGTCAACTAGTTATCTTAAAAATATTGTCATCGCAAACAAAACTCGCGAAGTTGGCGTTAAATAGCGATGCTCATGATGAGGATGCTGAGCAAACTAGCGCTTTAATTATCAGCGGTATAGCGAATGTGTTTTCTGCAAATATGGACATGCTTTTGAAAGTGGAAGGAATTTTGAATGTCGTCAAGGAAACGTTCAATTTTATGCGAAACTTTCATAATGGTAAATATCAACGCATATGTATGAGTAATTTTAAAGCAATGAGGGAGCTGGCCTTCCATTCGTCTCAATATAAACAGAAATCTTTGATTTTTAATGAATTGGTCGAACTTGAATTTGAAAATTGGATATCATTTTGTGAACTTTCTTTAGTCAATCCTGTCATCGCTGGCTTGCCTCAGGAAGGTCTCAAATTACTTGTTGAATGTTTGTTATACTTATTAAAGGCATATAGATTTGAGGAAGATAGGCTCTGTCTTGCAATAACGCGGATACGTAAAGTTATATTTTATGAAGCAAGCCCATCATATGCGTTGGACATTGACTTTCTATCTTCATTGCAAGAAGCGACATATGCGTTGTTGGATTGCTTAATTGAAGATTATAAACAAGAAGGTTTAGTCGTGGATATCTGGGCTGACATATTATTTTATGCGTTTAATGAGGAAAAGTTATCACGAAATTCGCTACCGACATTTATTTGCTTTTCAAAAAAAATTTTAGAACAAGTGAACAGAATTACTGAAGACAAAATTTTGCCGATGCTAAGGAACGGTGTTATGTCGCACTTTTTTAATTCGTTATTAGTACCTATGAAATTGAAATATCGATGTCCAAGGCCGAGCCGAATCAATGAGAAGCAAGCACCTATCTGGACAATTGCAAGCTCTGTATTCGTTGACTTAACTACGAACTGCTTTGTTGAACTGGAAAGAAAAGATGCTCTTGAAGAAAATGGTCAATTAGAGGCATTATTTGACTTTAGCGTGAAAGCTATGCGATCTGTTGTGTTTCCAGATATAAACTATGAATCTGTGTGGAGCCTTGAAAATACCTATGAAAAAGAAGATGTCAATTGTATTAAAGTGCTGCATTCTCTCTGGAAGCCTTATCTACATTCATCTTCGTTGTGCTCACAGATTCGGGAATATTTTACGGTTATGTGTAAGGGATCCGTCCAATACCAAATGCGGGGAACAGAGCCTATGGTGATATGTTCTAATGAGATAGAGATTCAAAAGGAAACAGGATACTCTTATTTCCCTTCAACTGAGACACCTATAGCAAATTGCCGTCCGCAAGTCGCAGAGCTTTGCTATTCTATTCTGTTAGAAGAGTGTCAATCATCGATAGAACAAGTAAGACAGGAGGTATTGCTCATTTTGCAGAGCCGTATCTGTTGGTCTTTGAAAAGATACATGGCAGACCGACTAGTATCAGGCTTACTTCCGTTGGCAGATTGTCAAAAGGAGGATATCGATAAGATCACTGAATGTATATCATCAAAACCTGTTTTATTTTCAAGCTCTGTTCGTTCTCTGTTACGCCGTGCTTATTATACGATGAACGCTACTTCTGTATCTAGTAATATGAGCTTAAAGATTGGTGGATTGACTTTAGAAAACGAGGATTGGACTGGAATCTAATTGCTTGCCTAATGAATGAGTTACTTAACGTGATGCGAATTTCGTGAACTAAAAAAACTTATGAATTGATTCTGTACATTTAAATCTTCGACAAGTGACCATTGAAAGAATGTAGACTGTGAATTTTTTAATTTAATTTAATTTTTATTTTATTCCTATGCTTAATGTTTATGTTTGTTTAAATTTCTATTTACGTACAACAATTGTAGCTTTCTGTGGATTGGCTTGAAATTGGGACGGGAATCCTCAGCCATTGTCGATGCGATGTCATTCCCGTTGAAAAGAGATGCCACAAGAAAGTAACCAATGAACACAAAAAAACCATAAGTTAAAATACAGATATGAAAGGAAGCCTTGAAGATCATAGTTAAAGAAGAAAATACAACAATCCTTCACTGAACCTACTTACTTGAGACTTTTGAATTCATTTTCTTTGGAACTTCTGCTACGATGAAGGTACCTTTCCGGTAACAAGCGGATGTGGATGGGATGACACAATATCTAACCTACGATTAACTAACCGAGTGCGGAGAAAAATGATTCAAAGCCTAGGTCATACTGAGATAAAGTCATTAGAAAATGGGAATATATATTAGAGCGACTCGACGAACACAAATTCACATCAAATCCACGAGATAACAACTTTCACTAAATTCTTTCTTTGTTTACAATTTTTTGTAAGAAATAAAAATCAACCTTGCAACATTTATTACGTTGAGAGGGTAAAATGAGTCCAGCTATGAATTCTGAAATGAATGTGCCTCCTCCTCTTGCTGAAGCCAAGCACGTTGGAAAGCGCCTCTTTTCCAACCAAAGTGACCCACGAAATGTGCGTAACCTAATGACAGGCCTAGTGTTTTTTAGGAGTGTTCCAAGTTGAAACACTAACCATAATATTTTAGACATATCCAAAAGAGGAGCTTCCTGGTTCCTATAGAGTTTTGCCTCCCGGAACTTTTAGCACACTAGACTATCGCGATGACAGGTACGATTGAGAAAGACACAACAGCAAAGACGAGTTTGGTTGAAGTGTCCTTATGTTTGAAATAAGAATTGAGTGACTGACTAACTTTTTTCAGAGTCAACTTTCACACCGATGCAGACGGTACTATTACCTATGTAACTCGGGGTTAAGAAGCATAATTGTGAGGAGTAGCTTACCTTTGCCATGTCTTTCTTTCATGAGAGTTCAATTGTTATGAGACGCGTTATAGTATTAGTAAAGAATTTATAACATTTATCTTTTTTTAAGAAAAAATAGATCAGTAAAAGAGAGAAGCTAGTAGTTGACATAGCTCTGAGTTCTATGTATAAAAAGGTAGAAAAATCATTTTTATTCAAATAATGGAAGGAGGGACGTTTTGTTTGTGCAGGTCATAAATACAAGAAATTTGCTTTCTTTGTTTTTTTGGATCTTTTCTTGTGTACACCATGAGCAAATCAGGGATTGTTATATGCCAAACCAAGAACGTAGGATTCTTTTTCGCACACCAAAATCTTTTTCTTTGTGTTTGGTATATATAAGACTTCTGAAGGAGCTGAACTAGTCCATTCACAGACGAAACGTTCTTCTTCTGGAAATATGGTTCCGGCAACTATAACAGACGATAGATTAGCTTTACATTCAAATGAGTTTCATGATTAAACAGTGAAATTTCCCCAGCGTATAAATGCAATCACCTCTTCTATTACTATTGAAGCATATTTTCTGCTGAAGGAGGATCTTAAATTACCTACCTGCAATTGCTAGTCCATTTCGAGCCAACACAGCTCCGGAAAATTTCTCGTTTACACTGTAATAGTTTAGTTATACTGTTCATTTTGTAATACATAGAACGAACTTCCACCTACCACTTGTTGAGTTCTTGAATCAGATTCCCCTCCATACTACGGTTGCAAAAAAAATCAAGGAAAAAAAGAAACGAAATGAAAAAAGAATAAATTCCTAACAATCGACGAATTTCATGTAACTTAGGAAACCGATGAAAACTCTCTTATGCTTTGTAGAGATGAACTGGAGTTGAGACGAGGATTTCTTGGAATGCGGTATATAGCTTTAACGAAACGGGCCGTGAAACGAATTATGAAATATTGAGTTGTTATATTTGTTTCTCTCGACTTACTCAATTTGTTTACCGTATACAATGATGAGGAAAGCATCTCTTTGTTTACGGTGAGGTACGATTTTGATGTCCAACATGGAACTATTAATAGTAGAGAAATAATATATAATCTAATACAACAAATATAACAAGGTGTAATAAAACAGGATCTATTTGATTGTAACTTGGAAAGTCCAGAAAATCCTAAGAACTGACTGACTATGCTGGCGTGGGCGAGATGAAATATTATGGATGGAAGACCTCCTTTTAAAGTAAAACTCCTACGAATAGATTCAAAAGACCTAGACCTAGAGAAAAAGCTATTGAGATTTCATCTGTAATCGCATAAACCCATACTCTCTTTCTTTCGCATCATAAATAAAGTTGATTTTTTTGTGGGGAAATAAAACTTGTCGATTCCAACTATAATGTGTCCGCTTTTCCTGAGACATGTGGAGAAAAAGGTATGACATATAGAATCAGAGCAGATAATACAGCTTGCAGTCTCTTGCCGAGAAACTGTAAACATTGGGAGCAGAACAGAAAATGAAATTTTCCATAAAAAAGTGGCTTTCAAGGTAAAATAAAAAAGATTTATAAATATAAATCGTAAACGCCAGGTATTTACAACCATTTCGTCAAAAAAGTCAGTATCCTATTGCGCAGTAAGAAGAAATATTAATCCACATTTTACTTTCTATTTGTTCCATTTATATTGGTAAGCTAAAGCCATCCTCCAGAAAAATGTAAAAGCGGCATAGTATGGATGTTCTGATCCCACCGTTCGTTTAATCGATGTCGTTATCGTTGTCTATAGTGGCATTAGCAGGTAATTTTGCCATAAAACGAACTGGCAAAGTAAATCCTTCAATAGGGAAGAAAGAAGCCATACGAATTAATTGACTATGCTGTCCTGCCCAAAGTTGAGCAGGACGGACTCCTTTTCTGAAGGATTGATACCAACGCCCTCTAGCCGTCAACTTCTGAAACACCTCTTCCGCATATTGTTGAGCAGACATGGTAGCCTTGTCCCCAAAACTCGGAGCAGACAAAAGATCCGTTCTGTATGGATAATAAATGGAGTTTACTGAGATGCTCTCTTCGTTCAATTTTGAGTTTGGTTTTTTAAAGACGCTCGTCGAAATCAATCCCGTCATAATGCTTGTCACTTGCACTCCAAAAGGAGCCAGTTCTACGCGTAGTGTATTGGCATATGCTAGCAAGGCTGCCTTGGACGCATTATAAGCAGCCTGAAAGACCAATGGTACATATGATGCTATTGAATTCGTGTGCACAATGGTTCCCTTGGCACGAATCAATTGTTTTTGAAAAACCGTGTTTGTTCGCATAACACCATATAGATTGACCTCCATTAGATTATGTACTATAGGAATTTCCAGATCAATGGCTGGACTTGCTAAGGGCTGCCCAGCATTATTGATCAGGTAGTGTAACTTTCCTCCCGTTTCATTTCGAATCACTTTTTCTGCTTCAGAAACTGAAGTATCATCTGTGACATCCATCTGTACGATCTGAATACCCATATCAATCAGATTGCTCATCGACTCTAGTCTGCGTGAAGTAGCAAAAACTTTATAACCCTGTTTATGGAACTCTATAGCCAAAGCGTTTCCTATTCCTCCTTCACTGCATCCTGTTATGACGATATTTTCTGTAGAATTACTCATCCTATTGTTTTCACTGTTCAAAAATTCTAACACTCAAGCGCTGATGGAATGCATATCAAAATGTACTTACTCTGGATTTAATGATGGAACGTAATACTCGCGTAACTACAAGGCAAAAAAAAACAAACAAACAAACATATCAATGGGTAGATCCAAATTTCTAGGACTTCAAGATCAACCAAGTAAGCGAGCATTTAAAGTAATTAAGCTCGCATTAAATCATTAGCAAGAGTTCAATGGAACAGTTTTTATTTATGTAATACTACAAAGAGAACTTAATCATTCTTTATTTTTTTTGTTTTTGCAAAATACTCTTTACTTTTCACTGGCTTAGTTTTGTTTGTTGTTCACCATTTTGATTTTCCGCAGCGTGAAAATGACAAACTCTATCGTTTCTACATCTGCCAATTGTAGACAAACAACAAACAGAAGTCTTCTTTGTTTGTTTTCTTCTACATTGCCGATTAAATGAAGATCAGTAACATCGGGCCTTTAAAATGGACATATGCGATCCGTTTGTTTTTGTTTACTTGTTTTTCTGTTACGTATACCACACCAAACAGACTATATAAGGCAGCATCTCAGCTTTCCTTTTAATCAGAGCCAACCTCCTCCTTTCTTTTCAACTTTCATTACTTTCTTTCTGAACTCCTTTCAACAAATCAGTCTATTTCAGAACATTTCAATTCACCTTCACAATCAGAAACTTTGGTTGTCTGGTGATTGTTAAACGAATTAGACATTTGTTAAAGGAATTCGTCTATCTTTTTCAGCCAGTTCTGCCCAAACTCGGCTGTAACTTTTGTCATCGTCCCATATCATATTGATTCCAATCCTCCGGAACCAATACAAAAAGCATTCATATATCCTTTACTTTCATTTTAAGGAAAAACTTTTTTTTTTTGATTTTCGCTTAATACTTTCAACAAACTAACACAATGAGCGTCTTGACTCCTATTGCTGATGGTGCTCCCAGTTCTACTTTCCCTAAGAGAGACCATCCTCTACAACCGAAGGCCATTTCCGTATCTGATCAACCAATCCAAACAAACAAATTCTATGGTAACCTTTTCTTGGAAGATCAAAAGTTTCCAAGTTTCCCCCAACCATATACGTTGACATGGCGGAACAACGATGATGGCTTCTCTGGTCTAGGCATCAGTCATACAGAAGCCAGCCAGTATACATATGGACCAGATGCTAGTAAAACTCCGTGTGAGTTCTATATCAATCCAGCAGGATTATTCTCATTGATTATTTCTGCGAATGAGTTTTCTAAAGGAAACAAACTTTCCGCGAGTAACTCTCGCCATTTTTCCGTTCAAACTGTTTTGGAACCCTCCGATTCATCTGACGGAAACATTACGATTCCTATTGTTGCTGGAAGTGCGTTCATCAGTGCCGTTTACAAGAATTTGACCCCGGTCTTCAATTCGTCAATCATGGTAAAGTCGCTTGATAAGAGTGACTTCAGTGGTGGTTCTAAGTACAAGGTCACATTGAACGATAACAAGGTTTGGCTCATTTATGCCTTCCCTTCCGACTCTAGCTCTTTTGATCTAAAAAAAGACAGCAACAGTAAATTAACTGCCTCCTCCAAATTTAACGGACTTGTCCAAATTTGCAAAGTTCCCAGTTCCAGCGTCAGTGACGGCACGGGTGACAAAACTTTTGACAAGTATGCTGGTGTTTATGCAACTGGCATCACTTTAAGTGCCAATGTTTCTAACGATACTGGTGAATACTGGTTTACTTTTGATAAAGCTGGTGACAAATCTAAGAGTCCACTGGTGTATGCTCTCCCTCACCATCAAAGTACTTTTGGCTCTGATACCCAGGGATCAAAGACTGGTATGGCTTTACAGAGTACCGTTATGGGTGTTATGACTGCGTATGGAGCAGATAAATGGCATTTAGTGGAAAAGAATCTTCCTACGGATGTTGAGTTTCTTCCCATTCCTTGGAACGGAGGAAACTCTAACAACTCTGATAACATTTTGAGTACTATCAAATCTGCTTGCCAAAATGACATAAATTTTGATGTCGAGAGCGCCACAGATACCAATAGTATGTATGCCTCTGGTAAAGTCTTCGCTAAATATGCCCAAGTTTGTTTGGTGGCATCCAAAGTATTGAAGGATGACAATTTGACTAAGACTGGTCTTGACAAGTTGAAGAAAGCCCTCCAAAGATATGTTGACAACAAGGAACAGTTCCCTCTTAATTACGATCAAACCTACAAAGGTATCATCAGTACGGCCGGTATCAAGACCCCCCTTGCTGATTATGGTAATACTTACTACAATGACCATCATTTCCATTATGGATATCATATCTATGCAATGGCAGTTGCTGGCTTATTGGATTCAGGTTGGCTTTCGGATTCCCAAAACGAATATGTTAATGATTTGATACGTGATGCAGCAAATCCTGTGGAGGATGATAACAATTTCCCTTTTTTCCGATCCTTTGACTGGTTCAGCGGTCATTCTTGGTCTAAAGGCTTGTTCGCAAGTGGTGATGGTAAAGATGAAGAGTCAACCTCTGAAGATTACAACTTTTACTACGCTATGAAACTTTGGGGAATTGTTAAGAAGGATAATAACATAATCAACCGTGCAAATTTGATGCTGGCGGTAATCAGAACGAGCATGAATGATTATATTTATATAACTCCCGACAACAAGATTCAGCCAGAAAAAATACGTGGCAATTACTGTGCAGGAATCACTTTTATGAACAAGGTTGACTATACCACCTATTTCGGTACTGATGAGTACTTAAAACAAGGAATCCACATGATCCCAATCACTCCTATCAGTGGTTACGTTCGTACTCCTTCTTATGTAAAGTCAAGCTGGGATGCTAAAATTGCTCCAACTATCAAGAACGTTTTGAACGGTTGGACTGGTGTCCTTTATTCCAATTTGGCTATCACTGATCCCACTGCTGCATGGAAAGAGTTTAGTTCTTCTGACTTTAAGGACTCTTATATTGACAATGGTGCTTCAAAGACATGGTATTTGGCATTGGCAGCCGGTATGGGTGCCTCACCTTAAAGCTGTGCTATAAAGTATGGAAATATGTTTGGCATATATGAAAGAAAGTAATGAAAGAAAGGACAGTTACGAACAGGCAGGCTTAGCAATCTCTTTACAGAGAGTGCTTTTACGACAAACGTTTAGAAGTTAGTCTAAAATAAATTTACAGGCTACTTGCTACGGCAAATGTAGTGGTTTTACGAGTGCATTGAGGAAGTAAAATTGATTACAACTTAATTGCATTCCTCTACATTTTTTTGTGAAAATAAAAAAAATATAATATAATATTAACGACATTATTACCAGCTAGTTTATAGAAAGTTTAGAAGGACTTTGCTAGTTGAAGTAGGCGACGTTAAGAAAGCATTGCACTATACATAAACGTAAATCAAAAGTGGTTTTAAAGTAAAAAAAGAGTACTACAGGCCAAAGTAATTTTTAAAAGAGCTTGTTTAAAAGAAAAGGAAAAAAGAAATATTTTACAGCTTTTCAAGTATACGAATGAGTAGAAATTCTGCTAATCTTGGTAAGAAACCATACGTAGCGACGATTTGCCGGAAGATGGAGGATGCTAACAGTAAGTTTAGTTGAAATACCGGCTTTAGTCATAGATCCTGGAACATGTTGGACACGCTTTGGGTTCGCGGGTGAAGAATCACCAGATGTTACACTCCCGTCAAATTACGGTGTTTTGCAAGACAGCAATGAGGAAAAAAATTATATAATAGATGAATTGCAGATTCATGCGCCCATTCCTGGTATGGAGATTGCCAACGGTACAAATGATGGGATAATTCAAGATTGGGAGTCTACGTTACAAATATGGAAGAGGGGACTGAAAGACAAACTGAAAGTCGATCCAGCCGAATATGCAATGATGATTACAGAACCGAGCTGGAACACACAAGCTGTTCGTCAACAGACAATGGAAGCAGTATTTGAACAGCTTCAGGCACCCGCATTCTATTTGACGAAACAAGCTGTTTGCGCTGCGTTTGCAAGCAATAAAGCGACAGCTTTAGTAGTTGACCTCGGCACTGAGAATACAACCGTTACTCCTGTTGTTGATGGCATTGCTGTGCGAAAAGGTATAATGAAACAACGTATTGCTGGAAAATTTTTTAATGCAAACGTCAAAAGTATGTTTTCTAAAATGAATATAAATGTCGTGCCACACTACCGGGTAGCCAGGAAATCAGTTGTTATTGAGTCTTCAGGTCCCGGTAATCCAGAAGAGGTGAGGCCAACAGTTTTCTATGATCCAATTAATGGTTTAAAAGATTCGTATGAAGAATTTGAAAAACAGAGGATAATTGAAGAATGGAAGGAAAGCGTTCTAGAGACATTAGATACCCCATTTGATGAATTAAAAGCGTCTACAAAAAATCCCAAGCATTTTGAGTTCCCAGATGGTTCAAATTACCAGTTCGGCATCGATCGATTTCGTGTTGGTGAAGTACTGTTCAGTCCTACCTTCGCTGCTAATGATTCTCCTGAAAGCACCCTTCCGGAAAAGGCTGTCGGGCTTCACAGCTTGGTGTATCAAAGCATTGTTGCATGCGAAAGCGAGTTAAGGTCTCAGTTGTTTAATAACATTGTACTAACGGGTGGCACTTCTCTCATTCCTGGTCTTGCTGAGAGACTACAAAATGAGCTCCAAAGATTAGCACCAGGAAATCGAATCCATGTACACACCAGCGGAGATTCTACTTATCGAAGTAATGCTTCATGGCTGGGTGGGTCTATCTTGGCAAGTCTCGACAACTTTCAGCATTTATGGGTTACAAAACAAGAGTATGATGAAGTGGGAGTAGACAGAGCTTTATTTGTGGAAAAGAGATGCAAGTAAGGGTAATAAAATGCTGCAAAACAAAAAAAGACTTTATCTTTCATTTTCTATAACACTGACATTCTTTCGATTGTTGATTTACGATATAGATAGATCTTGAAGGTACTAGTATCTTTATCCTTTTTGTAGTTTCTCGTTTCGGTATCTTACCGTTTAAGAAAAATACTAAGCAAAGCATTGGAAATAATAAAACCTACAAAGTATGGGTTATAAGGTGGAGTAATACAAGGATAGAAGTGCAACGAACGAAAAGGCAAAAGATTCGTTACTTTTTTCTTGTCTGAGATTCCAAAAGGGCATAAATTGTCATAAGAGCAGTTTGGTTCGATTCAGAAGTTCCCGTAACAGTTAGCAAAGTCACATTTGATTGAGAATTACCTTGCTCAATATCAATATGGACATTAGTTGACTGAGAAATTTCTTGGAGTTTTGTAGGCTGATAATAATTAGCTTGCGAAATCAAAAGTTGACAGGTACATACCACTTGAGAAAGAACAGCTTCAAGAACGTTAGATGGCACAGATAACTTTTGTGTTATGATTTGATTAGAGGACGCATTTAACGGAATAGAAGGTCCCGAATATGGATAGTATTGAGTCGCTCGCAAAGGATCTGAGTTGCCCCCGGCTGTAGTGAGAGCAATCGGAGTGACACCATACGGGTTTTCAGGTGTAACCATAGTGCTATTGGGATGTAATATACCAAACAAAGACGGTGACCCATAAACACCGTAAGCAGCATCTGGGATATAAGGAACGACATTTATACCTGAAATGATACGACTTCTTGACAAAAGGGCATTTAGGAAAGTTTCTAATACTTTGGACGATTCTTGTACAGGTGTCTCAAGGATTACAGAGCGTTCCATTGACCGCGGCAAAAGAGAACTACTTAAAAGTAAACGCGAAGAAGAAGATACGGAATGAAGCTGAGGTATTAAATGCTGGTTCATCCAAGTTTTTGAGCCAAGTAACACATTTGAAAAAGCGAAACTGAATATCAAAATTGAATCATTTTCATTTGAGGATCTAATAGCTTGAGCGATAGCCGGTAATGCTTGCGAAATATTCGTCAGGTTAGAATGACAAATTAGGACCTTTCTAGAGCTATTCGAAGAAATCAACGTTTCCGCACGGATCTGACCATCTCGCAATATATCTTTTTGTTCCTCTTCTCCCAAGTTCATCCATAATTCATATTGTTGAGCACTTAGAAGCAATTTCACTGTTACAGAGTTCGCGTCCGTTCCAAATGCTTGCTGCAGGTTTAACACATGAGGATGTAAAATATCTACAGGTACTGTAGAAACATATTTTGACCCAGATTCCATAACAAATACACCGAAAGAATTTCACGTTTTTCTTTGCCAAAAGCAAATTGTTTTTCAGTACCTTCCTAGTTTCAGAAACAAATAGCACAGCGCGCTCTATTGCGTTATGATGATTTCCAATATGGACCTATCATCTGTTCAAAAGCGATTCAGACAGTGGTTATATACTCATATAGTTTATTTAATTATCCGAATAGAATCAGACAAAGCTTTTTGCAACGGATATGGATATGTTGCATAGAAAGCAGTCGGCTCTTACGGTAAGTAGCCAATATATGCGTAAGATGTTCTATTAATCATTAAGAATGAATATATTTCTATGAAAACTAGAGGGACATGTGGGAATTGGAAAGCTGGTGCTTTTTAAAAGGAAAGCAAAAAGGAAAGAAGTCATTCTCATTACATAGAAAGGTAGAAAGATAGCGAGCACGGATGATTTTCAAGGTGAAACGTCAATTCTTTGCATCCTAGCGTAGCGTCATAAACTAAAAATAAGAAAATAGCACTGAATATAAATTCAGCTGAAGTATAAACAAGCTGCAGGCATTTAAAAACTGCTATACTCTTTTTTTCGCAAAGAAACCTCGACTTTTATATGTCGACTTCCATTTCGTCCAGCGTTTCGACTGTGACGAACTTGTGAATGTCTTCCCGTAAAATGGCTGTAGTACCACGCTCGTATTTGTAGTTTTGTTCCTTTTGAGCACGTTCGTTCGGCTTAGAATAGCCGCGGTAGGGGGTAGCCTTTTCATTATCAATGACAACCAAATCGCAATTGGAACCAGATCCAAGATCATTGAAAATACCAGCTTCAATTGCCTCACGAACAAGCTCCATAGCTTCATGTCGTTCTAAGTTAGGTTTGTATTTGGTTTCAAGGACTGAAATAGCAGCAAGACTACCAGATCCAAGAGCAACATAAGGTAATTTGTCACTGGAACCATGAGCTGCGATGGTGAACAGATGTGGGCCTTTACAATCGTAACCACCGAGGACGAGGTAAGCTCCAATATAACCTTGGTAACGGAAAAGATGCTGCTTCAACATTGTCAAGGCAGTTGCCACTCTTGGCTTTCGATTAACATACATGGAGTGCAACTCAACGTTAGAAGAAATCATCGAAGTCACGAATTCGGTATCAGCAGCAGTACCAGCACCAGCGCACCATATATTAGGAGCAATTAAATGCAACTTTCTGCCTGTAAAAGTAGTTAGTAACTGAAAAGAACGCAAGGTGCAGAAGTCCCTTTGGAAAAACCATCAATAACCATTATAATCTATGATACATGTATTCGATTTTAATAAAGGTCAAGTGTAACCACTGCCTAGTTGCTTCATCACGTACAGTTTTTATCAGCAATAATCGGTCCAGCAGTTGCTCTAGTGTCTGCACCCAAAACAATACAATCTTTAGCAATCACACCGACAATGGTGGTACCAGTAGAAGTTGCCTTGGGAGAAGGGAATCCACGCTCCTGCAAAAGTGCATTTCTATGCCTGTTAGTCTTCCAAAAATATTCAATACTCTCTGAAACGACTCATTTGCATTTCTCAAACACTTACCTTTGACAGTAATCAAAGTCAAATCCTTTTCTTTCGTTCAATCCCTTCATATTTGTAGGGTTATTGATATTGATCTGCAAGTTGTATTTGGCAAAGGGATTGTCTAACGGTGTGTGGTTTCCTCCATGAAGACAGTGCTCGCTAACGCTCGTTGAAATATAAATACCATGGTGCACTTCATTGCACTAAAATAAAAATAATAAAATCTGTATACTTCCGTAAAGTGTATTTGCCAAATACTAGTGTCATCACTAAATAATATAATGACCTTGTTTGCCATTGCAGAGAAGCGACTAGTCTTAGGCATTGGGAAGCAAGTAAGAACTTACTACTGGGAAGTCATTAAGGTGAAAGTTAAAACTTCATAACTTTAGTCAATCTTAAATTGCTGTTATAAGGTTTTAAGGTGCTTGATCCTCATTTTTTTGTAAATATATATATACATATATATATATATCTTTTTACACATTGTTGAAAGGAGTAGGCATTTATTTACGAGTCTTGCAAGTAGTTTAATTGCAACAATCAAGTTCTGATAAAAGGATCCTATTTGGCTCTATTTATTTATATATGAAATGAACACTGACAATCCATTTGCTGCGCTTACTCCAAGCCCAGCGCCTTTTGCTGGTAATACACATCATGCGGAAATTGAAGAAGCAGATACATCGGTATGTCATGTTTCCTTCTATTTAGGCTGTTCTAACTTTCCCTGTAGAGCTTTTTGTTTTCTGCTTTAAAAATTGGTACTACAGTTTCACTTGCTCAACCGACGTCCTCAGACCCTCCAGCTAAATCACGTTTGTTTGCCATTCACAATTTAACTAAAGTGTTTGTAGCTGGTGTCCCTAATGGTCTTGTTCTAGGTTCGACTTCCATATTGCAGAAGTGTCTTGATGAGGCCTCGATGAATGCAGGCCCTCAACAACTTCCAGAATCGTCTGAAGTAGTTCACCTTGCCATTCCAAACTCTAACTTTTCTTTCGTCGATTTTACTTCTCAAGGAACATGTATTGTCGCATACGATCTTTCCTCTCAAGAAATTGTCGTCTTTAATACAACCTCTTGTTTAGAGGGTAATGTCAGTCCTCGTTGGAAAACACAATTGCCGAATTTGGATTTCGTTCTTCCAAATCCTGAAATTGACGATCTTGTTGCGCTTCATCTAACTACACAAGAATTATGCATCTTAAGCATTTCTCAGGCGACCATACATCCCCCAATTGCTAGAGAAGCTACCTGCGTTGCTTGGTCAAGACGTGGTAAGCAATGTGCTGTAGGATTTTTAAATGGATCTATAGTTCAGTACACTCCCGATGGACAAGCTAAACAGGAGATTGCTGCTCCTTCTGACTTACAAGACTTTTATGTCCAAGATATTGCGTGGATGGAAAACCGAGAGTTCATTGTTTACTATAGCCCTATAACAGCGTTGGCAAGTAGTGAGCCTGTACACGAGTCAGTTTGTTATATAATCAGTTTGGGAATTGATAAATCAATTACTTATGCTGTTGCGACAGATCCAACTCCTCCGTTCGGAGCCGATTATCGTCACGATCACCATTATTTCTCTCTTCTTCAGTCTTGGCATCCAAATCTAAGATCTTTGGTGATTGTCTCAGCAACTTCAAGCTCAGATATTGGTCTGTTTGCCCATATGGCCGACTCAAATTCATGGAAGAGCTTGGTTATTACTGAAGAAACTAAAAGAGCTTCTCTTCCTTATTCTCAAGCAAGAGAGCAAGATACTTCTCCTTTGTCTCTCAGTTTAGATCTTACTTCCACAGAGAGAATCGAGAAGCCACTGAGCCCAGTAGAAGTTCCTGCAGATTGTCCCCCTCTTCCTATTCTTTGGGTTTATGATAATGACTATCAACTTTCGGGATTCCGATTTATGTATACAGATGCTATTATGGAAAATTCACTCTATCCCGAAATGGTCGTAGCCAAAAGCGTATCCGGTACTGAGACTGTTCGAACCTCTAATAATGAAAATGTCAGTTCTTTTGCTTCTTTATCAGAACCTCCCAAATTCGGTTCTCAGATGTCTTTTGGTGCATTTCAGACTCAAAAACCCGCACAAGCATCAGCATTCGGTCAGAGCCAGGGCTCTCCTTTTACAGCTCCAAGTGCAACTCCAAAATTTGGTGAGTCTTCGTTTTCATTTAACTTCAATACTACTCCTGCAAATAATGCTTTTACCCCAAATAATTCTTTTGCTGGTTTTGGAACGAAGTCCACTTCTTCCGCATTTTCTTCTTTTGCTAGTGCCTTAACTCCCGCTAATTTATCCAACGTTCCAAAGGATAATGAAGCATCCAATATTTTTGGAAATGCCAAAGTTCCTGAGAAGCAGCCATCCGTGTTTCAATTTAATCCCGTCGAGAAAGCAGAGCCTGAAAAAGATATGGAAAATGAAAAAGTTGGTACACTTGCCAACGCTGATGTTGAGCCCTCTACTACTGATGATAAAGCTGGTAACAGTAATATTAATTGGGGAAGTGGCTTATTTGGTAAAGCTGCTCAGCCCTCATTTTCCTTCGGTCTTAGCTTAAACGATAAAACACCAAATGAAAACTTCTCCGTTTTCGGTGCTAAGTCGAAAGATACAACTGCACCATCTACTGATCAAGCTTCTACTAAACCATTTTCTTTTGCTCCACCAGATAAATCGGTTTTTACCTCTTCTATAAAGCCAACAACTCCAGCGAGCAATGCTCCAGAATTGCCAAGAAGTGAGTCTGTCTCTATGGAAAGCTTAACAGAAAAACCTGAGCAAAAAGATAATACTGTTGAAGTGCTTGAGAGATATACTTTAAATGTTTCTCTAGAGAATAAGGAAACAGATGAGAAACATGCAGAAGCTACAGTAGATGAAGGTCTATTAGCATCTGACAATGTGGAAACTGAAAAGGCAAATAGTATCGACAAAAGAGATATTCAGAATGATCGACAGTCTCCTTTTATAGAAGAATTGAAAGATGATGATACCGATGAAATTGCTTTAGAAGCACAGAAAGAATCTGTTACGGATACAATGCCGAAGGAAAGTGTTTTGGAGACTGAAGATAAGCTTCTAGATACTGAACTTAGTGAGGAGGAAAATCTTTTACGTACGGTTTCGCATGAGACAAATGAAAGTGATGATTGGGAAAAAGTTGAAGGTGAAGAAGACTTTGATGAAGCTGCAACTACAAAGCCTGAGGATTTTCATGAGGAAACGCCGGAAGTCTCTGCAGCTGCTGAAGAAAAGCTTACAGAAAAAGAAGCAGATAAGGAGTCATCAATTGACAAGGATGCGAAAAAGCAGATCTCGAAGAACGAGCCAAGTGATTCATATTCCGAAGATATTAACAAAGAGGATGTTGCTGAAAAGGAACCAGAACCAGAACGTCAAGGAGTTCCTTCTCTAAAAGGTAAAGTGAGCGAAGGAGCCTTTGACTTACCATCAGCTGAAGAAAGAAGTATAATAGCAAGTGACCTCAAAGAACCTGAAGAATCTGTCGTTAGTGAAGCTCCCAAACTTTTAGAGAAGAAACCCGTTCCCCTTGAAACGCTGGATTTGCTTGAAGATATGCAAGAGATAGTCAGTACTGAATCCAACCCAATGGTCAATGCATTTGAAAACCTGTACTTGCATTTTGAGGCAGAGATGGATCTGGTAACCCGAAATATGGAAAAGTTGGTAAATTATGTAAATGACCAATCTAATACTGGATATTCTAATGATATTTATCCAAACATGACGTGTCTTCCTAATGATACTCAAACACTGGAAAGTTTGCTCGATGAAATGAATTTGTGGACCTCTGGCAAAACCGAATACGACAAAAAACTAGAAACTTTACGTGTGACTCTCGTTCGATTAAGTGCTAAGAGAGTTCAAATTCAAAGACTTGTAAATGCTCACACAGATCCTGTGTTTATCAATCGTCTTAAATTACGACAATTAGGTCCTGAAGCACTTCGACGACAAAAAGAACTACGTGTTTCCATGGAAAAAATTCAAAAACTAATGACCTCGGTGGAAAATATGGCATTTGATGTACGCTTAAGTGATGTTCAAAATCGCAAGCGTTTAAGTTTGGCTTCGATAGAAGTTGCTTGTAGTCGTGTTGCTACTGTTTTAGCTCAGCGGGAGAGAGAATTGTTGAAGCTTGAAGTTGAAGTTAAAGGGTTGTTTGGCTCAAACCCCAATGGTCCTTTTATAATGGATGATTTGAGTTCCAGTTTAATAAGTTCGCTTGAAAAAGGATCAGATTCCCTTTTTGGATTACGAGAAGGTTCAAGGTCATCAGCTAAAACGGAAGTGCAACGCCAAGATGAGTTTTGTGACATAATTTTTAACAGCCTTCTTCTTTTAAGGAAAAGTATATAAAAGACCTTCATGAAAAATTGTTTTAGGGTGGTGTCCAAGAGGATATTGTCGCACTGTATGGAATAAAATAGATTTGTATTTAAGTTGCTTAATTTATCTTGTATTCTCAACAGATGTATTAAAAAACGGAAAGTAATATATTAAAAATTGAAGTGAATGATATTTCTCATTACCTAGTTTATCTCCATGGATTCTGCTACATTGATCTGTAGACGATCTATACCAACCTTTTTTTCTGAGATTCATATATATTCAATTTTGGTAGTTAGAACTTATCTAAATATAAAGACAATCTTTAGTGGTAAACGACAAGAGTACTTCTGAATATTCCTGAATCTTTAGACTCTCTTTTTAATTGGGATACTAACTTACAGTCTGACCAAGTTTCGAGAGGCTTTCTTACAAAACTATTGGAATATAGTACTACAAAAATCTGGTGTATTATTTGCATACAAACTATTGAAATAGATCTGTTTGGTATAAATACACAATATGAGTGGAGCTTCCTTTAATTGTCTAAGTGCTTTGTCGCATACTCTTCAAAAACAAATCACATCTAAGCGTGTTTCCGTTGGCGTTATTGGCTCTGGTAATTGGGGTACTGCCATCGCCAAAATATGTGGAGAAAATGCTAAAGCTCATCCGGACTTGTTTAATCCTCAGGTTCACATGTGGATGTATGAAGAAAATATTGATCACCATGGCGAAACCCGCAAACTTACGGATGTATTCAACTCGACTCATGAAAATGTGAAGTATTTGAAGGGTATTCAATGTCCCTCTAATGTATACGCTAACCCCGATATCCGTGATGTTGGAGCCAGAAGTGATATCCTTGTATGGGTTCTTCCACATCAATTCGTTGTACGAGTCTGCGATCAATTAAAAGGCTATTTGAAAAAAGATGCCGTTGCTATTTCTTGTATCAAAGGAATATCAGTCAACGCTGACCATGTTTGTCTTTTCTCAGACATCATTCAAGAACGTACAGGTATGTACTGTGGTGTTCTTTCCGGAGCCAATATTGCAAGCGAGGTAGCAAAGGAAAAATTCTGTGAAACTACTATTGGATATGATCCTGACAGATCTGTCAATCCTTTGTATACTGCCGAAACCATACATTCTTTGTTCAACCGACCCTATTTCCGTGTTCAGATTGTTAAAGACGTTCCAGGTGTAGCCTTAGGTGGTGCATTGAAGAATATTGTTGCAGTTGCTGCTGGTATCATTGATGGACTTGAACTGGGTGATAATACAAAATCCGCCATTATGAGAATTGGTCTAGCAGAAATGCAAAAGTTTGGAGCCATGTTCTTTGATTGTGATCGTCTTACTATGAGTGAACAATCTTGTGGTATTGCTGACTTGATCACTACTTGTCTTGGTGGTCGGAACCGTAAATGTGCTGTTGCATTTGCTAAAACTGGTAAGCCTATGCATGTATTAGAAAAGGAACTTCTTAATGGCCAAAAGTTACAGGGTGCTACTACTGCTAAGGAAGTTCACGAATTTTTGGATCATCAGAATAAGGTGGATGAGTTTCCCCTTTTTAAAGCCGTGTATGACATTGTCTATGAGGGCTTACCTGCCAATAAATTGCTAGAAGCTATTTAAATCTCTAAGCATCGTTTGATGAGGTTTTTTTGATATTTTTTAGTTTCATATTACGTCCTGCTGGTGAATTTGGACTTAGACTCGAAACTTTAATCTGTATCAAATTGCGAAACTAATTTTGAAAATAAAAAAAGTCGAGTTTTGAGTTGATTCTGTTCCCCTTGTGTAAGCTTACTACTAATGCTGGTTTTAATTCTTCGCGTCCATCGTAACTTTTGGTTATTAATATAGTTAAAATAGAAGTTATTGTTTTAAACAGTGTTTTAAGAATACCATTTACCTAGTAGACCAAAAAAGGTAGATGATCAGAAACTGACTTGACTATAATCCTGACACTTTTACTATTCCTTACATTTCCAAGAATCGCTGGGCTACAAATAAAGATCTCGCATAGAAAAGCAGTCTTTTCTTTCTTAAGTCGATAAATAATTCGTTAAAAAGTATTTATTCAATGTACATTTTTGTCTAAAAGAAAAACTTAAAGGGAAAGTTATCTTTAGGCAATACCGTAGTGTCAATACCTGTGATTCCGACAACTTTTCGAGTTTTTTGACATTTTTATTTACTTAATATCCAAAACACCCTTAAATTACTTGGGTTTCGTATACCTGCCGGCCGAAGGCTTATACTTCCTTTTCAAATAGACAACTACTGCATTCTTTATATTTTGCATTTCATTTATACTGTCTAAAATATATTACCATTCTCTATAACTGGAAGGTGTCGTTCAGTTTTAATCTAGTTTTTTTTTAACGAAGAAACATGGAATCATTCGAAAGCGTTAATACCAACAATGGATCTTCAGTAAAGAAGAACTGGTGGTGGGGCACGAAAGGAAAAGGATATCAGGTGCCAGGTCCTTCAAGAAGCAGTTCATCGGGCCGACGCTCATCGGATGAAATTATTCCAGATGAATTGATTGTTTTGGATGACTCGTCTTTATGCAATGTTCCCTTGGAGCTTCCTACTGGAGTATCCAGAGATACAGCTTCGAAAAGTTTTTCCAAACTCACTCGAGAGGACCAGATGCTTAGCTTACGACTGAACAGTGTTCAGGATTCTATGTTTAAAAAAGCCCCGCGTCAATCCACAGACGCTCTTCTTGATCCTGGCCCTGTAAGTAAGGAAAAGCAAGCTGTTCTTTCTGTCGGTAGACCCTCTTGGCTTCCTCCTAAGTCAAAAGCAGAAGAAAAGCAGCACCTCCGAGAATTTGAACAAATTAGGAAAGCTGCTCTAAACTATGACAAACAAAGCCAGAAGGAGAAATTCAAGCAAATGGAGCGGCAACGCAAAAAGAATCAATATTTAGTTCAACTATGGGATCGTTACATTTTTCGATACTGGCCTGATAGCCTTGCATCCTCTAAAGTTACTGGTGTTTGGCGAGAGGGTATTCCTTCTCGTGTTCGCGGCAAGGCTTGGCAAAAGATAATTGGAAACCATTTACAGTTAGATTATCAATCATTTTTCCTTGCATGCGAGCGTGCTAGGAAACTTGGGTATTCTAATGAAAATGAGCAAACCCAAAATGTTAATATGTTTTGCCATGATAGAAGTGCACTTGAGGTAGATCTTGAAAGTACAATTCCTCAGTTACATTTATTTCAAAAAGGAGAAGCACTTCACAATGATCTAGTTCAATTGGTATTAGCTTATTCCGCATATCGTTACAATGTCCGTTATGTGCCTGGTACTAGCTTCATTGGAGCTTTGTTATTACTGAATATGAATTTAACGTCTGCCTTCAACTCGATGGTTAACCTTTTAGATCGTCCTTTCATGCAGGCCGTATACACTCAGGATAAGGAAGCATTGGCTTCTTTCACAAGTTTGTTTTTAAGTTCACTGAAGAAATCACTTCCAGATTTGGCGAATCATTTTAAATATACTTTGCAGGCTCAACCAGATCAGTATTTGTATCCGTTGTTGCAGAAATTTTTCATCCCCATGAATTCTGTAGATATTTCTTCTCGCATCATGGATTGTTATTTGTTAGAAGAAGACCCATTCTTGATCCAAGTGCTTGTGGCCTTGTTTTCACAGTTGAAACCGAAACTATTGGATACTGATTTTCGTTTAATGCAAAATACTTTGTTTTATCATCCTTGGAAGCTTGGTGAAGAGGATGAGTTCATGAAGAAGGTGTTTGAGACATCTATCTCTTAAACAATGAATCTGCCCGTTTTAAGATTTAGCATTGATTAAGTCTTTATTTATTTGGTAGGGATAGCAATCCGCGATGATAACAAAATAGAGCAAAAATAAAAACATGTGATATGGGTTTTATTCTAGATATATAATAGCAGGTATATAAAAAAAAAGGTATAAGATCTATTTGAAAATTACTTTTTGCGCAACATTAAGAAACAACAGAGATAAAGGAGAGTAGATCTAGTAATTGAAGGGCTTCATCCGCTCCATCAGAAAGGCGCTTATCGATTTCTGATAATTTTATGAAAATCTTGTGTTTTGCTGGACTGCTAAGTGTTTCTTCATCCAAAATAACATCATGCAACTGTGATAGAATAATTCCAGTTGAATAGCCTTCTGCTTCTACTTCGCGCGTCACAGCCTCGATCTTCAAGATATCTTTGGTATAGGCTGTATCAAGCAAAGTACGAATGGTGTTTGAAGGAACGGCTCCTGCAAGTTCAACAATACTGGCTACAGTGACCGGCATTCCCTGATGAAGAGTCGCAGCACTTTGTAAAAATGTGATAGCTTTTCTCATATCTCCGCCAGAATATTTTACAAGAGCATCAACAACACCGGGTTCCATTTCGACATTTTGATCTGTAGCAATAAATTCTAGCCTTTTAGAAATATTTTCAGCATCCAAAGGTTTAAAACGATATTTACTACAACGGCTGGCTAGAGGATCGATGATCCTAGTCATATAATTGCAGATTAAACAGAATCTGGTAATTTTTGCGTACATTTCCATAGTTCGACGAAGCGCTGCTTGAGCATCTTGGGTCATTGAATCAGCTTCATCAAGAATAATAATTTTGAAAGGAGGGCAGGGATATCCATCTACCGAATTTGAAACGGTGGTCTTCGCAAATGTTTTCACCTTGTCTCGGATAATGGAGATACCTCGCTCGTCAGAAGCATTTAATTCCAATATTCTTGATTTCATTAGTTGAGGCCCAAAGAGTTCTCGAGCCAAAGCCAAAATTGTAGAAGTTTTTCCCGTACCAGGAGAGCCATAGAAGAGCATATGTGGTAAATTGTTGGACAGCAATGTCTTTGTTAATACCTGAATGGTAGCTTCCTGAGAAGAAACTTGGTCTAAGGATTTGGGACGACTTCAAGAACGCGTCAGTTTTCAGTACCGCATCAAATTGTCTTTTATTTACTTACTATAATTCTACCCAAGGAACCGATTTCTTCGATTCTTGTTCAGTTGGCTTGGACCTTGGAACAAAGAAGGACATATTTATTAGAAATATATAGAATGAATGAGAATTCCTATATATACAGGGAAAAACAAAAAGAGGAGCTTTTGTTGGTACTAGACGCGTTTCGGGAATAAAGAGGAGCAACGAGCGCGCAAAATCTAAATTGTGTTGCAGGTATATAGGTATGACAAAATAGTAAATATAAGGGAATTTGTGTTGATTAGGAAAAGCGTCTCAGAAGGATGAGTGTGAGTAAATATAACTAAGGATGAAGTTTGCTTTTCTCAAAAATGGAACCAACAAATGAGCAAATAAACATAAAGCATGAGGTACTCGACACTAGGGCAGGCAATGATGAGTGTTGTGAAGACTTATGCAGGAATTGTAGGATTGACCACAATTTCATTTTTGTTTAGCGGGTTCGTTTCAAGGGTAGATAAATTTGGTTTGTTCAACAGTTTCAGAAAATAGGTAAATAAGACGTGGAATCTGTCAACAAAGTGGTATCGGTGCTCTAATTGCAGGTCTGAAAGTTCTTTTAATTGAGAAAAGAGTTCGAAAAGCTTTGTGTTTTCAATCAACTCTGCGTTTAAGCCTGAAAAGTTCTCTAATTTTTCCAAAATGGAATGGACATCAGTCATTTCGGATTCGGTAGGATAATGATTGAAACAAAGCAGGATTCTTTGTAGTTTGTAACAATAGTACATTAATATCTTCGCTCGAGCATAATAGGCTTGAGCATAAAGGTCCGTTGTACTAAGAGGTTGATCCAGCTGAGATTTAAAAGAAAATACTGGGAGCTTTGGTGGAGAGAGACTAGCCCTTGCTGCTTCCTTTTCTGACTCTTTCTTTGTAAGTTGCTTTCCTGGTGATGCTTGGGTTGGGGGAACAGTCTTGTTTTTATTTCGAATGTGCCGGTCACCGGAATCAGGACTTGTATATCCTATCCCTTCTTTTCTGTTGCTTTTTTTGTACGTTCTCTCTATAGTAGTGTCTTTCCCTTCATCCTCAGATGAAGGAATTTGTTTCGTCCCATCTTCCTTAAATTCCTCGCCTGCTTCATCTTCCTCCTCTTCTTGTTCATCTTCTTCTTCTGTTTCCTCAGCATCAGAAAACGAGCAATCATTTTTGATTGAGTCGGCAATAATCTCAATGGTCTGTCTTATATAGGAACTAAATCGGTTTGATTCTAAAATGTATATACATTCATACAGATCTAGGCAGCCGACATTGCCCATTTGTATAATCGCATAGTCTCTAGACGGAAGGAATTGTACTGCTAGTCCTTTGTATTTTGCTAATCGTTTCGATATATCCTGAGGTATCTCTTCTCTACGGACAATTCTAGAGGGCCACCATGGATAGAAACTGTATTTTACTAAAACATATTTGCCTTCTTCAAAATAGCTATCTGGCTTTTTATTAGGTTTATACTTTTTCAATGACCATCGTCGATCCTGCCTAACTTGCTTTTGAAGATTTTCCAGCGAGCCCTCGCTACTTACAGTCTTTTCTGCCTTTTTCTTCTTTGATGCTTCCTTTAAATCCACTTGTTTCTTTGATCTTTTTAAATTCGTATCGCGACTTCGATTTGTAGCTCTTGTTGTTACCATGACGAATCCCTGAAAGGCCAGTAAGTTGGGCTCTGTTAATTATTAACAGCTAACAGCTTGAAACCTACGATACTCAGACTTTCTTAAGCTCATAAATCTGGCATTGAATAGATATATCTATTTTCTTATTTCTGATATTCCTTTTGAGAATGAATGAAAATAATGCGTTGTTGTAACATTGTAATTTACATTAGTGACTTACGTTAGAATTGCTTAGTAAACATAGAAAACGATTATGGTAGCTTTCAACCAGAAACGACATTATGTAGAACATTGACATTCCTAATTGAATATTTCTTAAATAAAACCCAAAGTAAACCGGTGATACTAAATAAAAGTTTGTATATCGATAATTATTCAATGTTTGTATTCAAAGACTTTTTATCAATTAGTTTAATGAATTTCGCTACACCTCATTAATTAACTATACACGTCCTCTTCATGGTGAGTTAACTAAACCTTTGCCAACAATATGTCGAGCGGTAAGTTGGAAGAATACTGTATAAAAGCAGGAGGAATTAACAACATGACAGTAGAAGATGCTGAGCTGGAGAACCTACGAGCTCAGAGAGAGCAATTGAGGAAACAACGGGAAGAATCTAAAAATTCAGTGCTTAGTAAAACACCAAGTATTGCAGGTACCCTTGATTCTCATCGTGTACAATATGATACTCATATATATAATACCAGCAATGTAACAGATGGATACGACAGATCAATCGATGTCCATGACGATGCATATGAAGAGAATGAAGAAGGCATACCAGATGGAGGCGAAACTAGTAGACCTTTAGTGCGTCAATATGAAGCTCCGAAGGAGCTTCTGACTGAATATGCCGATGTAAATTATGACCCTATGGCCGAGATGCAATCGAAAAAACAAATTCAAGACCGAGAATCGGACTATCAAAAGCAACGATTCCAAAGAAGATTAGCACCAACAAGGAATGACGCTTTTCGAGAAGATGGTAAGATAGATGGTGGAAGGTCATATGCAGATGCGATGCGTGAGGTTGAGTTAGAGAAGGAGGAAAGCAGAGTGTATCGTGAAATTAATCAAAGGCGTCGTGAGGGAACCTTAGAAGAAATAGAAGACCACAAATTACCTGAAGAGAAAAAACGTACAGTTGAAACAATTCCCTCTGAACCCGCTCCGAAGCCCAAAAGGTCCCGATGGGATCAAGGCCCTCCTAAGGTAGCTGAACAAGCCGCTGTTCCTACAAGGAGATCTCGATGGGACAAAGCTCCGGACGCGTTTCCAATTTCAGATTACGTTGCAGAAAACGGTGTACAGAAGTTGGAATCGGTTTCCCAGGAAAAGCAAGTTCCTATTCATCCTAGGATTACTGATGAAGAATTAAATTCACTACTTCCTTCAGAAGGATATGTAATCTTGGAACCTCCTGAAGGATACCTTGAGTCGATTCACCCCCAGTTGAATGAAAAGGAAAATTTAGTAGATACTTATCACATTCCCCAAGAACAACTATTACCTCAACACAAAGAATTGCCTGCCACCTTACCCACGGAAATTCCGGGAGTTGGTGATTTGGCTTTCTTTAAACAAGAAGATGTGAAATATTTTGGAAAGTTACTTCAAACAAGAGATGAAGCCGAATTGTCCATTGCCGAATTGCGAGAACGAAAAATTTTAAGACTTCTGTTGAAAGTCAAGAACGGTACTCCTCCTATGAGAAAAAGTGCTTTACGTCAATTAACGGATCAGGCTCGTGATTTTGGTGCTGCTGCTTTATTCAATCAAATTCTTCCTCTATTAATGGAACGAACTTTAGAAGATCAGGAACGTCATCTGTTGGTGAAAGTAATTGATCGGATTTTGTACAAACTTGATGAGTTGGTTCGTCCTTTTACACATAAAATTTTGGTGGTTATTGAGCCTCTTTTAATCGATGAAGATTACTACGCTCGTGCTGAAGGTAGAGAAATTATTAGCAATTTGGCGAAAGCTTCTGGTCTGGCTCACATGATTGCTACTATGCGGCCAGACATAGACCATGTTGACGAATATGTGCGGAACACAACTGCTAGAGCCTTTTCAGTTGTTGCTTCAGCGCTTGGTGTCCCTGCGCTTCTCCCTTTTTTGAAAGCAGTATGTCGTAGCAAAAAATCTTGGCAAGCGAGGCACACTGGAGTTCGCATCATTCAGCAAATAGCTTTGCTAATGGGATGCTCTGTTTTACCGCATTTAAAAAGTTTGGTTGAATGTATTGGCCATGGCTTGGAAGATGAACAACAGAAAGTTAGAACTATGACAGCATTGGCTTTATCCGCATTAGCTGAAGCGGCTACACCGTATGGTATTGAAGCTTTTGACTCTATCCTTAAGCCTTTATGGTCAGGCGTTCAACGTCATCGAGGTAAAAGTCTTGCTGCTTTTTTGAAAGCGACCGGATTTATAATACCTTTAATGGAACCAGAGTATGCTAGTCACTTCACCAAGAGGATTATGAAAATTGTTTTAAGAGAATTCAGTTCCCCTGATGAAGAAATGAAGAAAATTGTTTTAAAAGTTGTCTCTCAATGTGCATCCACGGACGGTGTTAACCCGGAATATTTAAAAACAGAAGTTTTGCCAGAATTCTTCCATTGTTTCTGGTCTCGAAGAATGGCTTCTGATCGTCGTAGCTATAAACAAGTTGTCGAGACGACGGTTGTTTTGGCTGGTCAGGTTGGTGTTTTGCAAATTGTAGACAGAATTGTGAATAACTTCAAAGACGAATCTGAACCTTATAGAAAGATGACTGCTGAGACCGTTGATAAGGTAATTGGTTCTTTGGGTGTATCTGAAATCGACGAACGTATGGAAGAATTGCTGCTGGACGGTGTTCTTTTTGCATTTCAAGAACAATCTGTTGAAGAAAAAGTCATCTTGAACTGTTTCAGTACTGTCGTAAACTCGTTAGGAGTACGATGCAAACCTTACCTTCCCCAAATTGTATCTACTGTTTTGTATCGTTTGAATAATAAATCTGCAAATGTTAGAGAGCAAGCTGCAGATTTAGTTTCAAGAATTACCGTAGTGATGAGAGCTTGTGGTGAAGAGGCTTTGATAAGGAAACTAGGTGTTGTCTTATATGAATACTTAGGGGAAGAATATCCTGAGGTTTTGGGCTCAATATTAGGGTCACTAAAGGCTATTGTCTCTGTTGTTGGCATGTCCTCAATGCAACCTCCTATTAAAGATTTGTTACCCCGTCTTACACCTATTTTGAGGAACAGACATGAAAAGGTTCAAGAAAATACAATTGATCTTGTTGGGCGAATTGCAGACAGAGGTTCAGAATTTGTTTCTGCCCGTGAGTGGATGCGTATATGTTTTGAGTTAATCGATATGTTGAAAGCGCATAAAAAAAGTATTCGAAGAGCAGCTATCAACACCTTCGGTTATATTTCGAAGGCCATTGGGCCACAAGATGTTTTAGCTACTTTGCTAAACAACTTGAAGGTTCAAGAGCGTCAGAATCGTGTGTGCACCACTGTAGCTATTGCAATCGTAGCTGAAACGTGCATGCCATTTACTGTCATACCTGCATTGATGGCAGATTATCGAACACCAGAAATGAATGTCCAAAATGGTGTCCTGAAGTCTTTGGCTTTCATGTTTGAATATATTGGAGAACAGGCTCGCGATTATGTTTATGCGATTACTCCTCTTTTAGCAAACGCGTTAATGGACCGGGATGCTGTTCATAGACAAACTGCTGCTTCTGTGGTAAAGCATTTGTCATTAGGTTGTGTTGGCTTGGGGGTTGAAGATGCAATGATTCATCTACTAAATCTTCTTTGGCCAAACATTTTAGAAGAATCACCTCATGTCATTAATGCTGTACGAGAAGGAATTGATGGGATTCGAAACTGTGTTGGTGTTGGTGTTGTTTTGGCTTATTTATTGCAAGGACTTTTTCATCCAAGTCGGAAAGTTCGCAATACTTACTGGACTTCATATAATTCTGCATACGTCCAAAGTGCTGATGCTATGGTCCCTTACTATCCACACGTTGAAGATGATCAGTTCAATTCTTACGAATTAAAAACATTGCATATTTGCATTTAACAAGGAGTGGTGTTACGAACGGTTTTAATGTTATCTAAATTGGATTTGAGAAGGTCTGTGTATATGTATAATAAGATTTGTTATTCTTTAAATGCTAGAAAAGAAAAAAAAAGCTGTTAGTACAAAAGTTAACATACATAATAGTTCGCCTTAATTTAGACAATGCTTAAGAATAAATAGTGATTAGCTCAATAGGAAACTCCCATTCCTAACCAAATAATAAGAAGTAAATTTAACGCAGTGAGAAATAACCATATTAACCAAGTAAGTATAGTCATGGGCCAACCTAAGCTTAGATCATGGACATTTCTAATTACTTGACCAGTTTCTTCATCAACCGTCTCCGAGTAAGTAGACATTACTTTACGAGAACACGTAAACATTACAAGAGGAAAAGTTAAGATAGGCAGCAAAATGGAAAGGCAAACTTGACTTGCGTTCAAGACTTGGTTTAGTCCGCTTTGACCTACGGCAGCCGCGACAACTAAGCAAGGGATGATCGCTATAGATCTGGTAAGAGTTCTTCGAATCCAAGGACGTAAATTCCAATTGATGTAACCCTCACTAACCATCTGGCCAGCTATAGTACAAACATAGCCGGCACTCATGCCAGAAAACAAAAGCGCTACAGCAAATAATTTACCACAAGAGAGAGAGACATATTTGGTAAGTAAGTCATAGATAGAAAATAGGTCCGAGGTATCAGCGTTGCTAGTGTTATAAAATACAGCTCCTGCAACAATTAGGATACTAGAATTAGTAAAGAGGGCAAATGTAAAGAGAGAAAGAGTTACTTCAACAACTGAGTATGTCAAAGAGTGCCTAATTGTTTGGATAGAAGGCTTATAGTCCGAACAGTCATCTGTAGGAACATAATTTCCAGTTCGAACATCAAAATCCTTTAAACGGGTCTGAACAAGACCAGATCCTAGAAACAAAGAATGAGGCATGACAGTGGCTCCAAGGATTCCAATACTACTGTATAAGCCTTCACGTGAAAAAACGGTGGAATTTGGAAGAAAGCCTTTGAAGACTTGACCTGCTCCACCAATATGAACACGGCCAAGAACGACAGCAAACGAAATAGCTACAACAAGCACTAGCATAGCAACAGCAGCTTCGAATATACGGACGCCGAGCATAGATCCTTCAGGACGCCAAGCAAGTAACACAAGTAATACGTCCAAGATAGTAATGACAACACCAGCGACAAGCGGAATTTTCATTAAAATCTTTAAAGCGACTGCGGTACCAATGACTTCTGCAATGTCTGTAGCAACAATTGCAGCTTCGGCCAAAATATAAAAGACTATACAGACGTATTTATGATAATGTTCTCGACAATTCCTTGCCAAGTCAAAGCCAGTGACAGAGCCCAAACGGCAGCATAATGCCTGTAAGTAAACAGCAAAGAGATTCGATAGGAAAACGATGAAAAGAAGTTTATACTGGAAACGGGCACCAGCGTCCAAATCAGTAGAGTAGTTACCTGGATCTATATAAGCGACTGCAATTAAAAATCCGGGTCCTATAAACTTGCAATATTCTCGAATTTCATAGCTACATTTTTTCCAATACTTCGAAAGTTTGGTTTTTTTTTCCGTTGAGTGCTCAAAGGATCCTTCTTCATCAGAAGGCAGATATGTGGAACGATCATTGCTTGCAAAGTTATAAGGTCTTGTAACAGTTAAAGATTCTAATGACTTCATTTCTATCATGTCCTTCGAGTTGGCAGAATGAGAGGACATAAAACTATCAGTTGGTTAAGGAATTAAAAGACAAAAGATATAACAAATAATCACCAATCAATTCTTAAGGATGTCCGTTCCTCCAGAATTCCACAAATGCCAAGCAACCTCAGTATGAAGTATCTACTTATCAATACAAAGTAATTGCAAATTAAATAATAGTAAATATATCAAAAACCAATCAACTTTCAGCTTTCCTTCTTCGTTTTCACAACAATTTCAGGGAAGAGTACATATGACCAAAGGTTGTTAGCCCGCAAAACAGTCACTTCAGTTAGTCTTTGAAATTGCAAGTTTAATAATGTAAATTTTTCCTTTTAGTCCCCTTGTGAACGGTCAATTTCACTTCATTGACCTTTCGAAGTTTGGGTGAGTAAAGGTAAACTTCTTAAGTGTTTATGAGCGTAACTTGGGAATAAGCTGCCTTCGAAAAGTGACGATGTTACTTTGATTCCTTACTGATCTCAACTGAAAAATCAAGTAAAAATCAAAAGAGAAAGGCTTAAGAGTAGTTTTAAAGTATGCTGAGAACAGAAAATAAAATTTAAGAATAAAAAGAGAAATTAGGTTAACTAAAGTACGGAAAACGAAGACTTTTTTAAAGTATCCTTTTGGAGCAGAGAATAGAAAGATGGTTTGAACAAAGTCATTTAAGGGATTCATTTATAAGTATAAAAAAAATATAAAAGAATGTAAATTTGGGTTTATTTCAAAATAGGTTTTTATAAATTAAACTCATGAACTTGTGCAAAAGTCCAGCGTTAAACATCATAGGTGAAAACCAAAGATTTAAAAAATCATTTACGTGCGTATGGAAAAGACAGAACTTTCGTTTTTATATTCTTTAACGGACCACTCCAAAAGTTTAAGGGGCCCAAATAAGATAAACAGAGGTTGCAAGGATCAGAAGTAATGCAGTAATGATTGCAACGCGCATGTACATAACGGAATTATCAAAGCTGTAAGAAATCTCAACAATCTGAGATGGATCACCATCAACGACATTGGAAGCTTCAAAAGTGTAAACTTGTCGACCTTTTGTGTCCAGAAATTTGTGAACGGTGTTAACATTCGAGGAGTCAGCCTCTACAGGCAATTTTACAGAAATGTTGGAAGCGCCTTCTGGGAAAACATAAGACCAGGAAGCTTTTTCAAAAAATAACTCTCCAGGAACCCAAGTGAGAGGAAGTTTTATGAAAATTTGTCCATCCTCGTGAGTAGTGAAGGTGGAATAAGGCATAGACCAGCCCAAGTTGTACAGATAGTTCCAACCACCAAACACTGGGTAACGAGGAAGCAGCTCCAGCACTGTTTGTTGAGGCTCAGTACGCATATGAGAGGTGGTAATGTTTCCAACTTCATCAGTGTAAGAAACATCGCTTACGTCGCTCGGCAAAGTAATTAGAAAACGATTGATGGCGGTGGAGATGGGATTGTAGAAGTTCTTCATGTACCATCTAGCACGATCGAAAGGAGTCTTCAATTTAGCAGAGCGGTTTTCGAGAACAATTCGCTCCGAAACGTCCATCTTTTGGCGGTACTGATGAAACTCAACTTGCATGTGAAAATCGATAGCATTGGGAAGAGGTGTGGTATGCTCATAGCGAACTTGAATTTCTTCCGAGTTGTCACCGGGCAAAACGAAGGAGCGAGTTTCATAAACAATTGTATTTCCGTTACGAGCAGGAGATTCATCATAAGTCGTATACGACTCAACGTTAGAGGATGGAAGGATAAAGCGAGTACGCTGTTGTTCAGTAGAATACAAACTGTCAAGGAACCGAGAGGTTTTATACACCAAAAACTGAGAGTCATCTTGATCAATAGCAGAGGGAAGAGGACGAAATCCATGAATCAGGCTGGTTCGGACGGTAATAGTACGGCTTTCACCTGGCTGGACGGGGGTTTCCAAGAAAATATCAAAGGAAACATCATCCACTTGGGTGAGTTGAGCCTTCTTTTTAGAATGATCCTTTAAAACAGCTTCGATTTTTGCGATTTCCTCACCACGATTAACATGTTGATGATAGCGATAGACGGTTTGAGGCTCATTTCCTTCATTGACAATGATTAACGAAGTCGTTTCCTTGACGAAGGTAGACCGCAAATCGATTGATCGAATTGCATTGCTATTCTTCCAAATTTGTTCAGCAAAAACATAACCTGTGATTAATATCCATAGGAAGGCCTTAAAGAACCACATTTTGACGGGTTATTTTGTACAGAGTCTTCGTATTTAGTGCTTGTAACGTTTAAAGGACTCTAAAAATAGAGTTAGATATTCACTCTTTTAAAAAACTAATACTTCTTCAAAATCCTCTTACAATCCTTTCGAATATTAACCCAAGTTTCTAGTTTTATGTAGTATGGGACAGGTAAATATATGAAGCTGAAGTATTACTTTACCATTTGCCGAACTTTGCTGGAACTCTGTAAATGAATAATGATATTTAAGAAATCCTTACATGCTGAGTGAAGAAAAGAATAGAAAATTTATAAATAAAAATAAAAATAAAAAGAGAATCCAAGGAATTTTAATTTACGATAGAAAACAAAACAGCTGAAAATTCCAAAGAATATGTGATTTTCATTTTGCTGTTCTAAGAGTAAGCATTTCTTTGTCAGTTGGTACCATCCTCTTAAGAAGAATTCTGTCGTATGTAGACACCATCACGAAAATAAAAGGAATAAATTTCAACAGCTCGTAAATGATTTCCTTTTCATTTAAAACTCTGGGACGAAATTCCATTGCTTTTTGTATCGTATTCCAGATTTGTTTCGCTAAACAAAACCTTATATTAAGCGAGAAATAAACAACGCTCTTCGAGAGAAATGAGAATTTTCACCTTTCCTTTGTACTACAGTGCAATAACTTAGTATCTATAGAATTTGGGGTGAAAAGGTCGGAATTGGATCATTAAAACAAAAAATGAGTGTTGAGAGAACTATTTACAGCGTTAAGATTGATAAAGAGCGCGTCCCTCTATTCGATGAAGACTTTTACCAAGGTTTTCGCAGTGAAATGACAGTCCATTTCACCATGGCTGCTCTTGACCCTGCAGTAAAGTCCAATGATCCTGTTACAGTGAAGGTAATTACTCGCCTCCAGCATTCTGATGATGAGGATGAAGAAGATGAAGAGAAGGATGATGAGGAAGAGCAATTTGTCCTTTGCACCCTCAAGAAGGGAGCAATTTATCAGCAACCAATCAATCTTACCTTTTCTCCAGGCGAAGAGGTGTTCTTCGAAAAAGCAGGTGATGCTACTGTCTATTTAAGCGGTTCTTGCACGGTCACCAACGTCCCCGAAGACTCTGAAGACAGCGACATGGATGATGATGAAAGTGGAGATGATGAAGACTTCATCTTTAATGACGATGGCTTGAGTGAAGATGAAGACTTTGACTTTGCTGCTTCTGAGAACGAGGATGAAGATGAGAGCGAAGATGGTGGTGCTCGTATTGAGGAATTAGGTAGTGATGAAGAGCAACAAGAAGATGAACAAAAGCAAGGGTCTAAGTTGGAGTCCCCTCAAAAGAAAGAGAAGCACACTCAGGAAAAAGAAGAAGAAGTAGAATCTAAAAAGCGTCCTTCTGAAGAAACTCCCGACACAGAAGAAAAGGAGAAAAAGCAGAAGTCAGAGAAGCCCGCGAAAACGTATGCCAAGAAAACACTGGAAGGGAATGTAGTCGTTCAAGACAAGGTTATTGGCAATGGACCTGCAGCCAAGAAAGGAAAGCGTGTTTCCATGCGCTACATTGGTCGTTTGAAGAACGGCAAGGTATTCGACAAAAATATCAATGGCAAGCCTTTTGTCTTTAACTTGGGCTTAGAAGAAGTCATTAGAGGTTGGGACATTGGCGTTGCCGGTATGCAAGTTGGTGGTGAACGCACTTTGCATATTCCTTCACTTATGGCTTATGGAGCCAAACGTCTCCCCGGAATTCCTGCTAACTCTGATCTGATTTTTGATGTGAAACTTTTGGCTGTCAATTAAATTCAGCTTGGTCGGTAAAATGTAACAAAAAAAAAATTAAGGTATTTTGGTCAATTATTTCTAATATGGTTTGGTTTGGTTTTGTCTTAGGTAAAACTTTGGACGAATATAGCGTTTTTCATAGATTTTATTGAATGATGAAGTATAAATAAATATATATAAAGATTTATACATATAAACCTGAAAATGTATATAGTCAACAGGGAGGAGAGAAACTAAGCTGGAATCAATCTCTCATCAGCATGCAAAATAAAACGTACTAACAGATTCGTGAATTCATTGATGATCCTACAACAAAGCGACCGCTGCATTACTAGATACTCTCTTACAAAGATGTTTGATTCTTGCAAACCGATTTGTTTATCAAACCCTACCCTACTCTCTGAGGAAATCCCATGGTTGCTGTATCGAATCGGTGAACAAGGCCATCGTTAGCTTTCCCCGGGGCGTATGTAACGAATGCTTTCTTTGTTTACACTCTATGAAGTAAAAAATTTAAACAAGCAAAGCATTTGTTGCCAAGATGTTTCCCTTAATATGCTGGTTAAAAATTTTAAATATAAAAATAAATTAAATTAAATTAAACAATGAAAATCTGTAAAGTTCTTTGTTGCTCACATTTGCTAGTACAAGTCAATTATAGTTACATAAGTTATTCATGGTTTTTTCCCTACAGTCGCATAGTTTTATAATCTTCTTAGGGTGAACTACTGATTTACTCGTAGCAATGAGATTACCTCTTGCCGAAAGAAGCTTCCTTGATATCGCTGTCGATGAACCCGGGGTATTATCATGCCAAACCAGGAATCTTACTATCCTGTCGGCGGAGATGAACGGTGAAGTATCCTGACTATGACAATGATGTCTTTCCTTTTTCCTTTTCTTTTTCTATATATTTGCTCCTGTTCCTGTTGAGATTCTCAAGTAAATGAATTGCAAGCTTACTGTCAAATCAAAGGTATCGTATGAAATACTCGCTTTGTCTTGTGAAGGAAATTTAATTTTGCATTTGTTGATTCGGTTTTTTTGCACTATCATGATCGACTTTACTTCTACTTCTGTCAAAGCTAATAACAAGGTCTTGGAAACTAAATCCAGTACGAAAGACTATCAATCCGCCGGCGATCCCAACTCCAAGGTTCCTCAAGGTCTGTGGTCCTTTGACGACGCCATGAAAATGGCACCTGAAACAGTCCGAAACTTGCAACTCGCTCACCTGAACAAGCTGCGTACTATCCGTGGTCATGCTCGAAATTTCGTCAAGGCTGAAAATTCTCGATTTATGATGATAAAGGACAGCAACATCTTGATTTAATCGGTGGTGTCGGCGTCGTTACTGTTGGAAACAACAATGAATATGTCTGGAATTGCTTACAAAAGTGCTTTAACGAAAAACTTTACATGATGGGCTCTATTTCGTACCGTAATCTTGCTGCTGCTTTTGGTAGCAATATGGCATTGCTTTCACCTGGTCAAAAGCTTACTCGTACTTGGACTGCTACCGGCGGTGCTGAAGCAAATGAGGGTGTTATCAAATTAATTCGACTGGCTACTCGCTATAAGATCAACAATAAACGGTTTCTCTCTACCCTCAACTCGTTCCATGGCAAAACCACTGGTAGTGTCTTCTTGGGCGGTAAGGAAAAATGGCAGAAATACCAAAGCCCTTCCCTGTTCGACGTGGATTATGTTCCTTATGGAGATTTTCATGCACTTGAAGTTGCTCTGATGTCTGGTATTTACCGCGCATTTGTCGTAGAACCCATTCAAGGCGAAGGCGGTGTCATTGTCCCTCCTCCCGGCTACTTTGCCAAAGCCCGTGAACTTTGTACAAAGTATGATACCTATCTTGTTCTGGATGAAATTCAAACAGGATGTGGTCGTACTGGCAAATTTTGGGCATGTGAGCATGAAAATATCATTCCTGACTGCATTTCCTTCGCCAAAGGTTTTTCTGGAGGCTTAATTCCTTTCGGCGGTTACATCGCTACTGAAGAGCTATGGAATGCTGCTTACGGTACAGTTGAAACTGTTTTTTTCACACCGCTACTTACCAGGTAAACACACTTGGTCTTGCCGCCGGCGTTGCTACCATTGATTTCATTTATCAGAACAATCTTCTTGACAGAGCGAATAAGCTTGGTGGTATTATGTTTGACCGTCTTAGCAAGCTTCAAACCAGATATCCCGATATTATTAAGGAAATCCGCGGCCGGGGTATGATGGTTGGTATCGAGTTCTTCCGTCTCCCTGCCGTTGCTCAAGAAGTATTCGGTGAGTTTTATGCACTTCCTATTGTTAACGATCTCGCCGATAATCATCGTGTCCAAGTTTACTGCTCATTAAATAACCCTTCTGTTTTCCGTTTTCTTCCTCCCTTAACAATTCCTGAAAAAGATTTAGATGAAGGTTTGAAATCTGTTGAAGATGCTGTTGCAGCCTTCAGTGTAAAAATTAATAAAGATGTCATGGGACAAATCTTCCTAATTAATACTAATAATTTTTTTTCATAACTCATTTCGCTTTCATTATTATATTACTGCTTTTGATTCTATAATGCTATATCTATTGTTTGTCTCTTTTAAACTGGTTATTTCAAGAATAAAGTATGTATTACAAAATACATTTAAATATATGATTTATAAAACTGAGTACTCTCTTGATTATTTAGATAAATAGTTCGTTTCATCTTAAACTCTAAAAGAAGCTTTGTACAAGCAATTTTCCTAGGTTCATGATTTTCATTCAATATATCCATATAATCCTATAACCCACTGATATTTTCTAGTTTTGACTGTTCTCTTTTATCCTTTTTTTTTTTTCGTGGCATTTTTGTTTCTTCTTATTTTTATTTATTTATTACTTAATTTATTTGTTTTTCTGCTTTACACGTTCATGTCGCGAAGGTACATTTTTCCATTATTAGAATCGGAGGAGATTTTGGAATGTATAGCGGGTTTAGGAATTACGTTTAGTAAAAAAGAACTAGTTCAGCCAACATCACAGGCAGTCATTTCCTTATGTGAAGAATTTCTTGACATGTTTATGGGGCTGACTAGTCAGGATTTAGAAGACAAGGCGAATTCGCTACAGGATACGGTTGAAACCTTCGATATATTACGCGAATCGTTACGGTTTATGATTTTTTATAAAATTGCAAACCAATTCATGCAAAGCATTTGTGTCGATGACTTTTCCGTTCAAGACCTATTAAAGCCCACTTCAAATCGACTAAAGCGAATTCTGTCGGGTGTGATTAATTTTGCAAAGCTTCGAGAACAGCAATTATTACTCTTCGAACCGGACATTCAAAAGCGAGAAAGTTTGATCGAGAATTATTCCCTACTTAATACCCAAAGACAAACTCTTGAACAAGAAGTTTTGCTGAGTCAGGAAAAACGAGAACAAAATCAAATTATTATTAAACAAAATGAAGAAAGAAATGACCAACTTTATCAGAATCTATTGGAAATAAAACGAATTTGTTCGCAAACCAAATCTGAATACGATCAAATAAAGCAGGAAGCACTCGAGTTGAAGGTAAAGCATCTTGAGGTAGAGTCTTTGATATCAAATACGTTACACGAAACAGAGCAGCTACAATCTTCCATTGTGCATTCTCCCGAAAAACTTCAAATAAGAATTTTGGATATGTCAGATCGTGTTCAGTTAGATCGAACGCAGCAATTTGAATTGGATAAGAAGTCAAAGTACCTTCAGTCTAAACTTAATCAACTATCTCTGACGGAAACGGACCTAAATGCTTGTGTAAAGGTACTAGAAGAATGTTTGGTCGAAGTGGACAAGCTTGAGCACGCTTCCAACCTTTTATCATCGAATCAGGAACTATGTGAACAAGTTGAAATCAATAAAAGGAAACTTGAGTTTCGTAAAGAACAGCTTTTAAAGCAGTTGTCAAACGCACAAGAAAAGTTGCAGCATGAGCAACAATCCAGAAACCAAAAGTTAGAGGCGGCGAAACAGAGGATGGATCAAATTAAGGAAGAATATCAAGAGCTACTCCAAATCCGGTCTCAAAAAGCCCAAGAGGCTGATCACAAGCAAACCATAATTGAAATGACGGAAAAGCAAATGGCGGATATGAAAAGAGAACTGGACTCACAAACTTCCTTAGTAACTATCGAGTTTGAAAAGCTGAAGGCTCATGTTGAGCTTTACATCGCTGAACTCTTGCATAGCATTCGCTGTTCGCAATAAGGCCTTTTACATCGAATCATAAGCATATTGTAAATTACTCATGGTATAGTTCTGAATTATATTTGCATAGAATGAAAAATTAAATTAGGTATACTAGAAATACATTCCATTTTTGGAAAGATGAAAAACTACTTCTATACGCTCTCATAGTATCTTGCAATGCCCAAATTTAAGCAAGGAATGAAGCCATATTATTTTCTCTACTAAACTCCAATTCATTCAATTATTAAATATTTAGGCATTCTCTTGTGGAAAATATCATAGGTTTTATGGATACATAAGACGAATTTTTAAACTCTCACATCATTCTAATCTTACCACCACAAGACTAAATCTACAAATATTCGAACAAGATGTGGAAGCCATTAGAAAATAACCCAGAGGTTTTGGAGCCTTATTTAAGGAAATTAGGAATTTTGAATGCAAGTGTGTTTGATTTGTTTACGTTGGATGAAATTCCAGAATACATTCCTCGTCCTGTGGCAGCACTTTTGTTGGTTCTTCCATCTCCTGGAAAATTTGATAAATCCCAAAAAGAATCTAAACTTCTCTCAGCTGATTCCAAAGAGGTGGTCTGGTTTCCTCAGCTGGTATCCAATGCCTGTGGTACTGTTGCTTTGGTGCATGCTATTGCTAACGGAAATCTTTCCAAGCAAAAATACAACTCTAAATTTACAAAAGATCTCTTAAAAAATGCTAGAGAACAGACAGCTGATGAAAGAGCAAAGATGTTAAAAGACTCTGAAGAGGTAGCCAAACTTCATGCAGAATTCGCCGGTGAACCCGATGAAGAAGAAGAAGGAGATGAAGAAGATGAAACAGATCTTCATTACATTTGTTTTGTTAAAGGAACACAGGAACATGATTGCCATTTTTATGAATTGGACGGTCGTCGCGAAGGACCAATTCAACACTCTGAAATTGAAAACGACGTTTTGGACCCTAAAGTGTTTTCTGTTATTAAAGACTATGTGCAAAAGACCAACTCTCCTTACTTTTCCTTAGTAGCCATTACGACAACCGACGACAACTGAATATGAGTTGAGTGATGAACACAGGGGTAATGAAGTTCGAGTTATTTATTTTTCTTTTATGATAAAGCTTACTACCTTACTCTTCTTGATTCAATATGATTGAACCTGCCCAAGCATTCCATATGCAATTTGCTAATACCATAGTTCCTCATTCATGAAACTTATAAAATCATTTATGAACTACTACTCGACGGTTGCAAGTCTGCCTTACTCGGATGTCAATGCTTTTACATTCATCATGTTATTTGTTTTACGTTATTATATGAAAAAATAAAATTGAATAAACTGTGTCTTTAAGATAACCTATAACCTGCGTCCAAAGCTATCCCTCAAATATCAAAAACTCTTCATGTCACAAAAAGTTGCTTTCAACTTTCATAGAGGACCATTTAGAGCCTTTAAGTCTGTAATTGAAAGCAACGTTTGTGTAAGGCATGTTTCTTTGTTTGCCATTATTCTTTTGTCTTAGCATTGTGTCGTACGTATATTCATCACCCTTACCTTAAGAAACGAATATACCCTGAATCTCCATCTGTCCACCTCCACCAACAACCAAGCATAGACAGAAACGATCAAAATGGATAAGCTTAGAGAAGTATGATACAGAAATATTGAAATAAGTATCAAGCTGCTAACAGAAACAGAAAATTAACGCTGCTCGCGCCGAAACTGATGAAGCCGTTGCACGCGCCGAAGCTGCAGAAGCCAAGCTGAAAGAACTAGAACATCAAATGTCTATTAAAGAACAAGAATATGATTCCCTTTCTAGAAAGCATGAAACTTCCGAGTCTCGCTTAGAAGAAATTGAAGAGGAGATGAAAGATTTACGCCTAAAAGCAGACGATGAAACTGGCCAAAAGAGTGAAATAGAGCAAGTTACTCGGAAGGTCGAGCTATTAGAAGAAGAACTTGAGACAAATGATAAGCTCCTTCGCGATACCACAGAGAAGATGCGCCAAACAGACGTCAAGGCTGAACACTTTGAGAGACGCGTTCAGTCGTTGGAACATGAGCGTGATGACTTAGAACAAAAGCTCGAAGATATGACTGACAAATACGCAAAGATTAAGGCTGAATTAGACGAGGTTCACCAAGCATTAGAAGATTTATAGATTCCAACGCGTAATGCTCCGAATTACAGCCTGCTTTTGTACGTACAAATCTGTTTCCTTGTTCGATTTGGTTGGCTGCTCATTGGACTAATTGTGCCAATGAGCTTTTGGATCTTACATCGGCATGTCCGTCGTTAATGTATGAACTATTACCTTCTTTTTGATGTACCTTTCATTTACCAATAAGTTTTTTAACGAAGCTTCGCAATTTGTACTTGGTCATTCTATCTTGTTTTCAACGTTACGTTTTATTATCTTTCGATTTTGAAATACAATCGACTCTTTAAGTCTAAATTTTTTTTTTTACTTTTTATTATTTCTACCGTTCTTTATGATACTATATTGAAGAGAACTGCGATTCATGAAGTATTCCAAATTCTATATCCACTCTCTTTGCACGTTTACTGTGTCAAGTTCCACTCTTCATGAAGTATATAATCTGCAAGTTGTGATTCCAATCTTTCAGCAATGGTAAATGAAATGTATATATGCAGAATAGTAGCGATACACATACTAGAAGTGTTAGCCAGTATGACAAGAGCCAGATCGATTGTTTCCTAGGAAACCATAGATAACTTCAGATTACTCTTTCTTTCAAGCGTTATACGTATTGGTAATTAGAAACAAAACCATTTATCCACCTAGAGAACTATATTACGTAGGCTTGTTAATTTCATAATTACAGCAAGGTCAACAATGCTCTTTATTGTAATGTTGCTTTGTATGTCCATGTTACCTCGAGTATCTCTCGTTTAGGTCGTTCTTGGAATCCTCACCTCAACCTACAATTCTTTGTATATTCCATAAATTCAGCATAAGCAACGAAATTGGCTGTAAAACGACGTGTATATATTTATTAATTTCCTCATTAACGTCGTACAATGTCATATCCGAATCCGATGAACGATTCACCGTACGGGTATGGCACGAACAGTGGCATGCAGCCGAACATGACTGGTCATACCATGCCAATGACCCAAAATAATATGGGATTTCAGCAAAGTAGTTATCCTTACCAACAGGGTTATCCAGCTGGCGGCCTTCCTGGAACCAATCCAACGATGCCCTTTCAGCAAAATGCCATGAACACCGGTTATGGATATCCATCGCAGCCTATGACTTATGCAAACGCACCTGCATCATCTACTTTTCCATCTCAAATGACTGGTTATAATGGAATGATGGGTGCAGGAATGCCGCCTATGGGTTACGTGCAACCTCAAAGAACCGGTACTGCTTCAGTACCACCAATGGGTGGTTTCATGCAACCTCAGAGAACTGGCAGTCAACCTTTTTATCAAATGAATAGCTTTATTCAACCTCAGCAAACTGGAAGTGCTTTGCCTCAAGCAACCGGTTTTGTGCAGCCTCAAAGAACTGGAAGTGCCCCTCAAGGTTTCTTTCCTCAGCAAACAAGTGGGTTTATGCAATATCCTGGAAATGGCGGTCAGCTTTATAATAATCCAATGAATGGCTATATGCAGCCTCAAAAAACTGGTGGTTTCGGCTCTTTTATACAACCACAAAAAACTGGTACGATGCTCTCCCAACCTACCTTACAACCTCAACAGACTGGTTCTTTTGTGAGCCAACCCGGTTTCACACAACCTCAGACTATGGGTGTAGCACCTCAAATGACTGGACTTATTCAGCCTCAAAGAACCGGTACTGGTTTCATTCCTCAAACAACGGGTTATCTTCAATCACAACCGACAGGCCCTTTTGCTGCCTTTGTGCAGCCTCAGCCTACTTCGATGCCAACATCAGCCGCACCTTTGAAACCTCAAAAAACTGGTCAAATTCACATTAGTCATGCTATGGATACTAGACTTTCATTTATTACAGCTTCGGACCAAGAGAAATTTGAGAAATTGTTCCGCTCTGCCGTTGGTAACGAAGAAGCTATGTCTGCTGACATCGCTAAAGCTATCCTCGTTCGTTCAAAGCTCCCTACACCCATCCTTTCTAAGATTTGGTCTTTATCCGACACTACTCGATCGGGTCATTTAATGTTTCCTCAATTCGTTTTGGCTATGTATTTGTGTAACCTGGGTCTTACTGGAAAACCTATTCCAGATAAGGTGCCAGATAATATTCTTGGTGAGGTCAATTCAATGGTTGATGCAATATCTTTCTCTTTGCATGATAGCTCTAGTCAGTATGCTCATCCAGTTTCTCAGAATAATGCTCAACAAATGGCTGCTCAAATGTTCAATGGTGTTCAGCAAGCCGCTGGTATTCCGTCCCAGATTACGGGGATGTTTCCTCAGCAAACCGGAATGCAACCTCAAATGACTGGCTTCCAACAACCGATGATGCCCCAAAGGACAGGTGGCATGCCAACACAAATGACCGGAATGCCTATGCCTCCTATGATGCCTCAAAGAACCGGCGGTATGCCTTCACAGATGACTGGTGGTATGCCCCCGATGATGCCTCAAAGAACCGGCGGTATGCCTTCACAGATGACTGGCGGTATGCCACCGATGATGCCTCAAAGAACTGGAGGTATGCC